AAAATATGATTTTTTTGAAGTTTTTTTGAAAAAAATCATAAATCGATTTCTAGGAGGTTACGAACTCAGAGACCTAGTTTTTTTATTGATCCTTGTGATCTCCTCTATCGATTGATACCAGTTTCGACCTACTTTCGATTTTTCGATCTCCAAGTTTGATCGCCTCTAACTCAGTTCCTAGTTGATCTACGGAGGTCAAACCCGGCCTCAGGTTGTTTTTTCGTCGAGATCTATCGATTGATATAGGTTTCGTCCGGATCGGCTTCCATGACCTCAGAAGCTCGAAAAAAACTGAAGGGGTTAGACTGTACTTTTTTTCGATTTTTCCGGAAATCCAAAGTTTCCGAGATTTTTTTACATCAATCGATAGGAAATGACGTCAGAAGCCCGGAAATCCAGGTCAGAAGGTTTTTTTAGATGCCCAAAAAAAGAAAAATATGATTTTTTTGAAGTTTTTTTGAAAAAAATCATAAATCGATTTCTAGGAGGTTACGAACTTGGAGACCTAGTTTTTCTTAATCCTTGTGATCTCCTCTATCGATTGATACCAGTTTCGACCTACTTTCGATTTTTCGATCTCCAAGTTTGATCGCCTCTAACTCAGTTCCTAGTTGATCTACGGAGGTCAAACCCGGCCTCAGGTTGTTTTTTCGTCGAGATCTATCGATTGATATAGGTTTCGTCCGGATCGGCTTCCATGACCTCAGAAGCTCGAAAAAAACTGAATGGGGTTAGACTGTACTTTTTTTCGATTTTTCCGGAAATCCAAAGTTTCCGAGATTTTTTTACATCAATCGATAGGAAATGACGTCAGAAGCCCGGAAATCCAGGTCAGAAGGTTTTTTTAGATGCCCAAAAAAAGAAAATATGATTTTTTTGAAGTTTTTTTGAAAAAAATCATAAATCGATTTCTAGGAGGTTACGAACTTGGAGACCTAGTTTTTCTTAATCCTTGTGATCTCCTCTATCGATTGATACCAGTTTCGACCTACTTTCGATTTTTCGATCTCCAAGTTTGATCGCCTCTAACTCAGTTCCTAGTTGATCTACGGAGGTCAAACCCGGCCTCAGGTTGTTTTTTCGTCGAGATCTATCGATTGATATAGGTTTCGTCCGGATCGGCTTCCATGACCTCAGAAGCTCGAAAAAAACTGAAGGGGTTAGACTGTACTTTTTTCGATTTTCCGGAAATCCAAAGTTTCCGAGATTTTTACATCAATCGATAGGAAATGACGTCAGAAGCCCGGAAATCCAGGTCAGAAGGTTTTTTTAGATGCCCAAAAAAAGAAAATATGATTTTTTTGAAGTTTTTTTGAAAAAAATCATAAATCGATTTCTAGGAGGTTACGAACTCAGAGACCTAGTTTTTTTATTGATCCTTGTGATCTCCTCTATCGATTGATACCAGTTTTCGACCTACTTTCGATTTTTTTCGATCTCCAAGTTTGATCGCCTCTAACTCAGTTCCTAGTTGATCTACGGAGGTCAAACCCGGCCTCAGGTTGTTTTTTCGTCGAGATCTATCGATTGATATAGGTTTCGTCCGGATCGGCTTCCATGACCTCAGAAGCTCGAAAAAAACTGAAGGGGTTAGACTGTACTTTTTTCGATTTTCCGGAAATCCAAAGTTTCCGAGATTTTTACATCAATCGATAGGAAATGACGTCAGAAGCCCGGAAATCCAGGTCAGAAGGTTTTTAGATGCCCAAAAAAGAAAATATGATTTTTTTGAAGTTTTTGAAAAATCATAAATCGATTTCTAGGAGGTTACGAACTCAGAGACCTAGTTTTTATTGATCCTTGTGATCTCCTCTATCGATTGATACCAGTTTCGACCTACTTTCGATTTTTCGATCTCCAAGTTTGATCGCCTCTAACTCAGTTCCTAGTTGATCTACGGAGGTCAAACCCGGCCTCAGGTTGTTTTTTCGTCGAGATCTATCGATTGATATAGGTTTCGTCCGGATCGGCTTCCATGACCTCAGAAGCTCGAAAAAAACTGAAGGGGTTAGACTGTACTTTTTTCGATTTTCCGGAAATCCAAAGTTTCCGAGATTTTTACATCAATCGATAGGAAATGACGTCAGAAGCCCGGAAATCCAGGTCAGAAGGTTTTTAGATGCCCAAAAAAGAAAATATGATTTTTTTGAAGTTTTTGAAAAATCATAAATCGATTTCTAGGAGGTTACGAACTTGGAGACCTAGTTTTTCTTAATCCTTGTGATCTCCTCTATCGATTGATACCAGTTTCGACCTACTTTCGATTTTTCGATCTCCAAGTTTGATCGCCTCTAACTCAGTTCCTAGTTGATCTACGGAGGTCAAACCCGGCCTCAGGTTGTTTTTTCGTCGAGATCTATCGATTGATATAGGTTTCGTCCGGATCGGCTTCCATGACCTCAGAAGCTCGAAAAAAAACTGAATGGGGTTAGACTGTACTTTTTTTCGATTTTCCGGAAATCCAAAGTTTCCGAGATTTTTACATCAATCGATAGGAAATGACGTCAGAAGCCCGGAAATCCAGGTCAGAAGGTTTTTAGATGCCCAAAAAAGAAAATATGATTTTTTTGAAGTTTTTGAAAAATCATAAATCGATTTCTAGGAGGTTACGAACTTGGAGACCTAGTTTTTCTTAATCCTTGTGATCTCCTCTATCGATTGATACTAATTTCGACGGAATTTGATATTATTGATTCCGAAGTTTGATCGCCTCTAACTCAGTTCCTAGTTGATCTACGGAGGTCAAACCCGGCCTCAGGTTGTTTTTTCGTCGAGATCTATCGATTGATATAGGTTTCGTCCGGATCGGCTCCCATGACCTCAGAAGCTCGAAAAAAACTGAAGGGGTTAGACTGTACTTTTTTCGATTTTCCGGAAATCCAAAGTTTCCGAGATTTTTACATCAATCGATAGGAAATGACGTCAGAAGCCCGGAAATCCAGGTCAGAAGGTTTTTAGATGCCCAAAAAAGAAAATATGATTTTTTTGAAGTTTTTGAAAAATCATACCTCGATTTCTAGGAGGTTAGGAACTCAGAGACCTAGTTTTTATTGATCCTTGTGATCTCCTCTATCGATTGATACTAATTTCGACGGAATTTGATATTATTGATTCCGAAGTTTGATCGCCTCTAACTCAGTTCCTAGTTGATCTACGGAGGTCAAACCCGGCCTCAGGTTGTTTTTTCGTCGAGATCTATCGATTGATATAGGTTTCGTCCGGATCGGCTTCCATGACCTCAGAAGCTCGAAAAAAACTGAAGGGGTTAGACTGTACTTTTTTCGATTTTTCCGAAATCCAAAGTTTCCGAGATTTTTTTACATCAATCGATAGGAAATGACGTCAGAAGCCCGGAAATCCAGGTCAGAAGGTTTTTAGATGCCCAAAAAAGAAAATATGATTTTTTTGAAGTTTTTGAAAAATCATACCTCGATTTCTAGGAGGTTAGGAACTCAGAGACCTAGTTTTTATTGATCCTTGTGATCTCCTCTATCGATTGATACCAGTTTCGACCTACTTTCGATTTTTCGATCTCCAAGTTTGATCGCCTCTAACTCAGTTCCTAGTTGATCTACGGAGGTCAAACCCGGCCTCAGGTTGTTTTTTCGTCGAGATCTATCGATTGATATAGGTCTCGTCCGGATCGGCTTCCATGACCTCAGAAGCTCGAAAAAAACTGAAGGGGTTAGACTGTACTTTTTTCGATTTTCCGGAAATCCAAAGTTTCCGAGATTTTTACATCAATCGATAGGAAATGACGTCAGAAGCCCGGAAATCCAGGTCAGAAGGTTTTTAGATGCCCAAAAAAGAAAATATGATTTTTTGAAGTTTTTGAAAAATCATACCTCGATTTCTAGGAGGTTAGGAACTCAGAGACCTAGTTTTTATTGATCCTTGTGATCTCCTCTATCGATTGATACCAGTTTCGACCTACTTTCGATTTTTCGATCTCCAAGTTTGATCGCCTCTAACTCAGTTCCTAGTTGATCTACGGAGGTCAAACCCGGCCTCAGGTTGTTTTTTCGTCGAGATCTATCGATTGATATAGGTTTCGTCCGGATCGGCTTCCATGACCTCAGAAGCTCGAAAAAAACTGAAGGGGTTAGACTGTACTTTTTTTCGATTTTTCCGGAAATCCAAAGTTTCCGAGATTTTTTTACATCAATCGATAGGAAATGACGTCAGAAGCCCGGAAATCCAGGTCAGAAGGTTTTTTAGATGCCCAAAAAAAGAAAAATATGATTTTTTTGAAGTTTTTTTGAAAAAAATCATAAATCGATTTCTAGGAGGTTACGAACTTGGAGACCTAGTTTTTCTTAATCCTTGTGATCTCCTCTATCGAATGATACCAGTTTTGACGGAGTTTGATATTTTTGATCTCTAAGTTTGATCGCCCATAACTTAGTTCCTAGTCGACCTACGGAGGTCAAACCAAATTTTTCCTGATCTCCTTGATCTTCGCCTGCTCATATCTTAGCTCGGAGAGCTCCTGAATCTTGTTTCCTGGTGTCATTTGTTTTGTCTCGCCAGGTGTTTTCAATGATACAGGTAATAAACTGTTTGAGCTCCGCCCAGAATTGTCCTATTTGCATAAGCTTAGAACTCAGTTCGCTGGAATAAAGGAAAAAAAAGCTTAGATGCGAGCTCAAGTTGATAAGTTATCAGAAGATTTTAGAAGCTGAGGAATGATTCTACTTCGATTTGAACGTCAGGATTGAAATCGCACAACAGTTATTTATTAATTATAGTCAAAAAATGAAAAAAAAAAAACGTCGGTACATTTCAAAGGTACCCGTATAATGATGTGGTAGTGCATGGAGAATTCAAAAAGGATCAAAGTTTGAAAAAAAAAATAATAATACTGCGCTTCAGCGAAAACAACGGTAAGGGGTTAGTTTATCAAAAAATTCTTTCGTTTGGGGCAAACTTTTAATATGAAATTCTAACCAGCGGAGACAATAAAAATTCTGAGAATCGTTGTAAATTTGAAAAAAAATGCCTCATTTTCGATTTCTCGACGTTATCACCGCTTTTAACTTGTAGTAAACTGATAAAAGTGCTGGGATTATGACGAGGCCGTGTAGTAGAGACAACGAGACGCAGAGGGTCAGAGCCGCGGCAAACATCTGAAAAACCTTCAGAATTTTTCAGAACTTGTTTCAATAAATAATAGGAAATAGGTTAGGATTTTCCAAGTTCAGAATAGAAATCATTTGGAGTCTGTTTTGATCCGATTTTTCTCTGAAAGGATTAAAATTCCTTTTAAGTGAAATCGTTTTTCATTTAGATATTTTCAAAGGTTCTTATTGAGCCCATAGATCCATTGAAAAACCCTAGCGACCTTCTTTAAATCTCCTGACTTTACTCAAGAGATTTCTTTTCGGGAAAAGAAAGTTTTTTTCTTTAGGAGTCTTTGAAAAGTTACTCAAAAAAATTTGCGAATTCCCACTAGTTTTAAGATAAGTCTGAGAAGGACGCGTTGCGGTCGCGTCGCGGCTTATTTTGTTTGACGAGGAAGTGTTGCGACTTATTTATTTTGACGAGGAAGTGTTGCGACTCATTTATTTTGACTAGGAAGCGTTGTGGTCGCGTCGCGGTTCCTTTCTTTTGACGAGGACGCGTTGCGGTCCGCGTAGCGGCTAACTTCTTCTGACGAGGACGCGTTGCGGTTGCGTCCCGGCTTGCTCCTTATGACGATAAAGCGTTGCGGTCGCGTCGCGGCTGACTTCTTTTGAGAAAGACGCTTTGCGGTCCGCGTCTTGGCTTGCTTTTTATGACGATAAAGCGTTGCGGTTGCGTCGCGGTCGATTTCTTTTAACGTGTACGCGTTGCGGTTACGTCGCGGCTAGCTTCTTTTGAACAGGACGCTTTGCGGTTGCGTCACGGCTCATTTCTTTCGGCAAGGAAGCGTTGCGGTCGCGTCGCGGATTGTTTATTTCGACAGGAAAGCGTTGCGATTGCGTCGCGGCTGGCTTATTTTGAAGAAGACGCGTTGCGGTTGCGTCACGGCTCGTTTTCTCTGACAAGGAAGCGTTGCGGTCGCCTCGCGGCTAATTTTATTCGACGAGGAAGCGTTGCGGTCGCGGCTCATTCTTCTGATGAAGAAGCGTTGCGGTCGCTTCGCGGCTTAGTTTTCAAATGAGGGCGCGTTGCGGTCGCGTCGCGGCTCAATAAATTTATTGCAAGACCATACCCGAGCCATGTAGAGATCCAGAAAGGCGAGCGGTAGGGCGCAAAAGTCGGTCGAAACGCCGGCCTGGATCACCGGGAAGCCGACGGACGTCAAGGTACTCGATAGGCTGAAAAGAAGCGGAATGGCCTATATTTCATAAAATCTCCTACCACTCCCTGAAGCTCATTTCGGGTTCCATAGAAATGGTTTTATTGGAATCCACCAAGTCGATGGCGGAAATTTGGGCCGGCGCCGATCTTCTCTGCGCCGTTTTCGCTTCTGAATCCATTTTTTGATGTTTCAGAATCTTGACGTTGAAAATACTAGCTGCGTAGAAGTGGAAGGAGACGTGGGCAGGGATGTCGACACTGAATCCGATGCACATGATTGCAATCGACATTATTACTGGATCAAGTGACACTCCGAATAGGGCTAGGTACCCAAAAACGCCTGAAAAAAATTCAATTTTCGAAAAAAGTTTCTCAGAACTCGGATCCTTATTTAAGTGACCACTAAGAAGAAGAAAACAACACTTAAGTGGGAAGTTATTGTCCCTTTAGTGATCACTTAAAGAACGTCGATTTTTCCGTGCAAGATCTGAGTTTTTGAAATCAAGTTTTGAAAAAAAAAAATTGATTTAGCACGTACCTCATAAAAAAAATCACTGAATAAAAAGATTATGCGCCCTATTGATAAATTATTCCTTTTCAAAAAATCACAGCTGAAAAAAACCTTGAAAATAACATTAAAACAGCAGAAATCAGTCACTAAAAACAAGAAAATCTCAAAAATTAAGCTGCCAAAAATCATGAAAAAACAGCCGCAAGTGATTGAGATTATACGCTCCATGGAAAAAATAGAAATTTCAACATTTTGAAGCCGACAATTCAGCCATAGAGCTAACAAAACCCCGTTTATTTGATTTTATTTAGCAAGATAGCATTAAGCCGTTAGGCCATAACGGTTAGGGTTTCTAACTTAAAATTTATTGGGATTAAATTCCCAAAACCGTTTCCTACACGTCCAGTCAAATTTCTTAAAATTCCAAAAATAACCTATACAAGTGACGAGAATCGAGGTCGAAACGATCAGAACGGTGAACAAATCGGCGATGAATAAAAAGCAGACGGCGGAAACACAGACAAAAGTCGCCAGGGTCGATTGCCAGGTTATTGCGGGGATCATCTGGAAATCTTTAGAACTCGGCCTTTTTTATATATTAATGATCCGGTTTTCGCGACTTGAAACTGCCCTTTTTCTCTGCGCCCTCTTAATCTCTCGGGGGGACCCTCTCTTTTTGACGTGCTATTTTCATGTTTCTCTAAACTTGCCGGTGAGGGAACAGAGAGACGCAGACACTGGAAAACTGTCGAGTCGCGCTTATCTATACTCATACTCAGACGCCTGGGGTCCTTTTCCTAGGGAGCTTTTAGAAGAGAAAACGTGGGGGGAGCGGGAGTGGGACAAAAAATTCTTAGATCATGGAGAGCCGCGGGGAAGTAATCAGGATGTGAGCGAACCGATAGGTTCCTGGGAAGAGTACGGGCGCTAAACGGTAGGGAATCGGTCGACGCTAAGGAAGCGGTAGAAGATCGGTCAAAAAGCGGGCCTCCACGGAGAACCGTTAGGAAGGAATCGGTAGGAGATCGGTAAGAAGACGGGCGTCCGTGGGAAGCCGACTCAAAAGAAGCGGTAGGAGATCGGTAGGAAAGCGGGCCTCCACGGAGAACCGTTAGAAAGGAATCGGTAGGAGATCGGTAAGAAGACGGGCGTCCGTGGGAAGCCGACTCAAAAAGAAGCGGTAGGAGATCGGTCAAAAAGCGGGCCTCCACGGAGAACCGTTAGAAAGGAATCGGTAGGAGATCGGTAAGAAGACGGGCGTCCGTGGGAAGCCGACTCAAAAGAAGCGGTAGGAGATCGGTAGGAAAGCGGGCCTCCACGGAGAACCGTTAGAAAGGAATCGGTAGGAGATCGGTAAGAAGACGGGCGTCCGTGGGAAGCCGACTCAAAAGAAGCGGTAGGAGATCGGTCAAAAAGCGGGCCTCCACGGAGAACCGTTAGGAAGGAATCGGTAGGAGATCGGTAAGAAGACGGGCGTCCGTGGGAAGCCGACTCAAAAGAAGCGGTAGGAGATCGGTCAAAAAGCGGGCCTCCACGGAGAACCGTTAGGAAGGAATCGGTAGGAGATCGGTAAGAAGACGGGCGTCCGTGGGAAGCCGACTCGAAAGAAGCGGTAGGAGATCGGTAGGAAAGCGGGCCTCCACGGAGAACCGTTAGAAAGGAATCGGTAGGAGATCGGTAAGAAGACGGGCGTCCGTGGGAAGCCGACTCAAAAGAAGCGGTAGGAGATCGGTAGGAAAGCGGGCCTCCACGGAGAACCGTTAGAAAGGAATCGGTAGGAGATCGGTAAGAAGACGGGCGTCCGTGGGAAGCCGACTCAAAAGAAGCGGTAGGAGATCGGTCAAAAAGCGGGCCTCCACGGAGAACCGTTAGGAAGGAATCGGTAGGAGATCGGTAAGAAGACGGGCGTCCGTGGGAAGCCGACTCGAAAGAAGCGGTAGGAGATCGGTAGGAAAGCGGGCCTCCACGGAGAACCGTTAGAAAGGAATCGGTAGGAGATCGGTAAGAAGACGGGCGTCCGTGGGAAGCCGACTCAAAAGAAGCGGTAGGAGATCGGTCAAAAAGCGGGCCTCCACGGAGAACCGTTAGGAAGGAATCGGTAGGAGATCGGTAAGAAGACGGGAGCCCTCGGACAACCGACGCAAAGAAATCGGTAGGAGATCGGTAGGAAAGCGGGAGCCCTCGGACAACCGACGCAAAGAAATCGGTAGGAGATCGGTAAGAAAACGGGAGTCTTTGGAAAGCCGATAGAAAGGTATCCGCTGAGAAAACGGAGTACACTGACAGGGGCTCTCAAAAAGGTTAGCAAAAAACACGGGCAGTCTGCGGGTGTTGATGTATTTTTCCCAATTCCTTCCTATCGGCTCCCCGGGGATTCCCGTTTTCATGCCGCTCTTCTACCGATTCTTTAGCTAGGGACCGCAGACGAATTTTCAAAAAATTTTTTTCAGCATCGAGCTTTGTATGGTTTGATAGCTGTTTCGATTCAAAACTCAGAACCGTTTAGTTTTTCGAAAAAGATTGAGGATGAAAAAAGTTATGACGAAAAATGTGGCGCGCCGCGCACCATTTTTTTAGTACTGAAAATTTTAGTATTATTCATTTTTTTGACATTTTTTTCTCGATTTTTTTCTTCTAGAAAAAGTTTTTGATACTGGTCTATTATGATGTAACAAATCATAATAGAGTGCTAAAATGATGCTAATCAGCTATTTTGCCGAAAAAGTCGGTATTTTGCAGAAAACAAAAAACTGATGCTTGCGGGTATCGAACTCGCGACCTAAAAATGAAAAATCGCAGCGCACGCACTGCGCCAAGCTGTCAGGTCTAGCGCGGGGAGCTTCCATCCGCCTTACCCTTGAGCCGTTTAAATAGCACAGATTGTCTATTTCAAAAAGAAAAACTTGAAGTAATTTAGCTATTTTTATCAGAATATGTTCGCAAATCTTTACTCAAACGTTTCGTGGAAATTCACTTCGAAAAAACTGTTTTTTCAGTGCTTTTTGCCTCTTTTAACGATCGCTGCCTTAAAACGGCCCCGTAAAATTTTTTTGGCAAAGACGAATTTTTTTATTTTATTCTTTTTAATTGAAAGATTTTTTTACTAATAAATGTATATAATCGTTTGAAAAAAACCTGCGTTCGACCGCTTTCGGTGTGATAAACGCCGCTAATTTTTATTCTCTAGTTTCAAGAGCATTTTTTTGCGTATCACAAAACTTTTTTCAAGTACATATGCTGTGGAGAAAAAAATTTAAGTAAGCCCATGGTCTAAATTTTTGAAAAAAACAAAAAAACTCGATTATATTCGCTTGTTAACGATAATTTTGAATTATGACTTTCGGCACTCCCTAAAAATTTTTTTGGCAAAGACGAATTTTTTTATTTTTATTGTTTCAAAATTACCGTTACTTGAATCAAAAATCATTATATAAAAAAAGAAAGAGTGCGTTCGACCTGAAAACACATGAAAAAGCAAAAAATTACAAAATTTTTTAGTTCCATTCACGTTTTTGTACGACATTCCGCGAGAACGCATCAAGAAAGCGTGAAATATTTTTTAAACGAAAGAGGAAGCTTTTCTGTACATGTGTGTCAAATTTTATTCGCCAGTTCCACATATTTTACAACTACAACAAAATGAAAGTTGAAAACCAAAAAAAAGCCACTTTTTCTATCGCGAAAAGGGGCGTGGCTTTGCGGTCCCTATCTTTAGCGTCGGCTCGCGTATTCTCACCGTTTCACGCCTGTTTTCTTCCCAGGGACTTACCGGTCCCGCTCACCTCCCGTTTATCTCCCGTCGCCTCCCCGCAGAGCTAGTGATTTTTCGCTTCCATCTCTTTTTCTCTCCTAAGATCACCTGCGGAAAGAAATCCCAGGTGTCTGAGTACTTTTGAAACCCATTTCTGCTTTGATTTTGGTATAAAACTCGGGAAGTGATTTTTTTCTTTTAGACCTCGTCAGGAACTTTTTCGAGGTTTTAAAATGCGATAACTTCTTCAAACCTCAATCATATCCAAGAAGAAAGCATCCTCGGTGAAGACGGTCGCGTTGAATGGTCTGGAAAAACGCCGTTTTTTCAAAATTCCTACTAGAGAGAATCTAGTTCATTTTCTTCAAAAACAAAAATATTATCCAAGATTTTCAAGATCCTTGATGACTTTTTCAAAGCTTCAAGGCTCTAAATATCAAAAATCACGATGAACAAACCCTAAAAACCCCTAAAACTCCTAAAATTCCTTAAAACCCACTCCTTGAACTCGTCAACGGCCGCCCGCCATTCGTTCAACAATTTTCCCCTCTGAGACCAATCTTTCAATTGTTCGCCATGGTATCCCGTTGAGAACATGAATTTCGACACCGTCTTTGTTCTGAAATTCAGAAAATGAAATGAATTTCTGTTGGATCCTTGCTGGAGTTTTCAAAGAGCTAACAGTCTTGAAATCGTCTCGAGACCTTTACAAAAAAATCCCGCCTATGCTCCTTTAAACTCTCCAACAAAAAGTATATTCACTGACTTGTTATCGATATTCATAAATCCTCGCCAGAACGAATATTCAGGCCATTCGAGGAACTTCTCAATGTCCGTTTTTTCGTCGTCTTCGACCATTTCCGATTCTTCGTCCACTGACTCGCGGAACGCTATGAAGTCGCTGAAAAACCTTTTTTTTTTTCCCTGGCATTTTTTTTCCTCTGTATAGTGTCGCGTGTCGTGTGCATGCACCGCGCCGCTTTCTCGCAGAAAATTTTTTTTATGTAGAGAATTTTCGATTCCTCTCAAAGACCTCTGGCAATACGACGGCCTGCGCCTTTAATATGTCCTGTTATTTTCGAGCCGATCCCATGACGTCACGTGGGAACGGCGATGGTTTCGACTCCGCCCATCGTGTTTTTGGTTTCGCATTTTATTTTAATAACAAAAAAGCCGTTGATAGCATCATCCGCCCCTCTGGCTCGTCTGCGCTCTCTTCTCTCACCGTCATGATTTCAGAAAAACGAGAGTAGCAAGCCCAGAGAAATCAGAACTGTCCAGACCTTACACGTCATTCGGTGGCATTTGGAATGGGTCAAAGCGTTGCGATTCCCCCTAGTTTCCGTAAATTTTGCTACAAACACGCGAAAACCGTTTCAGGTCGGCCGCAGCTCACGCATTGAGCCATTCCCCTCGCGACCACGCATTCATTCAACAGAAAAAAGGAAAAAATTTGTGAGACTTGGCATTTTTAAGCTAAAGATCTACTAAGACTAGAAAGAACCCTCTAATTTCTCTGCAATCTCTCTCATTAATATGCTATCTATCATTTTTCTCAACCTTTAAAAGTCAAATCAGAAAAAATGGCTCGAAATTCTAGTTTCCGTGCTCCAATAATCAGCAATCTATTTGAAATCATTCAAACTCTTCTATCAGTTAATTTTTGAGCGAAAAATTATTTTTTTTTCAGCTTCTGGCCCATCTTTCCTTCTAAAGGGACCTCTTAAAGCCCAAATCTCCTGATCCCAGAAAAAGGGTCCCCTTATGAGCTCAATTCTCCTACTCCAACCAACCTCAAGAAGAACTTCGTGCTATTGGGCCCAATCGAGTTGGGCAACGACTCGAATCGTCTCTTCAGGTTGTTCAGCCCTTCGAGTACCGTATCATTCGACAAATCTCCGGGATTATTAATGACTACCGTAACCGGCGTGTAGTACGGTACCACGTCGTTGGTTCTCATATGATCCATCTTGAAACGGTCAAAAATTATAGAAGACTTGTTATTTATGATACCCTGATCATTGGCGAGTCTTTCATGAAGAACTTTCCAGGATTCAGTTTCACCGACAAGTGTGTAAGTCCCTGAAAAACGTCGTTTCAGAGGAAAAAATGGATGATAACTCAGGAACGCGAGAGAGGTCCCTAGAGGGCAACCTTAGCGGCTCTTGAAGGTCTATCTCTAGGGGTCACTTCACCTCCCCCTATATGGGGAACTGAAGCTTGCAAAAGTGATACCTATAGGGGACATGCTAGTCGTTATGAAGAGAAGAATTTTCATACCAAAAACTTAATTTGACTGGATGTGTAGGAAATGGTTTATTGCCGTTATTGTGGCCCTTGAAGGCTCCCTCTAAGGGTCACTTACCTTTTAGGGGTAATGCTAGTCGTTATCAGAAAAAAAGCCTTATCATGCCAAAAATTTGTTGAATTGATTTTTTTCGTGGCCCCTGAAGTTTCCCCTCTAGGGTCCATTTTACCTCCCCTATATGGGGAACTAAAATTTGCAAAAGTGATCCCTATAGGGGAGATGCTAGAAGCATTTTCATGCCAAAAACTTAATGAATTGCCGTTTTTTGAATGAAATAATATCAACAGAGGATCCAAGTTCTTTTTAATTTTCAAATCCTGGCGAATAAAAAATTTTCAAGCATTCGGGCCTTAGGAGTCAGACTCTAAAATCCTACAGAGACCACCAAATATTACCCCTATAGGGAGCACTTTTTATCCTCTATAGGGACTGATATTCCCTCTAACCCCTATAGGAATCACTCTGGCGTTTCTAAAAATCGCAGAAAATTTCTAGAAAATGTGAAAAAAGGCCTTTCTCCATGGAGCACCTTTGCGTTGAAAATTTTCTTCAAACTGATTTTTTTTTCTTAAAAGTTTTCGGCTTCTTTATAGATCGCAAAAGCTTAATGAGGTCGCAGAAATGAATTTCAACTCAGAAAAAAAAAATCGAATTTCAAAAATTTCCCGCCCTTTTTGGACCCATTTTTCGTACAAAAAATCAACATTTTCGAAATTTCATGTAAAATCCCAAAAAAGCTTTGAATTCGATATCATTAAAATCAGAAATTCCTCACAAAAACGGCAAAAGCGATGAAAATCAGCCAAAGGGCGACGATGGCGGTCGAGACGAAAGTATTCGAAATGAAATCGATGTAGGAACGGAGGAATTTCGTCACAAACTCCTTCATTTGGTCTTGGATCTGTGAAAAAAGAATGAACTTTGAGAAAAAATAGCTGCGAAAAATTCCCAAACTAAAGAGTCAAGTTTGCTCCATTGGTAATCAAAAAGCTATTCATTAAACTTACTAACCTTTTTTTCTTCTAAAATGATAAAAAAATCCAAAAAAATATTTTTCAACAATTTCAGAACCATAAAAAAAATTGGAAAGCTCAAACTTCAATTCCTAATGCGCTCCATTGATAATCACGAGAAAACTTACCCGACAAATTTTCTCGTTTGTAGTTTGCTCCTTCTCATCGGCCAACAGTGTCATGACGGCCGTGTAAAAAGTTGCTGGAAAATCAAAAAATCGTTGAAAATTTTTTAAAGGAGCATGGGAAAATGCCAAAAAAAGGTCTCGAGGAGAAGAGCTGTCCACGAGGCTTTTTTGAGCACTTTACGACTCAGAAAAGCCTGAAGATTCTGAAAATATCAAGTTTCACCTTGATAGACCATGTCCATGAAAATCGCAGCAGCGTTTCCGTAGCAGAAAATTCGAATTTCTGAAGGTGACGTCATCGCTCCGACGCCAAAGGCGAGAATATTGGTCAGAGCCGAGATCGTGATGGCCGGTCCGGTCTCGACCAGAACCTAAACTGACCACTTGGCAAATACTTCCGTTAGCTCGAAAAAAAACCTAGCAAAGGTGATTTAAAACCATTGAGTAATTTATTAAAGGTCTACAGCTGGTTCTGAGTGTTACGTGAGGTCAAAAATCGATATATGAAAACAAGATCTATCGATTGGAGCCCAAAATATCAGCAAAAGCTTGGAAATTCAAGCACGGCATTTTTAATGGGGCGAGGGAAGGTGAGCGAGACGTCGAAGTTTCTGAATTTACAAAAAAAAGTAAATGCGCGCTCCGGATAAAATGCACTGAGTATCAAACGTTAATCACTTGATTGTTCGATCGCCTTTGGCTGCGTACTTGATATTCCCGTTTTCGCGCCAAATTTTTTTTTGACGTCTCTTCACCCCTGTTTGGGAATGCCGTGTCAAGAATAGTCGCCCTTTCAACTTTTCAGAACTACCCAACTTTTTCAAGCGATTTCCTCAAATTTCACCCCAAAAGAGGGCTAAAGACAATAACTTACTTTGTATAGGACATTCGAAGTTCAAGGATTCAAAAGACCTTCAGGAAACTTAGCTCTATGGCTAATACATACTTCCAGCCTTGGGAGCTGAAATTACCGTACCCATCACTAAAAATCGAAGGCCTTATAAGAAAGCCAATTGGAGATTTTCAAAGTTCAATCATTCTAAATCTCGCCTTTAACTTGGACTTTAACACCAGAACTATCGACTTTTTTCAGAAAATCATAATTATTCCTTCCGCAGTTCCAACCTCAGCCATATGATTCTGGCGAGTTTTCCTGTCAAGTGGAACTTTTCTCGACGCTTCAAGACGATTCCAGGCGTGAAGCATCAGGAAAGAATCATCGACAGAGATGGCGAGGACCAGAAATGGGGTGATGCACAGGATCGGGCTGAAAGTGACGCCGAGGGCGAAAACAGCTCCTGAAAAGGATGTATCGTGAAGGAAAGTATGCTCTATCGTTAAAACTCTTTTGAGAAGAGGATCGCTTGAAAATTCTGTTTTTTTTCGCTTTTTGTTCAAATCTTGAGAGAAAAGGCTCTTAGAAGCTTTGCAAGCTGTATTCTTAGGAACTCTAGAGTGGTCCCTCTAGGGGCAACCTTAGGGCCTTTGTTGGCTCCCCTTTAGGGAGCATTTTACTTCTCCCTACAGGGACCACTAAACTCTAGAGGTCACGCTTAAATCCGAAAAAAGCCCTGTAGGGACTACTTGAGATCTAGGGGCTCAGGAATAGACTCTAAACCCTTATAAGGACCGCCTAATTTTACCCCTATAGGGGGCACTTTTTTGTTTCATACGAAGGCTTTTGTTCCTCCTAGCCCCTAAAGGGACCACTCTAGCGTTGACACAGTTCAAAAAAAGCTACCGTAATCTACAGAACAAACTTTCAACCTACCAAACGCCGTGCCGCAGGCCATGAACGGATTCAGGCAAGCGATAATGGCTAGGGCGACCTGAAAAGATTGAGTCTTCCATAGTCTAGTGAGATGTATCTTTGGCTATGGATCTGAGGGTTCCGAGTTCGACTCCTAACGACTATTTTTTGGTTATTATTTTCAAATAAATCTTCAAATACGGTTCAAAAATAATCCAAAAACCTGGGTTTTCCTCATAAATTTCAAGCTGTACCAAAAAAAAAATAAGAAAAAAAATTACAAAAATTCAAAATTCATGACGCTATTTTTCGAATAAATCCAAAAAAGCCGCGAAAAACTGATCAAAAGTGCTCCACGGACAAATCAAAAATTTAACTTTTTCTCCGTAAAACATTTCCTATGTTTGTATGAAGCACAAAACAAGAAAACTCCCAGAAAAATAATTTAGCAATAGAGCAACTTTTCCATGACATTTTTAAACCTTGTTCCAAGACGGTTTCTGGGAGTAGAGGAAAACGGCGCTGGCCATCGTCGTGAGGGCGCAGAAAATGGCCATGATCACGAATCCGACGACGAGGAATGGCTGTAGGGACATTCCAGCGCGGACGATTTCTGGAAAACGCGGGCATTTTCCAAAAAAAAAATGTGTATTCTGACCACTTTCAACGACGGTTTGTGACATGACGTCCACAGTGAGGAGCGAAGATTGGTAGCTGTAATTTTTCAATTTTTTTGAAAAACTTTTTTTCATCATTTGTAATCATCTTTAAACTCATAAAAAAACCCTGAAGAACGTAATTTTTTTGTTGAATATTAATATTCGGTTTTCGAAAAACCCGGAATTTCTAAAAGCTCTAAATTTTCCTAAACTTGTAAATTTCAAAAATCAGTAAACTAAAGGACCTAAAATCACCAAAGGTCTTAAATTCATCCTCATCTTCTAAAAACCCTAGAAAGTCCAAAAAGCTGCTGAAAGTCTCGGAAAATTATTTTTACTACAAAAAAAAAATCAGTTTTTTCACAGTTGGGTTCTCCTGAAGCCAGGACCTTCGAAGCCACTGAAAAAAACCTTATTTTTTTCAAAAAAAGCTAGTGATTCTCTGGGAGTCATAGAACTATCTGAAAGTTCATAAATATCTGACTAAGGGACGTTTTTTTCACCCCCCCTTTATTTTTTTAAAATTCGAGTTTCAAGCCTTTCGATTTTGAGGGTTCTCCCCAACTCCCAGGCTCCGTAGAGGGGACTTAAAACTCTTAATAACTTTAATTGAACCTAAAAACTTTCAAAATTAGGAACCCGTTCAAAAGAAAACCTCGCGAAATGGTCCCTGACGTCGAGTTCCCATCCCTTGACCATTTTCGTCGTCCAATCTCGATGTCTTTCCGCTCGGAAGTACAACAGAATCAGGGTCGACGATTTTAAAGTTTTGCCATCTGCTTCCAGTTCAATACCAAAAAAATTCGGCTGAAAATATTCAGAATTCCAATGATAAATTTTTAAGGAAAACCGTACATCGGCTAAATCCCACCCCAGCATTTTGCGCTCCAAAAAATAATTGGGGAATGTACTGTGATAGGACACTCCGGGGTGGGATATAGCCGTCGTATAACGAAAACTCACGATAAGACTAAATTCTCGGCCGAAGAAGCTAGAAGTCGGGTAGGAAAGGTCGATCCTTTGCGAGATACCGTCCGTTTTATTGGCTCCAAGGAGTTGGATGCCGTTCTAAAATAGCGCAGAAATGTCTCGGAACTGGGATTGAAAATATAAAAAAGGAGGGGGGCTCGAAAGTCTCAAAAATCAGTTTAAAAAAAAAATCAATATGATTGGTTTTACTGCACAAACATAAAAAAATATCTGCGAACTTTTTCTTTTCAAAACTATCCCGATCTGAAAACATAGCTGCACAGAAAAGATCTATAATTCCAAAAATTTTATCAAGAAATCGAAAAATTAAGCTTAAAACTTTCTCGAACTCGTATGAAACCCTCGAAAATATTTTAAAAGAAGCTTCCAAAAATTTTTAGTGACCACTGTAGGGTTTTGACGTTTTAGTGGCCTCTATAGTAGTCAAATTAGTGGCCACTTAAGGCGTTAAAAATTAGTGGCCGCTATAGAGATCAATGGATCAACATAACTGGTCCAATCTGTTTGTTTTAATGTTATCAGAGTTACTGGAAGGAATACTGGATGAAAAACTACTGAAGTGGCCACTAAAACGGAACATAGTGGCCACTGTAGAGGTGGGTTTAGTGGCCACTTTAGTGTCCTCTCCAAGTAGTCCTTGGCGAGCCCCTATAGTGGCCAAACATTTTTCTCAGTTCTAGATACAACCTTTCAAATATTAAAAAAAAATCTATATAAACAGATCTAGAAATTGTTTGGAGCATTATTTTACGGATTTTGAACCATATTTGGGACATTTTCGAGGGCTTTTGTTCAGGATTTTGAGCAATGTTCGGAACATCTTTGATGATTTCTTTTTTTTGGATTTCGCGCCATACTTGGGACATTTTTAAGGATTTTCGCCGTATTCATGCACCTCTTTTCCGCAGAAAAACTTCGAAAACTCACTAAAATCTTTCTAAATAAAGAAAACCCACATAATACTGGACGACGGGCTCATTGGCTTGGCAGAATCCGTGGCAAAACTCGTTGAAATTCCTCATCACTCCAGAAGTGTTCAGTTTGAAGTTCGTCGACACAAAATCGGCCAACTGAAGTTCTTGAAAGTGCAATTAAAGATATTTGTCGCTTTCGGAATGACTTTCTTCCAAATTCGCCCGACCAAAAACGACTTTCGCGTGATACCATTTCAAACCGGTAAGACCTTGTTCATTCGGAACCAACTTTGAAAAAATCTCTCTCAATAAAAAAAAATTAGAAACAAAAATACACTAATTGTGATCTACTAGACCACCTAGAAAAGCTACTTTCTATATGCGCCCGACTGAAAACGACTTTCGCATGGCACTATTTCAAAACGGCAAAACTTTGTTCATTGAGAACCGAAGTTGAGCAAATTTAAAATAAGTACAAAACTGAAGACGAAGTATACTAATTACAACCTACTAGACCGCCAAAAAGTCTTCTTTCATAATGCGCCCGACCAAAAACGACTTTCGCGTGATACCATTTCAAAACGGCAAGACCTTGTTCATACAGAACAAACTTCGAAAAATAGATAACGGAAGACAAAAATATATCAATTGCGATCTACTAGACCACCTAGAAAGGCTTCTGCCGATATGCGCCCGACCTGAAATGACTTTCGCATGATCCCACTTCAAACACTTCTAATCTTGTTCTTTCTCAATTCTTTTTGGAAAAACTGACGACAATAGAAAGCTGAGAGCATTATCTTCTTACTGGTACCCAATAAATCACTTAAACTATCTTACTTAAGAACGCGCCCGATCAAAAACGGGTTTCGCACTAAGGAATTTCAAAAACACATAGCTTTACTCATTTTCGACCAATTTCCATAGTTTTTACATAAATTTGAAGCCCAGGACATGATCTTCTGATTCTTACCCAATACGACAAAATTTGAAGTCCAAAAATCGAAAAATTCTTCTCCGCCGCGCCCAGCAAGCCATTCCAAATGCGACCAAAATTATTTTTTTTCTTACCTCAACAGTCTCTTTCAAGTACTTCTCCCTGAGTAACGAGCCGCCATCCGTCGCTTTCACCAATATCCCTAAAGTGATCCCTGGACCGTCCGAGTCGAGGAATTGCTGAAATAAGATCAATATACTTTTTTAAGGTATGAAAAATCACCTGGAAGGTTGAAAATTCTTCTCGAGATCTGGCGTCGTCCATCGCATAGCCATCGATGGCGCTAACCTGCCTAAAGTTTACAAAAATGAAATATTTTTATTTCAACCCCTTAAATTTGAAGTTTTCTCTCTGAAAAAGCTTTTTCTGAAGCTTCTAATGCGCTCTGTTGATAAAAAACCTGTTAGATTCGAAATATCCCATGAAAAAAAAATCATTGAAAAACTGAAGCTACTGTGAAAATTTTCAGGGGTCACTATAGGGTTTTGACGTTTCAGTGGCCACTATAGTAGTCAAATTAGTGGCCACTTAAGGGGTAAAAAATTAGTGGCCACTATAGAGGTTTTAGTGCCACTACTAGACCGCTAAAAATTCTAGTGGCCACTTTAGGGGTCAGTGGATCAACATAACTGGTCCAATCTGTTTGTTTTAAAATTATCACAGTTACTGGAAGGATTACTGGATGAAAAACTACTCAAGTGGCCACTAAAACGGAAAATAGCGGCCACTTTAGTGTCCCCTCCAAGTGATCCTTGGCGAGCCTCTGACCACTAAAATTTTTTCCCGTAAGCTTCAAAATTTGATTATTTTCAATGAAATCAGACTAAAATTGATTGGAAGTGCTCTGTTTTGAAGCAAAAAGTGAAAAATTTTACGAAAAAAGAGGTATTTTCGAGTCAAAAAGATGTTCTAAAAAGGGTTATAAATAAAGAATCAAGAAGAATCTTGAAATTTAACTCTTGAATCTGTATTTTTTTCCCAGGAAAGCACCCTCCCAAAAAAACCTTCTCAACAGAGCAAACTTTCTCTAAAACTCACTCAGTCAAAGCGACTTTTGCCGTGGCCAATGCTGTTAGCAAAACGCAAAAGACTATTGTCGGGATTGGATTTTTGGCGACCGCAATTCCGACCCGATAACAGGCCGTGTTCCATAACCTGAATGATCAAATTACTGGAGAAAAATGAATTTTTTTCGAAGATTCACTTCAAACAGGCACAAAAACCAACTTTTTCTTGTAAAATTTTCTCACCTCGTTATTTTCGATGAAGCGCCCATGGCTCACAGCTTCTCGTGTCGGAATCTTGAAAAAATTAAACTTAAAAAAAGTTCAAAATGCAAAAATGAACGATTAACGCGCCTAAAAGGGAGGCCATTGAACTTGGCGGATTGGAATTTACTATAAATTTTTTCAAACCCTTTTCAGAGGTCTAGATGAAGATCCCACATAGTGGTTACCTGTGGAATCTTCTAAATTTTTAAGATATGATTTTTTTCAAAGTTGCGAAAAAAATAAAATAAGTTTTTAATCCTAAAATTTCAAACTTCAAAAAAACTTAGATCTCAAAAAAACTAGAATTTTTCCGCAGGTATCAACTATGAGAGATCTGCTTCTAGACATTCAGAGACTGACTGAGCAAATTTGTAGGAAAATCCAAGTCGCAAGGAAAAATGACCTCCCTTGTAAGGCATCAAAAAGCTGAGCCATTCCAAATGCGGTCAAAAAAATTTCTAAAAATTTCCGCAAGTAGCAACTATGAAAGATCTTCATCTAGACATTCACAAATTATTTGAAAAAATTTGTAGAAAATTCCAAGTTGCAAGAAAAACGACCTCCCTTGTTAGGCATCAAAAAGTTGAGCCATTCCAAATGCGACCAAAAAAATTTCTAGAAGTTTTTGCAGGTAGAAACTATGAAGGACCTTCATCTAGACATTCAGGAAGTATTTGAGCAAATTTGTAGACAATTTCAAAATGTCAAGTAAAATGACGCCCCTCGTATCAAAAAGTTGAGCCATTCCAAATGCGACCAAAAAAATTTCTAGAAGTTTTTGCAGGTAGAAACTATGAAGGACCTTCATCTAGACATTCAGATATTGTTTGAGCAAATTTGTAGAAAATTCCAAGTCGCAAGAAAAATGACCCCCCTTGTGAGACATCAAAAAGTTGAGCCATTCCAAATGCGACCAAAAAAATTTCTAGAAGTTTTCGCAGGTAGAAACTATAAGGGACCTTCATCTAGACATTCAGATATTGTTTGAGCAAATTTTTAGAAAATTCCAAGTCGCAAGAAAAATGACCCTTCTTGTAAGGCATCAAAAAGTTGAGCCATTCCAAATGCGACCAAAAAATTTCTAGAAGTTTTCGCAGGTAGGAACTATGAGAGATCTTCATCTAGACATTTAGAAAGTATATAAGCAAATTTGTCAAAATTCCAAGTCGCCAAGTAAAATGACCTCCCTTGTATGGCTTCAAAAAGTTGAGCCATTCCAAATGCGACCACAACAATTTCTAGAATTTTCCGCAGGTATCAACTATGAGGGATCTTCATCTAGACATTCAGGAAGTATTTGAGCAAATTTGAAGACAATTTCAAAATGTCAAGTAAAATGACGCCCCTCGTATCAAAAAGTTGAGCCATTCCAAATGCGGTCAAAAAACATTGAAAAAAACCGGAAGAAAGCAAAAATTTGATCGAATTTGTTCGAAAGCCAACAAGTTGAGTGTTCGATTAACGATTCTCCCTCATTGGTGATTATTTTTCTTAATTCGTTTTCAAACTTGATTGGAATTTTAGAGTGGTTTGGCGAATTCGAGTTCTTGTTCTTTGTACTGGGAATGTTCCGAAAAGTTTCTGAGAAGTTATAAAAAGGTTAAAATTTAAAAAACGCTCCAAATGACCCAACTAAACATGAAAAATTGAATTTTAAAGATTTTTCCATATCAATTTCTCGGTTTTTCTAACGGTTTTCCCATAATTTTTCATTTTGGTTCTGATTTTTAATGAGTCAAATAAGCTACAGCTTTATTAAAGTTATTATATTTGGATAATAATTTTTTTCTAACATTAAATTCATAAAAATTCAATTTTTCGAAACAAAAAATCAAGCTGCAGCTTACTGAATACCTTCCAAGGGATGTCATTTCACTTCGCAGTTTGGGATTTCCTTGAAAATTGACCAGAATGCTCCTTGATGTATCAGAAGACGCTTCTGAAAGTCTCAACATGTACAACTTCCTAGTTTTCGAAAAATAGGCGGTCAAAGCCTCAAAATGGCCAATTTTAATGGATTTTCAGTGTTTTCTCCGACTTTAAGGGGCCTTTCTCGAAAACTAGGGAGTTTTGCAGATTGAGACTTTCAGGATCTTCATCTGATACATCAATAAGTGTTCTGGCTGAATTTCAGGGAATTCCAAATTAAAACGACCTCCCCTGTAAGTAAACTTTCTAGAAGATTGTTCAATTTTCAAAAAAAGTCAAGTTGAAAAACCATAAAATCGAGTCGAAATTGGGATAATAGCAGGAAATAAATCAAATCGATGAAAACTGACAGGAAAGATAAGGAAATCCCGACAAAAAACGAGATAAAGCCGCTGGATCTCATAATAGAGATAAATCGGTGGATCCTCCAATCCATGGGTCCATTTTTAGAAAAAATTCCTCAAAAATGTGAAAAAAGCGCTCAAATCTTAAAATTCCTTCAAAATGAACTACGAGACTGAAAAGTTCAACGGGAAGATTGTGATCTTGAAAATTTTAAAGGGCACGAAATGGAGGTTGAACTTTCTGAAGTGGACCACACCATCGGATCTACTCATCAAAGTTCAAAGAATTGCAGAAAAATGGAACTTCAAAATATACCCTTAAATTGGCTGGGAAACTTTTCAACTCGATCAGAAGCTCAGTTTCTTGAATAGAACGATAAAATCAATCTGGATGAACTATAATCGAAGTATTTTTCAAAAAGAAACCCAAAAGAAGAAAAGACTGAAAAAAGCAAGAATTTACCAAAATCTCATAGAAATATTAAAAAATCTCATAGAAATATAATAAAGAGTTCTATAACATCTAGAAGACCTTAAGAAGCTCAAAAAAGTTCATAGTTTGTTCAAAAAATCCTGGAAGTTTAAAGGAGCATTGACTGAACTTTTAGAGGTCCCAGGGGGAAGAGCCCAGTATCATATGCAATACTAGATTTCTAGGTCTCTAGAAACCCGAATTCTGAAAAGTGACAAAATTCAAGAGCTCAAAATGGCTTCAGGAACCTAGACGCCTAGAACAGACTGAAAAAAGCCACTATTTTTGACCTCGACAGGCCGAAAATGGCGGTGGGAGGCGGCAAGGGGGGGGGGACAGGAAATCAGGTTGGTCTGTCTCTCTCGTTCTCGACAGTTGACTCAACTCGAAGAATGTTTTTTACTGACGGCATTTCTTTGACGTCACCGAAATCAACGTCGAATCAATCGATCATTGTTCATTTTGTCAACTTTTTCTACAAATTTGTAAAGTACGACCGTTTGTTTTGTCCTAAGGATCACGTGAGACTGGAATATTTAAGAGCGAAATAACAAAGGTCGACATTCAAAAATTAATATTGGGAGTCATTGATCAAGTTATGAGCAAAAAGGACCTCTGAAACCTCTTCCCGTTGTTTTTTCACATAACTTATCAATGGAGCGCATTAGGCTCGAACAGTGATTTAAAAAAACGTTTGAAATGAGTCCGTGTGAATCCAAACTTTCCACCAGAAAAAGTAAGAAAATAAAAAATAGGGTTTTTTGAGACTGCTCATCAAAAAAGACCACTAAACTGCTCATTCGAAAAATTTCGCCACGGAGCGCATTTCGCTTAAAATAATCGCCTTTTAACTTCAACTCATGTTCTCAGTGCCAAAAATTACCTTACTTCAATCATTTTTTTTTTTTCGAATCTAAAATTCATCAAGTTTAGCATGCTTTGCTGTCGAAAATTCCCCTTACAACTCTCATTTCACTTTTTCAAAATTTAAAAAAACTTGCAGGGTTCAAATTGAATCATTTATTCTTTAATTAGGACCTAGCTTATAGAAATTTCGATCTTCAAAAAAATTGGTGATTAAAAAAATTAGAAAGTACCTTTTTTTCATTAACAGGGACCTCAGTAACGCAAACCGGAAGGGCTCCGAAAAATTCTAGTGACCACTCTAGCGGCGTCAGTACTCTTAAGGGAACCCTAGGATTGCTCAAAAGCGTCTGGTGTCCAAGGATGAACTTTCACTTCGAAAATTAGCGTTAGAGCGCATTTGGACGTAAAAATCGCCACAATCTTCAAAACTTGAGCGAAAAGCTTATCATTTTTCTAATCAAAAGGTACTTTTTGTTCAAAAAAGGGGTTGAAAAAACGTGTTCTTGTTTCAAGAAAATTCCAAACTTTCTGACCTGGTCAATTAGCAGAAACTACCGCTAAAGCGTATGCGAACGAGTTTTTTTGTCCCTTTGTAACACTCAAACACCAACCGTCCGCATTATACCAACAACAACAGAAATTTGTGTTGATTTCAACGATCAGTTGTCATTAATCGGAAGTTGGGAAGATTTTTCTTTTTCTTGGTCTCTTTTTCATTCAATAAATTTTTGAAGTTCACTTTAGAACTTGAAAAATTTTCTAAATGGTCAGAATACTTTTTCATGAGATCTCAGTGTTCCCAAATCCCTAGTTCTTGAGAACGATACCTTCAAAATTAAATAGTACCATCTAAACTCTTCGAATCGTACTATTTTGGAATTTTTAGGCCTTATTTTTCCGAAATTCGTGAGTTTTAAAGTTGTAGACATGCATTTTTTCACTATTGGGTCATTCAGAAGTGTTCCTACTAATTTTCAGAAAATTCCAGGGTTCAAAGTAAATCACCTACTTCCTCAGAACCAGATCTAAACTCAAATAGTTCAAACCCATAAAAGTTAAGTTTTCAATATAAAAAAGAGCCGTGAAATGGGATTCCTGATGGGATTTTCGGCAAGAAAACTGGTCCAAACTAGAAAATTCGACTTTTGAAAAAAAAATTCGAAAAATTAGTAAGTGTTAGAGAACGAGACAATTAAGTAACAGGATGAAAAACGTCTTCTGAAAATTCTTCGACTTTAAAAAATGAAAAAGTTCAATTTAAAAAATGACCATGAGATGGGATTTTTAATAGAGTCTTGAGAAACCGGTTCCATTCAAAAAATTGTTTTTTAAAAATTAGTAAAAAGTAAGAGGAGAAAGTCAATCAACTCAGTAGACTGAAAAAATTCCAAGAGTCTCATTTCTCCTCGGGCAAATTCGGAATGATGGATAGACCGCTAAAAAAAGAGGCTCAAAAAAAGCCGCAGAAAGGCTCCAAAAAGGCAGCAAAAAGGCTTCAAAATGGCTTCAAAAAGACATCAAAAGGTTTCAAAAAAAGCTTCAAAAGGGCAGCAAAAAAGCTTTAAAAGGCGACAAAAAGGCAGCAAAAAGGCTTCAAAAATGCTTCAAAAAGGCTTCAAAAAGGCTTCAAAAATGCTTCAAAAAGGTTTCAAAAAGGCAGCAAAAAGATTCCCTTTATGGACCCTTCTTTTTTTCTAGGATTTTAAAGGGTCAACAAATGGTGAAAAAAAGGGAGAGGCTGCAAAAATGGTGCATAAAAGCCTATGAAATGGCCCAAAAAGGAACATTTTTCCACCCTTTTCGACTTTGCCTGTCGAGAAAACCGCTTCACTTCGTTTTTTTTAGGGAATTAAATATTTCCTCCCAAATTCAGTCCTAATTTCAAACTTCCAAGGTTCAGAACTTCGAAAAAACACACTTTTTGACTATAAACCCAAGAATTCCTTCAGAAACCACCAAATGAATGGAACAAAAAAGTAGATTTTTGATTGATATGAGAAAGTTTCAACGGTCCATTGTTTCCATCATTGAGACGGATCGGACAGCAAAAAATGAAAGTTATTGTTGACTGCTGGGGGCCAAAAAAACACGTTTCGAAGGTTCCAAAAAAGGAAAAAGATTAAGTTTTCTTCTTTTGAAAAGTTTCATTTCATTCTTAAGGTCCTTACTATTCATTGAATAAGTTATATTCACGAAAAAAAGTACATAACTGAAGTTTTTAAGAGGTACTACACGTTTTTATTGAGACAAAAATAAATCAATCACCATTTTTTTAATTATTTGAACTGCTCGGCGTCGCGTTTGGAGATGATCAATAGTCCAATTTTCTAAATTAACATCTTTTTTTCAAGTACCATACGATTTTCTCACCTTTTCTGATCCTCGGCAAGCTCCTGGAACATCCCAGCCTCACCAGAATCCAAAACAAGAAATGAAAATCGGAACTGACGTGAAAAAGATCATTTTAACATTTTTCGTCTAACCTAATGAAGTACTTTTTGGCACCCGACCTCAAATTTAACGCCCTTTTCGATTATTTTTAAGATTTATAACGTTCAAGGAGCAATAAATCAAGTTTAAAACCCGTACGACGATCAAATTGGGTACGAAGTGAACAGAAAAAAGCTCAGTAGAAAAAAATTCAGGAAGGAAAAATAAGAAAATTGTGGAATAAGCGCAAAATTCTACTTTCAACAACATTATCAAACAGTTTTCGGCTGGGAAAGTTCAGAAAAAAAAAATAAATAAAAAGGAGGAAAATTGAGGGGAAATTCGTAGAATCCATAAAATACAACAGAAAACTACAAAAATCCTGTTTAGAAATCTCAAAAATTAAAGTTAGGAAGCTTCTTTTCGGTTGGAGAGGTTCTGAAAGAAACGGAAAACAGAAGAAAAAGTAAAAAAATTCCAGACGTTTCAAAAAAATACATCATAAAACTACGAAAATTCTGTTAAATGGCTTAAGAATTTAAGAGTCCGGGAAGATTTTTCCGCTAAAAATGTTCAGGAAAAACGGAAAACAGAAAGAAATTGAAGGAAAATCCCAGGATTTTCAAAAAATACATTATAAAAGAACAGAAATTTTTTTTTAAAACGTAAAAATTAAAGATCCGAAAGACTTTTCGGGTGGAAAGGACCCAGAAGCTTCTCACAATGTTCCTCACCATTGGAAATTGAGTCCATCTAAAAAAAATAATTGAAAAATGATAGAAAGCCAAAAATTCAATCTTCACCCAAAACTAGTCAAAGGCCAGGTTTTTTTGAGGAAAAAAAACGGACTTCTTTGAAAATTACTATGCAAGAAGCCTTTTTCCAGAAAGGGAACCTGTTTTCGTCCCATTTAATCACTCTTTTTCGGGAATTTCATGGTCTTTTTTCACTTTTGTGAAGTAAGTCCTCAAAGCAAAACCCCAAAGAAACACAAAAAATACATTTTTTTGCTACAGTTATTCGAAATAAACCACCTTTTTCAACAAATCGTAGACGATTTCGTCGCTGACTTCACTGTCGTGCTTATAATTCGGGTGGTCCATCACAAAATCCCGCATCCAATGAGCCAGCGTTGGGATTTCCCCGCTTGCTCGCTTCTAAATTCACGGAAAAAGCTTAAAATATTCATTTATTCGAATATTCTCTGTTCAAAATGGTGCAAATGCATAACCTTTTAAATTACATCGATATGAATTTTTCAGGTTTGGTTTTTTATTTCCAAAGGCTACTGTATGTAAAAGTCCGCATTCCGAGTTGTTCAATTGGCGTGTTTGCACTACTGTTGCGGGATGAAAAAAAAATGAACAGCCTTAGGAATCTTCAAGTGGTCCCTATAGGGGTTAGGGAGAAAAACAGCCCCTCTTAGGGCCGAAAAAGTGATCCCCAAAGTGACCATTTTTGCAAGCTTTAGTGGCCCCTATAGGAAACCTTCCCATGGGCCCTAAGGATGCCCCTATAGGGATCACTCTGGAATTCCTAAGACAGCGCGTGCATCAGTTTAGAGAGCACGGTAAACTTGGAGAGACCAGACTCGTACTCTCCTCAATCTACACACTCTCTGAGGGTCTGCTGTTTTCCGCCCGAGACGTCATGCAACAAAAGTGTATACACACCAAGAGAACAGCTCAGATTGCGGACTTTCACCTACAGTACCCATCGAAAATGAAAAATTCTTTCTTTTCGTAGCACCTCAAGTTGGACATCTAACATTTGATGACCATGATGAAAAATATGTTAAAAATCAAAGTTCAATAATTTTTTCTTTTTGTATCGCCTGTTCATTGAAGTTAAAAAATTGGCAACACAAAAAAAAATGAAAAAAACTAGAAAAGCCGGAAAAATTCCTGTGAGAACATATGACGCTGGCAACAATTTATTCATTATTTTACCGATATCAATTCCAAGTATTGATTGATGGTGGAAAGCGTCTCAACTTCCAAATCCGCCGAATCGAGATATTTTCGAATAAAGCTCATCAAGCCCGGGAAACCGTCTTCCTTTCCTGGAATTTCAATCTCATCAACCTATTTTTCAAGTTTGTAGAGCTATAGGGTCATAAAAAATCCACAAAAATCGGGGGTATGAAAACAAGATTAGCGAAATTTGCGTTGACGAACTTATCGAAGACCGCGAAATCGCGGGCGGTGTATGCCACCGTGTATGCATACTGTTTGCGCAAAAATCAATAAACACCTTTCCGACGGAACCTTTTCCGACTTTTTTTTTGCCTCTTTTTTCAAATTTTTGGATTTCGTCACTCATTTTTTTTGGTTTTTTTCTGTTATTTCATCTTTTCCATCGCATTATGATCCTCTGGTACGCATTGTTCCTAATTTTTCTCGATAACAATATATTTATCCGATAGGAAACGATGTCAATGAAAAAAAAAGATTTGGCAACAACAAATTTATGGACTATGGTGAAAGAAAATGAAATAAAACAAGAAATTGGAAAAATAAGAAATGACACGAGAAGGATGTGAAAGATATAGGAAATTTTGGTGTTGCCCGAAACGAAAACAATAACTTACAGATTTGTAGGAATCAGCGTCACTCAAGTAATCAAGCATGTCATCCAATGTTTCTCTCATAGCTCTTTCTTCTTCACTCATTCTGTAATTGAAACGCAGAAAAAACTGTTATAAACAATGTTCCAACAGCCATCACGACGAAAAATTATTCCGAAAAAAAATTTTTTTACTTCAAACAAAAAAATTGAGGTTTTTTTCCCGATACAAGGATCATAATGCGATGGAAAAGATAAAATAACAGAAAAACAAAAAAATGAGTGACGAAATCCAAAAATTTGAAAAAAAGGCAAAAAAAAAAGTCGGAAAAAGTTCCGTCGGAAAGGTGTTTATTGATTTTTGCGCAAACAGTATGCATACACGGTGGCATACACCGCCCGCAATTTTGCGGTCTTCGATAAGTTCGCCAACGCAAATTTCGCTAATCTTGTTTTCATACCCCCCTAAAATCAACTATTTTTTCTGAATACAAATCCAATCACCATTGACAATCTCATCCACCGTCATCTCCTCTATTTCCGCGTCATTTAAGGGGCCACTTTCAGCTTTACCATTGGTTTCTTCAGACTCCATCACATTCTTTCTAAAGAAAAAACCTTGATATTTTTTTGTAAATTTTAATTTTATTCAACCTAAAGAAGAATTTCTGTGATCTGACGGCGTCTCTAATCTGAGCCCGCTTCATATTTTCCGTTACTTGCGAGATTGGGATCAGATAATTCGTCCGGAAAGCGATGAGAACTCTGTAAAAACCAAAAATAACAACGCATTTTTTTAGAATGGCCCGGTCGCGGTTTTTTTGAATCTCACCCGACAAAAAAGGACTCGCGCGCGGTCTCATCCTTCATCATACAGCTAAGAAAGTCGCTTAAAGTCGGGCGCAACTATTTTGAACTTCAACCGCAACGCTTTGAGCCAAGTCATAAAAATCGAAAAATCGGTTACTCGACCTGGTCAAGAGTACGATGAAGCAACAGTAGGCCGCGTTTTCAAAATCCGTCAATTGAACCTAAAAATTCGACTTTTTTCCTAGACTCCAGTTTATAAAAGGGAGAAAAAAAAGATGGGAAAAAATAGCCGCTCGACTAGGTTGAAGTGCGCTCCACTGACATTATTGAATGCAAACTTTTTTTTTTTTCGAGTTCAAAGCTTCTTTTTTTTTCGTTTCAAGAGTACTCTGAAGTCCGAAAAATGGGTGAAAAGATAAATTTCTTGAAGAATATTTATCACGAGCCCGAAACGGGCACATCTGGGTCTTGCACCCGTTTTCCGCCCGTTTTAGCCCCAGTTATACTAAAGGAGCACCAAAAATCACGGATTTAAGACGGGTAAACCCGCCGAGAAACACGGGTCTAATACGGGTTCGTCCGCTGGAAAACACGGGTCTAATACGGGTACACCCGCCGAGAAACACGGGTCTAATACGGGTGCGCCCGCCGAGAAACACGGGTCTAATACGGGTGCACCCGCCAGCCCAGCATGACAAACTTTTTCGACCTCGGCTATTTTTTCCTTGAATATTTTCAGCCGATTCATGGCTAACTGGCCGTGGCGTGTCTGCGCTCTCCCCAAACCAGGCTCTATCTCTTTTCTGTCAGGATCTTTTTTTTTAATTGGCTCAAGCCAGCCATAAATCAGCTATACCATATCTAGCTCAAAAATACACCTCAGTGGGTCTAAATTCGACTCTCCAGCCGATTTTCGGATCATCAACGGGCGGCGGTTTGAACCTCATGTTCATCCAATTACTCGATTGGATCGTCTCGAAATGTTCCGTGTCGATCGCGTCGTCCTGCTCGATCCGTTCAAAGTAGACCTGAGCCGGGAATTTTTCAAACCCTTAAAAATAATCCAACTTGAAGAGGGTCCCGGATGAACAAATGAGCAATGTGCTTGGCCATCGGCTCATCGATATCGCCCTTGATTAGAGTCTGGTAGAGATTTTCGTCGTATTGAAGGGGGATATCGTTGTAAGCGACGGAGGATGGGTCAATGTAGCAATTCGTGCTGTCGTATCTCTGGAAACCCCGGATTTTTCAGTAGTCATCTTACTTTATCTGCATACATACCACTCCGACTTCTAGACAGGCCACTAATTTTCAGCCCCTCAAGTGGTCCCTAACTGTACTACTATAGTGGCCACCAAAACCACCTCTATAGAAGCCACTAGTGGCCCAGTAGTACCACACGAACTTCTAGACAGGCCACAAATGTTTAGCCCCTCAAGTGGCAACTCATTTGACAACTACAGTGGCCACTAAAACCAACTCTATAGAAGCCACTAGTCCCCCAGTAGTACCACTCCGACTTTTAGACAGGCCACTAATTTTCAGCCCCTCAAGTGGTCCCTAACTGGACTACTATAGTGGCCACTGAAACCACCTCTATAGAAGCCACTTGTTGGCCAGTAGTACCACTCAAACTTCTAGACAGGCCACTAATTTTTTGCCCCTCAAGTGTCCACTAATTTGACTACTATAGTGGTCCCTAGCCGGACTACTATAGTGGCCACTAAAACCACCTCTATAGAAGCCACTAGTGGCCCAGTAGTACCACTCCGACTTCTAGAAAGGCCACTAACTTTAGGCCCTCAAGTGGCCATTAATTTGACTACTATAGTGGTCCCTAACTTGACTACTATAGAGGCCACTAAAACCACCTCTATAGAAGCCGCCAGTGATCATTATAGTACCTTTCAGTGGCCCAGTAGTATCAATCAAACTTCTAGACAGGCCACGAACTTTAGGCCCTCAAGTGGCCACTAATTCGACTACTATAGTGGCCACTAAAACCACCTCTATGGAAGCCACTAGTGGCCCAGTAGTACCACTCCGACTTCTAGAAAGGCCACTAACTTTAGGCCCTCAAGTGGCTACTAAAACGTCAAAACTCTAAAGCGGCCACTAAACTCTAAAGTGGTCAGTAAGTTTGCATGACAAAAATGTTAGAAACGGCCTGATTTCCTAGTTTCCAGCAAAATTGAGGCTCAAATTCTCAAAAACACTCATTCAACACCCTTTTGACAATTAGTTTTCTCTAATTTTCCGTTTTTTTTTCCGGAAATCTGGTATTTACGCAGTTATGTAGAGCCACTGAGTGTTTGGAAAAATTTTCAGGAAATTTTAAAGTGTAACGTAAATCACCTTCCTTTTCAGTGAAAAAATTCCTCTTCCTAGAAAAAGCAACAGCTTTACGAATCAAGGCGAGTAGACTTTGTAAGTCTAAATAGTTTCCTTTTTTCGTCTTAAGACCGAAAAAAAAATAAGAAAAGAACTAAGCCTTGGTCCTCAAAATGTTAAAATTCGAAAGAAGAACTTCCCGAAATTGGAAAAATTTCACAAAAAACCCATTCGCTACGTCTCAAAATTTGATGCGCTTGGGAACGTGAAAAACGGCTAGAGCATTTCTCTGCGTCTCTTCACGTTCTCACGCTCTCTCGCCTTCAAAAAGCGGCCGACTTTTTCTAACTGACTCATCAAACCATAATCTAACTTTCGAGAAAAATTCAGATTTTGAATTTACGAAGGTGGACAAACCAACGTGTTCCCAAACGATGAGAGGAGACGTCAAAAAAAAAATTGGCGCGAAAATTTAAATCTCAAGTACGCAGCCAAGCAAGTTATCAACGTTAGATACTCAGTTTAATTTGTGACGTAGAATGACGTAATTTTATCCGGAGCGCGCACTTTTTTTTTGTAAATTCAGAAACTTTGACGTTTCTCACACCTCATTAGGAATGCCGTGCAAACTGCATCCGACTAAAACCGACTTACGCGTGATTCAGATTTAGACGGAAAAAAAGCGAAATTTTCTAAAAGGCATTGAAAAAGACTGCGAAACTTTGACTATTAGGTGATGAAAAAAATTATAAATTTATTTGAATTAAGGTACAAAAAAATCAGAAAAAAATCAGAAAATGAGCGCGGAAAAACGGAAATAAATTGCCATTTTTTAAAATTCAAAACTTTTTTTCTCCCAAAGTTATCTAATTTTTTTGATCAAAAAAATCGTTGTTTTCCCCCTTTTTTTCTGTACAAACCCATCACTGCCAGGAACGTACAAGGAAAAAAATCCTCACACTTTTCTCGATGACAAAATCCTCGTTTTCCAGCGGTTTCAGGCCCCGTTCCTCTTCGGTTCGATCGTCGCAACTCTGAAAATATAACCTGGTTTAGGATATTTTTCTGATTGTTCCAAATCACCGCACTGGAAATGCCCCATCGAGTGTCGACTTCGGACAATTTTGAGCGGAAAATGGGGGTCGCCGCGGAAAGGGCCAGCAGAACCGGAGTGATCGGAGTGAGTTGGTCGTAGAGCCAACGGGCTTCTCCAACGTTTACCGTTTGGAAAGTTACCTATGAATTTTGGAATAGTAAAATTGAAAGGTGTAACTGACAGATTTAAGTTACATAAAACCTTTTTCCACTCAGGAATACCTGTAGTCCCTATAGGGATCAGGGGGAAAGAGCAGTCTCTATAAGGATTAAAGTGAAAACAACCCCTATAGGAGCCGAAAAAGCAATCGCTTTAGGGTTAAAATCGAGGTGGCCCCTATAGGGTTTTAGGATCCTCCCAGGAAAAATTAGAGTTACTTGCTTAGGAATTTCAGAGTGATCCTTATAGAGGTTAGGGTGAAAAAAAATGCTCCTATATGGTTAAGGTGGTCCCTGTAGGGGTTTAGGATCTGACCCCTAACCTCTTAAAGCTCAAGCGGACCCTATAGGGGTCTTTCAACTCCTATAGGTGTCTTTCAACGGTCCCTGTAGAGGTTTAGAGTCTGACCCCTTAGCCCTTAAAGCTCAAGTGGTCCCTATAGGGGCTCTCAACTTCTAACCTCCCAGGAAAAATTAGGATTACTTACTTAGGGATTCCAGAGTGGTCCCTATAGGGGTTAGGGTGAAAAACAATCCCATATAGATGCCGAAAAAGTGGTCCCTTCAGAGTTAGAATTGAGGTGGTCCCTGTAGGGGCTTAGGGTCTGACCCCATAGCCCCTAAAGCTCAAGTGGTCCCTATAGGGGTTTTTCAACTTCATTTTTCGCATAGAAATGTTTCTTCGCAATGAGTACATATTAATTATCGATTAACATGTCCCCTATAGGGGCCACTTTTGCAAGCCTTAGTGTCCCCTATAGGGGTTGGTAAAGTGGTTTTCAAGGCTGCCCCTCTAGGGACCACTCTGGAGTTCCTAAGAACCTTAGTTGCACTTGAAAGACCCCTTTATCAAAATTTTGAGCCTGAAAATTTAAAAATCAATATCCTATGAACAACTTGGTCGCATTTGGAATGGATTTATTCATTTTTTAAGCCTAAAATTCCTATTTCTCCTTTTAAAAAGGTACCTGCAAACAACAACATCCCATTCCGAAGCCCATATGGTCCAAATAAATATGATCCGGCTTGGCATCCTGGTAATCCTGTGAATCGCCAAACTTTGAAAAGTCTTCCTGAAGAAGAACTTGCATTTTTTTTTGATTTTACAAAGAAAAACGATATTTTTGAATCAATTTTTAATCGGTAAAACGGCTCAAATTAACAATTTTTTTCTCAAATTTAACAAGAAAAATCAACTTTCAAAAATAATTTTTTCATAAAAAAGCGTCTTTTTCGTCAATTTCTTCGTTAAAAAACAAGAAAAAAACTTTTTTTTTCAATTTGAAGCCAAAAAAACCGACTAACAACGTAAGGATCAGGTGTATTGGAATCCTTGAAAATCGGAACATTCATGAAAATTTTGCTCCCGCGACGGTCCACACTATTTTTGAGCAGGTTTTTGAACCTAAAAATTCCAAAATTAGTCAATTCTATGCAAAATTTGGTCGCATTTGGAATGGCTTCCCGCTTAAATCGTTTTTAGCGAAAATAATTATTTTCTATCAACCTAAGATTATTTATAACAAATAAGACATTAAAATAACACTTATCAAGTCTTTCGAGTTCAAAAAAAGCCTTGAGACCCCAAAAAACTGCTTTTTTGAGAACAATAAAAGCTTAAAAATCGTTGTTTTTCAGTGATTTTCAACCCTTTTTTCAAAATTTCTGACTTGAGCCATTCCAAATGCGAACAAAGTTTTTTTCATTACCGTAGATGGCTTGAGCAAATGGCTTCGTCGGGCCAGAAAATACTCCCAAAAGACCTATTTTCTGGGGTAATTTTGGAAGGTGGTGAGGTGAAATCACGGACGCCAAATGATGGGAAGGACATTGAGAGAATCGACTCGTCCTGAAAAAAATGAATATTAAAACTGAAAGTCGAGTGTTAAACTAAAAAGATTTTCACTGAAAATATCATTTTCAAGAATTTTCTCCAAGCATTTTTTTGACTAAAAAAACCTTGAAAATCAATTTTTTGCTGAAAATGAAATATATCAGAAAAAAAAGGCTTTTGTGACAAAATTTCATTTGAATTTCAGTAAAAAAACGGCTCAATTCAATCATCATGCGATATCTTCTCAAAAAAATACACTTTTTTTCTATATTTTTTTATCAAAAAGTAATTCTATGTGCCAAATACACCCAAATAAACTATACTATTATATAAAAGGCTTTTTGGATAAATTTTTTTCTTCAAGTTTCAAAAAGTTCTACTACGATTCACTTCATCGCAAAAGATTCTAGAACATGGATTATTAATAAAAATTCGATTTCGACATCTTTTAAAAATAAATTATTGAGTTTAATAGTGTGATAAAGAACATTGTACTGAGAAAAACTTATTTCAAGTAAAAAACTCGAATTTTCCCAAACCTCTCTCAATAATCGTTGAATGTCCTTCCTACGCAACTTCATATCCTCTTCAACATGGCTGAAACATTCCAAAAGTCCTGAAACAACAAATTTCAGTACACTTCCAATTTTCAGAAAAGAAAACCCCCATAAGGAGAGCCTGGAGTGCCCTCAATCATATAGGCGCCAAATTCAGGAGTCCACAGGAATTTATTCGGTCTCCCAAGCGAATTATTCCTTTCTTCCTCAGATTTCAGTTTTTTCAAAAGTTGTGAAGCACGACAGGATACTCGCACCTTCAGATTATCGTTTCAGGTGTTTCCAATTTTTAAAAACTAACCTTTTTATTTTCGTCATCAAACTTGACGATGGTGTACTCCACCTCATCGCCCCATTTTAATTCTGAACGCTCTCGAAACTTCAACTTGTGATATAAATTGACAAATTGAGCGATCCCGTGCCTCTGAAACAATCCTTCAAGAAAAACCACAATTTCGAAAGATAACCTTGATGTAGTCAATGTACTGAATGGTCTCTTCCCAACTCAAGGGAGTTCCTTCAGCTAACAAGCCCATCTTTAATGAAAATTTATCAAGAAAACCGAAAAATGAAAAGATCAAACGAGGAACTTCGGATCATTTGAAAAAAGAGGAGAAGTGAAAATTTCTGAATGGAAATTCATAGTCATAATTTAGAAAGCGTTGAAGTCAATATAATATTTAAGGAATGTTTGAAAAAGGGCGAGAATACAGAAAAAATCGAAGAAAAACGAAACAATCAAAATTTGAATATTAGTCAATAGCGCCAAATTACGGGTCCGTAGGCGGATCAACGTAACTTCACACTCCCACGCGCAAAACAGGAAAAGTTGCAAAACTTTCTGCAAAAGCGAAAAACAATTTTTTAGCAAACATTTAAACTGAATAGAAGCATTTTTATTCAATTTCAAGAGGCACAAAGTGAAAAATGTCTCAAAGAGCTCAAAAAAAGACCGCGTGGCTTCTTATCAGCGTCTCAAACATCAAAAAAAGAACGGCGCAACTCGGGTTTGTTTTATTTTCTGTTTTGAGTTTGTTGCGCTATGCTTTTTTTTTGTTTACGCACGTGACACGTGCTGTTTACTCTATCCAACAGAGAAAAGTGCAATTTCGTAAAAATGACGTTTCTCCGCTTTCCGCTTTCATCCGTTTCTCTGATTTTTATCAAACAGACTTCAGAGGGAAAAAAAATTTCCATTTCAAGCTCTGAAATTTTTAATCCAAATACACTTGATAAAATCACAATTTAACAATCAATTTCGAACTTTTCTGGAAAAGCTTTATAAATCTGCAGCATAATCCATTATTAAACGATGTGGAACTTGTGAAAAACCAAAAAACCAATAAAAAGCTTAAAATTTTCTATTTTTAATAGCATCACAGCATGAATCACAATGATAAGGCAATAAAAGAAGGCAAAATTTGAATTTAAAAAGGTCTGTTCAAGTTTTCTCTGTAAGGTTATTAAAGGCGCATAGACTCCATTTAATTCGGGTTTCGAAGAAAAAGTCATTTTCAGCGTGCCTTTTGAAAAGCCCTCATCAGGGAAGACAAATTTTAATGTATTGTTCAGAATATTTTCGAAGAAATGCAGAAAATACCCGTTAGAGGAAAGCTGATAAAGATCACTGAAATCTTTTGCGAGTCAGAGATCATTCTGCATTTCTCGGAAATTACTGAACAGGCATGAAAAACCATGAAAATTTTTAATTAGTGTTCAGAACTTTTTTGCAAAAAAAAGTGCGCTCATTTTTTTCTCATGGTTCTATCTGACTTCCAGACCTCTTCTCAAAAACTGGAATTTTCAGGACCCTTATTCGATATAAATTAATATTCTGATAGTTTTCAAAAAAAATTCAAAACGAAAAATGAAAACCCCATCCTCGTAGGTGAGAAAAATTGATCAGACTTTTGAAAAAAGGCGCATTTCGGCTCATTTATTTGGCATGGCTCATGGTGAAGCCGAGCATAGAGAAGATGGTTTCGAAAATTGCTCGTCTGTTTGCCAGAATCTGGAAGGCGAGAAGTCCAGCGACGGCTTGGGAAGTGCGGCTCTGGTGCAAATGAGTGGAGATTCTGCGGATCACCAGAAACGGAGATCAGTGCCGAGATGTTGATCGCCGACGATTCCAGCATTGCTGAACCAATTTATGATTTTTGGTTTCGACTTGAACAAGGAATAAATTCTCCATCTATTGGTACCTAATAGAACTCTATGGGACCCATAAAATCTCAGAAAATTTGAAAACTTTTTGGAGTTACTAGGTTTATTTTCGAACCGCAGTGCAACCGCGACGCACCCGGCCATTCTCAATTCGGAAAAGTGATTCAAAATCCCATTTTGAAGCCAGAAAACTCGGATTTTTCGAAAAACATAGCATATTTTTGAACGATTTTTTTGATTTTCAGTCGAGTTTCAGGCCTATTTTTTTAGCTGAATTTTCTATTCTTTACTGCTCAAAATTAAATATGTTCCGACCCCAACTTGAAGCCGATTTTCGATCAAGTCATTAATGAAATCTCAGTACATTTTGAATCAGTTTGAGAAAATTTGTAGATCCATTTCGCACCTTTTAACTTCATTTTGAACTAAGGCTTGTTAAAAACGAAAAATCGGAGCGAGAGATCAACAGAGTCCTGAAGAGATACCAGAGAAAGAGAGTTTCTCTGTTTCTCTGACCTCTCTTCAAGCCTTTGTTGGTCTCTCGCTCTTCTTATTTTTGTTCTGAATTTTTTAAGTTTCAAAAAGGAATAGTCTGAAAACTCTCTGAAGAGACACAGAGAAAGAGAGTGTCTCTATTTCTCTGACCTCTCTTCAAGTTTTCTTTGATCTCTCGCTTCTGTACGTTTCTATTTCTTTCTTAGTTCTTGGGTTAGAAGTTTTCGAAATTGGCAGAGGGAATAGATCAACGGCACTCTGAAGAGACGCCAGACAGTTAGACTTCCCTCTCATCTCTGTGCTCTCTTGATTTCTCACAACCTAACCCAATGCGTCCTATTTTTTCTGAAGGCCACGAACCCGAATGCTCGAATAAAAGACCCGCCGGGAGGATCGGAACGATGAGAATTTGAACGAGGAAGACCAGGAAACCGAGGCCGAGGCTCCAGAAAACGAACGGGTCTGGGCCGTTTTCCGATTTGAGGACCTTCCAGGCGACTATGGCAGCCAGGACCCAAAGGATTGGCCACAAAACTATAGTAACCGCCATTTTTGAGAGAGTCCTGGAAAAATATAGGTCATATAAAGAAGCATGTCCGCATTTGAAATGGATCAATAGCTGATTCACGGCTGGCTTGAGTCATTGAAAAAAGGGTACTGAGAGATAGTGTCTGGTTTGTGGAGGGCGCAGACAGGCCACGCCCCGTTAGCGGTTTAAGCTAGCCGTGAATCGACTATAACAAGGAAGGTGATTTTTCTTTGCAGTGAAGAATTTTTTTAAAAATCGATTATAGTTTTCCTTGATGATCCATGTGAAAATCATGTATGTCCAAACCGGCATAACCTTCTATTTTTTAAAAACAGGCTTCCGGGTCAAAAAAACCGACAAAATCCATTGTGCCGTGTTCAAAGTAATTTCCGCGAAATGCGAAATGGTCTCTGACCCTCCAAAATTCAGTTATCTTTCTCTTTCTCTGACGGCTATTTTGAATTTCGCGGAATCACTTTGAACACGGCATTGAAATAGGCCGTTTTAACACTTCGAGCCCCTAATTTCTTAAAAAAATTAAAAAACCATGAAGGTTGAAATTTTTCAGGATCTTCACCTGGTGCATCAAAAAATATATTTAGAAAATTCATAATCGCAAAAAAAAACAGCCTTTCTTGTAATCAGTGATTAAATTTCGCGCTATGACTTTGGTGCTCCTATGCGTAAGTCGTTTTAGGTCGGTTGCAACTCTTACATGCCAATTTATTCTTCCTGTTCAACCAAGCGAGTTATAATGTAAAAGTTGCAAAAAGCTCGGTTGAACAAGAAGAACGAATTATCATGTAAAAGTTGCAACCGACCTGAAACGACTTTCGCGCGCTGGTCAATAGAGCAGGTCGCGCAGAGAAAAAAACCAATGTTTTTTTATAAATTTTTTTAAAGGTAAATGACCAGAAATTTATTTTAAAAAGTCATCGTTTTGAATTCAAAAAGGAAGGGAGACAAAAGCCAGATCACATTCTCGGAAGCAAAGAAAAGGAAGAAAATGATGAAAACCGACACGTTTCGTGTCGAAATCGATTTCAACATTTATCGTGGGAAAATTTCGGCTCCCAACAATTGTACGATTAGAATCCGGACAGGAATTGATATTTCTATCCTTGAGAAAAAGATTATTTGATGGGAAGATAAAATTGAAAGAAATTCCCAAGATATTCAGAAAATGAGAAATTTTGGGATAAAATAAGAAAGCCGCAGCTTCGTGGCCAGACAGTGAACAGAATGAAATTTTCTTCAGTCTGTACATTTTTATTTTTTCGCAGAATGACTCAGTAATGCATAATTTCGTTAGGAGAGAGTGAACAATGAGAAGAGAGTCAGAGAAAAAGGCTCCCTGCGTCTCTGCTCTTCAATATTTTTGTATGAAGTTACATTTTTCCGGAAAGTTTCCGTGGGGCACAAAAGATCTGGATTTCAATTCCTGAAATTTTCTAGCGATAGAACATGATTTTTGAAGAGAGGGCTAGAGAGTTAGAGTCTCTGCGTCTCTGCTGCTCTGCTGCTCTCCACGCTCTCTCTCTCGTTTAAGCTACGAGACCCCGTAAAGACTCAAAGTTGCCGATTTTTCATGAGAAATGTTCTAGCGATAGATCGTGTGTACTGAAGAGACGCTAGAGAGTTAGAATCTCCGCGTCTCGGCTGCTCTCCACGCTCTCTCGTTTAAGTCAGACTTCCTAGATTTTAAGGCCTAAAGTTGCCGATTTTTCATGAGAAATGTTGTAGCGATAGATCGTGTTTATGAAGAGAGTGCTAGAGAGTCAGAATCTCTGCGTCTCTTCTGCTCTCCACGCCCTCTCGTTTAAGTTCGTAGATCCCGTAAAGACTAAAAGTTGCCGATTTTTCATGGGGAATATGTTCTAGCGATAGATCGTGTTTATGAAGAGAGTGCTAGAGAGTCAGAATCTCTGCGTCTCTTCTGCTCTCCACGCCCTCTCGTTTAAGTTCGTAGATCCCGTAAAGACTAAAAGTTGCCGATTTTTCATGGGGAATATGTTCTAGCGATAGATCGTGTTTATGAAGAGAGTGCTAGAGAGTCAGAATATCTGCGTCTCTTCTGCTCTCCACGCTCTCTCGTTTAAGTCAGACTTCCTAGATTTTAAGGCCTAAAGTTGCCGATTTTTCATGAGAAATGTTCTAGCGATAGATCGTGTGTACTGAAGAGACGCTAGAGAGTTAGAGTCTCTGCGTCTCCGCTGCTCTCCACGCTCTCTCGTTTAAGTCAGACTTCCTAGATTCTAAGGCTTAAAATTGCCGATTTTTCACGGGGAATATGTTCTAGCGAACATGATTTTTTAAGAGACACTAGAGAGTTTGAATCTCTGCGTCTCTGCTGCACTACAATGCCTGAACTGAGAACTTTCTTGAAAATGTCCATGGAGCGCAAAAGGTGGCGTTTTTATGCCCTAAATTTTCTAGCGATAGAACAAGATTTTTGAAGAGAACCTAGAGAGTTAGAATCTCTGGGTCTCTGCTGCTCTCCACGCTCTCTCGTTTAAATTCAGAATTTTCTAGTAAGTTTCCGTGGAGCCCAAAGGTCTCCGCTTTTAAAATTTTCTAGCGATAGAACATGATTTTTGAAGAGAGCGTCAGAGAAAAAGGGTCTCTGCTGTTCTCCAAGCCCTCTCGTTTAAGCTCCGAGACCCCGTAAAGCCTAAAAGTTGCCGATTATTCATGGGAAATGTTCTAACGATAGATCGTGTTTATGAAGAGAGTGCTAGAGAGTTAGAATATCTGCGTCTCCCCTAAATTACAATATATCGCCTGAACTGAGAACTTTCTTGAAAATGTCCATGGAGCGCATAAGTTGGCAATTTATCCACTCTGACACGGCCCGTCGCCACAACTTTTTCTCTGACACACACTGTTTCGTCGTTATCTAGCTGCGAGAAAGCGACGAAATAGCGTAGGTCAAAGTAAGAGTTGTGGCGGCCTTTATGCGCCCCATGCCAGAGCAGCGATAGAGTGTGAAATTCGAAGAGAGCATTAGACAGTTATAAAATCTAAGTCTCTGCTGCTCCAATGCTCTCTCTAGCGTTGGATAAGTTGGAAAGCTGCCAAACATGTCAACTTGCTGACAAATTCTGTAAAGTTCTGAAATTTTTAACGAGGCATGTGCGTCACATCATTTTTCATACTAACTCGAAGAGCCGGGCGTTTTTGCCCCGCTAGGGCCGTGGAGGGCTTTTGAAATGACCGAGAGGGGGGCTGACAGGCCGGCCCACGCAAAAGCCTATTTTTAGCTTGGAACTACTACAACGAAAAACTTTATTACCGCTCAGCCGTGGCCTCTCTGCGCTCTCCACCAACCAGGCACTATCTCGTGTCAGGACCCACTTTTCGATGGCTTCTGTGAATTTAATCTCACAAGAACAGGCAGAAGCTGTAGAAAACGCCTTCTTCCTCATTTTCCTTGGAAAGAGAGGACTGAAAAAAACTGTTCGATTTATGAATAAATATTGGCATGCTGGAGAAGTCGGTCGATTTGGAAAACTAGGCCACGCCGCAATTTTGCTCCATGGAACACTTGAAATTTCAATCTTTTTTTTTCCTTTTTTTTATATTTTCCTTCCTTTTTATCAGTTTTCTAGGAGACAGGACACATGCTCCTCACTTCAAACTAAACTGTCCCTTATTTATTATTGTTTCCTAGGTAATTTTTTACCTTTTGTTGTTTTTTTTTACCTTTTAATTTTTTTTTTCTTGTTTTTTTGTGTCTATTTCACAGATTATCTCATTTTCAGATCACTTTTCCGCTTATTTGGTTATATGAAGTTATTTTGGATCCAAAAAAATGGATAAGAATTTTCAAAAATTGAATCATTTCATAATTTCGAATGTGGTATCCATCGTATTTTGCTCGCGAGAACGATAAAATTGAATGAACCGAAAACCTTCTTAGTAAAATTAAAGAAGGGAAGAAAAATTAAGAAAAGAAAAAACAGTTTGAAATGCTAAGTGTTCCATGGAGCAAAATTGCAACGTGGCCTAGTTTTCCAAACTGACCGACCGACTTTTCCAGCATGCCATAGATATTCGATTCCGAGTAATTCTTGTTTCAACCAAAGTCTTTTGGGTTCAAAATAGATATTTCAAAATGGAAAACTTCAACAATATGTGAAAAAAGTTTTGAAATGCAGGTTAACATTTTATTCTCACAAATTGAAAATTCAAAAAAGGCACAAGTTCGAACAAATTCAAAAAAAAAGGCACAAGAATTATCCAAACAAGGCAATTTCAATCACAAGTTTACTGATTAGTCATGTTAAGAGAAAGAATGGGAACATTTGGAAGAATGGGTTAGAATTGATTAGAAGTGAGACGAAAATGTACTGCATTTTTGCTGAACATGAAAGTTTGGCTTGAAAAACGCTTTCAAGCGAAAAGTTCATCGAGACCCAGGTACAGAACGAGGTTGTAGAAGAGGAACAAGAAGGAGGTCGCGATTTGGAGCAGGTTGCTCTCGAAGAAGGTCGGCTCGCGGTTTCTCATTTCCTCCTGCTCTTCGGGGGTCGCTTGGAAGGATCCCAACTGTTCTCCAATCCCGGTGAAAAAGAACACAAAGGTAAAGATGAAGATGCAGAACGACGGCTGGAGGTGAAGAGTATCTCCGTAGGCGATTTCCAGCATGCTTCTGATGAAGATGGTCAGCAGCACCACCAGAAGAATGCGACTTGGTCGAAGCTGGTATTTCCACGAAGGGACCTGGCGCTTCGTGGCAAGCGGATTTCCACCTGGAAACAAGAAATTCCTTTGATTTCTTCGTTTAGTCTATTCATGATAGCTGGAGGGGGGCCGAAATAAATCGGAATGAGACCAAGTTTACTAGAAGCAGTTTTTCACGCTGATTCCAAATCTGTTCTTAAAAACTGCCGAAAATATCTGTGAACAAAGTTATGGACCCTCAAAAGTCGAAAATTTCAGTGATTCCGATTGAGCTCATTTTTTGAGCATATATGGGTCTCGTTCTTCTGTTAACATGAAAAAAATAAATTTTCTCCAAAAAATTTTTCAAGACTAGGCGTGCTCCACCAAACGTAAGGGAATGCGAGCAATTGGAGACACTTAAACTTTGAAGGTCCATAACTTTTTTCACAGATCTGCTGGGAATTTTTTGAAACCAGATTTAGGATCTGCGTGAAAAAATACATCTAGAGAACTTGGTCTTATTCAGGGCTCCCACTGCGAACCGAGGCCAAATTTGAAAATTTAAAAGTCAGTAATTTGGACTTTTTGGCCCTTTTAAGCTTACTCGGATGCGAGTCAAAAAATCACAAATTTTAAAAATCTCATCGGAAAACTTGAATTTTGGAATTTTCGGTTAGTTGGTCTATTCATTAGCTACCAAGGTTGCATGACAAAAAAACCGTCTAAAAAATGTTTCAAAATTTTTTTTGAGTTCAACTTTCGTATTTGATAAAATTCAAAAAATAAAATCTCACCGCCATTGGCCGGAACGGCAATGAACGCGGCATCAGGTGCTATTTTCGACATCACTCCTGGAAACCACCTGAAAAAAGAGATTAACACGATTCTATAACAACATTACAGAAGATATATGACTGGAAAATTCAACAGTAAAAAAAAAATGAATAGCGTTTCGGTTAAACACTTTACTTGCAATAGTTCAAAAAGAAAAGAAACATTTTCATGAGTCACGAGATAAAAAAATGGTAGGATTCTTATATAATGATTGAAAAGAAACACAAAAAGTTCATTAATAAATATCCAAAAGCTCTAAAATGGAAAGAATATAGTTTGTCTGAAAATCCTGGTCGGGGAGTTTAAAGCAGCATTTACTCATCTAAAATGATCCTGAAGAGTCCTTGCGCCTTTAAAGGAACATGGACTCATCTAAAAAGGTCTCGAAGAGTCCTTGCGCCTTTAAAGGAACATGGACTCATTTAAAAAGGTCTTGAAGAGTCTTTGTGCCTTTAAAGTAGCATGGACTGATCTAAAAAGGTCTTGAAGAGTCTTTGTGCCTTTAAAGTAGCATGGACTGATCTAAAAAGGTCTTGAAGGGTCCTTGCACCTTTAAAGGAGCATGGACTCATCTAAAAAGGTCTTGAAGAGTCCTTGCGCCTTTAAAGGAGCATGGACTCATCTAAAAAGGTCCTGAAGAGTCCTTGGGCCTTTAAAGGAGCATGGACTTGTCTAAAAAGGTCTTGAAGAGTCCCTGCGCCTTTAAAGGAGCATGGACTCATTTAAAAAGGTCTTGAAGAGTCTTTGTGCCTTTAAAGTAGCATGGACTGATCTAAAAAGGTCTTGAAGGGTCCTTGCACCTTTAAAGGAGCATGGACTCATCTAAAAATGCCTTGAAGGCGCTTTTAAACCGCCCGACAAGGGTTTTCGCACAAACTGAACCGGGAAGCATGAAAAAACGAATACAGATAATACAATGAGAGCTTCAAAAAGAGAATGGGAAAAAAAATGTCCGGTTGAAAATTTGATGAAACTTCGCCGAGAAGCACTTTGAGACACACTGATTTCGAAAAAAGTCGCGGAAAACTTTTATCTTTTAGCGTATTTTAGAACTTCATTAATCTATCTGGAAAAGGGGTCATTGAAACCATCATAGAAAAAAAAAGCCGACTTATTCAGAATTTCTAAAGTATCTCTGAAAATGATCAAATAACTTATTTCTATCATTTTTGGAACCTTTTCAGCTCCTCAAAGGGAGTTTCTAGCTTGGAACGTAAGAAAATCAAAGTTTCATCAAATAATCAACCGGACCCTTTCCCCTCTCGAAAATTCTCAGTGACGGCTCTAATGGCGACGGTTACGAAGCATGCGAGCGACGATGAAAATCTGAGAAGTTATGTACAAAGGAATGACGGAGGACGCAATCATATCCTTGAAATTGCCATCGACGGCTTCACGATCTTGTTCGCCGACGGACAAGGCGATCAGAGCGCCAACAAGGAGGCAGAGCACACAAATCACTGGTCGATGTCTTTCGTAGAAGGTTGGCTCGTTTAGAAGACGCTCTGAAACCGATTGGGTCTTTCTCAGGAAAAATTTTGAGGTCTCAGAAATACTACGACCTTCTATGATCCTAACGGTACCACTATTATGAAAAATCTTCTTCCGAAAAAATCGAAAAGTCATGAAAAAAAAAATTCCTCAGAACCTAGATTTTTTCTGATTTGAACAGTACCAAACCTGAAGAGAATTTCAAAATTTGTTAAAAACTCTAGAGTGGTCCCTATAGGGGCCCTTGGAAGGTTTCCTTCAGGGATTAGTTTACCAACCCCTATATGGGCCACTAAAGCTTGCAAAAGTGGTCCCTATAGGGAAAATTTTAGCGGATAACTTTCATGAACTTCATGCGAAGAAGCGTTTCCATGCAAAAAACCACAAAAAAGGACCTTTTTCGAATAAAATTGAACGACCCCTCTAGGGACCACTCAAGCTTCAGTTGCTAAGGGGTACGACCCTATAGGAACCATTTTTTCGACACCTATAGTGACTATTTGTCTCCCTCACCCCTATAGGGATCCCTCTAAAGCATAAAAATGGAATTTCGCTATGGAGCGCACATTTAGCAGGTCGTTTTTCGAAGAAAAGAAAATGATAGCGATAGAGAGAAAGAGAGACAGCAAAGAGTTAGAGAAAAGGCGCTTACCTGGGGCCAGGTTAATAGTACGGTAGAATAATAAGATTTCAAAAAGTCGTGCCATATTAAAGGAGCATCCGATTCGACCAAAAAATGGTCCCGAGGCGATAATTGAGGTACTTTTTGTTGAAGTAATAGTATGATTGATTTTTGAGATGAGCTCAATATAATATAAAAGAGAGTACGGTAGAGTAATATATATCTTCAAAATGTGAAAAAAAGACGGGCCATATTAAAGGAGCATCCGCTTCGACCAAAAAAATGGTCCCGAGGCGGATAACGAGGTAGTTTTTGTTGAGGTATGAAGCCTGATTTTTGATATCAATATAAGGTCCTCGCAAAGCGATTCAGCATCGAGGTAATAATAGCAATATTCATAGCCTCACGAACTGTTGGCTGTATGGGAATGGCTGAAAAATAATCTCGGCTATAAAATTTATTCTTAATCATCCCCAAGTGTACCATTCTCACTATGAAATGAAAGCAAAACATCTTCAGGATTTTTTTTTTGTAATCATCACCTAGATCACTAATCTCAGAAAGTCAGACAAAAAAAAAACTGACGAGCACGAAGGTTGGGCTCGCTGTAGCGACGACGAAGACGTGGCTGCCCAGGTGGAGCAACTCTTTGAACGCCTTGAGCTTGCTGTTCAGCACCGTCGGGGCGACGCTCACGGTAGGCGTTGAGGTGGACCAGACGGACGCCTGGGGCGTTCTCGACGACATGTTCATTGATGTCGAAGTCGAACACTCTCATGTTCGGATCGTTGCGGACTGCAAACTCTTATTTGAAATGTTCTGGTCGCACTTGGAATGGCTTTTTCTTTTAAAATAGAAAGTTGCAAAAGAGAGGGAGTCGCATAGAAGGGAGACTGTTACTGTAGAATGAAATATAGTTTCTTTTTCTTTTTTTCAGAATACTGGAATCTATTATAAAGCTATTGGAGTGCCCAGAGCCAACTTTTCTACTGCACCCGACTAAAAACAACTTGAGCGCTGCGGTATCCCCTAACAGAAACCGCAGCGCAACCGCGTCGCTTCGATCCATTCCATTCCAATCACATTAAACCTCACCATCGATCAGTTCCTCAATGAATGGCGCAGGAGGACACATTGTACGTTTTTCGAGAGCCTAAACATCTTTTGAGGAAAAAACGGAATGAAACTGTCCGAGAAGGATTGTTTTCCCACGTGACGAAGAGGCGTGGGAACTTTTTAATTTGATCATCTTGCATGGTTTTCGAAAAAAAAAAAAGTGTTTTTTTGGAAGATTTAGTGGAAGGGAAAGCTTTGGAAAGCTTGAATACTTGTAAATCGTCAAAAAAGGCCTGGAAATTATCAGAATATCTCGTTTTCAACGGAGAGTTTTTGAAGAAAATTCGGAAAAAGCTGGAAATTTCACGAGAAACGTAATTTTTGAAGCTTTTTGGTTGATTTTTGGAGGAAATCTAGAAAAAGCTGGAAATTTTACCAGGAGAGTTTCTAAGATGAAAATCGTCGATATGGTCCAAATTTCTGAGGCAGGTAGTCCTGGCTATGAAAATCCTGTCGTACAGGAAATTCTCAAAAACTGTTTTCAACCAATTTTTGGAAATTTTGTAAAACATTTTTTTGTGAAGCTAATGAGAGGATCTTCAGAAGAATTTTTTTCGGTTTTTAAAAAGTCTGAAAAAAAGGTTTCAAGAATTTCCGGGACCCTATGGCTTTTTAAAAAAATTAATTTTTTTCCTTTACATACTCAGGATTTCTTACCACAGAAGTTGGAACGTTCACCTCGATTCCTAGTCCTTCAAAGAGTGTTTGATCGAAGAAAAATCCAGTAGGAACGGTAAAATAGTGCCCCACTTCCACAGTCAGAAGGAAAATCTTGAATATTTCGAAGAAACTAATTTTGGAAGCTTCAGAATCACTGAAGAACTTTAGAAAAGGACCGACTGGTGTTGTTTTTCAAGAGCGAGAACGTTCACATGAAGCTGGGGAACTACAGAGAGAGCTTTGAAAGCTTCAAAGTCTTACTCAGAAAGCCTAGAGGGTTTCGAAATACTTCAAAGTAGGGAAACTGTTTAAAAAAGGAGCGAGCCAAGGCCCGACCGGCTCCGAGGAAGACAGAAGGCGAGAATGAGGCGTACCAAAACGCTGGCGACAGGAGGCGGGCCTTTTTTTTTTTCGAATTATGCCGCCGTGACTAAGAATCCCATTAGTATCGCACTCGGAGACATTTGCCGAAAATAGTTTTGAACGGAAAAAATCAGAAAGATACGTAAACAATACGCTTCAAGGTTTTTTTTTCTTGATCTTGAAGTGAAAAACATATTATTGAGAATGGTTTCTTGAGCTATGACTCATGGATAAACTGATTAAAACTGTTTGGACAAATCTGTATTCATGTCAACATGTTCTGTTGGACATTCCTACCGTTGGAAAAATATGATTTCGTGCAAAATTTAAAGCTTCAATCTACTGAAATCTCAAAAAAGCGATTTCAACTCAAGTTACGAGATTTTTTTTTTCGTATATATATAGGAAATTTGAAAAAATCAGAACCGTATTTCCCATGGAGCACATTTGCTCGGTTTCTCCCAGCTATTTTTTCTTGGTAGTAAACTTCTAAAAGCTTGAGAATTAGGCTCGAATAACGGTATATTACTTAGAGATTCCAGAGTGATCCCTATAGGGGTCAGAGTGGAAAACAGCGCATATAGAGACCGAAAAACTGCTCCCTATAGGGGTAAAATTAAAGTGGCCTCTATAGGGGTTTAGAATGTGACACCTCAACCCCTAAAGTTCAAGTGGTCCCTATAGGGGTCTTTCATTTTTATTTTAAAAAAACGCTTTTTCGTTCAGTTTCGCCATGGACGTACTTCTTGGCTTAGAGTTCATAAAAAATATCGAATAGGATGTCCCCTATAGGGGCCACTAACTAAAAACTCTTTAGCAAGCTTTAGAGACCTCTAGGTCACTAAAGGGACTACTCTGGAGTTGTACGTCAGGCTTTTTTTAAAGTTTCTGGGTTATTTTTTAGGGGCCACTATAGTAGTCAAATTAGTGGCCACTTAAGGGGATAAAAATTAGCGGCCACTATAGAGGTCTAAGTTCTACTACTAGACCTTTTAGTGGCCATTTTAGGGGTCACTGGATCAGTATAACTGTTCCAATCTGTTTGTTTTAAAATTATCAGAGTTACAGGAAGGAATACTGGATGAACCTACTGAAGTGGCCACTAAAACGGAAAATAGTGGCCACTATAGTAGTCCTTGGCGAGCCTCTATAGTGGCCACTAAAAATTTTCCCAGTAATATATTTGATTTTTCCTTCAGTCATCTCAAAATTCGGCTTGAAATTTTGAATTCAGACGATCACGAGTTCTCGAAAAAAGTTTTCTACGTAAGCTTGAAAAATAACAATCGTGTCAAAACTGCGTCAGAACTATTTATAAATGAGCTTCCCAGCATCGTTACGCGCAATTTTATTTTTAATGAGACGCGGCTTGAAACAAGAGAGGAGTGCGCGGATCTAGAGAAAGAGAGGAAAATGAACAGTCTACTGCCTCCCGCAATTCTCCCGAACGGGAAGGGGGGACGGAGATGCTCTTTTCTGAAGGAATTCGTTTGAATCCGCCACGGGGCGGCATGATCAATCGATGCGCCGCTTCGAAGGAGGAGAAAAAAGGATTTTGTTTACGAGTTGCGCAATAATGGAATGGTCCGATGGGAACGAGGGTTATTTCTTCTTTTTTCCTTTGAAGAAAATTGAGACTTGGGAATTTCGATCAAGTGGCCAACAAGGCTCAAAATCGCCTACAAGAGCGCTCCAAGGCTAAAACTTGAAATTTTAAATTTTCCTCGAAGAATTATCTTCAAAAAAGATTAGAGAGAAGAGGCTCAAAATTGCTTACAAGAGCGCTCCATGGCTAAAAACTTGAAATTTTAAAATTTCTTCAAATAATTTTCTTCAAAAAGCATTAGAAAGATGAGGCTCAAAAATTGCCTACAAGAGCGCTCCATCGCTAAAAAAACTTGAAATTTTAAATTTTTCTTGGAATAATTTCCTTCAAAAAGCATTAGAAAGACAAGGCTTAATATCACCTACAAGAGCGCTCCATGGCTAAAAAAAATTTCGAAGTATAATTTTTTTCTTTAATAAAAAGGGAATGACGTTAGATATGCTCTAAGGATGACGTTGATAACTTATTCCAAACCTCTGAATTATCAACAAAAAAATGCTGTTAATCTTTTTGGAACCTGAAGCGATTCATAAACGGGCTCCAAGGATGAAAGTTCAGCCCGCAAAATGAAAATTTCTTGTTTCTTGTAAGACTTTCCTCCATGTAAAAAGTTTCTTACTTGATTTTTAATTAAAACTATGCCAATGTTTCTTGATAAATTTGTGTCAGATATCGATAAAAAGACAAAAGGGAAAAAATGGTACCCCAAAGACCAAAGAGAAAAAATAGCCGTTGCAATCAGGGAACTTGTGCTCCGTTGCTAATCTCCTGGAAAAAATTATTCTAAACTTTCCCACAGCTTATTTGAACGGTTATTTCCATGGCGAAAAAAAAGAAAATAAAATAAAAATAGAAGCATCATTCGAAAATTCCAGAAATTCTTTTAGCCTTGGAGCGCACATTCTCCCCTTTTATTTCCGGCTATTTTCCCAAACTAATTTCTACAGGCATACTTCCTACAAAACTTTCAAGCTTATCGTAATTTGTCGTTAGTTGGAAGAGAGAGAGGGGAAAGAATTGCAAGCGCGGAGAGAGTGCAGACAGCTAGAAAGTGGCTCGGGCGGCTCAAAACATGAGTCTATAGTGAGCCATTTTCGGGCGTATACTATACTCCACTTGTCAGGGATTCGAAAGATTCGCATTTGGAATGGCTGGTGTGAATCGCAGCCGCAACCGCGACGCGCCGAGCCATTCCAAATGCGGCCAAGGCTCACCAGAAATGGCTAAATTGGTCGGTTCTGGACGGACGACAGCTCACACCATGAGGCCTGTAGGCCACACACCGACTGTGGTATCCGTAAAAACTCTCTTCGAAAAATTCCAAAGCCGTGGTCGCATTTGGAATGGCTTACGAAGCTGCGAAGCCACTCCTAAGTAAAACTCACGTCTTTGGGGCATCCTCAAGTGGAGTTCGACTTTGGATAGACGAGAACTGTTTAAATATTATCACAATCGCATTTGGAATGGCTCTTCATGTTCTGTATCAATTTAAAGTTAAAATTTAGCAATCGATAGGTCTAATAGATGCTGTTTGCCAAAAAGATAAGTATGAAAATAAATTAACTTATTCAAAACACCCTGGTTCATCATTACACGATAGGCCATTCTAAATGCGACCACCTTGTATGAAGAAAATCAACTATATTTTCAGGAGAATGGGAATTGTGAAATCGAAACGATTTTTTTTAAATCGATTTTTCTCGTTGCTATTAGGAGGGGGACTTCCTGATGGTTCCAAAAGTTTACTGAAAAAAATTAAAAAGGTACAAAATCAAGCATTTTCTACTTGAAAAACCTTGAAGACTAAAAATAACCAGAAGAAGCTACAGGAAGTGAGAGAAAACCCAGAAAGAAGAGATCTTTTGAAAATCAAAAAAAAAAACCCGGTTTTGAATTTCAAAGTCACTGAGCAGACGTGGAAAGGTTCAGAAGAAGCCCAGAAGTTCAAAAAAAAGTCAAGAAAGTCTAAGACAGCCTTCAAATCGTCCGAAACAGGAATCTGACTCTCAGAAGTCTGTCTTTTAATACTCCACGGTTTTGGAAAAATGCCTCGAAGGATCCTATCAAAATCACTTCCGAGAAACTTTAATGAAGAAAAATTCTGAAAGAGTGTGTCAAAAAAAACTTTCTGCACTCTAATTTTTGACTTTTTTTTTTACATATTCTTTAGAGCTGTGTGAGAAATTATTGTTTCCAGCGCCAGAAATCCTTTTTTTTTGTCTCCCCAACATCATACGATTCGACTCTCAAGGTATCTGTTTCAATAGTTGGGTTTAAAAAACAGTTTGAACTTCATAAGGCCCATTATTTGCACAAAGCGTGCTCCATGGATAAAAATTCGAATTTCTTTTCTGTAGAAGTTTCTTCAAGCTGAATCGCGAAGTTTTTTAAAACATGAAGGCTTGGAATTGATTATAAAAAAAATTTTGCCTAAAAATCTTTTTTTGGATCCTCCAATGGCCTCAAAGGCATACCAAAGTTGTATTAATAAAGCTCATTTTTTTTCCAATATATAAAGATGTAAATTCCCCTTGACACTTACACTTACTTTTCTTAGAAAGCATCCCAAATGATCTCACAGATCAACCGTTGGAAGTCGTACTTTTATTTATCTTTCGCTCCGCCGCTTCCAAAACTGGAGCTGATATATCACCACTTTGATTACGATTGCACTCACGAGATGGGAAATTCTAAAAACTGTACTCATCGGCAGATATCAGGGGCCTCATTAGGAGATTTTGGAAATGCGTCATCGCAAAAGAAGCTGAAAAAAAAGGGCTTGAAGCGACGTGAAACTTCCTCATTTTCGAATGGAATGAGCGCCAGCGCCATGTACCGGCTCCACGAGGCGGACCACGTCGCCATCGTCCACAGTCCCGACGCTACCGTAACCACAACCTCGTGGATGTTGGTTCAACTTTTCGAAACCACTTTGTGAAAACCTGTTATCTCGTGATTTTTTTTTTTTTGATGGCTGCAAAACAAGCGGAAAAAAGCTTACAACACCACTCTACCAGATTCCCATTAAAAGCAGTTTTAATGAACTAGTCACAAGCGCAAAAACAAGTTCTTATGTATCGATGTCAGAACAGTGATCATTAATGAGATTTTTTATTCAGGTGATGAAAGCATAAAAGTTCCTTTTCACAAAACTTTGATGGTATGACAAAATCTCAAGTCAGCAAATCTTAAGGACCGTATGTGTACGCAGATCTCGAGGCCCATTTCCCCCATTTGGCCTTGAGATCTGCGTACACAAGATTACGGCCCTAAGACCAAAATCTTGGAAACAACCATCTTGGAAAGTTAAAACCATCGCTTTTGCGAAAAGTTTATCAGAAATTGTTTCAGTGATAGGGTTTTGACGTTTTAGTGGCCACTATAGTAGTCAAATTAGTGGCCACTTAAGGAGTTAAAAATGGCCACTATAGAGGTCTAAGTGCCACTACTGACCACTAAAAATTTTAGTGGCCAATTTAGGGGTCAATGGATTAACATAACTGGTCCAATCTGTTTTTTTCAGAAGTATCAGAGTTACTGGAAGGAATACTGGATGAAAAACTACTGAAGTGGCCACTAAAACGGAAAATAGTGGCCACTATTGAGTTGGATTTAGTGGCCACTTTAGTGTCCTCTCCAAGTAGTCCTTGGCGAGCTTCTATAGTGGCCACTAAAAATTTTCCCAGTAAGCAGAAAAAGTGCAATAACTAAGAAGGAAATGAGAGATTTTTGCTTGCCAAGATTGAGGTTTCCAAGATTTTGGTTTCGAGGATAATGGGCCTTGAGATCGGCGTACACAAGATTACGGTTCTCAAGATTTTCGGACTAATTTTTTGTCGTATCATCGAAATTTTATGAGAGGTTTAGGTCCACTGACAAGGAATGTAATTTCACTTCATGGTTGAGAGTTTCCTAAAAGTCAGAAGACTATTTTATGTTCCAGATGAAGATTCTGAAAGTGTGGGCAACTTTCCAGTTTTCGAGAGAAGACACTTCAAAGTTGGTGAAAATCATCAAAACCTAAAAAAGCCCATTTTCCGAGTTTGAGACCCTATTTCTCAAAAATTAGGATGTTAGGCAGGTTGAGGCTTTCAGGACCTTCATCTAGTACGTCAAAAAATATTCTGGCTCCGGAAATTCCCAGCCAAATTTTGAAATGACCCTCCTTGTATTATTTGAAGTTCTAGCCAGTTGTGAGTAAAGTAAAAACTATGAAAAATAAATCAATAAATTATTTTGGAGGAACCTGTTTTCAGACCTATTTAGCCATACACAACTCCAGCATGCTGAGAAAATTTTAAGTGGCCACTATAGAGGCTCGCCAAGGACTACTTGGAGAGGGCACTGAAGTGGCCACTCGACCCACCTCTATAGTGGCCACTATTTTCCTTTTTAGTGGCCACTATAGATGTTCTCCATTTAGTAACCACTTCAGTAGTTTTCCATCTAGTATTCCTTCTAGTAACTCTGATAGTTTTATACATACAGACTGGACCAGCTATGTTGATCCATTGACCCCTAAAGTGGCCACTAAAATTTTTAGTGGTCCGGTAGTAGCACTTAGATCTCTATAGTGGCCACTAGTTTCAACCTCTAAAGTGGCCACTAATTTGACTACTATAGTGGCCACTGAAACGTCAAAAATCTATAGAGACCACTAAACATTTTTCCAGTAATGCAATTTTTCACATACGATTTTAAGCTCAAAGGTTCTTTTATTGACAGAAAAATACTTTCCGTTAAAATTCAACTGTTTTCAATCGGAAGCTTAGCCCTGTACAACACCTTCAATTAAAAAACCTTTAAAAAAAATTCAGTTCCGAGCCGCAAAAAAAATAAATGATCCGTCCGGGGAACCGATCCCAAGAACTTTTGCGCCTCATCTAGCCACCCTCCCACTAAGCTATCCAACCATCTTCGTTTGCAGAAGTCTACTCGGCCTAACACCTTCGTCACGCCGCGGCGCACGTCGTCTGTCAAAATTCCTTGCCGGCATGGTGCTCTTGGCGTTATTACTGGCTCAAAACTTCGTCGCCGCTGCCATTTTTTGGGTTTGGCGCTTTTTTTTTTGAGCCAAGTGCGCCCTACGGACAACTTGAAGAGTTTGAGAACGCTTCAAGCCTTCTTAGGTCTCGAAAAGGAACACGACTAATTTATTTTCTGTCCCTAGAGCGCACTTCTACCACCATCTGAATATTTCCTTCACCAAATTTTTTAAAACTCATTTTTTTCAGTTAGCTGAAGCAAACTCGATACCCAAAGATACTTTCTCTCATCAAGATTGCCTGAAATTGGCGCATGACCAAATCAAATTGGATCCTCGAGTGTCGAACAAATTTGAGGCGGATAACTTGATCAACAGGACCTTATCTCTTGTCGATAAATGTTTGAAAGAGTGGGTTTTATTTATTTTTTTTCCTCAAGACACTAGGATTTGAACGGTGTATAATATACTAAAAGGGAGAGATCACAGTGATTTGAGAGAATTCAGAGAAACGAAGTCTCTTTAAAAGGCCATTTTTTGAAAAACTGTTCCATAATCATACTCTTTCCAAGCTTTTCAAGCCAAAATCCCAGTCAACTTCTCAAAACTCCTCATCATTACTCATATTACAGAAGTACACGAATTGATTCCCTGCCCAAAGGCTTTATGTTCGCCTGGTCGGTTTACACTACGATCGGCTACGGTAATTTTGTAAGTTTTTTTTTCTGATGACGTCACCAATCTACCGTACTCCTCATACAGTATCCTCATTCTATGGTCGGCCAACTTCTCGCCACCATCTACGCCTTGCTAACCATTCCATTATATGTCGCCGTTAAGGTTCTTTTTTTTTCTTCTCTCGAGCCATTCCAAATGCGGCACCCCTTGGATTTTCAGGCAGAGTTGGGTTATTTCTTATCAATTTCCACACTTCATTTGGCCAATGGAATCAAGTTAATTTGTCAATTTATACGAAAAAGGTGGGGCATTTGATTTTCCGGAGTACAATCAAAGTTTCAGGATGCGAAAGAAATCGTCGTTTACGGTAACGCGGTACAGTAACCCGAAGGCTCGAGACTATGCGATTTTTGTGACTTGCTGCGTCGTCTGCAGCATTATGGTCATCATTTTCACCGTTGTTTTTTCGGTGGGTTACTGTAGAAAATGGTTTTCATACATCGGGTGGATCCCACCTCAGATTCTTGAGTGCGAACAAAATAGGGGGGGGGGACGCAATTTGAGGGGGGTACACCGCAATCCCGGGGTGGGGTCCAGCCGACGTATGATCTGAAGAAAGCTTATTGTTCATATTCTACAATGAGCAGCTAACTTCAAAAAACGCTTATAAGTTGACTTAATGCGTTGCGGTCGCGCTGCGGCACAAACTGGAAGTCTCCAATGCTTCAAATACCAACTTGCGAAAGTCGTTTAGAGGTCGGAGTTACTTTTGAAGCGATTTTAAAGCGATCTTTTTTGAATAAACCTCATAGAAATTTTTGGCAAAAAAATCTATCTCTCCAGAGGAGTCGAACTTTGGTCATAAAACTAGAAGTTTAATACTTTATCCATTGCTCCAAGAGAAGAGGAGGTGGATAAGACATCTCAATTCTTAGCTAACGGAAGACCAACCGCTGCTCACCTCCCTGTACTTCACGGTCATCTCCGTCCTCCTTGTCGGCCTTGGTGACGTCACGCCGTCGCATCTGAATCCGTTCCTCATCATTTACTGCCCGATTTTCATCGTCGCCGACATCCTGTCAAGCCACATCCTCTACTATATTCATGTGAGTTTTTTTTTTGTCCTCTTTTAAAATTATTATGAAGCTTCGGGAACCTACAGAAAGGGGAAAAATTGGTTATTCGCATTTTTTTTTCTTCCCTAAGATTTGAGAAGGTTTCCTTGCTTATGAAACGATTGTACATACGAAATTACATATTTTTCACAGAAACAGGAAAAAAAATCACCGAATTTCGAAAAAAACTTTTTCATACCAATAATTGCACTGTATCCCTATTGAAAAAAATAAATTCGAAAAAAATACTTTTTGTCCGAATTTTTTTGATTCACAATATCTTTTTAATATTAGTACGTATCGGAAATGACTTTTTCACTCGAAAATCCAAAAAAACCAAAGGGATTGAATCATTTTTTTCATATCAATATTTTGACCGGTCCAAAAAAACTCTTTTTCTGAAAAATTTTTTTAAATTTCTTATTTTTTTGCCTTTTTTTCGAAATTTTTGTAAGCCATTTCCTTGTTCAGAATTTTTCTGCTGAACTCAAAAAAATATAACTTTTATCAAGAAAATCGCAATTTATGACACTTTAAAGACCAAAAATGACTGGATCAAAAAAAGCTAAATCTTCATTTTTCATGTTTTTCAAAATTCGAAAAATTTTTAAAAATATCATGTTTAAAGAGAATTTCAGGGTCGATTACGGCTTTCGGCGCATCTGCTGACTCGCAAAATCCTCAGGATGCCCTACGGCGTTTCCAAGAGGAACAACGAAATTTCGGTGGATTCGGAAGAGGCCGACGTGCCCCACGTCACAACCACCTGCATGCCCATGAGTTGGTTTTTGAAAATCGCGAAAAATAATTGTGAATATTTGGAAAAGAACTTCTTAAGAAGTTAAAACTCATTTCTGAAGCTGAAAATGACTAGAAAAAAAAAACTGAAAATGAAATTCAAGCTCGAATAATATAGCTGATTGACGGCTGGTTTGAGCCATCGAGAAAAGGGTCCTGACACGAAGAGACACGAGACAGCGTCTGTTTGGTGGAGAATGCAGACATGCCACGCCTTTTTGCGTCCCAAGCTAGCCGTGAATCGTCTATAAGAGTTTTTACTTGGCAGATATTTGAAAAATGATTGAATGTGTCGATAATTTTGACGCAGATAAAAAAGCCTTTTTGAAGTTTGTTCTAACCATTTTCATAGCGAAACTGAGTTCCAAAAAGTTGAAAATTTCTGAAAATAGCCTAAAATAATTTCAGATTCCTAATTGAAGGTGAATTTTTCTTTACAAAGCAACTTCGAGCTCGAATAATAAGTTTGGAAAAAAATAATTGAATGTGTCGATAATTTTTGACGCAGACAAAAAAAGCCTTTTTTTGAAGTTTGGTTCAACCATTTTTTTATAGCGAAACTGAGTTCCAAAAAGTTGAAAATTTCTGAAAATAGCCTAAAATAATATCAGATCCCTAATAGAAGGTTAATTTTTTTCTTTACAATGCATTCAAAAGGAATTTTTCCAACATCAAATTTCAAGCTTACTGGTAAACTCTAGCGAATTATCAGAGAAAAAAATCATAATTTACTTCTTTTCTGATAGGAATAATCTCTTTACAGGGCTTTTTTTCTCAATTTTTTTGGTTTAAAATTACAAAACCTTCATTTTAGACGTGTTGAGCTGCGAAAGGGTCGAAAAACAATTCGACGAGGCTTTGCTCCAACCAGCTTATCACCCAAGTAGTGGCGCCAACAGCGAGGACGAATGCGACAGTAATTCATCATAATTTGAAAAAAAGAAATTAATTTAAATTTCGAATAAAACAAGAAGAGAAAAAGGACTCTTCATGGAAAAGGAAAATTAATGGAGAATAAACATTTATAAGTACAGACAACGAAAAAATCAAGCAACAAAATCAGAACCGTAAACAGAATCTTGGTTGATTATAGCGATATCGCCAAAAATTGGGTGGTAAACAGAACAAAACAATGGAATACAACGGGAAAAATAATTGATGGCCGTAAAATTTTTCAACTTCGGGTTATTTCAAACGACATCGCTTAGAAAAAGCCGTGAGCGAATCAATGAAACTTGCTTTTTAGCGATGTCGCTGAGGGAAGGCGATAACGCTATTATGCCTTTGACGGTAAAGGGAAATAGAACAACAAAAACTCAAGCAATAACTTGCCGCTAAAGAATTGGAGTTAATTTGGGCGATATCGTTGAAAGAAAAAAAAAGCACAGGTAACCGTAAAGATTTAAGATTATCTAAGCGATATCGCCGAAATCGTCCTCGTCGTAGGTGACTACGGCTAATTTGCGTTCGCTGAACATCTTTCGAGCTGGTTTGAACGTGGCGAGAAGCTGAAACGGGAAAAATGATGAAGGGATTCGGGAAATATTATTTTCGATCGGAAAATGTGTTCTCCAAGTTCTCTGGCGTCTCTTCAGGCCGCTGTTGATCCCTAGCTTCTACTTTTTTTTCAAATTTTAAAACGATCAGACATAAAATTGGGAAAGTGGAAGCTAACTACTTCGAAGAAAAGCCAGTCAATGAATTCCCTCTCTCATTTCTTCTCCTTTTTCCGTTCAAAACTGATTTTTTCATATAATGTGAATCCCCACCGCGCACAACTGCGCATACATTGCGTTGAAGTCCGGCTCGTCGTTCAGTTCGAGGGTTTTTTCATCGAAACTCTGAAATTATATTTCTTTCCCTCAGAAATTCAGATTTCAAAATTTACTTTGAAATATTTCTGCAAGAACACCACACGCTCACAGAGAGTCTCGTAGAGAACCCTGAAAATTGAAAAGAAAATTTTAAAAAAGTCTAGGAATCGCGAAGCAACTGCGTATAGCGATATAGTCTGTTCAGATTTTGAATGTCCAGTCGCTTCTAAAACTCCGCCCCTAATGGCCCGGTAAACCAGTCAGAAAGCGAGCCATCCACAGAGCGTTCTCGAATGACGTCATTGTACTTGAAATTCAAAATATGAACAAACTATATTGGTGTTCTCAAAAAACAATGAGAATTTTTGAGAATTTAAATTATGTTGGTTGGTAAGCCTAGATGAGAGTACTCTTTCAGAGCGCAATTTGGCAGTTCCCTGCTGAACAAAGGTAGAAGAAAGCTCCTTGGACTTAACAGCGCTCAATTTTAAAGCTTTTATGTTGATTAGAAAGTTAAGCAGTTCCTTAAAAGTTGGCAAAGCCTTGCTGAACGAGGACTAAACAACAAAGCTGTACGTCTGAGAGGCCGTGTCGGCCCATTAGCAGTCGAATCGCAAAGGTTTCTCTCTTGTAAAAATTAACATCACATATAGCTGATTCACGACCAGCTTGGGACGCTAAGGAGCCTTTTTCTGTCTGCGCTCTCCACAAGCCAGGCGCTAACTCGTGCCTTATCGTGTCAGGACCCTTTTTTGGATGTCTCAATCCGACCGTGAATCAGCTTTGATTTTGCTGAACAATACATTTTCGATCACTCACTCCCCAATTCACACTGTGAATATTTCGAGACTAAAAATTTCGAAAAGTTGAAATTTTCGACCTTTTCACGAGCAACACTGTGGCCAGCGCACAGCTCTGCTTGTAAAAGATTCCCAATTTTTTGCAACCCTAAAATTTAACGCTTTTGAAGTTATGAGAAAGTTCGGCAGTTTTCTAAGCATCAGGAAGAGCCTTGCGGAACAGAGACTGAATAATGCTTCCAATTGGCAGCGCAAAAAATCAATAGCTTTCACGATTATTCGGAATTTTGGCAGTTTCCGAAGCACCTAAAAATGGCAGAGCCTTGATGAACAGCGGCTGAAGAGAGTTATTTCAAATTGACAGCGCGGAAATCAATAGCTTTCAAGATTATTCGAAAGTTAAGCAGTTCCCTAAGCAACTTTCGTATGAAGCAGCGCCTTGCTGAAAGAAGCTTATAATTGGCTACCGTAATCCGGCTACAGTAAGAGAAAATGGCTCAAAGTCGCGTCCGCATTTCTGATTAAAAATTTTTATTTTGTTATACCGGTTTTTTTTTTGGAAATTTTTGAAAATTACAGAGACTGAAAAGAGAATAATTCTTCAACTAGAATTTGATTATGAGTCAATTTTGACGTATAATCCCAGATAACTTTTGAGATTCTTGTATGGTATAGCAGAATTTTATGATTTCTGTAATGTAGCGATTTTTTCACTTTTCAAAACAAGTTCCGAATTGACTTTTTTGAGACTTAACCGCGAAGCGACCGCAACGCATCCAATGATACCTTTTCTGATAATCCCTCGTTTCGCGCTGCCGAATCCCGTCCAAAATCGCCCCGCGGTCCTTGTTGAACGTCTCCAAGCACTTCTTCTCAACTTCCGAAAGCTGATCGACACGGATCATCTTTTCGCGACGCGTTTTGACTGGAGCGCTTTCCGGTTCAGGAAAATCTTCCTCCTGCACGTGCTGCTGCGCCCTCGATACGGCTTGAATCAGTTTTTCTTTTTTTCTTTTTATAAGCTTTTTAAAACTTCGCTGATGACGTTGAGCGGCCGAAACGACGACACGAATGTCGGCAACGCTCATATCATCGATTCGGCGCCAGTTGGCCGAGTCATTTTGGGCGTACTGCTCGATTTCCGCTGTGAATTATTGTGATTGAAAACTTGGTGATAAAAAAAATGCTCAAAATTACTGAAAGGGAGCCTTAAAGAGTACTGAAAACTTACTTTGAGACATTCAATCTTTCTATAGCTGATTCACGGCTGGCTTGAGCCATCGAAAAAAGGGTCCCGACACGACAATGCACGAAATAGTGCCTGGCTCGTGGAGTGCGCAGACAGGACACGCCCCCCTAGCGTTCCAAGCTGGCCGTGAATAAGCTATTGCCGTGTTCAAAGTAATTTCCGCGAAATGCAAAATACCCGTTAGAGAAAGGAAAAGATCACTAAATTTTGGAGAGTCAGAGATCATTTTGCATTTCGCGGAAATTACTTTGAACACGACATATAATATCCCACTTCACGGCGTTTTTTCGAAGACGCCACGCCCACTTTTTCTGCGTAAAGCGTCGTGTGCCGTGTGCATGCACTGCGCCGATTTCGCGCAGAAAGTTGCATTTTTTTTTAGAGAAATTCTGATTCGCCTCAAAGTTCTCTGGCAATACGGCGGCCTGCGCCTTTAATTTGCGCCGTTCTCTGCCGTTTCCATGACGTCACGTGGGAACGGCGAATATTTTGACTCCGCCCACCGTGTTTTTGGTTTCTCATTTTCTTCCACTAACAAAAACGCCGTGGCTGCTGCATCCATTTTTTTTTCAGTTCGTTCAAAATTCTATTTTTTCCAGAGCGCCCTTATTATGAGAGTCATGAAATCTGAGTATATTTTCCAAACTAAATTCGCTGAAAAACCTAAAAAACACCGAATAAGATTTTTTTTTTTCTCCTCCTTCGAAAGCTTAGGAATTAAATTTATTAAGTTATTATCACAGCACCAAACGCTCAAAACTGCTATTTTCCAATACCTTTGATGATCAAAAGAATGACAGGAAAAGGCAGATCCTTCTTGGCCAAGTCCAGAATTCGGCGCCGAACCGGCTCAGGCAGCCTCAAACGCTCATCGTCGTGCAAATGATAGTCACAATAACGGACTTCGATTTTTCTGGCCAAACATAATGAAAAATCCATATTTCTATTTCTAAAACCCATCAGGCAAGAAAAGTTTCTGGAAAAACGCCGTGCAGACCTCCTCCGTACGGACTCGTTGCTTCGTCACATAGGGTTTTTCCAGTAATTCGCCGCTTCTTTTCTGAAAAAAAAGACCCATTTCTTCTGAAAATAACTATTTTTACAGTGATCTTGTGACCGTTGAAATCGCTATTTTTCGTGCCCGCCTGGATCCGATTGCAACGATAGTATTGCACTGGGCCTCTCTGAAAAAAAAAACGACTAATATAGTCTGTTCAGATTTTGATTGTCAAGTCGTCGTTCAAGCTCCGCCCTAATGGTGCGACAAACCAATCAGAGAGCGAGCTATCCACAGAGTGTTTTTGAATGACGTCATTGTACTTGACATAAAAATCTGAACAGACTATATAGCTTATTCACGGCCAGCGCGGGACGCTAAGGGGGCGTGCCCTGTCTGCGCACTCCACGAGCCAGGCGCTCTCTCGTGCATTATCGTGTCAGGACCCGTTTTCCGATGGCTCAAACCAGCAGTGAATCAGCTATATTATTTATTGACTCTTATAGAGATTCATATGAACACAAAAAAAAATAATATATCTGCGCATCGACTGAAAACACCTAGATGATATTGAAACTCTTCTCTTTCATCAAAAAGATTGCGAACGAACAAAAAAATATAGAAAATCACTGGTAAAGTCGGAATACGGATGCAAAATGGCCGCTAAAAGGGTTCCGTTTTGCGGCCTTTTTTGAGCCTTTCTTTCTTGGTGGGCTAAAAAGCCTCAAAAAAGGGTGAAAAAAGGGAGTGACTTCAAAATGGTCGCTAAAAGAGTTCCGTTTTTCGGCCTTTATTGAGCCTTTCTTTCTCGGTGGGCTAAAAGCCTTAAAAAAGGGGAAATAAGGAAAAGGCCGCAAAACGGCTGAAGAAAGAGTGAGAGTGCAAAAATGGTGCCGAGAGTCCTGGCTATTGATAATTTCCGATTTTATTACTGTAGCACATTTTGGTTCATACACAGCCCCTTGTAAAAATTATTCTCAATCTAAAAAAAAGTCCGTATTTCTCAAAAGGGTCCAAAAAGGGTTAATAAAGGCGGATGAAAGGACGAAAAAAGGCAGTAAAAAGGAAACCGTTGCCACCCGTTTAGGAACAGTTATTGGAAACCTTTCGATCCATAACGGAAGCTCAAAGGGTCCCTGAAAAGTCCATCCGACTTTGCCTATGCTTATTAAATTGAGACAGTTTTTACATAACGAAATCCCAAAATTAGCTGCGCATTTTCCTAAAACTCGTATCTCCTTAAAGCTACCAAAAAACTTTTCCTTCTTAAATCTTAGCCGAAAGTTGTTCCAAAAGATAAAAAAAACCGCAAGGTCAAGCCAAAAATTTGGGATTTTTGTTCAAAATGAAAAGTTCCAGCATCTGCGCATCAGCTAGATTTATCTACGTGGTTTATAAATAAAACCAAATGGCTTTAAATTATCAATTCCAAGCCTATCAATCAATTCTTCAGAGTGAAAGTTCTCCAAACAATTTTTTCAGAGTTATTCCTCGTATTTTTGCTTCTAAACCCCTAAGATTCTCACCCGATTATTCTTCGTGCCACGGGCCATTCGAAAATTCCCGCCACGACCTTCAAGTTCCAAGCGGAAGGCCTAAATTTGAAATTTTCCTTTCAAAAATCATTGCTGTAAAGAAATTATAGACACACTTTCAAAAGGTACGTAGTTTTCTTACTTTTTTTGGTTATTGTTGCTAAAAACCTCGGCAAAGTTTTCTTGGACAAACTACAGACCTGAAACTCAATTTCGCTCGAAAAAATGCTCGTTTTGACGTTGGTCGGTGCGCCGTGGATCTGTTGCAAATGGTCGCAAAGGTTTTCGAGAGTTCCCATTTTGTCGTCGCACTTAAATTTAGTATGTTTTAGTTGCTGAATATACAATTTATTTATTGTTGTTCTAAAGCATGTTTTATCAATAAAAAAATGCGATTTTGATGGGTCATAATTTTTTTCCCGAGGGTTCAATTCCATTCTTCTTATAAGGCTCAGAAACTTCTTAATACATATAGTCCGTTCAGATTTTGAATGTCCAGTAGAATGACGTCATTCGAAAACGCTCTTTGATTGGTTTATCGCGCCAATAGGGGCGGAGCTTGAGCGTCAACTTGAGATTTAAAATCTTAACAGACTATATATCAGCAAAAATCAAAATGATTACGTGAAGTCAAAAACAACCGTGAAAATGATAACTCAATTCTGGAGAGTTCGAGACAATTTCACGCAAAATGCTTCAAATTAAAAAAAATTTTTTGAGCAGCATCCAAAAAAATCGCTAATTTCAAAAAGGAGTGAAGGCTACTTTTTTCGGGATGTTCAATTTACACGAAAAAAAATTCATTTTTTTTTTTGAGGCATTGTTCTGCATTAAAATATGAGTTATCATGATTTTCTGATATCAACTAACCATGGGACACGGAAATCGAGGAATCGTGAAGACTTTACAGGTGCCGTGTTCACGGATGGTTCTCGCATGATGATAGAAAACAGACCGACGGACATCCATATGACATCCAGGACAATACCGAACATTTGGCTGCAATATATGCTATGTAGGTAATGAGGCAAGGGGTCTTTTTTAATAGGCTTATACTTTGAAAAAACAGAAAAATACTTGAACATAGTATGAAAAATGAAAGAGATAAAACAATCAGAAATCAGAAACGACAGACGACGTAAAGTTAAAAAAAGCCCGATTCAAAAACCAACATCAGGACGCCGAATATAACAAAATCGGTCCTGCACGATTTGCTGGTACTGACTCTCGCTCTTTATCTCTCTTTGAGGCTGAAAATGAGCCTAATTTTTCAAGCAAAACAAATTTTAAAATCACGTTCACGTAATCAGTGGACATTGTGATGAACTCCTCTGACGATTTCTAAAAAAAAACCTTAATTCAAAACTTAATTCTCGACTTTCTAACCAGATTCGGCGGAGCCTCATAATCCATCGCTGTGGCTTCAGCTTCGTATCTTCAAATAAATAAATAATCATTAATCAGAACGGAAAACTTACGAATGATCATTGTTGATTTCGTATTCCACTTCGACGTTTTCTTCAAGTTCTTCAGTTTCTACTGTCTCAACTGTTCCGACCCGTTCGACTGTTTCAACAATTTCAACTGTTTCAACAGTTCCAACAGTTTCAACATTTTCTTCTCTCTGCATTCCGAATAAAAGATAAGCTCTATCAGACTCGCCTGAAATGCAAATGCAAGGTAAATTAACAAAAAGCTATATGCAAGAAAGCATCGTTTAACGGTTTTACAAGCATAAAGCTTCTAACTTAATTTTTTCATTTTCTCGAAAATTTTTGAGACTTTTACAGCAAGCCCCAGTTAGACATATACTGGTTCGCTCACACATACAACCTCAAAATAAGCGAAATTGAAAATAAAACAGAAAGATAACTTTCAAAATTTGAATTTCGTATCGACTTCGGCACAAATTTACTTTTCTGGTCTCACAGCGACATGAAAAGGAACTTGCTCCTCTCACGCAAAAAACTTTTTATTAGTATTCAGCGCATTTTTCTTCATTATTTTCTAATTATTTTAACTGTTATTAGGTTTTTGGAGGTTAGTAAATGAAGCTAGTTATGCACACCAGTTTAGACCCACAGGGGCCCGTCCGGTTTGCAATGCCCCTTCTGTGCTGGCCATACTAGACCCTTTTCGATCATTTTTCTAATAAAATGAACAAGGCCAAGGATATTTGCAAAACTAATAGACTCTAGTGAGTATGACTTTTGTTGTCGACTTTCAAGTAAACAGAATCCGAAAAAATTTTGAATATTTATCAGATTACCGAGTTAGCATAAAAAAATCGAATATATTGAATAAAATTTTATAGGTAAATCCGCGCCAGCTCATCACAATTTTAATTTTTTTCTCGGAGCTGCAGAACCCCTTTCGGCGCTCCGATTCTCTCGGTGTTCCCTCCTGTGTGCGCTTTTAATGAAAAAAATTATTTCTGATTAAGGTGTTGCTTCAACGTGAACATGACATGTTTTTTTCTCCTTTTTAAGCTTTTAAAAACTCGTAAAGCATTTTTTCACTGCGTTATAAACTGATCGTATCCGTAAGTCAAAGTGCGCTCCACTAGACTTGTTTCGAATCTGCCCTCTTTCCGGTTTCCCCTATAATTTTTTACCTATTTCGTTTCTCTAATCAAATTCAATTTTTCTACAAGTTCACTTACTGATTAATATATATATATAGATGGGTGTCGTTTCCAAGAAGAAAGTAACAGCAGCTTTGAAGGCGAAACAAAACGGCGGAGTGAAACGAAAAATCGAGGTTTTTCCGGTTTTTATGTCATTTTTCATTGTTTTTTTTTTTCAAGGAGACGCCACCTGAAACAAATGGGGAAGTGGTAAAAAAGAAGAAACTGGTAAAGAAGGTTAAAAAGCAGCCGAAAAATGGTTTGCCGGAAAAGGTGAAGAAAATTGCACTTTTTGATGACGACGAAGAAGAAGATGATCAGGTATTATATTAAATCTTTTCATTGTTTAATGAAAAATTTTAGGTGATTGTTCCAAAAAAAGAGCAAGAAGGTTGTCAAAGGTGCAGGGAAGAAGAAAAAAAGCAGCTTGTGAGTTTCTTTCAATTTTTCTAAATCAAAAATTTTGTTTAGGAAGAAAGTGAAGAAGAATCTGTTGATCAATTCGGCGATGATGATTCCGATGCGTTACCTGACGATTTCGGATCAGATGGTTCTAATAAATTCGAGATTTATTTAAGAAATTGATTTCAGAATCTGGGGAAGAAGACCTTTCAGAAGGCGACGAAGACGAATTGCCGGTTGAGAAAAAATCCCGGGCCTTGGACAAGAAAAAAAGCCAAGATCTTGTAATAGTTTTTTTACGAGAAAAAAAGCAAAATCTCGAGCTCATCCTTAAAAAAATTCAGCTTTTTTTGCTTTTTCTGTCAAATTTTAACGCGTTTGAGATTTTTTTAATGTAGGAAATGAGATTTTTTTGGCGTTATAACTCGAACGAAAAAGCCTTAAAATATATTTAAATAACTTTCAAATTTCCAAAGCCTATATTTTTGCACGGCATTTACTTCATAACGTTTATTTTATTTCGAGAAATTTCAGGAAAGAAGGCGAGGAAGAACTTCAATTGAACATTGCGTCACAGGAAAAGTTTGAATTGCCGACGATTGACGAAATCGAAAATGAATTGAAAGCGGCGCCGAGCCTTGAAATCGTCCGGCAACGCATCAGTGATGTTATCCAGGTCGAGTTTCGTGGCAAAAAGGCTGAATTTCTTGAAAAATGTCTACCTGCTTCATCTGAATGTTCTTTTTGTGGGAAAAATCGAATTTTTATGGAGATTCTGCTCAAAATTCGTTTTTAGCGCCCTGTTTCTTTAGGAAAAGCTGACTAAATTGATAATTATTTTGAACCTTCTGTTTTAATTCTCCCTTGAACTGTTTTATAGCATTTTTCTGTCGTTTTCAACCTATTAACATCCATTTTTCAGGTCCTCGGAGACTTCAAAGCCCGCCGGGACCCGAAAAAGTCCCGCGACGATTATCTCGCTGTTTTGACAAAGGATTTATGCAGTCAATACGGCTACAACGAGTATCTGATAACTAAATTCATGCAGCTTTTCCCGAATGGGGCTGAGGTGAAGATAATTTTTGGAATAATTAACAAGAAATTTTTTAGCTTCTTCAATTTTTGGAAGCCAACGATAATCCACGGCCAGTGACCATCAGAGCCAATTCTTTGAAGGTCAAAAGGTAGAGTTTTAATGATTTTTTTTTTTGTAAAGAGAAAGTTCAAAAAAGGAGTTTTCTCATAGGGGTTTTAACCGTATTTTCTACATTTTTCTAATTATGGCTTTGTTTTTCATAAACCAACTTCAATCAAAAAAATAAAATCGAAATTGTCAAATGATAGTGTTTTTTTTTTTGTGAATTGGAATGAGAAAGCTTGATTTTGAGCTTATAAATGCATTTATGGAATTTATTTCTGATAAAAAAATTTTTCTACTTTTGCTAAAAAAATCAAATATTTTTTTCTCTTGTTTTGAAGATTTCAGTGTTGAAAGTAAGTTTCAAAGGTTGAAAAAAATGAATCGATACTTTTTTTAAATCAAAATTATCAAGCTCAAGGCCTACCACATGAAATTTTACGCAGGGTAATTGCGGGGCGTAAATAAGTTACCAAAGGGAAATCTGCTCATTTTTTTGCTCTTTTTTATATTTCCAGTCTACAAGGTTTGCATAGAGATATAGTAATTTGAAATTTACCTTCTTAACGCATTTACGCTTTCTCTTTTACGCTGCGTAAAAGTTCATGTATCACGTCTTGGAATAAATTGAATGTTTTCAGAAGAGATTTGGCGAAGAATCTTATCAATCGTGGAATGAACGTCGATCCGGCGGCTGAATGGACGAAAGTCGGCTTGGTTGTGTACGATTCGCAGGTTCCCGTTGGTGAGTTTGAGTGGAATCCAACTTCATTTGGATTGAAACAGATTTGAAGAAAAAAAAGATTTTTCTCATTTTTTCTTTATTTCTTCTGCTTCCTTTTCGTTAGAAGTCTCTAGAAATCGACTTTTACAGGTAACAAGGTTTTTGAGACGATGATAAAAATGTTAATGAACTCCAAATTTGAAAATTATTGCGCTTATGAAGTTCGGAAGAGAAAATGCATAGGCAAAGTCGGAAAGGCTGGAAAAAAGGCTCTATAGAAATGTTCCTTTTTGCGCCATTTCTTCGGCTTTTATGCACCATTTTTGCAGCCTCTTCCTTTTTCCACCATTTCTTGAGCCTTTAAAATCCTAGAAAAATAAATGGCTCGATAAAGTGACTCATTTTGCTGCCTTTTTGGAGACTCTTCCCTTTAGCGGTCATTATCCACCATTCCGACTCTACCCGAGTAATTTATCTGTCTCGGAACAAGAAAAAATAAATTTTCTAGCACAAAACACACTTCATATTTATTTTATGCAGATTCAGGTTCCTTTTCTAATACAATTTGGATAGTTTTCATTGATTTATCGTTTTTTTTTCCAGGTGCGACACCTGAATACCTGGCCGGCCACTACATGATCCAGGGCCTGAACTCGTTGCTGCCGGTGATGGCGTTGGCCCCACAACCCGGCGACCGAGTTCTCGACATGTGCGCGGCGCCCGGTGGAAAAACCTCCCACATTGCGGCTCTCATGAAAAACAGCGGCGTTTTGTACGCCAATGATTTTAATGTTAGTTCGGGAAGAGCTTCAAAAATTCAAAAATTTCATTTTGGAAAAGAGGGTTGAACAAATGGCTGAGTAGAGCTTTAATTTAGAAAGTTAGTCGAAACAAGATTTTTTTGTGTTGGTTGAATAGAAGAAAGTAGTTAAAAAAATGAGAAAAAAACGCTTTTTTTCCGGTTGATTGATTTTTTTCAACTTTGTATAGAAAAATTTATAGCCGTATATTGGTGAAATTTGATTTTTGAAGAATTATTGACCAGAAATGTCTCGTCAGAGTAATTTCGCGAAATTCACCGTGATCTTCTTTCTAAAATCTTCATTTTTGTCTTTTCAAAACTATCTGACGGTATTTTTCATTTCTTTAAAGTTACGTTGGCACGCGGCTTTAGAAACTATTTTCAAAAAATTTTTTTTGAATGTCTGGATTTATATTACACTCGGATACATAGAGAAATACAGTTTAATTTTTTCCACCCATTTTTTAAAGGCATGAAGTTAAAGCCAGCGAGTTTTAGAACGGCGGCTTTTCTGATTTTTACATTTTTACGTAACGCTAGGGAACTCTTCGTTTTGAGTTTTCTTATATAAAATCATTAATATTTTGAAAAGTAAAAATATAAGAGGAAGAAGTCGGAAACGTCGTCGTTTGAAAATTCGCTGACTTTCATATAGCTTATTCCGTGGCAGCTTGTCAAGTTTTTCTTCCCGCCAAAAGACCGTACACCAAATTAGATCAAATTTCTGCTTTTATAACGGCAAGAAACAAAGATCTTAAAGCGAAGTTAGTAAAATTTGAACCGGCCTTTTGGCGGAAACAAAACGTGACAAGCTGGTGCGGAATGGCTTATACAACCATTTTTTTTTGTGTTTTATGTAATTTTCCGTGTATTCAGTTTGAACGTTGCCGAGCCGTCATCGGTAATTTGCACCGTTTGGGCGTCGTCAATGCGGTCGTCTGCAATTTGAACGGAGAGGAGTTCTGCAAGGTGATTTATGAACCTGTACTTTGTCCTGTATTTTTGTTAGAGTGTTAAAAGAGGCATAAGCTTTAAGAGACATTGGAAAAAGCCCTTTTTTGGAGACCTTTATGTAAATCGTGCCTTTGAACAAACAGTTCTTGACAAATTATAAGAAAAAATGTCATTCTCCCTCCAGATCCGACCAAACGGCTTCGATAGAATCCTCCTCGACGCACCCTGCTCCGGTACTGGTGTCATTTGGAAGGATCAATCGGTCAAGACCAGCAAAGATAGTCAGGATGTTCAGAGGAGGTGCGAAAGAGAGTTATTTACAGTCTATTTTGCGTCAACTTTTCACGATTATCCTTTTCCTACGAGTTAAAATTCTGTGTCGTTTTTGTATGCGCCTTTAATATGACGGAAAATTCGGTTTATGCGCCTTTAATATGACGGAGAATTTCGTGCACGCGCCTTTAAGATGGCGTAGAATTTTGTGCATGCGCCTTTAATATGACGGGAAATTCGGTTTATGCGCCTTTAATATGACGGAGAATTTCGTGCACGCGCCTTTAAGATGGCGTAGAATTTTGTGCATGCGCCTTTAATATGACGGGAAATTCGGTTTATGCGCCTTTAATATGACGGATATTTCGGTGTATGCGCCTTTAAAATGACGGAGAATTCTGTGTATGCGCCTTTAATAAAAGTGGATTTTCAGGCTAAATTCTCTGTCATATATGTATGCGCCTTTAATACAAAGGGAATTTTTGTGTATGTGCCTTTAAAAGAAAGAAAATTTCAGTGTATGCGCTTTTCGTATAACGAAAATTTTAAGCTAACCTCTCTGTCGTATGTATGCGCCTTTAATATGACAGAAAATTCCTGTGTAAATCAACTTTTATGATAAATAAAAGGCGCATGTACGCGCGCATCGAAGGGGAGGATTTTCGGAAGAATTCAGAATTTGTGACGTGATAGCGCGGAATGAACTGTAAATGAATGATTCTTGAAAAAAAGGGGCGTTGAGGACTTTTTTCTCTCTCATGAAGTTTAATTTTACGATTAGTAATCTTTTCATCATTTTTCTTCAATTTAGGCACACGATGCAAAGAAAGTTGATTTTGTCGGCGATGGACGCCTTGGACGCAAATTCGCCCAACGGCGGCTATTTGGTCTACTCAACTTGTTCTGTTTTGGTTCGTTTCTCTTTACAGATGTGATAAATGAACAATTTTTGGGGGGCTTGAAATCTATCAAGTTTTTCTTATTGATGAGTCGGTTTCACTTGTCTCGGTTCGGCTAAAATTCAAGTTTCAAGGTTCTTCTTCTAGTCATTCCCAACAATTTTCAGGTTTTTAAGTCGAAGCAAACTTTTATAAAAAAAAAGGTAGGAAAATCTCTATTATGAGGCATTTTTGAGTAATTTTTCACCATTTCTTGAGCCTAGAAAATTGCAGCTCAATGAGAAGATATGAAGGGTGTAGAAATTTTTAGCCGTTTTTTGCACTCGTTTTTGGATTCTGACAGTTTGATTGAGTTCTAGACGCTTTTCGAAAAGTCAATTAAAACGAATAAAACTAGGCATCCCCATGGAAATCACAATTTTGTCGTTTCCAGGTCGAAGAAAACGAAGCCGTCGTCAATTTCCTGCTTCAACGGCGCCATTGTCAGCTGGTGAACACTGGATTGTCGATTGGCGTTGATGGATACACGAGGTGAAACAAAAATTTAAGACTTTTAGGCCCAATTTGAAGCATTTTAAAGCTAAAATTGTTGATTTAACGGTAAATTCAAGGTAGTGAAGTGGGAATTTAGGGAGAACTTATCATTTTAAAAATCGAATTTTTAATAATGGCTTTATTACAGTCAAAATGTGGATATCGTTTTTACTAGATTAAAAAAAAGAGCCAAAGTCTTCTGTGTTATTTAATTTTTAACTCAGCTTTTTCTGAAAGGTTTCTTTAAAAAAATTTTTATTTTTCATTTTTTTCGGTATAAATTTTTCTCAGGTTGTATCAGTCTTTTTTTACGATTTGAAAGTTACGGTTTTTTACGAACATTTCAAAGTAAAAAAAGAAAAAAATAGAATAAATCTTGTTTCTTGTTCAGATTCCGCGATTATCGCTTCCATCCGTCCCTTTCCCTGACCAAACGCTACTATCCTCACGTTCATAACATTGACGGCTTCTTCGTCGCCAAGTTCAAGAAGCTTTCCAACGCCAAGACCAACAAGTTCGGCGTTGATGAGGTGGAAATATGGGAAATTTGATGATTTTAAGGCCTTGGAACTTCGTTTTCTGTAGAAGATTGTTCACGAAAATCGTGAAAAAAGCAGTTTTGAAGGATACAAAAAGATGAAGCTCCATTCAGTGTTTTCAAAGATTAAAAAAATTCATTTTTTTACTTATTTTTTTAGTGACTTTCGAGGTCGGTTTATTATACTTTTTAGGCTTTTTGGTGGTATTTTTCTTCGAGTTTGTTGTAGAAAAAGCGCAAAATCGAAGTTTGAATCACGTAAAAAGAGATTTCTGAAGCCATTTTACATTATAATTTCTCAACCAAACTTTTCCAGGCCAATAGAGAAAAGCAGGAGAAGAAGGCCCAAGAAAAAGCCGACGAATCTGATAACGATGAGGATGGTGACGCCGAGGAAGACGTGGAGAGCGGAGACGATGAAGACGTCGAAGAAGTTGACAAGGCCCCAGAACCCGTCAAAGTGAAGGAGAACGAGGAGAAGAAGAAGCAGAAGAAGGCCGACGACGATGATGAAGACGACAGCGACGATGAGGAGAAAGTTTCGAGTAAGGGAAAAAATTGGGTTTGATCATGAGTAAATATTCACTGCATAGGCGTAGTCAGAAGAGTCGAAAAAGGCTCCTTAGAAATGTTTTTGCTACGGTGACCAAGGTCCCTTTTTTGCTGCCCTTTTGCGCCATTTTATTGGCCTCTCCATTTTTCCAGCATTTCTTGAGCCTTCAAAATTCCAGAAAATGGGAAGGCTCGATAAAGGGTCCATTTTTGCTGCCTTTTTGCGGCCTTTTTCGAGCCTCGTCCTTTTAGCGGTCATTATCTACCTTTCCGGCTTTGCCCGAGTAAAAAAGCGGTTATTTCACGTCGAAATTCGAATCTATATAGGAAAATATAATTAGAAGGTGTGAAGAACTGAATATCAGTTTGAGATTTTGTTCCGAAATTCAGTTAAAACCGACCTGAGGGCTTATTGTGGAAGCCGCTCAATCTGAAAAAATTTCAGTCTCAAAATTTAGTCTAAAATGACCCTAGAGCTTGTAGGAGCTATTTTTACGGCTCAAAAAGGATGTATACATTGATTCACCTAGGCCTTTTTCTTAATAAAAAGGGAGACATGTCTTGAAATAGTCGTTTTTTTTTTGGTTGTAGAGCTTTTTTGCGTTCCAATCATCCCATTGGAAATATCAAATATTGATTTTCTTCTTCCAGACGGGAAAGTTGGCAGCGGGGCGCGAAAGCTGAAAAAGAAGCGAAATCAGGCGAAGCAAAAGGCCAAGCAAGCGGCTGTCGCTGAAGATGACGGTTTCAATTCGGTTAGTGAAGAAAAATTCAATCAAAAAAATAAGTTTTTTCAAGAAAAAGAAAGTTTCTCAATGAAATTTAAACTAAAACCAGTCCCAAAACGGCGCTTCTTGCAGACCGGCGTCGTGAAGAAGGTCAAAAAGGCCAAGGCGTTCAAATCGAAGATTCCGAAGAGGGCGTTGGCCCGCTCGAGCGCCAAAACCGTCAAAAATAAGCGCAAGAAGCTCCTCGAAAAAAGCCGCTAAATACACTATTTTATTGTTGTTGATTTTCATTATTCTTACCTTGTTATAGCCCCTTTTATTCCTTTTTTTTGCCTGGTTATATTGTTGTTACTGTTATTTTTTTGAGTTGAAATGAAAGACATTGGTTTTTGTCCGGAAGATTTCAATGATCTTTGAAGGAAAGGTAAAAAAATCATAGCGATCTGAAAACCTGGGAAATGAAAAAAAAAAATACTTTCAATCTGCCAAATAAAACCAGTCCGTTTGGCAGGATTCACCAAAGTTTCACGTCAAAACAAGAAAAAAACCTTTTTGAAAATTTATAAGAAAAAAAGAACCCAACCAACGTGAACAGAAATCGTAAAAAAAAAACTAGAAATAAAAATGAAATGAGTAAAATATCATAACAACGTGAAGAAACGTGTAATAAATAGGGGGAACAAAAATTGGAGAAATATGCAGATAATGGGTGAGAAACAGTGTAAAGCAGGAAAAGGCGGAAAAATGGGAGGAAAACGCGCTCCAGGACTAATTTTGATTCGTTCTCTATGGGAAAATTCCAGGCGTTTTTAGAACGGATCTAACCAGTTTAGTGGTCCCTTAAGTGATTCAATTGAAATGAAGTCACCATTTCAAAGACCAAATTTCTCCCTGGAGCACGATTTCCTCAGTTTTCCACAGCTATTCTTTCCTTACACCTCACAAACAATTTTCCAGTTCAGACTTCAGCACGACCGAGGGACAGGGCGAGGACAGCCATCCTGACGAACATTCCGTTCCTGGCCTGTCGGAAGTAGGCGGCCCGGTCGTCGTGGTCCAACTCGACGGCGATCTCATCTACACGAGGCAGGGGATGGAGAACGATCGGCGACGTTCGGCGGGAGAGACCTGGAATTTAAACCTTTTTTTTTCATAGTTCAATCAACTGCATATATAGCCATCTCGTATGATATTTCAATGGGAGGGGGGTTGGTCAAAGTCTGACTCGTGAGAATCCCGCCAACAGTGGGAGCCATACATGGGATAGTCTCGGAGGGATCTGACAAAGGGGAGGGACTTGGCAAAAAAACAAAAACGAAAAAAATGAGAGGCGGGGGGGGTGGTGGCAAAAAAACCGTGAAAACTCGGCATTAGGTGGGGGGGACTTGGCTGTTGCCAGTCATGCTCATCCCATATATGGTTATAGCTGATTAACGACTGGCTTGAGCCATCGAAAAATGGTTCTGAAGAAGGAGATAGTGTCTGGCTGGTGGAGACCGCAGACATGCCACCGTCACAAGCTAGCCTACTTTTTCAAACTAAGCTCTCTAACTACGACTGTTGCAACTGCGGTTTTTCGCCGAATCACACGCATTTTATAAATTTTCAAAGGAAAATAAGCCAAAAACGACGTTCGGTGTGTGCACCATTTCAACCTACAGTATGCTTTAATGGTGTGCGCGTTGGAGGGGTGCAAAAGTGGTCGCCGCCTACGTATATGCGCGACATGGCCTTTCTTTGCAATTCCGTAAGACCTACCCGTAAGACTATCTTGGTGCATTTCCATGGCGGCTTCGTTCAGAAGCTTGGCCGTCAGGACGTAGCTTCCCTTCACCTTCTCATAGTCCTTCTGATGAAAAGAATGATCATAAATTGACCAATTTTGAGGTGAAAACCTCATCACTAAAGCGTTCCTTCTGAATGCGAGTCATATAAATGACGTCAACATGATGGATTCCTTCCGCAAGGTTGTCGAACTTTTTCTGAAAGTTTTGAGTGTTCAAAGTTGAATCGGTTCGTGAATTTCTTACCTGAGTAAATCCTCTCGCTGCGACATAGTCCACAACTTCCTGGGGCATTTGAAGTTCAGCGGTTGGAGCGATATAGTGCAGAGTGATGCCCTGAATCGACTTTTTTCTGGGAGGGAAAAAAATCCCGGGCTTGTGAGAGGGCCAGCCCGTCAACCTATCGGCCCCACGCGTTTTCAAAGCCCAATCCGGCCTTAGGGAGACCTAGGCTTGTAATAAGGCTGGCCCGTCAACCTATCGACCCCGTCCGTTTTCAAAGCCCGACCCGGCCTTAGGGAGGTTCAGGCTTGTGAGAGGGCCAGCCCGTTTTCTAAGTCCGACTCGGCCTCAGGGAGTCCCAGGCTTGTGCGAGGGCCAGCCCGTCAACCTATCAGCCCGTTTTCTTAACCCGACACTAACTATCATTGTCCAACTTACTAATTTTCGAGGCTATTTTTGAATTTCTATAATTTTGCGGAAAGTTAAGACTTTGTAACTCTCTCTACAGAGCGCACTTGACGCTATTTTCCGTCGATTTTTTTTTCAGGCATGTTGAAATTCTTATCGCTCCCCCGTTTTTCTACCTTGTACAAGCAGAGCAGCTTGGCGAGGGAATGAACGGTCCTGCCATTTTTCAAGTCTCCGACCAAGGCGATGGTCAGATCGTTGACGGTTCCCATCTCCTGCCGGATCGTGTAAGCATCGAGGAGGGCCTGAAGACGTTGTCAATCAAGAAGAATGCTTCAGAAGGCTTCCAACCTGCGTGGGATGCTCTCCGGCGCCGTCGCCGGCGTTGATCACCACCTGGTTGCAGACTTTGGAAGCTCTCTCCGCCGCTCCGACTTCCTTGCTTCTCAAGACGACGACGTCGGCGTAGCTGCCCAGGATTCTCGCCGTATCTGGAGATGTTCTGATGATGTTTGGACGTCTTCTGGGAGTCACCTTCGAGAGTTTCGCCCTTCTGAACGGAGGAAGACTGGCTATCAACTGAGATGACAGTGCCGCCCAAGCGTTGCATTGCCGCGGCGAATGAGCAACTTGTTCTGGTCGAGACTTCGTAGAAAAGCGAGGCCAGAACGTAGCCCTGAAATATCGAAAATGTAGGAAGTCCCTTTCTCAACAAAATTCGAAAAACTACAGTATATAGGCCTTCGCTCCAAGACCTGTGATCTAAAGGTAAACGGTACTCTGGCCAGAAAAAAGGAATAGGCTATGAATATCTGATCTAAAAAACCTGAAGAACGTTGGTCAAGTTGACGTGTCGTTCAACGTCATGTCTGTAACGATCAGCAACTTCGAAGATCTTGTTCAACTGGAAAAAAAGCTTGTTAATCACCATTTTCTAAATTTTTCTTTCCCCTGCAAATTCAAACCCGAACTTTTTCAACCCTTCGCTAATCTTCTAGGAACCAAACTACAAACACAGGAGGTCTACATTTTCAAATACCTGCCTCAGAGCTTAATTCTGTTTATTCGATTCTCGAATCTTGATAACGTGAATCGGGGACGCCCCGGACGTTTTTGAACATTCCAAGTGGCCACTCCAGTAAGTTAAACACTCTTAAGTGATCCCTAGAAAATTTCAAAAAGATCCGGTTTGCCATACCAAATCTGAGGAAAAGCAAACCGAACGATCCTAATCACTTCAAGTGACCACTTTAGTAGCTTCAGCACTCTTAAGGGATCCCTAGAATTGCTCTGAAAGGTCCGGGGTGCTTATGTTTTGCCTTAAGTCCGATGTCCAAAGTGACGTAAACCGGACGGTTTTTAAGCCTTCCAAGTGACCACTCTAGTAGCTTCAGAACACTTAAGTGATCCCTAAGATTGCTCAGAAACGTCCGATTCTCATAGTTTCTTTATTATTGACTTCTACAATTTTAAACTCTTCACATTCTGCTTGTCTTTCAAAGCTTGAAAATACGATCCTCAACCTTTCCAGCTCCTCGATCTCACCTGGATCTTCGTAAACTGCGTGACCGAGACCAAATGTCGGCCCATCGTTTCAGGACCCGCCGCGGGGCTGACGGCCCTCGGCGGCGTGTGCAGCGGACTTTGTTCATCTCCAGACAAGGTCGGCCTTCGCATTTCCAGCTGCGAAAGGTCGACTTCCTCCTCATCTGGCTCTTCTTCCGACGAGGGGGCATCTTCCTTGCTCAGCCGAATGTTCCGACCAAATCCGGGTTCCGCAACGACCTATAGTAAAGCTTTGCGTATCAGTAAATCTCTTTATTTGACTTCTAAACTAGTTTTTTGACCTATAACGATCTTCTTGCTCCTCAGTTTATGTTCCTAAGTTTTCATGCCCAAAACACATTTTCTGAGAAAAAGAAACAGGTTCCTTGGTCAGCCGTATGGCCCGACCGAATCCGGGTTCCGCGACGACCTATAGTAAAGCTTTGAGTATCAGTACACCTCCTAATTTGACTTCAAAACTAGTGTCAATTGAAAAAATGCTTTGATCAGTGTTTCAATTCTTTTATTACTCAGTTTCCAGGCTCAAAACACATTTTATGAGAAAAAAAAAGACAGTTCCCTTGGTCAGCCGCATGTTCCGACCAGATCCGGGTTACGCCAAGGGAAGCTGAAGCCTTTTTTCGGACTTTTCAATGAGTTTATTGTCTCATCAACTGTAAGAAAGTGTTTCAACGGTAAGTTTCTTGCCGAAAAGTTCATTTCAAAGCCCTTTTTCAAGTTTATCCCTTGGCTCGGAATTGAAGTTATATCCTAGCATTATCGGATGTGAGAAATGCAAAAATTAACAGCTCAAATCACTTTTCTCCCGCTCAAAAACGTCCACAACTTGCTCTAAATTCCCTTTTCCAAGCTGTCAACCTATCCGAAATCCTTCAAACTCAGTACCCGTCCATCGACGACGACTTCCTCTCCACGAATCACAACGTTATAAACACGTCCATGAACTTTTCTTCCAGCAAATGGCGTCCAGCCAGCCTTGCTCTCCCCGCCGTTCTTCGGAATCGTCCATTCTTCATTGAGGTCAACCTAAAATAGTCCTATGACTTCGCAAAGAAAGCTGTTCCCTTGTCACAAGTCCTGACTTTCAAAGAACGGGCTCAAATTCGGTGAAGCTCCCTCAAGAGTTTAATTTGAGCCAATTTCATCCTCTAGACATAATTCTGCATTGGAACTACTGAAAAATCTTTTTTTGAAAAATTTTGAAAAGCAGTCTTTTTAAGGATCATCTACTACTCTCTAAAAAAATTCTAAACTTCCTGAAATAAACCAAAATAGATTTTTGAACACATTTTACTATAGCCAATTAGAAAATTAAAATTTTAAGATCCGCCAATTGCCTTCGGATCACTAAATTTCAGAGCAATCCACTTAATATCGGCAAAAAAGAAGCAAGTTCGAGTCGTTGTTCTTTCAATTTTCCTATTTACTAGCTCCTCAGACCTCAACATAAGTCTCATTCTCCGTCGGAAGGTTGAAAATCCTCCTTGGGTTCGTCGAGAGTCGATCCGTCACGTCTCTGAAAATCTTGTCAATGGGGGCACATTTTCCTGGACTCCTTCAAACTTCAAGGTGAGTTTCTTCTCCTGGACGGCAGTCAAAAGCAACGGCAACATGTATTCAACGCCGGGGAATCCTGGAGGAATGGCGCCGGATTTTCCGCACTTTTCATCCCATGTATGAGGGGCTGAACGTAAAGAACTTGATATCAAAAAACTGTTCGTAATATCGTAAACTTTCTAGTGGCCCCTAAAACAGTGCAAAGTGAAACTGGTATGTTATTGTTCAATATAAGAGTTCAAATGAAACCTTGAGCCAATTTCGAACTCGAGAACAAACTAGTGGTCCCTCAAATGATTTAGAGTGAAACTGGTCAACATGAGAGTCCAAATGAAGCCTCAACTCCTTTTCAAACTTCAAAACGTCATAGTGATCCCTAAAGGGTTCCACAATAGAGCAGGTCATTTTACTGGATAATATAAGAGTCCAAATAAAGCGTGAACTCGTTTATGACTTCGAAAAAGTTCTAGTAGTCCCTAAAGGGTCTCAGATTAGAAGTAGTTATTTTACTATGTAAAATAAGGGTCTAAATAATACATTAACTCATTTTCAGACCCGAAAACGTTCTAGTGGTCCCTAAAGGGTTCCAGAGTGAAACTGGTGGCCTTACTGGTCTATATAAAAGTCCAAATGAAACCTTAAGTCTTATTCAAGCTCATAAATCTTCTAGTGGTCCCTAAAGAGTTTCAGAATGAAACTGGTCATTTTACTGGTCAATATAAGAGTCAAAATGAAGCCTCGACTTATTTTGAACCCGAAAATGTTCTAGTGATCCCTTAAAGGATTTAGAGTGAAACTGGTCATTTTAATATGTAAAATAAGGATTTAAATAAAAAATGAACTCTTTTTTGAACTCGAAAAGTTCTAGTGTTCCCCAAAGGGTTCCAAAATAGAACCGGTCAATCTGATAGTCAATATAAGAGTCCAAATGAAACCTGAACTCGTTTCGGAACTCGAAAACGTTCTAGTGGTCCCTAAAAAGTTCCACAATAGAACTGGTCATTCTACCGGTCAAAATCAGAGTCCAAATAAAACCTCAAGTAGTTTTCAAACTCGAAAACGTTCTAATAAAATCTAAAGGGTTTTAAAGTGAAACTGGTCATTTCACCGGTCCGTATGATAATACAAAAAAAAACCTCAACTCTTTCTTGAACTATAAAACGTCCTAGTGACCCCTAGAGGGTTTTTAAAGTAATTTTTTAAAATGTAAGCTTATATGAAACCTCAACTTGCCTAGAACCACTAGTTGTATCTATTTTAGTGATTTTCCTCATTTCCAACTCACCATGATCAGTCGCAAAGCAATCGATAACGTCCAAATTGTCCCACAACGCTTTTTTGTCCTCTTCAGTGACCAGGCGGGGTCTCACCTAGTACATTTTGATGGAAATAAAATCTAGTTCATTTTCTTTTTTTTTTTCTTTGATTCATTGTTAAAAAGGAGCCTTTTTCCTGTTCTAAACCTCTTAATAATGGAAAAATCAATAAATCTCTGATTTTATCTAGATTCCTATATCTAAACTCTATTCAGTATATTTTTTCTACCTCTCGGATGCCCTCCGGCAAATCCTTCTCAGTGAGGAACAGGTGATGTGGCGCCACTTCGCAAGTCACGTTCCAGCCCTGAAAAATGTTCAGCTTCATATTTTTCCTGCAAATTTCATTCAAAACCCTTTCTTTGGCATCCTTGATCAGCCGAATCTCTTCAGCCGTCGCCACATGAGCAATGTGAACTGAAATGAGAAATTCACACGCTTTTCAGTGCATCAAACCATGGCGATTCGCAAAATGAGCCCCACAAAGTAGAGCAGCAAGGGTTTGACGTTCGGCGTGACAAACGATGGGACGATTTTTGGGGAAGCTCACCAGGTGCTGAAGTTATACTAGGGTTGAGAAGTATCGCAGAATTATTTATTCAGTCATTTTTAAAGAAGAAGCTTAAAATAGGTTCTCGGACCCTGGAAACGCGAGCCGGATCTCTAGTGACCACTTTAGTAGTGTCATCACTTTCAAGTGATCCCTAGAGTTGCTCAGAAACCTCCGCGGTGTGTCCGGTTTCCATTACCGAGGTCCGAATTCCAAAACCTTTGGAACTTCTTTTTTAATGTTATAAATAAAGCATGCCGTCTTTATATGAAAAAAAAAAGATGATTTGAAATTTTTCTCTCATTGCTCTTTGTGTATATCCGAAATCAAACTGATCCTTTCTTTAAAAAAAGGGGTATAAGAAGCTTCTCAGGACAAAGCTTACTTCAGGTTCTCGGACCTTGGAAACGCGAGCTGGACCTCTAGTGACCACTTTAGTAGTGTGAGCACTCTAAAGTGATCCCTAGAGTTGCTCAGAAACGTCCGGTCTTCGTTACAGAGCAGTTAAGCCCCGCCCCTAAGTTAGCCGTAAATCGGCTATGAGAAGCTTCTTAGGGAACTGCTAAAGTTCTAAAAAGTATCGAAAACGTTCTTATTTAGGCGCTTCCATTTCAAAGACGAAGCTTAAAATAGGTTCTCGGACCTTGTTAACGCGAGCCGGACCTCTAGTGACCACTTTAGTAGCCTCAGCACTCTTAAGTGACCCCTAGAATCGTCCGCGGCCTGTCCGGTTTCCATTACCGAGGTCCGAATTCCGAAATTTTCGGAAGTCTCTACTTTCATGCGCTGTCCTTTCTAATTTTTGTTCCATCAGAAGAGTTTTCCAAAAATTTAGGCGCTGCCATTTCGGAGACGGCCCTATTCCTTCAAACCTTAGTCCAATCGGAGATCGAGTCCATTTTCAGGGTGGTGAAGGTCTCGTTGAGGTACATCTTGAGTCCAGCCGACAGGTGAGCCAATTCCGCCGCCTCAGAAGCATTGTGAGGGGTCGCGCCAAGGTAAAGGGCATAGTCGCAGACGGCTTTTTCTTGGGCGGCCTTAATTTATGGATAATATTCTCAAATCTGAAAATTCAACTACATTCGAGGCCAGGAGGTACGAGGCTCGATCGATAACAGGTGGCTGAGTATTCGGCATGGCCAAAATCGTCGTAATTCCACCGGCAAGGGCCGCTTTTGTGCAAGTCAGCCAGTCTTCCTGAAAAGTATCAAACTTGAAATGGAAAGCCTAACTTTAAAAAAAAGAGTTCATTATATTTTTTAATTGAAAAGTCCCCGATTCAAGCCAAACAAGCTTTTTTGAACTTCTAAATCCTTCACATACCTTTGAGACGCAAAAAATCCAAAAATGGACGATTCTTCGGCCAAAAAACTTGAAAAATTCCCAACTATCTTCAAAATCATAAATGGGCTAACGGGGTATTTATCCATTTCGTACCCCTCCCCCCTAATTTCTTTAGGTGGCTTCAAGCAGCTGAAAATGTTCCAGTATTATTTATTGAGCGTTTTTCAATCATATGAGCCCCAAGAAAATAATTTTTAAAAGTTCGCCGTTTTTGAGAAAAAAAAATCATTACTAACCTTGAGCCTACCCTATATAGAGTACGTACTTTTTCAGGGAAGGCTACGTACTTTTTCAAGGGGAGTACGTACTTTTTCAGAGGGGGGGGGGGGATTTCTAATGACGTCGCAAAAAATTCTTGGTTAGCCCGTGCAGGTTCAAAATGCTCCGATTCAGGTCAAACCAACTCTTCTGAGCAAAATCCTCCCATATAAATTTCTCTATGAACTCAAAACAGAACTCTATACGCTCTCAGAGCCTTGAAAAGTCAAGGGATTTTAAAATCCGATCTTTCCCCTAAACTCCGTCTCAAATCATCTCAAAAATCTCCTTTTCCCAATATTTTTCATCATGTCGCCACCTTATGAGTAGCTCCCGGCTCTCGTACATGAACGTGAACATCGACGAGTCCAGGAAGTCGCTTCAGACTTCTCGAAGTGACGCAATCAACTTGGGAGTTCATCGTCGGACGTCGGCCAACTGCGTTCAAAGCCTAAAATTGGGGAATTTTCACATTTTTCGTGAAAAATATGTGACCTGAATGAACATTTTGGCGCACTTGATGTCGGTGATCAAGGGGATTCCATTGTCGACAGCCATTCGGCGAGTTTTGTAGCCATGGGTTCTAAAAGAAACTGTCTATTCACTATTTTAAAGCTTTCTAATGAGTCTGGATTCTTTAAAAAACATTCTTTCTTCGAAAAAGCAGCAAAAGACTTCTAGCGAGAAAAACGACCTACAACTTCCAGTTTCTCATAGAAGTGTTGCATTATTCTCACAACTTCTTCAAATTTTGGCTTCAACTCCTTGTTAAAACTTATTTTTTCATGGTTTTCGATTTTTCTGTCCTATACCTGAAAGCCGAAACCCGATAAGCTCCAGAGCCACGAATCGGCAAATTGATGACGAGATGGAACTCCTTGTTCTCAAAAGAACTCGACGACGGATCTGAAAGTAATGAAATTTTTCAAAACTGATCGAAATTAATTAAAAATATTCAATTTTTAAAAAAATCGATCATTGAAAAAAATGAAAAATTTTTTTGTTTAAAATCCTACAAATGGCGTTCGAAAAAAATATAAAGTATAAAATTTCCAGGTCTTCCGGTAACGAAAAAAATAGATATCTCAAACTACTCAAAAAAAACAAAACTAAAAAAAATATAAAATCTTTTAAAAAAATCAATATTTAAAAATCTGATGAAACTATTTTTCTTAAAATCCAACGAATAGTAGTCATATTCTAAACTTTATAATTTTTCCAGTTTCTTCAGGAAAGACGAGTAGAACTTCTAATCTTTTTCAAAAAAATCATCAAAAATAATCAAAATCTAGAAGATTCAAAAATCTGATGAAACTTTTTTTGCTTAAAAATCTAACGAATAGTATTCAACTAAAAAAAATTCTTAACCGTATAATTTTCTAGTTTTTCTTCAGGAACGACATGTGGATCTCTCAAAATTCTCAAAAAAATCAACAAGATTGAAGAAATATTATCGATTTTTCGAAAAAAATCTTTAATTACTGAAAAAAATTTTTTTAGTGAATGGTATTGAACTTTAAAAAAATATAAATCACAAAATTTTTCCAGTTTCTTCTGGAACCACAAATTGAGTTCCTAAACTTCAAAAAACTGGAAGATTTATAAAATATCGATCTTTAAGGTGCATTAAAATTAGATGAAGACTCAGGAGAAAAACCTGGTTTTTTTTTTGGACATATGAAGCAGAAAACAAAGTCAAGTACAATAGAAATCTGGAAACTCGAATAAATTCTGAAGAAATCAAGATTAAAAAAGAACAAGGTTTGGCAAAAGTGTTCTTTTTTTTCAATTACCCACCTCGACCCACTGCTGGTCTTCTCATCCGACGATCCCTCTTCGAAGGGCCAATCAACGGGCTTGACATTGATGTCGTTGGACTGGAAATAGTCGGCCGTTCCTTTCGAGCCGTACAGCTCGAAGCCGAGTTTGGACAATTTCGCGACAGAGTCGAGCATTTCCCCCTTGGCATGATAGCCTCCGATGGAGATGAAGATATTCTTCCTGGGCACGACGAATCCAGTGGAGAGCAAGGCTTTGAGGTAGGCTTCGTAGCGATATTTGCCGAAGCAGGCGACTTCTCCAGTGGAGGCCATCTCGACGCCGAGCATGACGTCAGCGCCGGCGAGGCGCGAGAACGAGAACTGCGGGACTTTGACGCCGACGCGACCACGGCCTTTGAGCAGCGTCGCCGTCGGTTTGATCGAGGCGCGAATCGCCGGATTGTCCGACGCCATCAGGGCTCGCGTCGCCAGCGCGACAAAGTCGTAGTCGAGGGTTTTGGAGACGAACGGGAAAGATCTCGAGACTCGCAGGTTGCATTCGATCACCTTCAGCTCGTTGTTCTGGAATTCGAAATGCTTAATTTTCATTGTAACTGGTAAATTGATAGATAAGAAGCTAGTAAATTTCCGAAATGGATCTATATTTCATGATCTACTTCCTTCAAACATGATGGTCGCACGCGGAATGGCTTGATGCCTTTTTCAAATATTTAAGGTCAGCGACACTGAAATTGAATACTTCAAAATTTTGACTTGAGTCGCCACTTAGAAACCTCATAGTGCTCCGTATAGGGGATAGGAGAAAAACAGCCCTCTATGGGACAAAAAAGGGCCCCTATAGAACTGAAACTGAAGGGTTCCCTATAGGGACTCAGGGTCTGACTCCTGAAACTCAAGTGGTCACTATAGGGTCTCTAAAACAAAGCTGGTCGAATGGAGAATGGCTTAATGCGTAAAGTCGCATCGAGGCCAGCGATAGTTACATTACTCTCTTCAAAGTTTTGAGTCAAGCCTCTACTTAGGAGCACCATAGTGATCCCTTAAGGAAATATGAGAAAAACAGCCCTATATATTACAAAAAAGGGCCCTATAGGGGTGAAATTTAGATGGTCTCTAGAAGATTTTAGGGTCTTGCTCCTAAGTCTCTAAAGCTCAAGTGGTCACTAAGGGATCTGCACTTTAGCAAACTTTAGTGGCCCCTATAGGAGTAAAAGGGGCTTTCCCAATTTAAAACCGTATAGGGGATGGTACAGTGGTCCCTAGAGAGGAGCCGTGAAGATCTATAAGGTTAGCCCTATAGGGACCCCTCTGGAGTTCCGAAGTACGCGTACAAACCATTCTAATGCGACCAGAACATTTAAAACCAGGTAAATATTGGAAAATGAAGAAAATATAACGAGAACGTCAAAGTTTGCAGCCGACTTCAGAGTTAGAATGCAAAATTAAGCTAAAAATATCTGAATATTTTTGTACCTTGGCGATCAACTGCATGTTGAACGGCCCATTGACGTTGAACTCCCTGGCGATTTTGAACGTGATCTCTTTGATCCTATCCAAAGTCAGTTTGTTGAGGTCCTGTGCCGGCGTGACCAAAGTCGCGTCTCCGGAATGAATTCCGGCGTTCTCAACGTGTTCACTGACGGCCAGAACGCAGAGTTGACCATCCAGAGCGACGGCGTCGACGTCGAGTTCCTTGGCTTCGCTGAATAAACCAAAAATACGGAACAGTTCGATGAAATATTGTGGGAAAAGGTACCCTAGAACTTGATCTTTCTGATTTCGGCTATCTACCTATTGAACAGCTACAATTTAACTTCGAAAATTGAAAAAACCTTTTTTTTTCAATATTTCCTTCCTAGTCGAAAAGCTTTAGTGGCCACTATAGGGTTTTGACGATAAAGTGGCAGCTATAATAGTCGATCTAGTGGCCTCTTAAGTGGCCAAAGGGCCTCTTCAGAAATTTGAGTGGTACTACTAGACCAATGAAAACCACGGTGGTGGATAGTAAGACGCAAAATAGTCTTCTCTAAAGTTTTTTTAGTGGCCACTTAAGTGTCCGCAGAAGTCCTTGAGGAACCTCTTAAGTGGTCACTTATACCCAGTATATCTTTCATCTAGACGCCAATTCATCTAAAAAAAAACTTCCCACTTTTACTCTTCTTCTCATGTTGCTTTTCTACCTTCAAAATTGAGATATTGACTCTGGAGTTATTTTATAATCTTATGAGCAAAACTCTGACATGACTATAACCCATTTTTCCCCAAAAACCCGACAATACCAACTTGATGAACTTGCTGACGACGACGGGATGTTCCTTGGCGACCACGGCGGCCTGTTTGAGGAAGGTCGCCAGGTCCTCCTCATTGTGAGCGACGTTCATGGCGGCGCCCGATAGTACATATGAGGGTCGAATGAGGCAGGGATAGCCGACTTGTTCACAAAACGCCTTGGCGTCATCGACGTTCTCGCTCTTTTTCCAGGAAGGCTGGCTGATTTTCAGGGCTTCCAGCTTCCGGCTGAACTTGAAACGATCTTCGGCGTTGTCAATGTCGTCGGGACTTGTGCCGAAGATCTTGACTTGGGCTCTGCTGAGGCCCATGGCGATGTTGTTCGGAGCTTGGCCGCCGAAGGCCAGGATGACTCCTTTGGGCTGTTCCAAGTGGTACACGTCAATGACAGTTTCAAAGGAGATCTCCTCAAAGTAGAGCCGATCGCAGATGTCGTAGTCCGTGGAGACCGTCTCCGGGTTGCAATTGACGGCTATGGTCGAGTAGCCGAGGGCTTTCAGTTCTCGGATGCAGCCGACGCAGGACGAGTCGAACTCGACGGAGCTTCCGATGCGGTAGACCCCGGATCCGAGGACCATCACCGCGTTTTTCAGGTCGAACTCGACGTCGTTCTCCACGCCGTTGTAGGTCGCGTAGAGGTAGTTGGTCTGGGCGGGCCACTCTCCGGCCACCGTGTCGATTTGCTTGATGCAAGGCACGACGGCCCGTGCAACTCGTGCTTCTCTCACCATCCATTCGGTGCTGAAAATTATTCTTTTTCTGCATTTTCTTGACATTTTGTTCAAGTTATGTTCAAGTTAAGTTTTTGAGCCTAATAAAGTCGAAAAGGACTCCTGCTTTAATTTTCAAAAATCTGTCGGAAAATCTCAATTCAAAGGGCCATACAGAAGTTTCTCAGGGATCTGTCGAATTTTCGAAAAGTAGCTTTTATTTAGGCGCTGCCCTTTCTGAAGAAGCTTAAATTTGGTCATTTCTACAGGGTGGCCAATAAATATTGAAACGCGTTTGAAACGTTATAACTTTCTCAAAAGTCAATCAAACACCACCAAACTTGGAACAAATTTTATTCATACAATATAGAAACAAAATTCAAGAATAGTTTTCAAAACGTCCTCCTTTAGCTTTGATAACGGCCTTCAGTCTCTTTGGATACGCATCGATCACGGCACGAAGGTAGTCGTCGTCGATTTCGTCCCATTTCTTGATGAGCGCGGTCTTCAAAGCTTTGATACTTGGGTAGTTCTTAGAAGAGACCTTCTCGGTCAGATATATCCACACGGCATAGTCCATCGGGTTGAGGTCGGGCGAGGAAGCAGGCCAATCAGCAGCCGAGATGAACTCGGAAAATTGGCGCGATACCACTCTTGAGTCCCTTTGGCACGATGAGCGGGGGCGCCGTCCTGCTGGGAGGTCCATGATCGGTTTTTGTTGTGAGAATTGGCTCAGGGCAACACCCTCAACTTCAAAATCTACTCCCTGTAGTATACTTGGTTCACTTTGACTCCAGGATCCACAAAAATCAGCGGAGTTTTGCCGTCAGCGGTAATTCCGGCAAAAACCATCACGGAAGCCGGATGCGAAGTTTTATTCAGAATTTTTTCTTTTTCACAGGCACTCTGATAGTCCGTAGCGATGATCGGATGGTTTTGGCCGTTCTTGTTTGACTCCACAGTGAAGATTTTCTCGTCGGTAAATAGCGTCGTCAGATGCGAGCCATCTTGCGTGCCAGCGAGCAGCTTTCGAGCCTTTTTCATCCGGAATTTCTCGTTTTTTTGATTGAGGAAGGCTCCTTTCTGCATACGGTAGGGAATCATCTCCAGCTTGTCCTTGACAATAGTACTTATCGATCCTTGACTAATTTCGTATTCTTTTGACATCTTTCTCATGCTTCTTTCCGGAGTGCGTCTAATTTTCTCTCGAACGGCTTTGACGGCTTCTGGAGTCGTGACGGTGGATGGACGTCCCCTCTTTGCATGTCATCTGAAGTACCGAGACGCCGATAGCGTTGTGCAGTTCGAAAAACGAGAACACGAGACACTTTCAGCTTTTTAACGATCTCTGAATTTGTCATTCCGCTTTTGACACAATCTATGATTGCGGTACGGTACGGAGATGGGGCCACCATTACCTGAATACTGAAAAGTATGAGCTGTAACTTCACACACATGATAAGTGAGCATGAATGAACGAAATAAACAAAAAAAATCCGAGGCCAGTCATTTGTGCAAAAAGCAGCGATCAAACAAAAAACGGTTTCAATATTTATTGGCCACCCTGTAGTGACCCCTTTAATGTTAGTAGCTTCAGGACCCTTAAGTGATCCCTAGAAATGCTCAGAAATGTCCGGTTTTTCCGTTACTGAGTCCCAAGTAATAAGGGACGTTTACGCAGCGTAAAATATTTCAAAGCATATAAAACTAATTTTTTCCGGTGATGAGAATCTTGTGAGTTTCTACCTATCCCTATACGATCAAATTTTCTCAAATTAAAAAAAAACCGGAAATTTCAATGAAAAACTAAAAATTGATGCATATAATATGAAAACAGACTGGTTCAGAACTTTTGAACTTCTCTAGAGCTTCTGGAACAAGTTTTTAGAAAGGAATTATCTTGAAAATTCCAGATAAACGAGAAATTTTCCGTTTTTCCGAGAACGTATCTACTGAAAAATCTCCTCAAACCCGATTTTTTTAAACTCTTTTTTTTTCGATTCCAATCTACTTCTATCACAATTCCTTTTCAACATACCTCCCGATTTTCTTGGCAATCTGTCGGTCCGAAAATCCAGCTTGCTTGGCCTCCAGCAACAGTTCCCGCGACAAGGTTCGCAACTTGAAATCCTTTTTTATTCTTTTTTCATTTCTCAAGAACCGTTTCTTTCTCCATCCGATGATAGATATCGACAATATTGTGCATCCTCCAGAGGAACCAGCGATCGATCGCCGTCAACTGATGGACCGCTTCGACGTCGAAATCGCCGTAGTACATTCCGCGCGCCAAGGCGAACATCCTTTTGTCGGTCGGCTTTTCGAGGTCCTTTAACTCATAAAGCTTGAAACTTTCTTTTGATGTTACTTCGTTTTATTCGTTATTCAAAGGATCGACCATTTTACCTGACTTTTTTAAACTCCCTGAATTAAGCAACTGACTTGAAAAAAGAGAAAACAGCTCTGTGAGAATTTCTTTTTGAATTTCAAACCGAAAGAGGAAGCCTTTGAACCATCAAGTGATCACTTAAGAACTTTTTGGTGATAAACTGCAAAGGGAGAACATTCCGACAGTCTTTGGGACAAGCCTGGCTGATTGAGCAGTCTCTCAAGTGCTTTAGCTTTACTTAAGTGGTCACTTGGAAGGAGCGAGTTAAAATTAACTAACTTTCAGTGCGACAAAAAGTATTTAGGACATCTAAAGATGACTCAACTTAACCCCCACGTGAAATTCTCGTAATCACCTCGCTGGTCGGAGGTCGATTGAAGGTGTACGGCGAGAATCCGTCGGCGTTGTCGCTGACCATCCTGAGGGCCTTTTGGAGGGCTTCCTCGAAACATCTGCCGATTCCCATCACCTCTCCGACGGACTTCATCGAACTGCCGATTTGGGTGCTGACACGGGCGAACTTCCCCAAGTCCCATCTGGGAATCTTCACGACACAGTAGTCCAGGGAAGGCTCGAAGCAGGCGGTGGTGGTTCCTAGGAAAATGAAAAAAATGAAAAATGAAAATTTGAAATCAAAGATTCATAATTAAGTTAGATATATACAATAAAAAAATACTTCAGATAGGTCCATGAAAATGACTTTTCTAATTTCACGATTCTCCCCCTAAAACTTCAAATTTTACCGTTTTTCCGCATGAAAGTTCTTCTCTATAGAAATTTGCTTCGAAGAAAAAAACAATCAAGGTCGCATTGGGAATGGCTCAAGCGGTCTATTTTCGACTTGAACTTTAACAGCTTTTGCGCAAGTCGTTTCAAGTCTGGCACGTTTCCAAAATTCCCTCGGCTACTTCAGATTATCCCGTTTTCCGAATTCAAGTTCTTCACTATGGTTACACCTTTTCCACCAGTCTAAAAAAATCAAGGCCGCATTTAGAATGGCTCATGCGGTTTATAATACATTTTAGCAGCTTGGACGCAAGGTCAGGCGCGTTTTAAAATTTGATCAGCTATGCTTTGAGCCATTCCAAATGCGACCATGGAAAATTAGGCTAGGGAAACATTCAAAATAACAACAAAATCGATTTCGAGACCCTTTTGCTCCGAAAATTCACCGATTGACGACCTTTTCTAACGATTTTTGATCGATTATATTTGAAACTTAAAAAAGTATCTTTTTTTCTAGATTTTTCCTCTTTACCTGTGACACTATTCCTTATGACGGGCAACTTTTGGCCCAGAGCCAACTTGGCGGCGGCGTAAGCCAACGGATAGCCGGTGGCTTTTGAGGCAAGTGCCGAGGATCTTGACAGCCTTGCATTGACTTCAATAATAAAGTACTGGAAAAATCGAATTAATCAATGGAAAATCATTGAAAGAACCGTGAGCGAATGAGGATCCAAGGCGTATTGAATATTGCACTCGCCGATGATTCCCAGGTGTCGGATCACCTGGAAAATCATGGAGAGTTGAAAGTTTTCGCGTGTCTGCGTTCTCTGTTCCCTTGCCGGTGAGGTCAAGAAAATAGCACGTAAACTAGAGAGGGTGGCAGAGAAGCTCCGCCTTTTCAAGTCGCAAAAAACAGACCAAATGAATGAAAGGGAGCATTTTTTTGAAGTAATCCAGAAAAAAAAGATTCAACTTTCTTTTTCTGTCTGAAACTCTCCGCTTTTACCACACTCTCTAGTCCAATATTCATTTCTCTTGATAAATGTAGGTTTTAACAAGAAAAAAAAGGTTCTTAAAAAAAACCTGGTAGCAAAGAAACCTTCCCAAGTGGACTATTTTTACTATAATTTTTCGAAAATCATTTAACTTCCCTCATTTTTTAGCCTCAAAACTTCTTTTGTCACTTTTTCATGTCCTTTAAATCCACATGTTTCTTGCAAAATAACTCCCTCTTATTCCTTAAAGAATATCCAAAAACAGTTCAACATTTTCCTCTTTTTCCTTATCAAACAAACCTTGATAGCACAAGTCCTCAAGGCGTTGTACTCCTTATCGCTCAGCGTTTGCGATGGAGCAACCTTGAACACCAGTTTTTAGCCTTTTTCCTTTTTTTTTTTCCATTCTTACCACAACCGATTCACCAGTATGAATTCCCAGCGGATCAACATTTTCCATGTTACAAACAGTGACACAGTTGTCGTAGGCGTCTCGCACAACTTCATATTCAACCTTGAAGTTGAAAATTTGATTTTAAAGCGTCTTTTTTCAAGTTTTACTTCTTTCCACCCTTTCAAAGACTTGTCGACGAGGACTTGATTCGAATGAGCCAGAGCTTGTTGGGCGATCGCTTCCAATTCTGATCGATTATTGGCAAATCCAGATCCAAGTCCTCCCAAGGCATAGGCGGCTCTGACAAGTACCGGATATCCGAGCTGAAATTACATTGAAGTAAATTAAAATATCATCTTCAAAAAATCAGCTCGAATTCACAGAAAGTTGGAAAAACTTTTTAATCCAAAAATAATCGAATAATAGAATAGTTGAATAGTAGAATTTCTCTCCAAGGAAGATCATTCAACTCGAAAAATTTTAAAAAAATTTTTGAGAAACTAACTCAAAGAAATTTTTGAATTTCTAGAGAACGGCAATATTGATCCGGTTGGAATCGAACATGGTTCAAGAACCTAATTCGAGCTTCTTCTTCAAAATGGCAGCGCCCAAACTCAAAAATGGCAGCGCCTAAATCCAAAATTGGCAGCGCCTAAATCCAAAATTAGCAGCGCCTAAATTCAAAAATGGCAGCGCCTAAATTCAAAAATGTCAGCGCCGGAATCCAAAATTGGCAGCGCCTAAATCCAAAATTAGCAGCGCCCAAACTCAAAAATGGCAGCGCCTAAATTCAAAAATGTCAGCGCCGGAATCCAAAATTGGCAGCGCCTAAATTCAAAAATGGCAGCGCCTAAATTCAAAAATGGCAGCGCCTAAATTCAAAAATGTCAGCGCCGGAATCCAAAATTGGCAGCGCCTAAATTCAAAAATGGCAGCGCCCAAACTCAAAAATGGCAGCGCCTAAATCCAAAATTAGCAGCGCCTAAATTCAAAAATGGCAGCGCCTAATTCCAAATTGGCAGCGCCTAAATTCAAAAATGGCAGCGCCTAAAAGGTTCCGACACTTTTCAGAAATTTGGAAGTTCCCTGAGAAGTTTCGCGAAGAGGCGTGGCCTGTCTGTACTCTCCACCAAACAAGCATTGTCTGTTTAATTACCGCGTCAGGACCCTTTTTTCGATGACTCAAGCCAGCCGTGAATCAGCCATAACTTTATAATTTCAATGGTATGATTCTTTCTTCTGACATTATTTTATCATAATTTTTACGCCTAGATTAAGAAAAATGATACAAATTTCAGTGAATTTTCACCGAATTATTCGATTATTTGAAAATTAAGCTATTCGTACAATCACCTAACCTCCTAAACAGTTTTTTTCAATGGGGAATTTTTTTTTGAAAACTTCTGAAATTGTCTTAAATATTCCTTCATTTTTTATTTTCACAACGAACTTTTGTTCAATCTAATTTGCCTTTTTTTTGACACCTCAAGTCGAAAATCTTCTTTTTCTATTTTTCACCTCCTCAGCCGCCTCCACAGCTCCAGCCAGGGTCGTGGCGGCTTTGCTCGGCGCGACTTTCTCGCCAATCGCGTTAATTTCCTCGTTGAAAATCTCGCGATCCTCCGTCTTCATGATCGTCGTGATTGGCGTGCCGAGGACCTGTATTTGCCCCTTTTTCATGATTCCACTTGAGAATGGATAACCTGCACATCATACTGCTCGAAAATGCCATCTTTATACAGATCAATTGCACAGTTGAGGGCCGTTTGGCCGCCGAAAGTGCACAGAATTCCAGTCGGTCGTTCTTTTTTGATAACCTAGGTGAGAAAAATTCCAAGTTCTATTGTTTGTGTGTCGTTACATCAGTGACATATTCCTTGGTAATGGGGAGGAAATAGGTAAAATCGGCGAATCCCTTGGAAGTCTGAACGGTGGCAATGTTGGGGTTGATCAGAACCGTTCGGATTCCTTCTTCTCGTAGAGCTTTCAAAGCCTAATTTTTAATTTTTTAGAGACTTCAGGGAATTTTCTCAAACCTGAGCCCCAGAATAATCAAACTCTCCGGCTTGTCCGATCGTCAGACCTCCGGAGCCGAGGACCAAAACTTTTCTCTGAGGCCTAGCGTGATAAACGGGCTCATAGGCCAGTCTCTTCGTTATCTCGTTATCAACACTGGAAAAATTAAAGTCAGAGGAGTAAAAATATAGTTCTAAAGACGGATATAACATCTGAAAGCTTGAAAAAATAATGAACTCATTTTTTATGAACATTTTTCTACTCCAACCCATGAAATCTGATTTCCATCTCATTTCAAATGCTCATAGGCCATTTTTCTTTTCACCTAATAATGTAGAAAAGCTAAAAATCGATTTTCAATTTTTTTTAATGACCTAAGGGAGCTTAAAAACTGTACTTAGGAACTCCAGAGTGCTCCCTATAGGGGCAACATTGGAAGCCCTTGGAGGGCCCCCTTTAAGGACCACTAAAGCTTGCAAAAGCGGTCCCTATAGGGGTTTTATTAAGTGCCCCTTTTAGGGAAGATGCTAGTCGACTCTAGAAGAAGCATTTCCATGCGAAAAACTAGAAAAAAAAACCTTTTTTGAATAAAATTGAACGATCCCTATAGGGACGCTTCAGGGGCTAAGGGCTCAATCCTTGATTTTACCCCTACAGGGACCCCTTTAGGGTACTTTTGGGGGTTGCTATTCCCCCTAACCCCTATAGGGACCACTCAAAAATTTCTGAATAGTTTTCTTTTTTTACAGCTCAATAAATGAGCTTTCAGTCATAAATATCACTCTTCGTAATAATTTAAATTCGAGCTGTTCTATTTAAAAATACCAAATATTCTGATTATTGACCGTGGAGCGCACTAGCCTTCAAAACCTTTTTGGTGGCTATTTTTTCTCATATTTTTTTTTCTACACCCTACTTCAAGTCTTTCCCGGTCTTCGACGATTTCACAGCCTCCGCAAAAACATCGAACAAAAATTCGCAGTCAGTCGGTCCAGCCGTGTGTTCCGGATGGAACTGGACACTGAAAAAAACCCAAAAATGATATTGATTTCATCTGGGAAAACCTGAAAAAAGGCTTGGATTTCATGGACGATGCCCTCGTTGGTGCCATCGTTTTCATTGGTGAAAAGGGCCTTCCAGCCGTCGGGAAGACTTTTTTCGTCGACCGCATAACCGTGATTTTGAGAGGTGATAAAGCAACGGCCGGTGGCGTAGTGCGTACACGGCTGGTTGTGACCTCGGTTACCGTACCTCAAAATTACAAAAAAATAAAGAGCTGGCGAAAATACTCAGAGTTATGTCTCAGAGAAGAATGAATGAATAACTTGAACTAAATCTGATTTCTCTGCCCTCTCTCGAGTTCGTTCGCTATTTCTAGTTTTCGAAGGTCTCTTGAGCAAGGGAAAAGATGCCCTATTGCAAAACTTGTTTCAATCTGTCTTCTCTGCCATCTCTTTCGAGTTTGTTCGCTATTTTCCTTCTTCTATGATTTTTTTCAGCAAGGAAAAGGATGCTCTATTGCAATCCTTGTTTCAATCTGACTTCTCTGCTCTCTCTTCTTTTTCTTTGCTATTTTCCTTCTTCTACGACCTGTTCAACGAGGGAAGAGCTGGCCCTCTAGAAAACTTGAATAAGGTCTGACTTCTCTGCTCTCTCTCCAGTTTATTCGCTATTTTCCTTCTTTTTATGGTTTTTTCAGTGAGGAAAAAGAGAGCACAGACATGCTAGACAGTTCCAGGCATACTATGATTTTGAAAGATCGAGTCGAGAATATTTTGAAATTTAAAAAACAGTAGAATCATAAACTTTTTGAGCTTGAAAAACTTGAGGGAATCCAAAAACCTAAAAAAAATTCCTAATTTCAAATTATTTTTCTTGGAAAGGGGCTAATAAAGGTTTGAAAAAACAGCGAAAAAAATCGAAAAAGTTTTAAAATTGAAAAATTTTCCTTCTTTCTTAAAAGACCGGCATTTTTCTGATTAAAAATCAATAATTATGAATAAATTTCAAAACTCCAATCCCCTCGGAATTCTCCACAATACCTTCCCTAAAACCCACTTCAACTTATAAGTGCTTGCACCGATGGCCCGAGCGAGAAGTTGGTGGCCCAAGCAGATGCCGAAAACTGGCTTTTCGGCGCGTTTCACAATGTTGGCGAGGCGTTCGACAAGAGATGCACAAATTTCCGGGTCTCCAGGGCCGTTGGAAATGAACAGACCATCGTAATCTGGACAGAAAAAAACTCTTTTTTCCAAAAAGAGATCAAAATTCGAATCAAATTCATGGAAAAATTCCAAAAATTCATTATTTTTTATCGAGATTGTCGTTTTCTTAGTGCTTTTGAATCCGATTTCAAGCAGTTTTTCCAGAAAATCATACTTCTGAAAAAATTTTTGGTGGCCACTTCAGAGTTTTGACATTTTGTAGTCCCTACAGTAGTCGATTTAGTGGCCACTCAAGTGGCTGAAAATTAATGGCCTCTTTAGCCGTCTGAGCGAACAATAAAAACTACTAAAGTGGCCACTAAGACGCAAACCAGTCGCTTCTATAGAAGTGTTATTAATGGCCACTTTAGTGTCCTCTCCAAATAGTCCTTGAGAAGCCTCTTAAGTGGCCACTAGAGCTTACCCGTTTCCTGATCGATCGGATGGTTCCAAGGGACCACTTTAACAGTGAAGCCCCGTCGGGCGAGGCAACGAATTTGGTTGTATTTCAGGCCGCAGTCCACGGCCAAAATTTTCAAATCTCCTTTTCCATATGAGGAAACTTCCTAGAATTTTAAATGATTATGAAAAGTAGAGAAATTTCTGGAATATACCTTCTTGGAAACGACGTCGACAAGGTTTTGAGCATTAACATCGATAAAATTGAACGATTTCGCCTCGTCGCTTTCGATTATCAACTGAAATCAGCACAACACTGGGAAAATTTTCAGTGACCACTATAGGGTTTTGACGTTTTAGTGGCCCCTATAGTAGCCAAATTAGTGGCCACTTAAGGGGTTAAAAATAAGTGGTCACTATAGAGGTCTAAGTGCTACTTCTAGATCACTAAAATTTTAGTGGCCACTTTAGGGGTCACTGGATCAACATATTTGGTCCAATATGTTTGTTTTAAAGTTATCAGAGTTACTGGAAGGAACACTGGATGAAAAACTACTGAAGTGGCCACTAAAAACTTCCCCAGTACGTAGTGACGTCATAGCGAAGAACCCTCAATAATTGTCACGAAAAAAAAGCCGACTTTCATAACTTTTTATCCGTGAAAACTTGTTTTCTAGATGATTTCAATGGTTAGAACCTTTTTTAAGAAATCTTATCGCTGACCGGTTATCACCTGAAAAATCAGAACTACATGAAAATTGAATTTCAAAAAGGTACATGGAAAAAAGACCTTCTAATTAACTGGGAGATCGAAGACGTATGACTACTCTTCAAGAAAAAAATTTCGAAAATGCTAGAAAAAAATTTTTCTCACGTAATCTCGTAAAAAATGCGTGAAGATCTTATCAGCGTCTTTTTTGGACCACAATTCAATTTTCTATAAGAATTCGAATGATAGGAAACAAAATAGAAAGAAAAAAAAAATCTCCAAAAAGGAAAATAATTTTTTTTTTTCAAGTTTTATTTAAGCTTCAACATTTTTGACGCATGCAAAAGCCGTCTTTTTGGTAGCTTTTCAGCCAAATTTTATCCATAAGAATAAAAAGAAACAAGTATACTACTCAAAAAAGAACACATGATTCGAAATTTCACGATAAATTCGATTTTTCTACTAAGAATAGTCATTCAAACTTCGAAAATTCTCTGAATTTTTTTTGCTTTTTACCTTGGCCTTCATTGTACCCGTTTCTCGGATCTTCTTCGTGAGCTGGCGGACGTCGATTCCCGCCAAACAAGGGACATCGGCTTTCCGAAGCCATTCCGAGAGGGACTGAACCGCCTGCCAATGGCTCTGCTCTCCTTCGGCGCACATTCTGTGAAGAGAAAAAAGCTTAAATTAAAGATTTTTCGATTTTGAAGGATTGGATAAACAGAAAATACCGGTTAACTACGTTTATTCAATTTTTTGACCTTGGGGATGAATAGATAAGTAAATAATCCTCAAAAGTTCATTCCTTGACCATCTAAGCTTTTTTAGAACCTACAGAAAAATTTCCAATGTCTCTGAAAACCTATAAAATTGAGAAAAAATAAATAATTTGAATTTTTAGGGAGCACGAAAAAAATAAATATATTACCTATCCGCCTTACATTATATAAACAGATTTTTTCAAAACTCGTCTTTTTTTTCACAGTAGAACATAATCAAGCTGAAAATTAAGAAAAAGCTCAGATTCCTCAAATTTTCTTCATTTTCTAGCTCAAAAACTGGGCATTTTCTCATTTTTCCTAGAAAATAAGAGCAATTTGGAAGAAAATAGAAGAAAAGCCTGCATTAAAATTAAACTTGACGTGAAAATCGTGTTCTTAACTCATCTTGAAAACCTGTAAACCATGACAAAAACGATGAAAACTCCATGATTTCTCAACGCAAATTTAGCAAAAAAAGCATAAATTCCAATGATTTATCCAATACTTTCCATCAAAAACCCCGTACTTTTCCACAATCAACGCCGCCGGCCAAACACGATCACTTTCCGCAAAAGCCGGCAATCCGAACTCGTCCAATTGTTCCGTTGACGGAACTCCGTAATTTCCAATCAGAGGATAAGTCAATGTGAGCAACTGCTGGGCGTAGGACGGATCCGTCAGTGATTCCACGTATCCAACCATTCCCGTTTGAAATACTAAAAGATTCAAAAAAATAAGCTTTTCAATTATTGAACCAATTTCGCCGACGACACTTTTTGGTAGCCCCGTAGATATTGCCGCAGAAAGTGGTCCCATCTTCCAAATATAGAGTTGCCTTCATCGTTTCCCAGTTTCCCATTCGTTACTGGAATTCAAACAACTTTTTTTGAGAAAAAAATTATTGAAATTTTTGGAGAAACTCGTTGATAAAGACCCGAAAAAAACCTTATTTTTATCATAAAAAAATGAAATAATAATATCCAAAAAAATCCGTTATAAAACTTTTTCAAAAATGCTAACTTTATACAAATATACAAGAAAAAAATTGTCCAAAGCATAATTTTTTTAGAAATTTTTTTACCTTCAGAAAACCCTACTTAGATTCTTCAACCAAATTAAAACTTTGAATTACAAGAAATACCTTGCCGAACGGCGAAAGATGAGGGTTTTGAGAGAATTTCAGAATATTATTATAGAATTGCGCAGTATTTTGCAAATCACATGTCCAACATCATGAAACAAACAACAGAAAATAGAAAAAAAGGTAACTGCGCTCTGGGCAAAACAGAGGAAACGTTTTCATTTCAAAAAAGGAATCGAATTTCTGAAAAATATGTGATTATGCGGTCTTCAACGCAAACAAATCAAAGCGCAAGTTATTGGCCTACTTCGACCTGGTGAAATAACAAAAGTGCGAAACGAGTATCTATTTGTTCTATAGCCTGGGGATCGGAAAAGTCGAAAATAAAACTCTAAAAAAATTTGACAAAGATCACAAAATTTTCGAAACGTAGAGAAGACGCTGTTATCACACAACTGTGATGGTCACTCTGATAGAAAGGTCGAGAGTGACCGATACTTTTACGCGAAAAGCTTTGAGAGATAAAAGATAGCGGCGAAAAGAGATAACGGAGCAGACGCGATCGTGTCAGGACATCCCCAGACACGTTATCGCAGGTGCTTTTGCCCTTTCCAACTTCATAACTATCAAAAAAAAAGCATCTTAACTTCAGAAAAGCAAAAATCTTGAATAGAAAAAATTAAATTTCGGAGCCTGACTCTTCGCTTCAGGGCCGATAAAAATCCTGGAAGATCCATGCGCCTTTAATAACTTTCCGAGAAATTTTCAATCTCATTTTATTTTATTTTTCACGTTTCAAACAATGCAATCGTTCAGAACATTTTTATTTCATGATGAAAATAAATTGCCGCGTTTAAAGTAATGTCGACCAAACAGAAATGAAAGGAGAGGAAAAAAATATTACAAAAAAAATTCAAAGAATCAGACATTTTCGGATTCGCAGAAGTACTTAAAACGCGGTATATGCAAATAAAAAAATATTCAACGTTTAGGAACGAAAGAGCAAGCTTTTTAGAATAAACGTGTCAAAAATTTATAAAATTCTTAAAATTTTAAGTAAGGCAATCGAGTAATTCGGGATTGGATTTCACCGTTTCAAATTGTTTCACGAAGAAAAATGACAAAGTAATTCAATAATGGACAAAAATGAAGTTAAAAGGGCTTGGAGCTGATTTCTAAAAATGTAAATTTCGAAATAAGGAAAAAGAAATACACGTTTTGGAGCAGGATAAATGACAAATGTAGTAAAGGCTGCAAAATGGGAGGGAAAAGCTTTCGGATTGATCTATTTCGTACAAACAATTTCGTGGGGGAAAAAAAAGACGAATGAGATCAAAAATTTGAGGAAAAAGGGGGACAGATCACCGATCGCCCAACTCTGGCGGCGGATTGTAGATCGTCTTCTCCTTGTAGTAGATCTCCTCGTGCTCTTTGTCACAAATGAGCATAATTGAGGCTCCGAGTGTGAAAAGAGTCGCTCCCCAGGCGATCCCGTAGGACCAGTCGACCTGGAAAATTGTTTTTCACGTTTAAATTCATACAGCTTTTGTACAACGTTGAAGATTTTTGGATTTCTCGTCATGAAAATGCATTTTTGTGCCCACTTTCAAGGTTTTTTTTAGTATGCTCTATTTTTTTGATCTTCAAATTTTTTTTCTCACGAACCTCCCAATTTCTCCTCGGCCCATACTCGTTCATCTTGACGTAGAAAGCCACTGGGAACATGATCAGGGCGACCAATTCAAGGAGTACTGAAAACTTATATTTTTCTGATTGTTTGAACAATTTTCTCACCTGCCAGAGCAGAAATAGTTGTGGCTCCTCGATACCATCGGTATTTTCCGCGAACATCCGATTTGCTCAGGCCGACGACGTTGAAAATTGCGGCGATTGCCGTCAGAACCAAGGCGATGATCAGCAACACCGCCGACGCCGTCAGGAAACCTAAAAAAAAAAAACTCCTAAATTTCAGAAAAATCATAAAATAAGCTTCGATTTTCCCGTTAAATCATCATATTTCTAATCTTTCAATGGTTTTTTTACAAACTAGAGAAAGCGGAAAAAAAATACACCTAAAAAAAATTCCTAGCTAAGATTTCCTGATGAATGTCAAAGAAATACTGAGAACAAGTTCAATATTACATTTAAAAAAAATCAAACTCAAAAATTCAAAAAATGATTATTTAATAGTTCGACTAGCTAGGAAGGAATATAGATTTCTATAATTATTTTTTTAATTACGAATAATTATTTACTTTACTAAAATTTGAGAAAAAAAACATTTTATCTTTTTCATATCAGCATCATTAATCTTGCAGAGGCATGAAAAAAACGCTAAAGTAAAATCCAAAAGGCAATTCAAATGATGATAAAATTTGAGTCTCCTTAAAAAAAATTTTTTTCGTTCAATAAACGATTTTTACTATCTCAATTCGAGCGGAGATCCTCTAGATTAGAAATTCCTAGAAGAGCTTTCAAATAGAACATGAAAACTTGCAAAAATTTTTCAAAAAAAATAATAAAACTTTGCGCGTAAGGTGCATGCACAAAATGCACATTTCTCGGCTACAGAACGAATAATTATATTTTTTAGCTGTTTCCTCCCAAATTCCAATTTAAACCATATTACCTGAATTCCTCGATGGTCCATGGCATTTTCCAGGCTCTGGGGCTCCTGGGAAAGGAGCTGCCCGAGTTGGTTCGTTACTGGATGTGCATTCTTGGAAAAGACCGGTTCGGAAGAATCCTAGAATTAACTTCAGAAAGGGATTCAGAATGAAATTTTTTGAAAAAATCAATTTTTAGACCAATAATTTCATTTTAAAAGAGAGAAGTATATGAAATTTACCAGATTTAAGCCAAGAAGTCGAGCAAAGGGCCAATATTGAACAGGCGATCGCTATGAGGAGGCAAAGAAGGGAAATTATCTGAAAAAAATATATGATAAATCAAGTAAAAATATGAATTTTGAACCTTCAAAGGCCGAACTGCGCTCACAGCTTCAATTGTGGTCCGTTGAACGGCGACCATCCGTCTTAAAATGGATATTTTTTTTTCTTTTAACGCATAATAGACGATTAGAGCTCTATAACGAGGGAAAACGTGACAAAAAGCTCGTTTTATTGAGAAAAATTCAGGAAAAAACAAGAAAAAACGAGAATATCCAATATTCACAATTAAAAAAGCCAATAGCTTATCATTTTTACTAAAAAAAATCAATAATATGCTCAAAACCCATGTAAAATGTTGCCAAGAACGTTATTGACATATTTCTTCTCAGAATCCGTAAAGATGGGCAAGCCGTTGTTTACAGAAGGAAGGTTGAATAAACACTGGAACTAGTAATAGACAAACTTTCAAAGAACAAATGGAAAAACAGAAATCGGTAGTTGAATCATTGAGAATCTAGGAAAGACTATTCAGAGCCTCCCTTAAAAAGGAAGGTTTTTTGAAGCTCCTGAAGCTTCTAAATATACCTAAGACCCGCAAAAAGCCATTTTGAAGTCCGAAAATGCTTCAGATCTCCCTGAGTTGCCTTGGCCCTTCTAAGCTCTTAAGCTTTTCCTAATGCTCAAAAATAATCCAATTACCCCAAAAGACTCCAAAAAAAAAAACACAGAAACCATCAAAAAGCTGTTGTATAAAGCCGGGAGCATGGAAGATTTGAATACCAACTTTAAAAAGTCTAAAAAAACCCCAAGACTTGTAACAATATAAAAAAGCTTTCAGAAGTTCTTATAAGCTTCAAAGGTATCCGTAATGAACTAAAACCATTCTCTATGATTTTTTAAAGCCCCTGAGCTTCTCCTCAACCTTACCTAAGAGCTTTGAGTCCACATAAACTTTGAAAAAAAGGTCCTGATAGTCTCAGATAGCATGAAATGATTCAAAATGAACTAATTTTAACCTTGGTGACTTTTTGAGCTTCTAAGCTTTCTCTAACCTTTTAAAATTCTAACTGAAATGGTTCAAAAAAACATAGAAGGCTCGGTGACTCGAATAAGGTCAAATTTTTCAAGTTCTGAAAAGGTTTTGAGGCTTTTTGATACCATAAAATAGTTCTAAATGAGCTAAAGCCGTCCTTAAAGACTTTTGAAGCTCTTAAGTTTTTCCTAAAAAGCCCTATTGAAAAGCAGTAAATAAAAAAGGCCTACAGACTCATTAAAAGTCCGAAATTCTCGAGGTCTGAAGAGGTTATGAAACTCGAATTTTGGATGACTTTCAGAGTTCTCAAGCTTCCTTTCAGACACATTTGACTCACATGAGGAGAAATTTCCAAAGTCTGAAGCTCTTAGGAATTTTAAAAATCTTCTGAATGACTTTCGGAGCTCCCAAGCTTCCTCTAGCCCTTAAAAAAATCATCTAAACACCCAAAATAGTTCAAAAGAGACTATAAATAAGCTCTAATGCTTAGGGAAGGCTTGAAGACTCATTGAAAGTCAAAAATCCGAAATTCTGAGAAGGTCCTGAAACTACTAGATTCCGAATGACTTCTAGGGCCGCTCAGCTTCCTCTAACCCTCAAAAAATCATCTAATCCCCCAAAATAGTTCAAAAACAAACAGAGAACCCGTAAATAAGCTGTGGGACAAAGCAGTACTCCGGAAAGGCTTGCATACTGTTTTGAGGTCCAACTTTTTAAGGACTGAGAAGATCCTGAAGTTCCCAGGTACCTCAAAAATCCTTCTGATGACTTCTAGAGCTGCTCAGCTTCTTCTAACCCTCAAAAAATCATCTAATCCCCCAAAATAGTACAAAACAAACAGAAAACCGTTGTTGGACACAGTAAAGGCTTGAATATGCGTTCAATGTCCCATTTTTCAAAGTTTGAATGTATCCTGAAGCTCTTAGGTACTTTAAAATCCTTCTGAATGACTTTTGGAGCTCGCGAGATTTCTCTAACCCTCAAAAAATCATCTAGTCCCCCAAAATAGTTCAAAAGAGACTATAAATAAGATTTGAGACTTGGGGAAGGCTCGGTGACTCATTGAAGGTCAAAATTGCAAAATTCTTAGAAGGTCCTAGAACTACTAGGTCCTAAATGACTTCTAGAGCTGGAAAAAAAAGTCCCGAACTTCCCAGGTACCTTAAAAAACCTTTTGAATGACTTTTAGAGCTTTCAAACTTCTTCTAATCCTCAAAAAATAATCTAATTTTGACCCTCAAAAAATCGTCTAACTATAAACAAACTTTGAGACTTAGGGAAGGCTTAGAGACTGACTTGAGGTCAACTTTTTCGAGGCTTGAAAAGGGCCTGAAACTCCTAGATCGTTTAAAATCATCCTTGATGACTTTTAGAGCTTCCAAACTTCTTCTAACCCTCAAAAAATCGTTTAACTATAAACAAACTGTGAGACTCAGGGAAGGCTTGGAGACAGACTTGAGGTCAACTTTTTCGAGGTTTGAAATGAGTCAGAGATTCCTAGATCGTTCAAAATCATCCCTAATGACTTCTAGAGCCGCTCAGCTTCCTCTAACCCTCAAAAAAAAATCATCTAATCCCCCAAAATAGTACAAAACAAACAGAGAACCTATAAATAGTAGAACGAAGCAGTAAACAGGGAAGGCTCGGAGAAGGGGCCAATGTATTGGCTCGAATGTCTCCTGGCCAAGCCATACAAGCTCGATGCAAGAGCACACATTGTTTGTATTTGCGAGGAGCCGAGGCAAGCCGCGAATGCTTCGCCGAGAGAGAGCCAACAGATATATAAACGCTTGGGCTTTTGTTCGGCCCCGACGAGAAGAAAGGAGAAGAAGCATGTATCCACAGTCTTATAAAATCTTGAGGGCCTGTTCCTTCCGGCCCTCGAGAAATATTATTCGATTTTTACAAAGTCAAGAAAGTAACGATTTTTTTTTCATGAGCTGGTCGCATTTGAAATGGCTCTGAACTTGGTGGTTACACCCAAGGTTCCAGTGCGCCCGACATTAAACTACTTTCGCATGGCGGTATCTTATAGTGGAAAAAGAGGAAACAACGTTCATTGAAGTCAAAAATTCACTCTTTTTGATCAAATTCAAGGTATTTCGAGACTGGGAAAATCTACTAAAACCAAAAAAAATCACTAGAACAGCATAAGTTCACCGTTTGAGAGGCCCTATTTTCATAAAATTAGTTTGAGCCAATCCTAAAAATCATTTTCAAAAAATTAGTGAAAAATTCCGTCGACCACTTTTTAGTGTATTCCGAGTGCACAAAAAAGGGCAAATTTTTTTTTCAAAATAACAGAGAGAAATACTAAAATCACTATAGTCAAGCGCACCCGACCCGAAGCAACTTGCGCTTGGTGACATTCTGTGAAATGTCTATTTGACTTCGAGCCATTCCAAATGCGGCCAAGGCTTTTTAGCATGACTATTCAACTCAATCCTTGAAGCAAAGTCATCTCAGAAATCCCATGGTGGTCCCTATAGGGGTTAGGGGGAAAGCAGTCCCTCTAGGGGGACAGAAAAGTGGTCCCTAGAGCCCCTATAGGAGACAAAAAAGTGGTCCCTAGAGCCCCTATAGGGGACAAAAAAGTGGCCCCTAGAGCCCCTATAGGGACCACTCTGGAGTCCCTAAGATCATTTTCAACTTTTTCGTAGAGAAAAGCCAGACTATGAAGGAAAACTGAGGGAGGGGAACGGGAATCTAAAAAAAAGCCGAACGAACGAAGGAACGAAGCGTATCAATGGATCATTGTGTAACATGGAACAGAGGATTTTTCGCACTCATGACTGCTCAGCGGTAATTTCGGCTCAACGAGCAACAAAAAAAAAGAGTTTCAGGTTTTACGGGTTCAGAGGCAGTGTTGGGAACCATTTTATGAGCTTGGAAAAGTTGCGAATTCTTAAAAAAAGATGAATTGAAAATTTTTGAAGCAGTAAAAATTGAGAAAAAAGTCCTTAGAGTGACCACTTGGCGTGTTGGATACTCAAAACTTACAAAATCTCAAATATACTGAAATTTCTTGAGAGCTATTAAAAAGTAAAATTCAGAAAAAAGTCACTAAAGTGACCACTTGGCGTGTAGATATACTATACCGCTCAAAAGTTGCAAATTCTCAAAAAGATTGAAAGTTTTTGAAAAGTAGTTAACAGTAAAATTCAGAAAAAAGTCATTATAGTGACCACTTGGCGTGTAGGTATACTATACAGCTCAAAAGTTGCAAAATCTCAAAAAGGTGTACTGAAAGACTTTTGAAAAGTAGTTAACAGTAAAATTCAGAAAAAAGTCACTATAGTGACCACTTGGCGTGTAGGTATACTATACAGCATAAAGGTGCAAATTCTCAAAAAGATTGAAAATTTTTGAGAGCTATTAAAATGTAAAAATCAGAAAAGAGTCACTAAAGTGACCACTTGGCGTGTTGGTATACTATACCGCTCAAAAGTTGTGAATGAAGGGGTGAATCATCTATCGAAAGGCAAATTCCGACGCGTAGGCGGCTGATGTGCATACAAATGCAAGGTGATAACGTCCCGTTGGAACGTTTGTAGCTTGTAAAGTGCGAGCGTTTAAGAAATTATCAGGAAAATGCGAGGAAAAATCAAATTGTTTCATGGAGTTCTTCCGAAGAAACACTGGGACATAAAATCAATCGATGCTTATTTTTGCAATTGGCTAAGCTGGATGGAATCAGAATTCTGGAGCTTATAACAAGTTCAGAAGCCGGAAAATCACTTCAAAAATTGAGAAGGACCTGACTTAATTAAAAAAATTTGCTGAAAAAAAAGAAAAAAGAAACTTAAAATCAAATCTTGGCTTCTTGTTATTTCTAAAACCCAATGACATGAAGTTTCAGGGTTCCAGAACATCTTCAAAGTCGAAAAAAGAAGAATCTGCTCCAAAAATTATACTCATTGGTCACTGGAGCATTATCAAGGCAACGAAGCAAAATAAATAAATAAATAAACGCGACAACGATCCTTCAGAAATGAACGCTACACCAAACTTCATAAAAACGAAGCTTCAAAAGCTTTTTGAGCCGATAGAAACTTTAAGAAAACTTTTCAAAGACTCGAAATGATTTTTTAGAACTAACTGTCAAGATTACGGCTACAAAACTCGAGCTCAAATCGATTTCAAAGCCAAGAAAAAAACATTAAGAAAACTGTTAAACCTTCGAAAATTCAATCAATTTTTCAAATTTATATGCTCCTGAAGCTATTTTTTACCCCTAAATGACTTCTTCTGTATTTTTAGGAGGAGAAAAAAATGACAAAAAGGCTGTGAAAATTGGACTTTTTGATGAGTCAGAAGCAGTTTCGAGCGTCTAGAAGCGTTTCACAAGCATCTGAGAGCTGAAAAAACTTCCGATCATCAACTGGATATAAAATTTGATTAAAGAAAATTCTGAAGCAATTTTAAGTGAAATGAAAATTTAAACGAACTCTCCTACCCTTTAAAGGGATCAGCAAAAAAACAGGTGGGACTTGGGCTTCTAAAATTGGATTTATGGTTCTTAAAGCTCAAAATTAACCCAAAATCATACGAAAATCATAAAATGAACGTGTAAAATAAAGGTCAAGCAACAGAAGACTTGGTTTGGAGCTATCTAAAATGTTGCTTTTTCTTCTTGAAGCTTTGAAAGTTTTTGAAATGTATCTGAAAGCTGGTAATTATCTCCTATGGTCTTCAGAAGCGACAGGTGGGGCTTGGAAGTCAAAAGTTCGTTTTTCAGTGATTCTGAAGAAATATCAAGTCTCTCGGAGTTATCTGAGGGGGGAAAAGTGAAAAATATGGATTCTGAGTGCTTCAAAAGCTTAAAATCAGTGTAAGAATCACGAAATGAACGTGTAAAATGGAGGTCACGGAACATTTTGGAGGGATCCGAACGCTTCTTTTCCTTCTCGAAGAAGTATCTTGCTTCTGAATGCTCAAAAATGCTTTTACAAGCTGAAAATGATTCCCTATGGTCTTCAGAAAAGACAGGCGGAGCTTGGAAGTAAATTATTCGTTTCTAAAGGCTTCTGAAGAAATATCAAGTCTCTCGGAGTCATCTGGAGCGGGAAAGGTGTTGCTTAAACTTCTGAATATGGATTTTGAGTCCATCGAGTTCAAAAATAAAGCAAATGAGTGTGAGAATCACGAAATGAACGTGTGAAATGGAGGTCACGGAACATTTTGGAGGGATCCGAAAGCTTCTTTTCGTCTCGAAGAAGTATTTTGCTTCTAAAGGCTCAAAAATACTTTTTCAAGCTGGAAATGATTCGGTATGGTCCTCAGAAGAGACAGGATGGTCCTAGAAGTCGAAAGCTAGTTTCTGAATGCTTCTGGAGCAATATAAAATCTGTAAGAGTCTTCTGAAGCGGGAAAAGTGAAAAATATGGATCTTGAGTTCTTCGAAAACTCAAAATCAGTGTAAGAATCACGAAATGAACGTGTAAAATGGAGGTCAAGGAACATTTTGGAGGGGATCCGAAGGTTGCCTCTTTCCGAAGAAGGTCACGCCGACCGACGGCGGCCAAGATTTGAGAAAGCGAAAGGGAACGTCGGCATTCACAACGGGGGGCGACGTCGTCAAAATTCTTTCTTTCTTTCGTTTCTGATTGCGATTGGACCGACGCCAGCCATCCATTCGACAAATCGGTTCCCCTTCAAATCGGAGAGGACGATTCCGAATTCAAGGTGATCCTCCCATACATATGTTCGGTTGGATGAATGGCTAGAAGCAATGGGATCAAGATTAGTTTAAAAAAAAAGGGATTTTTTGAGGCACGAAACATGTTATGTTAGATCCTGGGCTGCTCAAACCGCCTTGGTCGCATTTGGAATGGCTCGAACCTTGGTCGCGTCACAAAAACACCTTGGTCGCACTTGGAATGGCTCGAACCTTGGTCGCGTCACAAAAACACCTTGGTCGCACTTGGAATGGCTCGAACCTTGGTCGCGTCACAAAAACACCTTGGTCGCACTTGGAATGGCTCGAACCTTGGTCGCGTCACAAAAACACCTTGGTCGCACTTGGAATGGCTCGAACCTTGGTCGCGTCACAGAAATACCTTGGTCGCACTTGGAATGGCTCGAACCTTGGTCGCGTCACAAAAATACCTTGTTCGCACTGGGAATGGCTCGAACCTTGGTCGCGTCACAAAAACACCTTGGTCGCACTTGGAATGGCTCGAACCTTGGTCGCGTCACAAAAACACCTTGGTCGCACTTGGAATGGCTCGAACCTTGGTCGCACTTGGAATGGCTCGAACCTTGGTCGCGTCACAAAAATACCTTGTTCGCACTGGGAATGGCTCGAACGCGTCGCGGTTAAAACAACTTTTCTAGCCATTTTTATCTTTAGAAACTTCATTTAATCTCTTCAATGCCTTCAAGCGCAAGTGGTTTTGAGTCTGATTCAATGAATATGCTTCAAATCGCGACCTTGTATCATTACGCTCAAGAGAAAAAAACTCGAAAAATTTTTGCTTTTTTTGATAGTTTTTCTACAGCATTTTTTTAATGATTTTTAAGAAATATCGTACTCAAAAAAATAGATCAAGAAAACCAAAAAAATGTATATATCAAAAATTTAAAAAATTCGAAGATGAGCGTCAAATTTCACGTTCGTAATTTTTTCCTGGTTTTTATACTTTTTTTGGAAAAAAATAGAGTCCATTTTCAAGCTTAAAAAGCGACTTTTTACGAAGAAAAAAAAAAAAAAAATCATATGAATTCATTCCTTGGCTTAAAAAAACAAGTGAAAAAAATCCATTCAAAATAAAAAAAAAAAAAATTAGAGCAGGATTGGAAATATCATTGTAAAAGGGCCTGGAAAACAAAAATAGGTATAGAAAGTGACAAAGAAATAGAAAAATATGGGACGTATAAAAAATCAAAGATTCTCGAAAACTCAATGAAAACGAGGAGCAAAAAAGCAAAAAAATGAAGAAAAAGCCCATTTCAAGACATCCAAATTATCCAAAAGTCGGCTTTTCGTCACCAAAAAAAGCTGTCAGTTTGACGTGAAAATCGGCTTTCGGATCGAGAATCGAGGGACAGAAAAATCGATGGAAAGTGGTTTGATCGTGCGCGATGCAATATAAGGAGTGCGTGAGTGTGAAAAGAGTTTTGGCGAGTGAGTGAGCGGCGAGAGACAACGTTCAGGGCGGAGGGTCGGCGAGAGAAAACTTTGGATGAGGCGCGCCTCGCAATGGAATGAGTGACGTCACGGGGGGAGGCGACGACGTCCAGAAAAGACAATTCTGGAGTTCTGATGGCCATTTTATCGGTAGAGCACGTTTAAACATGAAAAAATAGCCGCACATTCAAAAAAAAAGAATTAAGATTCCAATTTTCTTTCTGAAAGTTCACTCACTGAAAATCGTTATATTTTTTTGAAAAAAATCCAATTTCTTCGTCTGACGGCTATTTTTATCGGTGGAGCGACATTCAACAGGAAAAAGGGCCGAAAGTTGAAAAAAAAAATTTAGATTTGAATTTTTCACTCACTGAAAATTGTTATATATTTGAAAAAAATCCAAATTTCCTCGTCCGACAGCCAATTTATCGATAGAGCACGTTTGAACAAGAAAAAATCGCCGTCTAATAAAAAAAATCTAACTTTTCACATGTTTCCACTTCTGCAATTTGAAAAAAAAAACTGAGTAAATAATTGACAAAAATATCCGGTTTCAAACGTAAGAAATTAAAAAAGAGGTGAATTTTCGAGTTGACGAAGTTCAACATAAAAATCACAAAAAATAAACTTCATGCGCTGATAATTTTTGAAGAAAAATCGGAAAAAAAATGGCCAAAAAGGGTAAAAGAGCGGAAATAAATCATTTTTCTCAATGGAACACACTTGATTCAAGAAAAATAGCCGCCAATTGACAGAGAAGCTAAAAAACAGAATTATGCTCAAAAATCGACTAAAATATGTCTGCGGTTCCTTCTTGATGTTATCTTCTACGTAATAACCATATTTATCAATGGAGCGCATTACGCGTGGAAAAATAGCCAAAAAATCTAGAATTTTTGGAAAATCAAGCTAACTTCCTCATTGACAAATCACTAAAAGAAGCAAGAAGGAAGGAAAAATTCTCACCGAAAAAAAATTTGAGCCTCATTTTTCCAAACAACAGCTGTTGAGGTTTTACTCTTGAGAAAATAAAACCGGAAAAGCGTCAGAAACCGCAAAGAAAACAACAAAGCAAGTCGAAAAACGCTTGTCACTTGTGAAGGGAGGGGCGGGGAAGAAAAATTGAAAGAAAATTTTCTGAGTTTGTGACACAAGAGACACATGTCCACGGAAGCTTCGTCTTGATAAATTGCTGTTATTCTTGGCCTCGAGATTCTCGCACTTTCTTCTTTTCGAGATTCAGAGTGATGGAGTTTTCTGAGGAGTAGATCAGAAAGAGGAGGATTATTCGAAAATCGCAAGGTTTTTGAAAATTCACATTAAATCTAGCTACTGCCATAACAAAACCAGAATCCAGAAGGGCATCAAAAGACCTTTAAAGAAGAACGGGAGATTTTTCAAAAACGGATCTCTAGGTGTCAAAGACTTCACCTAACTAGGGAACGTTCAAAAACCCGAAATAGCGCTTTTTTTGGGGGGTTAAAAACGTTTCCTTGTAAGCTCCTTTTTTTCAGAACAAATTCGGTTTTTTTGAATTTCCTTCCATTCTTCCTATATTGAAAAATTCATAACTCTTGATTTAAAAAAAGGATTCTTGGCCCCAAGTTATTCGCATTTTTTTCTCCGAGAATCAAAAAAATGAAGCTCTTATCATAATAATAATAAAGTATGCTGAAATCAAAAGTCCAGTTCAAACTGAAACTCCTTGAACAAAAAAAGAAGAAAATCCTCAAGTTTGTTCCGAAAGCTCTTTCTAAGCTCATTTTCAAAAAAATCCGGCTTTCTACGTTTGAAACCCCTAAAATCTAGGTTTTCAAAGGATTTTTTCCCATCAAAGTCATGAAAAATGCACTCGAAAGGGTTTTCCGAGACCCTTTCATTTAGAGGCTCCAACTAAGCTTTGAAAAAAGGTATTCAATCTAAAGTTCTAGAATAATGGTAATGATACATTGGATGAGAGCAAACTGGAAAAATCTGTAAAAAAAAAAGAGTATTTCATTTTTTCTTCTGAAAAAAACCTTAAAAGGCTACATTCAAAGTCCGTTTTTTATACTGGTAGCGTTCAGATCCTTAGGAGTCTCTAATAAATTGATTTTTTCCCTTAAATCTTCCCATTTTTTCATTAAATCTTTACTTGAACTACTGATAGGTACCCAATGAATCGTTAGAAAACTGAAAATTCGGTTCCAAGAAACTTCATACTTTATTTACGAGTGAAAAAATCAAACTATCGATTAAAATGGCCATTTTCTTCAGGTACAGGTCTATCAGAGCCTATATGAAAGGAGAAAAGTTCAAAAATTTGGATGTAAGGTCCATGTTTGGAGGGAAAGTCCAAGAGCAGGAAAAATGCTCAAATTATGCCCTAGGATCAAAAATATCGACGCGACTAACTCGGGCAAAGTCGGAATGGGTGATGATCGCCGCTAAAAGGGAGAGGCTCGAAAAAGGCAGCAAAAAGGCCGCAAAAAGACCGAAAAAAGGCCCCAAAAAGGCTTCAAAAAGGTTTCAAAAAGGCACCAAAAAGGCTGCAGAAAGGCAGCAAAAAGGCAGCAAAAAGAGTCCCTTTATCGAGCCTCCCATTTTTCTGGGATTTCAAAGGCTCGAGAAATGGTGAAGAAAGGGTGCATAAAAGCCGAGGAAATGGAGCATAAAGGCAGCAAAAGGACCCTTCATCACCCTAAAAGGAGAATTTCTATAGAGCTTATATGAGGTCCTTCCGACTTTGTCTATGCCATAAAACAGCTCAAAAGTGACATTTATCAACCTTTTTCTACCCGAGAGTCTTATATACCGAAAAAGCTCAAAAACCCTCCTTTCTCTCAAATCTTCAGCTTAAAAACGCGAAAGCTTCTTTGAAACACGAACAAAATAAAGCGCTCACTTTGGAAAGTACAGCCGAAAATGGCCGACCGTCGAACAAAACACGTTTATCGCCGGCCCGTCGCTCGTTTTTGCCGATGGGGCGCAATTACCGCCGAATTCTCCGCTTCATCGGAAAAATCGGGCCTTCAAATTGACGGTTACACGCTTTTAGAAGGTTGAAAAATGGTTTCTTTTTTTTTTGCAGTCTTTCAAGGTTCAAAACCTTCTTTTTCTTCAATTTCGAAGAAAAGAATAGAAGAATCTTTATTAGAATTTACCACCCGTGAGGAACAAGACGAGAAAATTGAGAAAAGAACAGGAAATTATTGAGAAAAAAAGGGTGAGGGGTCAGCAAAAATCGACTTTTTGAGTTTATTTCAAAAAAATTGGTCTAGATTTGTGGTTTTTAAAAAAATGAAAATGATCCAATTTTTCGGAAGAAAAAAAGTGAAAAAAATTAGCTTTTTTTCCTTTTTCTGAATCTCTTAATGTGTTATTTTTCTACTCAAATTTTAGATTTTTTTCAAATTTTTTTACTGAAATTCTTGCTACTGTGTAAAAGTATCCAGTAAAAATCGCTATAAAACGGTCGAAAATCGCTTTTTTCTCAGTAAAGAAATAAAAAATCCTTCTTCTTTATCCTTCCAAAATTCCGAAAAAAAGCACAAGATCAACCAAAAAATCCCCGAAATTCATCATTCCTTTTTCAGAAAATTCCCCCATTTTGCTGACCCCTGCCCCCAACTATAGCTGATCCACGGCTGGCATATATCATCGAAAAATGGGTCCTGACACGATAAAAACGAGCTAGTGTCTTGTTAAAAGAGAGCACAGACAGGCCACGCCCCCTTAGCATCCCAAGCCAGCCGTGAATGGACTATATCAGCGGGTTAACCAATCAAAACAGGTCCCGACACGAAAATTCAATTTCAGAGGACCGACGCATCGTCGGTACTGCTGCAAGACGTCGTCGAGCGGTCCAAGTCTTCGCTCTCCTTTTCCCGTTCTTTCAGAGCGTCGAGGAACGCGCCATTCACCTCCAGCCACCTGGAAAATTGCATTTCACTAACAAGCCCTTTTCCGTGTGTCACTTTGGCAATTCTGCAGGGCTAAAAGGCTTGGGAAAGAAATACTGGGGGGAGATAGGGACTTTTTGTGGTTATTTTGATGGAATTTAAAATTGAATTTAGCTTCTGTACAAAATATTACGATGAGAAAAGCTTGATGAATCAATTTTTAGTGGAAAATGGTCGATTCGCGTTGGAACTCTGTTTAATTTTCGAATCAGAATCAGGAAAATATAGGAAAAAAAAGCCGTTAAAAAGCTACATTTCGAGATTTTCAACACTGAAATTAGCAATACCACAATTTCTTGTCCAGAAACTCTTGTCAAAGTTATTAATTTATTTTTCCTACGAAATTCCTAATTCTTTTGGCTTCTGGTTCATTTGAAAGATTGAAAAAAACAAAAATCCAGATGATTTTGTCAATTTTTCTTTAACCATTCAAATGAGTCAAAATTCCAATTTAGTAAAGAAAAAAAATATAGAATCTCGATTTTGAAAAATTCTGAAGTTAATTTGAAACCTATCAACTTTAAACTCAACCTTTCAATACAGATCAATTTTTTAATAAATTATGAATTTTCAAAATTCTTCTTGGAGTAAGATCTAAGAGCTCTGTTAATAGTAATAATAGATGAAGCTTAAAAAACTGTACAAGAAAATATAATAATAATTGAAAAACGGAGATTTTCTCATTGTAAAAATGATGCTGGTTGAATCTTTCAGTGTTAAATTATCATACAAACTTTCAAAACCCACCATTTTTTTCATGAATATTTCAAAAAAATTCAGAAGACTGGGTGACTTGAAATTTTTTTAAATCAATCGTTAAAAATTTACTGTTAATTACCATCAAAAAAATAGTCTAAAAAGTTTAAAAACAAAAAAATAATAGAAAACTTTTTCATAATGATAATTGACTCAAGGCTGAACTATATTTCCCTAAAAATTTAAAAGTATATTTTTTAAACATTCAAAAAAGCTTCTTCTTTTTCGAAGTATCATTTTTCTTCTGACAAAAGTAAAAAGTCACTTCAAGGCCTAGTAAAGAAATGATTCAGGACATGATTCACATGAGAAACAATACGATTTCTCTCATATCTCAACAAAAAATACGAATTTTATAAAACGACCAACCTGGCAATGTAATTGCTGTCATTGTCGACTGAAAGTTGCTCATTCGAGCCAATTTTATAAAAAGGAAGGTGGAGAATCGGATGATTTTCTTCGCGAATTTCGACTTTCGTCACGTGAATCGCGTTGATATCGCCGATACTCAAAGCCCGGCCATCTGAATAATTTATTTTACTCAAAACATGGAATCAAGTGAAACCTCGTCTATAGAAATTGAACCAGAGTTGAAGTTGGCTAGTGGTTGGGTCAAACAAAAGATGAAGTTGGCGATTCAGCATTTCTTGTCCCGAATTGACCATTGTCGATTGCTTGGCCATAACCCCGACATCTGTCTGGAGAAAATTGATTCATAAAAAAAAGGAAATATTCTTAATCGCGAATAAAAAAAGTAAATATTCTTTATCGCGAATAAAAAAAAAGATTTTGAAGGGTTATTATCAAGTGATCCCTCATGCCGTGTTCTATTTGATTCCGCGAAATGCAAAATGATCTCTGACTCTCCAAAATCTAGTGATCTTTTCCTTTCTCTAACGGGTATTTTGCATTTCGCGGAATCAAATTGAACACGGCATCAAGGATAAAGATATTGTTTACAATTTATATTTCCATCCTACTTACAGAACCCTTCCCTTGGACACGCGCGACGTTTCTCTGTGCATGCGCCTTTAATTAAACCTAAAATTTTCGATAATTCAACATTTTTATTTGGCCTTTTTTGGACTACTCTTTGAAAGGCAGATAGACCTGACCTCAAGCATCAAAAATAGCCCAAATTTCCCGTCAAATTAAAGGCGCATGCACAGAAATAAACCGCGCACTTCAAACAGAAATATTCAGTCGGAAAAAAAAAATAGTGACAGGTTGGCCTGGAATATACTATGCTCAAAATTATTTCAAGACGGTCCAAATTCTTAACAAAACTCGCGAAATCACCTGGAACAAGCCATCACTATTGGAAGGATGAAAAAGGAAGAAATGATAGGGAAAAGATTCACGTTTTTTTATTGCTGAAGTAATTTCAAAACACACAATTCAAAAAATATCGAATACTGAAAGTTCATAGAAAATCTTCTAATTCGACAAAATTAAAAGTTGCTTCCGAATTGAATTTTTAGAAAGGATTAACAAAATATAAATTTTCGATTGACTTTTAATCGAGTCAATCTAAACATATGTGATAAAATGCTTTGGAAATCAAAATGATACTACTGGAAGGACTTTTGGAAGAGTTTCAACGATTAACCTCCTTTAAAAGCTAATTGGAAGCTTTGGAGACTTTAAAAAAGCTCAAAAAAAAAAAAATTATTTTTGAGGAATTAACGCCAATTTTTGATCAAGAATCTTTTTCCCGAAGCAAAAAAAGGTTCTCCTCAGAAATAATTTATTAAAATATGAGCTTTTTTTCTAATGTTACCCAGCATTTGGATCAAAAAAAGGATTTATGTCAAAAAAATTGAAAAAAATCAGAATTAACCGTTCAATCCGTAAAAAAATCACTGGAAGTTTTATTCGAGAAAAAGTTTTTAAATTTCCTGAGGCTTCTGGGCTCTGAAAAATCATTACAATGAGGTTTTTTTAAACATCCTAACAACAGATTTAAGAAAAAAAAAGCTGCATTAAAAAAAAACAGAAAAAAAATCAAGACTTCTAAGCTTTTCCGAACCTGATGAAGGGTCCATTTGGGCTTCTCGTGGCTCTCGTCATTCTGCCGGACGAAATCGGCGAGTTGCTGCTGGAACTGACGTCGGGACAGTGCAGCCATGGGAATATCGCCGGTCTTTTCTTCGCATCCGAGAAATTTCTCGGGGGGCAGCTGTCCGCCGGGCAACGTAACTCAAGAACGCAACTTTGGCCTCTGCTTTTTTTTTTCCTATTTCTTTCGCCTTTTTTTTCGCAGTTGGTTGGGCTTTCTATCGTTTTTCTTTTTGGGAAGAGGAGGAAGAGTAGAGGAGGCGGCAGGTGGCGAGGAGGCAAACACTGCCTCCGCCGCCCCTTTTTTGGCCAAATTCTTTTGCTCATTGGAACCCCTCCTAAGTAGCTGTGAGTTTGAGCTGATGTGTGCGAGAGGGAGCTGCGGAAGTTCGGCTCGGGAATTCATTCGCCTTTTTTTTTTCGCATGGCTCGATTATAAGGCCATTCATCGAAGCAGCAACGCTTCGAAATCCGCATTTTGAAGCATCATAGATTACATTTCTTGCTCTCCGAAGGAGATAAGTTCGAAAAACAGCGGTTAAAAAGAACATTTGGAGAAAGATAAGAGGGAAACAAGCTTAGAAATGATAAGGACTATCTTGGCAACTGAATAAAACTATAGGAAATTAGAAAACAAGCTTCAAGTCAGATTTTCAAGCATCACAGATTAATTTCTAGTGATGGAAGATATGAAAAACAAGTCGAATCTTCACATTTACCTTGGCTAAAATCTTATTTTATACAATCCTCAAGTCCTTCAGAAGCTAAATCATACTTACTTACTTACTTTGAAGCTAAATCATACAGAAAAAAAATACAGAAATTTTGGAGACCCTTGATGAAAAAGGTGCTTGGCAACAGGAAAACGAGAAGAAAAATATCTTCATATACAAAAAAAGACGCGATTTTCAAGAGGAAAGGAAAGGTGATACGAATTGTTAGTAGTCGATTTTCCAGGTACCTGAAAAAGGAAATTGCAAAAAAAGCTTTGAAAAGCGATTTTTTTTTGATAGACTATCTCACCTTTCAGTATACGCAAAAAAGCTTAAAAATACATAAATCAGTGGGGAAAATAAGAAAGACAAGAAGAGTGCCCGATCTCGTCAGGGCTGTGTAAGGGCCGACCCGACAGCCTGCTGGTCCCACCAGTCGTTTTCTAAGCCCGGCTATTTCGAGGCCTCAATCAAAAACGGGCGGTCCGGCCCAGAAAGTCCTTGCAATGGCCGGGGATAGAATACGACTGGAGGACCAACATTCTCACGGGCCCCTTCTTGCATGACCCTGAGCAAGAACGGGCGGTCCGGCCCAAAGAGGGCACAAGTCGAATATCAGACCTTTCAAGATAAGAATCATCTTTTTAAAATAGTCTATTCCGCGCCAGCTTGTCACGTTTTTCTTACCGCCAAAAAGACCGTATACCAAATTAGATCAAATTTCTGCTTTTATAACGGCAAAAAACAAAGGTCTTGAAGCGAAAGTTGGTTAAATTTGACCTGGCCTTTTGGCGGAACGAAAAACGTGACAAGCTGGCGCGGAACGGCCTATATATATATATATTTTTTTATTTTTGGGTTTCAACAGAAACTAGAACATAACTAGTAAAAAAAACTTTTTCGGGAAAGTTTGAGCGGGCTTGAAACATTTTTGACCAAATTTAAAACTTTCTATCCGAAGCCTGTCCTAGGCCCGCGAAGGCTTCTTCGCAAAAATGAGGCCCAAGGCTCGGGCCGGCCCAGTCTGAAGCTTAAGCCCGGCTTAGGCCCAGCGCATCGCTTCCGGTAACCGGCACTAGCACTTGTAAAATACCCGTTTGGCAAAATTGTTACTTTTCAGAACTACTTTGTGAATTATTCGTTTTCAGCCGCTGTTTTAAGCTATTTTCTATTCTGAGTCTCCGGATGAGCTACTCAACTAGATATTCTTTCCTTAAAAACACACCTGTTTCACCTGCGACTGGCCAAAAGAGCCGCAAGGATCCCCCCAACGACAACGGCTCCACCTCCAACGATAGCCGCGCCGAGCAGGCCATCTTTTCTCATTTTTTCTTTGATGTTCTTTTTCAAATCCGAGGCCTGGCGATTGTGAGACTCGGCATTGAGCAGAACATCGATATAATTCAAAGCCCGATCGAATTTCTTCATTCGGGCGTTGGCCACAGCCAGAAAGTACAGATAATCGCGGTTGCTGCCGTAGTCCAAATCTTCTCGGAGGAGATCTTCAAAAAGATCGATCCCTTCTTTGACTTCTTCCTTGTTCCTTGATCCAATCAGCGCATGAGCATAGGAAAACTTGGCGGCAATGCTTGGAGATCCGATAGCGGCTTGTCTTTGGTAAGCTTCTCGAGTTTGAAAAATATCGATTGGGTCGATTCGTTCGTCCAGAATATTCCTGTGGTCCATCCTGAAGGAATCTGATTTTTAATTGAATTAAATTCATAAATGATCATCAAAAAGTGTCCTAATATACAAAAAAGAGCAAAACAATAGGTTTCTACATTTTCCCTTGCTCCATTTGGCCACGGCGCCGTACGGCGTTTTTTTTTTTATACGCAAGTCAATACTTCTCGTAAATTATGGTGCTTAGTGTGTAAACACACCGAGACGCATTATCGCATACTCGAATATTTTTTTTCTAACTTTATTTTGAAAGCTTATGCCGTGTTCAAAGTGATTCCGCGAAATTTAAAATAGCTGTCAGAGAAAGAGAAAGATAACTAAATTTTGGAGGGTCAGAGACCATTTTGCATTTCGCGGAAATTACTTTGAACACGGCATTATTATTCGAAATTAAAGATAAATAATCCGATAAAACCCTTGAGAAACACTGAAATCGTTTGAAATTCGATAAAAAGGAAAAAAAAACCCGAAAAATCTCATTTTTCAAGCCTAGAACTTATCATGGGCTTCAAATTCTAAATAAATTACCTGATAAATTCAAAAACTACAAGGAAAAGCCTCTTCGAATCAATTATATGCTTTCCCCGAGGTTATTTTTGCAATAGAAAATTCGCTCCATTGATAAATAATCTTTCACAGAGTAAAAATCAACTGAAAATCGCCTGGAAAAGCAAAAAATTCCACAATAAATTTTAATTTTCACAAATATGTACAAAAATATAGAATCTGCAACAATACAGGGCAAAAACCAAAAACGAAAAATTTTTTTATTAAATCCTCAAAATCCAGAGAGTAACCAATAAATTATCATAGAAAATAAATCTCTGAACAAAAATACAAACGAAAAATACTACAACGGGATATTTCCATGCTTCTTCCACGGGTTATCAAGCTTCTTATTTTCCAACATTTTGAAGTCCTCGCAAATTCGTCGCCTTGTACTTGATGGCTCGATTATGTCATCGACGAATCCTGAAATTCGACATATACTTACTTTTAAGATACTTTTTTTGCTCTTTAAAAAAAGCTTCGAAATTTTCGGAACTCGATAATGAAAACTGGACGCGCTCGGACTTTTCTGAGCACTTCTAGGGGTCACTTAAGAGGTCTGACGCTACTAAAGTGGTCACTAGAAATCACAGAACCATCCTAATCGTTTATTTAACTAAATATGCAACAATTCAGTTATTTTTGTGGTGAGAAAGTCGAAAAATAGGGAAATTTCTTTAACAGTACCAAATCTCCTGGATATCATTATATCAGTTCATTTTTGTTGACATAACTTCACTTTTGGTTTTTTTTTTCAATTTATCCCTCTTTTAGAGACTTTGATGGACCTTTCATGAGCCCTCAGGAATTGGAGATTGGCTTGAAAATTGCGCCTGACCTAAAGCGACTTTCGCGCAGTGACAGCCATACCTAGGTAAAATTAAAGTCAGGGGTACAGAAAAACCACGACATTTTAAGTCATTTAGTAAGTTCTAGAAAACATTTTTCCACCAATTTTCCCTTCCCTACCCCGAACCGCAGCCGGGAACGGGTTGCTGAACAGTTCCGTATACTCTTCTTCTCTTTTCGCCGCATCTTCGCCCTTGTTTCGGAACAGAATCGACACGGCACCCTTAAAAAGCGCAAATTTCAATTTTATATTTTTTTCCCAAACTTTAGCCCCCATGACGGCGATTTCGGCGCTCGGCCAAGCATAGTTGATATCGCCCCGTAAATGTTTTGACGCCATCACATCGTAAGCTCCACCGTAAGCCTACAAAAATGAGGTTACTGTAGGTCTTAAAAATCCTCCGAGTGCTCTCTTTCAGAAGAAATGAGCTCAAGATTGAAAGAATTTTTTTTTCTTGGAAGCTATCGTACTTAAGATTACAGTAATCACTAGAAAGGTGCTACTCTTTTGGACTACTCTCATTTATGCCATTTATTCTTTGCAATAGTCTATTTTTGTTGGATAAAACCTTTTTTTCAAGAGTAGCACCTTTCTAGTGATGACAGTAATCTCGACTACGGTAGACTTCGAAAAATGATTTCAAAGACGTCCTGCTTGTGGCAAAGCCTGCACTAGAACTTAGAAAAACTTGATTCCAGAGCCCTGGTCACAGTAAAAATTCAACAGGAGCATCACCTTCCTAGTGATTACAGAAATCTTGGTTACGGTAGGTGTAGCGAAATTCAGCTATCATTAAACTCCTAAGACTTGTTTCTGGACCAGATTTTGAAAACTTCGATTTCATTATTTTTTTTTTTGGGACCCATTATGATCTGTTAAAAGGTTAGAAATTTCATTCCAGAGCCCTGGTCACAGTAATATTTCAACAAGAGCTACACCTTCCTAGTGATTACAGTAATCTTTGGTACGGTAGGTGTAGAAAACTCGGGTTTCAAGGAACTCAAGATCTGTGTGAGCCTGATTCTATAAAATTTGATTTTGATTTTGATTATTTTGTTAAAACCAAAAATTATCAAAGCCCTGGTCACAGTAATATTTCAACAAGAGCTTCACCTCCCAAATGATTACAGTAGTCTTGGGTACGGCAGGTATAATGAAACCCTATAAGCTCTGAACCTGATTTTAAATATTTCGATTTCATTATTTTCTTTGAGAACCATGATAATCTGTAAAAAGGTTAGACGTTTTATTCCAAAGCCCTGGCTACAGTAATATTTCAACAAGAGCTTCACCTTCCTAGTACCTAGGGTACGGTAGGCACAGAAAATTTGGGTTTCGAAAAATTGCTAAGACCTCTAGACCTAATTTTATTAAATCTTCAAGAAAATTTCTTATTTTTGGAAAAAAAAAGTTAAGAATTCCAATACAAAGTCTATCTCAAGTTACTGTAGTATAATCCCAAGTTACTGTGCTAATCCCGAGCTTTAGCAGTTACTGTAGTAAGAATTCAACAAGAACTTCACCTTCCTAGTGATCACAGTAATCTTGGGTACTGTAGCTTCGGCGAAGGCGTACAGAAGCTTGGCTCCGTGGCGAATGATGCCACCGTACTCCTGAGCAGTCCCTTAAGAAGTTTTTTGTTTTCAACATGGGTATTTTGAATGCCTGGCAAGAATCCAGGAACATCAACGAGTGTGATGAGAGGGATATTGAAGGCGTCGCAAAATCGGACAAATCGAGCCCCTTTCACTGAGGAGTTGATGTCTAGGCAACCTGAAATCGAGTTTCTTGAAAATCAACTTTATAAACTTTTTCAAAGTGGTTTTTTTCATTTAATTTTTTATATTTAAGGACAAAAAATGGAGAAATCGTAACTTCCGGTCACAAAATTACACAAACCAGCTGAAAATTTGGGATTATTGGCGACGATTCCAACCGAACGGCCATTCATCCTTGCGAACCCAACGACAATGTTCTAAAAAAAAAAGGACATTTTCTCAATTTTATTAAACAAAATTATCTTCACAATTTGTTTCAATCAGAAGCACAAAATGTCGAAAAATGACTTGATAAGAAAAAATGACCATTTCTCATGGAAACCTTGGCATAATCAGGCATAATTTCGAAGAAAATCTCCTCATCAATCAGCGCCAAAATCACATCCTTCATATTATAGGCCTTCGTGCTTTCCAATGGAATCACATGGTTCAAAGATTTGACGACTCGATCACTGAAATATTGATAAAAATTGAAAAAAATAAATACTTTCCATGATTTTTGAAAAACCTTCTAATTTTTCTAACCTTCCAAAAACTTCCAAAAAAAACCAAAAATTTTCAACATAATCAAATATTTTCTGGATTTTTGAAGATTTTAATGAAGACCCTGAAGCTCTCTTTTTGAACTCAATCGAATTTTTAAAGTCAGTTGAGATTTGGAAAGTCAAATCATCGCTCAAACTCCGCCCCTTATGCTTAGATCAAACCATTCAAAGCGATGTTGGGGGCGGAGTTTGCTGTTTGACAAATATGAACAGATCACGAACACGGGAAGTGCAGTTATTGGAATTTGATGAAACTTGGTATATAGGTATTTTCCGACACCCTGAACCCAAAGAAGTTGAAAAAAAGTGCGCATTTTTGGTTCTAGTAGAGTTATAGCGCCTCAAAGTTTACACCCAAAAACGAATTGGATGGAAGGAGGGAATGTGTTGCGGTGGCTAACTCTGACTGTCAGTAGGCGGCGTGGTGTAGTGGCTAGTGGCCTTGCGCTGAGGAACTTGACATCCAGGTTCGAATCCTTTTCGGTGAAATTTTTTTTGCCATTTTTTATTTGTAAGCAGTTAACCCATTCTTAACCCAAAAATCGATATCAAATCGATTTTTTCGACTATTCCTACACAAAACTCGCTTATCGGAGTCCATTTTTCTCGATTACCTCGGATCATCAGCCTTGATACTCGGCGGCTTTTCTCTGTTCGATTGGGGAAGATACGCAAAAAGGTCACGAATATTGAGCAACGCATCAACGTCATTGTCAAAAGCTCCATAGGCGACTCCTTTGATGGAAAATAATTAACTAGAGCTTCAAGAGCTGTAATTAACCTGACGTTACAGTATGAGTTTTTGCGCCGCCCAACTGTTCCTGAGTCACTTCTTCATTGGTCACAGTTTTCACGACATCCGGTCCGGTTATGAATAAATAGCTCGTGTCTCTAACCTGAAGAAATTTGCTGGAATAGGATCGAAAAGTAGGGTGAAACGCTTGTTCAAGGCGGCCGGTCGTATTACGGTAGTTTAGAAACGTTTTTTTGTATTATCCTCTAGTCATCTAGACGTGTCTGATACTATTACCTCTAGAGATAAATTTAAAAAAACATCGAATTCTAAAAAAATCTCCTTGCTTCGAAACAAACAGCGAAAGATTTGCCGCACACGGTTTTTTACGACGCCCCGCACACATTTTTTTCCGTAAAGTGTAGTGTGTCGTGTGCATACACCGCGGCGCTCTCGCACATTCCATGTTCAAAGTAATCGCGAAAATTATCTCTGAATATCCAAAATTCAGTTATATTTTTAGCTCTCTGGCGGCTATTTCGAAATTCGCGGAATCACTTTGAACGCAGCAAGAGAAGAATCGCGTCTGTTTGAATTTAAAATCGACTCGTCTCATGACCCATTGAACATGCGCCTTTAATATTCCCTGTTTTTGACGCTTATTTTCCATGACGTCACATGAAAAAGACGGAGTTTTAGCTCCGCCCCATTTATTAATGATTTCACATTTCCTTCACATTTTACACTAACAAAAACCGTCCAACAGTTTTGTGCACACACCGTTTACGGACCTCCACTCCTACAGTAACCTTTGCAATCGAAAAAGTTCCAATCTCTGTTTGATATTGCATTTTTTTTCTAAAACAAAAACCATAAATGTGAAATCCGTGAGAGCCGGTGAGTAAACTGCGCCACCAGCACATGGGCCCATAATCAGGGAGATTTGCGGGACGACTCCGGAAGCGAGAACGTTAGCCTTTAAATGATCATTGAAAAAAAAATAGGACAGAAAAAGATAAAATAAGAACCTGAAAGATATCGGCATAACCGGCCAGCGAATCAACGCCTTCTTGGATTCTGGCGCCTCCAGAATCATTCAGCCCGATGACCGGGGCTCCGACTCTCATCGCCGCCTCAAATAGTTTCAGTTGTTTCGGATAAATCTTATGTTGGTCAGTAGCACCCGTCGGAGTTCTCGGTAATGGAAACTTCGGACGTTTCTGAGCAATTCTAGGGATCACTTAAGGGTGCTGATGCTACTAAAGTGGTCACTAGAAATGCTACTGCCATAACCCGGTGTCTTTGAACGATCCGGGCGATCTGCTGGATTTAAACGGGAGCTATACACCGCTGAAATTTGGGTTTCGGGTGAACGACGGTAGCATCCGCGGGTGCTACTGGCCAACATGAGGAATCATTTTGAAACCCTGCCTTCATAATCTTGACAATCTTCTTGGCGTGAACAGCCGACAAGGAGCCTCCGAAGACGGTGAAGTCTTGCGAGAAGACAAAAACCGTCCGTCCATGGATCAGACCTTGGCCAGTGACGACAGAATCACCGTAATACTCAAAATAGTTACATCAACGTAGTGGTTTGAACATTTTATAACGGATTAATCGGGAAATTATAATTTTCTTAAGATATATGTATTTAAAAAAACTGAAGAGAATCCTGAGAAAAACGGGAAAAAAACATGATTTTTTTCGACTATTTTTTTAAAAAAACTGGTATTTTTTTAATTTCAGGAATTTTTGACCGGTTTTTCCGGGTCATAAAGTAATCAATGACTGGCATATGAGATGTTTTTGGAATCAGCGGAAAATCTAGTATTTTTCCAGACCTTAACATTCCAAGTTGTCAGAAAATTTTTAAAATGAGTTTTTGAATCTAGAGACCTGGAAGTCAAGAAATACGAATTTTCCATCCAGTTTTTTCGGGTCGAAATGTTGAGAATAATCAAGAAATGAGGTGTTTTTAAGACCAGCGGAAAATTTAGAATTTTTCAATGCTTTTTAAGGCCATTTCTGAAGTACGAAATAATTTTCGAAATGCATTTTTAGGCCGTGAGAGGAGTGTTACACCGGAAGGGTCACCGGCTCTTCCGTGTAAGCTTTAGACGTGTTGAAGGCAGACTGTCATGAAGTCTTTATTCGTGAGCCTCACACGCGTCTGGCCAAGACGCGTGCAGGGGAACCAAGTGAGATACAGGCGTGTCTGCCGGAGCAATTACACGCCGAGAGCATCGCTCACACATGAATACAATAAAACGGAGAGAGATAGTATTCCTACTGTAACAGGAGCGACATACGAATTTTTTTTTTCAAGTCAAAAATTCCATTTTCCTCGTGTACCTTCTCCTTTTGCATCCCGAAATCGGTACAATTATGCTCCATAAATTGACCATATTCTCGAAATGAGTCCAAATCCAGCAGGCAATGAATTCGTTCCCTTGCCGTCAGTTTTCCCTGGAAAAATTCTCATATTTTCTTGTTCTATTTTAAAAAATCACTTTTTTATGTTGAGCCTCAATTCTTTTCGAGCCGCCGCCTTGTAGAGCCGTAGCGCGAGCCGATTTCACTTTTTTTCGGCGACTTTTTAGAGATTTCACGGAAATGTTCGAGGATAACGCTCTTTGGAATAGTATCTGAAAAGCGAATGAAGAAAAAAAATGAAGAAAAAAAGTCAAGGCGTGATTTCAATTGAATGGAAACCAATAGAAATCTTCGAAATGCTTAAAAATTTATGAAAAAAGGGTCTAGTTTTTCTTATGTAGCCAAAGAAAATTCAAAAGAAGGTTTATTATTGAAACAAGGTTCTCATGTTTTGAAATTGGTTCAAAATTAGGGAAAATGAAGAAAAAAACTAAAAATTGTTAACAGAAGGGGAATGAATTGTGACTTTTTCGAATTTCACAAATGTTCTATGCTTTTGAAAGAAAAAATCTTTCATCTTAATATTGAAAATCCTTTTCAATTGACAATCCCAAACGCTGAATTTTCTTAGTTGACATTTTTTTCTACGATTTTTTTGACAAAATAATCAATTTCAAATGATTTTATAAATAATCATAGAACTAACCCGACTCGAGCTCCTAGAAAAAGTTGGCAAACGGCTTGAAATTCTCGAAAACATCCTGGATCAACGGATATAATACTGAAAAATGAAAGAGACAGGACAAGTTAATAAATGATGAAAAAGAGAAACGTGGCACTTAATTTTAAAAACCGGGATAAAGTTCATTTTTCGTTTGAAAGTCTCCAGAAATCCTAGTTTTGAAGTTAGAATTCCCAATTTTCGAAATCTGGATTATTCATTACAAGATCAACTTTTCAATTACAAAATATCGAAACTTTGCCATTTTTCCTTGAAAAACATCAACACGAAAAAGTAAAAAAATTGAATCTGGAACATTTTTCTTCTTCAGAAAAACAGTGTAAAACCACGAAAAAAATAGTTTATTGAGCAATCAAAAAAATTATAAAATAAGTAAAAATCCTATCGTCACTGCTTGCGCTGAGACTGAAGGTACACGTATCGTTGCACGAAAATGATAATTATTGAAATGACCTGAAATAAATAATTTTCTCTTTTTCAAACCAGATCTACCTGCATAACTCCACAAGTTGATAAAAATATCGTTTTCCAAACTTGATCCTTTTGACAGGTATTCAAGATAACTGGACTGGTTACCTGGAATTATCGATTTTCTTTCAAAAACAATTTTCTAGAAGGCTTTTGGATGTGTTCCGAGAATAGAAGAAGTTGTACTCCTTTTTTTGCGATTTGAAAATGCTTTTTTTCTCTGCAGCCCTCTCATATTTGCGTGCTGTTTTCATGTTTCTCTGACCTAGCCGGTGAGGGAACAGAGAGACGCAGACACGCAGAAAAAAGAGAAAATCACACCTCAATCGGCGAATTTTCACTAAACTCGTCCCTCGACAATACTAAGAGCTGAAAAAAACATTTTTCAGAATAATTCCTGAAAAAAACCAAAACCAACCTTCCCGGCTTCAACCTCAAAAGTAAGCCTTCCATTTTTGTCCTCATTTCTCTCCGAATGACTTCTGGGCATTCTCCTTGGGGGGCATAATAGACGTAGGAAGCGTTGGGCAACGGCAGAGCTTCTTCAGAAGTTGGCGAGGCGAAAATTTGGGACAAAGTCTCCGTGTGGAAGCCATCACCTGGTAATATTCATCCGATTTCCAGTTGAATTTTCCGATTTTTCAAATTTTTCGATCAATTTTTGAAAGCACCTATAGAAATTTCAGGTGTTCTGCAAGCCTTTAAAACCGTTTTGAGTCAATTCTAGTGATTACTCTAGTGGTTTAAGAGACTCTAAAACGGTCACTAGTACGTTCTGCCAGTCATTTGGAGGATTCCCCGCTATTTAGTGATCACTCAAGTGGTTTGAGTTTCTTTTTGATGCTCAATTGAACTGGTAGGGCTTTTTTCAAGTCATTTTGAAGATTCTTAGCCACTCAGTGATCACTCAAGTGGTGATTTTCCAGTGCTCACTTGAAAAATATTTCGCTGAACAAATTGACGGTTGTCCGGTATTCAGAGACCACTTAAGCGTTGTTAGAACTTCTGAAGCGGTCACTAGAACTTGTAGAGTGTTATTCCAGTCATTTGAAGGATTCTTGGTCACTCAGCAGCCACTTAAGTGCTGTTAGAACCTCTGAAGCGGTCACTAGAACTGGCAGAACGTTTTGCCAATGATTTGGAGAACTCTTAAACCCTAAGTGACCCCTTAAGTGCTTTCAGAACTTCTGAAGCGGTCACTAGAACTGGCAGAACGTTTTGCTAATGGTTTGGAGGATTCTTGTCCCCTAAGTGACCACTTAAGTGCTGTGAAAATCACTGTAGCGGTCACTAGATCTGGTAGAGTGTTATACCAGTCATGTAGAGGATTCTCGACCCCTAAGTGACCACTCAAGAACTGTTAAAGCCTTTGAAGCGGTCACTTGAACTGGCAGAACGTTCTTCCAGTCCTTTGGAGGATTCTTAACCCCTAAGTGACCACTCAAGTTCTGTTAAACCCCTGAAGCGATCTCTTGGACTTGCAGAACGTTTCACCACCAATTTTGACTACTTTTAACTTCCCAGGGACTGCTGAAGTGATGTTAGAGCCTCTTTAGTGCTCACTTGAAGAAGAGGAGAACGTTTTTTTTTACATTGTTCCAGTCGGTCTCATTAAATGAACTCCAAAAATAGTGACCTTCAATATTTCTTCGAAAATATTCACCTTCAGGTCCAATCGGCTTGATCTCGAGCCCATAATCACTTCTGCTAGGTAGTTTACTGCCGGCTCTCGTATTTATTGAAGCCGAAGAAGTGTCATAAACCTAAGAATTTTATCTTCCTCAAGAGCTGGATTTTTCAAAAACCTTGCTAGCCATGTCCATGAAGGGGTATTTAGGTGGAGGTGGGGTCGAATATCTGGAAAAATGTTTATTATCAATTATATTCTTCAAAATCACATAAAAAGCTTTAAAAAGTTCTATAGTCCGTTTAGTTTTTGAATGTAAAGTAGAATGACGTCATTCGAAAACACTCTGTGGATGGCTCGCTCTCTGATTGGTTTATAGCGCCATTAGGGGCGGAGCTTGAGCGAGGACTTGACATTTAGAATCTGAACAGACTATAGCTTCTATTGGTCGTGTAACCGATTCACGATCAGCTCAAGACCCTAAGGGGGCGTGGTCTGTCTGCGCTCTCCACCAACCAGGCACTCTCTCCTTTTTTATCGTGTCAAGACCCTTTGTGATGGCTTAAGCCAGCCGTGAATCAGCTATATAACAAAAAATGACACGGTACAGCACTAAAGTTAATTTTTCTTGCATTAAGCTGTTCTAAACTTCAAGGCGGCTGTTATTTAAAAGTCGATATTGAAATGCAACCGACCGAGAACGACTTGCGCGCTGGGTTATGGCAAGCTGGTCAATTCTTCAAAAACAGTAAATGACTCGTTCGAAAAATACAATGGGTCGTGAATTTTCACAAAAATGAATAGTTTCGACTAACGAGATTTTTTTAAGGACCAAGAACTAAAGTTTTTGAAAAAACTACAAGTTTATGACTAAATTGAATTCCGACAACTAATATTATTCGCTGTACCTTATCAATTACCCTCACTCTCTCTAATTTCCACAGGAAAATCTACAAGTATCTTTTTTTCCAGTTATCAGAGGCCTACACACGACCAAAGCCCAGATGATCGCAGTTGAGAAAAAAAAAGTTTTCCAAAAAAAAATTCCTCCTATCAAAATCGTCATGATCTTTCAAGTTCTACGCCTTCGTAGGATACAAAGAAACCGGATAAAGCTACAAATTTCCCTCAAAATCCAAAATTATTCGCCTCATGGTTCTCAACGGCTCTGTACTCGTTGGCCTCGCGGTTGTAGATGTCCAGCCTTCTTTTTCAGGTCTATACTTGGGTCTGTTCTCCGTGTACTGCACCGAAATCGGCGGAAACTCCACAGGATGACAGGTGGGAGGCTGGAAAATGCGGTTAATCTTGGCAAGACACAGAGGAGTTAAAGTTACAGTAATCCCTTCACAGCCCTGCTCGGCCCGTCGGCAAACAGTTATCTGGCAGGTGAAGTGGACCATCATTTGGTCGGCGAAACGGAAGGCTCTGAAGCTTTTCAATTTTTCATTTATTCATTATTGAGTGGTGAGATTTATGAGCAAGCTACCTGATAACGGTAAAAGCCGTAGATTGGTCCTCACTGTACTGGATTGCCGGTACAAGACCTTCATCCGTCACGCAACTTAATAAAAAAAATTGAAAACGTTGATCCATTTAGAAACGCCAGAGTGGTCCCTATAGGGGCAACCACAGCTCGGGTAAAGTCGGAATGGTGAAAAATGCCCGATAAAAGGGAGAGGCTCAAAAAAGGCCGTAGAAAGGCAGCCCAAAGGCTCAAGAATGATGCGAAAAAGGAGAGGCTGCGAAAATGGTGCGCAAGAGCCGATGAAAAGGCGCCAAAAAGCAGCAAAAAAGGAAAACTTCTATGGAGCTTTTTTCCAGCCTTTCCGACTTTGCCTATGATACAAGGGCGGTAGAAACGTAAAAAATAGAGGGGTTGAATTAGGAAAATTTGAAACATTAATGTATAGAAGTAATTTTTAGCTGATCGTCCTAAAAAATAAGATGAATTTTGATCCTTATTAGGTAACCCTTTTAGACTACAGAACAAGGAAAAAATTCTTGCAACAGAGTTTTTTGAAGTCAACATTTTTAGTAGCTTTAAAGAGCGCCTTTTTGTCATAATTTGCGTAGTTTGCAAATTTTAACGCTTTTCAAGTCGAAAAAGGTCTATATACGTGAGTGGCCCTTGGAAGGGAGATAATATGGTCCCTAGAGGGAACCCTTCAAAGGTCTTTAACATGGGCAAAGCCGGAAAGGGTGAAAAAAGGCTCCATAGATGTCCCTTTTGGGTTGAAAAAGGTTCCTTGTTTGCTGCCTCTTTGCGCCATTTTCTCAGCCCTTTAGCACCATTTTTGCTACCTTTCCCTTTTCCTACCATTTCTTGAGCCTTTAAAATTCCAGAACCAATGGAAGGCTTGTCAGAGGGACTCTTTTTGCGGCCTTCTTGAAGCCTTTCCGCTGCCTTTTTAAAGCCTTTTTTGAGCCTATCCCTGTTAGCGGCCACTATCCCCCATTTCGACTTTCCCCGATATGTTCGAATTCTCACCCCCTCTCATCGACCAGAACATAATCCTTGCCAGATTCATCCCGTACAAAGCAGGAATGAACCAAGAAGCCGATGTCCCCTGAAAATTCAGTTTTTTTTTTCGCTCTTCTCAAAACCGATAAACTCGAATCACATGTCCATTTGTGAACGACGGCGTCGCCAACTTTTGCAAATTTGATGGTTGGTCCATTCAGTGACTCCGAAAGTACATCATATCGACAAGTGGGGGCGTGGTTTTGCTCCAGGATGTCCGTGTTGAGCTCTCTGAACAGATATTCTTTTGGAAAATTGAGCTCTTCACGTGTTTCATTTTTTTCAAACTCCATGATAGCTTCAGAAGCTTGAGCCTACAATGGAAACTTGACAGGAGGTTCAGAAAGCTTCAGAACTAAATTCAGATTCCAGGAAAGAAAAAGAAAATAACACATTTCCTAAATTGACCACAGACTCTCATAAATTCCAAAGGACAGCTCTCAGAAATAAGAAAAACAGATAGGAGCTTCAGAAAAAAGCCTTGAATAGGAAACGTTCAAAAAATCAAAACAAAGTCCTTCTTCTCATCAACTTTCTATTCGAAGCAAAAAAAGAATATGTTTCATTGATTTTTTTGAGTTTAGAGAAGCTTTTTCGAAAGTAAATCACAAATGGACGCTTCAAAAAAAGAAACTCAAGTAGATTTAGATTCAATTTAGATCAAGTAGATTACAATTAAGAGTGGAAACTAGTTTCTAACAAAAATATCAATTTTTCCCTTTAAGTCATGAAACGAACGAGACGTTGAGCCTCTGCTGTACAAGTGCTTCCTGTTGTTTATAAATGCATTTCAGATGATAGGCTCGGTCGGCAGAAGTTACGAAAAATGGGTGATGCTGGACGACGACGGTAACGTCGTAGGAAACCGAGGAAGATTCTACCTAGAAAAATTGAAAAAAATTGTAATCTCTTATTAAAGGGCTTTTGAATTACATTTTTTTACCTTTCTTACCCCCCTCGGACGAAAAAAAGTTCACTAGTGAGATATATTTCTCAAAAAAATAATTAAAAATCTTGGTTCAATGATTCCAATGACCCGCTCTGTTCTGATTTTTACTGATATGAAGAAATTTTCAATCTTAATTTTGTAATGAGCGTCCTACCTAGGAATTCATAATACTATCAGAGCTCTTCCTAAGTGAAAAAAAAGTTTCCTATTAGTTTCCATTAAAAAATGTCCTTTTCAGCTTTCCGGACAGTGCTTGGATGATACCTACGGAAATATTATAATTTTGCAAAACTGATTGAAAAATGAGCCCCAAACTTCTTCTTGATTCTGAACTCCAACCTAGGCATTCACAATACTATCAGAGCTCTTCCTACGTAAAAAAAATTTTTTCCATTATTTTCCATTAAAAATGCCTTTTCGGACAGTCTGGAAGCGCACGTTTTCCTAAAACATCCCTAATTTCTCTAAAAAACCTTTCTTTCTGAACTCCGAGCCTTTTCAATAATTTTCACAACCACCATCAAATTCAACCTCCAGACATGTGTACCCATCCAAAAACCCACAATTTCAGACATTATTCGAGAAAAAAGAGAGGCTCAAAAGTCCAGGCAACGGCCACTTTCATCGGCACCTCGAAGGTCACTTCAACACACACACTTCTTCCCTTTTTTCTTCCAAAAATGCGGTAAAAAGCAGACAAACATTGCGCTTTCGACGGACATTACACGCGCCACGGTAGGAAACGTCCAAAACGAACGGGGCGTTGACGTGATTATTGCAGTAGTTCAGGTGGCAATACCTGGAAAAAATGCTCAAAGTTCTGAAAAATTGAGAAAAAAATTCTCAAATCACTTGGATCTACAGTTACTGTTGACTCTTTCTTCAAAATTTTCTCGTTTTTTGTTGGGAATTTCCGGAAAATTGAATTACCAGATGACCTCTAAACCTTCCTATTTCTCGAAAAATGATACCTCCAAGTCCAAGAAAACCCTCAAATCCGTTAAAATAAACCATTTTGGGGTTTTGGGCCTCAAAAACTAGGGAGTTGTGCAGGTTTGGACTTCCAAGACCTAAATTTGGTTCTTCAAAAGATATTCTGAAGAGTTTTTCAGAAGATTCCCATCTTCTGAGTCAAATAAAATTCTCAGAAATTCAAAAAAGGCGTTATAAGATGACAATTAAACATTGAAAAATTAAGCAAACTCTGAAAACGAAAAAATAAAAAAAATTATTTGAATTGGGAAGAAAAATCACGTAAATTGGCAAATAACACGTGACATTTTGTTAGAAGTGATTCCGAGAAATTAAAAAAAAAGTCGTCAGACGAAGAAAAAGATAACTAAATATTGGAGATTCAGAGAAAATTTTTAACTTGGACCACGGGTGGTATGAAAAACGCCAGCGAAAAATTAAATCGGCGACTTTTCCGATTTTTTCATATCGCTAGGGAACTTTCCGACGGCCACCTTTCCGACGGATCCCTTTCCGACTTTTTTTCCCTTATATTTTTTTCGGTTTATAAAAGATCTATAAATATTTTTTTCCTATTTCTCTGTGTTTTAATCATGAACCAACTACCTACTTTTTTTATAGGAAGATTTAAAACAAAGATTTTTATCGAGAAAAAAAGTAGGAAAAAGATTCGGCGGGAAGGTGGCCGTCGGAAAGTTCCCCTAGCGATATGAAAAAAATCGGAAAAGACGCCGTTTGAATTTTCGCTGGTCTTTTTTTCATACCACCGGACCACGGCATAACCTTATGCTTTCAAATTAAAAAATACCAAAGAAACTTCCAAATTTCAATCTTTTTTGTTAATTTTGGTCATTATTTTGATCCATCTGACTGAAACAACCAATAAATATTGATTGATTGATATTGATTAATTTTCACTTTTCCCTAAAATTCAAGGAATTACTTGAAGCCTGTTGGATCTGATAACATCACTACACTGAAAAACCAACCTCTTAAAACGCTGGAAAAAAATTTATTCAAGCTTATTACCATTGATAATATCACTATACAAAAAAAGAGCAAGCTCTCAAAAAAGGGTGAAAATTCAGTAAAGTCCCTAATCAAGTCCCCAATCATTACCCTTATAATAAAGCTTTTTCCAATCTTATTTTAACATTTTCTGAAGAGCTTGAGCCTTTCAAACCATTCTTTTATGTTTCTTAGGCTTTTAAACGATTGAAAACCGACAAATTCTTCGCATTTTACCCGAAAACTCGCCACCAAATGAATATTTATTGAATTGAGAAGCGAGTTTTCGGGTAAAATGCCATTGACAATATCACTATACCAAAAAAGAGCAAGCTCTCAAAAAAGGGTGAAAAATTCAGTAAAGTACCTAATCAAGTCCCCAATCATTACCCTTATAATAAAGCTTATTTCAGTTTTTTTTAACGATTTTAGGAAAGCCTGAGCGTTTCAAATCGTCTTTTGTATACTTCTTAAGCTTTTAAACGATTGAAAACCGACAAATTCTTCGCATTTTACCCGAAAACTCGCCACCAAATGAATATTTATTGAATTGAATCAAAGAGGGACGGGTTCCCCGTGTGTCTGTGTGGATTTCTTTTCTTAAACATACAATTGTCGGGTGGCCCGTTTCAATGTCATTCCAACCGTTTCACACAAGCATTTTTATTGACGTGTTTTTTTGTCTTTCTAAAAAATGTGTACTATTGAGGAGCAAACAAGGGTAATTTCTTTGAAAAAAAACCTACGTATGAGGGAAAAATCCGCGGACATAGACATGGCCACCGAAAAGAGCCGGATGGATCGATATGCAATCGGATTCCTTCATTTGTACATTCCTTAATTTTTTTAATTCTTTTTATAAATTAAATTTACAAGGATTGATCGTTTTTTTCAATGCATACAACTCTGTTGATTCACAAGAATTCACAAAATTAACGAAAAAAATTGAAAATTTCACAGCTCATTCAACTAAAAACGGCTATTATGACCATGTTTTTCATAATAATTATAAGTAACAAGCCTAAATTTCAGTTAACTTATGAAAATTTACAAGAATTGAATGGATTTTTCAATGCATATAACTCTTTTTGATTCACATGAAATCATAAAATTAACCAAAAAAATTGAAATTTATGCAGTTTCATCAACTAAAAACGGCTATTATTCCCAAAATTCTATGAGGATTATCAGCTCTAGGCATATTTTTACTTAAAAAAATAGTTATTTATTGATTTTCAAGCAGTGAAAATTTTACATATCAAAAAAAAAGCATTATCTTCCAACTTCCTATACAGCAGTTTTTTTGTGTAAATTCAGAAAAAATCGAATTTTTCGGGCCCAAAAAGTATCAAAAGTTACAAAAAAATCTATTCAAAAAAAGAAAACTCGCGTACTATTATCACAAGAAAAAATCTATATAAGCTTAACTATGAAATTTTTGAAATTCTATCTGTATTTTAATGATAAAACCTGAAAATTCGATGTGGGAATTAATTTTTAGCCCCTAAAGTGACCACTAAACCGTCTGAACCCTATAGAGGCTACTATAAATTTTCCCAGCCCCTATAAAATTTTGCTTTGAAAAACAGTAGATATTAAGTCACTACAGAATTTAGAGAACCTCTCTGATTTTTCTAAGCTTAAAAAAAAGAAGAAAAACCCACCAATCTAGGAACCGGATGACTCAGATAAGTCGGGACCAGCGGAACTTGAGCCAATGCTTTCTTCCGTAGGAACAAAATTAAGAACAGGAAAACTAGGGGATAATGTCTAGAGGACATGGGGAAAAAAAGAAGGCTGCCAATACCGTGTTTTCTCAATGGCAAACGTCCGAAATACGTGTGGAGGCGTGGTTTTTGCGCTCAAAAGAACGGCGTCGATGTGAAGGGCGGAAGCGGTTGAAGAAAGTTTTTTTTATTTCGAAAAGGTTGTATTTTTGTCTCTTGGAAGATTTCAGCTCCATTTTTAAAATAAATTCTGGAAAGTGAAGGGTTTTTTGAATTTTTTTTGTAGGTAATGCCTCGTTTCATTTTTTTTAACTTGAAATTTTCAAGCTTCATCTTCAAAATAATCTATGAAAAGTGAAGATCCTAGAAAAAATCATTGATAGCTTGAATAAGCTATGGAATCGTTATCTGTTTTTGAGTGAAAATTCGGTTTTTACTGATTTTTGAGCAAATTAGTCAGTTTTTTATACGCTTTCTGTTTAATTTCTCTTCAAAACGACTGAATAAAGACTAAAATTTGATCATAAAATAGAAGTTGTTGAGATTTTTTTGAGAAAGGGAGGGAAAAACTTAGCAAAAATGAACTTCCCCTGAACTTTTTCAAAGTCAAAAAAATCTTACAATTATTGTTTTTCTAGAGGAAATCTAAAAGCTGAAAAACCCATTTTTTTCGCTTTTTTTCAATTTTTTTCATTGAAACTACAAGCTTCAAAAATTTTTCGAGAAAGGAACAGAAGGCTTTAATTCGAAAAAAATGATCCGCTGAACTTTTCAAAAAAACAGAAAAAAATGTTACAATTATCATTTTCTAGAGGAAATATGACATTTGGATACCGATTTTTTTGCCTTTTTTTCGATTTTTTTCTTATCAAACCCCAAGCTTAAAACCTTTTTGAGGAAGGCAAATAGAACTTTAATTCGAAAAAAATGATCCGCTGAACTTTTTAAAAGTAAAAATGTTACAATTATTATTTTCTGGAGGGAATCTAACAGCTAAATACCGATTTTTCGCTTTTTTCGATTTTTCTTATCAAACCCTAAGCTTAAAACTTTTTGAGAAAGGAAAATGAGTCTTAAATACAAAAGATGTGCCACTAAACTCACCAAAAATGTATTTTTCAATTCTCTACAGGAAGTTTAACAGCGGAAAACCGATTTCTAGCTGTTTTATTCGATTAAAACCTTCAAACTAAAAAAAAAGAGTATTCATGATTTTCCCAACTTCCTAGCTCATCTCCAAAACCAACTTTACTACCGCCTTTTTCTCGATCCGATAGGCTGGCGGATTATTCTGCGCGCCGACGGCAGAAAATTCCGCCAATTGGAACGAGCTTCGAGCTTTTGGCCCCACAGGAGAAACCTGTTGCGTAAGTAACCACACGGCCGTACAAAAGTATACGTCAAAAGAGATTAGAGTTTTCCTCGTTTCTTCATTCTCAAAACGCTTTGATGAATACACTTTTTTGTTGCTTTTATAAAAGTCCAATAACTAATGGGGCCGCGGGTTATGCATTTGAGAACTGCTGGAGAAAGAAAACTAATTTTCAAACTTGAAAGTGATTCGAACAAAAATTCGACAAAAGAAGCTGACTTTTAAAAACATCAAGTTACTATTAGCTTACCTGAAAACCCTTGAAAAAAGTCTCAAAACCAGATACAACCTTTGTTTTTTGGGAATTCGATGATTACAAAAATCACAACTTGGGCTGTACATTTTCTAAGTTCGAGTTTTCGGTACCAAATAACTCGGAATCGTTCTAGCTAGGAGATTAGCTTCCCAAAAAAAAGGTTAAAAAGATTCAGTAAACCAAAAAGTTCGAAGCCAGAAGGAAAATTGTTGAAAAAATAGTATATTTTAAACTTCCACTTCTGAACTCGATTTAAACCAACTTTTAAAAAAAACTACAATTTTTAAACGTACAATATATTCATTTCAAAACTATCAAAACGATAAAACACTCTGTACAAAAACCTATTTAAAAAAACCCGTTATTCGACAAACACCACATCCTTCCTTTGGCGGAGCACGTGGCAGGCCTTCTGAAAGAAAAATACTTAAAAAGGGCAATTTAAAAATAAAGGATATCGAAAATTTTGAAACTTGACCTTGATTTTAACCAGAAATCGAAAAAAAAGAAGCTGAATTTTACAAGAACCGAGCCCTCTTGGGGATGTAGCAACGGCTTTCAAATTCTGAGAAAGTTTAAAGGTTCAAAAAAGCCAGGAAAATCGTTAATATTTCTGAAAAACATGAAGTTTTAAAAAGATGATATAGTTAACTGTTTTTAAAACTTCAAGTGCTGATTTCGACTCAAAAAATTTAAAAAAAAAGTCCGAATTTCGAACGAGAAGCCGTATAAAAATCATTCTAATTCAATTCAAAAGATAATTTAAACCTTTTTCATTTTTTAGTCGAGTCATAACACCTCATGGATGGTCTAAACATCGCATTTTTCAAGTTCAATAAGGTATAACTCGACTTAAAAGCTTCAAAACCAAAAAAATGGGCTCAACTTATGCTTTTTTTTTGCAATGATAAGCTCCTCACAGAGAAAATTAAATGAAATTCAAAACATATAACATAAATAAAACGGAAAATTTTCTTCGATGAACCTCAAAAAAAGCTGGAAAGTTCCCGCTAAACGCTCCTAAAACGTTGGGAAAATGCTTTTGGGCTCATTTTTCATAGCCCTGCAACCTTTTTAGTTGCTTTCCAGCATATTTTGATAAGAGACGTGAAAAAAAATTCAAAATTAAAAATAATAGATCTATTAAGGACCCTTTGAAGAATATTTTCCGTTTCGCTTTGAAGATTGCAAATGAATTGTAAATACAAACAGTGAGAACAAGGATCAAATGTTGATATTCCAGCGCGTCAAGCCTTGTCGATGGCTCAACACGTTCCGCGGCCTTCATTTGAGCCATTTTGTCGCCAAACAAGGTGAGGAGCTGGTCAACCTGGATAAAAATCAACAGTCAGGACAAAAATCATGTAGAATTCACGGGAAAGTCCAAAACTTCTTTAACAGGCCTCAAAAAGAAAAATTTTCCCAAGAAAAAAAAAATGAAAAAAGTTTCTTCTGAGCGCCTTTTTCACACTCTTTTGTCATTCTGTAACTTCAATTTATTCTTTTTTTTCCTTTCCATCACCTTAAATCTTCTTGAAAAGCTCTTACTATGATTTCGGTAAAAATGAATCATGAGAAGGCTTTAGAAAGCTTTTTTGAATTTTTTCTAATTTTCTAAAGCCCCTTCCAAATTTTTTCTGATTTTTTCCTTGATAATGCTATCATACTGTTCGTTCATATAAACATCCCCTAGACCTCTGAAAAATCGACATATTCAGTGAGAATGGAAACACATCCGTAGATCATCGGCCTCGTAGACGTCTCTCCTTTGAAAACGTTGAGGGCATAGTTGAAAATCCGGGTTCGGAAGTCGGATTCTTCAGCCCCGGAGCGTTCTCTATAAGCTTTCCTTGGAAATCAAGAATTTACTCCGTTTTAATAAATCTTTTCCTTGAAAAAATTTTTCCGAATACTGACTCAGGCACTGGTGGCAGGGAGTCTTTTCTCATTTTCGCCTTTTTTGTTTGAACAAGCTGGTAAATTCCGTTTTTTACCATTTTTATGCATACTGGTAATATTGAAGGAAATATATAAGGCATAAAATCAAATAATACCCTTTCCATTTGAATATAGTTCTTTAAAAGAGTGCTCAAAATTTTTTGAAACAGTTCGAAAAGTGAGCAATATTATGAAAATAATAAAAAAGCCTTGAAAAATATTTTTCCACACAAAAAGCGAAATAAAATCCCTGCGCAGTGCCTGAGCGAGTTAAGAAAATGAGAAGCGACAACAGATTTGCAATCTTTCCTGCATTTTATGCTTTTTTTTTTTGGCAAAAAATGCTATTTATTATTAACTTGATGATCCACATGAGTGTCTTGGCGGCGTACTCCCGTAGAGACCAATGATTGTCGTGTTCAGGCCGATTGCACAAATTCCGGCACAACATACAGCTCATCAGGGCTGGCACCAGTTTGGGCAGCTTAAAACCATAAAATTCACAAGAATCCTTATTTTTTCAAAAAAAAAAAATGCCATTTATCGAGCTAAAAATATTATTGGCTTTCAACAAATAAATAACTTTCCACAGGAAGTTAGGTCTTATTTTCAAAATCACAAGAATTTATTTGAAATTCAGGCTTCGAACTTTTGGCAATTCCTTCACTCAGAAAAAAAAGTATAATTTCAAGAGTTAATAACACTTCGAATCTGCTTCGTATTGAAAAACGAAAATTTAAGAAATCCCTCCTGAATAAATATTTTACTACTGTTAGCACCTAATAGCCCTCAATTTCAATTATTGAAAAATGATTTTCCATTCCTTACTGGGAAAATTTTTAGTGACCACAATAGAGGCTCGCCAAGGACTACTTGGAGATAAAGTAGCCACTAGAACCACCTCTATAGTGGCCACTGTTTTCCATTTTAGTGGCCACTGTAGAGGCTCGCCAAGGACACTGAAGTGGCCACTAAACCCACCATTATAGTGGCCACTATTTTCCGTTTTAGTGGCCACTGTAGAGGTTCTCTATTTAGTGGCCACTCAAGTAGTTTTCCATCCAGTTTTCCTTCCAGTAACTCTGATAATTTCAAGACAAACAGATTGGACCAGTTATGTTGATCCATTGACCCCTAAAGTGGCCACTAAAATGTTTAGTGGTCCAGTAGTAGCCTTTAGACCTCTAGAGTGGCCACTGATTTTCAACCCCTTAAGTGGCTACTAATTTGACTACTATAGTTGACCCAAAGTAATTTCGGCGAAATTTCAAATTATTTCTGACTCTCTAAAATTCAGTTATCTTTTTTTTCTCTGACGGCTATTTTGGAATTCGGGATTCCTTTGAACACTGCATTAGTCTGTTCAGATTTTGAATGTCAAGTCAAATGACGTCATTCAAAAAAGCTCTATGGATGGCTCGCTCTCTGATTGGTTTATCGCGCTATTATGGGCGGAGCTTGACCGACGACTTGACATTCAAAATCCGAACAAACTATACACAGCTTTCCCTTCAAGATCCTGTGTTTCCACTTACCACCAACTGTAAATCAGTGTATGTATTCTTGCTAACCGCGCTGATCATCCGAACCGCGTAAATAATCAACGGAAGGCATTTCTGGACGATATTGGCCAGGATCTATTGGAAAATCTCATTTTTCCCAATATGTACTTTCACCTCACCATGTTATAACACAAATCAGCGAGATTCGGCAGGAGTTCCTTTAAAGAAATGTTAAAGTCAGCCAAATTCAGTAAGGACCTTCATCCCGGCGTTGGTTTCTAGCAGAAGCAAGGCCTGCTGTCGTTTATGATCGTCCTGGCCGACGCAAAACCCGACAACTTCTTTCAAGAAGGTCTGTTGCTCCTGGAAATGAGCTGGAGCAACTCGGGGAGAGCCGGAATGGCCACTAGAGGCTCAGAAAAGGCAGCAGAAAGGCAAAAAAAAAAAAGAATCTTTTTTTCGAGCCTTTCATTTTTTCTGAGCTCAAGAAATGATGGAAAAACGGAGAGGCAGCAAAAATGGTGCGTAAGGGCCGATAAATTGGCGCAAAAAGGCAGCAAAAGGGAACCTTTTTTCAACTTTTCCGACTTTGCCTATAGAGTTTTGTGATAAATTTTGAAGAGAAAAAATATTTCATAGTGAAAAATCCAATTATGTGAAGCTAGAACTATTAGGAGGATGAAAATTCGTAAAATTAGGCTTCTAACGCTCAAAAAGTACCCATAATTAGCAGTATTTCGTTCTTTCAAGCCAAAAAATATATGCAATGAAAATTTTTGTTCAACTGCAAAAAATTACTTGTCTATTCTTCCTATATAATCTTGTTTTTCCGATAATAAAATAGTTTTTTTCCTATTCCCAACTTACCACCGTCAATTCTTCATCAAAAGATGGTCTCAACATGACAACTTCTTCTTTTGGACTGGCCCTCATCTTCTGATAATCCGAAACATCCGATCTACGTCATGAATAATCATTAATCACGAAAGCCCATAAAAATACATAGTTTGAAGTTCAGAAGAAATTCTCAGTTTCTTCAAATTTTGGAACGTGTTCACGTCCTTTCTTCGCGTGTACTGCTGTCCGCAGTGGAGGATTCCGAATTCAACTGAAATTTTTTTATAAATGCGTAGATAAGATTCTTTTAATCCGACCTCGCACGGGAATTTCGAGTTTTTCGACGGTTTTACAGTTCCAGGACAGTTTCGGTGGCCTCTGGTGCATCAGACTCAGTCTGTACTGTAATTATCATATTTAAAAAGCCTTTGATTTTTTAGAAATTACTTTATTGAAATACGGGAACTGTTGCATGGCGAAATCGACGTCAAAAGAGAGAACCCGATTTCTTTTCGAGTGATTTGCGCAGTTTTTTGCCGCTTTCGCGACGCGGAATATGAGTTCATTTGTCTGAAAATGTATCTTATTATTTGGCTCACCTTTTTAATAATTTAATACCACTTGAGCAATCATTCGTTGGACATCTTCGCGCAATTTTCTGTTCAATTTCGATTTACCCATTTTCTGGAAAAAATTATAGTTTTTATTACTTTTCGAACTCACAAATATCCATTTCGTAGACGTTTTCTTTTTTCTCTCATTGTTATTTTCATCGCAGTTATGGCTTGTTATTGTTAACATTGGGTAAAGTAAAACTTGGCGTAAGTGAGACCCTGAAAAATGAAAAGTGAGTAATTTATCACTGAATTTGAACGTTTCTTCTTCCGTAGCTCATGATAAGAAAATACGAAGAGAATACAAAATAAACTATAAAAATTATTTGAGAAAAAAATCAGAAAAGGAATCCACTCAAGTGGCGGCGGCGATTCGTTTTGGAGCAGACTTGGCGTGCTTGGTATCGTTTATTTTCTCATTTCAAACTCGCGCCGTTATTTCTTGTTTTAAATCGGTTTTGTTATGAATAAAAACGTTTTCTTGCTATTCGAGGTTTGAAGTGTTTATCAGCGTTGTCATAGAGTTTATATTTCAGTAAATGCCCATTCCCAAAGCTTTTTTATTAAGATATTTCTCGCAATTCGAGTTTGCATGTCAATTTTTTTTTCCTCTCAGAATAGAAATGTTTCAGGGATGCCATGTGAAACCAAAACTGGCTGGGATTTTTTAACCAGCGATTATACCTCCTCAACTTGTGTGTTACCTTTGGCTTCTCCGAAAATTGGTATTTCTGAGGTTGAAATTGTTGTTGAAATATATTTAATCTTAGAAAGAACTGCAATAGGAGTGATAATATGGGAGGAAAACGGCGTCGGTGAGGTTTTCATTGGCGACAATGCTGAGGTTTTATAAACCGACTTTGAAAATTGATAAAATAGTTCAGAATCACCAAGTCCACTACGTTTTCGACCACACAACCGATGTGGAGAGCACGACAAAGTTTGAAATAATGGTCGGATTGGAGGTTTGAAGCTGAAAGTCGACTTTTAGAGTGTTAATGCAAGTCTTTACTCAGGTAAAAGTTTACTACAGCGTTGAAACGGAATCAAAAGAAAGCGAACACACGATAAGTATATTGCCGAGAATGGTTTTGAGAAAATGTTAATATAAAATCTGTATTTAAATACAAAAAAATTGATTTTTCAGATGGTTTGATTCAACATCAAGAGCTTATCATTGTAGATAGCCCAATTGACCTTGAAGCCGTCTCAATCGGAAGAAATAAGGTTTTTAGTTGATTTTTGTTGGCAGAGAAAGCGTTTTCTATCGCAAAATTCCATTAGAACCGATTTTGATAATTTTTTTTTTCCAGAACACCGAAAAAGTCCTTGTCCATGCGTCTTGCAGTGGAAATATGAAAGCAGCGATTGTCGACGCGATTGTGTTTGGAAATCGAAAATTTGAGCCACCTGAAGATTCCGTGAGTTTTTTCTGTAGTAAGATTGAGTGGGAATTTGGGATTTTCTGGTTGAAATATTTTGATATCAATCGAATTTCATTTTCTGATCAGTTTTGCTTCCTAATAAAATTTTTCCTGTGTTTTTTTGAAATTCCGCTTCTTCACATCATTTCGCAGCGATTTAAAGGCTTATGAATCTGGGGGGGCATTGAAAAATTATTTTTAAATGAGTTCTTTTTTTCCTACTGAAATTCTATATCATTAAGTTTCAAAAAAACGTAATGTTCCAATTTTTAGTGTTTTTACTCTCTCAAAAAGCGTTTTTCTTATTTTGCCGTGTTCAAAGTAATCTCAGCGATTTATAAATGATGATGTTTGTTTTAAATTTCACGAAAGAAGGAGATTTGGCACAAAATTGGGGTCATACAACACGGGAAAAGTCCAAAAGACCTCAAAAAGAAGGATTTCGGACTTCTTTTTGAGTTTCTGAAATGATGTCAAAAGTTTCTCGGAATCTCTTTTTTCCATATTTTTTTTTCTTTTTTAAAAGATCCTTCTGGCTTTGCCGATACAACGCGGAAGTGGATTTTTATTTCTTTGAACTAAAATTTTGAATTCGCCCTTGAAAGTCACATGTGTCGGTGTTGGATCCGATTCTTCTAACGGCTTCTAAAATTCCAATTTTGCCCTTATCATTTTTTAACGAATATCGCATCAGTTTGGAAATCACCGAAATTACTTTAATGACGACATGATCAAGCTTTTTCGAAAAATGGCATCGCCCAAACGAAAATTTTTGAAATTTTTGGAAACCTGGCGATTCCTTGGCTTATTCAAACTTTTCCGAAAAATGGCAACGCCTAACCAAAAATTTTTCGTCATTAAAAAAAAAATTTGACAGCCCCATGAGTATTAACCAACTGAGCAAAGCCTTATAAAATATGTGAAAAAAATTAAAAATAATTTTATTTCCGCCTATTCCCGTCCACATCATAAAACTTGAACTTCTCCTATTCAACAGCAATTTTTGCAGTTTCCGCCTTGCTCAAAAGGCGAATTGATCGACTGTTGGGCGGTGGTTTCTCCATTTTCACTTCACTGTTTCGAAGGCGTCAATAATTCGATAAGATATCTCGCTTTCCAGTTTCAGACCGATCCCAGGTTCTGTGATGACGTCGCAATCGTGACAAAGGTGAGATTTTCTTTTGAGTTTATTTTTGTATGATAACGACGCATTTTTGATGTTTTAATGAATTTTTTTTGAATCGTTCTTGATGTTCTAATGAACCTTTTCTCGAACAAAATAGTAAGAAATTATTTTGAGCTTCTAAAAAAGCTATTTAAAGCAGCTTGAAACCTTTTTTATATCTTTCTTTTTCCAGTTAATCGAAGATTTATGCTTTGAAGCTCGATTTATCCATTCCGGCCAAGCTGTCTATTGTCCCATTGGAGCTTGTCATTCGGAACTTGTGGTTAGTCCTTCTATTGGTATAGTACATTCACTACTAGCTTAAAAAAATATGTGAAACTTTTTATTTTTTTGAACGCCATCTCGATAATCGTGTCGAGACCCTAATTTTTTTCCAGTCAATGTAGTTACTGAGAAGCTTGAAAACTATTTTTAGAGCCGAATTTTCATCGGCGCCCTTGTGAAGGTCAAGGCGAACGGCGCTTTGTCGACTTCCAGTTATTATTGGCGCGGATTCGATGTTCGAACTTGTGACCCTCAAACGGTAATTTTTAACCGAAGTAGTTGAGTTTACAGATTTCAAAAAAGACATTTTTTGTTTTCTCTAATAGATCTGTAGCTTAAAATTTGCAAGTTTCGAAGGTTTTTTGTAACAAAAAGAATAGATTTTTCAAGCATTTTTAGAAGTTTTTATGTGATAAAAAAATGGAAAAAAAGTTTTTTTGAGCTTTAAGTTTAACGAATCAGGAGCCATTAGAGAATCTTAACAATATAGAAAAATTTTTTTCAGTAAACTCCTAACAAGGTAGGTCATTTTACTTCGTAATTAAAAGCTTCCTGAAAGTTGACCAGAACACTTTTTAAAGTATTAGAAAAAGATTCTGAAAGTCTCAACCGGCAAAACTTCCTGATTCTCAAGAAATAAGGGTCTAAAGCCCCAAAATAGCTCATTTTTATGGATTTCAAGCGTTTTCTTTGCACTTGCAGCGTCTTTTTTTACGAAAAGTAGAAGATTTTGAAGGTTGAGGCTTTGAGAAGCTTCTTCTGGTACATCAGGGAATGTTCTAGCCAATTTTTTTTTTAGGAAAATACCAACTCTAAAGTAAAATGTCCACCTTATGGTCCTTCTGCAGTTCCGGTATCATTTTTAATCCGGAAATTAGATTTTCTTTCAAATTTGAGAGTTTAGAAAGCTAATTATTAACTGAAAGTGTTATAAAATAGCTCTTTTTTCATATTTTCCTGTTCTTTTTTTAAAATTAATATGTTATATTTCTGTTTTTCCGAGTCATCCGGTATTTTTCTGAACTTTCTTAAATTCTGGAAAGATTTGAATCAATATGGATCACTAAAAAAATAGTTTTTCTTGCAGATTGCAGAGTTGCGACGGGAGGACTTGAATTTAGGTAATTTCATTTTGAATCGGGTCAAAAATTTATCAAAAAATTGATAGATTGGCCGGATAATGGAACGAAACCGTTTCCAATGAACCATTCAATGATTACCACTCCGGATCTCATGGACCCTTCGATTTCTTTGACCGAGTTTGTTTTGATTTAAAAATAGTCCGATTTGAAGTGCTTAATGGGGTTTTTAAAGGCGCATTTTCTGAAAAAGTATCTTTTTTTCAGAGAAATCTGCGCCTTTAAACCTCTTACCAAGAGTTTTTGGCCATAAATCCGTTTTTAAAGTGTCCTTTTCAGTGTCCAAGTTGCTCCGAAACCCGTAAAATCGTCAAAATCAAGAAAACCTGCCCCAGATGAAGTTTGGAAGAAGAAATATCGACAGCAGGGATTGCAGTACAAAAAGAATTTTGAGTGAGTTTGGACGGGAAATATTGGAAAAAAAGTACCTGTATTCCTTACTTGGAACATCATTAGAAAAATTGGAAATTCATTATTTTGTTTTTAAAAATTGAGCTTTTTGCCGCTTCTTTTTCAGCTCATGTATCATATAGAAAAAAATTTTGAGTTGGATCTAATTTTTTTAAAATTAGAATAAATAAATGTCCCAGTTGAAAATAGGTAACAAAATACGGGTTTTTTAGGCCTAGATAGGTTGAAATTTTCGGTTTTTTTGATCATTTTTTTAAGAAATAAAAACAGACTTTTTCAATTTTTTTCATTGATTTTTTTAAGCCATTGGATAAAGATATTCTTCATTTTTTTCCCTTATTTAGATGCGAACTTGACCAAGAAACCAAGAATTTCGAGCGAATCCTAACGGAGAGACGGCGAAGAAGGCGTCGGGGTCCTCTAGTCGAAGGTTTTCTGTTCAAAAATCGAGAAAGTATCAAAAATTTGGTTCAGAACCAGTTGTTGAGACGAATTTGGAGGGACTCTTACCTTGGCAAATCGACGGGGAAGGGAAAACTGTTCAGGAAGATGCTAGAAGTAGGTTTTTGTATCGGTCAGCCTTTTTGAGAATTCAAATGCGCTCCATCGATAAATCTCCCATTTTAAAGCAAAAATACGCTTTTTCCCACGTTTCCTTCCATATGTTTCAATCTTAAAGCGATAAATATTGAAATTTCCCCTCTAGGGACCACTTTATCTCCCCTATAGGAGTCACTAACTTGATTTTCTTCAAGGTATTCCATTCCCGATCGACAAATCAAATATCCCCCAGGAGCTTTTTGAGAGAACCAAGAAAGAAAATCGGTAATTTGATTTTTGAAAAAAATAGAAAAAAATTTATCTTTCCCAGAAACGAAGCCCGTTGAGGAAGTGAGAAAGGTGGAAAGAGCAGACTCTGAAACGAGCCAAAAGTCTCAAGCTCCCAGTGGATTGCCTCCAGAAGTCATTGCTCGATTATTGGCCCCGGAGGATGGAATTGCACGGATTTGTGTTAGTTTTGGATATACCTGGAGAGCGGATGAAGTGAAAAAGCTGAGGAAACAGTGTAAAACTATTCTTGAGGGTGTTTTGAAGTTTTTCAACATGAAATAGGGTTTTCTTAAACACAAATGACCTCGTATAGTCCATTTGAATGACGAGGCGTCTTAACGCAAGGGCCTTCCGAAGAAAAAGTCACTACGCTCTTACTGTCGGATTAATAGAGGGCTTATTATATTTTTTAGAAAGCCAAAGACTTTTTTACCGGAAAAAACAGTTACTGATTGAAAATCGACGTTTTTTTGAAAATATGAATTTTCGAATCTCAAGAAAAAAAATTTCCATTTTCCCGATTTTCGGTTTTTTGCTCACAAATCTGGTCTGACTTGAGCAATTTGATTCTATTTCAGAAATTATGTTACTGCATAGCTATTTAAAGTCTATGCGAAGTTTCAAGTCATTTGAGCTTGTTCCAGACAAGTTATGCTCGAATAACCACTTTGAAATACCTTTATTGCCAGTACTGTAAAGGGGGCCTGAAATTAGAAGAAAAAAGGATGTTTTGAAGGAATTTTCAGACTTTGAATCATAGAAGTTGGCACTAAAAACATGAATTTATGGCTTTCCTGAAAAAAAAAGTGATCGAAATCCATTTTCACGCGGGCTGTGTTCTCAAAATGCATGACAAAAAATTCCAAAAGTCATTTATAAATGAATTTTTCAAAATTCAGCCACCGGAAGCGCCGAAAATGCCCCCAGATATGCAGTGGAGACGACAGGAGATGAGAATCTTTGGTAAGTTATTTGAAGAAAGAAATGGCCGCTTTGGAATGGCTTGGTGCGGCTCTTTGCTCTCTTTCCATACATGTGATGAGCATGACAGGCAATCCCCCGGACGTAATGGCAAGCCCCCACTAACCCATGTATGTCTCTAATTTATCGCCTTCATTTTTATCGATATTGGTTATAGACCATTTGTCCCGACTTGAGGGGGGACTCTCTGCGACCCTCTCTTATTCTTGTGCTGTTTTCATGTTTCTCTAACCTCGCCGGTTTTTATTCCTTGTCTTTGCCTTTGCTCTCTTTTTTCGGCTTGTTTTTCTTCTTCCTTATTCAAACGTAGCTTTGTACTTTTTCCCGACGGGGAAAGACGGGACTTCTCTGCACTCTCCTCGTCTCTCGGCTGCCCTCTCATGTTGACGTGCTGTTTTCATGTTTCTCTGGCCTGGTTAGGGAACAAAGAGACGCAGACACTCGAAAAATGGGGCGGATGGGCTATACCGAACCTTCATTGATTAGAATTATTTCAAAACGAAATCAATTTGTAGTGAAAAATCGGTTTATTCGCTCTTTACCTTTTTCGAATCATCACTTGATCTTAAGCCCTTTCAACTGCGACCAAAAAAGCATCTTGAAAATGTATCCTAAAATTTTAGGGCTGGCCGATAATTTCATGTGGCAGTTCATGTCGACGTTTTCCACAATAACTGAGGACGCGACGGAAGAAGAAGAAAAGGAACTGGATAAGGAGCCGTTGAAAGATGGGGTTGGTTTAGAAATAGGGAAAAATGACCTTGATAATTAAGTTCGGTACCTTCAAGTTAAACAGGAATTTTCGAAAATTCCATTATTTTTTCTCTTGTTGTAATGATTTTTGAGTCCTCTTCTGTCTACGATAAAAAAAAATAGCCTTAATATTTTTTTTGAAAGGGTTCGAGGCGAATTTTAAGAGATGTTTCCCCTAAGTTTGCGTAGAAAAAGTGGTCCCTAGAGGGGCGACTTTAGGAACCCTTGAAGGTTCCCTAGTGACCACCTTATCTCCCTCTATAGGGGACGCTGAAGCTTGCAATAGTGGCCATTCTAGGGAATAAATTGTCGTTTATTGCTAGACCACTGTAGGGACCACTTAAGCTTTGGGGGTTAATGGGTCAGGCCTTAACACGCAGTCTCTGTAATTCTCAAAATCAACGGGTACAGAAAAAAAAAATATTTTTTGATTTCAATGAAATTTCAACCAGTGTTATCATATGACGTCAGGATTGCAGACACGATTTTTTGAGCCATTTCCTCCAACCGTAACCGGGTTACGGTAGGGAGGTGGTCACCTGCGTATCTAAGAATTGACAAGTTTTCTCTAGGCAAGGGGTATATCAATCGATAGGTAATGCAGTTTTAGGAATTTTTTCAGTACATACCATCTTGGGTTACTGTAGAAATTTTTGAGATACGGTACTTTTTGTGTTCGCGACTTTGGTTTTTTGGTCACCCAACTCACAATAGTTATTTGCCGTTAAAGTTACCTTTCTAAAAGATGTGTTAGGTCATCAGCTACAAATTCATACCACATTGAAAAAATTTCGAGATACCCATCATGTCGCGAAATCGCGCCGAACGCGCGCAACTCGGGGTCCCACCGTTTAGACTCGCCTTGGATGATAGCCTCTAACCTTCTTTTATTGCCTGAACTTTTGTTAAAAACTGTTTTTCTTCAAACTAGAATCCATAAACTTCTGGTAAAAGTCATTTTCACGAAGTTTAGCCCACTTTACGGCCAGAAAGTTCTCTTTGAAGTCGATTTTGGCCTGAAAGTTGAGGTTTTTGAGGTTCTAGGCCTTTTTTGGGAGGACTATCACCGTTTACTGTTGTTCATTAGTGTTTCATCACGCATCCACATCTCCCAAAGGTCTTCTGAAACCTAAAGTACAAAATTCTCATATACCCATCAGCCGAAAAACTCAGTTTTAAGACGATTTCGGCCTGAACACGGTGTTTTTTGATAATCTACGCTTCTTTTGGGTAAACTTTCACTGTTTTCTCTTTTCTGTTGGTCTTTCACGTGATTCCTGCATCCACCAAGTTCATTTTGAAGTCTGAAAGTTTCCGTTTTAGCTACCCGTCGGCCAGATAACTCAGTTTGAAGACAAAACTGACCTGTTAACAGTGCTTTTTGAGGTTCAATGCTTTGTTTTGGACTCGCTATCGGGTAGCAACGCGTTCTTTCTATTGTTCCTTTGATTTTTGTGCAGCCCACAAATACTGCGACCTTACATTTCGACTATATATTTTTTAACTGTCGGTTTGAATTCTGGGCAGGGTGCATCTTGAGTCTGGAATTTTTATCAGAATTTTTTAATAGATTCCGAAGCCCAAAAGAATGCTCACTTCAGATAAGATTCGAGAACTTTCGGGTGAATTTTTCGAAGAGCCCTTTTCCGCCAATTGACAAAGAAATCAAAGAAAGGAGAAAAAAAACTGAATAGAAATGACCCCGAAAGGCCTTCTTGCGGCACAACATTATCTCAATCTGAGACAAAACATGGTATACTTTTCTAGCTTTCCAACTTCACTGATAAAAATTCCAGACTCAAGATGCACCCTGCCCAGAATTCAAACCGACAGTTAAAATGCGTGATGAAACACTAATGAACAACAGTAAACGGTGATAGTCCTCCCAAAAAAGGCCTAGAACCTCAAAAACCTCAACTTTCAGGCCAAAATCGACTTCAAAGAGAACTTTCTGGCCGTAAAGTGGGCTAAACTTCGTGAAAATGACTTTTACCAGAAGTTTATGGATTCTAGTTTGAAGAAAAACAGTTTTTAACAAAAGTTCAGGCAATAAAAGAAGGTTAGAGGCTATCATCCAAGGCGAGTCTAAACGGTGGGACCCCGAGTTGCGCGCGTTCGGCGCGATTTCGCGACATGATGGGTATCTCGAAATTTTTTCAATGTGGTATGAATTTGTAGCTGATGACCTAACACATCTTTTAGAAAGGTAACTTTAACGGCAAATAACTATTGTGAGTTGGGTGACCAAAAAACCAAAGTCGCGAACACAAAAAGTACCGTATCTCAAAAATTTCTACAGTAACCCAAGATGGTATGTACTGAAAAAATTCCTAAAACTGCATTACCTATCGATTGATATACCCCTTGCCTAGAGAAAACTTGTCAATTCTTAGATACGCAGGTGACCACCTCCCTACCGTAACCCGGTTACGGTTGGAGGAAATGGCTCAAAAAATCGTGTCTGCAATCCTGACGTCATATGATAACACTGTTTGAAATTTCATTGAAATCAAAAAATATTTTTTTTTTCTGTACCCGCTGTTTTTGAGAACATTTTGAAAATTACAGAGACAGCGTGTTAAACTCCTATAGGGATCACTTAAGTTTCAGCCATCTAGTGAGAGCGCTGTTGTGTCCTCTGTAGGCTTTTTTTTTCTCTAACCTCTTTAGGGACCACTCTGGCGTTCCTAAGACGGGAAAAAAACTTTTTTTTTTCTTTATTTTACGCAGAAAAATTTACTCTTTAAGTATTCATGCTTTATTTGTGTTCCCAGTAGTTTCACGAATTTTTAAACGACTTTAGAGGGGAAAAAAAGTTCCTGGAAAAAAGGATCATTTGATTTTTGAGGATCCTCAATATTTTTATCACGTTTTTCTCCTATCCCGCCTTTTTTTCCATTAAAAAGTGTTTTTTCTTTCAGTTCTGGTACCGCCGAAAAGCCCCAAGAACGGAGAAAACCTATATCGTTGGTGCATTTCTCCAAGAAAGAGACGTCTTCTTGGACTGTACCAAAGATCATCGTTCCGAGGAGATTCCTAAAGAATCAGAGTCGATTCTTATACTTAGTCGGCATGATTTGTGAGATTTATGTGTAGATAATGTTGTTTTAAGCCGATTCATGTGAATATTTCTGAAGTTTTAAGATTTTCTAAGTGAATCTGAATGGTTTTTTAGAGCTTTAAGAGGATTTTAAATTTCAACTTGAAAAAAAAAGATTTTCCTGCTTTAGTCGATTCACGGCTAGCTTAGGGGCGTGGCCTGTCTGCGCTCTCCATCAACCAGAAACTATCTCTTTTTTCATCGTGACAGGACCCTTTTTTCGATGATTCTAGCCAGCTATACTCCTGGTCTTATTAAAGGCGCAGGGCTCCTTTTTAACAATCATTTTTTATGCACAGTAATTTGCCTGTTGATTTTTGTTCTGTACATTATTTTGACGGCCTTTTTTTCACAAAATGTGAAATTTTTTTTCATAAGTAGATTTTCTTGTACCAATTGCAGGGTCCTTTTAAACGTATAACGTGTATTTTTGAACCAATTTTGGTTCTCACTGTATTTTACAGGGTTCTTGTGCAATCATAACCAATTTCATGTGTTAAAAACTTTTCTTGTGCCTTGAAATACTCGAATTTTCCTGTTTTATATGAATAAAATTACTTGCTTCTTTCTGAGAAATGATATTATCGATTTGTGGTTTTATACCCTGATATTTTGCGATTTTTGAATTTTATCTAAATTTTTTTCCAGGTTTTTTAGTGAACCAGCCACCATGTCGAAGAAGGTTTGGAGGTTATAAATATGAGAAAAAAAGAGATTTTCTAGGCTTCACCGGAAGAAGAATTGGAAAAAGCAGTATCGGGACTACAAGGCCCAGTATGAACAATGGAAGGAGAAGAATAAGTTTGTTGATTTAAATATTTTACAGAAGAAAGTTGAAAAAATACGTTGATTTTTTAGAAGTTCGATCGGAACCGAGGCCTACAACAACTACGTGAAATCGTTCCAGGAATGGGAAAGGGACGTGGAAAAAAGGAGGAAGGCTTTGAAGGAAAAGGTTTGGAATGTTCATAGGCAGAGTCGGAAGGACCCTTTAGGGGCCCCTTGTGGACCAAAAGATTCCATTAAATGCTCCTAAACGGGTGACAACGGTTTCCCTTTTCTTGCCTTTTTCCGTCCTTTCATTGGCCTTTATCAACCCTTTTTGGACCCTTTTGAGAAAAGAAAAAGTCAGAAGGACCCTTTAGGGGCCTCTTGAGCGTCTGTGGGGGGGGGGTTTCATTAATTGTTCCTAAATGGTTTCCTTACTACCGCCTTTTTCCGCCCTTTCATCGGCCTTTATCAACCATTTTTTTGGACCCTTTTGAGAAAAAAAATATTTTTATAGTGAGAATAATATTTACCAGGGACTGTGTGTGAACCAAAATGTGCTACAGTAATACAATCAGAAAAGAGATTTTCAGCACCCTTTTTCACTTTGAGCCCACCAAGAAAGAAAGGTTCCATAAAGGCCGCAAGACGGAACCCTTTTAGCGGCTATTTTGTACCCTTCCGGCTTTGGCAGTGTTATCAAAAACAATAAAAGTGAATAAATGACAATTTAAGGCCGAAAAAGATGATCGAGAAAAAAGAGAGGAAGAAGAAAGAGAGAAACGGTTGTTGGAGGAACGGGAAGGTTTGTTTCTGTGAAATTAAAGTATTTTGAATTGTTTGATCCCGGCTGCTAATGGACTAGGGTGTACATAAAAAAAACTTTTCCTGGGTTTTTGAAAAATCTTAAGAGATATTTTCAATTTAACAGCTTTTTGATTTTTTTGTTAACCCAACCTCCCCCAGGTTCAGAATTTTTAGTATTTTGAATTGTTTCATCTCTGCTGCTAATGGACTAGGGTGTATGTAAGAAAAAAACTTTTTCCTGGGTTTTTTTGAAAAAAATCTTAAGAGATATTATCAATTTAACAGCTTTTTGATTTTTAACCTCCCCTCCCTTGAAGTTTCAATGAAACTTTGCTGAAGTGTACTTTAGGATCCCCTGATTTCAGAACAAGAAAAAAATTCCTGGTAATATATTTGGTTTTTGATTTAGTAGGCTTCAAAAGCTGAAAATAGAGCTTTCTCGTCATAAATTGCCTATTTTGGGTACTTTGAAGTAGAAAAACATTCCCTAGTAAGTTGAAAAAAACGGCTCTCATCCCGAAAAGGAGTTTTCACATGGTTGATAAAGTTCTGTACAAAATTTCAAGGTCTCAGAATAATTCTACGAGAAGTAATGCCTGAAAAACCGTTCTGGTCAGGAAAAATACACCAAAGCTAGATATTTTTCTCAATTTGTGACGTTTCAGCAGAAAGAATTGCTTTAGAGTTGGCAAATTATTAAAATTTGTTATTTTTCGAACCAAAATGTTCGCAGAAATAGAATTTCTCACGCAAAATTTTCACAGAAGCCTTGAAAATTTGAAAATCTTAGTAATTATATTAGAATTGTCAGCTCATCAAACCAATTTATGGTTTCAAAACCTTATTGGTTAAGTTGGGACCTTCAGGATCGATAAATTATCGGGAAAAAGTCGTCATTTTCTAGCCGAAGCAGCAGTTGCCTACGCGCAGTCGCAACAAGCCTACATGGCGCATCATCAGAAGGCGATCGAGGATCAACACCGACAGCAAGCTCATCAAGCAGCTGCGGCGGCCGCTGCTGCCGCCGCCGCTCAACGACAGTTCGCCCAGCAACCGTCTGGAGCTCCCCAAGGTGATGATCTACCTCCCCCCCCTGAGGAACCTTTAAAAAATGGAGGGACAAGAAGGAGAACTTTTTTTTAAGCTTCAGGTTTTTTCAATCCATAGTACCTTCAAAACATTCCAGACTCTATTAAGTATCGTTTTTTTGGAGTTGTTGTCCTTGTGATATTTATTCTGAATCTTGATCTTTCACTTTGGGAACTTGAAGAATGGAAATTTTCATTCTCATGGAAATATTGTAGGACTTGAAGATGGTGCGGTGAATGCGGAGGTTGTGATGAGGGAGGCGATGAACGTCATGATGGTCGCCGGGAATTCGACGGTTGGCACCAGTGGGTTTTTCTGAATTTTTAAATGTTGGTAGGGGCAAAAAATAATTTTCGAAAGGTAGTAGAAAGACCAGGAAGGTTATTTTAAATTGGGAAAATAGCCAGAAAACTTTTTAAGGTACCAAAATAAGATTCTAAAAATCTAAACTTGCACAAATTTCTACTTTAGAGGGTTCAAAAAGTCAAAGAAACCATGAAAATCCGAAAAAATGGGTAATTTTGAACCCCCATTTCTTGAGAAACTGTAAAGTTGTGTAGGTTTAGAATATCCGAGTAAATTGACCTTCCTTGTGAAATTTTACGATTTTTAAGACCTTCAAAAATTTCAGCGATTACCCAACAACCGCCGCCTGCGCAGGGAGCTCAAGCCAGCGGACCTCCGCCGATTTTGTGGGGCAATAATAAGGCGCCGTATGATGTTAGGGTGGGTTTCGGTGATCATAACAGAAAAAAAGGGATTTTGTATTTTTCTAGTTACAAAAGTTCCCGAACATTATCCATTTTTGATTTCCAGGATTCTCTATTTTCCCGCTGGGAGGCGCGTGCAGCGCCAGCGCACGTCAAACCTGAACCTCACCCGCCAAAAGTACGTTTCAGAGTAATTATTTTATTGAGAATGTTTGCCTGAGCTGTTCGAATCTTCTCGGAGGAAACTTTTCATAATCCAAAAGATTGAGGTCAAAAAGTGTAGAGGAATTGAATTTTAATGAAAAAGGGGGAGGTTTCCTGACTTCGAGTTCAGGTGAAAATGAATTGAATTTTTTTTCTGATCATTTTTGCCAGATTTTTTTTCTCTGGTATCTTTCTTAATTTCTTAGGAAGTCCGGATTGGTCCCCATAGGGGTTAGGAGCCGCAAAAGGGGTCTTTGTGGGGGTAGAATCAAGGTGGTCCCTATAGGGGTTTAGGGTCTGACCCCTGAGCCTCTAAAGCTTAAGTGGTCCTTTCAACTTCATTCAAAAACGGTTATTTATTCAATTTTTTGCAAGGAAACGCTTCTTCGCACAGAGTACATAAAGCTTATCGATCAGCATGTCCCCTATAGGTGCCACTAACTAAAACCTCTATACAGACCACTTTTCAACATTTAGTGACCTCTATATGAGTTGGTAAAATGGTCCCTAGTTGGGAACCCTCCAAGGGTCTCTAAGGTTGCCCCTATAGGGACCCCTCTGAAGTTCCTAAAGTGCTGAATTTTTCTGAACCTTTCCTGAAAAAAATTTTTAAATAAAAGTCTTCAAAAAAATGTTTTCATTTTTTTATAAAAAAATTGCAAAAAAAGATTTGGTATCGATTTCTGATTTTTTTCGTGTCATTTCTTTTTCCATTTTTCACTTGACGATTTTTTTGAATCTACGAAATTTCGGTTTGTCTATTAAAAAAATTCTAAGGTCTAAATTGATAGTTTTTTTGGCCAAAGTTCATCTAGACAAGTTTTTTTGAACTCTCTAAAGGAACAGAACCTAGAAAAGAATTAGAAAGAGCGCAAAAATCCACTTTTTCGAATCCGGTTCACTTTTCTGCTTGAGGAAGATTCTCAAATTTGAACTTATCAGGTTCCAACACCTTGCTGGATGCTCATCGACAAGCTCAAGGAGAAGAAAATGATGCTGGCGCCGCATGTTCATCTACAACCGCCGCCCATGTTCACACAGCCCCCGCCGCCCACAATGTTGGCCCCTCCTCCTGTTTAATTTTCCCTCCCTTTTTTCATAATCATACGTTTTATGTTCGGGAGAAGGAAAGAGAGGCAAGGAAAAGCCAGGAAATTATAAATCTTCATAAATTATTTTTTTTACTAAGAAAACTGGAATTTGAAAATCTATAGCTTTCATATCGTATTCAGACCTTTAAAGCTTTTGAAAAATCCTGCCAAAATGAGATTTTCCTTTTTTTTTTTCGAATCGGTTGCATGGGAACGAAATTTCACCGAATAACTTCCAAACTTTGGGTCATCAGGGTCCAAATTCGCTCCATTGACCACTAAGCAAAAAACCTACTTATCACTCGAACCTCGGTTAATGAAATCGGACGCGTCCTGGACGTTTTTGAGCAGTTCTAGTGATCCCTTAAGCGGTGTCAGCACTCCTAAGTGATCACTAGAAATGCTCAGAAACGTACGGTTCAAGTTACCAAGGTCCGAGAACCTAAGCTCCTTCTTTAAAATGGCGGCGCCTAAATTAAAAAGGTTTCGATACTTTTGGATAGTTTGACAGTTTCCTGAGAAGCTCCTCACCAGGTAAATCACCAACTTTTAAGACCAGATTCTCTGGACGCAGTGGGGCTTCTTAATGAGACCAGCAATTCCAGATGTAGTTTTAAACGCTGAATTCGGATCTGGTCTTAGAATTTCATTGAAATTTTCGACTTTTGAGGGTCTATAACTTCTTTCACAAACCTATTGGGCAACTTTTGAGACCAGATTCGAAATCACCGTTAAAAACTACACCTGTAGAAGTTGGTCTAATTCAGAAGTCTCACAGCGTCCAGAGACCATAAAAGAAACCTTATTTGCTTCATCGAAAAAAAAGTATAAAGTCTTACTTTTATTTCGAATTTCGCACGCTCCTCCTCGCTTCTTTTTCCCTGGCGATTTTCTCACACCACAATTTTTTTTTCATAATCTTACTTTTTCATTGTTGTTGTTGTTGCTCCGTTTCTGGGTCGATTTTGTGTATCTCATCGTTTTAATCTTGTACTACCTGTCTGTAAATTCATCATCACTTTGAATATATAAATTTTAGTGAACTCACTTGACCGAACTGAAGAAACGGAAGATTTTGAGCGTTTTCTGAGCCCATTTTCTTCAGGTTTCGGGTATCTGGCGAAGACCCGACAGCACTGAAAGCTGGGTATTTGTGAATTTCCAAGATTGAAACTTCTTTGTGGAGCTCCAGAAGGCTAGTGTAGGCCCTGGGAGAGTCCGACTGGAGAGATCTGAAGATTCCGGTGACGTGGTCGTCGCCGAGATCGGCTTCAATCGATTTCAAGTCCTTTTCGATGAGGTTTTCGTTTTCCGACATCTGGAAATGGAAATTTGAACCTTAAAATGAATAGTGAGAAGCAAAAATAAAAAACGAAAATTGCGAAATTTTTCTTTCTCCTAGGATTGGAATATTTTTTCTTTGTGTTTTGATGATTCATCGGCCAAGTGCTTTCTAAGGCTTGTAAAAATTATTTTATAGTAAAATTTTTTTTCAAAGATAAAAAGTTAAGCAATAGTTAACTTCTGCCCAATAACGAGTTCAAACAAACTTTGAAATTCTTGAAAATCAGGAAATTATTGATTTCCTAAAAATTTTTGGGTAATTTATGAACGTAAAAGCTCCTTTGTAAGCTTTTTAAAATAAGAAAAAAAACTTGATGAGTTGTAATTCCCAAAAATAATCTTCAAAAAAAGCGAAGATCCACAAAAAAGGCCATTAGCGAAAAACAAGAAAAAATGGAAATTGGCTTATTTCAGTAGAAGATTGTTTAGAAAAAGAGAAGGAAAAGCGAAAAACCTGGCTTTTTCTTTCATTATTTGCCACCCCCTGCTGTTTGGCTGAATGGAAAGGTGGCGTAAGATGAAAATGTCTGATTTTTGGAGTTTCAAGAAAAAATGTATCTCAAAGTTTTCATATATCTTTGAGGCTAACAAATTTCAATCTAAATTTCGCGAAATTCCCATTTTATTCACTTTTTCTTGATCTTGTCCAAGTTTCAGATCAAAAATTGGTCATAAAATCAATATTTTTCGGTTGAATATCAATTATTTATCATGACAGTAGCTCTATAAATGACCAAAAACGACTCGCGCTCTGGCACATCTTCACCTTGGATGCAACGTCTGAGCCATTCCACGTGCGACCAAAAGTTGGAAATGATGAAAAATTGTCCAAAACGTGATATTCTAACTCATTTCTTCTCTTTCCAAGCTTTGGATAATGAGCCAACCTCCTCCAGCTCCAATTCCAGCTCCAACTTTAAATAAAGGCTCTGAAATCAATTTTGCCGAAGTTCCTCATGTTAGTGTCCTCTTTCAATTTTTCAGAAATCCTTGCGGGGATTTTTAAAGGAGCATGGCTTGTTTTAATAAAGAGAATCAGAGCGAAGAGCTTTTTTAACATGCTTGCAAGGGTTTTCAGAGGAGCTATTGCAGAAGTGTATGAAAAAACAGCCGTGAAGATTTTGCGCTCTATGGATAAATTTTTCAGGAAACTATTGAATATTGTCCTGATCTCCTTTCTGGGTACAGCCACTCCAGTGGCACCATTTCTTATGATTCGATCCCGGAAGTCGTTGGAAGAGACGGTCGGACTTTTTCATCTGACGTCGATAGAGGTTCACCCCCTCCCCCGTCTAAATGATGTCTTTGTTTAGTGCAACAACTACACGGAAAAAGCCGCACTATAAAAATGAAATCGAAGGATTTGATGAAAGAAAAAAACGGCGAGAGTCATACCGATCAATGAAGCCGAGTTTCTTCGGATCGTCAAGTTTGAAACTTTATTTTAATCATGAAATTTATATTTTCCAGAAATAAATCTCAACAACTTCGGGAGGCCGAACCAGTCTGGCAAGGTATTGGATACGTTGCGGAAATCGCCAGGGTATTCTTTTTTTGCGCAAGTCGTTTTGAAGTCGGGGGCAATTTTCAGTTGATTAATAACTGATTTTGAGAAGGGAACAAGTCTGCTGCCTTCAGAAAGCTATTTTTTCAGACCACTGACGAAATTTTGGAGCAACATTTCGAACAAAGAACGGGCGCCATTCAACTAAATTTCAGCGTGACGCAGTCTGCCGTGCAGCTGAAAGTCAAGGTAATCTTTGCTCCATTGATAATTACTAGAGGGACCACTTGAAAAGTCGTGAGTGGCTGTAGAAAGTGATGTCAATGCGCGCAAGCCGTTTCGATTACTAAAGGGACCACTTAATAAGTCGTAAGTGGATGTAGAAAGCGATGCCATTGCGTGCAAGTCGTTTCGAGTCGGGCGAACTTTAAAACAACCGCTCTGCAGTTGCGCACTTCTTACAGGAAGCCCAGAATTCCGACTCGTTTTCAGAAAAGCTTTAAATTCAGAAAACGAGAAAATCATCGGTGGAGCGACATTTCAATGAGGATACGGCCTTCAAGGCTTCTCCACACCATTTTGAGCGAATTTTTCCGGACCCAAATAATCATGTACCTTTTTTGAAGAAGAAAAATGTTGATGATTAACGAGGAATGAAGAATTTTTCATTTTGAGCTCCCTCGACAAGAAAAAAGCATAAATTTACTCTGTAAGAAAGCTCTTCACTTTGAAGCCTGAGCCTTGAAAATTTCATTCAACCCGCATCAAGGATTAAAATGTTTATATACAGCTTTATTCACAAATATTCATTTTTTCACAGCTATTTTGATATTCTCGTTGAGCGCCTTCTTGAGCTGTTCAAAATAAACGTCGCCGTCGGCCTTTTTCTGCATCTCCTTGGTGTTCTCAAAGTAGACGACGTTGCCGTTGGCCGCCCGAAGTCCGCAGAATTTTCGAACTTCCCCGATGAACTGCTTTCTGTAGCAGCCGACAGTGAGCACGGCGGCGGAGACGATCGTTAGAGGGTTCCTGAAAAAAGACTTTTTTAGCTTGTTCTTTGGTTTTTTTTTTGAATTTGACAGCAGATGGAGAGACTGAGAAGCAGCTGCTTCCTGCACCCGACCAAAAGCTACTCGCGCGCTTAGGCACGTTTGAAAACTAACGAATGATAGAAAATGTCGACAATTTGACGGGTGCGATCGGTCTGATATTTTTCAAATCTCAAAAGAAGATTTGCTGCCGTTAAAATGAGCATAACGGTCATAGAAGTGTAGAATAGGTTTCTCATCAACTATAATCATTTTTTAAAATCTGAGGAAGAAGTTTCAGAGCTGACCATTAAAGTCTTGACGTTCTCCCGAAGTTGGTAGCGGATACTCAACGTGTAGCCGACTTTTCTGTGGTTTCTCGACAGTGTCACTAGCCGATTATAGTTGTATCTGCTCAGGTAGGCGTATACCTTTAAAATTTAGACTTTTCGGGTTATCATAGAAATAATTTGGTTGAGAAAACCACATAAGCAACTCAAGAAAATCACTTGATTACGAATTTTTCGAATAATTTTCACGTAATATTCACCCCGATAGCAATTATCATGACAGAAAGTATATAAAAAGCCGCAAAAAAGAAAGTCAATCCGAAAAATACTGTAACGCCGGACATCAGTCCCGATAATAGATTACAAAACGAGAAAATAAGCCAGAATATCCAACGTCGAGGTTTCCGTTCATAGGTTCTGCAAATATTCATTTTGTTCAAGATTTTTGAAATCGGCAGATTTTCAAGACATTTCTAAATTTGGCAGCTCTCTAAGCGGTCTCTGAAGGGATCCCAGGCTCAATCAAAAAATGGCAGCGCCCAGGTTTCGAAAATTGGCAGCGCCTAGTCTTCGAAAATTGGCAGCGCCCAGGTTTCGAAAATTGGCAGCGCCCAGGTTTCGAAAAGTGGCAGCGCCCAGTCTTCGAAAAATGGCAGCGCCTAGTCTTCGAAAATTGGCAGCGCCCAGGTTTCGAAAATTGGCAGCGCCCAGGTTTCGAAAAGTGGCAGCGCCCAGTCTTCGAAAAATGGCAGCGCCTAGTCTTCGAAATTTGGCAGCGCCCAGGTTTCGAAAATTGGCAGCGCCTAGTCTTCGAAATTTGGCAGCGCCCAGGACTCGAAAATTGGCAGCGCCTAGTCTTCGAAAAGGGCAGCGGCCAGGTTTCGAAAAATTGGCAGCGCCTAGTCTTCGAAAAGGGCAGCGCCCAGGACTCGAAAATTGGCAGCGCCTAGTCTTCGAAAAGGGCAGCGGCCAGGTTTCGAAAAATTGGCAGCGCCTAGTCTTCGAAAAGGGCAGCGGCCAGGTTTCGAAAAATTGGCAGCGCCTAGTCTTCGAAAAGTTGGCAGCGCCCAGTCTTCGAAAAATTGGCAGCGCCCAGGTTTCGAAAAGCGGCAGCGCCTAGTCTTCGAAAAATGGCAGCGCCTAGTCTTCGAAATTTGGCAGCGCCCAGGTTTCGAAAAATTGGCAGCGCCTAGTCTTCGAAAAGGGCAGCGCCCAGTCTTCGAAATTTGGCAGCGCCCAGGTTTCGAAAAATTGGCAGCGCCTAGTCTTCGAAAAATTGGCAGCGCCCAGTCTTCGAAAAATTGGCAGCGCCCAGGTTTCGAAAAGCGGCAGCGCCTAGTCTTCGAAAAATTGGCAGCGCCCAGGTTTCGAAAATTGGCAGCGCCTAGTCTTCGAAAAATTGGCAGCGCCCAGGTTTCGAAAAGTGGCAGCGCCTAGTCTTCGAGAAGTGGCAGCTACTAGTCTTCAAAAATTGGCAGCGCCTAGTCTTCGAAAAGTGGCAGCGCCCAGTCTTCGAAAAATGGCAGCGCCTAGTCTTCGAAATTTGGCAGCGCCCAGGTTTCGAAAATTGGCAGCGCCTAGTCTTCGAAAAGGGCAGCGGCCAGGTTTCGTAAAATTGGCAGCGCCTAGTCTTCGAAAAGTGGCAGCGCCTTCTCTTAAAATTCGCCATTTTGAGGCTTTGAGCGCCTAATTCTCGAAAACTAGGAAGTTGTGCCGGTTGAAACTTCCAGAACCTTCTTCTGGTACGTCAAGAAGTGTTCTGGCCAATTTGCAGGAAAATCCCAACCGCAAAGTGAAATGATTTTTAAACTTACTTTACTAGAACCGTGGCGAAAACCCTCTCCGCAACAGCGGCGCAAGGAATCGTACAAATACAGAATACATAATGATATCTCAAACATGCCGATACGTGAAGAATATTGCTGTTGAAACAATTTCGATTGGAAGCTAGACCTTGACTATCATTATTCAACAGAAAATAATAGAATAAGGCGATGGTCTTGCTCAAAGCAAGCTCAAACCACAAAACCAGGCCAAATATGACGAGTTGGTTGAGGTTCCAGTGAAAAGCGCTGAAGAAAGCTTGATATTTTTCAAAAAGTCACCCATACCTGATTTTACTAAGAAGTCGGAACGCATAAATAACTGCTATAGCTGAACAAATTGACAAAATCGTATAAATGATCACTTCTGGAATCGACCGATGCGAGCAAGAAGAGGTCAAATACATATCCAAAATTTTTTCATTCGATCGGACTGAAAATATTTTTTCAAATAATATAGAAAGCTTCGAGTTACCTATTACTGCAATATAAGCATCGTGGACGAATTGAAAAACTGGCATTTTGCGAAAAAATCTTGTGAAAGAATGGCAACTTTCAAGCCTAGTCGGGGCAGGTGTCGTCAAAGGTATCCACAAAGCTCAAGCCTTCACCTGCTTTTTTTTCTGACTTTTAATCTACCCTCACCTTTACCTGATTTTTGGGTTGATTTCCGCCTTTTTGAGGTTAAGCAAACTTTTTGTGAGCAAGTTTTTTTCTCGCAAAACCAAAATTATAAATTTTTTCTCGCAAAACCAAAAATTATAAATTTTTTTCTTTTTGAAATCAGGCGCTTTTTATGATATTTATACTTTAGAAAAAAATGAAACTGAAAAAAATTTTTGCGCGTAAGTCTGCAAAATTGCGTCGCTTCCTAACCATACTCCAAAAAAATAATTTTTCTCTTTTTTTCAAATTTTTTTACCTTTTTCTTTTTTTAAAATAGTTTGACGATTCAAATCTCTAGAATCTTTTTAAAATGCTCTCTGTAGTTTTTTTAAATTCGTTAGAATCTGAAGTCTCTTCAGAGTTTTCCATTGTTAAGAACTTTTTGAAGTTGTTTTTCTAATTTTTTTTTTCTTTCTTTCGATTTTCAAGGTTTTTGTTCGAGTTTTCATTTTTCACCATCTCTGTCTATACAGAAGAAGCATTGAAGCAGATATTCGGCGAACTTTGATATATAGAAACCCGCCAAAAGCTCATTTCCTTCTGACTAGACAATGGGATTTCATTTCTTTTTGTTTTTTTTTTTTCTTGTTTACTCCTTTTTTTCTCGTTATTGTTAATAATGAAACTCAGCGCTTGGAGATGAAGAAGAGATGGAAAGTAAATTGTAGGAAGGAAAATTGGCACATAATGAAATTATCGTCCGTCGCTGGCCGCTCGCCACGGAACCTTCTACGTTTTCAGTTGTTAGTTCGTCTTTCGAAATAGAAAAGGTTTTTTCTAAGTTCAATTATATTGAAGTTGTATGTTGATTTATCAGGTTTGTACCATTTTCAGTTTCATAATGGGTATGTTTTTCAGGTTTAGGAACGAATTTTGGTTGAGAAAATGAAAGAAAAATTATATAAAATTATTTTATCTGTACTTTTTCAGCCCAATTTATGATAGAAAACCGGAAAAAAGGTGTTTTCAAATGAATTTTATGAGATTTTCAGGATGGCATCTCTATTTTAAGCCCTTTTTTTCCAAACTTTAAAAATTATTTTTTTCTCTATTTTTCAATCAGTTAAATTGGAAATCAAGGCGTTTCGAAATGATTTTTTTCACATTTTTGAAACAGTCGCTCATAACTATTTTCAGCTTCTTTTCTGCTCAAAATACCCTTTCAAAATTTAAAAATATCCTTATTCATATAATATTGTCATTTTTCATTAATATTCCGTGCTCTATTGATAATATCGCCGTTTTTTTCGAAGCACCTGCGAAAAAAAGAAGCCATTTCTCACCTGTGGCACGCGATTTTTACGGGAAGAGAGCTAAAAATAGTTGAAATTGGCTGAAATTCTCATAAAACATCTTGGAAAACTATAATTTCGTTTCCTCTGCAATGCCCTTTGTCCCATGCAAATTTTGTTTATCCTCCCCCCGACGTCATATTTGTTTGAGAGAGAACTGACTCAATTTCATTGGCTTTCCAATTTTTTTTTTGATGGGCTTTTCTCTTCCTCTTTTTTCTTGCCTTCTTGTCCTTTTTTCGGCTCTTTTTTCTCTATTTTTAGTTTCAGAAGTTGGAAATTAATGTCTGGTGTCCGTTATGAACGGAGGAGACATGAATAAAACATTATTATTTTCAAGAAGAGAAAAAAAATCCGAGAAATTGGGATTTTTCGAGCATTTTTCGAGTGTTTGTGAATAAAATGAGCCCTTAAAATTTCTGAACTTATATTTTTCAAAGGGTATCAGGGGAACAAGTTTTTCGTGTAGCGAAAAAAATTTTGGGACGTTTTTTTCTCTTAAGAGAATTTTTATCAAGGATATTTTGATTTGGAGAAGTCTCTTGAAAAATAAGTAGTTGATGGTCGCATTTGGAATGGATTTTCCGGGGAATAATCTATTGGCCACTTAAAGGGTTTCTCAAAAACTACTATTCGACTATTATAGTGACCACTAAAACGTCAATACTCTAAAGTGACCACGAAAAATCGACCTATTTGTGAAAAAGCTTTTTCTATTGGATTTGGAGAATCTGTTTTCAACATTTTTTCAAGATGTTGATATTTGACTCAAAATTGATTAGAATATTAGTCCCAACCTTCTGGGAACAACTCTAGTGGCCACTTAAGGGGTTTTTTGGGGACTACTTGAAGCTCGACTACTATAGTGGCCACTAGAGCGTCAAAACCCTTAAATGGCCACTTGAATTTTTCCAGGTCCCTTGAAACTTTTGGGAAAAACTCTAGTGGCCACTTAAGGGGTTGCTCAAGGACTACTAGAAGCTCGACTACTATAGTGGCCACTAGAGCACGGAAAATTTTGCAGTTATTCAGATCTTTTGGAATCCATCCAAGTTCACATCATAGGCAGACATTTTTTTTTTCTGACGTTTACCAATTCAAAAGAAGTAGACACGAAAACAAACGCTACAAACTCAATAGGAAAAGAGAAAAAAGAGAAGATATTTACTACCTATTTTTGGAGGTGTCCGTGGATTAAAGCGGATCGCATTTTAAGGACCAAACACGTGTAAACAGCGACTGACGTCGGCTCCATCCAAGAGGAGGGTTTAGGGTTATAAATCAAGCGATCCCCCCGCCTTCGTTTCCAAAAACAATTTTGCAGACGTTTCCCTCTTCCATTTCAATTTTTTGGCTTCCTAGACTCCCGATTTGGCGTCATTTAAAAAAAAAAATAAATTAGTGAATTGGGGTATCTTATCAGTGGAGCGATAATGTGCCTACTTTTTTTGGCTTTTTTTCGATATTTTTCAAAGAGGACTATATTTTTTCAGAATTCTTTGAGAATTATCAATTCAAAAAAAGTTGCCTTATATTAAAAATTAAAAAAAGTGTCCTCATTCTAAGAAATGAAAAATTTTCCTTATTTGGCCCCAGAAAAAAAAGAGTGGTCAAAAAAATTTTCAGATTTTTCCCTCTTCAATTTCAATTTTTCGGCTCTCTTGGGATATTTACTTTCCTTAGACTCCTAATTTGGATTTATTAAAAATGGTTATAAATTAGTGATCGGATGAATTTTATCAGTGGAGCTAGCATGTGTCATTTTTTTCTGCTTCTCTTCTGTTTTCACTATGAAGCTAGGTCAGTTCAATTCAAACCCCCCCTCCCCCAAACATTGTCTCAATAACCAAGAGGGTATACGGTAACATGAATTTTAAAGCTTTAATGATTTTTTTCCAGACTTTTAATCCCTGAGTCATTTATTTCTCACATGTTTATCCCATGAGCTTTTCAATTGACGATAATCAGCTCCGTTGTTTGTTGTCTCCTTTTTTTTTCTTCGTAGCTACAATTCAGTCGCGTTGGAAACGGAGCTTTTCAACAGGAATGCTTATTGTTCTTAATGAAGTTCTGGGAAAGGTCTTCCGAACGGAAAATGAGAGTTTTTTGAACATTTTGCTTCTATTTGTACTTTTATTTACTTTTATTTTCTAGAGTTATAAGAACTATAAGCTTTCGAAATTGACTAGAAACGATGAAGAACAAAGAAAATAACCCAAAAAACGAACCTCCGCAGCCCATCGAATTGAAAAATGGTCCCCCGGGAGCTCCTATTTTCGCGTTTCCCACCGATTTTCCACCGAAAACATCATCCAACCGACTTTCCTGCTGTTCATTTTGAATCAGTTATCATTTCAGAACTGATTATCACATAATATTGAATTGCTAACTTCATATTTTCCTGCAAAAATGACTTTTTCCGTGCTATTTCGAACCAAAGAGATTATAGTCGTTTTCTCATACGTCCATGAAAATAAATCCCCCACCCACATAAATGGCCTGGATTTGTGGTCCTACGACTGTCCAGAAAGGAAATCGGGATTAAAATCCGAGATTTCCCATTTGCATTCTTCACAGCTTTTCTCCGAAATCTGTTGTTTTTCGTCATTTTCACTGCATTTTTAGGTTGAGATTGTGAGAAATGAGGGAAATTATGAATTTTGAAGTAGAGGGTCTTACTGGAAGGATTGGTTTTTGTTAAACAAGAAGGGTTTTTTCAAAAAGTTGAAGAAAATTGAAAAATAAATTTTCGAACACGTGCCGCGACCGCAATGCTTCTGTGCTCATTCTGGATTAATTTTAAAAAAATATTCCAGTTAAAATTTTTTCCTAAGGAACAAGATTTTTCGCCTCAGTTCACCTTTAAAAGAAAGGAGAAGTTCCTAAAAAATAAATTTAAATCCTGAGGAAAAAAATGGCTTTTTTTCAAATTCCTTGTGTTCCATGGATAGCAGGAAATATTGCAAACACGTAATTTTTTTGAAAAAAATTATGACTTTTTACCTTAATTTTTTTACTCAAAATAGTAGTTTTTAATAGGTACAAGTTCAGTATTTTGCGTGCTTAATTGATAATTTTGCTATTTTCAGCCCTGAAATTTTTTTTTCGCACATCTTCTATATGAAAATGTATCTACAGCTAGCAAAAAAAAACCCTCTATCGTATATTGAACTCCAGAGTGGTCCCTATATAGGGGCAATCTTACAGCCCTTGGAGAGTCTCCCCCCGTCCACTGAAGCTTGCATAGGTGGTCCCCATAGGGGTTTTATTTAGTGACCATTTATGGCGGCTAACGGTACACCGGTCACGCAGTTCGGCTTGCTTCTGCTAACAGAATGGGCGGTCTTTTTTTTAGCCCTGGCAAGGCAAAAAGGATAATCAGACCACAATTATGCTATAACACGTTCAACACCATGGATGGAACTTTTTCGCAAGAATACCAGTCAACCAGGACGACAAAACTGGATGACCGATTGCATAAGACCTCCTGGAAAACGTGTGGTCCACGCCTCGATCACTAAAAGACAATAAAAGGCAATAAAAGGTCGAAAGCGAAGATGGACCATCTAAGTATCTAAGTATCTAAGTATAGGGAGCATATGAATTCTGAGCGGAGAAGCATTTCCACGGGAAAAAAACTGAATAAATAGGCGTTTTTTGAAGGAAATTGAGTGACCCCTATAGGGTCCACTTGAGTTTTAGGGTCAACGGGTCAGATCCCGAACCCCTATAGGGACCACTTTTTCGGCCCCTATAGGGTTGGTTTTCCTCCCTCATCCCTTTAGGGACCACTCTAGAATTCCTAAGTGGAAAAGACTTCTGTTATTTTTCCAATCTCATTTTGTCATATGCTCCAAAGTTGTGCCATTAACTTGGTCGTTGTGATTTTTTTTTTCCAGCTGCTTTTTCTCATTATTATTTCTGCCTCTTTTTTTTTCCAAATTTTAATGACGGCAGATGGATTCGCGGCGAGTTTCCCTGCCGGCGGTGACGATCCACTCGCCACGGCCGTCATACCTGTCGCCCACGCACCTGTCCCCGGCCGCCTCGGGCATGATGCACGCAAGAAGGTTGGTTTTTGGGGTGGATTTGAGTATTTTTAGAGATGGAGATTGATATTTTATTGAAAATGGGGGAGACGTGTATAGGGCATGCGCGGTGGTGGAGAAGATCCAGCTGGAGATAAAAATGGGTTATTTTTAGGTTTTTTGCAAGCTTGAAGGAACTCCAGAGTGGCCCCTATAGGAGCTACCTTATGGGCCCTTGAAGGGTCCTCTCGAGGGACCACTTTACCAACCCCTATAGGGGCCACCAAGGCTTGCAGAAGTGTTTTCTTTAGGACTTTCAGTAAGTGGCATTTTTTTAATAAAATTGAAAGCCCCATATAGGGTCCACTTGAGGGGCTAAGAGGTCAGACCCTTTTAGGAGCTACCTTGATTTCACCCCTAGAGGGACCACTATTTCAGCCCTTATAGGGGCTGTTTTCCCCCTTTCCCCTATAGGGATCTCTCTAAAATTTCTAAGAAGAAAAAGAAATTTTTACAAGTATCAGGAACCCTGAAACCTTGTAAACGAAGTGTGATTGAAACCGAATAAAAGAATTTTTGAAATTTTTGTAGTTTTCACTATGAAACTAGATACAATTCTTGTCCTCTAAACTTAAGACATCTTTTTTTAGTTTATGGGTTTGGAAAAAGGGAGGCAAGAAGTCGAAAAATTATGAGAAATCAATGGTTTTTCAAACTTTTCTGAAGTAGCAGAGGTGTTGTGAAAAATGAGAAAATGATAAATTTTCGAATTTTTGAGAGCTTTTTTTGCGCCGATTACTTCCTGCAGAAAAGTTCAAAAAATATCCGAAAAAACCTTTTCTTTGACTTATCTCCAGAGTGGTCCCTATAGGGGCAACCTTAGGGGCTGTTGGAGAGTCCTCCTCTAGGGACCACTTCACCCACTCCTATAGGGTCCCCTCACGCTTGAAAAGTGATTATATAGATGATCTTTTTTTGTCGTTAAACTTGGTTCTAAGGATTTTCTAGACCTCGTGAACTGATGGATAAATTCTAAGATCCCTGCCGTCAACACCGACGCCAGGAGGAGGCCGTCGAAGTCTTCCAGGAACCCCAAGGACGGTCAGTCCACGTCGTCGGCCACTTCCTCTCGTCGATGAACATCTACCGACGACGTCTCGAGCCAGTTCAAGGTGATTTTTGAAGCAAAAAGGACCAAGAATGGCAAAAAATCATCTTCATTCATTTTTTCCCGGATTCAATTAGTTGAAAATTTCCATCCATCCCAACTTTTCATCCCAAAAAATGACATGACGAAGATCAAATTACGCGATTTTCTCCTCTAATAACTTGTGTTGTTGTTCGTGAAAAATAAATTTTTTTCCTCCCGACGTCTCCATCTGATATTTCCACCTCCTCCCACGGCAAAACAAACTTTTTTTCTCCATTCATTTGTCGAAATTTTTCCCACCCGGTTCAGGTTGTCCGCCGACGCCCACTGAAATCGAATTCTAACCCGGTTTTATTATTTTTTGGCGGGCGTTTTCTAGTTTAGTTTTCATAGTAAATCTTTGCCTTTCAAATTTTCAAGTCCATTCCAAATGCGTCCAAGGCTTTTTAGAAGTCCTAATGTATTTATTTTTAACTGTTATCCTATTTTTCAAGAGACCTACAGTTTTCAAAAATTCGAAGCAAACGGCGATTTTTTTAAGTAAAGGTCTTGAATGGATAGCCATGTAAAAATTTGGGATTACGGTACCTTAAAAAAATGCGTTCTCGCCTTTTTTAGTAGTCCTGGGAAATTGATTTTGATTATTTTCAAGTGGAAATGATACCTTATTTCAAAGTATAAAGCAGTAGACGATTTTTGAGATAAGGTCTTGGATGGATAGCCATGTAAAAATATAAGATTACGGTACTTTACGATCTGTTTTTCTTTTGGTTCAATCGTCACGACTGTCACGTTTTAGGTCGAAACTGCGATTTCGATACAGCAAAAGGGAAGATTCTTCCAGCAGCTCGAGTCAGAGAGATCAGGTACCTGAAAAATTTATTTTTGCCATAATTTTGATGTAATAATATTGTTCTAGTGGAAAAACTAAATAAAAGTTGGAATAAAATTGAAAGGCCCCTAAAGGGGCCACTTGAGCTTTAGCGGCTAAGGAGTCAGACCCTAAAGCCCTATAGGGACCACCTTGATTTTACCCCTAAAGAGACTACATTTTCGACCACTATAGAAACTGCTCTCCCCCTAACCCCTATAGGGATCACTCTGCAATTCCCAAGTTAGACAAATAATATTTTCAAGGTTCGAAAAATGTCATTATATTACTCATCAAAAGTCTTTTTTTTTCTCGCATTTTACCACCTGCCCGTGGGATTTTAATGCGATTTCGCTCTCTCTATTTTGAGCCTCTCTCAGAGTTTATAAATTGAATTTTTGCGCGTTTTCCTATGAAAATTGGTTTAGGGGGTGTGTTTTGGCTTTTAGTTTTTTAAAAGTGTCTTTTCTTACTTTTGAAAATCGGTCAGAAAGATTTTTTGGCCTTTCTCAAGCGTCCGCAACGGGTTTAGCCATTCCAAATGCGTCCAAGGCGTTCGAAGGAACTCCAGAGGGGTCCCTATAGGGGCGACCTAAAGGCCCTTAGAAGGTACCCTCTAGGGACCACTTTACCAACCCCTATAGGGCCCTAAAGCTTGAAAAAGTGGTCCCTATAGGGGACATGCTAATCGATAACTTTTATGAAGACTGTGCGAAGAAGCATTTCCATGGGAAAAACTAAATGAATAGACATTTTTTGAATAAAATTGAATGGCCCATATAGGGACCACTTAAGCTTTAGGAGCTAAGAAGTGAGACCCTGAACCCCTATAGGAACCCTTTGATTTTATCTATATAAGGACCACTTTTTCGGCCCTTTAGGGGCTGTTCATCTCCCTAGCCCCTATAGGGATCACTTGAGCTTTAGGGACTAGGAGATGAGATCCTAAACCTCTATAGGAACCCCTTGATTTTATCCCTATAAGGACCACTTTTTCGGTTTTTTTAAGGGCTGTTCATCACCCTAAACCCAATAAGGACCATCTTGATTTCACCCCCCATAGGGACCACTTTTTCGCCCCCATAGGGATCACTCTAAAATTCCTAAGTTGGACAAATGACTTTTGAAGGCCGCCATCTCAAGAATATTCAGTCTTCAGAGTAGGTTCTCTGCTGAATCATGGAATAATTGAAGAGTTGTTTGTCGGTTCGCGATAATGTCGTTGATCAAGCGTAGACGGCGCCTAGAGCATCTCGCCTCTCTTGTGCTAGTAGTAGACGATTTTCGAACGTTTCCGACGATCACTGCTTCTCCATGAGAGACCTCTCTGAGCTTTGAAATAATTTTTAGCCGTTCTTCTGAAAAAAATAAGTTCTCTAGTTTTCCATATATATGGTGGTGGATTAACTATGACTCGTTTTTTTCAAGTTGGAAATGACGCCGAAAGACGGCAACATGTTGCGCAGTTTCGACCTGCGACATGGCGAAATCGTCGACCGCGGCTATCAAACCAAAAAACCGATCCAGCCGGTTTTGTGCAAGCCCGGTACGGCTCGAAATTGGATTCGATGAATCGAAATCCCATTTTCCTGTAGGCGACGGTAGACGGGCGACGTGTCCCGAGATCTGGCTCCTTCCCGAATCTTCAAAATCGCCCCGGCACGTCGTCATGCGGGTCTACGGCAACAAGAACAGCGGGAAAAAGACGCTCGTCAGGCAGCTTTATCATCTCGCGACCACGACGAATCCTGACACGGTTGATGGTCGGTTTTTGGGAATTTTGTCGAGTTTTGAAAGTACAGCAAAATATAGTCTGTTCAGATGTTAAATGTCAAGCTCCGCCCCCTGATGCCGCGATAAACCAATCATAGAGCGATCCATCCACAGAGCCTTTTCAAATGACGTCATTCTACTTGACATTCAAAATCTGAACGGACTATATGACTCACTGGCTCCGCCCCTTTTTTAAGGTTACGGTAGGAAAAGTACCAAAAAATGTACCTTTTCCAAATTTTCTCAAAGAAAGCCAGGGACAAATTGAACATTTCTTGTGGACAAACCTTTTTTTGAATGTCTTTTTTTCATGCCGAAAGTATCAATTTTCATTGGTATTTTTTGGATTTTGCGATTTTTTGACCGGAATAACCCGCTTGACAGTAGAATTTTATTTGCTCAATTGATTTATTGGGTCTTTTTGTGCTAGGATAACCAAAAATTTCCAGGTCCCGTTGACCGATTTATCTCTACGTTTAATAAAAAACTTTGTTCGATTTGGAAGACGGAGAAAAAAGTTCATTTTTTGGTATTTTCCCTACCGTAACCCTGAAAAGGGGCGGAGCCAGTAAAAAGTCTATGTGAAAATTTCCGGTTTTTGCGTTCAGTTCGTTCAGGTTTTGAATGTCAAGTATAGTGAATTTTTCCCGACTTGAAAGGCGAGGGAGGCGGGGCAAGGGGCGGGACGCGTAGCGTGTGCGTTCGCGGTTCTTGGCACGAGTTCAATTCTACCGCCAGAGGCTATTTGGAGAGCTCGTTTATCGCTCTTTTCATTTCTTTTTCAATTATTTATTGATTATGTTCATGTGCGCATCAAAAAAATAGTGGAAAATACAGAAAAAAAGAGCGGTTTCCGAGCTTTTTTTAAAAAAAGTCGGCGGCGATTGAATTGAACTCGTGCCAAGAACCGAGTACGCACACGCTACGCGTCCCCCTTGCCCCCGCCTCCCTCGCCTTTCAAGTCGGGAAACATTGACTATATAGAATGACGTCATTTGAAAAGGCTCTGTGGATGGCTCCCTCTCTGATTGGTTTATCGCGCCGTTAGGGGGCGGAGCTTGAGCGACGACTTGACATTTAAAATTTGAACAGACTATAGTTATTGTGACCACAATGTGAATTTAAAAACTCAATCTGAATTTTTGGTGTAATAGTGTTTAGTCATTCAAAGTATACAAGGTATCTGGAATTTTTTCAAAATTTCAGTCAACGACAACGATGAGGGCAAGACAAAATCACTACATTTTTTGCTCAACGGAGAGGAGTTGGAACTGGAAATCCTGATGGAATCCGCCTTGGAAGTATATCTTTTAGTAAATTGAGGTGAAATGATCGATTTTCGCTTCAGAATGCTCCATTCGAACCGTCGCTGATCATCTACTTGATCGTCTACAGTGTTGACAGCCGGGAATCTTTCGCCGTTGCTTCGGCGCTCCTTGATAGGTTTTTCCGTCCCGGTTTTATCGGAAAGTCATGAAATTCTGATTGAAGGATAGGCCGAGCGCGTGGCTCGACGATTTTGATCGGAAATAAGATGGACCTGAAGCGGAATCAAGCCGTCTCAACGATTGGTCTGAATAGAACTTTAGATTCTCAAATGAAGGGAAGTTCAGAAGGAAAATCCCTGGCGAAAATCTACAAAAGTGCATTCGTCGAAGTTTCGGCGCTTCTCTCGATGAACGTCGAAGACTGCTGGTCGGAGGTTTTGAAGCATATCCAGGTTTTTTTTCCGAAGTAAATTAATGAAGGAGCTTTGATTTTCATCTGATGAATGATGGATATAGCCCATTCCGCACCTTTTCCTGAGCCAAAGTACCATTCCCATTGATGCGCGCGGCCAGTCTCTTTGCATGCGCCTTTAATTTAGCTAAACTTTCCGTCATATTAAAGACGCATGCACAGAGACAGCTTGTGTGCATTGAAGGGAAGGTTCCCGGAATGGGTCTGTAGCTCGGAAATCGTGTCAAGCTGGCGCGGGAAGAGCAGCATATTCTTGTCAACCCTTCCATTCGAACCGCGCGGCCTGTCTCTGTGCATGCGCCTTTAATATAACCCAAATTCTTAGGCTAAATTAAAGGCGCATGCAGAGAGAAAAACAGCGCACATTGACGGGTAGGGTTCTGTAGTTGGCAAACGCTTGTCACGATTCTGCGAGCTACAGAACCCTTCCAGGAGCCTTACCTACAAAACCCGCGCCTGTCTCTGTACATGCGCCTTTAATAAAACGGAAAGTTTCAAGCTGAATTAAAGGCGCATGCAGAGAGACTGGCAGCGCGCTTTCAAGGGAAGCTTCCCGAAAGGGTACTGTGGCTCTGAGGAGGGAAATAAAAATCTCAAGACTTTTTCTGGACGCGCCTGTCTCTGTACATGCGCCTTTAATAAAACGGAAAGTTTCAAGCTGAATTAAAGGCGCATGCAGAGAGACTGGCAGCGCGCTTTGAAGGGAAGCTTCCCGAAAGGGTACTGTGGCTCTGAGGAGGGAAATAAAAATCTCAAGACTTTTTCTGGACGCGCCTGTCTCTGTACATGCGCCTTTAATAAAACGGAAAGTTTCAAGCTGAATTAAAGGCGCATGCAGAGAGACTGGCAGCGCGCTTTGAAGGGAAGCTTCCCGAAAGGGTACTGTGGCTCTGAGGAGGGAAATAAAAATCTCGGGATTTTTTTTAGACTTTTATCCTCTCAAAATTCCAGAACCCGATAGTCCCTTCGCAAGAGAAGACGTGGTACGAGAAGATTGTCAGCCGCGGCCGACACATTGCCAAATCCTGCGAGGAAATCGTTCAGAAGATCATATCGTGAATATTCTTTCCTAAAAAAAACAAATTGCTCATTCGATTTTTGGAATCCTGAAATACAATCATTTATTTTGAAACATTGAGTATGAGGTTAATTTCAAGGTAAAACGTGAATCACTAAAAGTGAACGAAATAATTTTTATTATTCAACAGTAACCACGGACGAGGAGAAGGCGGAGGGAGAGTATCATCACACACGTAATAAAACGAATTCTAATGCACCGAAAGTTCAAAAGAAAGAGAGAGAGAGAAAAAACAAAAGCGAGACACATTTCACAAAGGCTAAGGAAAAAATGTTAAAATTTCAAAGTTTAGGAAGGGAAAAACGCTAGGTCTCCAAGAGAAAATTTACAAAGTGAACAAAAACGAAAATGGCACCCTTTGGGAGAAAGAAAAGAGCCAGAGATAGTTAAAAAAAATGGGCTCGAAGGAAAATATTTGAAATATAAAAGAAACGAAGTAGAGAAAAGGATCAAAACAACAAGAGGGTTCAATAGAAAACGAACATTTTCTTAAAAAAAATAAATATGTGACAGAATATAATACTTTCTAATTGAGAATTTGCCATTAGAAGTTAGTAGAAAAATTGTCACATATCCATTTTCAAAACGAAAAAAAGATAGCCAGACGATAAATTTTTGGTACAGAAGAAAAAAGTTGATTAGAAAGAGAAAGATGATCGCTGAGAAAAAAAGAGGGTTAAGCATTTCAAATTTTGCAATCACAAAAAGAAGAAAAAAAGGTCTAAGCGGATGGGCGAGGGCTAGAACGGGAGATGGTGTCAGTGGTAGGGCTACGGGCGGCGCTGGGACGTGGCTGATGTTGCAGTAACGTCTTGTGGGTGTTGAACATGTGGCTGTTGGTGTTGTTATTCGACGGGCGTGGTTTGGGTGCTGGTTGATGATGTTGGAGCTGGATGGGACGGTGGACCGGCGGCAAATTGAACGGCATCATCATCATCGGATGCGGTATCGCCAACGGCAATGGAGGCACCATTTTCGGCGGTATCAAGGGGTTGCCCTCCAGACACTGTCGCATCTTCTCCGAACGCTTCTCCTGTTGGTGTCGGCGACGCTCTAGGTGTCTCTCCAGCCGCTGGGCTCTCTGGAAAATTGTAAATTTCAGTCTCAAATCTCTTCGGGAGGATTCATGATTCGATTTTCGGATCTAAATATCATGTGAAATCGCAAATTATTGACCGATATATGAAAGAACGAAGTGCAAGGATAAAAATGGCTTCTTTATTCTACAAACTTTTTGGGACTTTAAAACTATGAAAGAAATCTGGCAACATTTTTAGTGGCCACCATTTTGCGACTTAGTGGCCTTTATAGTAGTTTTTAGGGGTTCGGAAGTGACACTGAGACATCCATAGAGGCTCTTTAGTTTCAATCACTTGAACGGCCACCAAGACTACTATAGTGGCCACGGAAACTTCAAAACTCTTTAGTGACCACTTAAAAATTTCGCAGAAGCCCACCTGGATATGCTTCCAAAAAATGTAGGCTTTATGAGTCAGAAAAGGATACTTTCAAACTTGCTTTTTTTTTTTTAATTTTACGGAAATTTACAAGTTTCAGGTTTTTAAAACCACCGAAATTCATGAATTTTCTTTCGAAAGAAAAATTTCAAAGATAGAGAACTCTAAAAACAAAAAATCCCTGTATAAACGTTCACAGCTGAACTTTGATAAAAATCTTTAAAAACGGAAATTAACAGAGAAAATTATTTTTTCACTCTTTCCTCACCCTCAACTTGCTAGCCGCCTTCCTTTTCTTCCTCTGTTGCTTGGCCGACTCGGACTCGTCAGAATATTCGCCTTCCGAGGAGAAAATCGTCGATCTCGAATCATCCGAATCGCTGCTCGAGTTGGTATTGTCCATCATTCGGATATTCTCCGGCATGGGGATGATTTCTGGTGGGATGGACGGCAGAGACGAGGGTACTTTCTGAAATTTCAACACTAGTTTCAAGATTTTCCGCTTTTTTCAAACCGCCCCAATTTCGTGAAGAGCAGCCGAAGCCAAGGCGTAAGTAAACTCGACGTACTCGTGGGGCGGCAGTTGGTTGATCGTCGCGGTGAAAATGTGCGGCGGCGGCAGCGGTATCAGAAGACGTCGGTAAATTTCGCTTTTCGACTTGCGGTTCTTGATATCCATCTGTTCCTACAATGCAAGATATCGGACCAAATTCGCAGTGGAACCTTAATGAATGGGTGCGTGTTTTTGACCAAGTCAAAGGGGTTTTTCATCGGCGATATACTGGCGCAGATCAGGGTTGAAGAGAGCGGCGGCGGGGGAGCCGGAGGAACGACACCTCGTCTTAAACTTGGAGACCGTTGTAGAAGTGTGTTTTTTTTTGGTTTTTAAAAAAAATTTTCAGCTCTCTGTTGACTGAAGTTAACTTTTAAATCATCCGATTCAAAACAAACGCCTTAAACTTGGAGACCGTTGTATAACTGTGCGTTAATAAATTTGGATTTTATAGGTCCTAAGAAAATTTTTTAGTTCCCAGTTAACTCAAGGTACCTTGAAAATATGATAAAAATAAAGATTTGGTTCCTTCACAGTCGATGTAAGTATGACGCTTTAAAAAGCGCCTTTTTTCAAACTTGTGTAGTTTGCAAATTTCAAAGCATCACAGCTAAACTACTGAAAAAACAGTTGGCTTTCTTAGGCTCAGAAGGTCATAAAGTACACTTAATGAAGGTTTAAAAAGAAGGAAAATATTACATAAAAAATTGAAATTTCAAACTTACTCTCCTCTCAAATATGCGTATCGCATTTCAAGCAAGCGATTATACCAACCGATATGCTTTTTAATCTCGCCTGGTTCGACCCTCGGCATCCAAAGTTCTAAAAAAAAAGTTTTTAACTTTCAATTTTTATACTATTTTATTTTACTTTCATCCTCCTTCTCCAGTTTATTCGCAGAATCGGTCGCGAAAGCGTCTTCACTTTCATCGCCGCTTTTCTCATCTCTATTACTTTTACTAAAAAAAAGTTGTATAACTTCTACTTTCATTCGATTCACCTAGAATCAAGGAAAAAATCGTTGAAGGAAGTTGGCGGCGAGAAAGCACTTCCTTGAGCCAGTTGGGTAGAACTGCTCATTGCGCTTACATATCCCTGATCGAAGGCTTGAGCATCAGAAGTCTAAAAACAAACAACATTGATTAACCGTGAACTTCCTTCAAATTGACTTGTTTTGGAAGGGATGTCCCGTCCAATGATGGCCTTGAACTTGGTGCCGTTGATGCAGTATCCGACGAGTAAAACGTATCAAAAGAAGGATGCCAATCACCATTCTTAATGAAAAATAATTTAATAAGACTTGCGTCATGATTGCAACTCACCACATCGGAAGTCGATGAAACGTCTTCCGATCGGTACGGACAACAGATTTTGCAATTTTCTAACGAATAATAGCTATCGTCGCGCACTTCACACGCCATTTCTTTCATACTGTCTTCCTGTAACTGATTTTCAAAAAAATTCGCAAAATTCGATAAAACTAACGCTTTCAAAATCGTCGATGCACGTTTCTGGGTGTTTGTTTCGCTCCAAGTAGCACCCGTGGGTGTAACCACTTCGCAAAACCATTTAAAATAAAACCACAACAGTGTAAATCTATGTAGGCTCTGGAAAAAGAAACATTGAGGTCTTTATTTCTCGATTTTCAATAACTTGAACGCGAGAATAATATAATCACAAACAGACAGCCAACAGTGAGATAAAATTTAAAAAAAACTGTTTTTTTTCATCAAAAAAACTTTGTTATTTGCGACACGCTGCGATTTCGCTACAAACAGTGAGGCTTTAAAGTATTATCAAGTTACTTTTAAACATACTTCATGATTAAATGATAATCGCAGTGTTCAAGTTCGGAAAAAAAGCGACTCGAACTCTCGAAAATGTTCGTGACGAATATTTTCGGAATAAAACGCGCCAAGACCAATTCGTGGCGCATATTTTAGTCCTTCAATCTAGATCACCAATTTTTCGATTTTTTTAATTTTTTTCAATTTTTTTCAAGGTTATTTGTTGTATTCTTACTTCGTGTTCAAAGATAAAAGTGTATTTCAATTGATTATTATTTTGCTGATGATTGCAGCAGTGTTTCGTCGATAAAGCACGCATGTTTTTTTTTTAAAATCTTTGTTCCTTAGTTTCATTTCCGGTTTTAACTTAGTTTTCGATTTCTTTGCCCTTTTTGAAATGACTCAAAATAACCTTTAGAGAGGGGGAAAAATAACTAAAATTCAGAGAGTTAGAGATAATTCTGAACATCGCGGAAATTACTTTAAACACGCCATTTTCTGCTCAAAAAAAAAATTGCACATTGACGCATTACGTATAATATTGTTGGTCTCTTTGCCTGGAAAGGATACGGAATTATAGTATTTTTTTAAAGATCTCAGCGAAAATTGTTTTTTTCATTAAAATATTTTTTTATCAAAGTTTTACTGACTATAATTTCATGCTGTAGTTGTCTTCCAAGTTTGATTTCATATATTTAAAAATCTTACCGGGATATATTTTTTTCAATTAATTTCCTTCTATCGTTTTGAAGCTTATTTTGAAACTGTTCAAAAAAATCTTTGAAAAGAGTTTTTAAGGTTTGATTTCTTTGATTTCAAATTCAGCCATTGGGAGTCCTTTTCATGAATCTCATCATCAATTCAGGATTTTCTTCTTATTCTAAAACCTCATTTTTCCTTGGAAAGACTCAGGTTTTTATATCTAATTAGAGGGGCCGCGCTGGTCAAGAAATTCGGCCCAATTCAATTAAAACGAAGCAACAAATGAGGAAGAGACGGGGGCTATCCATATATGTAAAAGTGCGTCGGCATCTGTGCGTTTGTGTGTGTGTTGAAGTTGAGAGCCCGGGAGCCGCGTGTGTCTGTTTAAAGAACGTAGATTAATGGGGAGGCAAGCGGAAGAATGAGAAAAAACCGCCTCGAGGCATTATTGGTGAAGTGAAGACACACTCACACGCAACTTTGCACATTCCTTCAAGGGAATAAAAAAACCGAAAGACAATGTTAGAGAGAAATGTTGTCCTTGTGTGCTTCTTCTTGTCTTTTTCTATTTCTTTTCGTCCTGAAGCTTTCCCTCCACATCTATTTCGTCGTTTTTTCTTTCCCTCCTGGCAGTGGTGGCTAGTGGAGCAAGTCTGCCATTCCATGCATTGCCAATAAAACTCGCCAACCTTCTGCGCGAAACTCGCCCCAATGCAGTAGCGAGTGCCTCTCGCCAATTCCTTTTCCTCTCTTTTTTTTCCAGGCTCTTGTCTGACGCCGACATTCTTCAAGTCACCAGCTGATTTCTTGGCTTTTTTTTTTCATATATACTTCTCCGTTCTTTGTGCTAGCTGTTGGCTAAATTTAACTTTTTTCGTGGAAAGTCTACTTCTTCGGAAATTTTTTTTGCGGCTTCGGGATGAATCTGAACGCCTAGAAAATTTGTAGTTTGTTCACGAGTCTTTTAGGGGATTTTTGAAGCGGCAGACGTCTTTTTATTGTCTAAAATTGGATTGAAAATGGCTCTTTGCCTTGATAGATTCACGAAATTAGCTTATTTTCCTTTAAAGACACCAAAGAAGATTCAGTTGAATTGAACTGTTACTCCGACTATAAAAACCCCGGAAACCAATTTGAACATTTTTTTTGTAAAAATTTTAGTAGAGTGATTATCTCAACCAAAACCATGTCAGGCTCTTATTTTTTTCACAAAAAAATGGTTTATATTACACTTTTTTTCCAGTTTTTCCGCTTGAAACCACCAAAAATTGTAATTTAAGGTAATTCAAAAGGTAATTCAACTATAAAAAAGATAACAGTTTTTTTTTTCAAATTTTCAAAATTTGTCAGTGATTTTTTTTCTTTTTTTTTAAATTATTTTTCACTCGGTGGAGCAACTTTCCGATTACTATTTTTTTTTAACTTTTTAAAATTGGGTCTGAATTATTAGTGTTCGAAACTTATATTTGGTTTAGAAAGATCTATTCCAACACACCGGGACTTTGAATTCAGTTCAAACTTCTCCAATATTTTTTTATTTTTAGTTTTTTTCTCTACATTTCCGTAATTTTTCTTCTTTCAAATTCAAGAACTACTGCCTTTTTCAGTAGCTTATTATGCGCTCCATGGAGCATTATTTATTCGAGAACATTTTTCTATATTTGCGTCTCGCGGACAACAAACTCAATATAAAAAAACCAGGAACCTAGAATATGTAATTCGAATTTTAGATATTCTGGCTTTGTCTGTTAGAGGAATACTATGGTATTGACCTGGAATTCGTTTTTTTTTCTCATATCTTAATTTTAATCTCAAAAGAAAAAAAAAGTTATATTTTTTTTCGATTTTTGATAGTCGGAGTTGAACGTCAAAAAACTTCTTTAAAGTCATAAACTGAAAAAAAAAATTGTTCATGACGAATCTTGAGTATTTCTGTGAAAAATTAGGTAGGATCGACTACATCTCTCTATCTCAAAAGACAAAAAAAGGCATGACGCGAACGGGACGCGAATTGGACGTGTCGGGGCATTTCTAGTGACCACTTTAGTAGTCTCAGAACTCTTAAGTAATCCCTAGAAACGTCCGGAGCAGGTCCGTTTCGCGTTACCAATGTCCGAGCAGTAGAAGACAACGTCCAAAAGAGCGCACTTGTTGCGAATTTCTGAGCAGAAGCTAAAAGGCCTCAAAGATCCATGATATCCGAGTAGCGATTAAAGTCGCAATAAACCAAGAATGGGGGGAGAGCCCCATATGAGAGCCGAGGAGCCGTAGAATAAGGTGTGTGGGACCAAAAAGGAAGGCTCTCCTCGACGAATATAAGAGAGCAGGGAGTTTGGAGGGCACCAAATGGAGCCGCCATAGGCAGCGCAAGGGAAGTGAGAAGCGTGAAACGAGGAGAACAACGAGGAGGACGACTACGGGCGCCTGCCGCCGCCTCAATGACCCATTGCTTCTCTTTTCCATCACGTCAATTCTTTCTGGCCCCTCGCTATACCGCTTCCGAGCCTCTTTCCACACGTTTTTCTCCTCGTTTTTCCTTCTCTGGCCTTCGTCGTCGACGACGACGTTTTTCTGTTCGATTATCTAGTTGGAGACTACAATCCGTTTTTCGTGCCCCTTCTCCTCGTCATCAACCACTTTGTTTTCTGGAGTACTCGGCTCCTTCTTTTTTTGTCGTTCTTGCAGAGCCTTTTCAGGTGAACTGAATCGCAAGTTTCTGGGATAATTTTTCTGTTCAGTAATCCGTTTTTGGGCTTGGCCGTGAGAAAACTCAGCTGAATATTTAGTTCCCTTTTACTATTAATAAGAAAGTTTTTCTCACGGTCTCCTGGGAAGTTTTGCAATAATCTACACATCAATCCTAGTATACCACTTTTTCTGCAACAAATTTTTAGCAGAAATAATTTCCACAAGCAATTTGACGACCCTGATTATGTCCCTAGTTGATTTTTTTTTCGATTTAATGGTTTTCATGCTCTTTTTTTGTTTCCTTTTCCCTAAAAGTTCACTGAAGTTTTTAAAAAATATTGATTTTCTGCGCTCAATAGAAAAATCTTTCAAAAAATCAGATTCTTGACCTTGTTCTCCTGAAATTTATATGTAGCTTGAACCGTCCTGGTTAGAATTTTCAACAAAAAAAAACTCTTGGATGCCAAAAATGTCAATTTTCTGTGCTCTATAGAAAAATCTTCAAAAAATCAGATTCTTGACCTTGTTTTCATGAAATTTATGTGTAGCTTGAACCGTCCTGGACGAAAGTCAAAATGATATTCCAGAATTTTAAAAGTCAATAATACAATATAATTTGCTTCTTATCTGATCAAGGGGTCTTTGAATGTGCACAAAATAAAAATTATTTATACGTTTTTTTCGAAATTTGAAATGATTTTTCAACTATATTCGTACTGTTCTTCGCGAAATTTCTAAATCCCGTCGATTTTCACCCGAATTTTAGAAGGACAGAAGATGCGAAGGAAGGTTGTAGTTGTGAGGAAGGATAACTGAATTCTGGCCCCCTGTAAATGCATCAAAATCCTTGACGGCCCACGGGAATCGAGCGCTGCAGCCAATAAATCACCGTACTGCAGGTGGATCATTGAACAAAATTCTTTAAACCTTAATCTTTAAATCTGGACCCAAAAAGACACAAGACTTGAAAAAGAAGGTCAAAATAGATCCCGTTTTCAGAAAATAATTGGTTTTTCAGGCAATCGATTGGCAATATAAATGTGGGACACCTGAATGGAGGATCAGTTGAAGGAAATTGAGGTGAAAATCGATTTTTTGTCTGTTTTTTTGTCTGTATTTTGTACTAAGGAATGCCAGAGTGGACCCTATAGGGGTAAGGGTGAAGACAGCCCCTATAGGGGTTCAATTTTGGTGGTCTCTATAGAGGTTTAGGGTCTCACCTTTTATATAGCCCCTCTAGGGGTTATGGGCTGAAGTGATCCCTTTAGGGGTCTTTGAATTTTCTGAAAAAAAAAACCCTATAGGGAACAAAAAAGTGTCCCCTATAGGGTCTATAAGTGTTGCTAAGTTTTTCTTGTTAAACTTGAAAAAAAAAGGAAAGGGTCCCCATAGGGGTTTAGGGGATGAAGTGGTCCCTATAGTGGTATCTGAATTTTGTGTAAAAAAAACCCCCTGTAGGGACTCTTTTTAACGTTGTCGAGTTTTTCTTGTTATAAATAAAAAAATTTAAAAAAAATAAAAGGGTTCCCTATAGGGGTCTTTGAAATTTCTGTTATTCAGAAATAAAAATGAGAAAATCAAATAAATCATCGTCTTTTAATATTTTTTCTGTTCAAAAAACGCTAAAATTTTGGATTTTTCACATGGAAATGCTTCTTCAACAATAATCGACTAACGTGTCTTTTATAGCCACTGTTACTAATTAAAACCACTATAGGGGTCACTTTTGCAAGCTTAAGTGGACCTTAGAAGGGAAATTTCAAGGGCTCCCAAGGTTGTCCCTATAGGGATCACTGTAGCGTTTATGGAGAGGGACTATTTTATTTCAAATTTTCAAAAAAATCACTTAAGGGCTTGCTTGAGACAGCCGCTCACTCACAACCCAACGACTCGGCGCTGAAAAACGTGAAAAAGGTATAGGAAAATGCCAAAAAAAAAGGGAAACTTTTTCTCATTTTCAGTACATCAAACTTGTCTTTCCGCACGTCGCCCTCGTCGCCGTCGTATGTCTGTACGCCGTCGTCGGCGCCTACATTTTTTATAGGCTCGAATCGCCGAACGAAGATCGAGTAAGGGGAAATTGAAGGATAGGTCGAAAAAATGGTTAAAAACTTGTTTTTTAACGTTAAAATTTGGTTTCTCAAGGCAGAAAGTGTGGGCTACATGAAGATTATTGAATGAAAAATCAGTTTTTTGCTGAATTTTGAAGTTGAAAAAATGATTTATGAGTTTTTTATAGGTGTAAATTTTGTGAGAACTTGGTTTTCAAGCCAAAATATGAAGGGCTTCTGAGTTTTATAAGGGATTTTTAAACATGATACTTTTTTTCAGGCTGAATTTAGGGTACTGTGAAATGATTATGAACTAGTATAGATACAAATTCTGCACAAGAATATCTTTAAAATTAGAATTTGAAGGTCAAAAACTGAAAAATTTTTTTCTTCAAATGGAAAAATTTGTCCAAATTCTGTTCATTTTTTTGCTTAAAGATTTCAGAATAGATCAATTTTTTTCGTTCAAAAAAAGACGAAAAAAAGCACTGAATACTAAAAAAAATCAAGCCAGCTTTTTTATGAGAAATTCATAAAAGCCTCTTCAAGATTAATCAGTAAAATGCGGTTATAAGTCGAAAAAAAATAGATAAAAATTTTTTTAATGTTCAAGTTTTGCTTTCCTGAGCGAAAAAAATGTGTGTTTAGAGATTTTTGATTGAGATTATTGGATGGAAAAATTTTTTTTTGGATTTCCAAATCGAAAAAAATGATTTGTTTGTAAAAAAATCGATTTTATGGACTCTTTTTCTTTTTTTATAGAGTTTTTTTGGAGATGATACCTTTTTGGAATGAATTTAGGGTGTTGTAAAATTCTTATGAAGCCGTATAGTTACATAAATCTTCACAGGAATACTTGAAATTAAGCCAATTTTTTTATAAGAATTTTTACGAAATTGTGTCAACTTTAAACCGTTTTTTTCAACTAAAAAAATTTTTTTAGTTCTAATTTTTCCAAAATTACAAGTTGCTTTTTAGTCTTTTTAGTGTTTTTGTAATGCAGGAAAAAAATATATTTTTGAAAAAAATTATTCATATTTTTTTAGTTAAAAAAACGATCGGAAAAAGTCGGTGGCTGAAATGCGTGTCAACCTTATTTCAACTATACAATATGGTAGTTTTATCGAATTTTCATAAACTTACTGAATAGGAAAATTCCAGAAGAATCGCGGAAAGAGGTCTGGAAATCGGGAGTCGAGGAGGAGCTGTTCAAATTTAGCGAAAAGTTGTACAAAGCCTTCAAAGAACAATATGTCCGGTATGGATTTTTGTTAAGATTCTGGAAAAATTCGATTTTTCATTCAGTTATGCCGATGTTAGAACGTTGAGAAGCGAAATCGCGACCGATTTCAAAAACGATGGAAGGTCGAAAAGACACAGGTTTGTACGGTTTTGAGTCAAAAATCGATAATTATTTTATAATTTTCGTTTTTCTAAGTTCCTTGTTAGATAAATTCTGAAAAAAAACAGCTTTTTTTCTACTTTCTTAAATTCTTTTTTTGGTTTCTTAAAAAAATCAAATATTTTTCATACTTTTTTATAGGTTTTTTTCCCAAATTCCTTGTTTAATGTACTCTGAAAAAAATTTCGCTTTTTCCTCGCTTTCTTATTTTCTAGCGACTATTTCCCTTCTTGGACACTTTAAAAATTAACGGAAAGTCGAAAAAGCACTATTTTATACAGTTTTTTTCAAAACTTTATACAGAACAGAATGAGTTGAAAATCGAGAATTTTTCATATTTTTTTCTCGATTATTTATAGGCTTCTTATTAGATAGATATCGAATGAAATCCGTTTTTTTCCTGCTTTCTGAGAGCCTAGTGATCATTTCCTTCGTGGCTACGTTCAAAAAAACGATGGAAGTCCGAAAAAAAAACAGTTTTTATACAATTTTCAGCGAAAAAAAATGAGTCAAAAAAATCGATAATTTTTCATAAATCTTTCGATTTTTAATTGGGGTTTTCTAGGTTATATTTGTATAGAATTTGAAAAAAAATTCGGATTTTTCCTGCTTTCTGAGGATCTAGTGATCATTTTTCTTTGTGGTTCGAGAATTTTTTTATCGATTTTTTTAAATTTTTTTCTCGCTTAAGAAAAAAAGTTGTTTCCCTTTTTTAAGCTCTATCAGAATTTTTATGTAACTTATTTTTTTCTACTTTACCATTGAAATTTCTGTAAGTTTTTAATTCTAATAATTATTCCCAGATATAAAAATGCTGTTCATTATTCTCATTATTTTTTTATTTTTTTGGGTTATTTCTCTCTTTTTTTCCATTTTTTTGATTGCTATGTGAACCAACAAAGCTATCTCTGTCGGAAAAACGTCTTTTTTCAAGCTTTTCAATAGTTTCTATGCTTTTTTTGGATGGATATCTGTAAGATTTTTAAAAAAATATTCTTCTAATTTTTAGTTCAAATAAATTCAAATAAAGTAAGTGAAAATTTCATCCGTTTTCGAGTCTGAAAAATCAAAATAGAAGAATTTCAGACAAAGCAAAGGCCGTGGAGACAAGGGCGAGAAGATGTGGACCGCCAGCAGTGCGTTATTTTTCGCCGCAACCACCATGGCGACTATCGGTACCTCAGAATCATACAATAACCCTTGATTTACTGTATCATTTGAAGGGTACGGTAACATCGTGCCGGCGACGTCGTCGGGCCGCATCGCCTGCGTCGTTTTCGCCTTGTTTGGGGCTCCTTTGGCCATTATTACCATTGGAGGTGTTGATTTCTTTTATTTTGCTGTTTTTAATGATTCTCTGAGTAGTATTGCCTTTTTGGTAAATCGACAAAGTTTATCAGAATTTTGAGTTCAGGAGAATATAGATTTTTTTAAAGCCAGAATTGATTTGCAACTTGAAAAATTTGGAAAAAATCTCTGGAATTATAGATTCTGAGAGCCCATTTTTTGCTTTTCACGGCGTTTTTTTTTCGGCAAAGCCCCGCCCATATTTTTCCCGTAAAGTGTAGTGTATCGTGTGCATGCACCGCGGCGCTCTCGCACACGCCATGTTCAAAGTAATTGAATTTCTGAAGTTCAGTTACATTTTTCACTCTCTGGAGGCTGTTTTGAACTTCGCGGAATAATTTCGATACTGTTTAAAAAAAAAGAAACAGAAAAAAGTCATTTTTTATTTTTGTACGACACTCCGCTTTGACGCTCTGGTAGCTCGAGAATTCGAAATTATCATTTTTATTCGAGAAAGTCAATTTTCGAATGTGAAATCTAAGGAAAACTTGAATTTTCTGAAAATCAACTGCTCTTTTATCGATTTTTCTTAGTTTTTCAACGAAAATTGTTTCAGATCTCGGTAAGTTTCTATCCGAATGCACGATTTGGCTCTACAAGCAGATGAGGAAAGTCAGCGGCAGCTTGAGGCTCAGCTGGCGGAGGATGAGAGGCAATGGGAAAGGTAAAACCAAGTCATTTTTGTCAAAAACCACTCTTTCTAGGTACTTTTTACGAGGATTTTTAACTTTTCAGTGAAAATTCAAAATAAAATGGGTTTTCAGTGATTTTGTAGGGCTTCAGGAATTTTCCATACTGGAGGAGATTCAAAACAAATTCAGTCCAAAGTTGAAAAAACTTGAAACGTATAGAAAAGTAATCTTTCCCAATAGAATGTTTTTTTTATGATTGTAAAGGGCTTCAAAAGTTTTCCATACATACTCAAAATTTCGTCAGCTATTTCTCCCTTTCGATTTGATTATGAGCTTTACTTGTGAAAGTTTTAAATTTTATCCGATTTCTTGATTTTTCACGGCGATTTTCTCTTTTCTCACGTTGCTTTTTCAGACGCCTTATATTTATTGAGTTGTTCATAGTATTTCTAATCTGATAAGTTGTTTCTAATCCGAGAAGCGGAAAAAACATTTTTTTTTTCTTTTTACAAAGGTTTTCCATGCCGTGCTCAGTCATTTCGAAATTGACGCCTTTGGGTGCGAATTTTTGAAATTTTTTGACGTACTGGGAAAATTTTCAGTGGCCTCTTTAGGGGCTCGCCAAGGACAATTTGGAGAGGACACTGAAGTGGCCACTAAACCCGTCTCTATAGTGGCCACTATTTTCCGTTTTAGTGGCCACTAGAGAGGTTCTCTATTTAGTGGCAACTTCAGTAGTTTTTCATCCAGTATTCCTTCCAGTAACTCTGATAACTTTTGAAACAAACTGATTGGACCACTTATGTTGATCCATTGGCCCCTAAAGTGGCCACTAAAAGGTCTAGTAGTAGCACTTATTAGTTAGACCTCTATAGTGGCCTCTAATTTTTAAATCCTTAAGTGGCCACTAGTTTGACTACTCTAGTGGCCACTGAACATTTTCACAGTAAATTTGCAAATTTTGAGATTCGGGCGTAAAAGTGATATCACGATAAATACCGTAATTTCTAATTTCATCGACTTTGCGAAATAATTTCAAACGAATAACTTCGGCAAAGTCATAAAGGCTGGAAAAAGGCTCTAAAGAAATGTTCCTTTTTTTGCTGCCGTTTTGCGCCATTTCATCGGCTCTTATGCACCATTTTTGCTGCCTCCCCCTTTTTTCAACATTTTTCGAGTCTTCAAAATCCTAGAAAAATGAAAGGCTCGATAAAGGGACTCTTTTTGCTGCCTTTTGGAAGCATTTTTACTGCCTTTTTGGCACCTTTTTGCTGCCTTTGTGCGGCCTTTTTTGATCCTCTCTCTTTTATCCCCTATTATCCACCATTCCGACTTTGCCTGAGAACGCCTCAATTTTAAAAACGACAAAATCTCTCTGAAAACCCATTAGATATTGACAAAATCTTCAAACTCATAATATTTTTCCAGATATGATGGACAACGTCGAACTGGAGTCATCGGATTCTCGAAGTGGCTCGGAATTAGATTGGGAAGATTTAGTGATGGATAAAACTGAAGTACCGGTTTTATTGGTTTTTACGATTTTATTGGTTGGTTTTTTGGTGTGTTACGGTCCGTTTTTCGTGACTTTTCTCCTCTTCTCTCGGTAACTCTCTCATGTTGCCATGCTATTTTCATTTTTATCTAACTCCGCCGGTCTTAGGAACTCCGGAGTGGTTCCTATAAGGGCAAGCTTAGGGACCACTTTACCAGCTTCTATAGGGGCTACTAAAGCTTGCAAAAGTGGTTCCTATAGGGGTTTTTAGTTAGTGGCCCCTTTAGGGGACATGCTAGTCGATAATTGTTATGAACTCTAAGCAAATAAGCACTTCCAAAACTGAATAAATACGCGTTTTTTGAATGGAATTGGAAGACCCCTGAAGGGTCCACTTGGGCTTTATGGGCTGAGAGGCCAGACTCTAAATCCCTACAGGGACCACCTTGATTTCGCCCCTTCCGAGACCACTTTCTCGACTCCTATAGGAGTTTTATTCCCCTTAACCCTATAGGGACCACTTTGGAATTCCTAAGGTGAGGGAAAAGAGACGCAGACGCTGTCGCGACGAACGGACTATAAATGACTCAAAGCGTCGCAGTCAAGTAAATTCCAACCGCGACGCGTTGAGCCATTCCAAATGCGACCTTAATAATGCAAATCTCTATTTTTTCCAGTTATACATTGCATTTGGCGGCGTTTTATTCTCGTTCCTTGAAGGCTGGACCTACATGGATGCTTTTTATTATTGTAACTTGATTTTTTGGATTTCCAAAGGAAATGTCAATTTTTTCCAGCTTTCATTTCTCTTACGACAATCGGCTTTGGTGATATCGTTCCCGAGAATCATGAGTAGGATTTTTTTTTTTCGAGAAATAAAGGAATAATGAATATTTTCCAGTTATATCGTATTGATGCTGGTTTATTTGGGTGTTGGTTTGGCGGTTACGACGATGTGTATCGATTTGGTCGGCATACAGTACATCCAGAAGATTCACTACTTTGGAAGAAAGGTGACTTTATGAAGGTGTAAAGAAAATCTTTGATTCCAAAAAATTGGGCTTTTTCGATTTTTAACAGGTATGAGGTGTAAAATATGCCTAGAGAAGGATGAAATTTGGGAACGGAAGATTTATTTTTGAGCCCATTTTTTGGATTATTTTTTTCCCACGCGATAACAGGATTAAAGTATGGAATATTCTTAGAAATCAAGGAGTTTTTGAAACGGAAAAAATATTTTTGAGGGTTTTTCTGGCTTTTTTCCGCTAGTTATACCAAGTAGGCTATGAATAATTTTTGAAATTGATGATTTTTGGTACCGAAAAATTGGTTTAATGCTGTTTTCTGGTCGATTTTTTACTCATTTTACCAGGTAGAAAGTAAGAAGAAAGATTGGAAATGGCTAAATTTCCTTTAAACTGTAAAATTGTTTCTGAGGCTATTTTTCTGGTCGATTTTTTTCATTATTTTTTTAACAGGTATAAAGTATGAAGAATGCTTGGAGTTTCCAAGAAACTGTAAAATTATTTTAGAGGCTATGTTCTGCCCGATTTTTCCACTGCTTTCAGGGAAACTTGTGAAATAAATATTCAAATATTCAACTTGAGCGAAAAAATTTAAGAATAGGAGAAGAGATTCCTTCTAAAACGTGGTTCTTCTCAATTATCTCATGAATTTTATTTCAGTTTAATTTTTTTGAAACAACTTTTTGGAGACCTTTTTGACGCTTTCTTTGATCTATTACAGAGTTCTGAATTTTTTTAGAGAATAAAACTGAAAATTTAATCGCGAGTAGAAAAGGCCCAAAATAAATTCTGAAATTGTTATATTATCAATTTTTTTCTTCTCTCTGTAAGGGTGGCTTCCGCAAAATCATTGTTTACTTCAAAAAAATCTTGTTTTTTTCAAAATTTGATATTGAAGAAGCTTCATATTTCAGGATTTTTGAATTTTTTTAAGTTTTTATTTGATGGAGATCCGGATTTTTTTCAAAGGTTAAAAAGGAAAATTTGGCCCGAGGTTTTTACAAGCGCAGTTGTAGCTTTGTAAAAATGATTTGAAACCGAATGAGCCCCAAATTTTGCATTACAGTTACTTTTTCAGGATTCTAAGAAGCTTTTTCGATACCTTTGAAAAAAAAAGCCATGTTTTTTAAAGGCTAAAACGGAAAAGTTGCTCCTGAAAAACTTTGAAAGCTGTTTCAGCCTCAGAAAATAATCCAAAGCCGAATCAGCCTCAATTTTTGCATTACAGTTCCGCGGAACCGACCCCTTTTTCAGGATTTTTCAAGTTTTTTTCGAAAAGGTTTTTTTGATATTTTTTTGAAAATATTTTTTTGAAGGGTTTAGATAAAACTTTTATAAATCTTTAAAAAAAAAAACTAAAATTCGCCCCTCCGGAAATTTCTGAACGTAGTTTTGGCCTCAAGAAATGGTCCAAAACCGAAAAAACAGTCAATTTTATCATTACAGTTCCGCGGAACCGACCTCCTTCACCTGCTGAAACGCAAGAGAATGATCGAAAGACGGCTGGCGATGGGTCATGGCGAGGAAATCCTTCAGATGTACCTCCAACAAATCCAAAAAGAAATGTGAATCTTTTTTCATCGAAAAAAGGCTGATTTTGATCCATTTTTAGGCCAGAAATCGTGGAACAACCGGTAAAAGCAGTCAAAGAAGAAATGAAGAGGTACAGTTTCACGTGTAAACTCCAAAAATAATACGTTTTTTTCTTTCAGTTATCAAATCGACGAGTCATTATTGAGTAATCGGTATTCGTTCTCAGTGCCGTTGAAGGAAAAAGTGCCTTCCCCAAATATGCTTTCAATCAGAAGGTTTTTCTTTTTCTTTCTTCAAATTTGGTTCGATTTTCAAAGGATTAAACCAGATCAGGGGCACTTTTTAAAAAAAGAATATATGAATTTCTTAGAATCTCGACTTGATTTTTTCATTTTCACGATTTTCAGTTTTTTGCTCACAACTTTAGTCTAAGTTGAAAAAAAGGTCTCGGAAAAAGGTTATTCCGAAGCTACTTGAAATCTGGGCGAAGCTTCAAGTCATTTGAACCGATTTCAGAGAAGTTATACCCGAAAACTTACTGTATGTGGAAAAAAAAATTGGTTTTTTTAATGGTTGTATCAATAATATATCATTAACGGTTCAGATTGAGATTTTGAATATTTTTTGTTCAGTTTTTAGACCCTTTAAAAAAAGTCAAAACTCTGGAATTTCATCACCTTTTGTATTTTTTGATTTGCTGAAGGTCCCTTTTTGCTGTGAGTAAAATAAAAAGACACAATATTTTTTTCCCGAATTTCATTAATTTTTCATAATAATGTATATTTTTTTACGAAATATTTTTGACTTGCGAAAAAGAATATCTCTTTTTTTAGATGATTTTTTTGCAAGGAACATGAAAATTTTCTAGTTTTTGTCAGCTGATTTCAAAGTCCTTGGCTTTTTTTATTTCTCATGGAAAGGTAAAATTTTCAGTTTTTTTAGCTGTTATTAGAGTTACTTTGAAAATTTGGAAACTTTTTATCTTTTTTTCTCTTTAAAGACGGAATCTTTTTTTCTCTCGATTAGGGAACATGTATTTTTTTATAATAGTAATTTTTTTGGAGATAGAGAACTTTCATTCTCATCCAAAAAAACATTTTTTTAAATTGAGATTCATCATTATTTTTTTCAGTTTCCACGCCCCCCCAGCATATGGAGTAACTCATCAGCATCAGCAAGATCGATGTGAGTTTTGATTTTTTGATTTTTTGATTGTTTCAAAACTTTTTCTTTACTCCGGTTGATTATATTTTTCTCACAAAAATGCCCAGTTTTATTTGAATTTTAGGGTTTTTTTCAAAAATATTTCTAGAAGGAGATTAACACCACTTTCATAGTTCTTATAGAATGAGATTTTTGGTTAGAAGAAGTAGCGATATTTTTACTTTTCTCCAAGTTTGATTCAGTCAGGCAAATCCTGGTAAGATGTTGAGAAGGTCTTGAAAAGGTAGAAAATTGAAAATATCTGCTAGAAGCTTTCCAGTTGAATTCTAACAGGCTTCCAAAGAACCGAAAGTAGAAACTCCCTAATTTTTACCTGATGTCGAGGCTTTTTATTTTTTACCTGAATAGTTGAATATAAAGAGGCTGATTCACGGCTGACTTGAGCCATCGCGAAAAGGGTCCTGCCACGAAAAGAGACGAGACAGTGCCCTAGTTGGTGGAGAGTGCAGACAGGCCACGCCTTTTTGCGTCCCAAGTTTGGCCGTGAATCATCCATAGGAAGGTGTTGGGAAGCTGGTAGAAGGCGTCTGACCACCTGCTGGGAACCTTCCAGGAAATCGAAAACTTCTAAGTTCCTTAATACTCTCCCAGGACTTGCCTGAGATCTTTTTTCGCGTAATTTTTGAAATATTATCGTTTTTTGCTAGGATGTTCACCCGTTTGCTGAGCCGTGGCGACAGTTGGGATGAATCGGGTCCATCTCTCTCTGAACATTGCTCACTTTCCACTGAACCCTCTGTTCATGTTCGACAAGTTTGGATTTATTGCCTCTTTTCGAAGAAAAGTCCCGATTTTCCCAGGCTTATTGGGACAACTATCGATCCCCGGATCCATCGGTCTTCTCGTTCGAATACGAATTTCCACCTCCCAGTCCGGATTATGATGGCATTGGTGAGTTTTCATTAAAATTTTGTCGTCAAATACCGATTTTGCATTGAATTTTGTTGGTTCCGAGGGCTGTCATAGTTAAAACTGAACTTTTCAGAGACTTATTGATTTTTTTTTCCGAATTTAGGATTTTTTTTTTCCGATGTTTTCAGGAGATCTGCAAGCTTTAGGGTTGGGAATATTTTGACAGAATTTTTATTTACAGTACCAGAAAACTTCTATTTGCCTGATTTTAACTAGAATACGTTCTTCAGTTGATTTTTTTCAAAGCTCCATCTTTTTCCAACCTCTTATTTCCATATGATTGATTGATTTTTTTTGTGAGATTTAGTTTAGAAGATTCCAATAGATATATAGTTTATAGAGGTTTCAGTGAACTTATTGGAAATTGTAGTGAAAATTCAGCTGAAAATATTTTTTCCATGTGGTTGAGATGACCGGAATTTGATGCTCTGTAAGATTTTTTTGTTCTTTGATTGTTTCAAGAAAGAATGGAATCGATTCTCTGATTTACAGCGAAAAGAGCCAAAAGAGCAAGACGAATTCGGTCCTGTCCCAACGACGCCTACCTCGACGCTCTACCGCCGTCGCTGCGGAATCCTTCGACTCAATCAGTAAGACCCACGGCCAAGAAGAGGAAGGCCAAGTCGGCCCGAGACAAGCCTCCGACAGCCGACGAGCTCTTCGGCGACCCCGACCCGCTTCTACTCTCGCCGCCCAACTCCTTCACCATCTCCGAGCCGTTCATGCTCTCGAAGCTTGCCGCCCAGTGTGACTTGATTGATAGGCTCAGTGCTTGCATGCTCCGCTTCCGCATCCCTCCCCAGGAGAACTTGTGTCCTCAGAAAGCATGCGAAACGGCGGAAGCCACGGCTAAAGCCGACGTCGTCGACCCGCCCAACGTCTCCATGCCCGTCCCGAAGCTGAACCTGAACCTCTCGGCCTCCCCGCCGCCCAGACACCGCTTCAGAACCTCCTTGTTCCCGATCTACGAGAAGCTGAACGTCGAGAGCAAGGAGGAGCCCCTGCTGAAGAGGAAGAAGAGGGAGAGACTCGCCAAGCTGAACGATCCGCTCCGCGAGTTTGACTGGTTGAACGTCAGCCCCAGGACCAAGATCATGCAAATGGTGCGTGATGACTTGCCCAGGCTTTTCGGGCATGTCCGAGCCTCGCCTTCGACCAACTCTTCCAATGCTTCGTCTGTTGTGCTCGTCAGTCCGCGCTCTGTAAGTGCTCCCGCTTCTTTCGTGCTGTTGGCTTTGGTTTATGGCAAGATGGCTGAGGAAAATGTGCTCCATGGATAATAGAATTGTTAAAAATCTTTCAAGGAAGCTAAGAATGGTTACGCGAACCGGACGTTTCTGAGAAATGTTAGTGACCACTTAAGGGTACTGAAGCCGCTAGTGATCACTTAAGGGTACTGAAGACGCTAGTGATCACTTAAAGATACTGAAGATTTAAGATTACTGAAGCCGTTAATGATCACTTAAAGGGTACTGAAATGGTAGTGATCAATAAAGGGTACTGAAGCTGCTAGTGATCACTCAAGGGTACTGAAGCCGCTAGTGATCCCTTAAGGGTACTGAAGCCGCTAGTGATCACTTGAGCGTACTGAAGCAGCTGAAGGGGTCACAAAAAATGCTCAGAAACGACCGGCGCGCGTCCGAGAAGAAGCTCTATAAAAAAAATAACCCTAAATTAGGTTAACCTTAGTTAGTTTTGCGCATTATTCCCTCGAACGTTTCTGAGCATTTTTAGTAGTCACTTAAGAGTACTTTAGTCGCTAAAGGGATCACTAGGAATGCTTAGAAACGTCCGAGAAGAGTTTGTATTGAAAAAAATGAGCCTAAATTTGGTCTTTTTAATAAATTCTCAAATAAGGCGATATAATCACTGTTTTTGTGCTCTACAAACAATCCAAGCTTCGACTTATTGGAACTTTTTGATTCCTAGATTTTTCCATGTTTTTTGGATTATGAACTAGCCAAGAACTTTTCAAAATCCTATCCTTGGAGCGCAAAAGTTAGTCAATAAGCGGCTTCTTCAGAGGCTTTTTTAACTGATTTCATTATTCCCAGCTATCTTGTCATACGCCCGATCAAATCAATTAGTACTGAATTTCCTGCATAATTTTAAACCCAATCTATTATTTTGTTTTAATTTTCCCCCTGCTACGCTTGATAGTTGCAAGAAGAACAGCTTTTCCAACAATTTTTAGTTTCGTTTCAATTTTCAAGCTTTTCCTCTGTCAGTTTCGGAATTTCGTAGGCTTTTGGCTGCTGCTAATGCTATTTTTTCCCTTTTTAGTTGCTACTCGCTTTTTTTCAGAATTTAGGTGCCGTAGAATGAGGAGAAATCATTTTTGAAGGATTGGAAAATTGCATTTATTTTGCAGAATCGTTCTTTATATTTGGATATTTGAGATAATTCTCCTTTACACTATTTTAAATCGATAATTTCAGCCCCTTGGAATGGCTTGTATGGAGGATTGGGATTCGTACATACAGATGCTTGAGGATTATCGAAAGCCGTACGATGGGTAGGGAATTTTTTATGTTTTTGATAGTTTTTTCGCTTTTTTAAAGTTTTATTTTTGTTCTAGTGTAGTTTGTAACGATCTGTACATTCAGTTATGAATTTGTAGCTTTATGTTTTTTTTTTCTCGATTTTTTTACTTTTTAAAATTTTATTATGCTTTTTATTCAGCGTGTTCAGAGTGATATCATCGATTGAAATCTGAATTAATCGAAAAAAAAAGAAAATTGAAGACAAGTCATTTGAATATTATTCTTGAGGCATTTTCGAAAATCGTCATTTTATTTTTCACCTTCATAGGACGATCATAAGAAAAGAAAATAGTACAAAAAGTTTGATTTTCTCTAATTTTGGAAGCCTTTAGGCGGAATTATTAGTTGAAAAGTATGTTTAGAAGGTCGTGGCCGCACGTAGAATGGATCGGAGTGTATGAATTGCTGAAAAGCCTCTCCAATTGGCACCCGACCGGTTACGACTTGCGCGGGTTCGTAAGGTCTAGCTGATAAGTATCAAATCTTCTCTTTCCAATGTGATAAGACCACGACGATTTGAACTATTCTACCTGCGACCAGGGCATTTGTAATTGAAGATATGAAAGTACGGCTATAGCGGATTTACGACTTGCTTGACCTATCGAAAAAAGGGTCCTGACACGATAAGAAAAGAAACAGTGCCTGGTTGATGGAGATCGCAGACAGACCACGCCCCCTTAGCGTCTCAAGCTAGCTTTGGATTGGCTATAAAGAGTTATCTGTAGCTTTCTGAGGGATGTACTCGTTTTGTCACGACTTGAATCAATAATTGCTGTCATTTCCTCCCTTTTGGAAGTCATGGCGACTGGTAAAAGAGGAAGGAGTATTCAGATTGTTTCAAGTTGGGGCGAATAAGGTGTAAAGAATGAAAATTGATAAAAAAAAATAAAAACCACTCTGAACACGCTGAAGACCCAACTGAGTTGCTGCCGCCGAAATGCACACAGGCACACGTTTTTGAAGGTCGCCGAGGCTGATGACGCCGCCGGCTCTGTCGCCTCTCTGGGACGCTCTCCACACGCCCCGAACCTTCGCCAGCACTTCTGAGTCGCCGCCGACGGCGCCCTCGCCCTACTTCACCGTCCCTCACGTCCCGACGCCAAGACCTCCTCCAGTTGAGGAACCCAAACCGGTTCCGGAACCCAGGATAGAGCCACCGCCGCCAGTTATCGTCGAAGAACCGGAGCCGCTCATTTGGGAACCGACGGCGGTGGAAGAGCCCGTCACTGTCAGTGTCACGCCGGAGATGGTCCCGAATATTGAGCTCGACGTCGAGCAGCTCGAAGAAATGCCAAGGTTTATAGGGAGTTTGCTAGGTCGGAAAGTTGGGTACAGGCTTCAAAGACTTGGATTTCTACTCCGAAATTCATGAAAAGCTTGAAATTGAGCTCTTCTTTCTTCTGAAGCTTTTAATGCCCAAAAAAAGTCGAAAAAAAGATTTTCAGTACATTAAGGGAGCCATTTTCATTCATAACTTGATTTTTCGCTAATCAAATCTTTTTTTCTTGCAAGGGATCCTTGAATTTTTGAGTTTCGAAGCATGAAAAAGTTACTTTTGTCTATTTTTTCATCGCTAGAAAGGCTCAAAGTCCTGAAAATTTCTAACAGAGCAATTTTATAATTATTTGAGGCCTGTACCCGATTTTCCATAGTATACGTATGCATGGGCATGCTATAAATCTATCAGAGCATGATTATGATTTAAACTCTGTTTTCACCCTATTTTACACAATTTTCAGTTGATTTGAGAAAAAAACGGGTTCCTTTTACAACTTTTTGAACTTTTTTTTAACAGTAGATCATCATGATTCAAGTCAAATTTTATATTTTCAAATAGTTTCCTATATTTTTTCCCTTCTCTACCCACTTTTGTAGACCTTCTACTAACTTCCGAGTGATGGTTGAGCGAAAAAGGGTGATAGAACGTAAAATGAGGAGATATCAGACGCGTAAGACTAATCGAGCAGTCTGTTGTCTCCATATTTTCAATGCTCTCTAGAGCTAAGAAGATTCTGCACGAGCTGCTGATAATGTAGCTGTTTCACGGCTAATTTTGGACGCTAAGGGGGCGTGGCCTGTCTGCGCTCTCCATGAGCCAGACACTATCTCGTGCATTATCGTGTCAGGACCCTTTTTTCGATGGCTCAAGCCAGAAGTGAATCAGCTATATACGTGAAGCTAGAGTGTATTGCAAACGTGTAGATAACTTCTTCTATTAGCAATGCCCTCTAGGGGTCACTTTCCTCAAATTTCTTAGTACCTCTGGCTTCACGTCAATCGCTCTGATATCTCAAAAAAAAAACCTCAGCCAACCCTTTTCCGTTTTACCATCACCCAAGTTATGAAAAATCATTTCAAGCCTATTTTCCCTCATTCAGTCCGATGCCTGTTGATTCGTCGTCTTCCGACGAGGAAGAAACCATGACAGAACGGGGAGATTTGGACCTGGGCGCGTTTGAACTCGTCGATTCGGGCCTGAACCCGGAGACGTTGCTGGCCAACGACGAGCCCGTCATCTTCCATCAAAGTCTGCCCGTCCACTCGGTCCATCACGACACGGTTCACACGGAAGCCGCCCTGGCCAACCTGATGTCGGCCCCGTCAAGCATGCTCACTGAAGCCATCCCGCCCATCATGGTTGAGGTGCTGGAGAAGATTCGGAAATTGTGAGCAATTTTTCCTCATTTTCAGGACAACTACTGCTTCGTCGTAGACGGCGAACGTGTGAGGATGGGCGACATCCTCGGCGATGACCAGTGGTGGCGCCACACATCCAGGCCGACTAAGTACTTCTACTCGGAAGATCTTCGACAGTTCCATCGGGTCAACTGCATCACCGCCAAGGGGAAGGTCATCACGGCGAAGCTGGCGTCGGGGATTTTGCAGGTAAAAAAAGATCACAAAAACCCGGAAATAGATTATCGAGAAGTTAGATAGGGGTTGCGGAGTACTTAGTTGTCTACAAGCCTTTTCAGCGCGATTTTTGATGTTATAGATCCTTAAAATCTCCTTTTTCGATTCATAGGTTCTTCATGCATTTACAGTAAATAGAGAGGAGTTTTTTAGGTCATCCATAAGGTACAAAAAGCCTCAATAATACTCCAAAAAAGGCGCCAAAATAGGTCTCGCGAGCAGCTATGTTGCTTCTTTTTTCAATTTGGCCGATTTTTTTTTCTTGACCTTTTTTGTAGCATTGACTTCATGGCATCTAAATATTAGACATCTTTAAAGTTCTTACGAAATTATGAGCTGAGAAGATTGAGTAGGACTTTTTAAAGGCTTTTTGAAACCTTTCATCCAAACACCTTTTTTCATTTATTTGTGTTTGAATTTTGAAATTTCAAGTCTTCTGTAAATTCGCAAAAATACTCTTTGAAGGTCTTGATAAATTTGCATACATGTTTTTTTCTAAAATTTTACAAAGTCTCGTTGTATCGGCTGCAGGTTTGGCTCAGTAGGGAATTTTAAAAAAATTTAAATGTTCAAAACCAAATTTTTCTATGAAAGCTCTAGTGGCCACTTAAAAGGGTCTTCAAGAAGTGCTGGAGAGGGCACTGAAAAAGATTCTACAGACGCCACTATAGTAGTTTTCATAGGTCTCGTAGTACCTCTTACACTCCTAAAAGCTCAATGAATTTTGGTCACTTAAGTGGCCACTAATTCGATTACTATAGTGGCTACTAAAAAGCCAAAACCCTAGAGTGACCATTAGAATTTTTCGCTGTTTTGCAAGTAGCATCTTTTTAAGAAATCTCTATCTTGATCTCAGAAGTGTTTGTTCAACTGTGTGGTAGACTTCAAAAGGCTTTTTATCTACAAGAACCTCGATTTCCAGGTCCAACACGCCAGCAGCTCCTCCTCAACGCCGCGCTCTTCAATGTCCGGCGGCACGTCTTCTGCTCGCGCCGCGGCCCACCATCGCGAGAACAAAGTCCCGCTGACGCACGTCTACAAAGTCATCCGCTTCTACTCGTTCTGGAAGACGTGCACCTCGTTCCACCGGATCGTCACCATGATCGACAAGGTCACCAGCGACGAGCGTCATGCGAATCCCGAGTTCAAGAAGCGACTCTTCGTCCAGTACCTCTGGCGAAACGCCAAGGCCGTCGAGAAAGCCCGCGTTCAGAAGGAGTTCGACCCCCGGCGACAACGTCTTCTCCGCTTCGTCACGGATCCGTCGGCCAGGAAGAGGTTGCAGAAGATGTGAACTGGGTTTAACAGCTGCCTGGGAAGGAAATGGCTGTGGATTTGTAGGGACTCATGCGCTCCATTGATAATTCTAGAGGGGATTCTTGTTTTCTCAGACACTGGTAACGCAAATTACTCAAGTCTGAACGGTTTAGTGATCGCTTAAGAGAGAAGACGTCACTAAAGTAGTCCCTAAATGGCTCAAAATATCTTGGACATGACCTTAGGCACTGCTAACGCAAGATGACCATGTCTTTCTTCATTTAGGGATCCCTTAAGTAAGCAGACGCCCCTAAAGTAGCCACTAAGGCTTTTCTAGGGCATGTCCGGGTTAGCCTTACCAGTGCCTGAGTTTCAAATAGTAAGTTTGATTCAAAGGCTTGAAAAATTAATAAAAGAGGCTGGAACCTTTTCTCCTATGCTTACTACATCCCATTCCAAAAAAGAAAAGAGTTTCTTGTCGAAAATCAGTCGAAAAAGAAATTATTGTCCTTGGAGCGCATTAGACCCCTACAATTCACGGCTATTTTTTCTCAGCCTGCAGTTTTTCCGTCCCCAAAACCGCTTCTTCTACCCTTCTTTTCGCCTTTTTCATGTAATTGTACTTCTTACTTGGTTGTTTGTTTCTTTTTTCGCTCTATCTGCCTTTTCTACTGGCTTTCATTTGAGGATGTGTGAGAAGATGACTGGGAATTATTCAAAAATTTTTGGAAGTTTTGATTTTAGTTGAGAATATCAACACAGAAGTTGAGCTAGAAAAGAAGAAATTTGAAATGTTGAGAAAATTGGTTCTTTTGAGATTTTGTGATAAAATTGCTTTTTAAAATCTGAAAAACGATTTTACTTGATCTTACTGTCCAAGGAGAGCTTCTGATTCGAAAAGAGCTTGAAATTATTATTTTTCAGGTGACAGCGCATTGGGTTACTGTACTAAGCAAAAAAAGCTGCTGTTATTTTAATTATTGACCCATTTGCGCTCCTTTGATAAAATTGTAAAAAAACGCTTCGCGCTCGGAGATTGGTAACACGAAACGGACGTGCTCCGGACGTTTCTGAGCGTTTCTAGGGATCACTTAAGGGTGCTGAGGCTACTAAAGTGGCCACTAGAAACGCCCCGACACGTCCGATTCGCGTCCCTTTCGCGTTACCAAGGTCCGAGTTTGAAGCTTTCTCCCGGTCTTTTTTCACAGACCCACTTTTCCATCCCCCTTTTTTTGCCTTCTCTCAAACTCTGCCTTATCTTGTCTGTGCTTTTTGTCCTAGAAAGTTGGTCCTTGTTCTGAAAATGTTTCATTCGGCCGGCTTCTAACGATCTTTCCCCCTCCCCTTCAGTCTTTCCTTTCTGAAAACGACATCTGCCAACTGTTTCGAAATTATTCGAAACAAAACAAAAAAAACGAAACGAAGCAAAAGTAACAAATCAAACGTATCGTCCTATATTTTTCGACGGGTTACGTCTCAGGTTCTGTCAAAACCAAATAAATTATTTCAATTTTCTCATAAATCCCCATAGGAATCCATGCTTTTCCTCTATTTCTTTCAAACTGTCTTTTTTGTTTAGAATTTTTTAATGATTGAACAAGTTGTTTTTTGCATAAATATTGATTTTTTGTTGAATGGCTTTTTTCTACGTCTATGCGAGTTTTTCAACCTGTTTGTACTTTGAGAAAAAGTGAAAATGGTGATAATTGACGAAAATTTAGATTTATATGAGTTTTAAAAACTTTTGACTCTTTAAGGAAGTTTTCAGACTTTTCTTAAGATTTATTTGAAATTTTATTTTATTCTAGAATTTTTTGTCACGACTCAATGTGTTACTTATGCCTTGTTTGAAGTAATTTCAGCGAAATTTAAAATTATCTCTGACTCTCCAATTTTTCAATTATCTTTTTGAATCTGACGGATATTTTGAAATTTGCGGAATCACTTTATATGCTCGACGGCACAAGAAAAAAAAATGTCGAATTTTTCCCAGACTTTTTTTTATCCGGTTGAGGAAAATTTTCACAGTTAAAACCTATAAAACAGTTCACTGTTCATATTAATTAATAAAAAGTTTGTTTGTACCGGAAAAATTTCGTTTGATGACGATAGGATAGAAATATGTTTTGTTCTTTTTGAATTTTTCTGATTCTAAAAATTTGCTCCTCAAAAGGTGATTCAGTCGAAAATAAGCGTGATTTTCTGTTCAAAAAGCTTACTTCTACTAGGTATTTTGTATTTTTCATCCTCTTTTGCTCACTTAAAAAAAGGACGAGACGGATTTGAGAACCAAAATTGATCAGGTTTGTCGAGGATGAATCGTCAATGTTCGCCGTCATCATTGACGAAGACGCTCAGAGGGAAGAAGCTCGCCGGGAATGGCAAAGGCGGTCCATTTCTTCCACGACCACACGGTATAGAAATATAGAAAAGCCAGTTGTGAAAAATTCTCCAGGAGATTTTTGAGAAATTTTAGTCTCAAAAGTGAACGATTTGATAGGAAAGTTAAAAATCTGAAGAGTTTGTTCATAGGGTCGGAAAAGGTGGAAAAAGGGTCCATAGAAATGTTCCTTTGAGGGTGACAAAGGTCCCTTTTTGCTGCCTTTTTTGCGCCATTTCATGGGCCCCTTCGCACCATTTTCGCTGCTTCTCCCTTTTCCACCAGTAAATTGATTTTTGCAAACAAGCTAAAAAAGATGGATGTCACGTTCTTTTACACGTTTCTTAGTCTTACTTACTTCAAGAAATTTTTTTACACTATAAACTTTTTCGACGCTCATTTAGGACGTTTGATCTCTGTCCTTATTTCACGCTTTTTTCATACTTCAGAGCTTTTGAAAAGCAGTAGTTCGAGCAAAAAAACCATATTCTACACAATTTCTCTATTTTTTGTGCTGTAGCACGAAAATTTTCCTTTTCAGAGAAGATTCTGATGGATCAACTATCGATTTCCCGATCGAAATTAACGCCCAGCCTTCCACAATGGGTATATAATCCATTTGAGCCGATAAAAAGAACAAAAATCAAAATTAGAAAGCAACGAAGCCGAGGTTCAATATCACTACGGGAACAATGATATGGCGATTCCTGTATTCAGTACGGACGAAAAACCTCTCGATGGGATCGCCACGTTGAGCAATGCTGTTAGATGTCCTGTGAAATATATAAGCAAGGTTGGGTTGGAAAAATTTTGAAGTAGTAAGTTAGGCGCTGCCATTTTGAAGAAGTAAGTTAAGCGCTGCCATTTTGAAGAAGTAAGTTAGGCGCTGCCATTTTGAAGAAGTAAGTTAGGCGCTGCCATTTTGAAGAAGTAAGTTAGGCGCTGCCATTTTGAAGAAGTAAGTTAGGCGCTGCCATTTTGAAGAAGTCAGTTAGGCGCTGCCATTTTGAAGAAGTCAGTTAGGCGCTGCCATTTTGAAGAAGTAAGTTAGGCGCTGCCATTTTGAAGAAGTAAGTTAGGCGCTGCCATTTTGAAGAAGTAAGTTAGGCGCTGCCATTTTGAAGAAGTCAGTTAGGCGCTGCCATTTTGAAGAAGTAAGTTAGGCGCTGCCATTTTGAAGAAGTTCAGATTCCACCGACGATGGTCGTCGACAACTTCTGCTTCATCTGCGACGGCGCCGACGTCTCCGAGGAGGAGATCCTGTCGGATCAGAAGTGGTGGAAGAATACCAGTTCAACGACGAGATATTATTCAACGGACAATATGATCACGTTCCATCAGGTGAGGTTGAAAGATATATTTTTCGGAGTAGTAAATACATTTCTGGTGCCCTAGCCATGATTTCTTGAGTAGTTGCGCTGTTGAAAATCTCATACTTGTCTTAAAGCTGCACCCGACCTTGAACGGCTTTCCTATTTTCTGACTAGTTTGCTGTCGAATGCGCTGAAATAAAATAAAAAAAGCTTGGAAAAAAAAATAACCGCTACGCGACCGCAGCGCCTTGAAGTTCTTAGCAGCGCCTTGAAGTTCTAAGCAGCGCCTTGACGTCCTAAGCAGCGCCTTGAAGTTTTAAGCAGCGCCTTGAAGTTCTAAGCAGCGCCTTGAAGTTCTAAGCAGCACCTTGAAGTTCTTAGCAGCGCCTTGAAGTTCTAAGCAGCGCCTTGAAGTTCTAAGCAGCGCCTTGACGTCCTAAGCAGCGCCTTGAAGTTTTAAGCAGCGCCTTGAAGTTCTAAGCAGCGCCTTGAAGTTCTAAGCAGCACCTTGAAGTTCTTAGCAGCGCCTTGAAGTTCTAAGCAGCGCCTTGAAGTTCTAAGCAGCGCCTTGACGTCCTAAGCAGCGCCTTGAAGTTCTAAGCAGCGCCTTGAAGTTCTAAGCAGCGCCTTGAAGTTCTAAGCAGCGCCTTGAAGTTTTAAGCAGCGCCTTGAAGTTCTAAGCAGCGCCTTGAAGTTCTTAGCAGCGCCTTGACGTCCTAAGCAGCGCCTTGAAGTTCTTAGCAGCGCCTTGAAGTTCTAAGCAGCGCCTTGAAGTTCTAAGCAGCGCCTTGAAGTTCTAAGCAGTGCCATCGGCAGTTTCCTACCAGAAATATTTTCCAGGTGAACCTTCTCACCTGTCGAGGCGTCGTCCGTGGGGCCTACCGGTCTAGGGCAACCGGAGGCGGGATTTCTCGTGTTAATCTTGACAAGGTTTCGAGAGAAAATAATTTGCAGTTTTCATAGTCCAAAAATCCTTACTCGTGACGTAAAAGCCTAGAAATCTACTGAGACCTTGAAACAACGTCCCTTCGCTTCAAGACCTTTTTGAATATTTTTTCGAACCTTTTTTTGAATATTTTTCTATTCTTTTTTATTATTCTAAGTTAGAATTTTTTGAACAGACCATGTTTTTTTAAAATTAATTTCGAATTTTTTTCAGGTTTTTTTCGCGTATCGCGACATTTCAGCTACTGGAAAACGATGAAATCCTTCCATCGCATTGTTTCAGTTATCAGCCCGGCGATATCTAGTGATTAAATATGAAAGTTTTTATGAAAAAGTTGGTTTTTTCACAGATCCCATAACTGACGCCAAATTCTCGAAAAGGATTTTTGTTCAGTACTTTTGGCGGTCTCAAAGGGTGAGCATTAGTTTTGGATAGCTTTGGCCGCACTTGAAATGGCTAAAAGGCGTTGTACGCAAGCCGTTTCAAGTCGGGCGGGCTGTACTTTCCTGAAAGTTTTTAAGGATCAATTTTAAGCCGGACGATAAAGCCACTGTGATTCGGGAACATATGCAGTCGTTGATGGCGTCGAAACAGATGAAAAAACCGAATTTGAGTGCCAGGTTGACTTTTTTTTTTGAAAAAAATATTCAGACATTTTTCTGGGCCGTTTCTCGTTCAGTTTTGCTTTGAAAAGCGTTTTCTTATATTTTATAGAAATCCTTAAAAGTTTTTGAGAAATCAATTCGAATTGACTGAGCTTTCAAAGGTTTCATAATTTTTTTGAGTAGTTTTGAAAAAGGCCAATAAAGTTAGAGAAATATAACAGAAATGCTGGAGATTCAGAGATAATTTTTTTAATTTTTGCGGAATTATTCATAACACGACATAGAAAAAAAAACGTGAAAAGTTCATTTTTGCTCATAATCATCATTCCTTTCACAGAAACTCCTGGGCGATGGCCGTCTCTCGAATAACAAGAATGCACCGACCCGCCGCGGCTTTCGCCACCTCGCCCAAAATGACCAACTCGAGGAGTCTGAACAGTACTCCCAGGAGGAAAAGCTCGGCGGTGTCGTCAAGAAGGACGAGTGCAGGTTTTAAAAATTTTCCTGTTGAGGTGAAAAATTTTAGGTGCTTGATAAAATGTTATTAAAAATTCATATTGAAAACTCCGGGTTTTCAATATTGTTTCTGTCAAAAAACTCCCATATCGAAGCGAGTTTCGAGACATTTAGGTTGTCATTATTCGCAAAAATTCTAGGTTGTCATGATTCGCAAATGAGTGAAGAAAAAAATAGCAGTTTATTTATTTTTTTAATTTCAAAAATTGAGGAATTTCGGCTCTCATAGGCTTTACTTGAAAATCTGTTTGAGCTTTCTGAGTTGCTTTTTGACAATAAATTATTTATTTTCAGACGAGCCCAACTCAAGAAGGCCCAAGTTTTCGAGACCAGAAGGAACTGACACCAGCGTTAGCCTGACACCTCTGAACGAACATCAGGAAGTTTAAAAAAATGAGAAATTATTTTTTTCAATTGTAAAAGTTCTTCTTTTCCCCATCTTGAATTCACTAAAAGCTCAAAAAACCCCGGAAAGTGTGCCCCAGCGAGAGTTTAGCCACAGAGCGCGCTTTCAACTGAAGTTCAAGCCTTTTTGTTTTTTTTTTTTCACAGAAATTGCTCACATTTCATTGTCAGTACTGTTTTAGATTTATGAATCTTGTTATTTTATTCGCGTGTTTGATAAAGTTGTTGCGATTTTATGGCAATTCGAATCGAAACGCGGTCCGAAAAGATCAAAGCTCGGCTTATTTCAAAGCAAAAAGGCTGAAAACTGTACATTTTCAGGATCTTTTTGATCGTTCTTCATCATTTTCGAGGTATTAAAGTGTTGAAGCTATCGATTTTACTCATTTTTTCCGTTTTCTCAAGTTTCAAAGTCGATTTCGATAGGAAAAGGCTGAAAAAGAAGGTTAGTCCCAACTTTATTCCTTTCAAAAAATTGGAAATTTAACGATTTTCCATCGTCCTTCTGAAGACGTCGAAGCACATGTCGGCGTCAGAAGTTGTGATTATCTGAAATTTTTGGCGTTAGAGCGAATTTGCTATGCGAAATGGGCTTAGTAGGAAGTATGGAAAGTTTTTAAAAGCGAACGGTTTGAAAATGCCTAAAAATATTTTTTTTTCTCTATTTTTGAGCTGGAAGGCTCTTATTTTTGAAGAAATATTTTTTAGAAAAAAAATTTTTATTCCTACTTTTGGTTCCGGTCGAAGTTGTATAGTCGAAGTGAGGCCGAAAAAAATTCCCGAATTTCTTTTGATTAAATATTTTCGGTAGTCTTTGACGGTTAGTATTGCGGTGGGGACCATGTAGATTGGATTTCTGAAAAAAAAATTTTCAAATTCAAAAAAATCAGTGAATTCCTTACTGAAAATGAACGATTTTTCGAGAAAAATTTTTCTGATAAATTCGAAAAAAATGAGGACTTTTTTTAATGGTTTCTAGTAGCTGAAAGTTACATTTTTTATTTATTTATTCATTTCAAAATTGTAATATTAATATTTTTTTCACTTTCTTGAGTATTTAACAGGCGTTTTGATAAGTTAAGACGGTTTTTGAAAAAAATTTTTGAAGCGAAAAGGCAAATTTTTTGGAATAAGTAATTTGAAACTGTCTGAACTACCCAGAAGGCTTTTCGAAAGAAAAAATTTTTTTTTTTGAATTTTTATGGTTTTGCGACTCTGCGCCCTCCTCGTCTCTCAACGTCCCTCTCATGCTTACGTGCTATTTTCATGTTTCTCTGACCTCGCCGGCGAGGGAACAGAGGGACGCAGATTGTCAAGTCGCTCTGAATGGACTATAAGCACTTACGCATGAAATATGTGATCAACCGTATGTCGTGACGCAATAATTACATCGAGAGGCATTTGAAAACCAACTGGGATATATACCGACAAGGACATGGCTAGAATGAATATTGACATTGTGACGAAGAACTGGCGCATCAACTGGAAGAAATGAGTCGAGAAATATTCAATTTGAAAAAAGAACCTTTAAAGTCTTGACGTTTTCCTTCAGCTGGTACCGAATACTGAGTGAATAGTTGGTCCGACGATGCTCGTTCTCCAAAATGAACAATTGTTGGAGGTTGTGGTAGCTCAGGTACAGGTAGAGCTGTAATTGAAGTGTTGGGAATGGCTCAAATCATTGCGGTCGCGTTGAGGTTGAGAAAAGCGCGCAAGCCGTTTTAAGTCGGGTCATGTCGCTTAGCAACGAGCCGCCATTCTAAGTGCGGTCAAAACATATAAAAAACATGAAAATATGTTCATTTTCCAAAATGAACAGTTGTTGGAGGTTGTGGTAGCTCAGGTACAGGTAGAGCTGTAATTGAAGTGTTGGGAATGGCTCAAAGCGCGCAAGCCGTTTCAAGTCGGGGAAACGAGCCATTCTAAGTGCGGTCAGAGAAGAATAAAACCTACCAAGGCAGACAAGAACATGGTGAATGAGACGGTTATGATGGTCTGATGGAAGTTTAAATTGGAAGTGACGGCTAGGCAAGCCATAAACGTGGAAAACCCGTTGCTCAGGCCGGATATTAGGAAGAAAACCCAGCGACGACGTTTCCTCTCGTAGTCTCTGGAAGTTATGGGATTTGGTAGATTTTTATTGAATTTTCACTTGAATTTTAAAGGTTCTGTTTTTCTGCATCTAAACAATTATCGGTAAAGCCTCCATCCGTCATTTTTATTCCAGAAAAAACTTCAGATTTTTTTTTCAAGTTCCGTAGTAAACTTCAAGGAAGATTTAGGTGAAAAAATTTTTAAGGACTCCCAAGTTTTTTTTTTCGAAACCTGAGTTACTCAGGAATTCCAGAGGAGCAGCCTCAGGGCCCTTTGAAGGTACTCTTTACCAACCCCAATAGGGCCCACTAAAGCTTGCAAAAGGGGTCCCTTTAGGGGTTTTAGTTAGTGGCCCCTACAGGGGACATGCTAGTCGATTTTACGAACTCTGGGCGAAGAAGCATTTCCATGCGAAAAGCCGAAAAAAAAACCTTTATTGAATTGGACAACTCCTATAGGGACCACTTAAGCTTTTGTGGCTAAGCAATCAGACCCTAAATCACTATAGGGACCCCTTTTTCGTTCCCTATAGGGACTGTGTTCCCCCCTATTACCTATAGAGACCACTATATAATTTCTAAGTGAAGTGAAAAGAAAAATTGAAACTTACTGAACAAAGAAAAAGGACTATTTCCAAAAATTAGAACCGAAAAACTTGAAACTTTAGAAGTTCATTGTAAATTTGAAGAAAAACGCTCAGAAGATATTTCCTTCCGTCGAAAAGTTTACGATTTTAGTTTTTTTGAAGGCCGATTTATGGCCAAAATTTAAACTCTCAGCAGTTTTCTTAACAAATCTTTTTTAAACATGATTTTCCACTCACCTGACAAAGACAGTCGCAAAAGCTCGCTCGAAAACGATGCATAACGGTAATTGAAGCATGAAAAATAGGTAGTGATATCGGAAAAAGGCCGCCAAAAATAGAGGCGTTTGCCAATTTTCCCAAAAGTTGCAAGAGCCGTCGGTTTCGCATGGAGATAGTAGAGAATCATCTAAAATAATTTTTTAAAAAATTTTTTTGAAATAAAAAAATACTCTGATTCTTCAAGTAGACATAATCGAAATGGAAAACGAAGCAGAGAGTTCGGCTCAAGGCGAGTTCCACCCAAATTAGTAGACATGCGACCATGATCATGCGTAGATTCCAGTGGAAAACGCTGAAAAATTAGGTTGGTCGCATGGAGAATGGCTTGAAGCGTTGCGGCTGCGAAGCGCTAAGGAATTTTGAAGCCACAGATTAAGGGAAGTGAGGAGAATCTAGAGAAACAAAGCTGTCTCGCTGCCTAGCGTCTCTTGACTTGTCTTTGATCTCTCGCTTATCTTTTTCACCAAAGCATTTAAAAGATTTGAGAGCCTAAATAGGAAGTTAGAGACTGACAAAAAAGGAGAGAGGCTAGAGAAACAAAGCTGTCTCGTCGGCTAGCGTTTCTTCACTTGTCGTTGATCTCTCGCTTCCGTTTTTCAATCGCTCCTAGGCTTTTGAGAATTATGAGAGCACCGGTTAGGAAGCGGGAGACTGACAAAAAAAGGAGAGACGTCGAAGAAACAAAACTGTCTCTCTGCCTAGCGTCTCTTGGTTAGCCGTGGATCTCTCGCCGGTTTTCGATCTCATCAAGGCTTTTGAGAGATGTGAAGACATGAGTTAGAACGATTTGGAGATCAACAACAAGTTGGAGAGACGCCAGAGAAACAAAGGTGTCTCGTCGCCTAACGTCTCTTCACTTTTCGTTGATCTCTCGCTTACCTTTTTCAACAAGGCTTTTGAAAAGTGTGAGAGCATAAATTAGGAAGTTGCATATACAACAAGTAGAAGAGACGTCAGAGAAACAAAGTTGTCTCGTCGCCTAGCGTCTCTTGACTTTTCGTTGATCTCTCGCTTACCTTTTTCACTAAAGCTTTTGAGAGGTTTGAGAGCATAAATTAGAGAGTTGGAGATCAGCTAAAAATTAAAGAGACGCCAGAGAAATAGACACTCTTTCACCTCCCTGGAGTCTCTTCAGGCTGTCGTTGATCTCTTCTTTTTTTTTTACAAAAACAGTGATAGCCATTCTATATGCGGCCAGAAGATTATTGAGTTGTAACTCACGACAAATGTAGAGCGATTCGAGCACCAACGAAAGTGAATAGAGCCGAAATTATGAGCAGAACTGCCTGAGTCACATTTTCAAAATCGGATGGTAGATTCCGAGAATTTTCGATGAAGATTTTGATTAGAGGCGTGTGATGGGATTCTGAATAGTTGGTATGAGTTTGGGATTTTTTGGTTCGAGAAAAAAAACTGAAAGTTACCTGCAAAAAGGGTAGCATTCGGTAGTATAAGAGCAGTTGGATCCATTTTTTCCCGACGTTTCCTGAGAATTAGGATGGAAATGAAGGGAAAAGGTCGTGTTGTAGGATGGCCAAGCAAACAAATAAGAAAAAAGTTCTCAAATGAAAAATGATGGAGATTTTAATTAAATGTTGCGAAGCACATGGCATTGAAGAAAAAGGAACAGCTTTGAGGAAAAGCAATGATCTTTTTCTCACAAATGTGGTTGTTTTTTTGAGGCTTGGGTGGATTTTTTTTTGAGGAAAGAGTGAAAATAAGGAGTGACAGTGTTATACTTGTTTTATTATAAGGAAAATAGACTTTAATTACTGATAATGAGAGTAAGAAAAAAATTAAAAAAATTTGTTACTTTTAGTTATGAAACGACTTTTTCAGAAGATGTCATTCAAAAAAAAGGAATTTTGCGGTTTTTCTCATAATCTATTACAAAATTTAGAAGGAAACGAAGATTTTATTCCATTAAGTGATTGAAAAATTTGATAAAGCATTCATGAATTTTTGGAAAAACTTGAATGACTCGGGCAAAGTCGGAATGGTGAATAATGGCCGCTAAAAGGGAGAGGCTCAAAAAAGGCCGCAGAAAGGCAGCAAAACGGGTCCCTTTATCGAGGCTTTCATTTTTCTGGGGCTGCAGAAATGGTGGAGAAAGGGAAAAGCAGCAAAAATGGTGCATAAGGGCTGAGAAAATGGAGCAAAAAGACAGCGAAAAGGGAGCTTTCGTCACCCTAAAGGAACATTTCTATGGACCTTTATGGACCCTCGGAGGGTCCTTCCGACTTTGCCTGTGGAAAAGCTTTAAAAAAACTGGTTTTTGAAGTTTCGAGCTTTCAGAAAAATCCATAAAACAACCTTTTTTGGTTTGAACTAGTATCTGACAAAAAATTCAGAGGAATTTGTGAAAATCACGTCTTTTTTTTGGTATGGATCACTTAATGTTGCTTAAACGTTTTCTAAGGTTTTCTATCAGGAAATAATATCTTATGCTCAAATCTCAGCTAGGCAGTTAACTCGATAAGTTTATTCCTCGAACACCTAACAAGAAAATGAAGATGTCAAAAAGACCTTAATCCTCATCTATTCTTCATATCTCTTACCTTAATCTCCAATGTAAGCAAAAAAGAGAAAAGAACAGCTTTATTTCTTTAAAATCGAAGAAAAAAAGCGAGAAAAGCTCGACGTGTTGGGGCGCGTTTGGAACGGTAAAAAGCAACGGAGGATCAGATCGATAAGTTAGAAATAAACAGTAATCGAACAATTATTCATTTTCGGGGTAGTTTTCGCCGTCGGCGGCGCCGCCTTCCAGGCCAGCATCGTCGTCGTCGGCGGTGGCTTCTTGGTATTGCTGGTACTCGGAGACCAGGTCATTCATGTTGCTCTCGGCCTCGGTGAACTCCATCTCATCCATTCCCTCGCCCGTGTACCAGTGGAGGAAGGCTTTTCGGCGGAACATTGCTGAAATTTCAGTTTTCTTTGGGATGTTCTGAAGCGACCTATCAGTTTTGAAACTGTTTCGGAAGAATGAGAATTTCTAGTGATCATTTTAGCGGCGTCAGCATGAAAGTTAACCTTGGAGCGCAAAAGTTCCTACCTTCCTTGATTTTTCTTCCAGCAACACGGGACGCCTGAAGATCGCCACAACTCTATCTCTGACCTACACTGTTTCGTCGTTTTCTCACAGATAGATAACGACGAAATAGTGTTAGTCAAAGAAAAAGTTGTGGCGGTTTTTAGGCTTCCCAGGTAGATCAAATAGCCTTCAGGAAGAATGCAAAAAAGAAGTTGGGGTACTAGAAGAGGAGGAATTCTCCTCGGAGCGCACCAGGTCCTATCGAGGTTTTTTTTCAGATTTAGGAGGGACCAGGAGTTGACTGAGTTGCCTTACAAGAAAGAGGCTTCGAAAATGAGCCAAGGAAGAACAAAATAATAAATTTGGAGCCATTATATTCCTCAAGCCTCAAAGTTTGTACTGCGGATTAGAAAAGGATATTATTTTTCTGGATTTTCTCGAGCGATTTGAATCCTCAAGGCTTTCAGGAATTTTCGCAAGAGCAGATTTTTCAGTATTACGTACCTCAAAACCTATATTGAGGTTGGAAAAAAGTCATCGTGACTTTAAAATGGCATTATTCTTCCTGAGCTTCTTTCAAAGACCTCTCAAGGTCTTGAGACCCAAACATCAAACACTGGAAGTTCATACCTGTGAACTGCTCGGAGATGCGCTTGAACAGCTCCTGGATGGCAGTGGAGTTTCCGATGAAAGTAGCCGCCATCTTGAGTCCCCTCGGTGGAATGTCGCAAACGGCGGTCTTGACGTTGTTGGGGATCCACTCGACGAAGTAGGACGAGTTCTTGTTCTGGACCGACATCATCTGCTCGTCGACTTCCCGCATCGACATTCGGCCTCGGAACATGGCCGCCACGGTCAGATAACGTCCGTGGCGAGGGTCACACGCCGCCATCATGTTCTTGGCGTCGAACATCTGCAAAAGGGTGTCGTCAAGGGCTTCATGAGATTGTGTTGTTCTAGGGAATCTGGAGAAGACATCGTCATGATGCTTTAAAACTCGATACCCTACCTGCTGAGTCAATTCGGCGACCGTCAGGGCTCTGTAGGCTTGAGCTCCCTTGGCAGAAAGAGGGGCGAAGCCGGGCATGAAGAAGTGGAGTCGTGGGAATGGTACCATGTTGACGGCCAATTTTCGAAGGTCAGCGTTAAGTTGGCCAGGGAATCGGAGGCAAGTCGTCACGCCAGACATGGTCACCGAGACTAAAATGACAATATTTTTGGCTTTACCAGTCAAAACCAACCCAAATGGTTCAAATCTCCGTAGGTCGGATTGGTGAGCTTGAGCGTGCGGAAGCAGATGTCGTAGAGAGCCTCGTTGTCGATGCAGAATGTCTCGTCGGTGTTCTCGACGAGTTGATGAACGGACAAGGTGGCGTTGTACGGCTCGACGACCGTGTCTGAGACCTTGGGCGATGGGACGACGCTGAACGAGCTCATGATCCGGTCGGGGTACTCCTCGCGGATCTTGCTGATCAGCAACGTTCCCATGCCGGAGCCGGTTCCGCCGCCGAGCGAGTGCGTCAGTTGGAAGCCCTGAAACCGTTAATTTGGTTGACTGTGGAAGGATTTCTGATCTGGTCTTCTGAAAAATCCAAAAAAGTCGGTCTTTTCGGTTGAACTCGTTTTTAAATGGTAGTCGGAGCTTTATAAAACATGATTTTGACAGAGCTCATTTATGAAATTTTTCGGTCAAGGACAAGAAATGATAGTACCACATAGAGGTTTTTACTCAGGTTCCGAATGAGTGATTTTTAACAAGGTACTCTTCAAGGAAGACATGAAAAAGGAACCTGAAGACAGTCGCATCCCTCGGCCTCCTTGCGAACAACGTCCAAGACGTTGTCGACAAGTTCAGCGCCTTCGGTGTAGTGGCCTTTGGCCCAATTGTTACCAGCTCCCGACTGGCCGAAGACAAAGTTGTCAGGTCGGAAAAGCTGCCCAAACGGCCCCGAGCGGACCGAATCCATGGTTCCCGGCTCGAGGTCGACGAGCACCGCGCGAGGCACGTACTTTCCGGCTAAATAGTTGTGGTGATAAAATAAGATACTATTAAAGCCTGGTAGAAACTGCTGTAAAGAAAAAAGTTTGGAAAAAAGAGCCGCAATAAATGTACGGCAAAAGTTGAAGTGCGCTCCATGGACATTTTGCAAAATCGTTTTTTTTCTACTTTTTTATGGTCTTTTTCTCTACAACGTATGTTTTATAAGCAGAACGAACCATTGGCCTCATTATAGTAGACATTGATCCTCTCAAGCTGAAGGTCGCTCTCTCCCTTGTAAGTTCCATCGGGCTGAACTCCGTGCTCATCCGAAATGACTTCCCAGAACTTGGCGCCAATCTGGTTGCCGCATTGGCCGGCCTGGATGTGTACGATCTCGCGCATAGCTGGGATTCTTCAGTTATTTATGTAATTTATAAAATCATAGAGCATGGAGAAGTCGGAAAAATACTTGAAAAATCACGAATCATACAGAAAATGGTTTTTTGAGCGCATGGTTTGAATGGCTTTTCATGAAAACCACACAACAAGAAGACAATAAGAACTGATAAAGACATTACGGCGATTATATTTTGAGAATTTGAACCATCAGAGATAAGGTCGGTGAGGTGAAAGGAAATGGCTAGAAAAAAAATGACTTGGATAGTTTTTCATGTAATAAAAAAAGTCCTTAACTTTTTTTGTTTGTTTATTATTTTTCCAAAAGAACCGAGAGAATCATCAGATAATAAGAAAAAGTGGAACACCTAGATTTTTCCAAGCAGTGTCGAGTTTAGGGACTATGGAAAAAAATAATTTTTTTGAAGGTAGTAAGGCAAGACAAAAAAATGAGGATTGATCGACAAATTGGAGGGATTAGGACATTTTTCGATAAGAGTAAGCCTAAATACACACAATGGACCTATTGGAGCCCGAAATAGAAATATTTCTGCAGATTTTCGAAAAAATAACAGGTACCACATGAATATTGCAAAAAAACCCTTCCTTAAGCTTTTATTCTCAGAAATTGCTCCAATTTTGTTGAAATGTCTGCAGGAAACATTCATGACTGGGCATAGATTAAGGAAAATTGACAAGAAAGTCTCACGCAATGCCGAAAAAACAGCTGAATTCGAAATTTGCGCTTTTTTTTATAGGGAAAGCTCGTTGGAGTTGGAAATTTTTGTTGCGAAAAATGTAATTACGGGATTTTTTTTTGGCACGATTTGAATCTTTTTGGGGTTCATAAGATTCGATAGGTATTGAAAATAAACAAATATGAAACTTAGAAACAAAAAAATCGTTGTAAAAATGAGAAATAAGGAGTGATTTTCAAAAACAGCCCAATTTGGACTGATCTAAAGACGTATTCTGGTTTTTTTGAAGTTGAGAAAAAAATGATTCAAGAAAAATAATTAATTTTTTTAAACGAATTTAAAATAGGAAAATTTGAAAAAAAGGACCCGCGAAGGCCCTGTTTGACAATCCAAAGTATTTGTTTGTTTTGAAGAGCGACTTTTAAATCAGTTCTATTTGGAGTGATTTCGCTCATTTTTTGATCCTTGAATTCATGGAAAAAATACACTTGAACTGTCATTTCTTAACTGATAAATTAGAAACAGAAAAATGAGAAAATTACATGAAAAAGGGACCCGCGCAGGCCATATTCGATACAGATTCGAGCTCAGTTTTGAAAATTTTCAGGCGTTAAAAATTGAGGAAAAAAATCTCGCAGAACTTAAAGAACTGTTATTTTTTGAAAAACAACTTAGAAACAGTAAAATCAGAAAAAGAAACATGAAAACGGGACCCGCGCAGGCCATATTTGATACAGACTTAAGCTCATTTTTGAGATGTTATCTGGGTTTTAAAAATGAGGAAAAAATCCTGTAGAACTGGAAGAACTGTTATTTTTTGAAGAACAACTTAGAAACAGAAAATTAGAAAAGAAACATCGAAAAAGACCCGCGCAGCCCATATTTGATATGGGTTTTTGGGCGCCTACACGCAGTGCACAGCACACCAAGTGTCTCTCCGTGTTGGTGGACAATCGATGGACTCTTTCCGCCTTTTTTCCTCTCCCCGTTGCGCTGTTTGAATTCTTTTTTTTCCCTCCATTCTTCTTTTCCTTGCCCCTCGTCGGATATATTGACGCAAAATGAGAGAGAGCGAGAGCTGCTGAAATAATTGCCTTTTTCGGAGCGAGTTTTATGCCCTCCAATTGAATGCAAGTCTTCGGAAATGGAAATTGGTTTTGTGTGAAGCTGCTGCTTTTAGTACCGTTTTATCGGTTGGAATACAAGTAATTAGTGTGGAAAGTCAAGGAAAAGGAGACATTATTTACTAATTTGAGACAAATTTGCATTTTTTTAAAATCAAATTTTGAGAAAAAAAAAGAAGAGAATGTGTTTTTTTATCTAACGTGTAAGCATGATTGAAGTTCAGTGAATGTTTTAGTTCAAGTAATTTTTTTAATTCAAAAATGCATGATAGAAGCCAAGTCGAATTTGCATATTTTTTTCCAATTATTTTTTTCCAAAATCGGGTCCAAAACATGATCTACATTTTATAAATTCGTTCCTAACCTTTTCCACGATTTTTTGAACTTCCAGTGACATTTTATCGTTTTTTAGACAAGTTATTTGAACAGAAAATAGAAACATATTATCAGAAACTTATTTTTTTCCATATAATTTTTTTGTGAGTGACTTTTGAAAGTTTCAAAAAAATTGTCATTGAAAAAAATGTGCTTACCTGAACCTTTCCATAAACTCGATTGAAAAAAATCGGGAAAGAAAAAAAGATTTATTAAAAAAAGAAACATGTAAGGATCCGCAACATAGAAATTTCGAAATCCGTAATAAGTTTGCTCAGTATTTTGTTTTTTTCTAGTCCTTTTTGTACGAAACCACGTAAAAGCAAATAAAAGACGGGCACAGAAGAATTTATGGAGCTTTTGAGGTGAAAAAGATAAAAATAGCTTTTGCAATCTAAAAAAAATTGAAAAATAACATGCAGACCATTCCTTACTTCATGAACTTTAAAAGATGGAAAAAAAAAATGAAAGGAGACATTTTAAAAAAGATTGCTATATACAAAAAAGGAAAAATAAAAAAAAATTGCGCGTGAAAACGCGCTTACACTGAAAGCATTCAAAATCCCGAGCATTTCTTCACTTTTTTACGTCGAAATTGTTTTTCTTCAGCTTTTTGTGTATTAAAGGATGATAAATTGCAGAATTGACGAGAAAGGAGTGGTGATGAAGAAAGAGGGGCTTTTGGGTTCGAACACCCGGAATAGGGTCTATCGGCCCGGCTCAAAAGATGTCGACAGCATTCGGGAGAGCATCAGAAAGGCTCGCGCTCAGAAAAGTTGGTTTTCCAGAAAAAGAATTCATTCGGAAAAGATTTTTTGGAAGATGTACTGAAATGTGAAGAAAAAACTTGTAAAAAATGGTAAAAAAAAAGTCAAAGAGGTTTCAAAAAGGAGTTTTAAAAAAAAGGCATTAAAAGGAACTTCCATAGCACCTTTCAACAGCCATTAGTTGGAGGATAGTCTTTTTTAGAAGGAAAAAATGGGTTTAAAAGAAGTTGAGCTTCGAAGGTCTTAGATAAGTTGCAAAAAGGATTTTAGAATTTATGCTTTCTGAAAAATTTCAAGAAAGTTTTATTCTTCTGTTTGGCCTTTTTGAAATCTTTGAGAAGTTTAATTAAACTTTGCTGATAATTTTTTTTCAAATTTTGATACCGTTGTTAGATTTTTTAACTTTTGAATTATTTTAGTTCTAATTTTTAGGATCGACACCGAAAACGAGTGTGAGTCAGAGGGAGAAAACTCGGGACCGGACGGATTGTGATCGATTTTTGGAAGGTAAAAGAGTTATTAATGAAATAAACTCAATTATTTCTCCATTAAACGAAATCTATAGTCTCAGAAACTTTTAAAAAAAGGGGAAAAACGCCTCACAAAATTTTTCGCAATAAATCTTGTTTCCAAGTTATAAAGCTTCAAAGTGTGCAAAAAACGCAAATTAGGCCAAAAAGCGCTATTTTGGGTTTTTTCAAAAACGAGATCTATTGCGAGAAGTTTTCTTTCTTTTCTGGAATCAGGGGATCCTAAAGTACACTTAAGCAAAGTTTCAGCAAAAGTTGAACGGGGGGGTAAAAAAACGTTTCCTAGTCAGCTTGATGTGCTCTGAATTTCATGTAAGCTTCAACCGTTGCCAAATTCCAGAGAAGCTTGAACTTTAGGCGATTTTTTTAAACTTCTGTTTTTTTGGCGCTAATGAATCTGTGGAGATGATGAACTTAAAAATTTAGAAATTCGGACTTTTTGCTCTTATAAACTAACATTTTTGGAAATTTTGCTTTTAAACGTTTCAGTTTTTAAAAAAATTACATCATCTCCTAGTAAATAATTACGGAAAGTCCCTTCTCCATTTCAGAAGGCTTCCAATCGGCCTACGATGGCACCTACGAGGATCGCTGCCGTTTTTTGAACTCTCTGAATGTTCTCATCGATGAAACGAGGACGGAGGCTTTGGCCGACCCGGAATTCTTCGAGAAATTGTGTCGACAGTTCGTTTTTTTCTCTGAAAAAAAAGAAAATCAAGAAGAAGAAAAAAATTTTTTTTTAAATGGCTCGAATCAACTTTAGACTTGTATGAGTATAGCTTATTCACGGCCAGCTTGGGACGCTAAGGGGGCGTGTCCTGTCTGCGCTCTCCACGAGCCAGGCGCTATCTCGTGCATTTTCGTGTCAGGACCCATTTTTCGATGGCTCAAGCCAGCCGCGAATCAGCTATTCAAAAGCGGGAACGGAGAAGAAGAAAAAATTGAATTTTACAGCGTCCTCCGTGTACTGACAGATGATCACCCGGCGATCCGAGCCATGTGTTTTCACCTCCTAAGGAAAACCATGCTGAATGAGAGGAATCTGGTCGTGATTCTAACCTCCCACGTCGATATTTACGTCGTCCGAGCGTTGGACTTGCGGGTGGAGAATGACGCGGAACGTTGCGAGGCGTTCCGATTAATCGCCTGCATGATTAGCATCTATCAAGGCTCCAATTTAAAGAAACTCATCGTCGACTCGGCCAATGAGAAGAATGGAAAGTTGGTGACTTTCTGGAGATTCAAAAAAAAAAATAGACTTGAAATATTTTTTCCACGTCCTCTAGGAAACGTGGTGAATAGATTTTCGTTGATATGAGTAAAAAAAAAGTTCACTTTTTCTATGTACCTAATTTTTTGTCTGTTCTGAGCAAAATCATCGATTTTACTACTCGAAAAATCTCTATATTAATAAGGAAAGTGAAAAAATTTTGCGAAAAAAAAATTGAAGCTCGGGAAATTTTTATTTTTCTTCTCATTTCTATAAAAACTTGAAAAAATGTCACTAAAAAAAAACTCATGACCGCATGTGAAATGGGCATGCTGGAAAAGTCGGTCGTCCGATTTGGAAAATTAGGCCACGTCGTAATTTCAAAAAAAAAAAAAATTTGAATAATTTTATAATTTTGAATGTAGTAACCATACTCGCAAGAACGATACAGTTAAATGGAAATAAGCGAAAAACTTAGTAAAATTTTAAAAAAAGGAAGAAAAATTCAAAAAAAAGATTGAGATTCTAAGTGTTCCATGGAGCAATATTGCGGCGTGGCCTAGTTTTCCAAACTGACCGACCGACTTTTCCAGCATGCCCGTGGACTGGCTTGACGCGCGAAGCGGTTACTTTTAAAGTGCGACCGAATAGAAAATATTTTTTCAAGGGATCATTGAGAAAGATTTTAAAAAGCTACTGTTAAACCGCCACGCGACCGCGATACTTTAAGCCATTCTAAGTGCGACCATGATCAGGATTTTTCGAGAAAAAGCTCAAAAAATCACATTTTTGACCTCAAAACGACATTTTTTTCTTAAAAAGAAGGACTCGGTTTCGCGCCATCAAGCATTTTGAGACGTAGGAATTCACTCCGAAACGAGATCTCGATTTGAAAATTAGAACAATTTCTAACCCCCAAGTTTCCCAGGAAGTTCGCCTTCCCCAAGTCAATAATGCAACCGGTAATATCGATTGCCCTGGCGGCAATGTCGGCTTCCTGGTCCTCTGTGACGTCATCAGAATCCGTCTACGACGACAAGATGGCCCTGCCCTGTATCGGACTTTTCTGCGAGTTTTGTCTGCTCGAACCAGATCACATCCTCGACATGGCTGGCACTGATTGGATTGTGAGAGAACGAAGAAAAACCCTCAAAGATATTCCGGTTCAGGTCCGGGTCCTGACCGGCGAGGCGAGAACCAACCGACGGATTGTCACTTTAGTGGCTCACATTATTGTCTCCTGGCTGGACGATCCGAAGATGAGGGCCAAGGCTCATTTGCACCTAGTTCTCGAGGTTTGAAGCTCGAAAAATGAAGGGACTTTGAGAAAAAAAAAATTAGGTAGTTCTAAGATTTTTGCAAACAACAGCTCAGTAATGCGCTACGTGGGGATTCTTGAAAAACAGTTTTTTGCACTTATTTCGAATCTTCACTTATTCACCTCAAATTGAATCATTCTGGTCGCATTGAGAATGGCTTGAAGCGTTGCGGTCACCAGTTAATGTCGGACGTCTTAATAATAATAATATTCAGCCTTTAAATAAATATTATTAATATTAAGACGTATTTCTGTCATATAGCCGATTCACGGCTAGGTTAGGGGCGTGGCCTGTCTGCGCTCTCCACCAACCAGGCGATGTCTCTTTCATTATCGTGCCAGGACCCTTTTTTCGATAGCTTAAGATAGCCGGGAATCAGCTATATGTTCGAGCCGTTCCCTATGCGACCATGAGTTTCAAATTTTATTAATTTAGTACCATACTGTAATAGGAGCGCTCGGGACTAGTTGGGCCTCGAAAAAAAAGCTCTTTTCAATCTAAATTCGGTCACTGATTTTCAAGGGAACTCTTAATATTCTGAAGTTTTTTCTTACCGAGCTCATTCAGCCCTGGAGGAGGGGGTTAGCTTAAAATAATTTTGAAAAAATAGGAATAAAGTTATGCTTCAACCTGAAAGAGGTAGTTTTGGCCACAAGTTTGAACCTCAGGCAGGTAGTATGAGCTTTACTTTAGGGAAACTTTGAAGGAGGGGTTGACTTAAAAAGGGCCTGCTTGGTATGCTTTTTACTAGTAGGAATCTGCTCCTTGATTATTTTTTGAACTGAGTCTGAGTATAATATTTGCAGCTATTATTTTTTTTTCAGCAAATCTTCGCCCCACTCATCGAGTTTGGCTTTTTCCAAAAGTATGATGCTCACGCGCCGAAACCTGCAGGTTTTTTTTAAATTTCAGATTTTGCCTTTTTGATGGGCTCTGATGAGGAGATGTACTTCAAATGTTCTCCTAAAAGCTTCATACAACTTTCCTGAACCTCGGAATTTAATTCCTTCTTTTTCTTACAGGACGAATCCTAACGGACAACACTGGAGACGTCCTGGAGAACTTCAAGTACTCGTTCCTGTGCATCCTGAAGACTTGGTCGGGTCTTTTCGCCTGCGCGGCCGTCGGTCCCGACTCGACGATCATGACGTCCTCGCCACTGCGTCTCCTCGAGTACCTCGGCCTCGGAACGGTGAGCCCCGTCGGCGGCAGCGAGAACCTCCAGCGAATCCGCGACATGGTCGTCGACATCTGCTGCGAGTTCGTCGACCTGCCCTACGCCGCCAAGAATTTCGTCTCCTGGGAGGAGGCCGCCAAGTTCTATGGTCGGTTTTAGCAGCTCTATAGTACATTTTTAATAATCCAATTTACCGAAAGTTCATGATTTTAGCGATTTTTGGGAGGATACCTGAAGAAGAGAAGAAAGTTCTGAAAAGATCTGAAACTATGATTTTTCGATTTTTCAGAAGAAGCTAGGTTCCTAGAAAAATCAAGGCTGGTTTTTTGATTTTTCCAACTTTCAAAATAGCTAGGTTCCTAGAAAAAATCAAGGCGGCTTTTCTGATTTTTACGAAAAAGTATTCTTGGATTTTAGAAGCCTACAGCTTGCGCTATGAGTCTTGAAACATTGTGGAAACCAAAACATTATCAAAAGTTGTGCTTTTTGCAATTTTTGCAAAATTTCTGTAGGTTTATTGAGAAAGCCAAGTTTCCGGAAAAATTCAAGCCTATTTTTCGGATTTTCTGACCGGGGTATAGGTTTTTAAGGAAATTTGAAGCTTCCAAAAATCAACGAATACCTGAATTTTCTCCTATTTTTGAGATTTCTTTAGGTTTTCTTAGTATTTGGAAAAATCAAGCAGGAAGTCTGGATTCATTTGGGGGAAGTTATGGAATTGATGAGAAAAATCAAGCCTACTTTTCAACTTCTATTGAAATCGAAACCTCGCATTTTAGAAGCCTACAGCTTTGGTTAAGAGTTTTTTGAAAAATTGACTTTTTGCCAATTTTTTTCACATTTTTTCTAAGGAAGCAAGTCTACGGCAAAAAATTATGGACGAAATTACTGGAAAAAGGACTTCGTGAAGAGGACCCTAAAGTGGTCACTAAAACTACCTCTATAGAGGCCACTATTTGTTCATTAGGGGCAACTTTAGTAGTTTTAGTCATCTACTAGTACCGCTTTGAACTCTATAGTGGCCGCTAATTTTAAACCCCTAAAGTGGCCTCTAATTTGACTACTATAGTGGTCACTAACACGTCAAAACCCTATAGAGACCACTGAAATTTTTCCTATTTATTTTATAGCTGTACCTACCTATAAATCTTCCAGAAACGATGCATTTTGCTGACACTTACCGTGCTTCTCTGAAGTATGACTTCATTTTGGCCCAAAACGAGGCCCGGCTAGCCAATGATGCGGTTGGATCCTACTAGGAAAGCTTCAAAATTCGCGATTTTCCATTAGGAATTCACAAATACGGTCGATTTGGTCGCGTCCTTTCGATTCCTGGCTCTGTTCGTCTTGATCAACGCCGGCCTCCCTCAATCCCTGGCCCGTTTGATTTTGGCGACGCCAGATTCTCCGAGTGGCCTGAAAGCTTCGCTTCTTCTCGCCGACATGCTCAGGGCGGTCAGTATGATTGTTTTCCTTCAGAATCAGGAGATTAACGTCCAAGAACTTCTCGGCATTTTTAATTTTTCGAAATTTGGTGGAAAGTACGGAATGGGGCTCATTGAGAAAAAATGAAGAAATTATTTGGATAGGTGGAAAAATTTTATAAAACGATACTGGAAGGCTCAAAGTTCACCTTTATGTGCGCTCCATGGAAAATTAACAAAAATTGGTTTTACTACTCGGACATTGGTAACGCGAAACGGACATGCTCCGGACGTTTCTGGGCGATTCTAGGGATCACTTAAGAGTTTTGAGGCTGCTAAAGTGGTCACTAGAAATGCCCCGACACGTCCGATTCGCGTCCCGTTCGCGTTACCAAGGTCCGAGTAGAAATTTAAGCTGGTAAGAACATAGGTAACGTAAACCGGACGGTTCTGAGCATTTCTAGTGACCACTTTAGGGGCGTCAGTACCCTTGAATCATTCCTAGAACTACCTAGAACCCCCAGAAGTGTTTCCCAGGACCGCTGAAAAGCTAAAAGGCCCGGGAACGTCGGAAATGCGTTACCGAGATGGAGGTTTCAGTTCTCTTAAGTGATCCCTAAGAATTGCTTTTCTAAATAATTAAAAAATTTTCTCTCGGGCCTCGGTAGTGCAAATCAGACACGCCCCAGACGTATCGGAGCATTTCTAGGGATCACTTTAGCAGCGTACTCTTAAGTGATCCCTAGGATTTCTCAGAAAGTTTCGGAACGCGTCCGGTTTTTTATCGAAGTCCAAGATGGGGATCTCAGTTCTCTTAAGTGATCCCTAGAATTTCTTACAAGCGTCCGGGGTGCGTCCGGTTTGCGCTACCGAGATCCAATATAAAACTCTCAACTTTTCAGAAATTTTCAACTGGAACTGTTATAAATGGTTTTTTAAAAACTACTGATTTCAGGCTCCTTCGATCGTGCCAAGTGGCTGGCGAGCCTCACTCCTGTCGATGCCGACCTTGGTTCAATCGGCCTGCGAAACTTTGGCCAGCTGCCGATCCGCAGCCGCCATCCATCACTACAAAACTGACGATCTTCAATCCTTTGACCAGCAAGAGTCCTATACCTACGTCAATGCACAGTGAGAGTTTGTTGTAGTATGGTCGCGTTTGGAATGGCTCAATGGAACTGCAAAAAACCGCATGTTCACTGAGGTATCATGTAGCTTAGGAGAAAGGAAGTAGCTTCAAGTGGAGCATTGCCATTCAGGCCCACGCCATTTTGACCCAAAAAGGGGAAGGAACATTCCTAATGGTTCTTGAGGGGACAAGATGATTTCATATGAAAATGACTCTTCTGAAAACTTCAAAAAGCTTTACTCTGAACGATTTTGAGCATTTTGAGTCGAGAGATGATGTTTTGAAGTTTCGAGTGACAAAATTGACTCGAAATAAGAAAAATTCGATATTTCAAGGATCCTAATGGTTTTTGAGGGTGCCAGAGAGTTTTATTTGAAAAAGGAACCCCTGAAAACGTCAAAAAAAACTTTACTCTGTCCGATTCTGAGCGTTTTGAGCCGAGAGATGATGTTTTGAAGTTTCGAGTGACAAAATTGACTCGAAATAAAATAAAATTTGTATTTCGAGGACCCCTATGGGCTCTTGAGGTACCAGATGGTTCGATATGAAAAAAGAACCCCAAAAAACGTTTAAAAAAAATCTTACTCAGCACGATTCTTTTTGAGCCGAGATATGAACTTTTGAAGTTTAGAATGATTGATTAGACCACCGAAAACTCAATATTTCGAGAATCCTAATGGTTCTGAAATGTGCCAGAGGGCTCTGTATGGAAGAGGACTCCCTGAAAATGTCAAAAAACCTTACTCTGCCCGATTCTGAGCATTTTGCGCCGGGATATGAATTTTTTTACGGTTATATATGGAAGAGGACTCTTTAGCATGATGGTAAGAAAGTTACTTGAAGTCAGGCGCTGCTGAACCATTCCAAATGCGACCACCGTATTTCAAATACCGGCTAAACGAATCAAAAAACAGAAACGCTGAGCTCGTCCTTCATCGATTCGATCAACTGAATGGAAAATGGATCGGAATCGCGGCCGACCCAACGCCGGATGATTCATTTTTGGCTCTTTTCATTCCGGAAACCCTTTCCGTTGAAGCGAAACGGCCTCCTTTGGTACCGAGAAAATGATAATTTGATCGTTACTATGGAATTATGTAGGCTTCATCCCCTGCGCTGAAAAAAGGAAGCAGATTTCCGACGGTTTTTCTGAAGATGGGGAGGACGTTGAAGCCTACAAGGGCAGGACTTGCACTAGTGAGTTTTTAAAAAAAGGCGATATTTTATGCTGTTTTCACTATTGATTTTTTTTTTTTACGAATTTTCGGGGTTTGATTTGAGTTTTTTCTCATGTGACACTCAGTGTTTTGAATAATTCAAAAATTATGTTTTTCGAAAAATAGTTCAGTTTTTCTTTGTTTGGGAGTGAAAATCGATATTGAGGAGTTCAAAAGATTTTTTTCAAAATTTATGATTTATTTATTTATTTTCAAGGATTTTTTTAGCAACTGAAAGTTTTTTTCACATGTAGAGGTACTCGGACATTGGTAACGGGAGAGCGTCCCGAGCGCTTCTATTAAATGGACCTCTTAAGTGGTCCCTAGAATTGCTCAGAAATGTCCCGAGCACGTCCATTTCGAGTTACCAATTTCCGAGTGATTATAAACATAATTTAAAAATTGAGGCATTTTTACAGGAATTGGTAATTGATGGAGAATTTTTCCTCTGGGTAGAATTTGAATATATCAGGTTTTGTGCACAAAAAAATAAATCGAATATTCAAAAAAAGGCAGTTTATAACATTTTTATAACATTAGCTATGTGAACTCGGAACAAGAAGATCGTTTTTTTCTGAAAAAGTTTTTTTGGGTTGGAATCGAGCTGCTCTTAAATAAGTTCAAGTTTAGGGAAATATCCAAGAATTTTTTTATTTTTATACCGGGACCTTAAAAGGTCAGATTGAAATTTGGAAATTTTGAGAACCTCGAATTCGAATTTTGCTTAAAATAATCTTTTAAAGTTGGTTTAAGTCTAAAAAGAACAGGTTCTAATAAAATCTAAAAAGTTTGTACTTTACAGTATACTTTACAGATATCTTGTTTCAACGATACAATAAGCTTAGATTGAAAAATCCGGTTGATTTCTATTAAAGTCATTCGTCGGCTGGATCTCAACCCCGGGGTTCAGCTTATACCCCCCAAAAAAAGTGCGGCCTATATCCTTCCCTGGGTGGGGTCCAGCCGATGTATGATTCAAGTTCAATTTTTCTGAAGAATTTTCTCCCTAGGAAGCCGATCCCTATCATCTCTCCTGGACTGCGCCATTATCCACGCCGACAATGTTGAGTCCAACGACAAAGGCTTCGGATCTTCGGATTCGGATGACGATGAGCCCAACTTGAACTGGATCTTCACAGAATCCCTGTTAAGGGCTATTAATGTAAACTTTGGTGTTTTAAGGGAATTTCGGAGAGTTTTGGTTCAGATTGAAAGTTCGGAAGATCGAAAAGTGGCGTCCTCCTTTGCCATGGTCTCGCTTGTGAGCAAGGTGAGGAAATAATTTTTTAGCTTGAAGAGTCATTTTCTTAATGGACCACTCTTATTTCTTTTTTGTTGTTACTTCATTTTTGTTATTTTTAATTTTGACATTATTCATTATGGGCCGAGAGTCATTGAAAATACCATTGAATGGGTCTTTTCTCGGTTGGATTTGATAACTATTTAAAAAATGGTTCACGGTCCCCAACTTGTACCTTTTTCTAGGTTTTCTCAACACTCTCGCCCCTGATAGCCCTGGAAAAACGGCCCTTAACATCAAAAAGAAGGGTTATTGTGGCCAAGTTGGCTGTGGAGAAGGCGGCTCAAATTATTCAGAGGGGAGGTGAGGAATTCATTTTTTGAATATTTTACCAAAAAAAAAAGTTTTTTTAGTTATCATATTATCAGCATGAGAGAGAAAAACCTGTTTTTAAAGATAATTTTCTCACAAAATTATCACAAAAATGATGAAAAATTGGATTTCAACTGATTTCAGGCAGTTCTTCTAGTGAATATCGTTCCGTCCTTTTCCGATATGCCGTTGATTTCAGAAGCGCCTTGGAAAAGGTGAGAATCTAAACAAATTTCGAAGAAATGGATCACTTTTGAGTGGGAAAAGTTGCCCCAATTTTTCTCAATATTTTAATCCAATAGACGTTTTCGAATGGAAATGCAGGCGAAAATTTCGATTTTTTGTGAGAAATTTGATTTTTAGGTTAGTAGGAGCCCTCAAGGCTAATTTTGTTTACGTTCTTGAAAATATTGATGAAAAAGGTTTTGAAAAAAAAATGGAAAACGAATCTTGAAGCTTTTTTCTCAATAGAGCGCATTTAAATCAGAAAAACAGCTTTTCAGGCTCACTGAGAATTTCTCTAGAAACGGATATTTTTGGCAATTTTTGTCTATAGAACTCGTTTTCCAATCTGATCTTGCTCTGATTTTGACAAGATTTACAAAAGTTTGAAATTTTTTCTCGATGAAACTTTGGTTATTTTGAAAAATGGCTTGAATCTATCAGGAAGTTTTTTTGGGGCCGGAAATTTTCTGAAAATTGGCTACAGTGTCTCTTGATGTACTCAGTGAAGATCCTGAAAGTCTCAATCTTCAAAAATTTCTAGATATCAAAAAATAAGGGCTCAGAGCCTGGAAATAGCCTATTTTAACGGCTTTTGAGGATTTTTTTGACTTTGAGTAGTCCTGTCCCGAAAAATTGGAAGTTGGGCAAGTTGGGACTTTCAGAATCTTTATTTGAAGTATCAAGGGATTACCTGGCCAAACTTAGACTGTATCTGATTCACGGCTGGCTTGAGCCATCGAGAAAAGGGTCCTGACACGATAATAAAAAATAGTGTCTGATTGTTGGAGAGCGCAGACAGACCGCGCCCCCTTAAGTCCCAAGCTGGCCATGAATCGGCTCTAAAATGAACTTATTTTTGAAGAGAGAAAATAGCCGATCGGCCCTGTCCGTCCGAAACATGGTCTACAACGGCTCCATGCTGACTTTTGCCATTATTGGAGCGATGTCCTCATTTTCCTGTACCATTGATATCCTCAACGAAGTCGGCGTCTTGCAAATGTCAGTTTTTTTTCAGAAGAAAAATTTATTATTCTGCAAATTTCAATAGCCATTGAAAGCAAGTTATTGCACATCAACTAAGGGAGAAAAGCGGTTCATAGGAATATCAAATGATATGTTAGACGAGTGTTTTTTCTGGGAAGAATGGTAGGCTGTAGTTGGTAGAAGGTACCCATCAGAAAAAAAATATGAAAGAATGAGTTATTAAAAGCCTAGAGGGGTGTTTGGGGAGTTGGGATGGCTGAAAGTTACTATTAAAGGCGCATGGTTGACTTGATGATCCTTTAATAAGATAATAAGTTTGTCTATAACATTTGAACGTCTAGAAGTTTTTATATAATTTTTCCAGTAGAAATCAAAAAAATTTTGAGCGAATCGAGCAGATCCTATGATCCTTTAATAAGAGAATGGACGGTGTTTGAAACGAATTTTTTAGTTTTTATATTGAAACTCCTATATTTGAAAATGTTAAAAACGTCGGAAATTGACCATGCTCCTTTAATAAGCACTTCATGACTTAAGGTGAGAATTATTTTAGGATTTTTCAGGCACTTTAGGCTTATTAAAGGTGCAGCAACTCTCTCATGCTCCTTTAAAGAAAAATTGGAAGGTCCAAAGTTGAACACTCAAGGAGTTAGAGCTTCTGGGAGACCTAGAAGGACTGGTGATCAAAAAAGCACGAAGATTCCCAATAGGAATCAAGTTTTCAAAGAAAAATAGATAGGCTGAATAATCTAGGGCTTCTGGGAGACGTAGAAACACTGGTGAAGCTTGAATAATCAAAGGAGCATGGACATTTCCATACTTTCTCAATAATCATCGAGTTTTCAAAGAAAAGTGGAAAGGCTGAATAATCTAGGGCTTTTGGGAGACGTAGAAGCACTGCTGGATGTTCTGCAGTTTGACGAGACACTTGTACTTCTCGGACAGAAGGCCGCCTTCGGGCAGTCCCGCCGCGGGGTTGCAATAAGGACGGCAATGCTCATAGCCGGGCTCGAAGACACCGTAAGCCTCGCAGCAAGACGAAGCGTCTTGGTAGCCCGAGGCGCAGATCATGACGTCACCGACCTTGGCCAGAGGGCAACGGCCGGTCAGGACGGCGATTTGCATCTGGAAGGGAATCGGATGAGGAGTTGGAAAATTGGAACTTTAAGAGGTACGGACGTGAAAGAGGCATAAGAACTTAGCTATCCCAAACTAATCAATAAAAAATAAAGAAATAAAGAAACAAACCGAAGCAAGATTAGCATCGTAGTTGCACAGTGGAAGGCACCCCTCTCCGAGTCGGGCGCAGCAATTCCGGAATCGGTCATTTGCGGTTTCTTTGGTGATGCAAGGCGCCCAGCCGGGTTGACGAGGGCATTGCTGCTGGAAAAAGCAAAAAAATTGACCGGAAAGCGGATTTGTCCTCGGAGCGCATTTGTTGTGACTTTATTCGTGGCTATTTTGTGCTGAAGGATAATTCTTACTGGAGCTGCTGGAGGAAGCGACGGTTTGCCAACGTCGACGTACTTCTCATAACTGACTGGCGCGGAGTCGACTCGTGGGAGTACCTGTTCATTTTTCCAATTTATTTCTTTCTCTGATTGTTCCTACCTGAGGAGCTGGATTTGGTTGAGGTTGAGGTTGAGGTTGAGCGATGGGTAGAGGTTTGGCCTGAGGGATTTGAGCTTGTTGGTTTTGGTTCGGCTGTTGGGTGTTTGGTTGGGGTTGTGGCTGGACTTGGGCTGGGACCTGAAGATGATATTTTCTGTAAAGTTCGAACTTTTAAGCATCACTGGATTTTTTCTGTGGTTTTTAAGGCTTGGCTTGTGGATCTAGAAATCAGAAAATCCTTCTGTCCGAAAGTTCCTCAGAGTCTTTGTATGGCTTGAAATTGCATTAACAACTGTTTTTTCGCACCCTCATTAAAATTGCCCTGATTCTGGATAAATTATTCAAAGAAGCATCAGAGTGAGACTAGTGAAACTTAAACACGCTTTTTTGAGCCCTGTAAAACGCAAAAAAACCTTTTTCCCTACCTGATACTGTTGCTGTTGCTGTTGAGGCTGAGGCTGCTGAGGCTGTTGATATTGCTGATATTGTTGATACTGTTGGTACTGTGGAGCCTGTTGCCCGTAGCTCACGGCTTGTTGAGGCTGGGCTTGAGGTTGACTGTAGGTACTGTAGCTTCCCGAGTGTTGAACTTGTCCGTATTGCTGTTGTTCATTGCTGTTCTGATGAACTGGGGGGATTGGAGGAGGTCGCTGGAATTCTCTTTTGACCCATGTTTGTAAAAATTAGAAACTTGAACTGGAGTAGGTGGGGCGGCGAATGGATTGTTGAGGTTTAGGAGGTTGAATGGGTCGAAGGCGTTGGTCTGAAAAAAAGCCGATTTATCAATAGTTTCAAATATTGAAGACTCAGTTAACATTTGGAAGGATGGAAAACAACTTTTTACGGGATTTTTGGGCATTTTTTGGGATTTATGGGCTCTTTTGATGGAAAAAACCATGAGATGATATGCATATGGATTTTAGAAGTTTCACTTAATCAGCACACGATTTTTCTAAGCCTCTTTTTGAAGAGCTTCAAATGACTATACCTGCTGAAGGAATGGCTGGAATGGGTTGAGAATCTGAGAAGACTGTTGTGCCTGCTGAGGCTGCTGGCCGAACATGTTCAGCGCCGGCGCCGGCTGTTGGAACCCGAAAAGTTGCGGGTTCATCAAGTTCTGCATTGCTTGCTGGTGTTGTTGTTGCTGAACTTGAGCGTAGTTGTTCTGGGAGTATTCAGCCAGTGGGGCGGGCTGATGGGCCAAGTTGCTGCTCAATTCGGAGACTCTCGGTGGCTCGATAAGAGGGGCCAGGGTGGCCGTCGGTACAGCAGGCTGTTGTTGAGCAACGGCTGGATAGGCGATCGGCTGACCGACTTGGAGTGGGGCGGCGAACGCGGCTGGCTGTTGATTGTACTGTGGGGCGTATTGTTGGGGTTGAGGTTGATGTTGAACTTGAGCTTGAGCTTGTTGCTGAGCTTGATGCGGTTGTTGGTATTGCTGAATTGATTGATTGAAGATCTGCGGTTTGGGAAGTTCTGACGGTCGTTAGTTTGAGCCTACGAAATTTTCAAAGGAAGTTTTTGCAAGTAGGTACCATTAGGGATCTCTTTATCCAGGCCTTCCAGATGAAAAAAGGTTTTCACTGCCTGGTTCCAGATACAAAGCTTTATGATTCAGTTCCATCGCCTTAGGCTTATTTAGCTGAAGCCGGCGCTGAATGGACTATTTTTTCATTTTTCATTTCTCACTGGGAAAAAAAAGGGTTGGCTCACTTGCTGGCCGTTGTAGACCTGCTGGAGAGGAGCTGGAGGAGCCTGGACATTTTGATAGGTGTGAGCCGCTTGCTGAAAAAGTTGTAACGGGTTGTAAGTTGGAAAATTGAACTTTTATAATTTATTCAGTTTCCAGAGAACGATTTTGGGATCTTGAAAATGTAAACACTTATTAAAGCTTCCTACTGAGGGAGTTCGTTTTATTGTAAAGTTGGATTCTTCTGAAGAAGTTCTGGATATTGATATACAATTTCAAAACCAACATGAGGTGCGGCGAAAGCTGGTGGCGGTTGTGCTGGATATAATGGAACTTCTCGTGGACAGGAGCCACAAGCGTCTGGACACATCCGCTTGATGAAGTCCACTGCGCAATGGACGCATTTAGCCCTGGAGCAGGACGGCAAATCGGCCAAGGCTATGCTCAAAAGTGACAGCAGCACAGCGATCGCCCTGATCGTTGAGACTGACATGGTTCAGTCTGAAAGACAGGCGTTTATCTTCGGTTTTGTCATGGGTTGGTTCGGTATGCGAAGAGCTGGGGGGAGAACTTGTTCGAGGAACTTTCGGAAGGTTTTTGACTAGGCGAAGAAGTCGAGATTTAAAAGGAACACATTAGTAAACTTGTAAAGATTGGAAATGAAGGACTTGATTTGAATTGAGGAACTTTCAGAAGAGCTTAAGGTATGGCTAGGAGGAAAACTGAAGGTTTCCAGAGGACTATAAGGAAGTCTGGGAAAGCTGGAGTTCTCGGTTTAATTTAAGGGGCTTCCGAAATTTCTTGAGGTTTTTAGCTAAAAAAAAAAAAAGGAAGAGAGTATGAAAGGACATACAAGGAATCTTGTGAAGATCTCGTTTGGATGGAGGGTTTGTTTTAAGTTAAGGAACTTCCAAAGAGCTTAAGGGTATGGCTTTAAATATTGAAGAGACATTGGAGAATGTCATGAGAGCCTCGTGGAGATGGAGGTATTGGTTTAACTTAAGGATCTTCAGAAAGAGTTGAGGGGAACTAAGAAAAACGCTGAAAACTTTTGAGGGACATATATGGAATTTCCTGAGGGCTTGCTGGAGATGGAGGTCTTGGTTTAATTTGAAGAGCTTCCAATAAGGTTTACGGCTAAAAGAAGAGCAGGAGAGTTCAAAAGGAAGCAAGGAGACTTGTGAAGGTCTAGAAGGATTACTAGGTTCATAAGTAGAAGTTTATAAAAGATAATAAGATTTATAACATGAAAATTGTTGGTGTGAAAATGAACTCAAGAAAAAAAAAATAGGTTGATAGATAGGATGGATACGATAGATTATCATCTCATAAAAAAACATAAAATTTTTGAATTTTAGCGGAGTGAGATCCAAGAACGACCGTGAAAAGTTCGAAACTTGTAGAAATATGATAATTATCTTTTTTTCTATCTGATAAGCCTGGTCTCATTTTTTTATTTTTTTCACTATTTTTTTAAGATTGATCTGACAATTCAAAAAAATCTAAAAATGCGCCGTACTTTTTGAGCCTAAAAGATATAGGAATATGATATATAAACGTCTCAGATTTTTTTAATTAGAAAAATTAGAGGATTTTTTTAATTTTTTTATTATCGAAATTTTTCATGAAAAAGATCCTGTCAGTTTGATATTTTACAGAAAGAAGAAACTTTTTTTCAAAAATTAGATACTATCTTTAAAGAAGAGTTTTTGGCTAAATTGTGTTTTTTGAGCAGAATAAAATCGAATAAACGACAAAGAATAATTGAAAAGCACGCTTGTTATCAGGAAAAAGAGTAAGAACCAAGCTTGTGATGGGCAATAAGAGATCTCGTTTCGGAGGGCTGATACGGGGGGCCAGCGGAAACTGGAAAAGACGATAGGTGAACCGGGCATTCTCGACATGGAAACAGTGGGAAACGAGTTCCGTCCAGAGAGTTTAGTCAAATTGAAATGGATAAGCGGAAATGATTGGAATGGGAAAAGCCGGGTTTTATGTACTTTCTAGGCTGGTCCATGATAATTAATCAGCTTAGGTCTGGAAAAGCTTTTAGGGGATTCTGAATGATCCATTCATTTTCTAGATCCCATAGAAATCACTCTGATTTGGTCAATATACAACCTCGACTGAAAAGGCAAAACGTGAAAAAATCTGGAATTAGTAAACTGGATATATTGTTTCTTGTAGAACTGGAAATTGAATTTTTCACCAAAAATTTTTAACTGAAGCCTGAAAAGATCGTTTCAAGGGGACAAAATACGAAAAAAAAAAGTTGGTCAAAATTCAATTTTTTCTCATGTCGAGGAGGATTTGAAATCTGTCCTGTTGAGGAAAAAAAATTTAGAAGCTGTTTTTTTAAAAATCTTCTGCTCTCAAGGTGTAGTGAAAGGTTAAAATTCAATTTTTCAAAAAAATTTTTAAAATTGGGCTGACCGCTTTTTTATAGAAATTTTTCGACCAAAAAAATAAAGGTTTCAATAAAAAAAGGGTTTTAAAAGTTTTTTTCACATTCAAAGAATGGTTTGAAAAAGCAAAATTCATCAAGTTTTCAATTTTAAAAATGGTTATGTGGACGTTTTTTTATCAGGAAGTTTGAAAAAAATTAGTTCTAACCCAAGGAAAAAAGTTTAAACTTCAACACATCCAAAAAAACAGATTCAAAATTTAGGATTTAGGCTATCTGAGAAGCTTTTCAAATTCAAATTTGGGTCCAGGAACAAGTGAGAAATGAGAAGTTTATACATTTTGATAATCGGACTGACCGTTTTTTATAGGAATTTTTGACTCAAAATAGAGTTTTTAAACAAAAAAAAGAGGTTTTGGAAATTTTTGATAATGGTCCTGTGGACGGTTTTATCAGGAATTTTCGAAAAATTAATTCTAACTCAAGGAAAAAAAAGTAAGTTAAGAAGATTTAAGGAGATCAGAATTGGCTACTGAGGAACTTTTCAAATCCAACTTTTTACAAAAACGTGGAATTCTGGGAAATTTTTTAGTGATCACTATAGGGTTTTGACGTTTTAGTGGCCACTATAGTAGTCAAATTAATGGCCACTATAGAGGTCTAAGTGCTACTACTAGAGGCCACTTTAGGGGTCAATGGATCAACATAACTGGTCCAATCTGTTTGTTTTAACATTATCAGAGTTACTGGAAGGATTACTGGATGAAAAACTACTGAAGTGGCCACTAAAACGGAAAATAGTGGCAACTATAGAGGTTGGTTTAGGGGCCACTTTAGTGTCCTCTCCAAGTAGTCCTTTGCGAGCCTCTAGTGGACACTAAAAATTTATTAAAAAAAAGTGTTGAAAAATGAGATTTACAAGGAAATAGTAACAACAAGAAGCCTTCAAGGTGAAAAGTTTGAAAAAAAGGGGAAAAAACGACTTTGTTGGGCAGAGGGAGAAATGTTGGAGGAAGGCTTAAGCTAAGCGAGACGATCCTCCTGGCTTGAAAAAAAAGAAATCGTTTGTCGTCGGATCCCTCGGCCCGTCTCACATCACTTTCCAATTGGATTCTTTTCTTTCTTCTTCTTCCTCGATCTTCCTCGGATCTTCTTCTTCTTGTCCGATGGATACAAGCCTGGAGAAGAGGGGGTGGACAAGTTTCGATGTGATGGTTGATTCTCGGCGGCAACAACGAGTTTTTTCGTCCCTTCCCCATCTGTCCACTCTTGCCGCCTTCCTCCTCATTCTCATTCTTATTCTTCTGATTCTGACTCATCTCGACGTGAAGATCTCTTTGAATGGATCCAAGAAACATTTGCATTTACACCCACGGCTTCTTGAAAACACGAAACCGCGACGCGTGAAATCGAAAGTGTGCTATTTTTCGGCAAGGTGTGAGGAGCCTTTTTCGAAATCTCGATTCAGATTGGAATCGCTTGAAAGGTCCAAATTTGGTAATTCCGAATTGAAAAGATAATTACGGTTTCAAAGAAGTTACAAGACCTGAAGCTATGGAAAAAATTGTTTCAAGTTTCGATAGTGTCTAAAAATATCTGGAAACTTTAACTTCGAATTCCGCATTTTGGAGGTTGTGAAAGAATCTCAGAATCTAGATCTTTGGGTGATAATAAGGTTTCAAAAAAAAAGAGGGACAGTAAAAGCTCATTTGGAAATTACACAGGCCTTGAGAAGTTTCTGAACGACTAGAATTTGAACTTTTGCCGGTACATAGCTATTGGGACCTGTAAGATTAAGAATAATGAATGTTTTGACTTCAAAAGGTCATGAAAAATTTTCCTAGAAGCTAAATTTAAAGTTGGAACGTTTTTAAAATATTTCAGCGGATGGAAACTGTTCGATTGAGAAAAAATGAGTGTTTCAACTTTAAAAGGGTATAAAATATGTTCGAAGAGGCTATGGCTCATTTGATTTGGAAAAATGAGGGTTTCATTCTCAAAAAATTTTGAAAAATGTTCGAAGAAGCTGAATTTGAAACTGGAAAGTTTTGAGAAGCTTACAGGAACTGTTTGATTTTGAAAAAATGAGTGTTTCAACTTCAAAAGGGAATAAGAAATGTTCGGCTGATTTCAAAGCTGGTTTTAAGAAGCCTGTTGGGACTGTTTGGCCAAGAGAAATGAAGGTTTCAACTTAAAAAAAAAAAACAAAAAAATGTTTCCTAGAAACTGGAACGTTTTCAAAATATTCTAGCTGAGAAAAATGAATCTTTCAACTTCAAGAGAGTATAAAAAAAATGTTCGAAGAGGCTGCGGCTTGTTTGATTGGGAAAAATGAAGGTTACATCTTTAAAAATTTGTTGAAGATGCTTGAAGAAGCTGAATTTGAAGCTGGAAAGTTTCAAGAAGGTATAGGAACTGTTTGATTCCGAAAAAGAAGGGTTTAAAATTCAAAAGGGTGTAAAAAATGTTCGAAGAAGCTAAATTTGAAGCTGGAAGGTTTTTGCGAAGTTTATAGGAGCAGTTTGATTTTGAAAAATGAAGGTTTTAACTTCAAAAGGGTATAAAAATGTTCGAAGTGGCTGAATCGGGAGTTGTGAGGTTTTGAGAAGGTTCGTAGCTGTGGATTTCGTTTTATAGAAAAGGATGATTTCAAGTTTAAAAAAGTTCGAAAACGCTGAAATCGAAGCAGGAAGGGCTCTGAACCGTTTCTTGAACGAGGTGCGAAGAATTTATAAAAAAAATTAGTGGATTGAGAAGTTTTGAACGCCCTATATGTAACGTGATGAAAAAAAAAAATTAAGATTGACAAGGTTTTGGCCTTTTGAAAAATAAAAAATACTAGAAGTGAAATTTCTCCACAGTGAATCTTGATTTGAAGGGTTTGGTAAGTTTCTGAAAGGCTGTAGAAGATCACGAAAGCTTGCCAAAAACTTGAAAAAGAATTCCACGTTTCAGGTTCGTTGATCTGATGACGCCGTCGACGGCTCCAGAATATGTGAAGCTGGTCATTTCCTGCTTGAACTACAATATCGACGGACTTTCTCGAGTTGTGCTCAGTAAAGCGTTGACTTCGACTAATGAGGTATTTATTAAGGGGGTGTATTTCTGAGCTTCAAGGGGGGTGTATTTTTCGAGCTTCAAAGGGGGGTGTATTTTTCGAGCTTCAAGTTTGACGAATTGGCAGCCAGTAGAGAAGCTCAATGCCCCCTCAACCTAATATAAGGTTTTTTTTTTCATTAACTTATGAGAATAAAGGTGTAACTTGACATTATTTCAGGATGCCCGAACCTGGTCGACTCGCTTCCTTGGCTTGTTATCTTCTCTCCGACTACCGTCCTTCTCAGAATGGGGAATCAAATTGATGCTCCGTCAATTGGGAGATATGTCTGTCAAAGTTGTCCGCAATGCTACGACTGTACTTCATCAAGCTTTGCCGGTTCGTTTTTTGAAAGGAAGGATCCCACCCCGGGGTGCGGCCTATCCCCCTCAAACTGCGGCCTACCCCCTCAAACTGCGGCCTACCCCCTCAAACTGCGGCCTATCCCCCTCAAACTGCGGCCTACCCCCCTCAAACTGCGGCCTACCCCCTCAAACTGCGGCCTACCCCCTCAAACTGCGGCCTACCCCCTCAAACTACGGCCTACCCCCCTTTAAACTGCGGCCTACCCCCCAAAAAAAGCGCGGCCTACCCCCTAAAAAAATGCGGCCTACCTCCAAAAAGTGCGGCCTACCCCCCTTTAAACTGCGGCCTACCCCAAAAAGCGCGGCCTACCCCCTCAAATTGCGGCCTACCTCCAAAAAGTGCGGCCTACCCCCCGAAAAGTGCGGCCTACCCCCTCCAACTGTTTTTTCTGAGGATTTAAGAACTCTTGATATCTTAGAGAGGTAATAAGAAGTTAATAACGAAGATCCTCGTTTAAAGCAGATTTTCGAGAAGTTCTGCTCTTTTTGTACCTCAAAAGCCTTGGCCGCACTTGAAATGGCTTGAAGCACGGCTTCCTAACAAACTTGACACCTTTAGGAACGCCATAGTGGCCCCTTTAGGGTTGGTAGAGTGGTTTTACATGACACAGAAATATAATATAGGAGTTGATAGAGTGGTCCCTAGAGGAGAACCTTCAGGGGGCTCAAAGGTTGCCCCTAAAGCGACCACTCTGGAGTTTCTAAGCCTAGTATAGTTATTGATGATATCGCGCGCAAGTCGTTCTGGGTCTTTTAAAGCATTTGAGCCATTCCAAGTGCGACCAAAGATTTTCAGGTTGATGAAAATTTTGTATACAATCCTCGTATTGAGCAGAATTGTTTCTATTATCATGAGCTTCCTAAAATTTGAAAAAAAAGATTTTTCAGGCCTACCCAAGTGCGGCCCGCAACCTCTACGATCGGATCCAATGGAGCAACTTTGGCGACGCCGGGATTCTACTCCGAACTCATTCGTTTGCCGATGAAAAAACCTGCCAAGACAATATTGATAGTGTCGTGGCGGAGATTGATCACTGGATGCTTGTTCGTTTTTTTTTAATGGTGTACAGGCTATTTTTGTGGAGAATATGTGCTCCATGGCTAAATTATGACAGTTTTCTTGAGATTCGAAACGGACAGACTTGCAATGTTTCCTGTATCATGGATATTTAAGGAATATTTTTAAAAAAATTTAAATTTTTTTAGGTTGATTGAAGCATAAACACTATATTTTTTTAATATACTTTTGCCAAGAGACAGATTCTGTAGGTTTGAAAAAGATATTTGAAATTTTATAGCTCATCCTGGTTAAGAGTAAGGGCTCCGGAACGAAAAAGAGCGTTTCCAAAAAGAAAAGGCTGATTTTTAATGACTTTCTGTGCTCCACGGTGAAAATACCTAGATTTTCAGGACTTCAACAAGTCGTATGTTTCGATAATCGACGAGGAAATGAGGATAGCCCTTTTGTCGATCCGTCGCTCGACGGATGGATCTTTTGCCAGATCCAGTGGGGATCGGTGAGTTTTAGGGTTTTCCAGAAAAGTTAGTCAAGCTCGCTCTATGGATAAAATTGGCAAAGAGGCTTGTCTAGTCTAATTTTGATGGGAGAGTTGATGAAATAACCTTTTTTCCTCTATCAGTCTCACTTGTCTGCGCTCTCTTATGCCTCTTCTGCAAGGCCATAGAATTAGAGAAATAGCATGTTAACATGAGATTGTGAGAGAAAATAAGAGAATGTATATCATATTTCACTCTAACAGTATCTAGCTTTTCTGCGCTCTCCTTTCTCTCTTCTGCGAGATCTTAGAATTAGAGAAATAGCATGGCGAAATGAGATAGTGAGAGAAAAAAAGCAGGTTTTCTTTTAACAGTCTCACCGGTCTGCGCTCTCTTTTCCCTCTTCTGCAAGGTCATAGAATTAGAGAAATACCATGTTAACATGAAATTATGAGAGAAAAAAGGAAATTTTCTTTTAACAGTCTCACCTGTCTGCGCTCTCTTTTCTCTACACTGCAAGTACATAGAAACACAAAAAATAGAGAAAAATAAGGGTACAAGAAAATCAGAAGGTTTCAAGTTGTTGCAAATGAACTATAGGCAAGAAACAAACAAAACGACATTCTCAGACCGGAACGCTACCCGGTCCGGTTGCCGCCTCATCTGTTTGCCAAGCTGGCGACGCACGAAGTCGGCCGACGTCTTCTGGTCGAAGGCCGCGTCTGCGCCCTTCTGATGCGCCCCATCCAGTCGGCGACGTCGACAAACAAGGAGAAAGCCAACGACGTCGTCGACGTTCCCAATCTCAAGTGTTGCCTGATGGCCATGGCAAGCATCGGATGTTGCGATGCAGGTGTGACCGAAAAAAGTGGGAAAAATGAGGTTCAAGGGTGCTCCTGCTAGTGCGCTCCATTGAGAAAACGTGAAAAAGAATCCTCAAGATCTGAAGATGTAGCAGCTTTTACTTTTCATAGCTTCTGAAGAGCCAGATCTCTTGCAAGAGTGCTCCACGGAGAATATTTTGAAGATCTGAAAATTCTTGCACCTCGGTAAACGGGACGCGCTACGGACGTTTCTGTGGAACTATAGGGACCACTTAAGAGTTCTGATTCTACTAAAGTGGTCACTAGAAGGACTCCGACACGTTCGTGGCGCGTTACCAAAAATCTGGGTTTGAATATGTAGGAAAAAATTTCGAAAATCAAAAAATCAGTCGGAATGCCTGAAAGTGCGCTCCAAGGATGAATTTTGAGAAATTTAGGGGTTTAGAATGTATAATGGATAAACGATCTAAAGATATAGATGAAGGTTTTGGAACTTTCGTCTAAATGCGTCAATTGCGCTCCACTGATAAAAGCCTTCGAATTTAACCTTTTCAACCGTTTTATCGAGCTTTATCCTTCATGTATTTAATAATAGGAAATATTCAAGCTTATTGGCTTTTTTGATTGGTTCTAAACAGATTTGATAGGAAAAATTAAAATTTCAGTTTTCTTTGAAGCCCTTTTAGTCAATTTTTAATGGATTTTTCAAAAGATAGGCAATTTTTTCATAAAGTATCCTCCGAAAGAAAAAGGGAGACTCATCCTTCTCCTTGTAACTTCCAGGATTCATGCTCCTCCCGACAGAAGCCCTGCCGAAAATGGTGAAACTCGCCGAAAGTTCGCCCGTTTTGAGCGTCCGCGGAGTCGCCTACTGGGCGCTGACCATCATTTCCCAGTGCAAGGCCGGCTCGAAGGCCTTGGCCCTGTTCGGATGGGAGAGCAACAGATTCCGATACCTAGTCGATGAGGTCAGGATCTCGGAGCGGAGAAACTCTTCTGCTGCCAATTATTCGCTTGGAACTCCAGTTCAGCACGATAATACGCTGTATACGAACTCGACGACGACTTCGGAGGTGAATTGTGCTCTATTGGGAGTTGAGAAAGAAATACATTCGTTTCTCGGAAATTGGTAACGCGAATCTTGCCATTTCTAGGGAACACTTTAGTAGCGTTCGCACTCTTAAGTGATCCCTAGAATCGCTCAGAAACGTCCGGAGCACGTCCGTTTCGCGTTAACAATGTCTGAGTAAAAAGGAGTTTTTTAAAAAATATCTGAAGGAAGCTCGAAATCAAAAAGATTTTCAAGCTTTTCGGAACTCCTTGGTCGCATTTGGAATGGCCTAACAGCTGTGAAAAAGCCTAGTTCCGCAAAAATCTGTTTTATACTGTCTCTATTCTATTTCAAAGTCAAAATCGGAACGGCTAGACGCGTGACAGCATTCAACCCCTACTAAGCCATTCCAAGTGCGACCAAGAACGTTCAGATCTTCAAAAAGTTTGCAAAAGTCTGTTTTTTGCTCCGCCTTTTCTAATTTTTGAAGCCGGTGGTCGACTATGGAATGACTAGACGCGTCACGGCTGCAGAGCGGTTTTTTTGAGCTGCGCCCGACCGGTTACGACTTGCGCACGACAACACTCAAACTGTCACATCAAACTACTGAATGACACACCAGATGTGGAACAGAGTCTAACCGCAACGAAACCGTGACGCTCTGAGCCATTCCAAGTGCGACCACCGAAACTTTGTTCATTAGACTAAAAAGTGTTCAGAAAAGCACTGTTCGAAGTTTCTTTTTTTTTCTATAGTCCGTTCAGATTTTGAATGTCACGTAGAATGGCGTCATTCGAAAACGCTCTGTGGATGGCTCGCTTTCTGATTGGTTTATCGCGCCATTAGGGGCGGAGTTTGAGCGAGGACTTGACATTTAAAATCTGAACTATATAGGCTCAAAACAGTCTAGGAGACGGTGTTTCTAAATTTTCTTGAAGTATGTGTCAAATGGACTAACAAATCTCATTCAGCCATTTACCAACACTGACACGAAAAACTATGAAACTGACACGAAAGAGGACGGAAAACGACACCGAAGTGCGAGCATGATGTACTCCTCGGGCCGATTCTTGGAGCAACAACGGCGACGAAGCCGGAGTGTTCAGTCGGCACCATCCAAGTCACTTCAGGAGACGTCGCAGAAGGTTAAGGGATTCCTAATCTTCTTTTCTGATTATTCGCTCGAAAACCAGGACTTCCTAGAGGGCCCTTGAGTCAACCGGAAGCGAAAAAAAGTTCCCTCGTCATTTTTCTGTCTCTTGTTGATCCATTTCATCTTCAAGGCTTATAAAAATAAAGACGATGAAGATTATCGTTTTCAAGGTCGCCTGGCACGAGATGACGCCATCGCAGGACATCGACAGCGACATCGTCCAACGAGCCAGGACCATGACGACGGCGACGTTCGACTCGGCCAGCGGCCACAGTTCGGCCGGGCCCGTGACAAGGACCGCGACCGCGACAACGCGTGCCTCGACCCTTCACGACGACGACATCTCCGACATCTCCAGGAATGCAGAACTTCTGGAGCAGAAAAGGATGAGGAGGCTTAGAGCCGCCAGTGCGGCTCTGTTCTTGGAGGATGCTGAAGTTAGAGCAAGGTTCTAGAAGATTATTAAAAAGCCTCGAAAATTGCTTCAGAACTTCTACCGTTCATAGGTGTATTCAACGAGGGTTGTCACTACCGAAGAGCCAGTTGGAGTTGGAGGCAGGGGTGAGAGAAGAGTACAAAAAGGGAAAGTTGAAAAATCAAGAAAAACCGAGACTTAAGAAAGAGTTGTATAGAGGCGACGTTAGAGGCTCTTGAATATTTCCTCCTAGGGACCCTATAGGGGACACTAAAGCTTGCTCAAGTGACCCTTATGGTGGAGCATGCCAGTAAATTTTTGCTAAAGAATAAGCATTTCTATGTGAGAAAAATCGATAATTTGTCTTTTTTGAATGAAAAGATATGAACAGAGTATCAATTTATTATTAAAAATCTGAGCGAAATGTTGAAAGATCCTTGTAGGGACCACTTAAGCGTTTAGGGGTGAGACTCAAAAACCCTATAGGGGCCAATTAACGTTTACAGTTAGTCTTTTCAATTTTCAAATCATAACAAAACAGTGATAGAGCTCTATAGGGACCACTTAAGCGTTTAGGAGCCCAGGGGTCAAAACCCTATAGGGACTACTTAGATTTAAACCTATAAGGAGCACTTTTGTCCCCTATAGAGGCTGATAATCCTTAAACCCTTAAGGGACCACTTTGGTTTTCTTAAGTAGTGGAGAAAAGCCAATTTACCAGTGTCTAGAGCTCTCAGTGCAGCTTAATCACAAGAAACTTTATTTTGGCGAAGGAAATTCCAGGAAATGATTATTCGAAAAGCAACAAGATCATCATTCGCTCAATTACCAGCTGTTGGACCATTGAAAAGTTGATTTTTGTAGACTGAAATGCTAGAAATTTGGCTGTAGTGAAGCTAGGGACCAGAAAAAACAGCTTTTTCGGATTTAAGAAGTGGCTGAAGTGACAAAAAGTCTTTTTTGTACATTTTTATAAAATTTATTGGAAGTTATGAGCTTACCGGTGCAGATAAATGAGCAAAAAACAAATTCCAGTACAATTTTTTTGAATCAGATCAACTTGAAATACATTTCGAAACGAATTTTGAAATTTCAACAGATGGCCGACATCACCCGAGCCCCTCATTTCTCGAGTCGAATGCGAAAAAAATATCACCTGGCTCCGATCCAGCAACGAACCCAACTGACCATCAACCGGAACGAGGGCGACCCGATTCGCTACGTTTTTATGACTAAGGATGAGGTATAATTATTAGGAAAATGGGCGTTTTGCTTGAAATCGGTCAGGTGTTTGATAATTCCCTGCTGTCCAGGTTTGAGATGAGAAATAAACCGAAAGAGCCCAGAAAACCATGAAAATTAAAGATGAGAGCGATTTTCACGACTTTTAGCTTGATATCCGCCCAGTTTGAAGTGATCACTTAAGGGCTACAGTAGGCTCTATTTTTCCGCGTTTTCGTTGTTCAGGAACGCTCTTTTCGGCTTTCAGAAGACTCAGAAAGTTTTGTAGTTGGAATTTTACTTCTAAAAAAACCACTTCGCTGCGAGACCTTTAAAAGTTTTGCCTATGATCCTTCAAAAGTCTCAAAAAGCTCTTATATTCATTTGACTGGTTTGTGACGTCATGGGATGATGAAGCCGTGGTTTTCCTACTACCAAGATGCCTTGAACCGTTTGGTCACGGCGGGGATCGAACTTGTGACCCTTTGGACCGTAGACAGGCACACAACCTGTTGCGCTACGGTGCTTTAGAGCGGGTTTTTTGAACTAAAATGCCCTATTTAATATTCTAAGAGTTCCTGATGATTCCTGAACCATTTTTCATTATGAATATCAGGAGCGAGAGTTCTCGGCGTTCCGAAAAGCGGTCATGTCCGACGATTGGCTCTGGTCCGAGCTTCGGAAGGAGGACAGTATGCCGGTGAAGCCGGTCGACGCCTTGCCAGTCTATACCATTGTCCTACCGGCTGAGGTCCAGGTCATGTGTGGGGTGAGTTGGGGAGGATAAAAACGGTCTTGAATAGCAATTTAGAGACTCTGACTATCCCTCAGCTAGGCTTCAGTAAAGAAAAAGAAGTGTAGTTCTTTCCAGAACATCTTCTCGAGGAAGCAAGCCAAATCGGGCCGACCGGCGGCTTCAAGTGTCTGCGAGTCGCCCGGAGACCGACCCCGTGCCAAGACCTCCATCGTGAATGAAGATGAAGCCGTCGAGGATCGTGGCGCGAAGAGCGGCCACGGCCGAAGCCAGAGGACCGACGCCGCGCAGCCGCACTCCAGCTACCGCTGTTTCCATTGCAGCGGCGGCGGGGCGCCGATCGTCTTCCCCGACGGCGTCGACGTCGCCGCCATCCGACGACAGGTCCTTCATCAGGTCGACATGCTCGAAATCAAGGAGTCCATTCCGGAGAAGCGACTTCTCGGGTTGGTTTTGAGACTTCTATGATTCCGGGATCTTCTAGAACAAGACCAATTGGGTAAGTTTATTCTGAAAATTCTTCAGATTACGCCAAAAGCACTCCTGGTTCTTCCAATGGCCGTGTTTGTACGCAGACGTGCTGGAACTCCTGGATGAGTACCGATTTAAGCCCCAATCCCGGTCCTTCCTCCAACAAATCTTCTACGATGCCTTGCAATTGAACTTGTGATACGTTTTGAAACATTTCGTGTAAATATTGTTGTTCTTGTTTTATCGATTTTTATAATTTTCAGGTTAACTTTTCACGTATAAACTCTTACTTTCTTATTTTTGAATAAAGGAAATCTTTATTTCAAATTGAAAACTTGTTATTGGATAGAATTCATGTGAATCTATACTTTTTTTCATGAGAAATGTTGATTTTTGTTATTTTTTTGCGACTCGATCGATTTTTTGTCTTCAAATGGACGATTGTGAAGATTTGCTGAACAAATGGGAGGTATTTTTTTTTTTACTTTATTGAAGAAAATTTACTTGAATTGTAATTTTTTCACGGGGCCCCCTTTAGGGACCACTTAACCTCTCCCTAGAGTGGCCAATAAAGCTTGCAAAAGTGGCTCCTATAGGGACACATAAGTCGATTATCGTTATGAACCCATTTCCATTCGAAAAACTCAATTAGCTTAGGGTTCAAACTTTAAACCCTTTAGGGGCCACTTCTTTTCCGACTATAGGGACCACTAAAGCTTGTAAAAGGGGCTCCTATAGAGAAATGTTAATCGATTATTGTTATGATATATTAGGGAAGGGTCAGACCCTAAACCCCTTAAGGGACCACTTAACCTCCCCTAGAGTGGCCACTACAAGTTTCAGAAGTGGCTCCTATAGGGACACGCTAGTCCTTTATTGTTATGAACGCGTTTCCATGCGAAAATCTCAAAGTAAATTAACATAGGGATCATACCCTAAACCCCTCTAGGGACCACTTTACCTCCCCTAAAGGGGCCACTACAGGTTGCATAAGTGGCTCCTATAGGGACACGCTAGTCGTTTATTGTTATGAACGCGTTTCCATGTGAAAACTAAACAAATTAGCCCACGGATCGACTCTAAACCCCTCTAGGGACCACTTTACAAAAAAATCAAATTTAACCCTATAGTGGGCACTTTTTCGTCTCATATAAGGCTGCTTTCTCCCCATGAACCCTAAAAGGACCACTTTGACATTCTGAAGAATGATTTTAAGTAATTGTTTAGCAAGAAAAAAAAGTTTATTATTGAAAAATCAAGAAGCGACCACTTCGCCTCCCATAACCGGTTGTGAGGACCTGACGGGAAGGTAGAGTTTGAACTCGGCGGGAAGCTCGTCTTCCGTATAAAGTCGGTCGGCGAAATATATCCGGCGGAGACGGCAGTTGGCGTGTACCTTAACTCATCAATCTTTTTATTTTTGGATAGATTTAGAAATCCACTGAAAAGGGAGGTCATATTACTATGTGGTTGGGATTTTCCTGAAAATTGGCTAAAACATTCCTTGATGTACCAGAAGAAGATTCTGAAATCCTCAACCTGCAAAAATTTCTACTTTTCGAGAAAAGACCCTTTTTTCTTGAGAACTAGGAAATTAGGAACGTTGAGAATTCCAGAATCTTTTTCTGGTACATCAAGGAAGACCGAGAAAATTCTTAACCTCTAAGTAAAATGAGATTCCTTGTGAGTTATTATCTATCTATATGCACCCTTTTCCGAAAAATCAGCTTGAAAATTTATCGAAATGGAGTTTTTACTCGTTTTAGCTTCAAATTTGAAAAGTTGGTGTTGATTTTTGTACTAGGAAATGAGCGTCAGAGAGTGGAAAAGATAACTAAATTTAGGAGAGTCAAAGATAATTTTGAACTTCGCGGAACTCAGAACCTTTTTCCCAAGAAATTAGCTAAAAAAATTTTTCTCGAAATATAGTTTCTAATCGAATATAGCTTTTGAAAATTTGGTGATTTTCATTTTGCGCGTAATACAAAGTAGACGCTAGAAAGTGGAAAAGATAGCTGAATTTTGGAGGGCCAGACATAATTTTGTATTTCGAGAAAATTAGTGTGAACTGGGAAAGGGTGTAAGAAGACTCCATAGAAATTTTTTTAGGGTGAAAAAAGGTTCCTTTTTTGCTGCCTTTGGGCCATTTCATCAGCTTTTATGTACTATTTTTGCTGCCTCTCCTTTTTCCACCATTCTTGACCCTTTAAAATTTCAGAAAAATGGAAGGTTCGATAAAGGGACTCTTTTTTCTGCTTTTTGCGGCCTTTTTTGAGCCTCTCCCTCTGAACGGCTATTATCCACCATTCCGACTTTGCCCGAGAATAATAAAAGTTAAAAAAAACTTGGAAAAACGCTCATTTTTCCTTCTAGAAGCTTTTTTTTTCGAAATCAGGCCTTTTTTGTGCATTTTCGGAATCACCTGAACTCTCAGCGTTTCAACGTAGTTGGTCCCGTAGGCGCGTTTCGTGAAATCGCTCAGACAGAACTGAATTTGGTTCCAGCCTTCGTCTAACCGCATCGGCATCGTGCAGATGAACGGCTGGAAAAATTTACTTTTTTGAGTTTTTTTTTTCGAAACTTTTCAGAACTTCAGTTGAGAAGCTCTTGTTGGGGAAGCATTACTTTACAAAGAACCTGACAAAAATCCAAAAAATCAGGATTTTTAAATTTTTAAAAGCTTTGTCGGCATAGTCTTTTACATAGAAACTATTAATAGAACACATAATTTCAAAATTTTTTATTTTTCTTCTGAAAAAACTTGAAAAAATTCGATAATTTTTGAATTTCTGGTGTTCTTAACATGAAGTTATTACAGAGAGAGCTGAAAATGTTCAAAAATATTTTTCATTTTTTTAGAATTTTTTTCTGGAGAATTTTACAAATTCTTAGAAGGCTTTTTAATCAAAAAAATACCAGAAAAAAATCATTTTTGAAACTAGATTTTCACAAAATTCGAGCTTTTATCGAGTTTAAACAAGCTTATTTCAAAGGAATCCTGCGGATTTTTTTCAAAAATTAAGCCAATTAAAAAAATTAATTATTCGAAATTAATTGAAAAAAATTAATTTCAGTCCATTCCAATTACCTTAACCCTCGTAGAAGATTGAAAATTCGAGGCTCGGAACCTCCTTTTGATGTTTTTGTCGTCCAGAATCTGCGAAAAAACAACGATTGCATCATTTTTCAAAAAAATGATCTTTTCATTTTTTCTCACGAACCTGAACTTCGAACGAGAAATATTTCTGCGTGTTCTTCACGACCATCACGAAGTACGGCAATTTTATCCCCAATGTCTTGTTTGGGTCAATCGGGCAAGTGACGTAACAAGTACTGGAAAAATATTTTTTTTTTGTTCTTCATTTTTTTGTATTATATACCTGACGTTGGCGCCCATAATTTCCAACACTAACGATTGGATATCTTCATCGGTTATTCGTTTTATGTGCCCGTTTTTTACCTAAATGTTTCTTTTCATTGATTTTTAAGTCATTATAGTTTCCTCTACCTGCTTATCCCAAATTTGCAATGGTTTACTGCCAATACTGTACAAAATCGATAAAAGACCGCTTTGGAATGTGTTATGGAACATATTTCTGCAAACTTTTAACTTTACAGTTTGAAAATATTTGTTATAGACCAGAAACGCGAATTTTACAACAAAGATATCGACTTTGCGAATAATAACAAAATTTAAAAACCTAAGAACAAGAAAAAGTAAAATTTAAAGCCGCAACTTTACGAATAGCGTCCTCCAATTTTGAAAATGGATAAAAATATGCGCCAATCTCCTTGGCAACGCGTGGGAACGCAAAGTTTTCTCATAAAGTATTATCTCCGGAATGATTAAATGTAGATCTGATCTCCTCATATTGCAGAATAAGGTCATTTTGAAAAAACAGGAAAAGAAATATAGAAACGAAAACAAAAAGAATTCACACAAAATATCCCAAAAAAGCGCATTTCAAATTTTCGCACTGCTTCTAGATCGAAATATACACGTCTTATACATCTTAAAATCAACTATTATCAACTAAAACAATGGAAACGGTTCAAAAACTAAAATTAAAGTAAAAATTAGAAGAAAAACTTTGGCAAGTTTGAAAAAAAAGTTTGGCGGAATATTTTTAAACGATTCGCGCTCCATGGATAAAGTCCGCGAGTTTGAAAATTTTTTAATTTTTGCTGAAAACTTTTACTTTAATTTCAATACAAGTTTGCAATATTTTTGCGACCTATAACATAGATCTTGATTCCTGCAAAAATGGGGAACCAGTTTTTTTTCAAAAGGGACACGTGAAAATAGTGTGTTCCACTGTCGTTTTCTCTCCCCCTCCGTTATCTTTCTTCTCTCTGACGTATTCGCCCTGTATTCTATATACCCATATTACGAACTCTCACATGCTTGTCTTTCGTGGAATCAGACGGGATTTTTCTGATCACATGTTCGAGAAAATCTTCCCAATCCAATTTCATTGAACATTTTTTTTGGGCCTTTATTTGTTCATGCTTCATTCTGCCACGTTCAGAGTTTTGCAGGAGAATCGGAGTTTTGCTGTAAATTTAGTCCATTTTGACACTTCAATTTCGGAATTTGCTAGGAAAATCAAAAGACTATAACCTTGAGAGAAAACTAGAAAGTCCACTTTTTTTTTCTCCCGTCCCTGTCTGGCTACCTTGTCATCACCAATCGCTGATAAGATATCACTTTTCTGTAGTCTTGTACCATTATCCTTGTAGTAGTGGTTCTGATATTGGAGAATTTTATGTTAAAGTCAATTTTCGGCGGGTCCGAAGTTTCTGCACTTTTTTTCGGTGGCGTGACAAACTTTGATACTGATGATACCATCAAGGTCGTCCAGATCTTTCAAGGACAAAGTTTATATCGTCTAGAGCTTGTCAAACTTCGTTTTTTTGTTGATTTTTTTGAATGAAAAAGTGGGGGAAAAAAATGTTTTTTTCACGTTTTTTTCCGATATTTTTTTCAAAAAAATTATCTTCTCAGAACTGTGTTAAAGTTCAAAGGGACAAGGTTTTTATCAGAAACGTGATAAAAATCTGTCTTTATCTGATTTTTCACTGTTTTATCGCAATCTTTACATTTTTTTGACCAGTAATTCAATTTTTATAATTTTTCCAGACTTCTAATAACTTTTTCAACTTTTTCTCCTTGTTTAAAATTTGTTGAAGATTCATTTTATCTATTTAAATAATTTTTTTCATCAATCCTTTAAAAAAATTAATCTGATCTTATGCTTGAATAATGATGTAGAAACTCATTTAGAACCCATTTTTCATCATTTTTTCACTATTTTTCTTTGAAAAATCGGTCTAGGTTCATTTATTTTCACGAAATTTGACGAAAATACCTTTTTTGATTTTTTCCTGAACTGTATTCTGTTGAAAATGGTCTGAACTTACCTACATTTTTTTGAGAAATGGCGGAACTTTTTTTAAATTTTTTTATGAACTATATTCTCAAAAAAATGGCCTGGATTACACTATTATTTCTTGCGATAGGGCACAAAAATTCCGTTTTTTTGAATATTTCATGAATTTTTATTTTTCTAAAAATGACCTATTTTTTTCTAGAAAAAATGGGTAAAAGTCCGCTTTTTGACGAGATCAAGCGGTTGGCCGCCGAGCGGATTCTGATCATCGACGGTGCCATGGGAACGATGATTCAGAGGGAATTCATGGAAGAGGAAGATTTTTCGTGGAGAGGTTCATAAATGGAGTTATTAAATAATAATAATGTAAGATTTTTCAGATTTTTGAAAGACCACACGAAACCCTTGAAAGGCAACAATGATCTTTTGTCGATTACGAGGCCGGATATTATTTATAAGGTTTGTTTTTAGGGGAATTCTTGTGGTTCTTATTGGAAAATCGAGGAAAAATGGATTTTTTTGAAAAATAAAGAGAAAAATCAGCTTCTCTACACACAAATTGATACGGGATTTCAAAAAAAAAATGTTTGTTAGTCTGGAAAAGTTGCTAGTGGTCACTTAAGAGAGTCCCCGAAGACTACTGGAGACACTAAAGTGGCCACTTAAACCACCCCTATAGAAGTCATTATTTTTCGTCTAAGTGGCCGCTATGGTAGTTTTAGTGGTCTTGTAGCAGTTAGACTTATAAAGAGGCCACTAAATTTAGCCACTTAAGAGGCCACTAAACTTTAAAACCCTGTAGTGGCCACTAAAAATTTTTTCAGTTTGTATAGATTTTTATGTGAAGCTCCAACCGGGTAAATCAGTTAGACTTATAGAGGCCACTAAATTTAGCCACTTAAGAGGCCACTAAAACGTCAAAACCCTAAAGTGGCCACCAAAATTTTTCCCAAGTGGAACTGGTTTTTGTGTGCATCTTCAACCGAGAAAGACAGTGGTTTCCAAATTTTTCGATTTTTTTTTCCTTTTTTTTATTTTGTTTCTCATTTTAGGTTTGATTTTAAAGTCTCTATCCCAATTTCGAGTTTTTTGTTTCCGAATTTTTTCAATTTTTCGGTACCTTTCGATAATTTTGACGCTCAAAAGTTGGTATTTTGTATTAAAAAACACAACTTTGTAGTTCTCGAAGCCAAAAAATTCATGAAACTGCTCGAAAATCTTGATTTTCAGTCGGAATTTTAGATCCACAAGCTCTACCTGGAAGCCGGTGCTGATTTTGTCGAAACCAACACCTTTTCTGGGACGACGATCGCCCAAGCCGACTACGCCTGTGAACATTTGGTCCACGAGATCAACTATCAGTCGGCTTTGGTCGCCCGTCGAGCAGTTGATGACGTCACGAAGGCGACTGGTGAATGGACTTTCCGAGAAAATGGCCTGGAATGTTTTGGAAGTGGTCAATCGGGTTCTGAGCAGGAAAAATGCTTCAGAAGGTTCCCATAAAGCTGAAAAGTGAACAGGATGTTCCATAAGAGGGAGAATTTTAAGGCAATTTCTCAAAATATTTGGATTTTGTTGAGGATTTTAAGGTGGCAGAGGCTTCAGAAAGTCCTTCTAAAGCTTCAAAATCGACCGAATTTCTTGAAAACGAAGCAATTTTAGGACGATTGTCGAAATTTTCGATTTTCTAGGGTTTTCTTACAGTTTTTACTGTGCAAACCTTTCTGTTCCCGGCGCATTTTGAGCTGTTTTTTTGATTTCGGTGCATTTTGAGCAAAATTCCGAGGTTTTTTTTTGATTTTCAACAGTTTAAACTTGACTTATATCGCCTTTTGAGCCGATTTTTTGTTTTCGGTGCATTTTGAGCTAGGTTTCGAGGTTTTCTTTCGAATTTTAACCGTTTGAACTTGACTTATATCGCCTTTTGAGCTGTTTTTTTGATTTCGGTGCATTTTGAGCAAAATTCCGATGTTTTTTTTTTTGATTTTCAACAGTTTGAACTTGACTCTTACCGCCTTGTAAGTCGTTTTCCGGATTTTGGAGCATTTTGAGCAGAAATTCCAGATTTTTTTTTTGATTCTGAAGAATTCGACCTTGACTTCGGTTGCATTTTAAGCTGATTTCCTGATTTCGGAGAATTTTGAGGAAAGTTTCGATGTTTTATATTGAATTTTATCAGTTGGAACTCGACTTCGGTCGTACTTTAAGCTGTTTTTCTGATTTTGGAGCATTTTTAGCAAATTTTTGAAGCTTAATTTTGAATTGCAATCGTTTAGCCTTGATTTCTGTTACGTTTCGAACTACTTTTTTGATTTTGGAAAATTTTGAGCAAGATTTTCAGCTTAAAACTTCAATTTTGTTAACGTGTAATTTTTCTTTTCGAACGTTTTGAGCTTGATTTCAAGTCGAAAAATTCAAATTCCAGGTCGCCAACGTTACGTCTGCGGCGCGATCGGCCCCACCAACAAGACCCTCTCGATTTCGCCGTCTGTCGAAAAGCCAGACTTCCGTAACGTCAGTGAGTCGAGGCTCGACCACGTCTTCTGATCATCTACCGTTCTTCCAGCCTTCCAAGAACTCGTCCAGGCGTATGGAGACCAGGCCCGTTCCCTGCTTCAAGGCGGTGTCGATGTTCTCCTGGTTGAGACCGTTTTCGATTCGGCCAACGCCAAGGCGGCGGTTTTCGCCATTCGAGGCCTTTTCGAAGACGAGGGTGAACTTTTTTGACTTGTCAAAGTGTCACTGTAGAACGCGTTAAAGTTTGTTCGCTTTATAATCTTGAGAATTACCCAGGAAATTTTTGTTCCAGCAGTCCTCATAAACTTTATAAAGGCTGAATCATACGTGGGCTAGCAGCCCATTTAGCACATGCGGGCCCCCCGATCCTTTAAGAAGGGTCGATAAGTTACAGGAAATCGGTTTATTTTATTCATTAAGCCTTTTGAAGTTTATTGAGTGGTGAAATTATTGACAAAATCTTATACTAGCGCCAAACGGTCGAACATACTGACGCGAATCGTATAAATCATGTCCTAAAAACTTCAGAATGATAGGTATCGATTCAATTTCTTTTTTTAAAAGTGAATATTACACATATTACATGTTCTCACAGAATTTCAGGCCAATCGGAAGGGTTTGAAAATTAGTCATTTTCCGGCCATTAGAAAAAAATCAACTTTTTATTTTCGCTTTTTTCAGCTCAAAATCATTACTCATCTTGAGATAAAACCTAATAACGACGAATTACTCAATTTGCAACCTTTTGGAAGCTTTTTTTCAGTCCAATTACAAGATTTTTGCGCTTGTGAGAATAAATATCAATTGGTGGCTTGCGGGCCCCCCGGCCTAACCCGATTTGCGAAAAATCGATCCGATTTCGATTTTTAAAAAAATAATCATAAATCAGAATCTACAATCTGGCCAAGTTTCAGGCCGTTTGGATGAGTTTTTGAGAAAAAAATGATTTCTCCGACCTCTCAAAAGTGATTTTTTGAAGTTTCCAATTTTTCGGCTCAAAATCATTAATAATTTCGAGATAACACCTAATAACAACAAAATACTCAATTTGCAACCTTTTGGAAGCTTTTTCAGTCCAATTACAAGATTTTGCGCTTGTGAGAATAAAGATCAATTGGTGGCTTGCGGGCCCCCCCGGCCTAACCCGATTTGCGAAAATCGATCCGATTTCGATGTTAAAAAAAATCATAAATCAGAATCTACGATCTGGCCAAGTTTCAGGCCGTTTGGATGAGTTTTGAGAAAAATGATTTCTCCGACCTCTCAAAAGTGATTTTTTGTATTCTGTTTTTTTTAGAGCTCAGAGTCACCGCTAACTTCAAGGTAACCCTCAACAAAACTTCTTTTTCGCCATTTTTTGCGTATTCGTCAACCAGGATAAGTTTTGTGCGCCCATCGCTTCTCATTATAGCGCTGCGTTGGTTATATAATCTTTTTTTTTCTTGTTAAATGAAAAATATTAAATCTTCTATTCTTCTTAATTTCTTCATCGAATGAATTATTATTTTCGATATTGCAGTTTGTAAATTTTTTAAATTCGTGATTTTCAATTTCTTTGTATCATTAAATTTCCATTTTTTTTATTGAGTTTATTTTTTCTTGTCCATCTGTGGATAGAATTGATTTTTCAAGACGTATTGGAACTGTTAGTAAATTTTTAAGCTTATATATCTATGTCGTCAAGAGAATGTCGAAAAACGCGTCGGCTTCAGTATGAACATAAAATTGGTCAATCCTCATCGTAGTAAACGAATTAAAAAATAAGAGCACGTCGGGACGCAAAAAACTTAGCTTGTTGTAAAGAGGTTCATTCCAGCTTCAAATTAAAGTTTTTTTCATCAAAACCTTGCATAAGACCTTTACGGAGAAATCAATTTTGTATTTCGATATTGCTTATTTGGGATCGCGGTCTCACAAGCGCAAAATCTTGTAATTGGACTGAAAAAGCTTCCAAAAGGTTGCAAATTGAGTATTTTGTTGTTATTAGGGGTTATCTCAAAATTATTAATGATTTTGAGCCGAAAAATTGGAAACTTCAAAAAATCACTTTTGAGAGGTCGGAGAAATCATTTTTCTTAAAACCCATCCAAACAGCCTGAAACTTGGCCAGATCGTAGATTCTGATTTATGATTTTTTTTAACATCGAAATCGGATCGATTTTCGCAAATCGGGTTAGGCCGGGGGGGCCCGCAAGCCGCCAATTGATATTTATTCTCACAAGCGCAAAATCTTGTAATTGGACTGAAAAAGCTTCCAAAAGGTTGCAAATTGAGTATTTTGTTGTTATTAGGTGTTATCTCGAAATTATTAATGATTTTGAGCTGAAAAATTGGAAACTTCAAAAAATCACTTTTGAGAGGTCGGAGAAATCATTTTTCTCAAAACTCATCCAACCGGCCTGAAACTTGGCCAGATCGTAGATTCTGATTTATGATTGTTTTCAACTTCAAAATCGGATCGATTTTTGCGAAACGGGATAGGCCGGAGCCCGCAGGTTATCAACCGATAATCACTTTGACGGCGCGAGACTTAGCTGAATGTACTACATATGGATCGTAAATCAATAAACATTTGCTAATTAATCCATAACCCAACTTTGAAAAATATTTCACATGAATAGATTTTTCTGGAGGGGTACGCTCTTTTCCAAGGGGGGTACGCTCTTTTTCAAGGGGGGCCCGCTCTGACGTCACGAAAAAATGTGGGTTAGCCCATGTATGGGCTGAATGGACTATAGTTACGCCTTATTTTCAAAGGCGCCGCGGGTTTTGATCCGCTAACTGATGCGATTGCATTGCGAGAAGCGCCAGATACTCTCGGGCTATTAAGTGATCACTTAAGAGGCGTTAACTCTTCTTTAGTGTCCACATGAAAGGAAATAATTTCATCGCTTTCAAGATTATTAGCTTTTGGGATCTTTCAAGTGATATCAAACCTCTTTAGTGGTCCCTTGAAACGATCTCAGTGTCCGAATGGTTTAGAGCTCTTAAGTGATCACTTAAATGTTTTTATCGCCTTTACAGTGTTCATTTTAACGATTAGGATGTTAGTCGATCTTGGAAAACAGTTCTGAGCGATTTAGTGATAACTTAAGGGGTCTTAGCGCCTCTGAATGCACTTGAGTGGTCACTTGAAACAGTCTTAGTGTCCTGACGGTTCAGAGCTCTTAAGTGATCACTCAAGTTTATTTTTTGCCTCTTCAGTGTTCATTTTTCACGATTAGGACGTTTTGCGATGTTGGAAAACTGCTTTGAGAGATTAAGTGATACCTTAAGTGGTCTTAACGCCTCTGAGATCTCTTTAGTGATCACTTAAATATTTTTATTGTCTCCTAAGTGTCCATTCTGACGTTTAGACTGTTTCGAGATTTTTCAAGAGAGTTTTGAGTCATTCAGTGACAACTTAAGTGATCTAAGCTCCTCTGAGTGGCCATTTAAAAGAAAAAGATTCTCACGAAAGCACAACCAGCGTTGGAAAAGTATGAAAGGTCACACTTTTTGTGTTTTTCCTGTAAAAAATTTTTTTTTTCGAAATTAGTGTTCTTAAGGCCTACCAGAAGTGCCAGTTTTCCTATCGGGAACCATTGTCGACATGTCTGGACGTACCTTGTCCGGCCAGACCGGCGAGGCTTTCCTTGTCTCTACTAGACAGGTACCCAAAGGTGTGATTACCTGGGAAAAAGGTGTATTTAGGGTCAACCGGTAGCGGTCGGCTTGAACTGTGCCTTGGGAGCCAAGGACATGCGGCAGTTCATCGAATCGATGGCCAATTGGTCTGATCAGCTGATTCTGTGCTATCCAAATGCTGGTAAGGAGTGGTGGAGGGATTGGGGAAGTATGGAAAAGACGAAAATAGGATGATTTTCTAGGCCTACCAAACGCCCTGGGCGGCTACGACGAGACCCCGGAAGAGATGGCCGATGTCCTGAGGCAATTCGCCATGGACGGCCTCGTCAACATGATCGGCGGCTGCTGTGGAACAACCCCAGCCCACATCAAAGCCATGGCGACCGCCGTCCAAGGAATCAAGCCGAGAGTCCCCCCGTCAGACCCCCACGTCGGCCTGATGATGCTCTCTGGCCTGGAACCCATGTCCGTCGGACCTCATACCAACTTCGTCAACATTGGAGAACGGTGTAATGTCGCTGGATCTAGAAGATTCTGTAACCTCGTCAAGAATGAGAACTATGATGTGAGTTTGGACGGGGCTCTAGGGGGGTCACTATAGGGGTTTTATTTAGTGGAGCCTGTAGGGGGCGTGCTAGTTGAAAGGGAGAAGTGACTTAGGAATTCTAGAGTGGTCTCTATAGGGGTTTAGGTTAGTAAAGGACAGGCTAGTCGACTTAAAAAGAGGTGAGTGGCTTAGGAACTCCAGAGTGGCCTTTCTAGAGGCCAAGCTTTTAAAAGTGACCCCTATAGGTGTCTTAGTTACTGGCCACAGTAGGGGACATGCTAGTTCATTATTGTTAAAAATGATAAGTGACTTAGGTACCCCAGAGAGGTCCTTTCAGGGGCCAAGCTTTCGTAAGTGGCTCCTATAGGGGTTTGTGTTAGTGCCATAGTAGGGACATGCTGGTCGATAATTGTTAAGAATGATAAGTGACTTAGAAGCTCCAGAGTGGTCCCTTCAGGGGCCAAGCTTTCGTAAGTGGCTCCTATAGGGGTTTGTGTTAGTGGCCCCAGTAGGGACATGCTGGTCGATTATTGTTAAAAGGGAACTCCAGAGTGGTCCCTTTAGAGGCAACCTTAGGGCCCTTTAAGGTTCCTCTCTAGGGACTACTTTACGCCTCCTTATAGCAGCCACTAGAACTTTAAGAAGTGGTCCTTATAGGGCCTGTTTTTTCCCTAACCCCTATAGGAACCACTCTGGTGTTCCTCAGAAACTTTAGCGCTATTATATTATACTCTCTCATTTTTCCACGCTCTATGAAGCCGAAGGAGGGAGAAGAGAGAGAGGGTCTAGAGAACGAGAAGAATTAGGCTCTCTCGTTTTTCTGCGCTCTATCACTTCTTGAAAGAGGAGGAAAGGAGAAACAGAGAGAGAGAGAGAGGGGGATTGTGGGAGTTGAAGAGAATCTAGAGAGCGATAGAAATCTCTCTCTCTCTCTCTCATTTCCCCACGCTCTATCACTTCTTGAAAGAGGAGGAAAAGAGAAAGGAAGAGGGATAGTGCGAGCTGAAGAGAACCTAGAGAACGAGAAGAATTAGACCCTCTCATTTTCCCACGCTCTCTCTCCTCCTAAAGGCTTGTATTTTCCCAATCGCTTCCGGACGTTTTTTGCATTAAATAAAGCGTGCTTTTTTCTGATTTTTGAAGGTTCAAAATATAATTCCAGACCGCGATCGACGTGGCTAGGACTCAGGTGGAAAGTGGAGCACAGGTAGGAATTTTTTAACAACTCAAGAAAACGAAATTTCAAAGATTCTTGATGTGAACATGGATGACGGTCTACTGGATGGCCCCTATGCGATGGGCAAATTTTTGAGGCTTATCTCCTCGGAACCTGACGTTGCCAAGGTTTCACCTGGAAATATATTCCAGGTAGATAATGGATTGATTAAAGATCCCGGTTTGTATCGATTCGTCCGATTTCGACGTGATTATCTCTGGCTTGGAGTCGATCCAAGGCAAATGCGTTGTCAATTCGATTTCCCTGAAAGAAGGCGAGGAGAAGTTCAAGGATCGGGTCGGTTGCAAGGGGGGAATCATAGGAAAATGGGGAGTTTTCAGGCCAGGCTGATTAAAAGATATGGAGCGGCGATTGTGGTGATGGCTTTCGATGAGGAGGGCCAGGCCGCCGAAACCCAGAGGAAGTTCGATATCTGCGAGAGGAGTTATAGGTGATTAATGTGATTAAGCATATGAAGAATGAAGGAAAAAAAATTTTCTGAAGAAATTCAAAGTCTTAGGAACTTCAGAGTGGTCCCTATAGAGCAACCGTAAGATCTCTTGAAAGTTTCTCACAAGGGACCACTTTACGCCACCCCCTGAAGCTTTAAAAAGTGAATTTCTATAGGGCAACCGTAGCCCTTAAGGGTTCTCCTCATGGTACCACATTACATCCACCTGAAGCTTTATAAAGTGGTCCCTAAAGGGGCTGCATTTAGTAGCTTCTAGAAGGGACATTCTAGATTAAAAAAAAAGAGGAAGCGTCTTTTTCCTGTGAAAAAAATCAATAAATTAACGTTTTTCGAAGGAAAAATATGAAAATGGGATGGAGTGATCAAGTTTGTCTTTTCAATTTTCAAATTGAACAAAGTATTTGAAGACCCTATAGGGGCCACTTTAGCGTTGGTCCCTATAGGGGTCTTTGAACCTAGGGGCTAAAAGTCAGACCCCAAACCATTACAGGATCACCTAAATTTTACTTTTATATGGGCATTTTTTCTCCTTTATAGGGGTTTATTCTCCCCTGACCCCCATAGGGACCACTCAGGAATCCCTAAGATGTTTTTTGAACCAATAGGTCTTACTAAATATTTTTTTAAAACGGCAAGAATTAGAAGAAAAAAAAAACTCGGTAAAAAGAGAAATAAATAGACCCCTATAGTAAAATTCAGGTTGCCTGGTCTGGGCGTAAGCTCAAGTGGTCCCTATAGTTTTATTCTTATTTTTCAAATTGAATGCTTCTTTCATAACAAAATACGATTAGCATATTCCCTGAATCCCCCTTTGGGAGCTTTGGTGGCCCCTATAGGGGTTGGTAAAGTGGTCCCTCCAGGGGAACCTTCAAGGGCTCTAGGGACCATTTTGGAGTTCCTAGTTCAGGCCTTGATCGCGTAATGCACGTTTTTCACGTGTTGAGATTTAGTGGCCCCTATAGGGGAGCTGAAGGGATCCTAAGATTGCCCTTATAGAGACCACTCTGAAGTTCTTTAGTTCCAACTTGATAAGAGTCCCAAAATTTATTTAAAAAAATGTGCCATTTCCAGAATTCTAACGGAAGAAGTTGGCTTCAACCCGTGCGATATCATTTTCGACCCGAATATTTTGACAATCGCCACGGGAATGGACGAACATTCAAACTACGGAATGTACTTCATTGAAGCTTGTCGTATGATTCGAGTAAATTCATGAAATACATTAAGGAAAATATTCTTATTGTCTAGGAAAACCTGCCGGGCTGTCACTGTTCGGGAGGCGTCTCCAATATTTCCTTCTCGTTCCGAGGAATGGAGGTAAGAAAAAGAACATTTTGAAACGAGTTTTCGAAATTTATTGAAAGTTGAGAGATAGTCTGAAGAGTTTAAAAGAAGGTTGAAGAAAAAAAGGAGGGAAAGACAGATTTTATTCAAGGTTTTGAGACTTGCTGAAAAAAAAAGTTTTTTGAAAATTTTTAAGGTAACAAAAAAGCCATTGCAATTTTTCCGAAATTCGCTTCATTGAGAATTCGGATAAATGGCTCTGTTTGACGGCAGATACTGGGTTATCCATGGAGCGCAAGTGTCTACATTTTTGAGGCTCTTTTGGAGATCATTCTCACTGTCATCCTTTGCATTCATTTGTTCGGCAGAAAGCGGAAAACTTTTGGTATCAGCGCTAATTTTAGTTGATTTTGTTTCCTTTTTTAAGAATTATCACTATTATACTTCAAAAAAATGAATAGTTTTACTTTGATGGATAGATTATCCATGGAGCGTAAATGCGTCTAAATTTTCGAGGCTCTTTTTGGAGATAATTTTCCCGGTTTTTACTTTTGTTATAATTTATTTTTAAAAAGGCTGAAAATTATGGAAAAAGTGGCTGTTTTACTGATTTTTGTTCCCTTTTTCATGAATTTTCACTAGTTCAACTTCAAAAAAATGCATTCAAAAACTTCGAAAAAATCATAGTTTGACTTTAAAAAATAGATTGTCCATGGAGCGGAAGTGTCTTAATTTTTGAGGCTATTTTCGAAGAACATTTTTATTTTTTTTTCTGTTGCAAATAATTTTTTTCAAAAGACTGAAATTATGGAAAAGTTGCTATTTTAGTGATTTTGTTCCGTTTCCAAGAATTTTCATTTGTAATCTCCTAAAAATGAATAGTTTGATTTTTATATGGTCGATTATCCATGGAGCGTAAGTGTCTCAATTTTTCGAGGCTCTTTTTGAAAAATTTTCAATGTCTTCTTTGTAATAATTTCTATTCAAAAGGCAGAAAACAACTCATACCAGCGCTATTTTCAGTGATTTTGTTTCCTTTCTCAATATCTCTCATTATAAAATCGAATAAAGTACGATTTTTGAGGCCCTCCGTGAGGCGATGCACTCGGTTTTCCTGTACCACGCGATCAACGCCGGCCTCGACATGGGAATCGTCAATGCTGGCGCGTTGCCAGTTTATGAAGACATTGAAAAAGTTGGCAATCAGCCATGGAAAACCCTATAACGTCGTGATTTTGAGGGCCTCCTCCAAATGATCGAAGATTTGCTTTTCAACCGGGATCCCGAAGCGACGGAGAAGCTTCTCGTCGTCGCCCAACAGATGAAGAAAGGCGACAAAAAGGGCAACGACAAGGAGGAGGAATGGAGGACTTTCACGGTCGAAGAACGCCTGAAATACGCCCTCGTCAAGGTTAATACGTTTCAGAGGATATTCATAATGAGAAGGATCAAAAAGTTTTATTACTTTGTTTTTTTCCTTAGATATTAAAGCTTGAAATTCCTTTATCTCGATTTAATGACGTTTTCAAAGAAGATTGAAGAAACAATTTCACTGCAAGTCATTTTTTAGGTTCAGGAGCATTGCGGGAAATAACTTTTAATTTTTTTCAAGGCCCAAATTCGAATCGTACGCTATTATTTCCAAAGAAAGTTATGATATGAAGCTCGGATTTTTCTCTGATTCCATATAACTCAAAGTTTTCCATGTCATTTGACCCGGGCTGACCCGTTTGATTAGCAGTAATGCCCTGGGTTGACCAGACACAAGAAGCGGTGTCAAAAGAGCCATTTTTCCGTATATTTTGTACAGCAGCTTCTTTTTTTCTCATTTCAACCTCGGCGGGTCAGGTCTACCGGGAGCGCGTCGGGTCGACCCGGGGCGGCATCTCTAATTTTGAAGTTCGAGCTAAATTTTTCTCAGAGGGTTATCATTTTTGTGGTTAAGATACGTAAGAAAGTCATAGCAATACGCAAAGGCATCTGAAGGAAATGTTGATCAGACGGGTCTCCTCGGGCTGACCCGTTCCATCAGCGGCTGCGCTCCGGGCTGACCCGCTTATTCCGAAATTCGAACTGATTTTTTAAGAGGCTTAAGAAGCTTGGCAGGGCGCCCCGGGCTGACCCTTCTCATCATTAGCAATGTCCCGGGCTGACCCGAACCGCGACAATTTGTCAAAAGAGCCATTTTTCCGAATTTTCTGAACGACTTGTTGTTCCTTCCTTTCAAGGTGATGGATCGGGTCTACCCGGGGGCGGCTAAGGTCAACCCGGGGCGGCAGCTCTGATTTTGAAGTTAGAAAGGACCTTTTCAGTGAGTAGACCTTTTTGGTTGAAAATACGCAAGAAGCTCGTAGCAATAAACAACAAATTCTGAAAGAACTGTTGACGACACGGGTCGCCCCGGGCAAACCCGTCGCATCAGGAGCAACGCTTCGGGCTGACCCGAAATGAGACACATTGTCAAAAAGAGCCGTTTTTTTCCGTATTTCTTCACCAGCTTGTTGTTCCTCATTTTTTAACTTTGCCCGTAGGGTCTACCCGGGGCGCCCGCCTAAATCCCGCAGACAGCCTTAATTCTGAAATTCGAATTGAATTTTTTTAGGAGCTGTAGACACCGAAGAGGCTTTTTGATAAGTAATACGAAAAAATATATGAAACAGCTGCTGGTGTGACGGGGCGCCGCGGGCTGACCCGACAAAAGAGCCATTTTTTCGATTTTTTTTTTCACCAGCTTGTTGTTTCTCATTTTTCACTTTGCTTGTAGGGTCAGCCCGGGGCGGCCCTTTAGCAGATCTGATCCTGAAGTTCGAACCAAATTTTTCAGGGAGTTGACACCTTCGTGGTGGAAGACACGGAAGAAGCCCGTAGCAATACGCAAAGATACCCAAGACCTTTGAACGTGATCGAAAGACCTTTGATGGACGGAATGTCGGTCGTTGGAGAGCTTTTCGGAAGCGGAAAAATGTTCTTACCCCAGGTTTCGAGCCGAGAATTCCGTTTAAATAAGGGGATTTTTCAAGGTAATCAAATCGGCTCGTGTGATGAAAAAAGCCGTCGCCCATTTGATCCCATTCATGGACAGGGAGAGGGAAGAGAACATCGCCAAGATGGGCATCGCCGAGGATCAGGTGATTTTTAGGAAGCTTGGAATGAAGCTTCGGAGTGGTCCCTTCAGGGGTTAGGATAAAAACAGCTTTTAGAGAAGACAAAATAGTGCACCTTATAAGGGCAAAAACTCCAGAAAAATAAGTTTTTCATTTGAAAACATTTTTGATAGTTTCACCTTTATTTGTGTAGACTTAGGTACGCTAGAGTGACTTAATTAGGAAAAAGTGTATTTTACGGACGTCAGAGTGGTCCCTAGAGGGGTTGGGGGGAAAAAGCTTGTACAGAAGGCAAAATAGTGCTTCTATAGGGGTAAAGTTTAGGTGGTCTCTTTAGGGATTTAGGTTTTCAAATAGTCTTCTGAAGCCTTGAATTAATTTTTGACTTTCTTACTAATTCTATAATGGAACCAGTATGATTTGATGGCCTTCAGGTCTCTGATTTTCAGAAAAAAAATTTTTTTTTGCTTTTTTAAAACTTAAAAAATAATGTAAAAGCGGTTTTTTAAGGGTTTGAAGCTACAGAAATTGGAAAAAAAAGACTTTTAGAGGGAAATTTTTTTTTTCCTGGAATCAGAAGGTCCTAGACTACGTTTAAGCCGAGTTTCATCAAGCTCAATCAAGGAAAAAACCAAAAAAGTCCTCTTGTTCAAATAATTCAGCTTTTTCCGTTTTCAGAGTCCCTACCAGGGAACTGTAGTCATTGCGACGGTTAAAGGCGACGTTCACGATATCGGCAAGAATATTGTGGCCGTCGTTCTCGGCTGCAACAACTTCAAAGTCGTCGATCTGGGGGTGATGACCCCCTGTGAGAATATTATCAAGGCGGCGATCGAGGAAAAAGCTGGTGAGTTTAGTTGTGTAAGGAACTTTAGGGTTTTTTAAGGATTTTTAGGGTTTTTTTTGTAGGAGCTTTAAGGATTTTTCGAAGGAAGTTTAGGGATTTTTTGAAGAAACTGTTTAAAAATAACATATTCATTGAGGAGCAAGAACAGAATAAAATGTAAAAAGAGGGGGAAAAAAAATGGTAGATTAAAATCAAAAAAGTTCATTTTGAAAGTTGAGAATAGTGTAGACCATAAAAAAAAAATGCGTAATTTAGGTAAATTAAGCATTTTTCATTGTTGAGTTGAGTCAATGTACCTGTGATTTTGGGTCCGTTTACCTGTCCGAAGATTTTTTTTCCTGTAATTTTGACATTTTTAAAAGTTGATACAAGCCTTGTTACCTGTTCAATTGGTTTTTTCACCTTTTATTATGAGCTTAACCTCTTCAGTTGGATTTTTAGCTTGAGGCCGTAGATTTTTCGCATTTTCCTGGAAATAGATTTTTTTTAAATGTAATGAGGTTCTACAAGATAAGGAAGAAAAATTCCAATGCGAAAAAAAAATTAGTTGAAGTGATTTTCAAGCTTCGGGAGAACTGTGAGGAATCATTTTCTACTTTATTTTTTCGAATTTTAGCCTTTTTTATTCGTTTTATGACTTTTTTAAGCTTTACTCAATACATTTTTTTTTCCAAAAACAAAAATTTCCCGTGCTTTTTATAACCTCTATGATCTTCTTTCCTCAAACTTGGCCTTTTTTTCGTACTTTTTCAAGTTTTCCAGACTTTATCGGCCTCTCCGGCCTCATCACCCCGTCTCTGGATGAAATGGTCCACGTTGCCAAGGAAATGACGAGACATGGAATGAGTATTCCACTCCTTATTGGTGATTAGAAAAAAAAGTCATGTGAATTTCTTATTTTTGAGGCGGAGCAACGACGTCGAAAACCCACACGGCCGTCAAAATTTGTCCAAGATACGCCCATCCAGTCGTTCATTGCCTTGACGCTTCGAAATCCGTCGTCGTGGTAATATTTTGACCTTTTTAGGGCTTCAGAGCAAGTTTTTTTGGTCCAAAGGATAGTAAAATTGATAGGCATGACCGGCAATTGAACTGTCTTCATTTGGAAAAATATTCTGAATTTTATCCGACTTTTTTTTCTTATGAAAGAAATGATATGTCCGTTTTTCGCGACTCTCTGCGCCCTCCTCGTCTTTCGGCGACCCTCTCACGTTAACGTGCTCTTTTCATGTTTCTCTGACCTCGCCGGTGGGGGAACAGAGAGACACAGACATGCGAAAACTGTGGAGAACAGAGAGACGCAGACATGCGAAAACTGTGGGGAACAGAGAGACGCAGACATGCGAGAACTGTGGGGAAGAGAGAGACGCAGACATGCAAAACCGCCTTTTTCTCAATTTTCCCTTATATATCATCTTCAAGATTTTCCCTTCAGTGCTCATCATTATCCGATGAAACGGTCCGGGATGCTTTTCTACAGGATATTAATGAAGATTATGAGGAGGTTTCAAAGAAATATTTGGACTAGGTTGATTTTTCCAGTTCCAGGTCCGACAAGAACACTACGAATCACTGAAAGAACGACGTTTCACGGCCATCGAGACCGCCCGGAAAAAGCAGTTTACCATCAATTGGAATGACTTCAAAGCTGGTAAGGAAGGGAATAGCTAGGCGCGTCGCGGTCGCGGAGCGGTTTCCTCAAGTCACATTTTTAGAGAAATGAAGAAAAGTCGCTTAAGGTGCTGCCAAAGTGCGACGCGACCGCCGTGCTTTGAGCCATTCCAAGTGCGATCATGACTGCTTAGTTAACCTTGACGCGTTGCGGTCGCGAAGCGGCTACATAGCGGCAAGTACTTGCGTGCTGATATACACAATGGGGCGCGTAAAATAAATCAGAACTTGGTCCTAAGGGCAAAAAAACCGCACGGTCGCAGCATTTTAGCCATTCCAAGTCATTTCTGACGCGTCGCGGTCGCGGAGCGGCAAGCGCTTGCGTGCTAATATATACAATGGCGTATCCGGCAGGGAAGTCGCTCAAGGTCGGGTGCAGAAAAGTAATTTCACTGTACTTGAAGAACCGCAACGCGACCGCCACGCTTGGAGCCATTCCAAGTGCGACCATGGGTGCTAAAATTATACTGACGCGTCGCGGTCGCTAAGCGGTATTTTCAATAACTGAAGCTCTACGGTAACATTACTGTGAAAGGAAGGAAAAGCGTTAAAAATCGGGCGAAAAAAATTTTTAATGCACGTAAATGCCGCAACACGACCGCCACGCTTTGAGCCATTCCAAGAGCGACCATGAGTAGTGAATTAATCTTGAAGCGTCGCGGTCGCGAAGCGGTTGCCTTAAGAAAAAAATATTGGGCGCGACAACATGTTGTAGCATAGAGAAATGAGAAGCCGCTCAAGGTCCGGCGCAAAAAAACTCAGAACTTTACTTTGAGCCCAAAAAAGTCATACGGTGGCAATGTTTCAGCCATTTCAAGTGCGACCACGAAGCGGTTTTCTTCAGAAATGCCAGTATTAACGCGCGGCTGCATCTTGTAGCATGGAGAGATGAAAAGCTGCTCTAGGTCCGGCGTAATAAAATTCCAAATTTCAATTGTTTTTAAACAGAAGCGCGACCGCAACGCCTCTGAAAGACATTTTCACCACCGCAAGATTTTTTTTCTTCAATATTTTTTCCAGTGAAGCCAACGTTCCTCGGCCGACGTGAGATCCGAGATTTCGAGCTGGCTGAACTCGTCGATTACATCGACTGGAAGCCGTTCTTCGACGTCTGGCAACTCCGTGGAAAATACCCGAATCGAGCATATCCCAAAATTTTCAACGACGAACAAGTTGGGCCCGAAGCCAAGCGGGTTTTCGATGTTGGTTTGGGAAAATGAAGAAAATCATTAATAAAGTTTGAAGTAATCAGGGCTATGAGCCAAAAATCACCAATTAAAAACAGAAAAAGTTTAAAGGCGCATGGCCGCGATACTGTATTTTCGTGCTGTGACCTTTTGATTTACCTTACATCTACGCTACGAATCCTGTCAGGAAAAATCGTGTTCCCTTGCTTAGAAATATAAATTTGATGAATTTCCAGGCTCAGAGGGATTCATAGAGAATAGTTCTGACTAGGTTTAAGATTTTTTCAGAACTAAAATTTTAAAAAATCAAAATTTTTTAACCTAAAGGAGCCCTTCAGGACGCTCTAACGTGGCTGAAAAAAATCATCGACGAGAAAATTCTGAAGGCTCACGCGGTCGTCGCCTTCCATGAAGCCGGAGCCAAAGGCGATGATATCGATGTTGGCCCTACAGATAATTCCAAGTGATCACTAGAGGGATTCAGATATTTGACGAGGACGGCGCCAAAATCGGCACTTTCTACGGTTTGAGGCAGCAAAGTGGCCGCGAACACGATCAACAGCACTTCTGCCTCAGCGACTTCATTCAGCCCCTTTCTGCAAATGGTTTTTTATTGTAGAGGGGCTTGGGACCATTTTTGATAGGCTCTCCATGCGCCTTTAATTAAAATTGAGAACCGAAAGAAAAAGAAATGAGAAACTACATGGAAACTTGATAAAAGATTCGAAATTGATTCAAAAAAGATTAAAGGCGCATCGAGACAGTTTCAAAAAGGTCCTGATGCGTTTATCTTTTTTCGCATAAGTTATAGGCAATTTTAGGTCGACCAAGCGACTACCTGGGCATGTTCGCCTGCACAGCTGGTCTCGGCGTCGAGGATTACTGTAAGAAGCTAGAAACAGAGGATCATGACGACTATGCGAGTATCATGGTCAAGGTGGGTCTTGCAGCGAAAAAAGGGTTATGGTGGATTTTTAAAGGCGCATAGGCATGCCTCAATCCATTATGTTCCTTTAAAAAATCTGAAAGTTGTTCTTCCTCCTGAAACTGCGAAAAAATCCCTATCAAGCTCGCTTAGGGGAACTCTATCAAGTCCTTAGTTTAAAGGCGCATGGGCGTGACACGATACTGTATTTTCGTGTCGGGACCTCGTGGCTCTTTTTTTTTTCTTCGCTTCAAAGGTTCTAGCAAGCGGAATCAGCTTATTTTTTCTGAAAAGACAAAAATCGACATTATTTCAGGCACTGGCCGATCGATTGGCCGAAGCTTTTGCTGAGTGGTTGCACAAGGAAGTCAGGACGAACCTTTGGGGCTATTCCACCGATGAGGTTGCTCTTTTTTCCATTTCAGAAGGTGTCAAAAGAGCTAAGCTGAACGACCAGGTCTCTAGGGAATCAAAGAAGGATTTTCAAGGGTTTGGTGATAAACTGAGCTCAACAGGAACCATTAGAAGCTAGGAATGGCCTAAAATTTCCAGGTTCTAACAACTTTTTTGTACTTTTAGAAATAGAGAACTTGTCAATTTAAACCAAAGTTTTGAGAAAAAATAATTCAAAGTCGGAGAAAGGAAAGTTTGAGTTCCCGCAAAAAGGGCACTTTGCAGTAAAGTTGCTCTATGGACAACACGCTTCACTATCTTCCATATTTTCGCTTTTTTCTTCGTTTCTTTCAATTTAAAATTTTTTCTGCTGTCACCAAAGTTCTTTTCGTCACAAAAACTTTCTATTCATGTACAGTTTACAACTTTAATCGCAAAAATGCGTTTCTGGTGAAAAATGATGATTTTACACTGGTTTCGATTGGGATTGCGGTTTTTTGTGTTTCCTTTATTACCGATGTGTTTTTTTTTGTTTTCTTAATCGATTTTTCAGAGTAGAAATTTTTTATTTGAAGCCGATGTTCAGTTATTTCTCACAAAACGCGAGTCTAATGAGACGTCCGCAACATCGCGTGCACGGCTACTGTAAACATTTGTCTGTATACCGATCCAAAGCTTTTTTCAAAAACGAAGGCGGGAAAGTAAAATCGCGTTTTTCTTCTAAAGTTGTCACTTCTTTAATTTTTTCGAGTTCACCATTCGATTCGCAAAGAAAAACTGTATAAGATACTGCGCTCACCTGAAACCCCATTTTTACTGCCCCTATGCCTTTAAGTCAAGTTTAGCAGGCTCCTCTATTATTTAAGCTTCTGACTACTCCGGAAAGTTCATTTGCGTTTAAAGGCGCATGGGCGTGGTCTCAAACTGGCTTCTCCTTTTGAGACCACTGGAAATCTTCCTTCGCGCCTTTAAGCTGCCTAGTTTCAGCGGCCACTTTAAGTCTATGACGTTTAAGTGGCCATTATAGTAGTCGAATTAGTGGCCACTTGAGAGGCCGAAATTTAGTGGCCCCTTCAGAAGTCTTCTAAGTGGTACTGCTACTCCACTAAGAACCACTATAGTGGGCACCGAGGAGCAAAAGCGCCTTCTATAGAGAAGGTTTAAAAGCCACTTTAGTGTCCTCTCCGAGTAGTTCTTGAGGAACCTCTCTAAGAGCTAGAGTTTATCCAGAAAGCTAAAACCTTCGATGCAAGCGCATAAAATTGAACTTTTTCAGGTCCTCACAACCAGCGACCTGCTCTCCATAAAGTACGATGGGATTCGGCCGGCTTGCGGCTATCCTTCGCAGCCGGACCACACCGAAAAAAGGACTCTCTGGGGCGTCCTGAAGGCCGAGGAATGCGGCATCGAACTGACTGAGCACTTGGCGATGCTTCCCGCCGCCTCCGTCTCTGGCCTATTCTTCGCCAACCCCCAGAGCCAGTACTTTGCCGTCGGAAAGATCGATGTTGATCAGGTGAATTCGCAAGAAACTAGGGGAAAAACGAAATTTTTGGCCTCTTTCTGAGTTGGCACTTCAAGTGGTATTTTAAGAAAGATATTGAGCCCTTAAGGGACCTCTTAGTTGTTCCAGGGAGTATCTCTTAGATGTTCCAGGGAGTATTAGAAGACATGTAAGCCGAGTAGCTCTTAAGGGATTCAAGAGAGCTAAGAGATCATACAAGGGATTAAAAGAAATTCAGGTAGCTCTCAAGTGACCTCTTAGCCTTCAAGGGAGGTAAGAAGTCATATAGGGGATCAAAAAACAATCAGTTAGCTCTTAAGTGACCTCCTAGCTTTCAAGGGAGGTAAGAAGTCCCATAGGGGATTAGAAAACAATCAGGTAGCTCTTAAGTGACCTCTTAGCCTTCAAGGGAGGTAAGAAGTCATACAGGGGATCAAAAAACAATCAGTTAGCTCTTAAGTGACCTCTTAGCTTTCAAGGGAGGTAAGAAGTCCCATAGGGGATTAGAAAACAATCAGGTAGCTCTTAAGTGACCTCTCAGCCGGTCAAAGGCATTGAGGAGTTTGAGAAACGCTTTTAACGACTTCTTAACTTTTTGAAATAGTGAGAGTTCGTGTAGATGTTAGGAGATTTTTATTTGGCTCTTAAGTGATCACTCAGACTGATAGACGGCTGCTGAGGTTCCCCTCAAGTGGCCTCTCAGAGGGCTGAAAGGTTCCGTACTTGTTTAAGAAATAATTCCTCTCAAGTTATCGCCTATATCATTGTAAATGGTCACTTAAGTCGACTCTTAGCCTTTCGGACAGCTGAGGTTTCCCTTAAGTGGCGTCTCAGCCTTTAGAATCCTTTTTATCATATGAATATTCAGAAGGAAGATTACCCCCTGTTTTTTGAATTAGTCATAATTTTTCATTCAGGTTGCTGAAGTGATTGCTTAAGGGGAAATTTTTTGAGAATGTTTTTAACTGTCTCCTTAAGTTGTCACTCCTGATTTCTGTAAGGTTCACTCTGGGATACAGAATATGAGTCGCGGAGAAATTTTTCAACTGCATTTTATCCAGATAAATCGAATAGTTATCAATTATTCCAGGTAATCGATTACGCGAATCGCAAAGGAGTCCCTCAAGAGAACGTCGAACGATGGTTGGCGCCAAACCTTGGATATGACGTTGATTAATCGATTTTTTCTGTTTTTGTTTTTGTTTTGAATTTTATTTTCCCATGTACATTCATCTCGGAAACGTTCTATCTTGACAAGGGAGATCATACGGCTTTTTAGTTTCCTTTCTCTGTGATTTCGTTATGAAAAATTTTAATAAAGGTTTTTACATCAATCAAAGCAGTATTAAAACTTTAAATTCATCAAAAGGAAAAAAAATCACGTTGAAAGCTTTCCAAAAAGTGAAACTACAAGCTGAGGCGAGTCTGAAGCTTCTAGATGAAGCTTGATATTGTGGTAACCTACATCACTCGAAAGCTGACGTCAAGACAAATCGATTGATATGATTAGAAAAACTGTAGCTGCTATGGGAGCCGAGATATGAGCCTTCAAAGTTTTTCTTCAAAAATAAATTTGCGCGTCAGATCAAATATGTTGTCTGAACCGGCGCGTCGGGTCAAGTGTCCGTCTGAGGCTCTCATCGGTGTGGTTTCCTCGCGAAAAGGGAATAGCTCAAAAAAAAGTTGGTCTTTTTCAAGTTTTTTATAGTGTAATCGATAGAGCAGCATCTATATATTAACGTTATCGTATCAGTTTCGAGGGAGAAGCTCAAAAATCGGGCAAAAAATAGGTCCAAGAAATGGTATTTTTTGGACTTTCAAGCTCAATACTAAGGTTCATTTTGAAGTTACAGGGAAACTGATTATATAAATCGATTCGTCTTGTTATCAGCTTTTCAATGATATGGGACTTCAAAAGTTTCGACCAACATGGATGACGTTATCAACTTTTTCATCTTACATCTCAGCTTTTGTCTCGAGTCGAGAATGTTCATCATCAAACGATAGACCGTCTTAAGGCGGTTTAATTGATATATCTCAATCTCTCAATACCTGATGACTTAACAAGGTCGCAAGCTGAGGCAAGTCTGAAGCTTCTGGATTGAGCTCAATCAAATGATAAGCTATATAACTCGAAAGCCGACGACGAGACAAATCGATTGATATAATTAGATAAGCTGTAGCTGATCTAGGAGCCGAGATATGAGCTTCCAAAGTTTGCCATAAAAAATAAATTTGCGCGTCAGATTAAATATGTTGTCTGAACCGGCGCGTCGGGTCAAGTGTCAGTCTGAGGCTCTCATCGGTGTGATTTCCTCGCGAAAAAGGAAAAGCTCAAAAAAAAGTTGCTCTTTTTTAAGTTTTTTCTAGTGTAATGGATAGAGCAGCTTCTATATAGTACCTTTATCATATCAGTTTCGAGGGAAAAGCTCAGAAATAAAGTCAAAAAGAGGTCCGAAAAAACCGCACTTTTTGGAGTTTCAAGCTTCATAACTCTGTTCATTTTGCAGTTACAGAGGAAGCGATTATATCGATCGATTCGTCTCGTTATCAGCTTTACAATGATAAAAGTCTTCAAGAGTTTTGATCAACTTGGATGACGTAACCGACTTCTCCAGCTTACATCTCAGCTTTTCCCTCGAGCCGAATGATATCATTATCAATCGATAGAGATTCTCGATACGGATCCAATGATACACATCAATCCCTAATAATTTATCATAAAATCGAGTTGCAAGCTGAGGCGAGTCTCAAGCTTTTGGATGAAGCTCAATTGATTGAAAAGATTAATCAATCGAAAGCTGACATTGAGACGAATCGATTGATATAACTCGCTTCTCTGTTACCTGAAAATGAACCGAGTTATGAAGCTTGAAAGTCCAAAAATGCCATTTTTTCGGACCTCTTTTTGACCCTATTTTCGAGCTTTTCCCTTGAAACTGATATGATAACATTACTATATAGAAGCTGCTCTATCGATTACACTAGAAAAAACTTGAAAAAGACCAACTTTTTTTTTGAGCTTTTCCTTTTTCGCGATGAAACCACACCGATGAGAGCCTCAGACTGACACATGACCCCACGCGCCGGTCCAGACAAAATATTTAATCAGACGCGCAAATTTATCTTTTATGGCGAATTTCGACGGCTTATATCTCGGCTCTCAGAATAGCTACAGCTTATCTAATAATATCAATCGATTTGTCTCGATGTCAGCTTTCGAATGATATAGATCATCACAAGATCAAGCTTCATCCAGAAGCTTCAATCTTCCGCCAGTTAGACCTTATCTAATGATACATCAATCGATAGGAAACGACTTCCTCAGTTCGAATATCAATATCAAAAGCTTCCTAGGCGCTTAGAAAAAAAAATATGATTTTTAAAAGTTGATCATTTTTGAGATTTCAAAAAATCATATCTCATTTCCTGGGAAGTTAGAAACTCAGAGACCTAGTTTTTCTTCATCCCCGTGATCTCCTCTATCGATTAATACCAATTTCGACGGAATTTCAAAATTTGACTCCTAAGTTTGATCGCCTCCAACTTAGTTCCTAGTTGACCTACGGAGGTCAAACCTGGTCTCAGGTCACTTTTTCGTCGAGATCTATCGATTGATATAGGTTTCGTCCGGATCGGCTTCCATGACTTCAAAAGCTCGAAAAAAACTGAAGGGGTTAGACTGTACTTTTTTCGATTTTCCCGAAATCCAAAGTTTCCGAGATTTTAATATCAATCGATAGGAAATGACGTCAGAAGTGCGGAAATCCAGGTCAAAATGTCCTTAGGCGCCTAGAAATGAAGTTATGATATTTTAAAGTTTTTGAAAAATTATAACTTGACTGCTACGTGGTTAGTAACCTAGAGACCTAGTTTTTATTGATCCTTGTGATCTCCTCTATCGATTGATACTGATTCCGACGGGATTTGATATTTTTGATCCCTAAGTTTGATCGCTTCTAACTAAGATCCTAGTTGACCTAAGAAGTCCGAAAATCCAGGTCAAAAAGTTCCTAGGCTCCTAGACAAAAAGTTATGAAGTTCAAAATGATTTTTAAAAAATGACTGTACTTTTTTTCCCGAAAGAGTTTCTGAGATTTCAACATCGATAGGAAATGGCTTCAGGAGGGAACTTAGAGGCCTACTTTTTTCCTGACTGCGAAAAATAAATAATCTTTCGCCTTTTACGTTCATTTTCTTCAATGCGGTGCGCTGTGCTACGAAAAAATCTTTATAAACATCACAACATTGGTTTGCGTTCAAGGAGATCATTGGATAACAATAAAATCAACAACTCAATATACAAAACGTGCAATTTAAAAATCATCAAAGATTTCGCCGTCGTCTTCGACTACGTCCATTCCTTTGGTCGTCAGTTTGACGTCTTCCTTGATAGCGTTCCTGATCATGTCTATTGATTCCTAGAAATAGATGTCATTTAGAACATGGGAAAAAAATCGTTTAGAAAAAATCTCAAAAAGGAAAAAAAAATCAAAGAAATTTGCGACGATTTCGAAAGCCGCGAGTCCGCGTGTCTGCGGACTGCTAGCGAAAAAGTTGAGAGCCAGCTTTCCGAATTTTTTTTGTCTTCGGTTTAGTTTTTTTTTTTTACTGTTTTTGAAGTTTCTAACGCTGTTTTCTCTCTCGGGAACTTATCCGTATTGAAGTCAAAAATCAAAATTCATCCGTATAATTTTTTTCACTATATATTTAGAGTGATAAACAAAAAGGAGGTTAGAAACTATCAATTTATTGAAAGAATCTTTTTGTGAGAATTAAAGACAGGAAAATACTTCACTGAAAAAGGATGAGCAATTTTTAAAACAATGAAAAAACTTAACCTAAAGAAAAAAAGTCAGAAACTTCTGTTTCGGAAAGTACGCTATTGCTTTCTTCGTCGCAAGTTTCTTTGATTTTTTTTTTCGTGTCATAAAAGAAATTATGATGAAATTTATTGAAAGTATGCATTTGCGCGTGACGGTGTATAATGTCATTGCGGCCACAGCATCACAAATTACGACTTTTATTAATAAAATTCATATTTTCATGGGGACTTTATCGGAGAGCCGGAACATAATTCAAAACGCGAAATCGTGTTCATCAACGCACCAAAGTTGCTTCAAGACAGAACTAACTTTTGCTTTGGAGCAATTTTCTTCGGTTCCGTGCCATTAGGAATTCGGTCGTCTTTTTCAATTAATATATTCAAAATTATAATTTCCAGTTCTTTAAAAACCCACCGATTTAATCCAACCTTCGGTGGCTACATTACTTGTGTCGAACTCCTAAAAACGAGCGTTTCCTTTTGATTTTCTTTTCTGAATCTCTACCATCGTCAGGACTTTTTCGGCTTCTGGAAGTTTGACGTCCATGATACTGTACCACATCTGTCGAACTCGTGGTAGGCGTCCTGAAATTTTCCTTGACTTTGTTTTGAATCTTTATTTTATTCTCTCAAAATTTTTAGCGGTCGATAATTTTTACAACGACGCGTTCGGAGGTTCATGACATCGTGCCTATTATGTTCGCGGAGTGACATATTTACAGAACGTTTGGAAAATAGCATATGTAGGTTTGCCATTAGAAGAATTTTTGTCTAAAAAGGCGCTAATTAACAAATTTTTGCCTTTTTTTTTTTTAGGAAATAGCACTTCACAGCAGTGACCATTGCTGTGTATGCGCCTTTAATAAGACCAAAATTCCAGGCATGGACACGAAGATAGGCCGCGTGTATCGTAAAGAAGCTACGCGGAAAGGTTCTGTAATTCGAAAAAAGACTTGAAGAGCTACCCGTCGAAACGCGCGGCATTCCTCTGTGTATGCGCCTTTAATAAGACCAAAGAGCTAAATAAAAGACATGAACATGAAGGTAGGCCGCGCGCATCGAAAGAAAGCTACGCGGAAAGGTTCTGTAGCTCGGAGAAAAATGAAATAAACGAAAAGTTACGCTTCGAAACGCTTCTTTCTGTGTATGCGCAATTAATGAGACCGAAATTTCTAGGTTGAATAAAAGAAAGATCAGCAATGTACATATATCCTTTCCGGAATTCATAAATTTTAAAATTCATTGTGTTTCTGAGAAAATGCTCTGCTGAATCATGGCCCACATCCAAGAAGCACTCAAGTTTTGACTTCGTCCTCTGAAGCCGCCATTTTTTCTTTTCAAAAATTTACCCGGCTCATAGGTGTAAGCTATGGGTTCGTTGGCGCTGGCGGCCGACGCAGGCGTCGCGTAGGCGATGGTCGCGCCGCTGGCCGCGACACTAGCCGCCGGCGTTCGTTCGCTGGAGACCTTCAGTCGCTGTCGTTCCGGGATCTTCATGTGCTGTCTGAACTAATTTCGATAAAAACTTGATTCAGCGTGCATTTTTCAGTTTTAACTATCTTTACGGGGTGCTTGAAAGCGCAAAACACCTTTTCTCCAGAAGAAAATCATTTCATTTTACATTGCGGTTGGAAATTTTCTAGAAATCGGCCAGGCCTCCAACCTGCACAAATCTGAATATTTCTTGAGAAATAAAGGCTCAGAGCCCAGAAAAAGCCTTTTTTAACAGATGATCTTTGACTTTGACGTCTCCTCTCTCAAAACCCAAAAAGTTTTGCAGGTTAAGGCTTTTAGATTTTTCTTCTAGGACATCAGGGAGTGTTCTGGTCAAGGAAATTTCCAATCGGAATGTAAAGTGACCCTTCTTATCAGCTAAAAAGAAGCTAAACCGGCCTATACTTTTGGGTTTTTATAATAAATGGCTAAATTCTTAATAAAATCACGCGTGTTCAAGTTCAAACGTTATTTATTTCTTTTATATTTGAGCTAATATGTAATTTACTTTCTCGTTTACCGTAATTATTGTTAAAGAAGTTAATCATGAACTCTGCTCAAACTTGAAGGCGCATAGGATCGCTTCGAAAAAAGGTCTTTATGCGTCAATATCGTAGCAACTGTCGTAAATTAATAATCGAAATGAAACAAAATGAATGGAATTCAAAAAAACGAAGTACTTTTTATCAAAACGAAAGGAAAGACCTTTTAATTTTCGCTATTGAAAAGCACAGATTGTGAGTAAAAGCGTGCAAAAAATACGTTTATCACGCAATGAAATCATTTTTGCAAGGAAGGTTTATTTTTCTTCTTCGAAAAAAATCCCAAACCTGAAAGAGACCATCAAAGTCTGATAGCAAGCCGAATCGGAGGTGACCCTTGGATCGTAGCCAAATCGGCACCAAAGCCTTCCCCAGGGGCCCGATTGGATATAGAAGGCGAACTTCTGAAGCAACGATCGGAGGAGGGAATCTTCGAGGCCGGTCCGGAAAAGTATCGCGATTCGGGTCCACATGGGCCGTTCGTTGAAGAGTTCCTCCAGTAATCGGTGTGGCTCTTCGTTTTTGCATCTTAAAACATTATTTCGAAAAGAAAAGAGAAAGTCTAGGAAATGAAAAAATCAACATGGACAGTTGGGAAAGAAATCACTTCGAACTTTTTCAGAATCTCAATTTTTTCTTATTTCTATTTTGTTACAATTTTTCAAATCTATAATATCAAATCGTTGCTCAAGCTCCCTAAAGGCGCGATAAACCAATCAGAGAGCGTTTCCGAATGACGTCATTATACTCGATACTTGAAATATGAATAGACTATGAAAAAAAATGACCAAGATTCGAGATCCACTTAGGAACTCCAGAGTGGCCCCTATAGGGGCAACATTTCCTAGAAATCACTTTACCAAACCCTATAGGGGACCCGAAAGCTTGCAAAAGTGACAACTCTAGGGTAATCTACACAACTTTTATTGTTATGAACGCTATGAGAAGAAGCTTTTTTGCTTAGGAATTCCAGAGGGGTCCCTATAAGGATTAGGGGGATAACAACCCCAATAGGGGCCGAAAAAGTTATCCCTATAGGGGTAAGAATAAAGTGTTCCCTATAGGGGTTTTTTTAAATTTTTTTATTCAAAAAAACGCTTGTTTATTCAGTTTTTTTCCCATGGAAATGCTTCATTAGTTTAGTGAAAAAAACATGAAACCTACCAGTTTTTTTCTCCTTGTTTCGAACTAAAAAATGTAAACTTAAATTCCTCCAAAAAATTCCCATTTTTCCACTCTTCCTACCTGGAATTCGTGTCCGCGACGGCCTCAGGTAAGGGAGAAATCGGGAATTCGTCCGTGGCGAGGACCGTTATTGACAGAGCCTTCCTCTCGGTTCTCAGATCTGGGAAAAAATATTTTTTCCTTGAAATCTTGAGTATGAAACTCTGGCCGAATCCGGTGAGTTTCGCTTTTTTGCACTTGTCGACGCCGAAGTCCGTCTCCTTGGCGAGGATCTTTTGAGACGGGGTGCTATATCGACTGAATTGATACGGAGGCAGAAACAGTGGAGTTGGGGGAACATCGGCTCGAGCCCACCTCAAAAATATTCGTAAAAAAAATGAGCGAAACTTTTTTTAGAACCTTCTAGGTGTGACGTCTATTAAAATAACCTTTTTGCTAATTTTGAAAGAAATTTTCAAGACTGAAAAACAAGTTGAAAAAAGACGCGCATAAAAGTCACCGTGAAATCCATTAACTGATATAAATCGTTGTGGGACCCATTTTTCTAGAGGCTCCTAAAATTCCGATTGGAATCGCCAAAATAATTTTAAACACGACAAAAGAATACGAGCAGAATGTTGTAAAGATTTCAAAAAATCACTCGATCGATATTATCCGCAGAGCGCAAATGTGAAATTTTTAACTTTTTTCAAAAATTATTCTTTTTGTCAAATTTCGACGCGCGCGACCTTCATATTTGCATGAGCCTTTAATATAACGCGAAACTTGGGCTAGTTTAAAGGCGCATGCATGGTTCGAAAGGAAGTGTTCTGTAGCTCGGAGGATAGCAAAAATCGTGTAAAACTTGCGCGGAATGGCCTATATTACGTTTCAAAAATCCAAAAAATAAAAAAAAAGAATAAATACCAAGAAAGGGCGGATCCCAAGTCGGTCGGAATGAGCTGAGGTATCAGGTCATCGAACGCTTCTTCGGGAACGTCCGGCTTCTTTTTCAAGGGAAGATATTGGAAGTCGCACATCGATTCGAAGGAGTACACATGTTGGACGAGGCCCAAAAACTCGATTTTCATCGGTTCATCGGGTTTTTTCTTGTGCCGACGGATTTTCATCACTAATCTCAGGGTACCGGATGTTACCTGGAAAAAAAAATCGTAAAATTCCTTCTATGCACGAGAGCTTTCCAGTGTATGCGCCTTTAATTCGGCGAAAAATTCAGGTTAAATAAATATAAATGCATTCCGGGAAGCTTCCCTTCGTTGCGCAGGACCTTCCTCTGCCTATGCGCCTTTAATTTGACAAGAAATTCCGGTTAAATAAACATAAATAAATTCCGGGAAGCTTCCCTGCAATGCGTGCGACCTTCCTCTGCCTATGCCCCTTTAATATAACGAAAATTCAGAGCTGAAAAAGAATGAATATAGTCTGTTCAGATTTTGAATGTCAAGTGGTCGCTGAAGCTCCGCCCCCTAATAGCGCGATAAACCAATCAGAGAGCGAGCCATCCACAGAGCGTTTTCGAATGACGTCATTCTACTTGACATTCAAAATCTGAACGGACTATAAGCCCTGGAAGCTTCCCTTCGATGCGCGCGTCCTTCCTCTGCCTTTGCGCCTTTAATATATAAAATAATTTAGGCTAAATAAATATGATTAATTTCCGCGTAGCTTCCCTTCGATGCGCGCGTCCTTCCTCTGCCTTTGCGCCTTTAATATAAAAAATAATTTAGGCTAAATAAATATGATTAATTTCCGCGTAGCTTCCCTTCGATGCGCGCTTCCTTCCTCTGCCTTTGCGCCTTTAATATATAAAATAATTCAGGCTAAATAAATTCAATTGATTCCCTTGTACCTTCAATTCAAAGTGCGCGACCTTCCTCTGCCTATGCGCCTTCAATATAACTCTGATTTTAAGCCTTATTAAAGGCGCATGCACATAAACAGCTTGCGAATTCTATAGAAAGCTTCCCGGAAGGGTCCTGTAGCTTAGAAGTGAATAAAAATGACGAAAATTTGGCGCGGAATGGGCTATACATTGTCTTATTAGATGATTTCAGCTACAAATTAGTCCCAACTTCCCAAATTGTCAAAGCCCCTCACATTTTCTTCATTCTTCCGTTCGGCAACAAGACAACTCGTGTACGGATTCGAAGGGGTGTGACGGAGTTCGAGGGCTCGATTCGCGAAATGATTCGAGGAGATCTGGGCGAGGCCTCCGAGCCGTTCCAAGGCTTTGTCCAAGTTCTTGACGATCGCCGGGTATTCGATAACAACCAGATTCGATTTCTTCTGCTCTTCCTCGGCTTCGCCTTTCAGTGTGGCGAACATCCGGTTCGAGGTCATGGTCTGGAACAAAAATCATTAAAAAAAGGAAAGAAAGACAAAAAAAAGACATTATCTTGAAAAAGAATCAGTAGAAAACGACAAGAAGCTTAGAAAGTTTAAAAATATATTCAGGAGCTCCAGAGTGGTCCTTATAGGGAAACCTTGGATGACCCCCTCTAGGGGCCACTGAAGCTTGCAAAAGTGGTTCCTACAGGGGTTTCATTTACAACGTAATTTTCTTTTTAAAGCTTATCGCGACATTTTCTTTCGTCTGAAAAATGTTGAAAAATCAAAGTTTTCCTGAAAAGTTCCAATTTTTTTTCTTAAAAAAAAAAATCAATTTCACGTATTTCGGTCAATTTCTCTAAATACATACGTTTCATGTTAAGAACAAAATGGAACATGTTTCGAATTTTTTTGTTTAATCGTGTTTAAAATTAAGCAAAAAATCCAATAATACCTTTTTTTCCTTTGAACACTTCGAAAAGATTATTTTTTCAGCTCGACTTTTGAAATTTGACATCGAAATTGGAAAAATAACAAAGTTAGGAACTCCTAAGTGGTTCCTACAGAGGTTAGAAGGAAAACAGCCCCTATAGGGGTGAAATTAAGGTGGTCCCTAGCCCCTCAACCTCAAAGGGACCCTATAGGGGTCCAAAAAGTGAATAATTAATAATTTTACCTGTGTAGCGGGAGCATTTGAATTTTTTCACTTCTTAAAAAAATAGAAGGGATCAATAAACCACACATCAACACAGCAAATCGTCACATTCTTTTCAAATAATTTATAAAGATACAAAATTGAAGAATCAATCAAGGAGTAGACATTGTTCGAGGAGAGGCCAGGCGCGAAATTTCGACGATTTGATGCCGTTGGGGAAGTTGAATTCTCGGAAACAGCCGTCGCAAAAGTTGGTGAAGGCGTTGGGCAGGAGTTCACTGTTGTCGATCACGTATCTGGAAAAGATAATTTATGGCAAATCTCAAAAAAAAAAACGGTTGAAATTTTTGAATGTAAGAGGAAAAAATGAAATAATCTTGGACTTTTTCTAAAAAAAATCATTGAAAGCTACTTTTTTAACTTTGAAAAAAAGCTGCGAAATCAGATTTTGGAGTATTTCTTTCTTTAAAAAGCGTTGAAAACTCTGAAAATAAACTAAAAAAATAGATCCATTTAACTTATAAAAAAATCTTGAATTCCTATTTCTGAACGGAATTTTTTTGAAAAGAACAGTGGGATTACTGAAAAAAACTATAAATAAGCTTTAGTTTTTGAATTTTTTTCGAAAGCTTAAAACTTTCAGAAGGACTTCAAAAATCCCTCGACAAAAATACAGCAAAAAAATTAATGTTTTTTTAATCCCATCCCTAAAATCCAAGCTCAAAAAGTACACTTTCTAAAAAAATGCCATTCTATATATATATTTTTTTAATTTTTTTAAGCCCTTTTATTCCGATAAAAAAACTCACGTAGCCGTAACTCGCTTACAACATTCGCATTTCTTCTCGCTCCATCGTTCGAAAACCAGCAATGGGTACCGATAAATCTCCTAGAACGTCGAATATTTAATTTTGAAGTTCCAAAACATAATCATTACTTGAATATCCGTAGAGTGAATCAATCGAAGCTCGTGGAACGTCAAAAGATGCTCACAAGATCCAGAATGTTGGAAAACGTATGGTTGACCGAGTCTTGAAAAAAAAAAAATTCAGAATACGAAAATAATTGAAGAGGGGTTAAAAGAAGCGTCCGATGCTTGCTGGACGATTCTGGCTACTTAAGTGAGCACTAAAAAGGGCCCAAAGTTACTCAAATAGCAATGAAGGAATAGAAGAAGCTTCTGATACTAGCTGGACGAATTTGGCCACTCAAGTGGACACTAAAGAGGGTACAAAGTTATTTGACTGAAAATTAAAAAATTAATCAAGCTTCTGACAATTTCTGAACAAATTTGACCACTTAAGTGAGCACTAACGAGGGTTCAAAATCACTTAACTGAAAATTAAAAAAAAAATCATCTGACACTTTCTGGACAATTTTGACCACTTAAGGGGACACTAAAGAGGTTCCAGAGTTTCTTAAATAAAATTAAAGGAACAAAAAAGCATCTGACACTTTCTGGACAGTTTTGACCACTTAAGTGAGCACTAAAGAGGGCCCAAAGTTAATCAAATAGCAATGAAGCAATAGAAGAAGTTTCTGATATTAGCCGGACAACTTTGGCTACTTAAATGGACCTTAAAGGAGATTTCGAGTTGATTGAATAAAGATAAAGGAATAAAAGAAGCTTCTGACCATTGTAGACAATTTTGGCCTCTTAAGAGATCACTAAAAAGAGCCCAAAGTTCTCTCAAATAGAAATGAAGGAATAGAAGAAGCTTCTGACATTTTCTGGACAATTTTGACCAGTTAAGGGAACACTTAAAGGGTGCAAAGATACTCTAATAAGAATAGAAGAATAAAAGAAGCTTCTGACACTTGTTGAACTATTTTGGCCCCTTAAATGATCACTAAAAAGGACTCAAAGTTAATCTAATAAAAATAGAGGTATAAAATAAGCTTCTGACATTTTCTGGATAATTTTGACTACTTAAGTGAGCACTAACGAGGGTTGAAGATTACTTGACTGAAGATTAACGGACAAAAAAGCTAACGAAGCTTTCTGGACGTTTTGGCCTCTTAAGAGATCACTAAAAAGAGCCCAAAGTTTTCTCAAATAGAAATGAAGGAATAAAATAAGCTTCTGACAATTTCTGAACAATTTTGACCACTAAAGGGAACACTAACGAGGGTTCAAAATTACTTAACTGAAAATTAAAGGACAAAAAAGCTTACGGAGCTTTCTGGACCATTTTGGCCACTTAAATGACCCCTAGAAAGCAAATAATCGTCTGAATGTTGCGCAGGACACCTGGCGCTTCTTCTAGGAGAACTAAACCAAGAATAAATTGAAAAACGAGTTTCGTACGTTAAAAAAATTCGGGCTACTTGTTTAGAACTTCTTGGAATCTATCTATTAATCATAAAATCCTGTAATAATCATGTTTTCTTTAATAGGTTTCAAAAAAGTAATACCTTAATTTAAGGTCAATGAAATTGACGCCTTCAATGTCGACAGCTTTCACGGGGTCGAATATCTTCTTTCGTTTCATAAATTCTCGGATTGGCCTGAAATTTTTGAGATTTTCCAGGATCTTTGAATGAAATGACAAGTTCAAGCTTTAAAAATAAAATACTTGTCCGATTTTAAAAATAATATAAATTGACCAATCTATCTCATCATTTTGGCATAGAAAAAGCTGTTTTTTTGACAAATTTTAAGCTATGAAAAACCATTTACTACTGATTATTGAGCCGTTTTTCGAAATTCGTGTTCATTTTTTTTAAATCGTTTTGTAAAATAAGCAAAATTTGAATTTCGGGACGAAACGAAAACCTTCAAAAAGAACGTCTTCTACGCACAAAAGTCCAAATTTTGGGATTATCCAGGCATTTTTCGGTCAAAATTCTGATTTCGCGCTCAAATTTGCCATTTCTCTGTAAGAAATTATTTTTCTAACGGCTCCCAAAAATCCAATTTTGCTCATTTTTAAAATAATTTTGAAAGAAAACTCGTCAAAACCACTTTGAACACGGCACAATGATCGAAAATCTTGGCATGATCCGAAAAAATCTTCTCTTTTTAAATCGTTTCTCTGAAGGTTCTCACGCCCTTGTATCACAAAATGCATTACAAGAAATCAAAAAAACCCTGCTTTCGAATAAAAAAACGCACTCAGAAAGGTCAACAGCATTATCGTGGGTTCTGTCGATGTAGAACGTGTCGTTGATGAAAATGAAGGCCGAGGGGAAAAGTTCGGCGCAAGTTTCTTGCATATCCGGCGCCTCCAGTTCATTGCCGTCTTTCAGGGGTACCACCACGTCGCAGTCACAAACCTGAACTAGTGAAATAGTAATTTCGGACTTATATTCAAGGGCAAAGTCCAGAAAGGCCTAAAAAAAAGAAAAAGAATAGTTTCGAAGCTACTTTCACTGGCAAAGTTCAGCAGGTTCAAAAAAGAAGGTTTTAGGGAAAAAAAAAAAACAATTTTTCCTAGACCCTTGTAGAAGAAAAAAGGAGATTCAAAAGATTTTTGACACCTTCTTAGGACCTCAAAAAGGAGCTCTAGATGCTTCTATTTTGAGGCCGTTTAGAAATTTTTTTCGAGATGGATAAACTTTAAAAAAACGATTTTTAGGACGAATCCTTAGCCCCCCCTAACTTTTTAAAAAAAGGTCAAGAGAAAAAAAGAGCTTCTAAGGCCTTTTTTTCCCAAAGGTTTTTTAAAGTCTTTTTAGTACTTTTTCCGTGAAAAAGCTCATTTCCAAAAGACCCTTTTGAGGCCAAAAAGTGCCCAAAAAACATTTCAAAAATTCTTGAAAAGATGCAAAAAGCTACCTTTTCCCAATTTTCTAAAAGAAGAGAACCTTTTTGGTTTCAACACTATTTTATGTCATTAACGCCCTGTTTGAAGCAATCTAAAAATTGACACGTTATTCGCTTAAAAAAGTTTCGCAAATCACAAAAAATTGAAAATTCGGGAAAAGAAACCTACAATCAGCTAGTGGCTTTTAAAAAAGGAGAAAATTCAAGTTTTGGAATGATTTGGGAATTTCTAACAAACTGGACAAAGTTTCAGGGGTCACTTTAGGGAATTTAGGTTTAAGTGGCCACTAAAGTGATCGAACTAGTGACCATTCAAGTGACTGAAATTGAGTGGCCTCTTTAGGGGTCTGAGTGGTACTATCCGGTCAGTAAAAACTCCTATAGTGGCCACTCGAACGCAAAATAGTGATCTCAAGCAGAAGAATTTTCCTGGGAAAGTTTTCAGGGGTCACTTTAGCATTTTGACATTTTAGTGGCCACTAAAGTAGTCAAATTAGTGACCATTTAGGTGACAAAAATAAGCGACCTCTTTAGGGGTCTGAGTGGTACTATCAGGTCAGTAAAAACTCCTAAAAACGCAGATTAGTGGCTTCTATGGAGGTGGTTTAAGTGACCACTTTAGTTTCCTTTTCAAAAAGTCCTTGAGGCACCTCTCAAGTGACCACTAGAGTTTTTTTCTAGCCTCGCAATGTGAATTCAGTTGAACGGAGATGAACAATGAAAAAAAAGTTCAAAACTGAAAAACCAACCAATTTCCTCCTAAAATCGAGCAGAGACGTCTCGCCACGTACCATGAATTTCGTTGCGGGTTTCATCTGGAAAAGACAGAATTTATAGGAAATTCTCAAAAAACCAACAAGTCTCGAGGATCTCATTTCGGTCGGTGACAAAATACGGTTATAAGGAACATTGACTGTGACTAGTATAACGACATCGGTTGGAATAAAATCGTTTCCTTCGTTTCGGAGCATTTTGTCGACCTGAAAAATCATTTAATGAGCAAAAAAAAATTTTAAAATGCAGAGTAGAAATTTTTTATATGATAAAAAACGGTGGAATCGCTGAAATTTGAAGTTATAATGTATATTTATAGCTGATTCACGGTCAGCTTAGGACGCTAAGGGGGCGTGGCCTGTCTGAGCTCTCCACGAGCTGCGCGCTATCTCGTGTATTATCGTGTCAGGACCTTTCTTTCGATCGCTCAAGCCAGCCGTGAACCAGCTATACATGATGAATAGAAAAATTAATATTCATAGGAGTTGGTTTCTGTAATTAAAAATCCTGCACTCAATAAAACAGCTAATTTTCGAATTTCAACGTTTTTTTAAACTTTGAAATTTTGGTGCTGCTTTTGGGACTGCCAATTTTATAGCTTTGGAATAATCTAGAACTTTAAAATTTCATCAGTTTTGTAGAAATTCGTTTTTTTCAGAAAATACTAGGATTTTTCAAATGAATGAATTTTTTTGCGCTTTTTCAATCATATAAAAAAAGCCAACATTTCTAAATAATCTATATTTCAAGGATAAAGATTTGGAAAATGCGCAAATTCTGTCAAAAATTTCCTCTAATCTTCACAATTTTTGTGAGTTTATATAGAGAAAACCAGAACCTCTTGATTTTAGCAAACTTTTTGGAGCTTTAATTATGGAAATTTAGTTAAAACCTGGAAATTTTGTTCCACTCTTCAATATTAATCACATGGGGTGAGAAATTTATAAGAAAACTTTTAAAAAACGCCATCTTTTTTTCCAATTCATTTTTAATCTTCATGATTTTGATAAAGTTAGAAAGAGAAAATCTCTCGATTCTTAGGAACTTCTTGGAGTTTCAATCAGAAAAAAATTTGTTCAAAACCTGGAAAACTGATAACCTTTTTTTAGATTTTTGAATGAATTGCGTACTTAATTGATTTTGGAACTTTGAAAATTTTTTTCGAAATCATACTGAGTACAAAAATTCAAGTTCAAACCTTTAAAAATTCGTCATTTTCTTCGATTTCGAATGAGTTTGGTATGAAATATCAATTATATTGGTTGAAAAAAACTTTTTTTGAAAAATTTAAAAAGTCATAACTATCTTCAATATCAATCATATTGGTTACTTCAAACTGTAAAACGTTTAAAAAAATCTAAAAAAATATTCGTTTAAAAAAACCCTTTCGTTTTCATATTACGAAAAAAATCTTCGAAAAAAAGTCCATTGCCAGCATTTCAAACGACACTCTCAACAAGATATGACGTTATTTTTTCTAAAAATTGTGGAAATCGCCTGAAAACTGCTCACCGATCCCAACTCGGCGCCATTGAAACTATCATATTTCATCGATTTAACATAGGCCGATTTTCGTTGTTTCGATAAACCGCACCATTTATCCCGAGCCTCCATGTAACTGAAAGCCAAAAATTTTAAATAGAGACAAAAAATGGATAGATTAACGCGAAAAACTCATTTCGGAACACTGCAAAAGTGATAGAAAACGCGGGAAAACGTGAAAAATTGAAAAAATGTCTCACTGATGTGTTCGAAGCTCCGTTGGCCGCAGCTCATATCCATATCTAGAGGACTCTTGAAACGTTTTTCGCTCACCCGGCTTATCGAACAGAATATCGAGGCTGGAAATGAGAAGAAAATAACTTGATTTGAAAAAAAACATTCCAAAAAATTTGAAATCAATACAAAATGGTAAATTATTCTGTTTTCTCCAGTGACACCGAATAATGCCTTGGTTTCTAGAAGGTTTCGGGAAAAAAATCTTCTCATACGGGAAAATATAAGTGGTCCCTTAAGGGGTCTTTGACTTCAAAAGAGAAAATTCGAACAAGGTAATAAATCAGTACAAAATGCTTAAATCCCTGTCCACCTTCTCTGAACCCTTAAACTCCTATAGGGGCCACTCAAATTTAGTCACTCGAGTGAGCCCTGATTAGACTACTACAGTGGCCACTAAACTGTCAAAAACCCTAAAGTAGCCATTACAAATTTTCACAGGATAATACTTTTTCTCACAGAGTTCACAGCAAAAATCAACATGCTACCCTAAAAAGGCCACTTTTCCAAGCTCAAGTGGCCCCTTTAGGGGAGATAAATCGGTCTCAAGAGAGGTACCTTCCACGGCCCCTAAAGGAATCACTCTGGCGTCTTAAGTTCGCATGGAAACGCTACACCGCGTAGAGTTCATAACAATAATCGAAATGCTACCCTAGAAGGGCCACTTTTACAAGCTCAAGTGGCCCCTATAGAGGAGATAAACCGGTCCCTGGAGAGTAACCTTCAAGAGCCCCTAAAGGGACCAATCTGGCGTTCTAAGTTCGCATGGAAACGCTTCACCTCATAGAGTTCCTAAAAATAAACGACTAGGATGCTCCCCTAAAGGGATCACTTTTACAAGCTTTCGTGACCCTAGAGGGAGAAGTAAAGTTATCCCTAGAGAGTAACCTTCCAAGGCCCCTAAAGGGACCACTCTGAAGTACCTCAATTCGCATGGAAACGCTTCACCTCATACAGTTCATAAGAATAAACGACTAGTAAGTTCCCTTGGAGGGATCACTTCTACAAGCTCAAGTGGCCCCTATAGGGACTATTCTCGCATTGCTGAGTTTGTCGAATCTCACCTGATGGCCTGATCAAAAATCTTATCGGCGACTTTCGAAGAACAGGCCGTTTGTTCCACGAAATTCTGCCTCAAACTATTGTCATCAGCCCCTTCCGAAGCGCCGAGAACGCCTAAAAGTGAGAAAATTCGGGTCACTTCAGGATTTTGACGTTTTAGTGGTCACTATAGTAGCTAAAGATGAGTGGCCCCTTTAGGAGAGAGAGACTACTAGATTACTAAATACTACTGTAGTGGCCATTACGACGCCAAATAGTGGCTTCTATAGAGGTGGCTTTAGTGGCCCCTTAAGTGCCCTCCAAGTAGTCCTTGAAGAACCTTTCAGCGGCCACTGGACTGTGAAATTCCAGAGTGGTCCCTATAGGGTTTAAGGGACTCTACAGGGGCCTAAAAAGTGGCCCCTATAGGGGTTTACGGTCTGACCCTTTAGCCACTAAAGCTCAAGTGGAGCTCACAATAACTGGAATCACTTTGGAAAGCCTTAGGGACCCCTATAGGGGTTGATAAAGTGGTCCCTAGAGCTACCTTTCAAGGGCCCTTATAGGGACCACCCTGGAGTTTTCAAACCTTTTGCAACAGATTCGGCATTTGTCGCTTCGTACAAAAAGTCCTGGACACTGATCACCGGAGAAATGAACCATTCGAGGTCCGATTGGAACCGTCGGTCCATTTTCTAAAACCCAAATTTTGGGTCAAAAATCAAAAATTCTAAATTTTCAAGATCTTCAACTTCATAAGCAAAGTTCAAAGAAGCCTAAAAGGAAAGTTTTTTCCCTAAATTTCTTTCGGAGAAGTTTTTTTTGACGTCGAAATAAAATTGAAATAAGTTTCGAAAAGTTGAGCAAAAACCACCTATTTAGGGAAATTAAAATAAATTTTTTCAGTTCTTTGAGGCTTCCGAGTGTTTTTAATGACAATTACCTCGTGAAAATAATAAAAATAACAAATTATTCTAGTAAAATCAGGACAAAAACCTCAAAATTTCACGTCGCAAATAATTTCCTTTTACGCAATTTTTATTATACTCGTACAGAAAGCCGATGCGATTTCACAAAGATTTCAGGTACAAAAAAAAACAAAGATGATGGAAAGAGAACAAATTACAAGACTATCAAAGTACAGGAGCATGGCAATTCGAAAGCAGAGGAAAAACTATTAAAAAGCAAGTTTTGTGTGTTGAAAGACGACGCAAAACCGACTTTTCTTCCTAAAATCACAAGAGGGAAAGAACTAGATAAGGGGATCTGCTCTGAAATTAGAGAAATAAGGCCAAAGTCGTAAGCGGAGAGACAAAGTTTGGACGAAAAAGAAATCACAAAGCCCTTAAAATAAGCTTGAAGAAGCCCGAGAAAGACACAAAATACCGAAGCACTAAGTTCTGGCAAAAAAAAATATTGATCCACTTTTTTTGTTGACTAAACTGCGACTAGAAGAAAAGAGCATTTCGAAGACAATAAAATTCTTTTTGGAATAAAAAAAATTTAGCGTTTTTCAACAATGGCAAAGATCTTCCGGGTTGGTTTTTAATTTGATTAGAAACCGACAAAAAATGCAATTTTCGTGAAGAGCTTCGCCACATCTATGAACAGAATTACAATTTAACGCAATATTATGAAGGAAAGAAGCATTCACAGTTCGCATATCGCTTTGAAATACTTACAAGGAGTGGGAAAAGGCCAAAATGAGCAATAGATGGGGGGCAAATAAATGTGATTTATATGAAAAGTTTGAAAAGTTCTCTCAAATTCCATTTTTGGGACGAAAAGCTTGCAAAGATTCTTGACATGAGGCTATAGGGGTAGAAAATTGGTCCGAAAACTAAAAATTTACAAGACATATACTCAAAAACGTTAAAAAATCGAGGAAAAAACTGGTAAATTGGTGAAAATTTACACATTTTTGGTCTACTCCTTTCTAAAATTTACAAGACCTGGGAAAAACTTTAGTGGCCACTTAAGCGTTTTCTCAAGGACACTAAAGTGGCCACTTGGACCACCCCCATAGAAGCCACTAACTTGCGTCTTAGTGGCCATTATAGTGTTTTTAGTTGTCGAGTAGTGCCAAGCCACTCAAGTGGCCCCTAAAACGTCAAAATCCTAGAGTGGCCACTAAAAATTTTCCCAGACACTTTTTGCCTCAAAACTATTAGGAAAGTCCTATTTCAACCTCCAAACCTTCAAAAATATTCGCAAAACCTTCTCACAAAGCAATATCCTCTCAAGGTACAAAGTCGAAACTCATTACAAAACAGGCAATACAAATCGATAAGAAGAAGTCGAATCTATCGAAGGCTAGTGAAGAGGTTCAGCTTGGATCGTGAAGCCCTCGGGGCGCCGGTTTTGTTGAAGACGTGCCAGAAACGGAGAGTTTCGTCTCCGGCCCCGGTGACGATGGATTCGCCGTCGGGCGACATTGCCAGATAGAGGACGCGATATTGATGACCGACGAGTTTGGTGACCGGCTGGAGGCTCGGGTATTTCCAGATGATTACCTCAAAATGATCAAATTATCGGCGGGAGAGCTTTTTCGGAACTCCAGAGTGGTCCGTATAGGGGCAACCTTAGGGGCCCTTGAAGAGTCTCCGCTGGGATTTTTTTTTCCTCCTTACTCCTTTCGGGAGGAATTCCAAACTTTGTGATCAATTCAACTTCGAATAATGGAAAATAATCAAATTGGTACGAAGTCCATTCATAATTTCATTAATTACGCTCAATAAAATAAACAATAAACGTTGGAGTAATTAAAATTATTTGGGAAAGACTCAAAGAAGATACCGAACTTTACGATTTTTCAAAAAGAAGCTTTTGAAAGCCTTTTTTTCAATTATTAAATCGAAAAAAGTTCTGAAAAAGAAAAAAACAAAGCATCATCGTTGGAAATGGTGCAAAAATATTTTTTGATTCATACAAAAAAATTTTTTTTCTGAATTGATTTTAATATGTCACGATATTGTATTAAACCTGAGTAATCATGAAATGAAAAAGATGAAAAATTGTTACAATGAAGGGTTTTACTCAAAAAAAGACTGAAAAAAACAGGTTTCACAAGTTTAACAAAAAAAATTATAATGAAACTTTTTCCTTCATTTCTTCTTTACACAGATTCAAAAAAATCATAAAAAAACTAACATGATTGTAGGAGTACCCGTGAGTTGAGACCAGTTCACTGCTGTGTTTCGACCAGGCGACGTTGCAAACCTTGAAAAAAGGAATATTTACTCGTTTTTGAATCTTTAACACAATCGGTGTCACAATTTCAAGCTAATTTGATGATTTCTTTGAATTTTCATTATCTATTTTCTTTTTCCAACCTATCAAAGAAGGTCATTTAACTTTGAGACTGAGTTTTCATGAAAATTGGCCAGAGCCCTCCTTGATTTACCTGATAACTCTCAAAAAAGGCCACCCTAAGGTCCAAGAAAACCTTCAAAATTCTCGAAATTCAGCTATTTTGGGGATCGGAGCCTTTATTTTTCGAAAAAGAACAAGTAATTCAGGTTGAAAATTCCAGGATCTTTTTCCGGTACATCGAGGAATGTTCAGACCGATTTTCAAGGGATTTCCAAGCGCCTCCCTTTGTAAGAACTACAAGATTTTAAAACGGCTATAGTCGCTCCCAAATTTTTTGACGCCAAAAAGGAAGATTATGAAAAACTCATCAAAACCATTACATAAGCGATAATGCTCTCTGTTACTTGGCCTTTCGAAAAAAATTGAGTTTTAGAAGAAAAATAATTGAAAATCATATTTTCGTAGACTCTGAAACTTCCATGATCATTTTTTCCCGTTTTCACCGCTCACCTGGCTACCAGTATCAATGTACTGCATGGGTTGCGCAGTCAAGGTGTTCCAGAATCGGAGACATCGGTCCGCCGTGCCGCCGCCCGAAACGAGAAGCCCGTGATGATGTGGGGACCAGGCCAGGGCCTTCACCGCCGCGTTGTGATCCGTATACGTCTTCAAATAAGAAAGTTAGGTTTCGTTCAAGGAAAAATGTTAACTGATTTCATTTATTAATAAAAAAAAAGCTGCTCAAAACCCTCTAAAAGGGTCGTTTTGCGTTAAAGACAACCTTATTTGGACGAATTTCTCTTGAATCTCAGCTTCTCTCATTAGGAAAATACCAAAAATGCTCTAAAATGATTATTCCACCAAAAAAAGGCACCACTAAGCCCAATGAAAGTCTATTTATTAAAAAAATTGATAAAAAAATTAATTTTTTTCAAAAAAATTTATTCATAATCAGTAAAATGTTATAATCGAATACGTGTGATCGAAATCTTTCAAAAAAACTATTTATTTTTGGTATTTCTCAAGTTTTTTTAAAGTTTATGATGAACTTTTTTTGATTTACTTCAAGATTCATTGATTCCGTCTTCAGAAAAACGATTAAAAAAATTTTTTTCTTAGATGGAAACGTTACAAAAACGAAAAGGGATGAAAATTGCTTCTTTTTTTCAAAAATTCCTATATTTTTTTCGAAATTTTTGTTTCTGTACGGTTGTTTTCATTTGAAATGAAAAATATAACACCGTAGAAAAACGTGATTTTTTTCATCAATTTCTATGAACCTATAAAGCCAAGGAAACAAAGAAAGCTTAAAAAGGACATATTATCAAATCTTTTCATAGGATTCACCTGAACAGGATCGTTCCTTCGCATGTTCCAGACCAGTAGTTGATTGTCATTTCCACCGGAGGCGAGCAACTGCTTGTCGGGCGACCATTTTAGTCCACAAACCTGGAAAAAAATCAGAAAAAAATGATTTTTCAAAAAAATTCCTACTTTTTTTAATGTTTTTTTAGGTCCTTAAAAAAAAATTTTTTTCTGAATTTATATCCCTTTTCACTTTCGTGGCCTTTTTTCCTTTCACTATAGTTTAGTCTGTTCAGATTTTGAATTTTAAGTGCACTGACGTCACTCGAAAACGCTCTGTGAATCACTCGCTCTCCTATTGGTTTATTACGCCATTGGGGGCGGAGCTTGAACGACTTGACATTCTAGCTATACCATCTGATGTGGCGAGGATGAAATTATTGATTAAACCAAAAATGGAATAAAATCACTATCATCCTTCCATTCAAGGCCTCACCTCCTGCCGATGCGTCGTCAACTTTCTCGGGGTCTCTCGGTCGTCGACGCGGATGTCGCGATGCATGATGGTCCGATCGCGACTGCCCGAGCAAATCGTGTCGGCGTTCCAAGCGAGGCAGCCGATTCGCGACTGATGGCCCACCAGGTCGCGAACCTTCTTTTGAGCCGCGACGTCCCAGATCTGGCAATATAAACATATGGTTCTTTTCAAATGAGCGCCAGAGTGGTCCTATAGGGGTTAGGATGAAAAACAGCCCCTACAAGGGGCGCTTTTTTTTCCCAAAAATAGGTGATCACTTTATGGGTTCAGTGGCTGACGCCTAAGCCCTTAAAACTAAGTGGTCCCTATAGGGGTTCGGATGGAAAACAGCCCCTAGAGGGGGAAAATTTTTTTGAATAATAGGTGATCACTTTATGTGGTAACCCCTTGAAATTAAGTGGTTCCTTCAGGGATTTTTTAGTTTTCTGTTAAAATTTGAGAATGAAAAAGACAAACTCGATCAATTTATCCGTTTTTGATATTTTTCATACAAAAAAGGGTGATTCATTGAGTTTTTAGCTTGGAATTGCTTCTTCTTATAGAGCCCATAACACAAACCTATAGGTTCTACTTTGGCAAGATTTATTAGTTCCTAAAGGGGACCCTTTAAAGGCCCTAAAAATGCCCCTATAGGGACCACTCTGGTGTTCCTAAGAAGGGCCCATGTGTTATAAAAAAAAAAAAAAATAACAAGTTTTTGAAGTAAAATGAGTGAGATTTCTTAAACAAGTACATCATCAAGTTCGAAAAGTCCCACGAGGAGTCTCGAAAAATGAAATTTAAACGAAAAATAACAATAATTTTCAACAATTAAGGTTATTACCTGTGTGAAAAATTAGTATAATTACCTGAGTAATGCCTCGATTCGTACCAACGGCCAGCAAATCTCCCTTGTCAGCCCATTGAACCGAAGTCACTGTGTCCTGTTCGTTTTGAAGGTCGCAGAGCTTGATGACCTTGAAAAAAGTAAAATTATATTTATTTTCAAAAAGAAAACTTTCAAAACTTTGAATGTGACTGTAAAAATGTAAAATTTCCGGAAAATTGTGCAAATGGCTTAGTAAAAAAATCCTTAGAGTGGGAAAATCGATTAAATTTTTTTTCGGTAAAAGCTTCCGAAAAAATCAAATCTTTGACACTAAAATTGAAGAAATTAAAGGAGTTTTTGTCAAGGGGAAGATTTTTTGAATCGAATAAAGTATATCTTTTGTATAAATTTTAACACATCCTATTTAATCAAAAGGAATTTTTTTACTTTATGAAACTCAGATTCCGAAAATCAAAAAAACCTTATAAAATTCTTTTTAACGATAATATTCTATTGAAATCTAGGTTAAAAAAAAAGTTACACTCTATTTTTGAGAAATTTATAAAAGTTTTAACCGTTTACACCATTTTTCATCGTAGAAGCTATATTTTAAACAGGAAAACGTCTTAAAATCCTACTTTTAAATAGAAATCTTTGAAAAAAATAAAAAAATTTTTACACCCTGAAATTAGGAAAAATTCTAAAAATTTTTTTGATCGTTTTGCACCATTTTTTTCATCGTAGAAGCTATATTTTTCAACAAAAAAACGTCTCAAAATCCTACTTTTTACAAAAAAACTTTCTATAGAAATCTTTGCAAAAAAAGTTTCGACACCTTAAAATTGGGAAAAATTATACAATTTTTTTGATCGTTTCGCAATACTTTTTCATAGGAAAGACTACAAAATAAACGACTACGAACTTCAAAAAAATCCAATTTCGCCCTAATTTTTCCTCCATTTTTTTCAATTTTTTTGGTCTTATTTTTCAAAAAAAGACAAGCTCTACTTGGCTATTATGCGCGCTCCAGAGGTACACACAACTGCTGAGGCCAACAGAAAGCATGTTTTGGGCGGACCAATCCACTAAATTTAGGTAGAAGTCGTCCTGGAGCTCTGGCGCATCGAGAACCTGAAAAATCTCAAATATTCGATTTTTGGCGCGTTTCTTCAACCTTATATGGATTTTTCGGCACTTTTCGCTGGGGTTTTCTCGGCGTTTTCAACAACCGTTGGCTGTCTTCACTCAAGGGGCCGGAAAAGGGGGAAACACTGGAAAAAATGTAATAAAATCGACATTTTTTTAGGCTGAAAAAAACCTTTCAAATAATAGAAATACATTTAGGAAACTAATGAGTATACGGATTCGAAAAAATTGAGAAAAATGTTCGTTATCAATTTTTTCTTTCATAGAAAAAGCGTTAAAATTCGGATTCGTAACATTTCGAATTTGTTCAATAATTACTTAAATTCCTGCTGATTTTTTTATTCAATTTTTTTATTTTTTTGGAACTTAGATTGATAATTTAAGCATTCTTTTTCTTTTAAACCGCAAAAAGATCATTTCTCAAAGGTTTATCTGCTTAAAAATACCCTAAAACCATGAATGAAAACAAAAAATGACATTTATCCACTGAAAAAGCAAGCAAAATGATACAAAAATAGCTTTTCTTCCATCCAAAATCGCTAGAAAATGTTTCTTTCACTGTTAAAAAAAACGTTCTTTCTTTCTATAAACATTCTAAAGCCTTCAGAAAAAGAAGTATCATTTCCATCATTTTTTCGATAATCTTCAAATTCCAACGCCTAAAAACCAAAAACATGCTCAGAAACGTGAAGAAAAAACCGGGATTTTCCATTTTTCGAGCTGCAAACTCACTTTACAGAGGTACTCGGAGGCCCGTACTTATTTGGAGTTGTCTTGGCACTGTAGGAGAAGAGATTCCTTGATGGGCTCGAGTGGATCGTCGTCAGGTTCTTGGCGGAACTACTGATTCTGGTCCCCTCGTGACAAGAAGACGTCGGCAAACTGGCTGAGGAACGTTGCGGGGTCGTTTGGTTGGCTGGAAAACGAAAGAAATGGATTTTTTCGAATCAGAATGCTTCTGCAGCCTTTCCCCTCAATGAAGAATATAAAACTCTGGGGAAACTTCTAGTGGCCACTTTAGGGTTTTGACGTCTTAGTGGCCACTACAGTGGTCGAATTAGTGAGGTCTTTAGAAGTTTTCTCATGCATGCTTCCTATTGAACATAAACTCTACTGGGAAAACTTGTATTGGCCACTATAGAGGCTCGACAAGGACTACTTGAAGAGAACACTAAAGTGGCCACTAAAACAAACATCTATAGTGACCTGTATTTTCCGTTTTGATGGCCACTTCAGTAGTTTTTCATCCAGTATTCCTTCCAGTAACTCTGATAATTTTAAAACAAACAGATTGGACCAGTTATGTTGATCCATTGACCCCTAGAGTGGCCACTAAAATTTTTAGTGGTCTAGTAGTAGCACTTAGACCTTTACAGTGGCCACTAATTTCTAACCCCTTGAGTGGCCACTAATTTGACTACTATAGCGACCTCTAAAAATTTTGAGGAAAAATGCTTTTGGAGGTCGAAAATTGTCAAAAAGCTACCGTTTTCGGAGTTCTACTTCTCCTTTTTCACACTAAAACTAAAACTTCCTATTAAAACTTGAAATCTAGTTACTTGGCTACTCGAGAAGCACCTGAAGAAGTAACATGAGAAAAAATGCTGTGGGAGGTCCAAAATTGTCAAAAAGCTACAATTTTCTGAGTTATACTTCTCCTTTTTCACACTAAAACTTCCTATCAAACCATAAAAACTGATTTTCCTAGAACTCTTGGCTTTTCTGAAGCACCTGAGGGAGTAACATGAGGAACAACGCTTTCTGAGGTCCAAAATTGTCAAAAAGCTATAGTTTTCGGAGTTCCACTTCTCCTTTTTCACACTAAAGCTGAATATTCCTATTAAAACTTAAAACCTGGTTTTTCTTGGCTACTCGTGAAGCACCTGAGGGAGTAACATGAGTAAAAATGCTTTGGGAGGTCAAAAAACTAGTTTTCTGAGATACTGCTTTTTCACACTGAATTTGGATGGAACTGATATTTCCTATCAACACTAGAAAACTGATTTTTCTAGAACTCTTGGCTACTCGTGAAGCACCTGAGGGAGTAACATGAGGAACGACGACGGTGTCGGGGGCGGTGACCGTGACAGTGGCGGAAGCGACCGCGGAAGTCGGGATGACGGCGGCGGCGGCCGAAGAGAAAGCCTCCGGCGGGCTGACGGACTGGGCCGGCGGTGGATGTTGGGGGGTCGACTGGGCCTGATGCTGCGGATGTTGTTGAGGCGGATGGGGATGATGATGGTGATGGTGGTGCTGCTGCCGGTGGGAGTTCGAGGACGGCGCATTGCTGCTCATCGACATGCTCGAGGAGGAGTGGTAGTTGTCTTCCGGCGGGTAGGAATGAAGCTGGAAACAGGTTTATTTTCGACTTCTTGCCAAAAAAGTGACTACTTCATAAGCATCCTAAGGAATTCAACAAAACTTTAAACCCTAAAGTAGCCACTAAAAATCATTAATAAATGCTTTTTAGAGGTTTTGGTCCGCAAGTTTGCCAAGAAAATTTTTTTCCGAGTTGCGTCGGATAGGAATACGAGTGGAAAACAACAGCAAACTTCCTGCAAAAAAAAAAACTCAAGTGGCTACTTGAAGAAAGAGACTCCTAATTTATCTATTAAAAAACGTCAAACTTTAAGTAGAAATTGCACGCTTTTTTCTACAAGTTCTCAGAATTTGGAATTCCAGAGTGGTCCCTACAGGTGTCAGGAGGAAAAAAGCAGTCCCCTAAGGAGTCGAAAAAGTGCTCCCTATAAACTAAATGTTTACTTTGAAAAAATTCTTGTGAGCTCCTAGCGCAGTCAAACAAAAAAAAACAGATAGTTCCCAAAAAAAAGGTTATTTTCTTCGAAAAAATAAGAAAAAAGAGAAAAAACCTATTATTTTTGAAGTTTGAAGTATTTATAAGTCTTATAAAGTGTATTTTTTTCGATTTCTACTGTCAATAAAACCTAGGAAATAAATTTATTATGCTTGACAAGATCATCGAGAAAAAATTAACTTTACTTTCATGATATTTTTCCTACTGCTCAATATTGAATCTGCTACTTCAACTTTCGGGAATCAAAAAAATTTTTTTCAAACTTTTTTTCGAAATTCATTGATTAATAAAGCCTGTTTTTCCATCAAAAATTCTAATTCAATTTTTTCATCTAATTACTCTAATTTATATACTCTACAACCTTTTTTTAGAAGCAAGATACTACAATTTTTAATGAAAAATCAATTTTTGGAAAACTTTTTCGATTTTTCTAGCTCAAAGTCCGCAGTTTCTAAGTTTTCAAAAAAAAAAAAATTATTCTTTTATCAAAAACCCATGTTTAAAATCGATGCATAAGGAGCAGAAAATCCCTGAAAACCCACATCATCAATGCGATCCTTGAGCATTTCGTTGCGAAGCAAGGCCCTCAGAACGATTTCATCGCGACGATGCTCCTCGATGCACATCTGCTGGACCTGGTAGCCGCTGGGAGAGCTGGTCCCGGAGCTGGCCGAGAACTGATGGCTCGAGGAGTTGGAACCGTGGCTGGTCGGGTGCGAGTCCCCGCCACCGCCGCCGCCGCCACTGTTTCCGGTCCCGCCCCCTGCGTTCATCCGCGTACTGTTCCCCATCGGTCGCTTGAAAGTATGTACAGCCTGAAAATGTTATGATTTTCAAAATTACTTTCTAAAGGCTTCAATGACAATATTCATAATTCCGTGTTCAAAGTAAATTCCGCAAAATGCAAAACTATCTCTGACTATCCGAAATTTAATTATCTTTTTCTTTCTCTGAAGGTTATTTTGGACTTTGCGGAACTTTGAACACAGCATAAATTTTTTTAAACTGAAAAATTGTTTTGTATCGAATGAAAGCATTATTCTTCTTCAAGTTGAAAAAGAAAAATCATAATTCTCGCATCAAAAAAAATAAAATCTTCATTTGGAAAAAAACTTAAAGATAATAATAAAATATAGGAATTTTTCTTTTGGAAAATATTTTCAATAATATCAATCCGTTTTAAACTCTAACTCATTTACAAAAAAATTCAAAAATATTTTTTTAGAAACGAACAAAAAAATCTAAAGAAAAAGGAAAAAAAAATCTAAAAATCTTTTTTTCAAACAAAAAAATTTGACACAATTTAAAAAAATAATAAGTTCAATTTAATGTTCTAAACACAAAAAAATTATAGAATCCTGGAGTTTTTCAACAAAAAAAATGAAAGTACAAATTAATTTCTAGCAACATGACAAAATCTACTTTCTCACATCAATATTAAAAGGTAAATTATTATTTACTATAAATCAGAAATCACAAACATCGTGATCCGTGTTGTAAATGGCGCAAAACCGAGCATTCAATTCACTATGAGGTTGTCGTAGTGGAATGAAACGATCTCCGTAAGGATTCGCTCCTTTTGTGGGAGTTACTCGGGGCGACAAGTTTGGCTGAAAAACATTGAAATAAAATCAAATTTCATGTCCGAAAACTTACCGCTTTGACAGGCGAAGTTCCCGGATTATGCTCCGACAGCATACGGCGTACTGGTAACACCGGCTGTAGGTCTTCTTCCATAACAGAAGCTGAAAAAAGAAAATTTCAATCCTATAAATGAGAACGAGAGTTTGAAAAAACGAGATGAAATCTTCGTTCCGGGACCGTTTTCCAGCATTCGCGGTTTCCACCAGAAGCTTTCCAACTGCCGAGACCTTCTCCAAGAGTCACAAACATGAAATATTCAAAATAAAAACGAAAATCGAACAATGAAGCATTTCGAAAGAATTGGGCTGGGCAGTGTGCAAAGAGTACGCACTTTTTGAGGCGCGGTTGCAAAAGATGAAAACTTTCATTGAAATTTTTTTTCATTTATGGCGTGTTCATTTTCAAAGCATGTTCAGTTTCTCCGATGAACACGCCATAATATTGCAAGCGAGTATTCTCTACGGAATAAATATTTGGGGAAGAATCAGGGCTGTTATTTTGTCCTTATTTTGTAAATTTCGATGAGAAAATTGAAGAAAATTATAAATTTTTTTGAAATTTAATGGAATAACTGGCTTTGAAAAAAAGAAAAAGAAAATTTCCATTCCGCTAACAGAAAAATCTGTTTCTGCATATCTCAAAAAGAAAACCGTTTAGAATTATCAAGGAAATTAGGAAGATATTTAAAAAAATTATGAAGAGTTATCTATTCCTAATCGCTTTAAATTGGATAATTTTCCTTCGTGAGTCTCAATGGAATTGAAAAAAATAAAACTTATTTTTTCAGGCTCTATTCTAATCATTCGAGGAAAACGAGAAGAAACAGAAAACACGAAAATTGTTTGGAGAATGAAAGGGATTTGTTGAAAAAAAAGACGTTCTTGTAAGTCGAAAAATGATCCGATAATCCTCGAAGGGGATTTTTTCGTTATGAAAAAGCGAATGAAAATCAAATTCAAACTAAATTCAAGCTTTCAAATTTTCGATGCTTAAGGAACCTTGTGGTAAGTCTGTTAAGGACCCTCTAGAAGATGTTAGAAAGAAACGCAAGATTTATCGATTGGGTCGTCACGTAGAAAAGAGGTGGGAGGGTAGGCGTGGATAGGAGGAGAGAGTGCGCGTCTGGGCAGAGAGCGGCCGACGACGAGCCGGTGGCGGTACTCAGAGTTCGAGACTGGCGAGTAGAGAGTATTGTAGTCGGCCCGCGCACCTGCTACATTCATGAACAATGCCGCGTTTGTTCATTTAATGACAAAGGCAGCGGTTTGGGTGGCTGAAAAACAGCCTGACCAGTCAATTTTTTGAGAAGTTTGTCACGGAAGGAGTGAAAAAACAATGGGCTCAGCTATTCATATATTTTTCCGACTCGCTTCAAATTTGTAAAAAGTATCTGGTTTGCTCAAAGTGACAAAAAGGTCAACTGACTAAGGAACGTTTTTTACAATTCCTCGAAATAGATCTGGTTTTCGAGTTAAAGCTCAAAATAGCGCTTTTTCATAATTTGCTCATTTTGCAGACTTTGAAGCTTCATAACTCGAAAAACTAGAAAAATTTTTTTCTTCTGTTTCAATAGGGAGGTCCCAAAGTACACTTCATCAAAGTTTCATCAAAAGCTCAAATTTGGGGGGGTAAAAATGTTCCCTAATGAGTTTCTGAAAATTTTGAAAAACACAAAATCACGAAGTTTTGGCAGTCCCGAAAGCATAATAAAAATTGCTAGTTCTTGGAAAAGTTGAAGATTTCCAGAAGGCATTACCGAAATTGGCACTCCCAAAAATCATAACTGAAATTGGCAGTCCCAAAATGCACTACCAAAATTGGCAGTCCCAAAATGCACTACCAAAATCGGCAGTCCCAAAATGCTCTACCAAAATTGGCAGTCCCAAAATGCACTACAAAAATTGGCAGTCCCAAAATGCACTACCAAAATTGGCAGTCCCAAAATGCACTACCAAAATTGGCAGTCCCAAAATGCACTACCAAAATTGGCAGTTCCTTTAAAAGTTCAATATTCTAGTAGTCCCAAAAAGAATAACCAAAATTGGCAGTCCCAAAAAGTAATACCAAAATTGGCAGTCCCAAAATGCACTACCAAAATTGGCAGTCCCAAAAAGTATAACCAAAATTGGTACTCCCAAAAAGTATTACCTAAATTGGCAGTCCCAAAAAGAATAACCAAAATTGGCAGTCCCAAAAAGTAATACCAAAATTGGCAGTCCCAAAATGCACTACCAAAATTGGCAGTCCCAAAAAGTATAACCAAAATTGGTACTCCCAAAAAGTATTACCTAAATTGGCAGTCCCAAAATGCACTACCAAAATTGGCAATCCCAAAAATCATAACCAAAATTGGCAGTCCCAGGAAGGATAACCAAAATTGGCAGTCCCAGGAAGGATAACCAAAATTGGCAGTCCCAAAAAGAATAACCAAAATTAGCAGTCCCAAAATGCACTATCAAAATTGGCAGTCCCAAAAACCAGCAATGGAAACCAAGCTTTTCCATGATCTAATGCTGTAAACGGATGGACATTTTTTTCATAAAATTCAACTTAAGAGCGAATTTCAGAAAGGACTGAACTTATTTGAACTCTAATGAACCTTATTACGCTTCCTATGAAGACATTGTAAAAACGAAACATGAGAACGAAGACCTGCAGTATTATATTATGGCTTCAAGCCAGAGCATTTTGTGACGAACGGGGAGGAAACCAAAGAATTGTGTAATCGAAAGGCTCATCGATGTGTTTTTGCGGTTTTTTTCAACTCTTTGGCCGATCTCTGGGATAAGTAACCGTTTTAAAGCAGTTTAAAGCATTTTTGTTTGAAGAAAGATGAAAATTCTGAACTTTTTGTGGGCTTTTATTCATTTTTGAGCTTTCTACAGATTTTTTTGTCCTCAATTTTGAAGCCAGAGCAAACCTAGTGTAGGGACCGCAGAGCCACGCCCACTTCGCTGTTCAAAAAACGTCGTCATTTTCGTTGCATTTTGGTTTTTTTTACATTTTAAAACAGTTTTCTTGCACCGATTTGGGAAAAAATTGGGGGAAACATACAATCGGCTATGCTTAACAATTCTACATAAAGAAAAAAACTGAAAAATGAAAAATAAGATATTATGGCGACAGTTTTTAAAACGCATTTGTGGCCGAAAACGGATAAAAATCCCGTTTTTTCTTGAAAGTTTCTGGGCAACTTTTTTCTATTTTTGAATATAATACAGCAACTAATAACGCATATTCTGGCAAAAAATGAAAAATTATATGGTTGGCCTCAAAAAATAACGCGATTTTCGAACTTTCTTATTTTTGAAAAACGCAATCGATAACTACTGATTATATTTTTAAACGGTTGTTGACAGCTGTTTGTAAATTTTTAAAAATAGAAAACTAAGTTTTTTTATCGACTATATAGTTCATATGAAAGCTTGAAATTTTCGTTTTTTTTGTATCGCCTTGAAAACGGCCCAAAGCGTTCTGGGCAGGTTTTTTTATTTTACAATATATATATACAACGAATCAAAAAATAAAAAATTCAAAGGATGGCCCGAGAAGAATCCTCGTGCCCACCGATCTGAAATCTGTAGCCAGAAAGTCAGAAGTCTCCAGATTTTCACCGATATTTCGCAGGCCAAAGAGCAGCACCAAAGATTTATTCAACACGGATTTATTAATCAATAAAATCAACAAATCACAAATTCGAGAGGGTCACTTCAGAAGCAGACGTCCGAGCAGTCGTTTGACACCAGAAGAACGACGGCGTCGAATTTCCGGACGAGCGTGCGGATCGCCAAACACGATTTCTTGAATATGGATCATGGTAAAAGAAGAAATTTTGATAAATTCCAACCGAAATTCTACTTTTCCCGACTTTTATCCGTCAAAAAAGGCGGAGCCAACGTCATTTCGGTAATAAGTCTAGGTAGGACGATTTTGTGGCCGAATTTTGTGGGATCGCGTGTCCGGCTAAAAGGCCATTGCGTGGACCTACTGCCAGTAGGCTACTGGTTTCCTTTTTTTTTTCCATTTTGCAGTCATTTTCGACAAAATTTGGAGAATATGCAGGAAAAAGCTTTGATTGTATTTCTGAAGAATGGACGTGGGCGATGGCGGAAAGTTGAGCAGTTCCCCGTTCAGAGAACCTCATCTTTTTCAGATGCTCTGAACAGCCCTAATGGTTCCAGAGAGGCCCCTAGAGGGGTTAGCCCTAATGGTTCCAGAGAGACCCCTAGAGGGGTCAGCCCTAATGGTTCCAGAGAGGCCCCTAGAGGGGTTAGGCGAAAAAGCCCTAGAGCCTTTAGGTTTTTTAGGGTTCTAGGCTGAAGGGGCCGAAAAAACGGTCCTTATGGTGGTAAAATGTACGTGAACCCTATAGGGGTCTTTCAATTTTCGTTCCACTTTGAAAATAAAAAAGACAAACTTGATCGAATTATCGTATTTTGATATTTTTGATACATCTTCTCATTTTATAACAACGATCGAATAGCATGTCCCCTATAGGGACAACTTGACTTGCTTGAGATTGGACCCGCAGAAATAGTTGGCTGAACGACGTCTTCAAATCGGAAGGCGTGACGACTTCTTTGCCGCTATCCCCCAGAGGAGATTATGTGAACGAGAACATGATGGTGCGGTTTTTGCGGCCGTCGCGGCGTCGTTTGTTCTTGGTTCTTACATGATTTCATCATTTTGTTCAATGCCTAGAGATGATATTTTCGTTCAATATATGGAAAATTGCCGAGGATTTCATCGTTAATTTTTTTTTCTCTTTCTTTCTCTTTTTTTCTCTCTTTTCTCTTGTTCAAAATTTGCTCTAGTGAGAAGGTAAAGACTTCTCGGACGTGCTCCGGATGTTTCTGGGCGATTCTAGGGATCACTTAAGAGTTCTGAGGCTACTAAAGTGGTCACTAGAAATGCCCCGACACGTCCCGTTCGCGTTACCAAGGTCCGAGCTCTTGAAACTGAGCTTCACGAAATTCCGGAACTTTCTGAAACATTAAATATTCCTGTTCGAAGCTTTTTCTTTGCCGATTTTTTTAAAATTTGTACAAACTAATAGTGTTTTTCATATTTATATTTTTTAAGATTTTGTTTCTCAGATTTTTCCTTTTAAAACGGCCTGTAATGTTGGTTATTCTCCGCTGAAAAAAAATTTTTTTTGTTTTTTTATTGTATCAAAACTTTTCATTCTCTTTGTTCCCAAGCCAATTTTTAGCTTCATTGGCACCCGCCAATCATCAATTATCTTGTAAAGGACATGAAAAACAACAAGAAAATGGTGCCGAAGGATATTCCCTTTTTGGGTGGCCCTTTCCAACTTTTGGCGCGGCTTTATGATAAGAGGCCAATTCCGAAACGGGTTTTTTCGCTCGAAAAAGAAGCAAAAATAGCTTTTGAGATGGACAAAAAAAGGCAGAAAAATTGATTTTTCGGAATTTATCAACTTTTAGAATGGAAAGTTCCCCGAAGAATAGGGACCACTCAAGGGATCAGACCCTAAAACCCTATAGGGACCACTTTTTCGACCCGATTGTTTATTGAGAGAATCCTTGGAGAGTCCCCACTACGGACCACATTACCAACCCCTAAAGGGGCCACTAAAGCTTGCGAAAGTGGTTCCTCTAGGGATTTTTAATAGTGGTTCTTATAGGAGAAGAAACATTTTCACGGGAAAAACTGAATAAATAAGCGTTTTTTGAATGAAATTGGAAGACCCCTATAGGGACCACTGAAGGGATCAAACCCTGAAACCCCATAGGGACGAATTTTCGACCGACCCCATACAGGGTTGTCACTGAGCAAATCTGGAAAGATATTTTTTGCGTCTAAAAATTTTTTTTGTCGGGACGATTTTCTAGGTTTTTTTATCGCCCCCCGCCTCTTAAGTGACTACTCAATAGTTGATCACCCTTCTGAATTCTTCCAGACGGCATTTTCGCTTCCAATCGATGCATAGGCAATCGGGCGGCGCCGATTTCGTTCGGATTTGAAATGTCGTTGTCCTCCCTCCATCGCGGCCAAAAAGAAGAGAATGAAGGAGGAAGAGTTCAGGTTGTCTCCAGCCGCAGACGTCTTCTTTTTCCTCTTCCTTTTTTTTGCTACCCTCATTTTGCTTTTATAATCGGTCTTTTTGTAATAATTTTAAAAAAAATCGGGTTTTTTGAAGACTTGAGGTAGACATAGTGTACTGATCTGAATTATGTTTCGATTTTCATTATTTTTTTATGTTTCGATTTTCATTATTTTTTCATGATTTTTATTTTTTTAAAGGCCGAAAATTTAGATTCTTCTAAATTTCACAGTTTCATTCCAGCTTCAAAATTTCAATTTATCTCATTTTTATTTTTTTTTTTGGTAATTTTTTTGAAATTTTTGAAACCAATTTTTTTAATCAAGGAGTCATCCCTTTAGTTAAATATGACTATTTTATTTCGATTTTTGATTTAAAAAAATCCTTTTTTTCACTGATTTTTCACTACCTGATAAGTAAGTTGAAGAAAAAAAGAAAAATATTAGAAAAAAAAATTTTTTCCATAGTTTTTTTCTATTTTTGGAATTCGAAACCGTTTTTTTAGTTCATTATTTTTTTCTATAACTTATTTCTAACACTATAAAGATTAAAAAAATAGTACAAAAAAAATCTTTCCTGAATTTTTTTAAGGTCTCAATTCAACTTTTTCAGACGTTTTCATATTTCTCACACCAAACATTTTGTTTTTTTCAAACTTCTAATGATTTTCGAAGCATTTTCCTGTTTTTTCTCCTTCCTCCCCTAATTCATTGCGGAAAAAAGATAGAAATCAAGAAAGTCCAGTGAAAACTGATTGAACCCGAGGAAAGAAAGAGAAACAAATCGAAAAAAGGGAAAGTTGGCCCTTTAATCCTCCCCTTCCTTGTCTTCGTCTGATGATCTTTTAACTCTGATATCCGTTTTCTAGAAGGTTGCTTGGACTTGAAACGGGGAATCAGGGATAGTTTTAAGGAAAAAAATCTGAAATTTTTTTAAAAAAAGACGATTCGGGGGATTTCGCCAAGATTTTCCAAGTCTTATTTTATTTATTTTACTTTTTGTTTTCAACTTTTCCGACTCAATTTGAACCAGATCCGTTTTCAAAGTCATTTTGCCTTATCCTATTAAGAATTATTTTTAAAAAGATTGAGAATGACCCGATTATATCTCATTTGCGACCAAATTGTTCCAAGTCATGACCGAAGAAGAGCGAAACAAAACGAAAACGAAATCCTGACTTTTTCCCAATCCATTTTCCGTCACACTTTCCTTGTAAGGGAAAACTTGTAGGCTTGGGAATCTCCCCTGGAGAAAAAGTAGTAGAAGATTGGGTCTTTCGATTGGGTGGAGAGGCCAAACTGGCCTTCATTCAGTTGGCCGTTCGCCTTGGCTTTAGACAGAAGTTTCCTTGGTTGCCAAGATTTTCATAGTCTTATTTTTATTTTCTATGAATTTTTATCAATCAGCCTGTTAATTTTTCTGTACAGTTGGAAATTGAGTTCCGACTTTTTTTTTTTGATTTTTGAGGGTCGTTCTTTTGGGATTTTCCTGAAAATTGGCCAGAACACTCCTTGATGTACCTTGAGAAGATTCTGAAAGTCTCAACCTAGTTTCCAAGAAATAGGGGTTAGAAGTCCAAATTCATAGATTTTTAAGGTTTTGTTTGACTTCGAGGTGTCCTTTTTCAAAATTTACTAATTTGTGCAGATTGACAATTTCAGAATGATCATCTGGTACACCGGGGATGATTCTAACTGATTTCCGAGGGTTTTAAAGCCGAAATTTAAACTTCCTTATCAGAGTAGTTTCAAAATTTTCATAGCATTATTTTTTCTCTTGAAGTTCTCTGAGCTCTTTTTGATTTTTTAAGGTTAAAATCATCTACTTTTTAATTTCATCTATCTCTAAAAAATTTTTTAAAATTTCATCTTTTTAAACGAAAAAGGAGGCGTGGCCTGTCTGCGCTCTCCACGAGCCAGGCACTGTCTTGCGCTTTATCGTGTCAGGACCCTTTTTCGAAGGCTCAAGCCAACCCTGAATCAGCTATATGACTTTAAGAAAACTTAATTTTTCCCTATTCCACCACTGATTTTTCGATTCCAAGCCATTGATTAGAGAGACTTAGCCGACGCGATTTGCCACTGTGGCTAACCCTCGAGGATGAGACGAGGCCCCCATCCACGGAAACAGTCCAGTTTTCGCGTTCGTTTCACTTCTTCTCGCTTTCTTTTCTTTTCTTGTCTAAACGACGCCGATATCCAAGGCTTTTATTCATGTTCCCTTAGATCTTTTGGTTTTTTCTCAGATTTTGTTTCTTTTTTTCATTGATATTAATAATTTTGTACTCTGGAATGTAATTTTTTTTTTGAAATCCCGTTTCTCGACAGATTTTCTAAAATAAGCAGCGCCTATTTCTAGAATAAGCAGCTCCTATTTTTAAAATAAGCAGCGCCTATTTTTAAAATAAGCAGCGCCCTTCTAAAATAAGCAGCGCCTATTTCTAAAATAAGCAGCGCCTTAATTTTTGATGACGTCATCGAGATAGCAGCGCCTAACTGACTTCATTTCTAAGTTTTTTTTAATGACGTCTTCGAGATTTTTTCTCATCGTTTTTCAGGTTATTAAAGAACTTTTCACGCAGAAACTTTTTTTCATTTTCTTGATCCTAAAATTTTCAAAGTTACATGCAGAATGAGAAGAAAAATAACGCCAATTAGTCGTTTTTTTGAAAAAAATTTTTAATTTTCTGTGATTTTTTTCAAACCAAACTATATTTTTAATGAAGATTTTTTTTTTTGAAAATATCTAAGGTGAGCAATACACGCGTCACTTTGTCATTTTCCGTCCTCGATGGCCCCGAAACGGTTTTGCAACGCGATGAGAATGAAGATCGGTTTTCGACCTCATTTTTTTTTCCGAAATCTTTCAACTTTCTTCGGATCCCCTACACTCTATTATTATCTGATTTCCTGTTCTTGACAATTTTGATGTCTTTTTTTCGCTAATTTTACACCAGAGCTCAAAATGAGCTTTGAAAAAACCAATAGTTAGAGATGACTTTTCAATTTTGCTGATCTTGTAAAACTATTGGAATTTTTTCCTAGAAAACTTTCTTTGATAGAGAGAGCATGTGAAAAGAAAAGACAATCAGAGAAATGAAGGGAAACTGTCTGCCTGAATGTCTCCGATATTTCTATGGTCTCTAATTATTACTTTTCGGGCTATTATCGCTCATTCTATAGAAACTGAATTAAAACTTTTATTTTCAGGCTCTCCCCCTTCATTTTTAGGCCCTTTTCAGGCCCTCACTCTTCATTTTTTGGCCCTTTTCAGGCTCTCCCCTTTCATTTCTAGGTCCTTTTCAGGCCCTCCCCTTTCATTTCTAGGCCCTTTTCAGGCCCTCTCCTTTCACTTTTAGGCCCTTTTCAGGCCCTCCCCTTTCATTTTTTTGGCTCTTTCTAACCCCCCACTCTCTTTTTAGGCCCTTTCAGGCCCTCCCCTTCATTTTTAGGCTTTCTTCAGGTCCTCCCCCTTCATTTTCAGACCCCTTAAAAAAATTGTTCAAACTGCTTTTAAACTCTAACTTAAATCAAAAAATTTTCTGTTTTCTTTGCGTTTTCCTTATTCCCACTCTAAATTTGCCTTTTCAATGATTTAATGATTCAATCTTTATTTTCCAGGGTCTAAACCTATCAAGGAAGGTGAAATGGGAGCGTTGGAGCGAGCCTCGATTTACGTCGAGCAGAAAACTCACGACCTTTTTTACTGGTGTGGCCTGAAAATCGCTGATTGGCCCAAGACTTTTCTCTTCGTATGGTTCGTTTTTTTTTTAGAAAGTTCTTTTTAGCGCAAATATGGTTAAAATAGGGGAAAAACTCAGATTATTCTCTTTTTGTGTCTTTTTTCACTTCTATTGAAGTTTTGTTACCTCAATTTCTGTCTAGTTATTCTAATGGCTGATCAATAAATCATGTAATTGCGCAAAGCCGGGGACCTTCTCTCAATCGGGATCCCGCGCACGTCGAGAAATCTAGTTTCGAAGCTGAAGGCTTGTCGGACGACATTCCAATAAACGACGCCGTCATTTCCGATTTTGTTTCATTTTGGGAACTTTTTTCGGAAGAGATTTTGAGAATGGATTGAAGGCTCCGATAAGAATTTGAAAAATTAAAGTATTTAAAAAATCTGTATTATAATCTAGAAGCTGTAGAAGACCGAAAAAAACGGAAAATCTTGAATTTCTGAATTTTTCGACTTGAATTTGAACTTCCAAAGTTTTTTCTCTTTCTTTTCTGATTTAATATTGATTAAAGGCACATCAATGGGTCATATTTCTCATTTAAAATAAAAAAACGCGATTTTTTTCTGTTTCATTTTTTTTTAACACACAAGCCGTGTTGAAAGTAAGAAGCCACCAGAAAGTGAAAAACATAATTAGGCTTGGTTTTAAATTTCGCGAAAATTACTTTGAACGTGGCATGTGCGAGAGCGCCGCGGTGCATGCACACGACACATTACACTTTACGGAAACCGTGTTTTAAATCAGCACTGAAATTTCGATACTTTATTCTTTCCGAATCTAGAAAGTAATTCGTAATCATTGCGTTTTTTGGAAAGATCTCTAAATTTTCTCGATAATGTTTAGATATCTGAAACCTTTTTTTTTCCACAATCTCGTCTTATAAACTTCTAAAAGCTCTCAAAAAATCGTTGAAGACACGAAAAATGACGTTTTGGAGGCCTCCTGGAGGAAACAAGGCCAATCGGCTCATTTTCCCCATCCACCTGGCCCGCTAAACGATGTGTCACTTTCATTTTTTGATGTTTTTCCTTGATTTTGAAGGGTTAAAGGTATTTGGAGGAGAAGAGAAAGTACATGGAAGGAGCGAATTCGAGACATTTTCTTCAAGTTTTAATTGAACAGACCTCCAGAAAGTTTGATACAACCAACTAAAAAAAAAGAATAAAAGTAGATTCCAAAGAAAATATTAACAAAAAATTCAATTTTCGACTTTCAGCACAGTATGGGCTTTGGCGATGTGCGCCGGCGTCGTCCGCTTCAAAGAGGTCAATAACGTTCGCGATCACTTCAGGTGCCACTTGAGAGTTTCAAGGAACTATTTCGCCTTTTTCAGTGCCTCGACGTCTCCTTCTCGATATGAGTTCCGAGTGGCGCGGGAATTCTTCCAGGAGCTTGGAAGCCCATTTCACGTCGTCGTCGCCATGAAAACGGCCGACGATGGCAATATTTTGAGGAAAAAGTTGGTTTTTCTTTGTCACAAAGGAAAAAATTAATGTATCTGTACAAAAATATACAAAAAACGAATTTCAACTGTGTCTCGCTGGCTCGACTCTCCAAGCGCTGATTGTCAAACTCGGTCTTCGATTCCTCCTGGGTCCTTCCTTCTTTTTCTTCTCGAAACACCAGAAATTCATGAAAAGCTTCCGTTTTGCAGTGCTCCCAATGATTATAGATAGCGGAACGACGAAGTCTGAAAAATTGAAGAATGAAAACCGCGTATAGTCTGTGTGCCACATTTCATTCATTTCATTTCAAGTGTTTATTCGCCATTCCGCAATCAGCACGACAAATACAAAAAAATAAAACATCAAGACAATCAAATAAATCTAACAGCTGATCTGTGGAAACGGCTGGAGGAAAAGATTGTCTGAGTAGACGGTGCTAACCCCCATTTGGTATTTAAGTTTGTTCTTTGTATTTTTTTAATAAGTTAGAATTTTTTTCTAGATTTTTAGTAGGATCTAATGATTTCAAAAACGATGTGTTTGATTCGAACCATGAGGTGAGCATAATCTGAAACTTGCCGATTTCGTATTCAATGATAGTTTCTCTCTCCAGTTGGTTCCAAATGGGTATGACTCTATGATTTAGGAAGCGTTGTTTGATCAATTCATTCACACGACTTGAAATTTCATGGAACGACATTCCGCTGTTCCGCTGCGTGCGTTCGCCAAGCGTCTTTCGAATCTAAGTGACGCTTCCAATTGATTGTTATTGCTGTGGGAGCACAGGAAAGTAGAGAACCTTCATAAAAGAAAAAATAAATAAAAGCGGAATGTCGTTCGGTGAAATTCCAAGTTGTAGTACACAGGCTATACATCCATTACAAATCAATTAACTACTGAAATGAGAAAAAAAAACATACTGCAAGTGCAAGCCAAGCAGACGTCGAGGAAAAGGCGATCAGTACCTTCTAGACGCTTCGGACAAGCCTCGATAAATAGTTGCACCGTAACGGCAAACTTCAAATGTTGAAGTCAAGGTTATTGTATAGTCAATGTTTCCCGACTTAAAAGGCGAGGGAAGCGGGACGCGTAGCGTGTGCGTAGCGGTTCTTGGCGCCAGTTCAATTCAATCGCCGCCGACTTTTTGAAAAGCTCGGCAACCGCTTTTTTTTGTATTTTCTCCTTTTTTTTGATGCACGCATGAACATAATCAATAAATAATTAAAAAAGTAGTGAAAAGAGCGATAAATGAGCTCTCTGAATGCTCGCTGGCGGTTGAACTCGTGCCAAGAACCGCGTACGCACACGCTACGCGTCCCGCCCCTTGCCCCGCCTCCCTTGCCTTTCAAGTCGGGAAACATTGACTATATTTTAAAAGGTATCTCACCAATTGAAAACTAGCAATCGGTAGAGCCTGCCTCAAAACAGCACTGTGTTCATTGGCAACTCGGCTGTTTCTAGTTTGATGCCTTACTGCGGACAGAATACAGCAGTAGCCAATGAAAGAAAATATTGAGAACACTATTCGGAGCCCGAAATCGACCTGAAAATCTTCGATTTCTAAAAATCATCTTCTACTCACCACAAAACAAATCGAAGAGTAAATGCTGATAGGATCGTGTTTCAGTGTTGGATCTTTTTTGTAGATCATAAAAGTGTAGGAAAAAACGGATATGACCCCGATGATTGGACAAAGTATTAGAAATATTGTAGGACCGACCCTGGAATTTATTTGAAATGTTTTGAAAAAGAAAATTTTCCTGCAACAATTTTTTTACAGTTCAATGAGAAGCTTCAAATTTGGTAGTTATAGCTGATTCACGGCCAGCTTGGGACGCGAAGGGGGCGTGTCCTATCTGCGCTCTCCACGAGCCAGGCGCTATCTCGTGCATTTTCGCGTCAGGACCATTTTTCGATGGCTCAGGCCACTATAGAGGCTCGCCAAAGACTACTTGGAGAGGACACTAAAGTGGCCACTATTTTCCGGTTTAGTGGCCACTTCAGTAGTTTTTCATCCAGTATTTCTTCCAGTAACTGATAATTTTAAAACAAACAGATTGGACCAGTTATGTTGATCCATTGACCCCTAGAGTGGCCACTAAAATTTTTATTGGTCTAGTAGTAGCACTTAGACCTCTATAGTGGCCACTAAGTTTTAACCCCTCAAGTGGCCCCTAATTTGACTACTATGGTGGCCACTAAAAAGTCAAAACCCTATATTGGCCTCTAAAAGTTTTCCCAGGAGAAGCTTCAAATTTAGCAGTCCCTAGACCAAAAAAAAAAACTAATTTTTGACAGTTCTATAAGAAAAACTGAACTAGGCCTTCCTTAATAACTAATTGATTTTGAATGAGTTATACGCTTTATTTGACTTTTCTATGAACCCCAATAAAGAGTACCGAACCAGTGAAAACAGTTCGTGAGAGACTTGAAGCCGTCGAAAAATGCACAAATTCGGTGGAGACAAAGAAGAACGTCTAATAAGGAGATTTGTGCCGGGGAAAGCAACAAAATCGACACAAAAAATGTCGCGAATGAAGATTTTGGGAAAAGAAATGCGACAAATCCGCTGATGACTGTTGAGGAAGTTGATAAAATGGCTATCATTGACATGATCAGCATGAGTGGGTAGTAGGACAGCTGAAACTTTTTTTCAATTTAAAGGCATAGGAGCAGTGAAAAACGGAGTTTCAGGTGGGAGCAGTATCTTATATAGTTTTTCATTGCGAATCGAACTGAGCTATCAAAAAAATCACAGATGAGACTACTTTTGAAGAAACACGTTTTGCGATTAAAGTTTGCAAACTATACATGAATAGAAAGCTTTTGTGACAAAAAGAACTTTGGTGACGACGGAAAAAATTGAAAATTGAAAGAAACGAAGAAAAAAGGGAAAATTCAAAAAATGGCGGAACGTGCTGTCCATAGAGCAACTTTACTGCAAAACGGCCTTTTGGCGGGAACTCAAGCTTTCCTTTCTCCGACTTTGAATTTTTTTTTTCTCTAAAACTAGGAAATTCGGTACGTTTTCAAGTTTACCGTTCGACTCGCAATGAAAAGCTCTACAAATTACTGCTTTGAACTGAAACACCGTTTTTTACGGCCCCTATACCCTTAAAAAAACGGTTTTGACAGAAATACTGGTAGAAATCTAGCAATTCAACTTTTGATTGCGATTTTTGAAGTTCAGTCAAAGTTCGAAATGTTCAACATACCTTGGACTCTTGTCGGTACGTCTTCGTGAAAATAAAAATCAGTCTGAAATTGACGAAAACAGAAAAAAGCGTTTCCAGAAGGAAGAGCACAGCCAGAACATCAAAAACGCAAGAAATCGGCGTTTCCGAAGGTTCAATAGTCATAAAATTGTTGGAAAAGTGTCAATGAGCCAAAAATTCGACTCAAAGTCGGAACTTGAAAAGAGTTTCGGGCATTTTGAAGGCGAAGAAAACAGGTGGAATATAATATTCTCAGTTTCGGGATTAATTGACGTCAGCTTTTCGATTGTTGTTTGGGTGTAAATTGAAAATTTTAGTTTGGTTCTCAGAAAAAAACGATTTAGAAACAGGGAAAAAAAGCTGGCTCATAGTTGATTATAGGAGGATTTGCTGGTAATTGTGGGTTTAGGATTTGCAAATTCGAAGAATAACAAAAGATGACAAGGTTTTTATAAGTATTTGAACTTTGATTTTTTGAAATTTTTGTGTGTAGTTTCACGTCTTCCAATATTATAGTCAATGTTTCCCGACTTGAAAGGCGAAGGAGGCGGGGCAAGGGGCGGGACGCGTAGCGTGTGCGTACGCGGTTCTTGGCACGAGTTCAATTCAACCGCCAGCGAGCATTCAGAGAGCTTATTTATCGCTCGTTTCACTCCTTTTTTAATTATTTATTGATTATGTTCATGTATGCATCAAAAAATAGAAGAAAATACAAAAAAAACGCGGTTGCCGAGCTTTTTAAATAGTCGGCGGCGATTGAATTGAACTGGCGCTAAGAACCGCCTACGCACACGCTACGCGTCCCACCTAACTCGCCTTTCAAGTCGGGAAACATTGACTATATCAACTATGTTCATTTTGAAAGTTTTCAGTTACATCGATAAGGCGCTGGAAATCGAAGATTATCTTCAATACAAGCTGCAAGTCGAGCACGAAGGAAGGAATTACTCCTACTCCGACTTTTGTGGAACTCAATGTGAAACTTCGGACGCTGTGAGTTCAATAGAACTTTCTCAAAAAAAACTCCTTTTAAGGTTAACATTTTTCTGACCATGTTCCGGGATCAACAAACCCGGCAACAAGCCCATGTGAAGCTGACCTATCCATCTATGGACGTTTTCGGACATCGGGTTTATTTGGCCAATAATATCTTCCAAGTCACCATCAACAACAGGTAACTCACATGAAACAGCAAAAGTTCCAATATTTTCAGGTCACAAATCGTTGAGGCTTCCAAAATGGTCGCTATCAACTTCCACGCAATTTACAGCAACGAAACTCTTCTCACAATAATGAAGAAGTGGGAAAAGGTTCCAATAATTTTCGTTCCCTTTGAAGAATTTCTTTTTTCAGAAAGTGTTTGAATATTCGCAAGAAACCATCAACGATCCATTGATCCGGGTTTACTGCACCAGTGAGGGATTAGTTTCGGAGGAAGTTCGAAGGACAGGTGAAAATTTCAGTTTTGATGATTTTTTGAGATGGAGCCGTACTGGGAAAAATTTTAGTGGCCACTATAGTAGTCAAATTAGTGGACACTTAAGAGGTTAAAAATTAGTGGCCACTATAGAAGTCTAAGTGCTACTTCCAGACCAATAAAAATTTTAGTGGCCACTTTAGGGGTACATGGCTCAACATGGCTGGTCCAATCTGTATGTTTTAAAATTATCAGTGTAACTGGAACGAATACTGGATGAAAAACTGCTTAAGTGGTCACTAAAACGGAAAATAGTGGCCGCTATAGAGGTGGGTTTAGTGGCCACTTCAGTGTCCTCTCCAAGCAGTCCTTGGCGAGCCTCTATAGTGGTCACTAAAAATGTTTTCAGTAGGTCGAATGGGAATGAGTCAATTTTTAAAGCTAAGAAGGGTAAAATGGGCCGATGAAACCGGAATCATGTCAATCAGACCAAAAATTTGAAGCAGAAAATCAAAAAAACTCTTTGTTCATTTTCCAAAGCATTCCAGGAATCCTGGCGATGCCATTGATGGGTGTGACTTTCCTCATAATCCTGTCTTTCACCGTCATAACAACTTTGAAACGAGATCCAGTCAGGAGCAAGCCTTTTGAGGCGTTTTTGGGCGTCATTTGCCCGCTCCTCTCTCTTTGCGCCTCTTTTGGACACCTTTTTTGGGTGATTTGATCAAAAAAACCCTTCAAAAAATCAATAAGTTGGATTATAGATGGGTTTCGAATACCTGCCCATCGTCACCGTCGTTCCCTTCTTGATTTTGTCCATCGGGGTTGACGACGTCTTCATTTTCATCCATGCTTGGCACCGAACTTCCGTCAAGTTTATACGAACAACATAATTCAAAGAAATGTTTCTTTTTAGGAATTCTGTTCGAGACCGAATGGCTGAAACATTGGCCGATGCCGGACCATCCATTTCTATCACTTCTTTGACAAATCTTCTGTCTTTTGGCATTGGAATCTTCACCCCAACACCCGCGATTTATGTGAATTTATAAAAAATGTTCCATGACCAACATAATTTTTTACAGACCTTCTGTGTCTTCATCTCGGTTGCCGTGGTTTATGACTACGTTTATCAGATTTTCTTCTTCTCTGCGGTTTTGGTTCTGGGTGGACAAAGAGAAGCGGAGAACAAGAACGCCTATTTCTGGTGGATTGAAGTTCCTCAGCCGGAGAAGGTAACAATTAGGACCATAACTCCTCTCATTTTAACAATTTCAGAACGTCAAACCGAAACAAAGCAAGTTCATGGAAATCTTCAACAAGGTAATGACAAAGGTCCTCGACTTTTGGGTTGATTTTATCATGGCCACCTGGAGCAAGTTCTTTATTGGAGGTAATCAAACTCATCTGGATAATTTTATTTTTTTTTCTAGCTATCATGGTCACATATTGGTACGTCATGATCAAGGGAGTGATGAGAATCGAGGTAGGACTGAATATTTGAAATTTTCCACTTTTATTCTCAGGTCGGTCTATCTTCTGAGAAACTTTTCCTCGATGATTCACCTCTTCTGGAACTTGTCCGAATTCAAACTAACGTCATTTTCAAGGAAGGTGGACAGGTATTCTTGATTTGTTTTGCTGGATTTCATGAAGTCGATTAGGTCGCTATTTTCGTCAACAACCCAGGAAATATGAGCGAGCCGGATGCTGTGCCGGAGATTATGAGGATTTTGAGGTATAGCTTAATTTTTTAAATGAATTTATGGAATAAATTTTCAGGCGGTTTGAAACGGCGAATAATAGCGTAGGCGCAGCAAGTACGCACATGTGGTTGCTGCCTTACCTGCCGTATGTTGGGGAACAGGTAGGAATTGAGGAGCTGTTGGAAGTTTTCAGAGGGCGAAAACTGGCAGCGCCAGCTTAAGCAGACCAAAGTGCCAACTTAAGCAGACCAAAGTGCCAACTTAAGCAGACCAAAGGGCCAACTTAAGCAGACCAAAGTGCCAACTTAAGCAGACCAAAGTGCCAACTTAAGCAGACCAAAGTGCCAACTTAAGCAGACCAAAGGGCCAACTTAAGCAGACCAAAGTGCCAACTTAAGCAGACCAAAGTGCCAACTTAAGCAGACCAAAGTGCCAACTTAAGCAGACCAAAGTGCCAACTTAAGCAGACCAAAGGGCCAACTTAAGCAGACCAAAGTGCCAACTTAAGCAGACCAAAGTGCCAACTTAAGCAGACCAAAGTGCCAACTTAAGCAGACCAAAGGGCCAACTTAAGCAGACCAAAGTGCCAACTTAAGCAGACCAAAGTGCCAACTTAAGCAGACCAAAGTGCCAACTTAAGCAGACCAAAGGGCCAACTTAAGCAGACCAAAGTGCCAACTTAAGCAGACCAAAGTGCCAACTTAAGCAGACCAAAAAAGTTTTTAGGTTGACACACATTGGTGCTTCAATTTTTTTCATTAAAAGCCGGAGAAAATTTTTTTTCATTAAATTTCGGAGAAAAGCCCTAAATAATCAATTTTTCATTAAAAGCCCCAAAAAAATGCAAAGAACTTTATAAATTTCAAATTCAGGAACATGGTTCTATCGAGTTCAAGTACCGATACCTACCCGAATTTTTCAAATTGATGGAATACCGCCGTTGGAGCCACTTCGTTAACCTCGGAGATCCACAGTAAATTTTAATTCTCAAACTTCCAGAAACATTTTTCCTAGGGACTGCCTCGCGGAACGGCCTGAATGCCTTCAGAAGTTTGTCTTCTCTACTGGCTTCCACGACGCCGTTTCTTGGAGCGACAGGTGGATCCCTCAAAATCTCAATAAAGTCAAAGAATTTCTCAGATTGGCTTTGCTGGAAAATTGGCGTCAGATGGCATCGGAGTACCAACACTTGAATTTGACGATCTATGAAGATTTCAGCATGTATTCTGATCAGGTATGAAGGTTTTTCGATTTTTTTTTCAAGTTTGGTTTCAGCTTCTCACAATCGTTCCTGTTACTGAGCAAACTGTCCTGTTCGCTTTGATGTGTATGATCATTGTGTTGATGCTCTTTACTCCTTCTCCAGTGACGATCGTGACGTCGACCATTGCCATTTTGTCTATTAACTTGGGTTAGTTTTTTTTCAGGATGATTTATCCAACAGAGTAAAGCAAATCGAAATTCTGCTGTTTCACATTTTGAGTTTATCAGAAACGATTCAAAGTTTTTCTCAAAAAGTTAACCAGACCAAAAATATTTTTCACAGATTTTCTCAAAAAGTTAAGCAGACCAAAAATATTTTTCACAGATTTTCTCAAAAAGTTAAGCAGACCAAAATTCTGTTTCAAAGACTTTCTCAGAAAGTTAAGCGGACCAAAAAATATTTTTCAAAGATCTTCTCAAAAAGTTAAGCAGACCAAAAATATTTTTCACAGATTTTCTCAAAAAGTTAAGCAGACCAAAATTCTGTTTCAAAGAGTTTCTCAAAAAGTTAAGCAGACCAAAATTCAGTTTCAAAGTTTTTCTCAAAAAGTTAAGCAGACCAAAATTCTGTTTCAAAGACTTTCTCAGAAAGTTAAGCAGACCAAAAAATATTTTTCAAAGATCTTCTCAAAAAGTTAAGCAGACCAAAAATATTTTTCACAGATTTTCTCAAAAAGTTAAGCTGACCAAAATTCTGTTTCAAAGTGTTTCTCAAAAAGTTAAGCAAACCAAAATTCGGTTTCAAAGATATTTTCAAAAAGTTAAGCAGACCAAAATTTTGTTTCAAAGTGTTTCTCAAAAAGTTAAGCAGACCAAAATTCTGTTTCGAAGATTTTCTCAAAAAGTTAAGCTGACCAAAATTCTGTTTCAAAGTGTTTCTCAAAAAGTTAAGCAAACCAAAATTCGGTTTCAAAGATATTTTCAAAAAGTTAAGCAGACCAAAATTTTGTTTCAAAGTGTTTCTCAAAAAGTTAAGCAGACCGAAATTCTGTTTCGAAGATTTTCTCAAAATGTTAACCAGACCAAAGTATCGAGTCAAGTATTTTCTACGGCGAAATTCTTATTTTCAAACTATGACCTTTTTCTAGGTGTATTTGGCTGCCTGGTATACTTAAATATCGACTTGGATCCGATTTCAGTAAGTTACTCCTATTCCATAAAAGTTCTTCTGTTTGAAATTCAGATGACGACCCTTTTGATGGCTATTGGATTCTCTGTGGACTTTGTGGCTCATATCACTTGGCATTACTACAAGGGCGATTATAACGTAATTATTCATTTATTATTTTTTTTTGAGCCAAATATTTTTGCAGACAAAACGAGCTCGCATACGACACGCGTTGGCTTCGATCGCCTGGCCCATGTTTCAGGCTGGTACTTCGACAATGTTGTCGATTTCTGTCCTGGCGATGGTCCACGCCTACATGGTGCAAGTTTTCGTTAAGGTAGGTTTGAAAAAAAACGCCCATAGAGCATACTTAATACTTCATTTTAAGCTGTCTCCTCTCAAAAATCCATTTTCAGGTCGTTATTCTCGTCATTTTCCTTGGAATGATCCACGGACTCGTGGTCCTACCGGTTGTTTTTGCCGCATTGCCTTTCAACAAAGTCAGCTCCGTCAATAAACCGAAGCCGAATTTTCACGTGACGTCTGAAGACGTCGGAATGACGCCACCGAAGAAGCCAGAAGAACCAGAACTTTGTGAAAAAAAATCGAAGGAAGTCGCTGTCAGTCCCGCCTCTAACCGCTGTTCTTCTAGAGCGTGATAGGATCAGAATAAGAGTTAATTTTATGATGTCATTATTCATAAATCCTTGATCAGGTGTTCGAAAAAGCACATGGAAAAAGTGATTTGCATTTTGCGCTAAAAAAATTGGGTTTTATTTTTTCGAACACCTGGACAGAGATTTACACTGATAAAGTTTTAGATTTTATAATTTTCCTTCAAATTTTAAGCCATTTGTTCTACTTACTTTGAACTATTGTAATTTCAACCGGTTCCTAGTCTTTCATTGAAAATTACCAATTTTTTTGCACTTTTTCAATTTCCTCATTTTGCATCTGTACTTTTCTTCCTCAATTTTGCTCACTTGTCATTTTTTTTTCCGTTGATTATTTCTCGTCATGTTCTGCCTAGCCTTCATTTATCCGGTTATTTATACATATTTTTCAAGCTTCCGGTAATCTAATTATCTTTTTCTCATATGTTTCCTATCAAACGGGTCTTCCGATTGGAGTGCTATGAAGTTGATGAGATTATTTTGTTTCTAGTATAAATATATTTTACCTTTTGCACAATGTTGGAGAAAATAGGATTATGTCGGAAGTTGAAAAGCCGGTATGTTGAGCCGAAAAAAAGATATTTTGGTTTACTGTCGCCCAAGTTGTTCACACACAAGGCATGCAAGCGTTTTATTTCACGACTAACGGTTTCAACTTTCTTTTTTCGTTTTTTTTTTTCTGAATTTTCGTTCTAGATTGTCACGTTTTCACCAGTTTTTAACTTATATTAAGCTAGGAGATGCTGGAAAACATAGCCGTGTATTGAAAAATTTGAAAAGGATACGCTTCTCGTTGTGTGAATGATTTTCTGCAATCAGTTGTTTTTGAAGGGCTTCATTCAAAGATGGCTCCACCTGTTGTTAAGAAGAGCGTCAAAAAGGAGGAAACACCATTGACCGCTGTTTTGATCGCTGATATTTTCGATCAGCGTTTCACTCCAGTTTTGCGGCAGAACGAGAGTATTGTGAGTCTTGATTACAATTCTTTAATTTCTTTTTCCTTCAATTTTAAGAGCTTATTGCCCATTTGCAACGTTCCAGTTGTCGACTTTGCACTGTCATGGTTACTAAGGACGGAAATTGAAGATATTCTTCTCGTATCTTCGCAAAGAACTGCCGAAAGCCTGAAGGATGTTGAAAAGTGAGCTTTTAAGAAGGATCATAAATAAATTTTTACAGGAACTGGAAACCGTTTTTCCAAACTTTCTCGGTGATTGGTTGCGAAGGAGCCCGAAGTGTTGGCGATTGCTTGAGAGAAATCCATAATCGCGAACTTTTGAAAGGTTCGAAAGAAAATTTATCTATTTTTATTTCTACTTTCAGGCGATTTCTTGTTAATTTCCAACCCGGCGACAGTAACGTCATCGACATTGGTTCGAGAAATTTCCAACTTTAGGTTTTTCAAAATAAAATTTGAGGGCTTTATAAAGTTCTGATTTAAGGAAACGAAGAGCGGAGAACGTGGACAATATGATGACTTTGGTCTATGCGGCCTCAGAAAATCGGGATAAATCCGTCGTTGGAATTCAAAGAGAAACGGGAAAACTTTTGCTTTATCACGCCGCAAATAACGTTCGTCAGTTGGAAGTTGACAAGGTTCGGAATATTTGAATTTAGAGGAGAAAGTATGGATTTTTGAGAAGTTTTTAATTCAATTTCTACAAAAACCGAAGAAAATTATTTGAGAGGCCATAGGAGTTACAAAAAAAGAAAAAAATATGTTCTCTTCATTTCCAATTTTATAAGTTTGAAAATTTTGAAGCTCAAAATGGATGATCAGAGTTGGCCACTTGCAAAATAGGCAGACCAAAAAAGCAGCTCTAGATTTGGCAGCGCCAAAATATGAACCGAAATAAGCAGACCAAAATAAATTAAGCAGCGCCAAAAGCTGAACTGAATTAAGCAGACCAAAAAAAGCAGATTCAGATTTGGCAGCGCTTAAGCTGAACCGAATGAAGCAGACCAAAAACAAAAAAAAAGTCCAAATTTGGCAGCGCTTAAGCTGAACCGAATGAAGCAGACCAAAAACAAAAAAAAAAGTCCAAATTTGGCAGCGCCAAAAAAGAACCGAATCAAGCAGACCAAAAACAAAATAAGCAGCGCCAAAAGATGAACCGAATTTATTTATTTATTATTTATTTTCTTTCTTTATTGCCAGAACAACGCAAATAATTAAGGTACAGATAGAAAGGAAATAATATAACATTGGACAGACAACAAAGATAAGAAGGTCATATGGTGCCCTAACGAGCAGCATGGCGACCGTTCGCAAAAAAAGAGAAGAACAAAAAAAAAAAGATAAACTATAAAAGAAGATTGGGGATGTTGATAATAAGTTCGCAAACATCTATCCTAGATAATTTATCTTTTAAAGTTTTGGGGTGGCACGAAAAATTTAATTTGGTTATTATAATTTTCCAAAGAGTTATATGACGCGAAAAGAAGTTATCTGATAATGAACCCCTAGTTTGTAACCCAAGTGGATGTCTACCTAGCCGAGAGATTTAGCAGACCAAAAACAAAAAAAAGTCCGAATTTGGCGGCGCCTAAAGCTGAACCGAATTAAGCAGACCAAAAAACAAATTAAGCAGACCAAAAAAAAATAAGCAGCGCCAAAAAAAGAACCGAATTAAGCAGACCAAAAAAAAAAAGAAGCAGGCCAAAAAAAAAATTAAGCAGCGCCAAAAGCTGAACCGTATTAAGCAGACCAAAAAAGTAAACTGCAACTAGAAACATTCAAATTGAACAAAATTCAAGTTTTCAAATAATAAATAAATGATGTTTCCATTCACGTTTTAAGGACCATTTCTACAACGACGTCGATATCCGCCGTGATCTTTTGGACTGCGGCTTGGCATTTTGCACCCGGCTCGTTGCTACCCAATTCAGGTTTTTCCGTTTTTTTAATTTTTATAAAAAAATCTGTTATTCAGTGATAATTTCGATTTCCAACAACGAGACGACGTCGTTAGGGAGATTCTCTCCAAAGAAGACATTTTAGGCCTGAATATCCATGTCGATGTGTTGAATTCCAATGAAGCGGCTCTTTCGGCGACGTGAGTGATTTTTTTCAAATGTGCAACAAAGATTTTTTTGAAGTAAAATATTGAGATAATAATTTTTTTGATTTTTCAGGGACTATGACTCGTTCCTAACTTTGTCGATCATGTTGGTGGAACGGTGGTTTTACCCGATTACGCCTGATAAAGCGGTTGGTTTGAATAAAAAGTTGGAAATTTCTTAAAAAAGAAGTTATCTGATTTTTTTATCTTTAAGTGAGATGTTAAACTACTTTTTTTTTTTAAGGAAAATGGAAATTTGGAATGTTTTGAGGTGTTTTTAGCCGATTTACAAGTGTAAAAATGGCTTCAAAATTCGGTTTTAATTAAATGTTTTAATGATTTCGATTCATATTAACGTGTCCATTTATTTCAATTTATGAGGAAGTTACAGATTTCCACAAACCGGAGAACTTTTTTTCCTCATGTGCCCATAATGTTTACCTCGAAGAGACTGAGGAGACGATTGGACGTTTATCATCGAAAATTGTGTAGGTTTTATTGAAATTTTCCAATTTTCGAAATGAAAGAATGATTCTAAAATTTCAGTCCCGACTGCGCAGAATTCAACGTATCGATTGGAAAATTGTGTCATTTCGGATCCCATTCGGTTGTTAGTAACTCTACGATTGGAGAAACGACGTCGATTGGTGGGTTTTTAACGAAAAACAGCACACTATCATGGTTTTACATTCAAAAAATTGGATTTAACCCCATCATTTTGAATTTAGGGCTCTGAAAAACTTGTTTTTCAAAAAAATAATTTCCTTTTTTTCTTTTTTTAAAATCGATTTTTCAGGGGATAACACTTTGATTTCTCGTTGCATTATTGGCGTGGGATGCAAAATCGGCGCCGATTGTGTTATCGAGGACGCCGTTATTGGCGATAATGTCGTTATTCCAGATGGAGTTGTCCTGAAATATGAAGTTTTGATCGGAAATGATGTGAGTTTTGTGGAAAATATGAAGGAAAAGTGTTTCTTCAGGTCAAAATCCCCGAAAGCGAGGAAAGACCGCCACTCACCGCCGTTTGTTCCACGGCGGTCGATGAAGACGAATTCGAGAAGATCGTTTCGAGACCCTCCCCCAAATTTGGTTGGTTTTGGTGTTCTCACTAGCTTATGGAATATTTCTAATGTTTTTGTAAGAACATTTGTGGAAAAATTTATGTTGTTTCTGGAAACTTCGATTCGATTTTTGGGATCTTTCAAATCAAATCAAATAATTTATTTTGTTGGTTTAGTCATAGATGTATCGACTAGGCGGTGAACAAGAACTTTAAAAGCTATAACGAACAACCGCCTTTGACTGATTCTTTCAGATATGTTCTGATTCTTTCAGATATGTTCTGAGGCATTAGGGAATTTTCTATTAGAATTTCTTGGGTTAAAAAAAAATCCTTTGGTAAGGTTTAGTAAGGTACTAGGATACCTTTTTTTTTTTCGATTTTTTTCTAAAATTTCGCCAGGACTTCTCACAAGGGAGGTAATTTTACTTTGCGGTTGGGAATTCCCTAAAAACCGACCAGAAAATTTTTTTGATGTACTATTCTGGAAGTTTCAGCCTGCACAACTTCATAGTTTTAGAGAAATGAGCGCTCCAAGCCTCAATATGGCCTATTTTCACGGATTTTAGGGTTTTATTTGACTTTAAGATGTCATTTCTTAAAAACTAGGAAGTTGTGTAGGTTGAGATTTTCAGGATCATTTTTCTGGTACATCAAGGAATGTCCAGGCCAATTCTCAGGAAATTCCCAACCGCAAAGTAAAAAGACCGCCCCCGTAAACTCATCTTCTAGTCTCCTTCGTTTTGAATTAAGATTCCTAGCCTCGTATCTTTTTGTTCAAAAATCGTAAAAGCCTAGTGACCAGCTTCGACTTAAGGGAGTGGAGATTACATTGCAAAATATTGTTTTAAAGAGAGAAAATATCTCAAAAATTGTTTGAAACTGTAGATGTTCACTACTGGAGTCTTCGGAATGGAAAGAGTTTTTGGAGAAACGGCGCTCGTCTGAAAAGTTCGGAAGGAAGTGATAACGATGATGAGGTCGGTTTGGACATCGAAAAATAGAAGGAAAGAAGAGTTTCAGTGCAACGACAGCGACTTGGAAGAGAGCGACGCCTTCTCAACTGGAATCAATGATAGCACGAAGCAGTTCTACGAGGAGGTCCTGGAGAGCATGGAGCGGATTTTGTCCATGGAAACTCAGTTGGTAATGAAAAAAAATGTATTTCCTCTTCAAAAAGTTCCTAATTCAGATGCAAAACCTGATTCTCGAGATCAACTCGTCACGTCTGGCGTGCAACGTTTCCATGGACGACGCGGCGCGAAACGTCTTCGCCGCCTTTTTGGTCCTTCCTGGCAATGACCAACTCGCCCAGCTCCTCAAGGTCCCCTGAACCTTCTAACATGAAAAAATAGAGTTTTTAGCTCGTCCTCAAGTGGAAGCCTCTCTTCTTGAACTACTACAAGTCGACGGAGGAACAACTGGCGGCCAAAGCCCCGAGCCAAAGAAAGATTGAGATCGAACTGAAGAGAAAGTGCCAGATTCAGATGCTTCTCGCGGTTGAGGTAAAGGCTCACAGGGAATGGCTAACTTTAAAAGGGCTTTTGGATACTTATTCCAAGGCTCTAGTTAACTTTAGGATGAAATTTATGTGATTTTTTCAAAATTATTAGCTGAAAGTTTTCCTCAACAATAATTTTGATCCTGCCTAGAGCTTCAAAGATGTGTTAGTTATAAAAAAAAGCTTCAAGGTATTGGAAGAATTTTAAAATAAAGATTAAGTAGTTTACCTTTGTTCTAACGGAACTCATTAAAGATACCATTTTTCGTATCGTTTGAAGGAGTTTTAGATTTCTAGGATAACTATGAATATTAAGCGGTTGCTCAAAAAATGCGCCCGACCGTGAAACGGCTTACGCGAAATAAAGCTAATGTTCAAGGGCCATTAAAAAGATGTCTTCACTACTATAGTGATCTCTTAGGGACCATCAATGTTTGATGAAAAGCTTGGAATTTTTCCAACGATATTAACTTGTCAAATATTAAATAATGCTTGAAATTAAAATATTTCCGTTTTTTTACCCATTTTCGAGTCTTATGTCTATGAGCTCCCTTAATCTATTTACTTACTGCGATTTTTCGACTTTTATTTTGGATTATAACCTTTTAGGATCGTTTCCATCTTTCTTTAATGATTTTTTTGAACGGGAAATTTTTTTATTTTTGAACATTTTAAAAAAAGGAACTTGTTCAAAAACCATCTCAGATTCTGATATGATTCATTTTAAAAGATTTTTTTTTTCTAGTCGATACGAAGTTTTATAAATAAATAAACTGGTAAAACATATATAGCATGTCAAGGATCATATGTCTTGAGCGGTCCAAATGAGTTTGAGAGGGTTTGAAAAATTTTCAAAGTTTGAGGTTTTCAAGCTTTTTCGAAGCACACCCAAACATCATTTCCAGGACAAGTACGACCGGGAAAGAGCCGAATTCGGGCCGAAAGTCCCGAAACTCGTGCATTTCCTCTACAATGATGCGGATGTCCTGGACGAGGAGGCCATTTTGGAATGGGCCAATACCATCGCCGCTGTTCGTTTTTCATGCCTCCTTTGTTAAAATTAATATTTTCAAAATTTATTAAGGGAATACTAAATTTGAGCTTGAATAGAATTGAAAAAAAACTGTTGGAAGTGTTAAATGTTAGAAACAGGAAAAAAAAGCGGTCATGAAGTTTTGAAAAATCTTTTTGGAACTTAATTCAAGGCTCCAGTTTTCATTAAATATACATTTTCGTTAAGTTTAGAGGTTTTTTTATAGAATTTATATATTTCTGGGATGACTAGGAATATCCTTTATTTTTTTACTGAAATTTATCCGAAAATAAATTTTTAGATCAAAAAAATTTTATAACTTTTTCCTCTGTTGCGGTGGATATTTGAAGTCATTTTGTTTTTTTCAAAGTAGATCAGGAAAAAAAGTTTTTGAATAATTTAAATATTAAATAACTTATTCATAATCAACTAGAAGTCGCTCGAAAATTAATTTTTATGTGATTTTTTTCAAAATGATTAGCTGGAACTGATTTTTTTCCTTAACAATCATTTTTGATCCTGCCTATAAGTTTTTCAGAGGTTAAATGATTAGTTAGTTATTTAAAAAAAGTTCCAAAGGGGTTGAAAGAATTCAAAAAAATGAAGATTAAGGTGTTTACCTTTGTTCTAAAGCCACCTAGCTACATCAAAGTTGAATTTTCCAGGATTCGCCGTTGAAAAATTTGATGCAACCGATCGTCGATTGGCTCCAAGCTGAAGACGATGACGACGACGACGATGAATAATTATTATTTCAATTTTCAACCCTTTTTTTCTTGTTTTTGTTACTTTCTTCTCCTTTAGGGAACCGTTTTGAAAATATTTTGTTGGCCCTTCTTTCCTGCCTTTTTTGCTCAGTTGTAATTTCTGGTGTTTTTAGTCCTTAATTGGAAAGAGAGAAATTATATAATGTAATCTTCGGGTTCAGATTTCGGATTTTTTTCAGAATAGGTAATGAATGCTTTTTCGTCTTGGTTTTTTTGATGGATTTCAAGAAAATTGAAGATGATCCGTGGACGAGCGTCGGATTCGAAATATTTTTCATAAAAACTTAATTTTTTCAAAGCAAGTTAAGAAATTATCTGTATTCATTGTTGTAAAATAGTTTCAGGACAAGGTTTTACAGGAAATAAAAAAGATATTCGAAAAATTAGTGTAAAAAAGGACAATGTCGTCGTTCAACTTGGCGTTCTTCAGCGGCTCGGTTCATCGGGACCGCAAGCAGGACGCCATGTTGGCTTCTTTGGTTGGTTTTGCGATTTTTAAAATTCTTTCATTATAATTGTTGTGATTAGGAAGACATTTCAAGCTTTTTTTCTCGAGTTGGCATTGTTTAATTTTTCCCTTTTTTTCAATCATTTTTAAAGAAAAATTTCTAGATTTCTTCATGCCCTGTTCAAAGTGGCTGTCAGAGTTTCAAAAAAGCCGTCAGAGAGTGAAAAAAGATAACTGAATTTTGGAGGGTCAGACATAGTTTTGGGTTTCGCGGAAATTACTGTGTACATGGCATTAGGGAAAAAAAGACCAATTTCTCAGTTTTTTCCGAAAAAAAAGGGTTTAAACCGTGAACTTGGGTCATTTCTTAAACTTGGGACTTTTTTTCTTGCTTTTTGAATATATCTTTTTTTATTATTAGTTTTTTTACAGGTACTTCAGTACATATTGGTTGATTTTCGAACGGATTCAAGTTCATTTATTTCCTCCGTTTCCGTTAGATTTCATTAAAAATGTCCCACAAATTATATAATTAAGCATCTTTTAGTATTGTGTTCATATATTAATCTATTGGCAACCCCACTTGATACAGGAAATATTTCATTCATGTCCCAAATAGTCCGATATTTTCATATCAATCCAAGCCCAAAAAAAGTTGGCGTCGGTGCGTCGCGGCTCGACGCGCATGTGCTAATTGTATATTAGGGTAATTGTCTTGTTTCCATTTCTTAATGGACCTTTGATCCGACTGTCTGTTTCCGGATGTATTTCGCCCCGGTGACGGTTCGTTTTTCATTCATTTTTTGAGCTTTTTCGAAGGAAAATGAACTTTTTTAGCATCTTAAAGTGATTGCAAGAAGTAGATTGAGGTTTGGAATGGGATATTTTATTTTTAATAAGGTTGAAATCCAGAAAAAAGCGTTCAGAAAACAGGGGTAGTTTTTGACATTTTTATTACGAAATAAGCTCTTTGTTGATTTCAAAAATGGTTTTTATATAATTTTTGAAATGATGATTTCGAAATTAGAATAAGATTTGGTAAATTTGTTTGGCTAATGTCTTCAGAATCACTAGAAAAAAATTTTTAGAAGTAAGTTTTTTTTTCTGAAAAAGTTTTTTTCGATTTTTAAGCTGAAAAATTACAGTCTTCTTTCCGATTTTTGAACTCTTGGGACAGGAATTTCGTTTTAAAAAAAGCTTTTTGAATCAATTTTTTTCACGGCTCTTTTAATGAATCTCCTTTGAAATTTGAAATGATTCGATTTAAAAAAATATTTTTGAAAATTCAAATTCCTTTAAAGGATATGATTAATTTCACTTTTCAATTTTTTATAATTTCGAAATTCCAGAACGAACGAGAAAGGTTCCTACTGAAACTCGAAGAAGCTCGCAAAAATCGCCAAAATGGTTCTTTTTTTCTGAGTTTCCTATGAATAATTTCTATTTTTTTAAGATGTGAAGAAACAAAACGCGGCGGTGAAGATTCAGAACCGTTACCGGGCTTTTCAGCAGCAAAAGTTGGTTCTCGATCGGATCAGGAAGGATTTCGACGCGAAAATTGGCGTTTCTGGAGGCCCTACGGTATCAAAACCATACAACAAAAAAAAAGAATCTACAAATTTCCAGGAAATTGGCAATTTATTGAGTGAAATCGCCGTTTTTTATCGTCATTCTACGTTGGATATTCAGCGATTGGTGAGAAATACTGAATTCAGATTTTTTTATTAGTTGATTATGGTTAGAAATTCTCATAGAAAACTCAAAAATTTTGGTAGGTTTTTTTGATTAATTTTTTTCAGGGTATAAATTCGTCTATGACTGAGAAAAAAAGTCATTTTCTTGAAATTAATTGAATTTTTTTGCAACCGAAAAAAAGCGAAAAAAATATTTTCATCAAGTTTTTTTGGCGTCTTTCGAAGATTCTCAGCTATTTTTTTGAAGAAATTCGTCTGGTTTTTGTAAAATTTTTGCTTTAAATTTATTGTTTTATAGGTGAAAATTCGTCTAAAATTATGAAAAAAATTTTTCTTAAAAAAAATAATATTTTTCAACAAGTTTTTTTGGATTTAATTATCATTCTGCTCCATTATCGAAGAAATTCGTCTAATTTTTCCGTTTATTTAATCATTAAATTGCTTGTTTTATGAGTAAAAAAATTTGTCTAAAGTTGGGAAAAAGGAGTCATTTTTCTTGAAAAATAATATTTTTCAACAATTTTTTTGGGATGTATTAACGATTCTGTTTCATTATTATAGAAGTTCGTCTCATTTTTTTCGTATTTTTAGGCTTCAAATTTATTGTTTTAAGGGTAAAAAGTCGTCTAAAATTAGGAAAAAAAGAATTTTTCTTAAAAAAAAGTAATATTTCCAACAAGTTTTTGGGATTTATTAACGATTCTGTTTCATTATTACAGAAGTTCGTCTCATTTTCCGTTTATTTAATCCTTGAATTGCTTGTTTTAAGATTAAATATCGTCTAAAGTTGGGAAAAAAAGGAGTCATTTTTCTTGAAAAAGATAAATTTTTTTCAATAAGTTTTTTTGAGATTTTTTAGCTGTTTTATTCTATTTTCGAAAAAACTCGTCCCATTTTTCGTTTATATAGGCCCAAAGTTTTTTTATTTATATGAGGTTTTTTTGATAGGAATCTTTCAAAAATTAATCATTTTTTTCTTCCTCTCATTTTTTTAAACGATTTATTTCGATTCAAAATCAGTTTTTCCATGGATTTTTCAGGTGAAAGTGTGCTCCGAAGCTGTTCGAATAGCGAGAATCTCGCCTGAACAACGGGAAAATGTGTCGAATCCGACACGGATCTTGGTGGCTCGCTGTATTTTGCGAGTTTTCAACGATTCGGCCGATGAAACGTCGTTTTTTGCCTTGATGAGGTTTGAAAAAATGGGGATTTTGAGTTGGGATAGCTTTTTGATATCATAAATTTGGAAGGAAGATATTTTTTCCTTGAAAAAAATGATCAGTAAAAGTTTTTGAGATTTTATGAGAGCTGGAAAATGTGGCTTTTTACGAAAAAGTTTTTTTCTTCTTGAAAAATGGATGAATTAAGGGTTTTTAATGTAAATGGAATTGTAAGAACGGTTTCAGAAAATTAATTGACTTGACAAAATTAATTTAAACTGTAAAATTTTCTCGTTTTTTAAGTAAATTTTGATAAATTTAAGCGTTTTGACCTGAAAATTTTTTGAAAAATTAGCTTTTAAATGAGTTTTTTTTATTGAAATTTTGAATATAAAATGCTTTCTGATGCATTATTTTTGGTTAAAAAAACGTTTTATGACTCGAATTTAAGGTTTACAAGCCGCTTCGAAATGAACATTTCGGTGTAGATAATTAAAAAAATTTGATTATTTGATTCATTAACTCTTTTTTTAACGTTCAGGAAAATCTATTTCTTCCCAAATGATAATTCAAAAAAATAAATTAAAAAAATTCAAAAAAATGACATTCATATTTATCTCACAAGGGAGGTCATTTTACTTGTGGGTTGGGACTTTCTTGAAATTTTTGCCGGAACACTCCAGAAGAAGATTCTGGGAGTCCCAATCAGCAAAACTTCTTTTTTTTTTCGAAAAGGACTTTTAAAAGTCTAGAAAAATCTTCAAAATCCGTGAAAATAGGCCTCTTTAAGGCTTTGAGCCGTCGTTTCTTAAAAACTAGAGAGTTTTTTAGGTTAAGACTTTCTGGATCTTCATTTGGTACATCAAGGAGTGATCTGGCCGATTTTCAGGAAATCCTCTCTTGTAGGTTAAAACTTTCTGAACCAAGAATCCAACAAAAACTAAAAATTAGCGTGTTTTCATGATCATTTTCATTTGTTCCTCTCCAGATTCTTCGAAGATTTCATCTTGACGAATGATTCCGTCGCCCGGGCCACGACCAAATACGGTCTTTTCACGACCATGTTCAAATTGATGACGGCTTTCTGCGAACCTCGGCCGACCGAATTTTCCGAATCGCCCCCGTCGGAACCGAATCGTGTCCGGCAAATCGCCACTCGATTCTATCCCATTTTGTTGCATTCCGAGGTGATTTCTGCTTCATTTGCTGTGATTTGAAGAGAGTACTCCATTAGAAATCGCGTTCAAATTGGATTTTTTTCGCGGTTTTTTTGAACAAAGGACCTTTCTAGAAGAAAAATTTTCAACCTAAAAATATTGCCATCGTTTTGTGAAAAGTCTTTTTTTCAAAAAAAATATTTTTGAGAGATTGAAAGAGACTCCTGGGCATGGATAATGAAAGTTTTTTTCAAAATTCGATTTTTCGGTTATTTTTGAGTTTCTGAGCAATTTTTTTCTGTAGGATTCTGTAGGATTTCAAAGAAGGAAAGAAAGTTTTGTTGAAATCATTATTTTTTTCGAAAAAAATATTTTGGAAAAAAAGTTGAAAATAGTTACGGCTAATACTACTGAAATTTGCTTCAAAAATTCGAGTTTGGGTAATTTTTTTGGGGTTTTTTTAAGCGAATTTTTCTGTAGGATCTCTTAAGAAAGACAAATTTTAACGTAAAAATATGGCAACAGTTAGTTGAAAGTCTTTTTTTTTTGCTCGGAATTTTTTGAGAAAAGTTAAAAGAACCTTTTGGACAGTACTACTGGAATTTGCTTCAAAATTAGATTTCGGCCCCCTTTTTTTCCCGTTTTTTTCGGACTTCAAAGCGTAGTAACTTACTGGAAAGACAATTTTTTTACACAGCAAATTTGTACTTTCATTTTTTCAATTATTTCTTTCTTTTTTTGCCAAAGGTTTTCTTCAGAAAAGTTGTCATAACCTTTTGGACAATGTGTTTTTTTTATTTAATTTAATTTTCGCGTTCGAAAAATCTTTCTATGTTTGAAAGTGTGATCATTCTGTAAAAAAGAGTCTCTCAATGATTTGAGCTGAATAGTTTCTTTTACAGAAAAATAAAGACGATGAAATGGTCGCCGAACGGTTCCTACGTGCTTTCCTTTCCGTCCCTGACCAATTGATTTTCGTTAATCATTTTTTCCCGATGACTGTTAGCTTCTTGGAACGTTCCAGGTATGGATAAAGACTTTTCGGAGAAGAAATTGTGATTTTAGGGAAGTATTCGTGAGAATTGTCAAGGTTGCCGGCGAAATTGGTGCCTCGAAACTGACGGCCGATGAATTGTGGCGACTTCGAGCCTTGATTTCGAGCGCCGCTTCGTTTTCTGTTAAAAGTGGTCGGTTTTGAAATGAACTGTTGGTTTTTTATAGCTGTTTTTTGCTAGGAACTTCTCCAAGATTCTTTCTTAGTACCTCCAGAGTGATCCCTACAGGCGCAACCTTAGGGAGCACTTTACAAACCCCTATAGGGTTCACTCATGCTTGCAATAATGGTCCCTGTAGTGATTTTAGTCAGTGGCCCCTATAGGGAACATGCTAGTCGATTTATCCCCCTAAATTCAGGACCCTATAGGGGCTGCTTATACCCCTGAAGTCAGGACCCTATAGGGGCTGCTTATCCTCCTAAAACCAGGACCCTATAGAGGCTGCTTATCCCCTTAATTTCAGGATCCTACAAAGACTGCTTATCCTCCTAAAGCCAGGACCCTATAGGGGCTGCTTATCCCCTTAATTTCAGGATCCTACAAAGACTGCTTATCCCCTTAAAGCCAGGACCCTATAGGGGCTGCTTAACCCCCTAATCCCTATAGGGGCCACTGAAGCTTGCAAAAATGGTCCCTGTAGTGATTTTAGTTAGTGACCCCTATAGGAGAAATACTAGATGATAATTTTTATGAACTCCATGCGAAACACAAAAAAAATAAACCTTTTTGAAAAAACTTGAACGACCCCTATAGGGACCACTTAAGAATTAAGGGGCCAGACCCTCAACCCCTATAGGGGACCACATTTTCGACCCCTAACCCATATAAAGACCTCTCTAAAGTTCCTAAAGTCTCCTTCAAGTTTCTTTTGTGCTTAGAAGCTCCAGAGTGATCCCTATAGGGCAACCATAGAGTTCCTTTTAGGGCCCACTGAAGCTTGCAATAATGATCCCTGTAGGGGTTTCATTTAGTAGCCGTAAGAGAAAAGGTGTTTCCAATGAAACGTTTATAGCTCTCTTTATGAAATGAACTGTTTTCCAGGCGACGTCTCCTTCAACCCAGTCGCCACTTTCGACGTCCTGGCCAACTTGATGACCCAAACTCCCGCCGAGAAGCTTCACGATGAGGCCGAGGAAGCGGCTGCGCGAGTTCGAGCCCGTGCTCAATTCAGAGAACCGCCCCCAATCGTCGAAACCTCCCTGACTGTTCTGAGAAGGAGGGTCTACGCTTTCGTCGCTTCTGACGTCTTCCAGAAGCTTGTACAGTTTTATGGTGGGTTCATAGTTCATTCACTGCTTGCTTGGGACCCTAAGGGGCGTGTCCTGTGTGCGCTCTCCACGAGCCAGGCGCTGTCTCGTGTATTTGCGTGTAAGGACCATTTTTTCGATAGCTCAAGCCAGCCGTGAATCAGCTATAGCTTTTGCGGATTCAAATAGCTTGTTTGAATGTTTAAAGGAGCACAGGAAAGGTCTCGAAGCGTATGCGCCTTCAAGAAGGGTAATAAGAATGTTGAATGCGCCTTTAAAAGGGAATGCGCCTTTAAGAAGTGTAATAAGAATGTTGAATGCGCCTTTAAGAAGTGGAATAAGAATGTTGAATGCGCCTTTAAAAGAGAATGCGCCTTTAAGAAGTGAAATAAGAATGTTGAATGCGCCTTTAAAAGTGAATGGGCCTTTAATAAGTGTAATAAGAAGTCTACTAAAGATGTAGAAACTCAGATTACTGTAGAAGCTAAAAAAAAGTCCAATCGTGTCAGGATAACTTCTCCCCAAATTTCTAGGCTTCTTCGATTTTTAAGATTTTTTAAAGTTTGTAGGCATTGGGCTATATAGTTTATCACAGATTTTTTTCAATTTTTCAAGCCTTTTTTTCTTGATTTTTTTAAAGATTTTAAAGGCGGATAGCGGTGCCTTAGGTTTCTTTTTAATGCGTTTAGTGAGTTTTTTTTTCTAAATTTTATCAGGAATCCTTCTGGTCTAAAATTTGTACGAAAATGTATCAAAATACGATTTTTTTTTTCAGTAAATCAAGAGAATATGCGGGTGACGAGTATCGTTTGTTTCCAAGAACGACTGGCGCCGGTCATCGACACGCTCTCCTCGTCCGCCTTTTTTGTCCAATCGTGGGTTTTATAAAGATGAAAAATGAGGTGGTAGAGCTCGAAAATTAAAATTTAGACGGTTTTTAAAATTTGAATTTGGAAAAGATGGTGAAATTTAAGCAGTTTTTTCCAGTATCATTAGAGAATGTTCTGAGGTCGCAGTGGAAACTTCTGAATCTGACTAGGCGTTTAAAATTCAATACCCTTCAATTTAGGAAAAAAAGTTTCATATTAAACTGTTTTTCTGAAACATTTTTTTTTAAAAAGAACAGACATGCTTAATTTATAAAAAAACGGGCGTTTCAAAATAAGTTCCTATTAAAAAGTGAACAAATTTCGTTTCACTCAACAAAATTAACCTGGATTTAAAGAGAAAAAAATAAATTCTTCTCAAGTTTTTTTACTTTTTTTCCTGAGATTCGAGGTATAGGGAATGAGAAGTTCCGTATAAAAAAATATATAAAAGTTCACAGAATAACCCAATTTTTATTTTTCATGAGGAAAATTGTGTTCCAAAATGAAGTTTTATGCTAAAAAAGGTGACGAAATTTACCTTGATTTTCGAATTTTTTTCCTTTTAAGAACCAAGAAAGCGTTCTACTTTTTTTGAAGATTTCAAAATCGATTTTTTTCTATTTTTTTCAGCCTTTGGAAGTTCCTCATTGGACCTTCATTGGAATTGGGCGGCCCGGTGAAAATTATCCTCCAAAATGATATTTCTACGGTTGGACGTGAGAAAAATAAGCCGATTATTTTTGGAAAAAAAATGATTTTTTCAAGCGTCAATTGTGCCAATCGCCGTGGAAGCGCGCGAAGAAATGAAAGCCGGCTTGAAATTATTCTGCAATTGTATCAAAATTCGAGTCTCCGCCCTGGCCGACGCGGATTTCGAGGCGGCCAAGATCATTGACCATTTCGAGGATGTCCTGAAAGTCTTGAGGTTGCAAATTCAAAAAAAAAAATGAGATTTTGAATCTTACAGAGACTCTTGTCTGCAGTTGATCAACTTGGTCTACGCCGACGCCTTTGGTTATTCGTCGTCGGTGGAAAGAAGGGAAAACCTGAAGGCCTTGAAAAAGGTGTGTGTGTGGGAAAGAAGCATTTAATGTGCCCTTCGAAGGAAAAAAGTAAAAAAGGCTTAACATTTCGATAGATTTCTTCCAAGGAAAAAATAGCAAAAATAAATTTTCGTTGAGTGGATTCGAACCTTGAACATAGTCTGCGCACTGCTAGCACGCTAGCCACTACACTAACCGGCTAATGGGAAGGGAGGGCGCGTGCGCGAGGCACATTCCTTCTTGCTGTGTTCTACTCATTTCACGTGCAAACTTTGAGCCGTCATAACTCGACTACGAGGCAAAAGTCAAGAAATTCCATTCTTGATTTGGATTCAGCATGCCTTAAAGTACATCCCGGCAAAGTTTCATCAAAAAGTTCAACGGGGGGTTAAAAACAGTTCTCTTGTATGGGGAGGGATCACGGCATTCCTAATAAGGTGAGGCGTCAAAGTTTCTGAATTCACAAAAAAAAGTAAGTGCGCGCTCAGCATAAAATGACGTCATAATTAAACTGAGTATTAAACGTTAAGAACTTGTTTGTTCGATCGCCTTTGGCTGCGTACTTCAGATTTCAAATTTTTTTTTCGACCTCGTTTGGGAACGTTGTGGGATAAGAATATGTTTTGAATTGGATATTTCTGCGCCATATTATAAGTTGAACATTTACAAAAAATACCTTTTTGCCGTTTTTTCGGCTGAAATTTCATATCCTGGTTGAATTTTAGGTCGGAAGTGTAGAGTCATTATTATCATGAAATCCAGTTCAAAACGGAATTGAACAACACGATTGAGTCACGGCGTTTTTTTCCACGACGCCACGCCCACTTTTTGTCCGTAAAGCGCCGTGTGTCGTGTGCATGCACCGCGCCGTTTTCGCGCAGAAAATTGCGGTTATGTAGAGAAATTTCGATTTGTCTCAAAGACCTTTGGCAAAACGGTGGCCTGCGCCTTTAATATGTCCTGTTTTTCCCGCTCTTAGAGCCGATCCCATGACTTCACGTAGGAACGGTGAATATTGTGGCTCCGCCCACCGTGTTTTCGGTTTTGCATTTTCTTCCACTAAAAAAAAACGCCGTGGAGTAGTTTCTAGTTGGAAATGGAGCAATCAATGGTAAAATCATTTTAGGATTTTTAAATAATTGATTTGATAGGAAAGCTGCATTTTCTTATTTATTCTCAATTTTGTCAATAATAATGTCCAGAAATGGCAACCGGTGTGTGATGCGGTCGTTTCAACGATGCGAGTGGTCTACGAAAAAGATTCTCGAGTGAAATTCCTCCGGGAAGGCTTCTGGAGCGACCATGAGAGACAGGTAAACTAGTAATGAAAGGTACGATTTAGGTGATTACCTGGACTTTTGCAGGTAGTAATAGCCAGGGGAATGTGGGCCCCGACAGCTCGAAGACGTGGTGGCCGGTATCAAGAGCAACAACGGCAGAATTCCAGGTTTATTTCAATTTTTCAGCGAGAAAATTGAAAATTTTTACTTCTTTCATTATTTTCTTTAGAAGCTGAATAATTTTCTTGATGTATTTTAAGGTATCCAAATGCGGGCGAAAAGCCTACAAAAAACCATTCCAGATGCGGCCAAAACGCCTTCAAAAAAAACCATTCCCAATGTAACCAAAAAGCCTTCAAAAAACCATTCCAAATGCGGCCAAAAAGCCATTCCAAATGCGGCCGAAAAGCCTTCAAAGAACCATTCCAAATGCGGCCAAGAAGCATTCAAAAAAGCCATTCCAAATGCGAGAAAAAAGCCTTCAAAAAATCACTCAAAGTAGGAAAAAAGTCTCAAAAAAGCCATTCCAAACACAGCCAAAAAGCCTCAAAAAACAAAAAAAAACCGGAAATTAATCTTACCTAAGAAAAGTCTTACAAATGAGACCTTGACTGGAAGTGATTAGAATATCCTGGTCGCATTTGGAATGGCTTTTGTTCAGAAAATCGAATTTTTCGTTGACTTTTTACTAATTTTTGTTATTTTCCAGTGGTTTTTCTTTCGTACGACATTTGGCGAAAACTGACGAAGATGACGACGATTCGGATTCTAGTGACGATGAGAAACAAGTGAAAAAATCTCATGTCAAAAATATAAAAATATATCGAAATTCAGGACGATTTGACGCCGGATGAGGCCAGAAATTTGTGTATAGTCCGCAATATCCCATTCATCATTCCGTTCACTCAGAGATTGAAGGTTTTGGAAGGAAATTCAATGAAGAATCTCAAATTTTTCAGATCTTTACGGAACTCCTGGAGCAGAATCGATTCGACGAAGGAATCGCCAGCCACTCGGAAATGGCCTGGAATGCCAACGCCGGCCTCTCGATCACTGTCCGCAGGGATCACATTTACGAGGACTCCTTCGATTTCCTGGCACCTGTTCCTGGAAACAGTCCGTTTTTGACCTTTGCTCAAAAGTACATCCAAAAAAAGAACATTTTGAACAGAAAGAGCGAGAAAATGTGCTCCTGAGTGAAAGTATCAAGAAGATATAGTTTTTTTTTTCTCGAAACTTATTCGAAAAGTGGTTCTTGGAAGTAGAAATTTACAAGAGCTCAGAAAGCTTCTGTGTGAACTCTTTGAACATGAATATCAGAGAAAAAGGGGAATTTTCGAGATTTTTTAGAGATTTTAAAGAAAATTCAAGGAGTTCATGTTTACTAGGGAACGAGAAGACGCTTCAAAAACTTGAAATAGCACTTTTTTGGCATATTTTTTGCGTATTTTGCGGACTTTGAAGCGCCATAACTCGAAAAAAAGATCTAATGCGAGAAATTCTTTACTTGTTCTTCAATAAGAGGGTTCTAAAATACACTTCAGCAAATTTTCATCGAAAGTTCAACCAGCGAGTTGAAAAACTTCCTTAGTTAAAATGATTTTTGGCATTTGTTCCTGAAAATAGTCCGTTTTTGAGCTCGCTTTATTCCCGAAAAAGCTGGAAATCAAAAAAAAAAGAGTGAAAAAATGAGCTTTTTTTAGGAAATATTGCAAATATTTAAAGGAAAAAAATCAAAATTGTTATAGTCCTAGAAAGCATTTTTTTGATAAAGTTTGCGCCTCAAAAAAATATTTACTTCTTGAAAAGAAGGTCTTTTTTGTTGGAGAGTACTTTTGAAAAAAAAAAGCGCAGTTACTTCTCAAAAGCTGAGAAAATCATATACTTGTCTGGAAGAATGTAGAAATTCTCTTTTTGAACTTTCGAATCACAAAATTCCGTTTGAAGCTTTAAAATGTGCCTTTTTTGGATATTTTTCTTCAGGCTACTGTAGTCTTCTTCCTAAGTCTTTTTACCGCTTGAGCGGCGTCGGCGCCTCAAGTCGATTAGCCGGGGTCCTATCCTGATAATCAGTGGACTGGCTCTAGTGACATCGTCCTTGTGTGTGACGGCTGGGCATTATGAAACCGTGGTTTCCAACTACCAACATTTTTCAAACCCCTTGGTTGGGTCGAGGCGGGGGTCGAACTTGTGACCCTGTGGACCGTAGACAGGCACACAACCTGTTGCGCTACGGCGCGCCCCTTCTGGCTACTGTAGTATTTGATTTAAAGATAATGTTTGCTTCAGAGTTTGGGAAATTTGCTCAAAAATAGTAAAAAAAAAAGTGGAATAAATGAATAAAGTTCGTGTCCACGTTCAGGCATTGATCTGAGACGCCCGATGCTCGTGAGAATGGTCAATTGGACGGGAATCAACGAGGAAGGCGTCGATGGCGGTGGAATCTTCAGGTGCTCAGAAATCCGAACACCCTTATGGCTTCATTCATTTCAGAGAGTTCCTCAGCGAGTTGCTCAAAACGGCGTTTGAACCCAGCCGCGGCGTCTTCCAGTACACCCATGATAGGTGAAAAGTGTCATATTTAATTGGGAAAACGGGATTTTTAAAATATCCACGTTCCTGATTCAGTTTTTTTTTCAATATTTTGAGCTTTTTTTCGTTTTTTTTTTCATGCCATTCCTATAGTCGATTCACGGCTAACTTGAGACCCTAAGGGGCGGGGCCTGTCTGCGCTCTCCACCAACCAGGCGCTATCTCTTTCATTATCGTGCCAGGACCCTTTTTTCGCCAGCCGGGAATTTTCGAGTGTCTCTGTTCCCTCACCGGCGTGGTCAGAGAAACACAAAATAGCACGTCAACATGAGAGCGTCGCCGAGAGACGAGGAGGGCGCAGAGAAGTCGCGAAAAAGTTAGGAACGCCAGAGTGGTCCCTATAGGAGTTGGAAAAAAAACCCCTGTAACTCACAAAAAAAAACACGCCCTATCAGGCTTTCCAAGTCGAGAAAAACGGACTATACTCTGATTTTTCGAAAGTTGGATATCGAATTCTTTTTTCAGCTGCTTTTTAAATTTTCTGAACAAGTTTCCTAGCCCAAGCCGCTCAGTTTCCAGAATTTATCGATAGAGCGCAACATTTTTTTGAATAGCGGCTTTTTTTTCCTAGGAAAGTTCCGCCCTTCCAACTCGAGAAAAACGGACTATACCTCAATTTTGCGAAAATTGTGAGGCGTTTCCTTCATTTTAGCTCCTTTCAGCATCTTCTGAATATATTTCCTAGTCCAAGTCGCCCAGTTTCCAGAATTTATCGATAGAGCGCAACATTTTCTCAAATAGCGGCTATTTTCTCCCAGGGAAATTTCCAAGTCGAGAAAATGATTTTTACATTTTCTGTACACTTACTAGTCCACATCGCTCCGATCCCTTGAAATTATCGATGGAGCGCATAATGTTTTCAAATGGCGGCTATTTTTTCCTAGGGAATTTCCACCCTTTGAAGTCGAGAAAAACGGACCAGACCCTAATTTTTCGGAAATCGGATGGTGATTCCTTCATTTAAGCTTCTTTCTGCATCTTGTGAACTACTTTTCTAGTCCAAGTCTCTTATTTTCCTAAAAAAAAAACGGCCATTTTTCCCTACCCTTTTCACCAAAAATTGAAATATTTTTCAGGCTCCTCTACCCGAATCCAGTTGCCCCTTTGGTCCTCGGAAGCGATTATTATCGACATTTTCATTTTCTGGGCAGAATGCTGGCGAAAGTAGGCCTAAATTTCTTGGAAAACTGATGAATCGGCTCAATTTTCCAGTCAATCTACGAGAAACAGCTGGCGGAACTGCGATTCGCCGAGTTTTTCATCATCCAACTGTTGGGAAATCATCGGGGCGCCGAAGACGTCGACCTGCAGCACATGAAGAGCTTCGATCCGCTTCTCTTCAAGTTGGAATCGGAAGGAAAATGAAGATTTTGTTGGCTTTCAGGCAGCTGAGAAACTTGTCCTTCCTGAGCTCGGAACAGCTGGAAGACCTCCAACTGGATTTCAGCATCGTCATCGACGAGTTGGGCGTCTTGAAGGTGACTTTTGAAGCGGCTATTTTTGGAAAATTTTGAAGGGAAAAGCTAATTTTATCACTGAAGCGAACTTTCGATTGAAATAGTGGCTATTTTTAGTTGGAATCGAAGAAATAAGGTAGTTTTATCATTGGAGCACACTTTCGATTCAAAGAGTGGCTATTTTTGGTTGGATCCGAAAAAAAAGCAGGTATTTTTATCATTGGAGCGCACTTTCGATTCAAAGAGTGGCTATTTTTGGTTGGATCCGAAAAAAAGCAGGTATTTTCATCATTGGAGCGCACTTTCCATTGAAAGGGTGGCTATTTTTGGTTGGATCCGAAAAAATCAAGCAGTTTTATCATTGGAGCGAACTTTCGATTGAAAGAGTGGAACTGAATTTTAAGAACTCATAAGTAAGTTCAGTCATTGGAGTTTTATATTTTTTTTTAAACGGGAATAGGTAGTTTTAGCGATGTAGCGCACTTTTAAAAATTGTCGCGGCGCGGCTTTTTTGGTTGTTCATTAGAGCTCACTTGCGCCGAAAAAAACAACTCCATTTTCCAGACGATCAATCTGAAGCCGAATGGAAGCAACATCCGCGTTGCAGTGGACAACGTCCAGGAATACGTCCGACTCTACGTCAATTACCATCTGAAGCTCAGGGTGCGCCATTTTCCGGGGAGGGTGCACCTGCTTCACTCGAAAATGTTCAGCTCGATCCGATGGTTCGAGCGATGCGACGTGGTGTCAGTGACGTCATCAATATCGAATGGTTGGCCATGTTCTCGCCGTCGGAGATCCAGGTCGGTTTAGGGGATTCCGTTGCTCATTTTAGCTCAGAATTACTTAGAGGATCAATTGATTTTCAGATTTTAATCGCTGGCAACGAAGAGGACATTGATGTGGAAGATATGCGGCGTCATTGTGCTTTTTCGAATATTCGAGGTACCAAGAAATTTTTTGAGGATATGTACGGAAACTGAGAAAATTTTAAAAGGATTTTTGAAATTTGGCCTTTCAGAAGTATATTAAGATTATTTTACCTTATATGAAACTTATCATGTTTCAGATCATTCTGACGAAGCCTACGCAAACATGTTCTGGTCGGTCGTCGGTGATCTGCTCCCCGAGGACAAAAAAGCCTTGCTCAAGTTTGAAAATCCAAATAGAAAGAAGAAAAATTGGCGTATCCTAGATTTATCACCGGTTGCTCTCGACCGCCCATCGAAGGCTTCAAAGAGCTCTACCCGCCTTTGGGCATTCTATTGGTAATGGTTATCATTTTTAATCAGGAAAAATAAGTCGAAAATTCAGATCAATGAGGAAGAATCCCTGCCGACCAGTGCCACCTGTATGAACATGCTCAAGTTGCCCAAATATTCGTCGAGGCAAAAGTTGGAGGAAAAGCTCAGGTGATAATAAGAGGCTATTTTAGATGATCAAGTGCGCTCTGATGAACTGGGCTCAAAATAGATCGTCCTAACAAGGAATGATGGTTTTCTGATAGAAATTCCAAAAAATGCGACTTTTAAACTGATTTATCAGCTCAAGGCTGTTTTTGCAGTACAATCGCGCTCCAATAAACTTGGGATTGATTTTTCACAAATTTTTCATTTTTTTTTCTTTTTCATAAATATTCTCAAAATTCCTCCAGAAAGATCATGAGTTTAAAAAAAACCTGTCAACCTTTTTTTTTTGCTTCACAAGGATGATTATTTCAATTTGAAAGTTTCGTGAAAATTTGCCAGAACACTGATTTTTCTAATGCTTGAAGATACTGTAAAAGTCATCCCGGGTTCCGAACCCTGATTTTTCGAAAACTGGAAAGTTGTGCAGCTTGAGACAGGCAGAATCCTTTTTTGTACATCAATCTGACAAATTTTCAGGGGATTCCTGAAGCAAAATGCCTTTTTCATTTGTTGGCCAACTCTTTCGCTCGTTGAACTTTTTGACGAAATTGCTGATTATCGATAAAATTTCCTGTGACACTATGTAGATTTATACCTGCACCCCACAGAATTTCTAGTTTGGAAAGAAACAATTGTTTACAAGAGTTTGGAAAAGTCTAGACTCGCCTTCAAAATACGGCCAATTTCGAGGTTCACGTGCGTTCCACATCATAAGCGGCTAGCTAGCCATGTTTACAGCGCTCTTTCGTTTTTTAGTGACTCACTGGATGTTCTTTTTGGGCAATAATAAGAGTTATTTTGGTTTTGACTCTTTTTTGAGCTTGCAAACTAGAGTGTATGCTTTTGGGGCCCCTTTTTGAACAGTGCGACGATTTTTCAATGGCAGAGAATTGTTTTAGCATTTTTATTTTCAATTTTGCCTTCATGAAAACCCAAAATTGCTTCAAGATTTCGCACGAGAAGCTGTTCTTTAACCCTGAAATCGTTGAAAATTCGAACTTGGCCATTTTCGAAACTCAAATGCGCTCTATCGAAAGGATGCCTTTTATGCAAATACCGGAGCTTTCGAGCTTCCCAGCCCAAAGAATAGTATAAAAAATTTAATTTAGCTGTTTTTTGAAATTCAAACACGCTCTATCGAACTTTCTACAATTTTCAAGCCAAAAATAATTAAGATCCGCGAATTCAATCGTTTTTACAGTTTAATTAAAGCTCTACCGATAATATTTTAACTTTTTCAAGTTGTTACCAGTTTTTCAAGCTTACCATGGTCTGGCGAAAGAGTTGAGCCATTTTTAAAAAGAAAATGCGCTCTACCGAAATAGTGTCGCCCTTTTAGGCAAATATCCGAGCTTTCGAGCTTCCTAGCCCAAATGAAAGTGGAAAAAAAATTTTAATTCAGCCATTTTGAAGATTCAAACGCGCTCTACCGAAATTTCTATAATTTTCAAGGCAAAATGAACTTGATTAGCTCAAAAAAGACTACCGATAATTTTTCACTTTTTTCAAGAAGTTACCCGGTTTTCAAGCTTACCACGGTCTAAAAAAAATTAGGCCATTTTTAAATCCAAAATGCGCTCTACTGAACTTATTTTTTTCATTTTTTCAGATACGCAATCAACGCCGGCGCCGGCTTCGAACTCATGTAAATTCTGTATATTTTCGAAAATTTCAACGGATTAAAATTTGGAGCTTTTACAGAATTTAACCCCCCAAGCCCATTTATTTTTATCGATTACGTGTGCCACGATTTTGTGTTATTTTCTCTTATAAGGAACTTAAAAAAACTGAAAAAAAGTAGGTTTTTTTCTATTGGTCGATGTTCGTTCTTTTGTAAATTTGTGTTGTGTTTCTCCGTTAACTCGTTATCGAACTCGAATAAATTTTTATCTTGTTTTTTTGTAGAAAAGTTTTTGCATGAAAAAAATTGCACCCTAACGGGGCTAATTCAGCTTTTTTTCGTACTTTGATTCAGACTCTGACCGCACCAGGAATGGCTCAAAAGGTGCCCCCGACCATGAACCGACTTACACGGGGAACGCCCACTGAGCCATTCTACATGCGACCAGAGGCCTTTAAGATTCTTTTAGGGGATTTATTTGTGTTTTGATCACTTTTTGAATGCCAAGCCTTGAAAAAAGGAAAATATGAGATTCAAAAAATATGAAATTTAAAAATTGTACTTTTTCAAAGCAGCTGTATTTGATAATTTTGTCTATTTTTGAATTCACCTGTCTTTTAAAGGACATCTTTATGGAACTTTGGATTTTTAATTTGAACTTTTTGCTATGAATTTTTTTCTCTATAGGGGATACATTTTGAGGCTTGAAGTTGAAATTTTTTTGAGTTGAACTTTTTGAATAGGCCTTTTTTTCAGGTGCGTTCATGCTCTATGGACAAAGCTCAAAATTTCACTTTTTTTGTTAGTAATACATTCTATTCTGTCCCATTCTACTATCCATTTCTTTTCCAAAAAAAAAACAGATTTGATTCCACAAATCGCGGCCTTTGCCCGTAGAGCACACATGCACTTAACCATTCAAATTGATGAGGCTGAAAATTCCAAAATTTAGCCACTTTTTCCTTGAAAATACACCAATTTTGCATCCAATTTTCAAATGGAAACCAAATATTTTCGGTTGTTTTCTTGGCGAATTTGCTTTTCCGTGTCTGCCACTGACACAATATTTTCCGTTTTTTTCATTATTCTAATTTTTGTCGGTTAAATCCTGTCTGATTCCGAGGGAAATTGGGTTCGCCAAGGCCCAAATTTTTTTAAATGGTGTTCGGAATACAAATTTTAAATAAGAAACATTAGTTTTATCTATAGAGCGCATAAATTTCATAGTTCAGGGTAATTTTTCAAAATTTCATTGGGAAGATTTTGAAATTTTGATTTTTATGAGGCAAACTTTGCTCTTTTCGCCACTCAGAATTATATAAATTTTCAATTTTTCCTACCCATCCCGGAAGTGAAACCACTTTTTTCCTATCTCTTTTGGTCAAGTAGTGATCCAATTTATCAAGTTTGCAAAAAATATCCTCCCTCGAGGGGAATCGAACTTGTAAGGCTTGGAAAATGGAGATGCAAACAAGCCAATTGACCAAGATACAATCATCAAAGTTTTTGAAAAAAACGAATTTTGATCCCAAAAAAAAACATAACAGTTGCTTGGTCATATTGAAGGTGTCAATCACCTGTCAGTCAGGATTTTTCCCGAATTTTCCCATTTTTTCGCTTGTTTTGAAGTTTCGCGCTCTATTTCCGAGGTTTAGCGGAAAATAATCGAAAGAATGATACTACAAACGGAAAAATTTAGCAAAATTGTAGTGTTAAAAATGGCAAAAAAAAGCGTTTCACAATGAGTTCGAACCTGGGTCACGCAGCTCGTGGGCAATCGTATTTTTTTCAAGGGACTACTTTAGGTAAAATTTAAGCGGCTACTCAAGTGCTTCAATAAAAGAAAATTTTGGAACTCGGCCAGTTTTTAATCTTTTCTGGAAATAGGAGATGATGCATTTAGAGGGTGCTCTCTTCAAAATATTCCCTTAAGTGGTCACTACACGTTTCTTTTATCTGAATTGTCATTAGTCAGCGTTAAATGGTCTCTTAAGTCGTATTTGTTTCAAGGGACCACTTCAGGGAAAGTTTAAGTGAGGGGGGCTTCTTAAGAATATTCCCTAAAGAGGTCACTTCATTTTTTTAAATCTAAGTTTTCAGTGGCTTTTCAAATAGAAGAAGCTACATTTAAAGTTGCTTCTTAAGAAGATTTTTAATTTTTCGCTTCAAAGTATAACTTGAAGAAATTCTAGCATGATTAATTTTTGACAAATGTTTCCTTATATCTTTTTTCTTTTGTCGAGAGAAATGTGAATAACGTGATTAAGGCTCAGTTCATAAGAGGCATTATCGCATGGATAAGCTTTTGAAGATGCAGTTTTTTTTTTTTGAAAGATGATAAAACAACCAAAAAATGATGAATATCTTAGCGTCCGCCTACGGAATTTTTTTCATTTGCCCGAAAGCGGAAGAGGAATTTGAAATTTCGATTGTCCTTTCACCTGCTTTTTATTTAGAGCCAAAAAAGTGACGCAGGCGGAAACCAATTTTTTTCTTGTTCAGGTGTGTTTTTTCGGCACATGTCCGAAAAATTGACCTGGTTGGGAGTACGTTTTTGCCCTGGAAATTTTTCTTTCTATTTGTGAGACCTTATTTTCTCTTCCTCACTGTGAACGAGCACACTCGCAGTTGGGAAAAGATGTAGTAAGTCCTATAGGGAGAAAAGAAACCCTCTACGGAGGTATACTAAAGGACCCCTTAATGCAGCCCCTATAGGACCTCCTAAATGATCCTTTAAGATCCACTATAGGGAGCCACAGTTGAACTAGACGCACGCTAGAAAGGAAGGCAGAGACGCAGAGGAAGGCGAGAGAATGCAACATCGCATTCTTCCATCAACTTTTGTGAATAGAGAAGTCTTGATATTCCTGTGTAGTTCTTGTCGTACCTGATTTCCCATCCGCTCATTGTTATTTTCTCCTTAACTTTGAGTTTGTTAACAACTTTTCCTACTTCTTCTATCTTGTGAAGCTATTCCTTTTCCTTATAAATTTTAAAATAAATATCCCTATGATTTACTAATATCCTATGGAGAGAACAATCGCGGATAACATCGAAAAATCAGTCTTCACCACCTCGAAGCCCGACTCGCTCACTCATCCATGCGTCGTGGCATTCAACAAAACTCAAGCGGCATCGTTCCGCCATGGATCAAACTCGCAATTCAAGCTGGATGAGATAGGGATCTTATACAATCTGCGTGATCCGGCGATCCAATTCGAGGTTTTTCTTTTCCAATTATGAAACATATAAAGCTGCTTTCCAGGCTCGAGTAATGGCCTTTTCCGATCTCTACGATGTAATGATTTTCGAATTACTTTCGGGAGAGTTCCCGAATTCTCCGCGAGCTTCGGAGCCGATGTTCAGCGGCCAGGCATACACGCAACTCAGCATCAGTCCTGATCGCCAGCCCTGTTGGAAAAGCGGTATAACATCCCAGAGGCAAGGTATGTCTAACTTCTTGACTTTACAGATATCAATCGTTTTTTTAGGTCTCTTCTCCATCGGAACTGCACACAGGAAACTGGGTGATAGCGGCTCCGGAATATTTTCTGTTGATGGCTACTTCCTCGGAATCGCAATTGGGAAGAATAATCCCTGTTCTAACGACCTTCAAAATATGCCTGTGGGAGAAATTGCTGACCATCACCCCGACTCAAGAATGATTTGTTCCCAGGTCATCCTTTTCTTCTCTGGGTTCATTAGTCCAGCCAACGATGTAAGTAAATTTATTTAAAGAATTGGTTCAATTGTTATGTTTCAGTACGTGCCGACATAACATGCGAGAAGTCCCGCGTGGGCGACCATCTTCGATCTCGGATCAACGATCTTCGTTTCTGTTTATTTCAAGTTTGAATAAAATTTAGCTTTTCGTCAATTTTGACATACAATTGTGGTTGAAAATTAGAAATGAAAAATGAAACCGACCTCTCAACAAAAAATTAATGGAAATTTTCCAAAATTATTGAAAATCCTATACTATTGTTTGAAACAAAAAAGGTATTATTTGAATTAGACCATAATTGAAATGACCACTTGAGGCCAAAGCCAAGAACTCCCTTCAGGGATCACTTCAGATGTTTTTTTACTCAAGGAAGCTACGAATTTCCGGCTCATTTTTATAATTATCAAAAAAGATTAAAAAAAACAAAAGAAAAGTCGAGAGTCTCCTAAAGAGGCCACTTGAAATGCGCGTTTTTCAAACCTAAGATTTGATGTATTGATATAAAAAGAAAAATTCAAAAATCCGGGTGTCTCCTTATGTGAGAATGAAAAAATAGCCTCAAACAAAATGAGCACTAAAGGGATTAGCAGAATGAACTCCGCCTCTTTTTCGGCAAGGCTCCGCCCACCTTTTTGTTCTTTTTCTTTTCTTTCGAATCTCCAAGCTAGTTTCAAGTAACATTGCTGTAGGATTTGAATTTCAAAGCTTCAGTAGTTGGCTCAGTCAGTTAGTTTGATTTACGTGCAAAGGGTCACCGGATCGATTCCTTTCATGAATTTAAAAATTACTTTTTTCGTCTTTTTTTTTTTTACATTTTTGCCATATTATCTCAAATTATTAGTAGCGAAATGGACGCTTAGGTCACAGGTTCGAATCCTGAGCTGGTTTTTGCCGTTTTCAGCCCAAACTCCGCCTACTTTTCATGGTTTTTTTTCCTATCCCCTGCACGGATTCTCACATTTTTCAGCTCACTCGGAGCACAAAGAACTCTGGCTTTTCTTTTTTCCTTTGTTTTCTGCTCCGAGTGAACAAAATTCAATTTTCCTCGATCTTCCTTATGAAAAGTTTCATTTTCGGGTAAAAAATAGGCTTGAGAATTTTTCAGCTAGAGTTTCAGCCACATCGTTTGTCGGCTTTTTTCTACGAAATCTTTTTCAGAAAATTCTAGTTTCTCTTTCTATTTCCTCCAGCCTTTTGTCCTTAACGAACATCAAACTTAAAGAAGGGCCAAATTATTTCTTCACAATTGAGAGAGGAAAAGAAAAAAAAAAGAAATTGGAAGTTCCTTGTCTGAGAATTGTCCTTTTTGTGCTTTTTTGAGTCGATTCTTGGCCCTAATGAACTACTTTACCCCTACTTGTTGGATCCCAATGAATTATTCATTTTTTCAAAGGTGAAAGAACACCTAAACTCAGTTCTTTGACTTTGGTTCTATAACTGGAAGTCTGAAATGAATATTATTATAACTGTTTCTATTTGAATAATGCGATGAATTATTCATTTTTTTCGTGAAAAGAACATGAAGTTCTTTGATTTTGACACGTAACTAAAGTCTAATGATGCTTTAGAGGATTAGGAACTCTACCTTAAGGAATCACTTGATTATATATATATATATATATATTTTTCTCAACTTAACTTATATATCTGCACAATGCGTCTCCTAGCTTTCTTATCGAGCTATTTCTACAGATTTTACTTGCAGAAACTCATGAGAAGCTGATTTTTTTGGTTATTTCTCAGCACTCACATATTCAAGAAAAATGAAATTTTTGAAATTTGAAAAGCTTTTTTTCTAATTTTTTTATAATAGAAAAAGAAAAGAAAAAAATAGAAAAAGACCTAGTTCAAAAAGGCAATCAACACAATTTCTTCAAGCATGCCAAACTTCTGAGTGGTCAGTCTGAGGATGATATCAACGTTCTAAAAACCTCTGATGGAGAGGCACTTACCTGCAACTTCGCTAAAGCTAACCTCTTATCTACAAAATTTCATTCATTTTTCACAATCGATGACGGAAAAACTCCGCCATGTGTTTCTAAAACATCTAACCGTTTATCTGTCATAGATCTCCCAGCGCACAGAATAGAAGCTTTTCTTCGTAGAATGCCCTCTAAATGTAACACTACTCCGGATGAAATCCCCTCCATTTTGCTCAAAAACTGTTCCACATCTCTCGCCTATCCTCTTTCTATTATTTTTAACGCCTCTCTCCGATCTGGTCAAATTCCATCTGTTTGGAAAAAAGCCATTATCAAACCCTTACACAAAAAAGGAAGTAGATCTGACCCTTCAAATTACCGTCCAATTAGTTTAACCAGTTCAGTTTGCAAATGTCTTGAAAAAATAGTTGTGCATGATTTCAGCGTTTTTCTCAACTCTAACTCTTTGTTAAACTCTAACCAATTTGGATTCCGCCCTAAATATAACACGTCTATTCAACTAATTCAATATTGTGCAAATCTTTTTTTGAAAATGCAAACAGTAACCTTTGCACGGACGCTATCTATATTGACTTTTGCAAGGCTTTTGATACTGTCTCTCATGCTAAACTTGTTTACAAGCTTCAATTTTACGGCATTTGTGGTCCTCTTCTTGGCTGGATCGAATCCTACTTGACGAATCGTGTGCAGTGTGTTTCTCTTTCTGGAGTACTTTCCGACCCCGCTCCTGTACTCTCCGGCGTACCCCAGGGGTCGGTCATCGGACCCCTTCTGTTTCTACTTTTTATTAACGACATTACGGATAACTTTCGCTCTGCGCCCCTTCTCTATGCTGACGATTTAAAAATTTTTTCTTCGCTCACAAAAACCTCTAGTTCTACTGTCATCGAAGAAGACCTCAAATTACTTGAAAACTGGTGTTCAACATGGCAAATGGCTATAGCTCCAACTAAATGCTTTTCTATTCATTTCGGAAAACGTAACCCAAATATTTCTTATAAAATTTCAAACATGGCTTTACAGCCTAAACTTTCAGTTCGAGATCTTGGTGTAGCTTTCTCAAATAACCTTAAGTTCAATGATCATATATCTGAAATCTGCAGACGGTGTAAATGTCGCATAAATGTTATGTTTAACGTGTTTCGATCCACTGAGCTTTCATTGTATTTAAAATGCTTTGAAGTGTATATTCGTCCTATTATTGATTATTGTTCTGTAGTCTATGCTCCAATTGACTCTCACAATATTTGTTTGATTGAAGGTGTTCAGAAAAGTTTCCTTTTCCGAGCTTACCATCGTTGCGGCTTGCCCTACCACTCTTATTTCACTTGTTTATCTGAAAATAGTCTCAAAACTCTTGAGACAAGACGCCTCATCTTTGACATGTCTCTTGTTTATAAAATTGTACTTAGAGAAGTCCCCATTGATTTCGATAGTCTCTTCTTTTTCCCCCGTGTCCGTGCGCTGCGTCGCCATCGCTATTATTTACGTTCAAATATAAGACATAATAGTAACATCGTTGCCTCGTTTTTTAGTATCAGAATAATTAATGTTTGGAACTCCCTTCCCGATGTTGTATTTGATCTATGTAATGATTCTATGCGATTCAAAAATCTATTTAGAAAAACAACCCTCATCTTCTCGCTGACTTTCTTAAAAATATCTTCTAACTTTTTAAACGGTTTGTTGCTGTTTTCAATGTTTAAATTTCCCTTTTTTTAAAAAAATTGGTTCTGTTAGAGGTCTTTTTCGGCCCTTGAACTGTATTATTATTCGTATTGAATAAATTATGATGATGATGAATAATTTTACTTCAAGAGTCAATAAAAAAATCCTATTTCTTATTCAAATACCTTGGATTTTTCCAAAAAGAAATAAAAAAATTGGAAGAAAACTTTTTTTCCTGAAAAAAATGACTTTTTTTGGCGCTTTTTGCTCTAAACCAACAAGGATTTTTTTCTCAATTTCATTTTTTTCAAATTTTTTTAGGATCTAAATATTCATACTTCCTTCAGTAAGTTTTCAAAAAAATGAATTAAAAACTAGTTTTTATAACAATTTTTTTATTAGATTTTTTTCTTTTTAATTATTATTTTTTTCAAAAAAATAAATCTCATAACCCAAAGAAAATATCAATAGTCGAACTTTGAAAGTTCCTTGTCATTCGAGCCGTTTTTCCTTGGCCCCGAAGTCCCGCCCCCTCCTATCTCAAAAGTTTCGCGGCTTTCGAGGCTCCAACGAGTTCCGCCGGCGTTTCCTGATCCTGCCCAATTTTTTCTTCGTTCTAAAATCGTTCCATTTTTTTCCTGACTTTTCTTTTTACTCTTTTGCATGGGAGGTTTGAACTGGAGGATAGGAGCAAAGGTAAAGTTTAGGTTTCCTATACCTTTTTGGGTCTTCAGAGGTTTAGGTAGTTTTTTGAAATCTTAAAAAGGATAATGACTTTTTAGGAGACATTTTTTTTTGTTATTTTTAATGAATTTCGAACTTTTGATAACCCAAAATGACACAGTGATTCCGGAAGAAAAAAAATTAGAAACTTTTTTGGGAAAGAGAATTTCTTGAGTTTTTTTAGAAGGTTTTAGAAACCTTTTGTAAACCTCAAAAAGGTATTTGACCTTTTTAGGAACCATTTCATGAATTCAAAGTAGAGTTGAACCTTAGAAAAACCCAAAAATTGATCCTTGGAACCCTAAAAATAGTAATAAGCCTTTTAAAAGTCTTGTTGAGACGTATGGGGTTCATGACTTTTCAGAAGCTTCGAAAAAGTTTTTAACAAAAATTAATGATCGGTCAGATGGCTAAGATCTTCGCGCATGGCTAAACAGCTCGCTTGTTCGGTTCCCATGGGCGTCGCCTCTAAAAATCTCATTTTTTGTTCTTTTTTTACGTCTTGAAAGAGAAAGGTCCCATGGTGTATTCACAAAAAAACGTGATTTATGACCGTTTTCAAAAAAAAAGAAACTCGAGTTTTTGAAACTTTCAGTGGTTTCCAGGGAGTTCAAAAAAGAGAAAGATGTTTGGGTTAGTAAAAAAAACAGGAAGCCCTGAGGGACCACTTGAATGGAAAATTTTTTGAACTAAAATTCTTAAGGGATTTGGAAAAACTATAGGGACACGTTCGAAAAGTATAAAATGAATTTTTATAAGGTCAACCAGAAGAAATACGTTTCAAGAGGAATTGAACTATTGGCCTTTTAGCGACATTTTGATTCCTCCCCTCCATCGAACCAGATCATTTTCTTTTCGAATTTCCTACGAGAATTTCCCTTGCAGAACTCTCCTATGTGATCTATGAAAGAAGATCCTTCATTGAACCTCCAATTTTACTATGCATACTAATTTTGCGAATCTAATTGTCTCTCGAATTTGTCATTTAAAGAGTAATTGTTGGTTCTTGGGCTTTCTGTTACCTTAATGTTATGCTTCAAACTCCATACCTGTTTTTTGGAGAATCTCAGTTTTTGTTAGAAAATGATCACCGTGGAGAAAGCCTGAAGGAAAAAATGGCAAAAAAATCGTATCTGGTTGGGGATTGAACCAGATCCCTGTCGAGCGATAACATGAAATCGTACGACTTTTTTTTTCCTTTTTTTAAAAATTAAAATTTCCTTAAACTGTAATGAGAGTCTTATCATCCTAGAACAAGCCTGCAAAAATAATGGCAAAAAAAAATCTGAACTTGTTGGGGATTGAACCAGAGACCTCTTGCGGGAGATAAATCTTACCAATTACTTCTTGAAGCATTTTTTCAATTATAGCCTTCACTAAACTGTAATGAGAATCTTATCATCTTGAAACAAGCCTGCAAAAATAAATGGCAAAAAAATCTGACCTTGTTGGGGGTTGAACCAGAGACCTCTTGCGGGAGATAACTCACTTCCCGATTGCGCCAACTTGTCGTTTCACTTTTTTTATTATAAAACATTGTATTTCTGATTTTAGTGGGAGATGTGTGAAGATGACGAACCGAAATCAGTGACTTCATTGGTTCTTGTATGTATCGGTGAGTTTTTTTTAAGTGATCACTTAAGAAACTTAAAATTAGCAATTGTTCTAGAATGACCATTAATCATTAAGTTTTTGATATTTGCTTCAGTGAACCCTTGAGTTTGCGTCATTTGTATTGGAAATGATCACTTAAGGGAAGCAGGGCTTCTTAATGCGAAATATTCTTTATTTTCGAAATTTCAGTTTTAAAAAGGCTTACATCAAACTACAAGGTACATTTAATGACCCCTAGGATTTAAATATTAAAAAAATGAAGTGGCCACTTAAGGGAGGAATTTCCCAAGTGGTCGCTATAGAGATACGCCACTGTTCGTTAAGCATCGAATTTTAAATTACTTCCCCATTTCAAGGCTTAGAGAAAGCTCAATCGACCACTTGAGCTAACAATCCATCAATGAGTTTCATTCAGGCTCTGCAATATCAATAATATCGATCGTCAATAATGTCACATTATTTATTTCCCTTCTCAAAAGCAGCCGATGTTTCCAGTGCTATTTCCAGGTTTCTTTTCTATTTTTCTCAATGGCAAAAATGAAGAAGGTTTCGAACCAGTGACCTTTTGATCCGCAGTCAAGACTCTAACCAACTGCTCCACAAAAGAAATGTTTTAGTTCATCTTGGCCATGTGCTTTTTCGACATTGTCGTGTCGGTTTTCTACATGCCTGTGATTTTGGTCGATTCATTAAAGGTGGGTGTACAAAAATGGCAAAAATGGACAGGGGATTGAACCTGTGACCCTTTTGCCCACAAGTTAGAGTCTAACCAGTTGAACTATCCGGTATATTTAAGGATTGGACGAAATGGATCGAATTGGCAAGAGCTTGGTGGCCATATTTTGTTTATGGATTGACGATCACGCACGTTTCGATGACTACTGCTAGGTATTATTTCTTTTAGATTACTGTAGCTTTTTAAAGAAGTTTTGTACGCAATGAAAGTTCTAGTTTTACAGATAGACAATGCTTTATACTGCCAGGTGTTTTTTTTTCGGATTACTGTAGCTTTTTGAAGGAGTTTTGTACGCATAAACTTTTTATTTTAATAGATAGGCATTACTTTATCAACTTATGTTTATTATAAGAGAAGAGCGAAATTATTTTATAAAATTGGTTACGGTAGCTTATGAAGCGAGTTTCGCACGCAATAAAAAGCATTTTTCCTCGAAATATCAAAAATCTATCTACTGTAGTACGCGGAGCTCCTGTATTTCTCTTGAAATGGATTACGGTAGTTTTCGAAAAGAGTTTTGTACGCAACAAGATTCTTAGGGGTCTGATTTATAAGCCTCTGAAGCTTGAGTGACCCCTATAGTAATTTTTCAATTTTTTTTGTCAAGACGAAATTCCAGAGAACTAAATATAACCGATTATTATAAAGAACCAACTTTTAGCCTTTCCATGACCAAATATTTTTGGTCTCCCAGTAAAACCGAACACCAAAAGCCTCAGTCAAAGGAACCGGTGGAGCTTGAGGGGACAAAGACGTTTAATCTCTGATTTTCCATTAGGAAAAGAAGAGAGAAGTTCCTGTGTAGTCTTATTATAATGATTCAGTCCGAAATGTTTTTGGTATGAACATTGGAAGGCCAAAAAGGTGGTTCTTTGTGAGAATTGGCTATTTTTGGAGCCCTGAGGGGTGAGGAAAAAATATGAAATATAGTGATTTTGAAACGGAAAAAAAGAGTTAAAAATCAAAAGTTGTGGGGTTGTTTCAAAATTCAGAATACTTCGAAGGGCGTATTGGGAAATGTTAAAGAGAGTTTGGAATCGACTTTTCGATTTTTCGAAAATATGTGACTTCAAAAAAAAGATCGTGATATCTTAACAGCTTAAATTCAATGTTTTCCCATGCATTCGCGCGCAAGTCGTCTCAGGTCGGGCGATCTTTGAATTTTCATAAAATTGCGACAAAAAACGGTGACAAGTCACATAGGAATGATGTATGAGAAATAAATTTCATCTTTGGCAAAATGATTCAAGAAAAAAAACAAAAAAAGGGGAAAGCTGACTTTGCTGCGCCCTCTGATCTCTTACATACCTCAAATATTGTTTAAATGTTTCTCTGACGTCACCGGTGAGGGATAGGAGTGCGCAGACAGGTCAGACAGTAACAAGTCGAGACGAATGAAGTTTATAACTTTTTTCAGCTTCATCCTCGTCGCGGCCGCCTATGAAAGATACTTGATTACGGTGCACAGTAATTCTCAGAAACCGTTTCAAGCCCAAAGAGGCCTCGCCTGTGTTGGTAAGTCGCAACACTTGGACATGTCTCACTTCTCTGCGCCCTCTTTTCTCTCGTATTCTCACTGTGAGAGAAAAGAGAGCACAGACATGTCAGACTTCTTCAAGTCGGGATGATTTTTGAAATTGGAAGATTTTCAGCCTGCCTTGCACTGGGAATCCTGACCAAAGGCGGTATTTTATTAGAGTTGGACGTTTATCCGAATCCAGATCCGAGTTGTGTGGTGAGTTTTGAAACTTCTAGAAAGTTTTGGTCGCATTTGGAATGGCTCGAAGCGTAAGTAGCTTCAGGTCGGGTGCATTTTGAAGTTCAGGGATTTCTTGTTATTTCTAGGAAAACTTGAGTTTCAAACAAAATTTCATGGTTTTCCATGGTTTTCCATACTCAAGTAAACCATGAAATTTTGTTTTTAGTTCAAAATCTAGATTAAATTTGGGATTAAATTTGTAATTTCTTGATTATTAGGAGCTCCTAGTTGAACTTTTGAACCTTTGAAAAAATTTTAAAATTTTTTTTTGGCGTAAAAATTCAATTGAAAATCCGTATAGTATACCAGTCAAACTGCTAGAATAAAAAGACGCCATGAAAATTCGGTTTTAATTCAATTTTCCCGAGCTTCCAACTACTATAGCAGGAACAAAAAGGGGATGTTTTTCAGGGCCCAATAGACTTTTTTATCGTCTGAAATGGAATTTTTGATGGAATTTGGAAGAAGAAGCTGTTTTTTTTTTTGAGGCTTGGATAAGATGGAAATAAGGGCTCAGGGTGATTTGAAAAAACTCTCGTTATCGAAAATTTTGTTCTTTTATCAATGGAGCGCACTGAGCATGAAAAAATAGCTGTGAAATTTTTTTTTTGAGACCGCGATAAGGTTTTCTAATAGATGGAAGTGAGGGCTTGCAGTGGTTCAAAAAAAATCTCAAGTTATCGAAAACTGTGTATTTTTATCAACGGAGCGCACTAAGCATGAAAAATAGCTGTGAAAGTTTTTTTTTTTTGACGAGGAAGTTTTTCAGTCGATTAATGTCATTTTTAGGAGTTATTAGGCTCATTTAACGTCCCTAAAAGTCCCCAAAACCATTTCTCGAAACCTTTTTTGAATTTCCAGGGGACTGTCCAAGAAGTCTACGTCGATATGACCAACATCACACAATCGGTGGCCTACGGAACTGTTTATCGGTTCTGGATTCGGAATATCGTCACGATTTTCCTACCATTCGCTATTCTTACTGTAATTAACGTGAAGACCCTGTTGGCTCTGAAAACGCAAATGAGAAAGGCCAAAATGATGACGTCACCCAGGAGACGGTTCTCGATCCATGCGAGGAGCAAGGTTGGTGCTTTTTTTTGAGTACAGTAACCTGAAATGATGTCATAGGAAGCTACAGTAGGCTCTACAGTAACCTAGGGAAAAGAACCTACAGTAGGCACTACAGCAAGCTGGGGAAAAGACCCTACAGTGAGCTCTACAGAAAGCCATGGATAAGTCCCTACAGTAGGCTCTACAGCAAGCTAGTGTAAAGAGCCAAAAGCAGGCTCTACAGTAATCTGATGTGAAGAATCTACAGTAGGCTTTACAGCAACTTAGAGAAAAGAACCTACAGTAAGATAGGGGAGGGAACCTACAGTACGCTTTACAGTCAGCTAAGAAAAAAGCCTATAGTAGGCTCTACAGTAAGCTGGGAAAAAGAACCTACAGTAGGCTCTAAAATAAGCTAGGGAAAAGAGCTTACCGTATGCTCTACAGTAAGCTAGGAGAAAGAAGATTATGATGAGTATTGTAGTTCTGAAGGCTTTGATGCAGTATCCCAAGAGGTAAGCATCAAAAGCTACAGTAATCTCTACAGTAAGGCCTTCCAAAATTCTATTCGAGATTATAATTTGACTGTAATTTAAAAAAAACTATGTCATTTTTCGAGTCCACTGTTCTTATACCATCCCAAAAAGTTCAGTAACGCTCTACAGTACACTTTTCCAGTCAAACGTCCGGAGAGCCACCTGGACCCTCCTTCTCGTCTGTTTTGTGTATCTTTGCTCCAACGCACTAAATGTGGTCATAACTGCCTGGGAATTTATCGATATTCAGTCTCTTCAAGAATCGTGGGTTTTTATGGACCTTACTTGACTTTGAACTATCTGACCTGTCTGAAACCTCTTGTCTCTCGTTTATGGTCATTTTAGTTAGAGAAAAGAGAGCGCAGACAGGTCATACTGTATATTTTTCATTTGACCTGTCTGCGCCCTCTTTTCTCTCCTTTCTGATCACATCACTTAGAGAAAAGAGAGTGCAGACAGGTCATACTGTGTATTTTTTGTTTGACCTGTCTGCGCCCTCTTTTCTCTCTTTCATGATCACACCAGTTAGAGAAAAGAGGGCGCAGACAGGTCAGAGACCTCCGAAAGTCTTGACGAACTCATCACTTTTCTAAAATAAGACGAAAAAGATTATTGATTGATTATTTCCAGGTTCATGCCGGAATACATGCTGGCGACGGATTTCTCATCAGTTCTCGTAGTACTCGCCTGCGCCTTGAGAATGCCGATTTATATGGTAAGTTTGACCTCCTGGTCGCACTTGGAATGGCTCAGAGATAACGCAAACCGCTTTGAGTCGGTTGCAAGTCTTCCCAAGTGCTTCAAACTGAGTTGAAAATCAGCGTTTAACAGCCATTTTTCAGCTTTGCAACCCAGAACTTCGGCATCTGGTCATGAAATCATTTGCTTATCGGCCCGAGCAACAAGTTAAAATACAGCAATCTTTTTCGCTTATTGCCAAATTAATTGTTTAAAAGCTAATTTTGCTTAAAATTCATGAAAAGTCGATAGAATGACGTCATTACCAAGCTATGTGACGTCATCGTTTTCCCAAGCAACCTTTCACTTTTTTATTTTTTAAAAAGCTCTCCTATCCACCCAGAACTTTGACATGTAAAGTAAAAAAGGACTTATGACGTCATCAAGCACTCCTATGACGTCATTATTTTTTAAATACCGACTCATGACGTCATAAATCAGCTCTATGACGTCATTATTTTTAAACTCTTATGTAATTTTGTCACTTTTCAAACCTTTTTCTATAGTTTTAGAATTGTACAGTTTTTTTGAACATGTCTGTGATGCATGGTCCCGGGTTTTTTCTCCTACCAAAAATCGGTTAATTTCACATGAAAATAAAAATTTATTCAATAAATATGTACATTTGTACAGAGATTCAGAAATGTTGAAAATTTATTAAGCATCAAGAAAATTCGATGAGGCCCGGTAGTTGGCGGGGACGGTCTGCAAAGTTGAGCTCAAGGAAAAATTTTTGAATGGCAAATGATGTCATTTTTGACTTGACAACGTCATCAATCATAATCAGTGCCGTCATAGGTCGAGGGTAATGTCTTAGTGATTTGAAGGTACGTTACTTTAAATGTAAAAGTTAACAAATTGTCCTTTTTTGATTCTATGACGTCATCTTAAGCCTACATGTTCTCAATGACGTCATCTTGTACCTACATGTTATCAATGACGTCATATTAAACCTACATGTCTTCAAAAAATCCTATTTTTTCGTTCTCAAAGTATCATAATCCCGAATTTTCACGTCATTTTTACGGTTTTCTATGTTTTCTATGTTTTTCTTGTGATTCTGACGTCATTTTCAAATATTTGAGCTTCTGACGTCATCTAGTAAAAATGTCCACTGAGCCAATGACGTCATGATTATCTCAACAAACCTGTCCTTGCAGTGAAGATCTCATCGGTGGCCTTCGAATTGTCACGTCGTCTCTCCGAGGATTCAGAAGACGTCGGCAAGAATTCCCGCGACGACTTCAAGCCTCGATGAAGGAGGGATTCGCCCTCGTTGACGGCCAACGGCTCCTCGTCACGTCCTGTGTTCCGCCAGTCGTCTTCCTCGTCTGTGTTGAACTCGGTCTCTTCTGAAGGTTTTTGATGACGTCTTCAGTTTTGGAAGACGTACCTTTAGGCTTCTCCAACTCTTCGGATTCGATCAGAGTCGGCGGCTCGGTTGTGGCGACTCCGATGGATGGAATCGGCGCCAGAGGCATCGGAGTGAAGGCCGACGTCATGGGGGGAGGTACGGTGGGGGGCATCGGCATGCCGTTGCCTGCATTTGGAATGGTTGGGTGCGTTGCGGTCGCGACGCGGTTGGGTAAGCTTTTGAGACTAAGTTTTGGATCAGTGTCTCTGAACGAGTATTCTGTCCACTGACAAGTTAGAAAACTGCTTCAAGCTTTAAGCTTAGAAACTTTTTGGAAGGCTGGGTGCGCTGCGGTCGCGATGCGGTCGGGTGATCAAGTTTTTTTTTTGGATCAGTGTCTCAGAAAGAGTATTATATCCGCTGACGAGTTTGAAAAATGCTTCAAGCTTTAGGACTAGAAACGTTTTGGAATGGTTGGTTGCGCTGCGGTCGCGACGCGGTTTGTTAAGATCGTCAAGCTTTTCAGAGAGGATATCACTACTACTTTAAAATCTATCTCAGCTCTGGAGTAGGACATTTGTTCGAAGAGAATGGTGGCCTTGAAAAGCCTTGGAATGGCTGAACGCGGGGCGGTCGCGTCGCGGTCAAGCTTTTAGGCGTCGCGGTCAAGCTTTTTTTTTGCGAAAAATGATGGCAAAGTTGTGGTTTTTTTTTAAATCATATCTAAACAGACCCAAGAACGAGAAGAAATTTCTGATATTCTCCATGAAATTGCCAAATTGGCCGGCTGGATGCATCGGCTGAGGGTTGTTGCCAAACTGAGATTTTAATAAAATTAGGAAGTTTTCTTTTTTGGTACCTGTAAGTTGCTGCCCAAGTCAATTCCAGAACTACCGCCGGAAAAACCGGATGAAGCTCCGATCCGTTCTCCGCCAATTAGGACGCCTTCATTGGCTGGAAAATAGAGGTTTGCCCAAATTTTTCGGGAAAACGGAATTTCTAGAGCAGCTCCTTTAGGGAAAAAACTATTTTTTTTCTCGCCCCTAGTTTTTGCTTGAAATTCCTGAGTGTTCTACAATTTTCCTAGAGAGATTTATAGAATTGGGAAGGCTAAAAGATTTTCCCAAAAGCCTCACTTGCCAGTCCAACACCTCCTGGATTGCTGGACAGTTTGAAGCCACGATCACCTCCAAATCCGAAAATGTTGGCCGATTGGCCGAGGCCAAGGTCGATTCCGCCGTTGGTGTTTGGATGCAGGGAAAAAGAGCCGAGGTTCAGTTGAGCATCGCCTGAAAAATCGGATCAGTTTAGATTTCTGTTCGAGTTTAAAATTTGACTTTCTATAGATTATCCATAGAGCACACTTGTCCTAGGCTTCACAGGTTAATCAGCTTGAAATTTCTAGCTTTTTTTCTGATTTTCAAAAGCTGAGTGATGTTCCCTAGTCAGAAAACCTGAGCTAGATTGAATAGAGTTTAAAATTTCAGTTTTTTCATAAGTGAAGAAATAAAAGGCTGAAAGATAATACTGAGTGGAGCATTGACTAAAGAATCATATCAGCTTGGCTTTTTTTTTGAGATAAAAATTTAAGTCTTCATGAATTATCCTCTGTGAGCACAGGTTCCTGAAGCTGAACGATGTTCCCTAGTCCTACAATTTGAGCTGAATTCAATGGAGTTTAAAAATTTGCAATAATCTCTCAAGTCAATAGATTGGATTTTTATTTTACAATAAGTCAACAGAATATTAACCAAATGGCTTTGAGAAAATAAAAATTGTACTACGGTGCTTCAGAGAAATATGGATTTTGGTCCAGATAACCACGAAATTAGAGATGTGCCAACTTTTTTCAAACTTTCATGCACCCTGATAGAAACTCATTTTATCTACAGGAATTCTTGGGTTTCGAAATTAGATCTATGGGAGATTTCATCTCATTAAAAGCAAGATTGAAAGTTGTCAAAAAACTATTCATTTTCACTTTTTTGAAGACCTATTTTCAAACTATTATTTTGTTATTATTGCACCTCTTCCGGTTCACCGAATAACCTTCAAATCCAACCAGTTTTTCTCAAAAAAATTGCCGACCTTTTTTTGGGTGTTCCGTGACTGTTCCATGACAATAATGTTAATTCCAAACAATTTTTGAATTATTTAAAAAAAGTGAAAAAAACTCACCAAGCTTGACGATGAACATGAACATCAGCGGTGTCGGTAGCATTACTGGAAAATTAATGACGTAAATTTTTTTGTTTGAAAAATTGGCGCTTTTATAAGACATGAGTAAAGGTGATGCAAAAAAGGTGAATGAATTTATTATTCTATAATGATTTTTTAAAGTGGTCATTTAAGTGGAATCGTATGCAAAAACGGGAAAAATGAACCAGTTCACGTGAATTAAATTCATTTTTCGATAAATTCGCTGCGCATCAACTTCATGAAGTACTTAAATACGGATTGCTTGAAATTTTGAGATGATGTGTCATTCAACAAGAGAAAGTGAAAAGAGAATGGAAAATCCCTAGGATAATTTCTAGTGGCCACTATAGGGTTTGGGGTTTCAGCGGCCACTAAAACGGAAAATAGTGGCTACTATAGAGGTGGTTTTAGTGGCCACTTTAGTGCCCTGTCCGAATAGTCCTTTACGAGCCTCTAGTGGTCACTGAAAATTTTCCCAGTCCATGAAACTTTGAAAAAAAATTGACGAAGTTCCAGTTTACGCCAGTCCACAAGATCAGGCCTATTTAAGAAGAAATAACTCTGTTTGCAACTACTTTTGGGACTAGGGAGGGAATTAGTTAACGGAATCGGAAAGTAGGCGTTACCTAAACAAGGAATGAAGTACGAAAAAAAAAACAAAAAAGTGGGAAAGTAGGCGTGACGAGAAATGGGCGTGGCTTGTCAAAATGTCATTCAAATGGAAATTCCTAAACGGCTCATCGATTTTGGACACCAGGAGTTTAAGGAAAAAGAGAAAAAGAAAGATAAAATTAGGAATGGAAAATGGAGAAGCTGGTTTTTTTCGTGTTTGAGGGGCTTTTTTTCTTCGTTAAAATGTGGAACTTAAGATAATTTTTCCATTGGTTTAAAGTGTAAAATTGAATATAAATGCATGAAATTATTTTCAAAGCAAGTTAATACAAAAAAAAAGATGAATTAGAAAAAAATTATGATAGAAAAAAGTTTCTCTTGGCTGCGTCATAAATATTGACACATCCTTGTTTTTTTGTCGATTTTTTTCTGTCTATTGTGTCTTTTTTTATTTTTATTTTTTTGCCTGATAAGCACGCAAAAATTAAGTTTCTGTAGAAATGATTAAGCTAAGAAAAAGTTTTTAAGGGCTCGCAAGGATTATTGCAGTGTATTGCTCATACTACCAAAGCTTTTGGGGCTGATCATCCTTCTAAGTGAAAACTATATGATCACTGAAGAGAATTAACTGTTCTCTGAACCTTCTCTATCTCACCGTTGCATCGCATTGCTCATGTTAATTGCACGAGGACAATGCCTTAAACCGGGCTTTACAACCACTTATCGACACCGTTCTTGGCCCCCGACAAGACGAAAAAAAAAAACAAAACAAAAACAAAAAACGTGTTTTACAACACTCCTCGGAAGCCTCAGTTGTTGTTTCCATGTAGGTATACACAGATGCATACGAGTGGAATCAATTCAAAACCGTTCAAGTGGCGCGCCAAAACCTTCTTTTTTTCCACGGTAGGCCTTGGAAATGGGCCGTAGTAAGGTTGGAATGAATGTGGAGGAATGACATTTGGGTTGAGGTGGGAGGTGGGGGATCGATCTCAGTTCTGGATAAGGAAAAAAGTTATAAAAATCGCTTTTTTGTTGGTAATTTTGATCTTTTCTGATTTTTCATAGGGACTCAAGGTCGGTCTGTACTGAAGTAACCACTTTCTTTTAAAGCATTTCCGACTTTTGCGCTCCATGGAGAACTTGTAGCCTTTTCCCAAGTCCTCGGACATTGGTAACGCGAAACGGACGTTTCTGGGCGATTCTAGGGATCACTTAAGAGTGTTGACGCTACTGAAGGGGTCACTTGGAATTCTCATTCTGCAAAAACTTCTTGTTAGCATATTTTATTGTGTGTAACGATCGATTCTCATTCACCTTTACTTTTGGACCTTGATAACGCGAATCGGACTTGTCGGGGCATTTCTAGTGACCACTTTAGTAACGTCAGAACTCTTAAGTGACCCCTAGAATCGCCCGGAAACGTCCGGAGCGCGTCCGTTTCGCGTTACCAATGTATTTGGTGGCGATTTTAGGATTTTGACGTTTTAGTGGCCACTATAGGAGTCGAGTTAATGACCACTTTAGTGACTAAAGTTTAGTGGCCTCTTTAGAAGTCCGAGTGGTAATACCAGAGAAAAGAAAACTACTATAGTAGCCACTTGGAAGCAAAATAGTGGCTTCTATAGAGTTGGTTTCAGTGGCCACTTTAGTGTCCTCTCTAAGTAGTCCTCTTAAGTGGCTCCTTTGCACAATTTTTTAAAAATTTTTTACAAGATCAGCATTAATTAGAAAAAATTAGCAACAAGTTTTTGAAAAATTGTGAGATTTTTCCAGATTCCTCTAGCTGTTGAGAGGATAACAGAAAAATCAAGGGAAAATTCAAAAAATTTCAGATAAACACGGAAATTCAAGCCTTCAAAGTGAAACCACAGAAAAAAAAAACATAAAGAAGAAAGAAAAAAAATAATAAAGAAGAAAGAAAAAAATTCGCTGAATTCTCAATAGATTCCTCACGAATGCCAACAGAAAATTACTCAACCCACATTGGCCTCCTTTGTTCGAAATTATTCGCCGAAAAAAACGATGAGTGTAACATTTCGAACCACCAAAAGGAGGGCAGCTTCTTCTGCAACCGACAGGAAAAAGGGCATATGACGCGATTGTTTTGTCCGATCAGCAGTGATAAGAACGGAGATTCTCGAAATGACGAGTTTTTGATATTTTCAAAAACTTTTTCCAGAACTTAAAGGCATTGGGGAAGAATTTTGCGATCAAAGTTTGCAAATTACACGCGAATAGAACGTTTTTGTCACGAAAAGAACTTTTGTGACAACAGAAAAAAAAAATTAAAAATCGAAAAAATCGAAAACCAGAAAAATTTCTTGCCTTTTGTCCATAGAGCAACTTTACTGCAAAACGCCCTTTTTGCGATCTCAAACATTTTTCTCTCTGATTTCGATAACTTTTTCTCTTAAAATAGGAACTTCTGTACATTTTAGAGCACACCGTTCGATTCGCAATGAAAAGCTCTACAAGGAAACGCTTTTACCTGGAATTCCGTTTTTTACTTCCCCTATGCCTTTACCGTGAGGTTGTGGTTTTTTCCTTTACCGTAAAGTTGTGGTTTTTCCTAATTTTGAGACTTTCCCTAAGGTTTTTCGAGAATTGTGTTTCTCTAGGAATATCAAGCATACAACTTTTGAACTTCTTGGTGCCTGAAACATGAATTTAGGACACTTACAGCAGAGGAATGGAACAATTTCAAATTTATTGAAAAAAAGTTATAAATTTTTCTTGTTTTAATTGAAAAACTCATTTTTTTATCTTTTTTTATCAAAAAAACTGAAAACCTGAGATTTTTGAATATTTTTGATTGAACTTTCATTAATTTTCTTTCAGAATTGAAAATTCTCAATTGAAAGATTCAGGAAAAAAGTATCAACTACAAGATTTTTCATGAAGTCCATAAGTTCAAACTTAAAAAGTTAAACCCATCCTTTTTCGTTTTTTCCTGGACCAAGTTTGTGCAGAAAAGGTCTCAAAATGCAGAAAACTTTTGAGAATCCTAAAACTCCAATGGATCTGCTGTATTGGAAAGCCTTCATTTAATTTTTTCTCCTCGGTCTTTTTTTTCGGAGCAGAATGTGGGACACAAGTGTCCCAAAACTTGCTCCGAACTCTAATTTTTCTGGATTTTTCCTTTTTACATCGTTTGAGTTGTGCTATATTTTACATCAAGAAAAACTGTTTTTGAAAAAAACTCACTAGGGAATGGTCTCCATTCGCAGTGGGACTTCTGAATAAGACTAGGTTCACTAGATGTAGTTTTTCACGCTGATTCCAAATCTGGTCTCAAAAACTGCCCTCGAGACCTGTGAAAAAAGTTAGGGGCTCTCAAAGTCGAAAAATTTGATGTCTTCGAATGAGCTCATTTTTGGAGGGTATATAGATCTTGTCCCTCTGGTCACGAAAAATCATCGAATTTTTCTCAAAAAAATTTCGGAGCCCAGATATGAACTTTCAAAGCCCCGCCTAACACAAGAGCATGCGAGCGCGGTGTCCTATCGCGATCCGACGGCTGTCGAAGCAACGGCAGCGAGGAGCAGTGGTAAGGCGGCGGACTGGAGATCACGAGGTCATAGGTTCGGTGCCCACGCTGTGCAAACTTTTTTTGCAATTTCTCCTTTTTTGGATACTGTCGTCTAACTGCTCCTTTTTTGAGTTTTGAGGCGTATAAACACGAAAAAACTGCGTTTTGAACCTATTCCAACAGCTGAAATTCTTTTTGTCGCAAATTTTTTTCATGAAATTTTCCGTGATTTTCCATGTGTATGAGCATGGGTTGGAGTGTCAAAATTTTTCAGAAAAAAATTTTTTTGGTTTCTCCAAAAGCTGTCTGAACCGAAGTCATCACAGCTACGCTGACCGACCACAGAAAAAAAATTTTTTTCTTCAAAAAACCCTTAGTTATTTGCAGTGGGCTCACCTATGACCATCGCATTTTGCCGAAAAAAAAAGAAAATTCCCGCGATTTGCCCCAAATGGAAAAGATTGAAAATGTCCAAAAAACTTATATCTCAAAGAAACTTCATTTTTCTTATTTTCAGTTTCTTTTTTATTTTGGAACTTTCTACTCGCCAAAGTCTGACTATAACCTTTCAAAATTTTTCATTGAACGGAAGTTTTTTTAGTGAGGTTTTTTTCTATTAATTTTATTCACGGATCAAAGGAAGCCTCCTTGAAAGTTTCAGCAAAAATGAATTAAATTTGGGTGATTTTTTTTTTCTCGTGAAGAGGTAAGTGAGCACCGAAGTCTGAAAAAAATTATTGAAAAATTTCCGCATCATCTATCAGCGTAGCTGTGATGACTTCGGTTCAGACAGCTTTTGGAAAAAAAAAAGAAAAAAAAAACCAAAAAATTTTTTCTGAAAATTTTGACACTCCAACCCATGCTCATACACATGGAAAATCACGGAAAATTTCATGAAAAATTTGCGACAAAAAAAGAATTTCAGCTGTTGGAATAGGTTCAAAACGCAGTTTTTTCGTGTTTATACGCCTCAAAACTCAAAAAAGGAGCAGTTAGACGACAGTATCCAAAAAAGGAGAAATTGCAAAAAAAGTTTGCACAGCGTGGGCACCGAACCTATGACCTCGTGATCCCCAGTCCGCCGCCTTACCACTGCTCCTCGCTGCCGTTGCTTCGACAGCCGTCGGATCGCCATAGGACACCGCGCTCGCATGCTCTTGTGTTAGGCGGGGCTTTGAAAGTTCATATCTGGGCTCCGAAATTTTTTTGAGAAAAATTCGATGATTTTTCGTGACCAGAGGGACAAGATCTATATACCCTCCAAAAATGAGCTCATTCGAAGACATCAAATTTTTCGACTTTGAGAGCCCCTAACTTTTTTCACAGGTCTCGAGGGCAGTTTTTGAGACCAGATTTGGAATCAGCGTAAAAAACTACATCTAGTGAACCTAGTCTCATTCAGAAGTCCCACTGCGAATGGAGACCATTTCCTAGTAAGTCAAAATCGATCAATGAACTCCTGGGATAAGTTTTAGGGGGCCCTATAGGGGGTAAATTAGGGCCCCTTGGAGGGGGCCCTATAGGGGCCCCTAAATGAAACCCCTATAGGGACCCCTACGAATTTTTTTAGGGGTCCCTTTAGAGGGGGCACGGAAAATTTCTGAAATAGCTCCGGGAGGAAATAGAGAAACCCTTATTGAATGCGAATCGTTAACACATCCGCAGTAAACTCATCTCATTGCGTTTGAAACTGTTTCCAAATTTATTGAAAGGAATTGAAAACATTAAAAGCAATCAGGATCATCAATGGAAACAGATAGACATAAGTAACAAAACAACGAGCAAAAAATGAAGATATGTATACGTAACAGGATATTCGAGGAAGGAAAAAAACTTTTGGCCGTAAAAGACCCGTATAAATATTTGACACGTCTAAATCACTGCCAACGGAAACCGTATTGATCAATCTAATAGAAGCTCTTCAAGACAATAAAGATACGCCTAAAGCATATTGATATAAGCGCTACTTGCGAAAAAATAGAAGAAAAACGCATTGTGTCAAGGCAGATGATTGGGCAACTTTCAATAAAAAACGTTGGGACTTCGACACGGAAACGGTTGAAACTACTTAGATAAGGGGCAAAAAGTTTGGCACATATAAGAAAGAACAATTGAACAGTGAGCAAAAAACAACCAACGTTGACATTTGAAAGCAACTTATTGAATTGCTCGGCCCGCGGTAATCTTCCGTTGATTCTGGTTCATGTGGCGGCTCAAAATTTCCGTCGGCTGATTCCGTGCTTCTACGATCATTTATGATTATCAACATTTTCGATATACCTTTCAGAATCTTCATCGCTGCTGTAGAACCAATGCGCATCAATAAAATTGCGACTCCGCGGCATCTTAATAAAAAATTAAGTCTTCTTTAACGAGCAATAATCAAATAGAATATATAAACACGCATTTACATCAAAAACCTCCAACAAACATCATCTACCGGTGAATTTCTGACGGTTTCACACAATCCAGTAGACCAATTATACATAGACGAAACTCTGAAAATACCAAAATAAAAAAATACTCTGAACATATTTACATAAACCAATATATCAATTGTACATAAACGAAACACTGAAAACACTGAACCAATGTACAGATTGCCGTGTTAACTTTTATGGAGCACAAAAAAAAACGCACAAATCATTATAATACAATTTGAAACCATAACGAAAAAATCCTACTGACAACTCGTTCGTGAATAACGTATTACTTCCTTAAGCACCACAGAAATTGATGAAATATAAATACAAGTTATAAAGTTAAACTAAAAACTGGGTCGACTGAGGCAACTCAAAAACTTAGAAAATGAGAAAGATATTTAAAAAAAACCACGTTCGTTCCAAAGGGGTCTTCGCGACCCCTTGAGGGTCTTGCAATTTTTAGGGGAGCGATTTAGGACCCCCTATAGGGGGCCCTAGGGATTTCCCCCTAAAAAGGCCACTTGCAGACCCCCTATAGGGCCCTCTAAAATCGCGACCCCCTATAGGGCCCCCTAAAACTTATCCCAGTCTTTCAGGACGCCGGAGCAGCGTCGGGGACACTGGGAAATTTGTCCCATTTTCTGCTCCGGCCTAATTTCTTCAAGTTTTCCGCTTATTGAAAACTTGCTCTGCTGAAAATTACCTCATTTTTTTTTATGAAAAAAAGTTCATTTTCTGATTTTGCAATTCCTATGAATCCGAACTCCTTATAGGATCGAATAATTTTTTGAACAATTTTCTGTTTTTCGTAACATTGATGAAATTTGAAAAGAATTGAGGCATCTACAGCTTCTTTTTTGTATCTGTTGGTGAGTTATATATTATTATTTCAAGAGTGAGTTATTTCTTGAAAGTTAGGATCATGTAATTTTGCAATTTTGGGAGAATTGAAACGTTTTTTGAACCTTGCAATGACAGATGGTTTATTTTCAATTTTCAAGCTTCTTATCTTTGAATCTACCTATTTTCCAGAGTGTAAAGATTACTTTCATGTCGCTTTTTTTGGAAGAAACGCATCAAAATCTTCATTTTCGAGACGTTTTTTGTGAAATGAGACCTTGCGCCTCTGTGAAAAAAGCTGGGCCAATGATGGATATCGATTTTTACTCGTTTGAGTAAAGCAGATGTGTGAACGGGGGGCGAATTTTGGCGCCGACGCTCCGTTCCGGAGCAATCTCGGGGACACCTCAATCCGTGCAGTGTCCCATTCGCTGCTCCGACCACTTTTTTCGCTTGATTTTGTGCCGGGTCGGTCATTTCGTAACTTTTTATCGAGCTCCTTCTTATAATTTCATGCGTTTCAAGCCATATTTTCTGTTTATTGTTTCGTTTTTCGCTTCAGGTTTTGATTTGTGGAATCTTGTTTTGAAGTATGTTTTGAAAAAATGTCTCGGAGTTTTTTTTTTTTCATCTAGTGTCTATTTAAGAATTTTCCGAAGCTGTTTTTTTCTTCCGTTTTAAAGCGCTTTTTCTGAGTTTCAAATCAGTTCATATACCAATTTCAACACGAAATTGCTCCGAAATTCTTTAAATCAGCATTTTTTCCGCTCTGAATATTTTTTTTCTTCGTGACTTTTCACCATCAAATTCCTCAGCAATTTTTTTTTCATCTTTTTAAGGTCATTTACTTTTTTTTTCGTAGCTTTAACGTGTAGTTTTGGCTTTTCCAAATATGGATTAATGTTTCGATGCATGTTCCTTTTTTTTTCCCCATCAAAATAGCTTTAAAGATTTCCCAAAGTATGTTTTTTTTTAATTTTTGAATCAACTTTTTTCACTTTAGTTTCGAAATCCTTTTCGAAACTCTTCGGAGCAAACTCGGGAACATGTCCCATTCTTCGCTCCTTCATTATTCCTGACAAAAATCGATAAACTGCCGAGTAAAGAACGCCTTTCCGCGTCGAAAAAAGAATCCTCTTTATTTGATCGGAGACGAGAGAGTGTGAAACGTTCAGAGCTCGCCAGACACGAGATTTCCCGCGCGTTCCACTTTTTGAATCCTTTTCTTTCTTTTCTCCTAAATTTTATCGCTTTATTCGCGTTTTATATGATAATTTTGAGTGGAAGTTTATTAAAACCGTTTTTTCAGGGTTCCAAGTCGATTATAGTCCGTTTTGTACACAAAAATGGCCGACATGGAACACGACGGAAGCGCTGATCCCGGTAAAACTTCAAGATTTTTTTAAATATAGTTTTTTAAAAAAAGTTAAATTAAAAAGAATTCTCGGCTTTTAACAGCCCGAACTTTTTCTCAGTTTGCCATTTTTTTGAAAGAACAGATATATATATATATATATATATATTTTTTCTAACAATGTCTTACGAATTTGAGCACTTTGAGGTTTCAAATGGTCCTAGGATGTTTTTAAAATTAATTAGGTCTTTAAAAAAATCAATTAATTCATCAAAACCACCTTTTTTTATTGTATTTTGTTACGATAAATCAAAAATTTTTTTATGTATTTTTTTCAAAATGAATAAGTTCAGAAGAGTCCATGGAAGACGACTCGATGAACACCGAGGGCAACGAAGACGAGGATACTGTAGATGGTGTCGAGGACGACGAAATGGACGCCGAGGATACGGTAGCCTCAAGTGCGACCCCAAGCGAGAAGAAAAAATCGTCGAAGAAGTCAAGGAAAGGCGGCAGCAAGAAGAGCAAGAAGGGCAAGGTAATAACTTTTAAAAAAAACTTTTAGAAGACTTTGAACTTCTCCCGGAAGATTTTTCAACCAGATTTTTTTTAGAATAAAAAGCTTTGAATTCAGATGGACCACCCCGACCCTTCCCTGGCCACTTCGGAGGAAATGTGCGCCGCCATCGGCCTCAACGATGTCACTATCGAGTTCACCGAAGAAGATTATACCGGCATAACTAGCCTTAAAGTTTCAAATCAACTATTTCAATGGATAATTTTTATTCTCCAGAGCTTCATGAACCGAATCCGTCCGGAGGTTCTCAGGGCCAACCCGACGTCCAACGTCACCAAAGTCTATCCCCTGATGCAAGTGAAATACCGGGAGTTCCAAGAGGAATTGGCCGCCCAGGGTAGACAACTCGCCGTTAAGAAGCCGGTCAAGTGAGTATTTTGGTGGAAAAAACGAGAAAGAATATGTATTTTTGATTGAAGCGTTATATATAGGCGGGTCGAAAAAGGCTTCATAGAAATGTTCCTTTTTTGCTGCCTTTTTGCGCCATTTCCTCGGTTCTTATGCACCATTTTCGCTTCCTCTTAACATCATTTTTGAGCCTTTCAAAGCCCAGAAAAAAAAAAATGGCAGGCTCGATAAAGGGTCTTTTTTCTGCCTTTTTTGAGCCTCTTACTTTTAGCAGCCATTTCCCACCCTTCTGACTTACCCAAGTCCTTTAATTGTGCCCTAAAGATACATATTTTCTAAGGATTATGCTCTATTAGTTGAGAAAAAGGACTTTTGATCCAAAGATTAGGCTTTATTAAAGAAGATGGGAACCTTTTAGAAGATCCTTGCCTTTCTTTGCCATTTTTGTAGACTTGTCAATTTTCTTCTTATGTTTCGAAGTCGAACTAGGAAGATTTTTTTGAAGAACATGCTCTTTTTAGTGGATTAATAGGAAAAAAAATAGGCTGCAGAAAATTTTGGAAACGGCGTTGCTAACAGTAGGTAAACTTTACGGAAAAATAATTTATTTCTATATTTTTGAAGTATTTTTCACGTACTGTGGCGACTGTATGAGTTTGCCTTTATTTTTTCAGTTTCATGGGGTTTTACTCGTTTTTGAGAATTTTCCAAAGATTGAAACTAGATTTTCTGTCAAGTTTCCCCTCAAGGTTTATTTTTGAACGGCTCTGTAATTTTTTATCAAGTTATCCTGAGATTGTATGAGCACATTTCATCAAAATTCTATAAAAAAAGATTTTTGATGCAATTTTCAAAAAATTTTATCTCTTTACGCTGAAAAAGCATCATATCGAATATAGAAAGTACTAAATTTCCCAATTTTTCCCTTTTCTCAGAGCTGCTCCACCTCCCAAAGCGCCAGCCGCTCCGGCCGGTTCCGGAACTCCTGGCGCCGAAAAACCCATTGCTCCGATCAAAATCCGAATTTCCACGAGGAAGAAGCGACGCGAGGAATCTGACAATGATCGTTAGTTTTCAAAAAAAAAAAGAAGCGTGAAATTCCTCATTTTTCCAGAAGACAGTGACCAGGAGTTCGAAGCTCTGATCAAGCAGCACGAACGGCAGCAGGATGAGATCGAGAGAGACAAGGAGGAACGCAGAGCCAGCAGGTTGAGAGACGAAAAAGAATGATCGTGCTGAAAGGAGAGATTCAGACAAGTCGCCCGGCAGGACAAGAAGAAACAGGCGCTGGAGCAGGCCAAGGCGAACAAGAGGGCCAAGAAGGCCAAGGGAGAAGAGGAGGAGGTGAATATTTTCGGGGGTTTTGAGAGATTTCAAGGTAGAATTTGTTAAGTAAAAGGAAAATTTTGGAATTTTAGGTACTATTTTTCAAGGTTCCTGTGCAGTTTTAGAGCTTTTTTTCGATGATTTTTTTATGTTAAAAAAATATTTTTTTACCCCTCCCCCATTTTTTTCTTACCAAACATTCTTTGTTTTTTTAGGTTTTTTTGAGGTTTTTTTAACATTTTGTCAGTTTTATGAAGCCTAGGGCATTTTTTTCCACCAAGCGGTCTTTGTTTTTTTACCCCCAATCGAAATTTGCCTTAGTGGGGGTGAGTACTTGTTTGGACGGGGATGGGTGAGTATTTTCGAATTTTCTTTGAGGTTTTTAACATTTTGTCAGTTTTGTGAAGCTCGTTAAAAAAGGTTTTTAGGATGAAAGAACCGAAAAATATTGAGTTTATCGACGGAAATTAATAATAATAATCATGATTTTCAGCACAACGACACTTGCGAGATCTGCAAGCAGACCGGAGACGTGATCCTCTGCGACACCTGCCCCAGGGTCTACCACTTGGTCTGCATCGACGAGAACATGGAAGCCGTGCCGGAGGGCGAATGGAGCTGCCCCCATTGCGAGGAACACGGACCGCCGCCCCCGCCCAAGGAGGAGGAGCAGGCCAAACAGAACATCGACTACTGCAAGACCTGCAAGGTGCTGGACAAAATTTGGAGGGAAATTGCTGCGCGCAGGTCCTCAGATAGTGTGTGGGACGTGGAGAGTACCATTCTGGCCTCTCCAAGTTTACCGTGATCTCTGAAATGTAGAAGAATAGAACTTGTGCCAGAAAGTATACGTTTTTTGCCTGAAAAATGATTATATTCAGGAAACCGGCTCCCTGCTCCTCTGTGACGGCTGTCCCAACTCCTTCCACGCCTACTGCCTCAACCCGCCCCTCAAGGAGATCCCCAAAGGCAATTGGAACTGTCCCAGATGCATGCTGGCCGAGCCGCCGCAGAGAATCGAGAAAATCCTCTGCTGGCGCTTCGTCGACATCCCCTATCCGGAGCCCGAGGCGGTCAGCCAGGAGGAAATCGAAAACGGCGTCGTACTGCTCCGGCCCACGCGCAAGATGGAGCCCCGACGCGAGCGCGAATACTTTGTCAAATGGCGATTCTTGTCCTATTGGCACTGCGAATGGGTCAACGACCTCCTCATGGAGACCTTCTTCTCGGCGGTTTGAAAATCTTTCTGCTAAAAATCAATCGGAAGTTTTTCAGCTCCTGAGAATGTACTGGAGGAAGTACGACTCGGAGAATCCGCCCATTTTCGACGAGTCCACCCTCCAGCGCCATCACAAGGACAATGATCCGTTTGAGCTCCGCGAGAAGTATTATCAGTACGGCATCAAGCCGGAATGGATGCAGGTGAGAAGAGAGACGGAAAAAGTCGAAAGAAAGCTTTTTATTGGATTTTGATTCAAATAAAGACAGAAGCGAGATTGAAATAGGAAGCTCAAAAAAAAATTTCAAGTAGGTAAGAAGAAAAGGGCCTAAAAAGTGATATCTGATTCAAGCACAGAGAAAAAAATCAAGTGGCCACTTAAGAGGTCCCTCAAGGATCGCTTGGAGAGGACACTTGAGTGACCAATAAAACCACTGAAGCCACCATTTTGCGTTTCAGTAGCCACTATACGAGATTTAAACGATCTAGTAGTATCACTCAGACTTTTAAAGGGACTACTGAAATTTAGGCACTTAAGTGGCCACTTAAACAACCCTAAAGAAGCCACGACTCTAGGGATCACTACGCTAGATTTTAATGGCCTAGTAGTGTTACTCTGACTTTTTAAGGAGACTAAGCCACTCAAGTGATCACTAGAATCTCAAAACCCTAAAGTGGTAACTCAAAAAAATTCCTCTGTAGACTATTCAGTTTCTGAGAAAAAAAACCGTTTCTGAGCAAAGTTTCAAACTTGCAGATTTTTTTTTTTGAATTGAAAATAAGTTTTTTAAGCGAAATGGGTACTTTTAACACGGTGAGTTTAGCAAAAAATGACTTGATATGGGTTTTTCGAGTTAGAATTGAGATTGAATAAAACATCAAAATCATTTCCTTCAGATCCACCGTATCATCAACCACATGCAGTACAGTAAATCACAATTTGATTACCTGATCAAATGGAAGGAACTTCCTTATGAACAGGTAAAAACTCTCGAAAAAATGAGCAAAAAAAGGGGATTTTTTCAAGGCAACCTGGGAACGAGACGACATGAAAATTGCCTACTACGAGGAGGCCATCAGCAAATATTGGCTTCATCGGTTATTTGATTATAGTTACCTTAATTAACATATAATTAACTTTTAGGCAAAATATGTTTGGTGAAATCATCCCCAAACACGTCAGGGCGGTCATCATAAGCTTCCGCGAGGCGAAAAACTTGTCGGCCGTCGAATTCTTAGAAAAGGGCGACGAACCGGCCAGGAAGAAGAAGCGCGACAAACCGACTGTCGATGTAAAATTTGGCTTGGATTTGTGGGATTTGGAATGGCTCGCGAGGCGGAGCGGTCGCGCTGCGTTTCAAGATTTTTTTTACAGCCCTTTTCGCGATTTTTCAAGGGTTCGAAGTAAGCCTGTGTCTAGTATCATATAGAAGTCATATTTGAAGTCCTGGTTTAGTTGCGCCCGACCTTGAGCGACTTTCTGCCTTTTCGTGATCAAAAATGTAGTTCTTATCTCGCCATAACTTTTTGTACAGACCTTTTTCGGATTTTTTGACCCCAATAGTAAGATTCAAAGCGAAAACCTGCTTTAGTATCATATAGAAGTCATATTAGAATTCCTAGTTCAGTTGCGCCCGACCTTGAGCGACTTTCTGCGATTTTGTGATCAAAAATGGGGCTCAAATCTCGCCATAATCTTGTGTACGGACCTTTTTCGGATTTTTTGACTCCAATAGTAAGATTCAAAGCGAAAACCTGCTTTAGTATCATATAGAAGTCATTCACAGAGCCTCTGCGCCCGACCTTGAGCGGCTTTCTGCGTTTTCCCGATCGAAAATGAAGCTCCATTATAGGTATAAATGTTTTTCGCAGACCTTTCTCGAATTTTTTGACCCCAAATGTAGGATTTATAGTGAAAACCTGAATATATAATCATTTAGAATTCATGCTCAATGCCCTAATTCAGTTGCGCCCGACCTTAAGCGTTTTTTTTTTCTGCCTTTTCACGATGATTTTTCAATCCTGCCATAACTTTTTGTACACGTTTTTTTGAGATTTTTCGATCCTATATTCGAACTCACCGTAAAAATCTGTGTCTAAAATCATGTAGAAGTTATATCAAAAGTTGAGACCGGTTCCTAGGTGCGCCCGAATTTGAGCGACTTTCCGTCTGTCCACTAAGAAAAGTTGAATAGTCGTGAGCCATTCCGAATGCGTCCCTGGACCGTTTCTGCAAAATGCAAAGTTTTCCTTCAGATCAAGAAAAAGTACGAGGTTCAACCGGATTACATCACGGAAACCGGCGGATCCCTTCACCCTTATCAGTTGGAAGGTTTCCTGAAACTCTAGAAAATTTCAGTAAATCGATTATTCAAGGTATCAACTGGCTCCGGCATTGCTGGGCCAACGGAACCGACGCGATTCTGGCCGATGAAATGGGCTTGGGTAAAACTGTCCAATCGTTGACGTTCCTCTACACCCTCCTCAAGGAGAACCACTCGAAGGGACCCTTTTTGGTGGGTTTTTAAGAAGGTTCTTCTCCGGTGACTTTTCTAGAACCAAAAAATGATGTTTTTCTGCTTCGAGACGCCTTAAAAATTGAAAAAACGAAGCTAAACGGTCATTTTTGGTTGTAAATGAGCTGAACTTGAAACAGTAGTAAGTTGAGATTTTCAGATCCCTTTTGGCGCTAGGAACTTTGAAAATCTAGGAAAAGGTACCAAGGAAGAAAAATATTAGAGTTGAAGCTTCCAAAGAGCTTTAGAGTAAAAAATTATAGTTGAAGCTTCCAAAGAGCTTTATAGTAAAAAATTATAGTTGTAGCTTCCAAAGAGCTTTATAGTTTCAAATTTTGAATAGTTTTCATTTTTTCAACACTTCGAGAACCGTTTTTCAACTTCTAATGTAGGAATTAGGAACCGTTTTTTAAGAATTATAAGAATAAAAATGTTGGTTCGTATTTTTGATGAGGTTTGGATGATTCTTGTGACCCCTTCACATTTCTAACTGTATTTTTCTCAACTAATATTAGCTACATGTGAAAAATTATGAGTTATTTGAAGATTCATTTCATTCGCAACGAAAACTTTTCATTGAAACTGAGGTGAATAAAATAAAAAATCACGAATTTCTAGCCCACGGCGTTCACAAACGGGCTGGGGAGACGTCAAAAAAATTTGGCGCGAAATTTGAAATATCAAGTACGCAGCCAAAGGCGATCGAATAAACAAGTTATTAACGTTGAATACTCAGTGTAATTGGTACGTAGAATGACGTATATTTATACTATTTTTTCAATTCAAAAACTTTGACGCCTCGCTCACCTTCCCCCACCCTACTAGGAATGCCGTGCACTTTGAAAAGTGCAATTACCGGGACTAATAATATCCCGCTGAGCTCTTGAAGCGTTGAAATATCTTTTTCTCATGCGGAAAATGATCTGTAACCCTTTAGATCGCGGCTCCTCTCTCCACCATCATCAACTGGGAGCGAGAAGCTGAACAATGGTGTCCTGACTTCTACGTCGTCACTTACGTCGGAGACCGAGACTCTCGAGTAGTGATTCGAGAACACGAGTTTTCTTTCCTCAATGATGCCGTCAAAGTAAAGAAAAAAGCTCGAAAACCCAAATTATCGTGGAAATTTGAAGGGAGGAGTGAAAACCTCGAAAATCCGAACACAGGAACACATGAAGTTCCACGTCTTGCTCACCTCCTACGAATGTATCAACATGGACAAGCCGATCTTGTCCTCGATCGAATGGGGCGCACTTGTCGTCGACGAGGCTCATCGCTTGAAAAACAATCAATCGACTTTCTTCAAGAACTTGAGGTTCATTAGGAAGATTTTGAATGTCAAGTCGTCGCTCAAGCTCCGCCCCTACTGGCGCGGTAAACTAATCAAGAGAGCGAGCCTTCCACGGAGCTTTTCGGAATGACGTCATTTTACTTGACATTCACATTCTGAACAAATTATAAAATTGTTCAGATTTTGAAAAATTGTAGGCATTTTGATGAGCTTGGAAGGTTGAAAAATAGTGATTTGAGAAGTTTTTTTCAAAAATAAAAAAGTAACAAGACTAGGAGGAAATGTTAGTTATCTTTAACAACCCCTACAGGTCAAGAAATTTTGGAAAAATTTTAGAAGACCATCAAAAAATTTTGGAAGACCCCTATAGGGGCCACTAGAAATTAAGGGGCTAAGGGGTAAGATCCTAAACCCCTTGAGGGAACACTTGAAGTTTACTTCTATAGGAACCACTTTTACGAGCTGTTTTCCCCCTAACCTCTGTAGGGACCACTCTGGACTTTCTAAGTAGCTTCAAAAAAAGCTTCTGAAGACTTGAAAAAAAAAAAATCAAGCTCCATTTTTTTCCAGAGAATACAAAATCGGCTATCGTGTCCTTCTCACGGGTACTCCCCTGCAGAACAACCTCGAAGAATTGTTCCATTTGCTCAATTTCCTGGCACCTGATCGATTCTAGTGAGTTTTGGAGCTTTTTCCTTAATTAACTTGTTACTTATAGTTAATGAAAAATACTGAAACCATGATTTTCAGTGACCTTGAATCGTTCACCCGAGAGTTTGCGGAAATCTCCAAAGAGGATCAAATCCAAAAGTTGCATTCCCTACTGGGACCTCACATGCTGCGTCGTCTCAAGGCTGATGTCTTGACTGGGATGCCTTCCAAGAGCGAATTGATCGTCCGATTGGAGCTTAGTCCTCTCCAGAAGTTGGTGGAAACGTGAAAAAAGCGGAAACCAAAAAAAATGGCCTGAAACTTTTCATATCTAGGAATCAAGTTCAAAAATAGCCTAAAAATGACAGCTTAACCAGGCTCCGTGAGCTCTTTTTGACCGGGAAAATTTTTGTTAATTTTGAGGAACAGGTTTTTTTTGCTCGTAATGGAATGGAACTATTATTTCCTAGTTTTTTTCGAGTTTGGATGGATTTTCTAAGAAAAATAGGTTCTATTTGTGAAGCTTGCGCTCTTTTTAAATGAGAAATCAACAGCTCACTTAAGTGGTCACTAGAAACGCCCGAGAGAGAAAGAAAGAATAATTTAGCATTGGAGCGCATTTGAAGAGACCTCTCGGAAGTTCTTTCGATAATTTTAACTCCGATATTGGTACCGCGAAACGGACGTTCCTGGGCAATTCTAGGGATCACTTAAGAGCGCTGAGGCTACTAAAGGGGACACTAGAAATGGCCCGACATTCGCGTCCCGTTTGCGTTACCATGTTTCGCATAGAGTTAGGCCTCAAAATGGGCCTTTTTCGGGTTCTGATAGGGCAAATGTCGGTTTTTTGAGATTCAAGGGTGTTTCTAGGAATATTCTTAGAGATTTTAGATTCATAAAGTCAAATGACTTTTTAGGAAATACTACAAGAACATTCTGACGAAAAACTTCGACGCGTTGAACGTGAAAAATGGCGGAACTCAAATGTCGCTGATCAACATCATCATGGAGCTGAAAAAGTGCTGCAATCATCCATATCTCTTCGTCAAAGCGTCGATGGAAGCCCCGAAACTCAAGAATGGAATGTAAGAACCTTCTGAACCAAAAAAAAACTCAAAATCATGAATTTCCAGGTACGAAGGCACGGCCCTGATCAAAAACGCCGGCAAATTCGTCCTCCTACAGAAAATGATGCGGAAACTGAAGGAGGAAGGCCATCGCGTCTTGATTTTCTCCCAAATGACCATGTATCTTGATTGATTATGGAGGAATTGTACTCATTTTTGTGATTTTTAGGATGCTCGACATCTTGGAGGATTTCTGCGAAGTCGAGAGCTACAAGTACGAGAGAATCGATGGAAGTATCACGGGACAGGCTCGACAGGACGCGATTGATCGATTCAATGGTGAATATTGGACTTCTTTAAGCTGGTACTTGAGTTTTAGAAGCACTTGTTAAGGTCCTAACTCGAGATTTAGTTTTTAATGGATTTTTGGGTATATGGTAATCGGGCCGCGAAAATCGAGCCTGCGAAAACCGAGCCTCCATTTCTAAACTATTTCTTTTTCTCTGTTCGTCTCGCCCCGTACAAAAGGCGGCTCGATTTTCGCAGGCTCGATTTTCGCGGCCCGATTATCATATACCCGGATTTTTGACCGGTTTTTCTATCTTGCTTCATAGATTTTATAGCCCTCAAACCGAATTTGTAGTTTGGTTTTGAAATTAAGGGTTCAACCTCTGAAACTAAGAAATTTAGGTTTTGAACAATTTTTTTTCTAATTTTCTATGTAGCTTCCCATTGTGGGGTCTTGAAATGTTCCGATCAAAAAGAATTTTTTTCAAAAAGCACCCTTAAAATATTTTTGATGAAGATGACCTTATTCATTAGGCTCCTGAATTTTTGTATATATTTTTTAGTTTTACATTGTAAAGGACCCATTTTGTTTCAGCTATGATTAGAAACTTCAGATTGGTCCCTGTAGGGGCAATTTTAAAGGCCCAATCCGCCAACCCCTATAGGGTTCACTGAAGCTTGCGAAAGTGATCCCTAAAGGGGACATGCTAGTCGAAAATTTAATGAACTAGAAGAAGTATTTCCATGCGAAATAATTTTAAAAAAACCTTTTTTGAATAAAAAATTAAACGACCCCTATAGGGAACACTTGAGCTTTAGGTGCTAAGGGGTCAGAGCCCTAACCCCTATAAGGACCACTTTGCTCTCACCCCATAGGGACCACTTTTTCGGTCCCTTTAGGGCTGTTTTCCTCCTAACTTGATCGCCTCAGCTTCAGTTCACTAAATTGGTCGATTAGAACTGTAGTTTTTGGATTTTTGAACCTTTTTTTATTATAAAAATGGAAAAAAAATTAGAAGCAGAAGTTCAATCCGATTTTTCAGCCCCTGGAGCTCAACAGTTTGTCTTTTTTGCTCTCCACCCGCGCCGGTGGTCTTGGTATCAATTTGGCGACTGCTGACACCGTCATCATATACGATTCTGATTGGAATCCCCACAATGATATCCAGGTTCAACGCAATAAATAAAGAAAAACCCATTAAAAATACTCTTTCAAGGCCTTCTCCCGTGCCCATCGTATCGGACAGCAGAACAAGGTGATGATCTACCGATTCGTCACTAGAAACTCGGTGGAAGAGCGCATCACGACGGTGGCCAAGAAGAAGATGTTGCTGACCCATTTGGTCGTCCGAGCTGGCCTCGGCGGACAGAAAGGAGGGTCCAGCATGAGCAAGTCGGAGCTCGATGATGTGTTGAGGTGCTGAGAATGGGAAAATGACATTTTGTAGAGTTAAGTTGAATAATGGGTTTTTTTGAGCTTTTTCTTCAGTGTGGTAGTGGATTTTTTGAAATTTTGCTGGCTTTTTAGGTTGAAAAAGGACTTTTTTTTATAACTTTTCTGAAGATTGGTAGCCAATTTTATGAAACTGAACATATAAATCGGTTCTCGATGATTTTTGTGGGTGCTGAGAATGACAAAAACCACACTTTCTTGAATTTGTAAGTCGAAAAATGGGGGTTCTTGAGCTTGTTCTCAGTAGGATAGTAGGTTTTCAGATTTTAACAGTTTTTCAGCTTAAAAATGATTTTTTCAACTTCTTTCAAGTCTGATAGAGAGTTTCCATTAATCAATTGAGAGAAATGGTTTCCATGGAGATTTTTTTCCTGGTTTTTCCGATTGATATAAAACTTTAAGGTCATGAAAATAGTTTTTATGTAATTTTCTAGTTTTTTTGTGATTCTTTTTCATAGTTTCAAAAGTTTCCTGAGCTTTTTTTAAGGTTGTGGAAGGATCTTTTTAAATAGTATTGAAATTTTATAGTTTTTCGAGACCTTTCCTCGACAAAAAGCTTTTATTTCGAAGCTCCAAAACATTTCCCTCATTATTAGCTCGATTACTTTTTATTCAATGTGTTTTTGATTCATTTTCCTTCTATGGAAATATTTCACACCCATTACACACTGAACGGAGACGGTTAGTAAACAGTGAAATCAGAAATCGTGAGATACGACTTTGTAGACTTTTGTGTCTTTGAATTTTCATTTTCTTTTTTTTTCCAGGTGGGGTACCGAAGCGCTGTTCAAAGATGAAGAAACGACGGAAGGCGGCGAAGACGGAAAGAAAGGCGAAGAAATTGTGTGGGAGGACGACGCCGTCGCTGCTCTTCTGGACAGAACCAAGGACACTGAACCGACTGCGGTCTGAAAACCCAAAACATGCAAAATGAAACGAATATACTTTCAGGAAGGCGAGAAGAAGCAGGACTGGACCAACGAGTACCTCAGCTCGTTCAAAGTCGCCACCTACACGACCAAGGAGGCCGATGATCAGGAAGAAGAGGAGGAGGTCGACATGGAAGTCATCAAGGAGGGAGACGGGAAAGAACCCGATCCGGACTACTGGGAGAAGCTCCTCCGTCATCACTACGAGCAGGACCAGGAGACGGAGGCCCAGAAGCTCGGCAAGGGCAAGAGAGTCCGGAAGCAGGTCAACTACGCCTCGGAGAACATGGGCCAGGACTGGAGCAATCAGCAGGTTGGGCCTTCGGTTTTGAGTGAGAAAAATACAGCTTTTTGAATAAAATTGTTAGGGAGCGCTGTAGTAACATCAGCAGGAAGTTCAGTAGCACTCTAGGGATCACTAAAGGGATGTCAAGGGTTTCTAGTGCTCACTTGAAGGGCCAGAGTCGTTACGACTCCACTAGGTGTTCCTGAGCCAATTAAAATCAGCTTTCTGATTATTCGTTATCAGACAGCGCTGTAGCTACATCAAGTAGGGTGGAGGAAATTTTTTAGCACTATATGGATCACTAATGTGATGTCAAGAGGCCTCTAGTGCACACTCGAAGAGCCAGAGCCTTTAATCCGGTCATTTAGATGGCCTTGAACCTTTTAGGGATCACTTGAAGTTTGGGAAGTATTCCTTCCACGCTGAACTGGCAGAAAATCATGCTAGTCTTTCAGGAGATTCTGTTTCTTTAAGTTATCCCTGAAGTGGCTTTAGAAATGACACATGGGAAAACATGGAAAAAGAATATTTTCCGCAAAGATTCACAAATTCTCTTTTTATACTCACTTTGGAGCGTTGTAATCACTTTTAGCTGAAAAAAATTCAATCATCCCCTTTTAGAACACCAATGACGACGATGACGTCTCCTCGTACGGCGAAGGCTCGGACCGTGGCGAAGGCGAACATTCCGACGACGATTATGACGAGAGAAGGCGTCGGAAGGGCGCAGAAACGGAGAAACTCCCGCCGCTCTTGGCCAAGGTCAATGGCCAGATCGAAGTCCTCGGCTTCAACCCGAGACAGCGTCGCGCCTTCTACAACGCCGTCATGCGATGGGGCATGCCGCCTCAGGAGTCGTATCAATCCCAGTGGCTGGTAAGGGACATTACATAGAAGAATAGCTTTAGAAACATGAGCCAACTTGAGAGAGTTTGATCATTTTTTTTTCAGATCCGTGACCTCAAAGGCAAATCGGAACGCGCCTTCAAAGCCTACACCTCGCTCTTCATGCGGCATCTGTGTGAACCCGGCGCTGATTCGGCCGAATCTTTCAACGACGGCGTTCCCAGAGAAGGCCTGAACCGTCAGAATGTCCTCAGTCGCATCGGACTGATGAGCTTGATCCGCAAGAAAGTTCAGGTAAAAATTACCTTCCTGAAGATCGAAAAATGGCCGAAATTCAGGAGTTTGAACAGTTCAACGGCGAATGGTCGATGCCGGAGGTCCGAGATCGACTCGTCGAAGAAGCTGGAGCAAACCCGAACGCGCCGACCACCCTCAGCTCCAAGGCGAACAGCCGCGAAACGAGCGTTATCGCGAGCGATGCCGTGGAGACGAAGGACGAGCCGATGGACGAGTCGACGATGCAGAGCGAGAGTCAGGACGGTGTGGAGGAGACGAAGGAGGCTTCGGAAAACAAGGAAGAAGCGGCCACTGAAGCAACAGAACCGCCCGGAAAGACCAGCCTGAAGCGACCTCCCTTCAAGTTCAACATCACTGGTGAGACTCGAAACTACGCGCCAGCGTATCTCGAAATTTCCGTAAAACTCTAGAGTCCCCCCTGCGTTCTAAAAAGCCCCCAGCCCCCCAAGCTGAGTTCCGACCTGTGGGGGGTAGGATTAGAGGAATAAAATGAGGGGGAGGGGTGGGTAGAAATTGAAGGGGCAGGGGAAGATTTTTGTGTCCTAAAAAAAGGCCCCTCTCAGTACAAAAACGGGGGCCATTCTGAAGCTTGAGCAATCTTTCATATTTGCCCCCCAAACTACTTTGAAATATTCCCCACATAGCTCATTCAAACAAGCCCCCACACAGTTCAAAAAGCACCCCTCTCCCATTTTCAGAAACTCCCCCACCCCATTTCAGAATTCCCCCTCTCATTTCCGGATAAAAGACCTATATTTGATGTGGGAAGCTATATTGGATAGTTGCTTCCAACGGCTCGTCGGGGTTGGGGGGGTTATACTGTAATTTTCCCGAAATTTCCTATCGCAATCCAGAGTTTGATCCGTTTCCTTCAATTTTTCATTCTTGAGTTTATGTTATCTTTGTTGAGGTCTGACCAGACGTAATTTTCCCTTCTTTCATTCCAAGAATTTTCCAGACGGCGGATTCACGGAGCTCCACACGCTGTGGATGAACGAGGAGAAAGCGGCAGTCCCTGGCAACGAGTTCGAGATTTGGCACCGACGCCACGACTATTGGCTCCTCTCCGGCCTCGTTCAGTACGGCTACGGACGGTACCAGGATCTCCAGAACGATGCTCGATACGCCATCATCAATGAGCCTTTCAAGCAGGAGCAGGGCAAGGGCAACTTTGCCGAGATCAAGAACAAGTTCCTCCAGCGGCGGTTCAAGGTGAAGCTTGGAATGTTTGAGGAAAATATAGAAGTTTGAACTTTGTATAATGAAATTTTAATGATAAACCCTGACTAACGGAAGTGGGAATTTTATCAGTTTGAGAAAAATTTTCGCGATTCGGTTTTTGAGTGATTTTCTATACTTCTAAGAGGCGGTAAGCTTGAAATCTGAGGTTTGGAAGGAATTCCAGAATCGTGTCCCACCCGGTTACAGCCCCCCACCTCCGAGCAAGACGCCCACCATAAAAAAAATTCGATTGGGGGCGGGGGGGCTGAATCTTATTCTTGAATCGTCCCTCCCCCACCCAACTTTGCAATAAGTTTTAGCAAGTCTTGTCCGGAACAGCCTCCCCCTCCCCTCCAACGTTTTAGAATCGCCCCTCACCTTCACATTTTAGAATTGCCCACACAACATACTAGACCACCGGATTTTGGTCTAGTATGTTGTGAAAATCTAAAAAACTACTGGGAAATAACAGGCTGTGGGGGTTATTTCCTAGTGAGGGGGAGGGGGGCATTTTGGAATGTTCCCGAGATTAAGATCGCTTATTTCAGAAGTAAGGTAGAAGTTGGATGTTTGCCAAACTTACAGTTTTAAGCTCTGAAAAACACGGTCTTTTAAAAATCTCGGAAAATCAGTCCGAACAGGCTGGTCAATGTACGCTTCACCGAAAAAGTAAAATCTAAACTTTTGGAGTCGGTTTTGCTTTCATGTGTTTGGAAATACCCAAAGTGGATATTTGAAATTGAGGGAGATGGAGCGTTTTTGAGGCCCTATCCTTTTATCTCCTCTGATTTTTTTTTAACATCGATTTTCCAGCTCCTCGAGCAAGCGATGGTGATCGAAGAGCAGCTCCGACGGGCTTCCTACCTCCAGCTCCAAAATCAGCCCGATGCTCCTGGAGCCCTCGCTCAACGGTTCGCCGACCTGGAGAACATCGCCGACGCTCACCTCAACATTGCCAAGGAGAGCCAGGCCGGAAATCGCAACGCGAATGCTGTCCTGCACAAAGGTTTGTCGGAAAATGACCGCAAAAAGTTGAAAACTTCGTTTTTCAGTGCTCGGACAGCTGGAAGAGCTCCTTTCGGACATGAAAGCCGACGTTTCTCGGCTCCCGGCGACCCTGAATCAACTCAGACCGGTCACCCAGCGATTGAACATGACCGAGAGACAGTAAGAAGCCTTTCAGATCCCTAGGCTAAAAGAAAATTTGTAGGATTCTGTCGCGTCTCACCACGAAAGATCCAGAAGCACTGGCTGGACGGTCGCCGATTCCCCCGCCCGGACCTTTCATCACGCCTCTCCTGAATCAGCAGTTCAATGGAATCCAGCCCAAATTCGCGGCTCTTCATGGCGCTATTGAGGTGGGCCTTAAGCGAACTGGAAAAATGAGGAAATTTCATTTTGTTGTTAGTCCGTAAAGGTACAGAAATAGCAGAAATACTCATGCCGTGTTCAAAGTGATTCCGCGAAATTCAAAATAGCCGTCAGAGAAAGAGAAAGATAACTAAATTTTGGAGGGTCAGAGACCATTTTGCATTTCGCGGAAATTACTTTGAACACGGCATCAGGATCTTCAGAGGGGCTTCTATAGGGGCGACCTGAGGGGCCCTCTATGAACTCTATGCGAAGAAGCATTTTCACGCAAAAAAACTAAAAAAGAATTTTTTTCGAATGCGATCGACCCCTCTAGGGACCACTTAGGCTTCAAAGGCTAGGGGAATCAGATTGATCGACCCCTATAGGGATAACCTTGGTTTCACCCCTATAGGGACCACTTAAGCTGTAGTGGCTAAGGAATAAGACCCTAAACCCCTATAGGGGCAATCTTGATATCACCTCTATAAGGACCACTTTTTCGGCCCCCATTGAGGCTGTTCCCCTAGAAGCTCAGGAATTCCAGAGCGGTCCCTATAGGGGTTAGAGGGAAAACAGACCAGTGGGCAGCCGAAAAAGTGGTCTCTATAGGGGTTTTTCAAAAGTTGGTTGAAATTGTACTGAAAGTGAGTGAGTTAGAAATTTTCAAAAAAAGATTCTTATAGAATTTATTTCGAGTAGATCTAACTATTCAAACATTGAGAGATTCTCCAACAAAAATTTCAGAAGAAGACGGAGGAACCGGAAGAGAAACCGAAAGAAGAAGAAGCCAAGGTCGAGGAAAAGGAAGAAGAAGCTGAGAAGCTGGAAGATTCGGAGTCGAAAATGGAGGTCGATGAAGCTGCTGAGGCTCCGGCTGAACCTGCTCCAGCTCCAACTCCAGCTGAAGAGCCGGCTCCAGTTGATCTGACCGCCACCGCTGATGCTTAAACCTTCTTTGAACTTAATTATTTTTTGTTGATTTCTTTTTCTTATTTATATGACTCTTATGTCGAATTTTGTTCGAAAAGACCCTTTTGTGAACTTTAAAGGCGCATAGATGGAGTTTCTGACAATTCTTGTAGCGATCCCGCTCTTAAATTTCTCAGCTAGGGTCTGTTTAACTTGAAATATGTAAGTTGAAATATCCCTCATAGGGACCCTTTATCCATCTTTTTCTTGTTTTCCGATTTTCCTGATGAATAATTCAATTTATATTTTATCCAAATGTATACGTCGTCCTCCCAGGTCTCATTTCAAAAATTAATCGATTATTTTTTACCACTTTTTAATTATAATTGCATACCTTGCAACGGTTGTCCAATAAACGTGTTGTTTTTGTAAATTTCTCTAATTTTTAAAACGTGAAATCTCATTGAAAATATTTTTATCACGTTTATTTCACAAAAAGAAGATTACTTTAGATGGCATTGTATAAGCTGCCGAAAACGGGGCTCGTTTTGCTGAGAAGTGAGTTTTTCGAATCCAAAAAACGATAGCTACCGTAAAAATTTCAAATGACACCTTTTCCGGACATTTTTCAGTGGAACGAACTGAATTATAATCCTGAAAAAGCTGGCGTAAAATCAAATTCGAAAAAAATTCGAAAGCTCGTCGCGTAAATCGACAGGACGTTTTTGGTGCATACACTCCGACGTAAATTTTCACAACGTGAACTTTTTTCAAGCCTTCAAATTTTTTTTTCTTTTCGAATAATATTATATTATTCCTTATAAAAAGGAACAATTTTTTTCATTATTTTGAATATGAAAACGACAAGAGAACAAAAGATCAATGTAACCATTGAAAATGCAAGAATAACTTGAAAAAATGTGAATTTTTTTGATGCGCATGATTGTTTTCCTTCAATTTTCGTGCTTGTCACTATTGTTCTTCTCATGAAATACGATTTTTTTTTTTCTGATTTTTTAATTTTAGACGTCGAAGAAAGCGAATTTGACTTGGGACCGATCGTTTTTGGGGCTTTATCCGATGTGCGCTTCGCCGTTTTACATCTTGCCGGTGGCGACGCTTTCCTCAAGGATTTTTACCGGGAGAATGTTGCGAAGTAATTTATTTTTAGTCTTTTTGGTGATAAAAATGCATAGAAATTCCTAAAAAAAAAATCTGAATTTTAGTGCCACATTCCTATCATTCGACGAGAATAATCCGGTCGACGGGAGCTGTTCGGATTTTGAAACGGATCGATACATCGTTTTTCCTGACCTCGACTTGTATTTCAGGATTTTCGGCATTCCTGTCACTGCGCAGCTTCTTAATATTTTGATGAGTTGGTGTTGAAAATTTTTTATTGACTAATTATTTTTGATATGATAGTCATAATGTGTCACGGCGTTTCTGTTAGTGGAAAAAAAATGCAAACCCAAAAATGAAGGTTCCCATGTGACGTCATGGAAAATCGCGTAAACAACAGGAAATATTAAAGGCGCATGTTCAATGGGTCATGAGACGAATCGATTTCTAATTCAAACAAACTCAATTTTTCTTTTGCCGTTTTCAAAGTGGTTCCGAAAAATTCAAAATAGCCACCAGAGAGTGAAAAATAAATGAATTAAAAAATTTAGAAATGATTTTGAATTTCGTCAAAGTAGTTTTGAACAGAATGTGTGAGAAATAAAACATTTTTCATTAAAAAAAGGAACGGTATGTGCGAGAGCGTCGCGGTGCTTGCACACGACACACTGAACTTTACGGAAAAAAATTGGGCGGCTTTAAAAAAACGCCGTGCGTGTAACTGCAATCTTATAAAATATTCTGAGAAAAGTTTCACAGCCGAAAAAAAATCTTTCGAACTTTTTGTTCCAGAAAAGTTCTGCGTTGTCGCCTTGTGTTCACAAGTCACGGTTCCTCCTGACGTCTACAAGAAGTTCGCCTCGTTTGCTGACGTCATATTCCTTCTGACGTCATTCAATGAGAACAAGTTGGAGTACAGGTCAACGACGATGACAGTTGACCCGAAAGGTCGCCTCGTTGTAACGGTACGGTTTGATTTATTCGATTAGCTTAGATTTTGCAAAAAGGCAGCAAAAAGGTAGCAAAAAGGTAGCAAAAAGGTAGCAAAAAGGTAGCAAAAAGGCAGCGAAAAGGTAGCAAAAAGGCAGCAAAAAGGTAGCAAAAAGGCAGCGAAAAGGTAGCAAAAAGGCAGCAAAAAGGCAGCAAAAAAGCAGCAAAAAAGCAGCAAAAAGAGCCCCTTTATGGAGCCTTTCTTTCTTTTTAGAACTTTATAGACTCAAAAAACGGTGTAGAGGCAGCAAAAATGGTACATAAGAGTCGATGAATTGGCCCAAAAAGGCAGCAAAAAAGGAACCTTTCTGGAACCTTTTTCCACCCTTTCCGACTTTGTCTATGACTCAAATTTGAATTTTTTTTTTTGGGTAAAACATTTTTGTTTATTGTAAGATGACTGCGTGTTCATTGCGATTTCATTCATCTGATATTTTTTATTTCAGAACGAAAAATTTACCCTTGTACCTGGAGGAAAGCCGAAGGTCGAGAAAGTCAAAGTGGAGGTTTAGACTTGCAAAAAATCATCTAATTTGCTAATTTTAGGACGAAGAAAATGTGACAGATGAGCCAAAATTCGAACTGAAGAGTTTACAGACGGCTTTCGATATTGGCCTCGAGTTGAAGGTGAATATGAGGATGAAATGCTACCTATTATTATAATTTTCATGTTTTTGATGTATTTTAAGTCCAAAAATGCTAACTTGAAGCGTTAGGAGCAATTTGAAAAGGCCGTTTTTCATTTTTAAATTGACTAGGGAACGTTTTTTACCCCCCGGTTGAACTTTTGCTGAAACTTTGCTGAAGTGTACTTTATGACCCCCTGATTGCAGATCAAGAAAAAAATTTCTCGCAATAGATCTTGTTTCCGAGTTATGGAGCTTCAAAGTCCGCAAAATACGCAAATTAGGCCAAAAAAGCGCTATTTCGGGCTTTTGTAGCTCCATAACTCGAAAGCGAGATCTATTGCGAGAAATTTTCTTTCTGTTCTGGAATCAGGGGGTCCTAAAGTACACTTCAGCAAAGTTTCAGCAAAAGTTCAACTGGGGGGTAAAAAACGTTCCCTGGTGAGAATCTGCTTATTTTGAACTAGAATATGTCTATTTTTCCAGGATTTTTCGGGTTCAACAGTAATTCTGAAGTTTTTACGGGCAATTTCTTTTAACTTGATCTTCTTTGGCCGCGTAAAAGTTCAAGACAGTCCTCTTCCTTCTCAAACCGTTTTTAATTATTTAAAATCATATTTTGTTTTCAAGGATACCGAAAAAGCAGCCAAAGGCTCGTTGATGCTGCCCTACATGACGAATCGACAAGAAGATGGTTGGTTTTCTTTAATGGAGAAAAAAAAGATTAATTTCCAAGGGAGTTTTGTTGAGATTCTTGCTGAAAAGGTGCTTCAAATATTAGTAACTCAGAAGAGTATGAAAATAGAGAAAAAGATATTTAAACATGCAACGAGAAACTTTTTTTAAACAACTGGGTTTTTTTATAACGAAGTAAATGTTAATTTTGCCTTGAAAAATTAACTAATCTAGGTGTTGCAATACGTGACGCGACGCGACGGAAAAATCCGCGCCGGCGGTCAGATCATCTACGAGCCGGATGAAGCCGACGACCTCGACGACAGCGATCCCGACGACGACTTGAATATTTGAAAAATTGTAAAAAAAAATTGTTCCTCTGTTTGCAAAAGTTTGTTTCTTGTTGGAAAAAAGCGTTCTGCGATAAATATACTGAATTAGTTTTTAAGTGTGAAAAAATGTTAAAATACTAGATTTGTTGAACAAAATATGAAATTATTATAGCTTACTGTGTTTGTCGAAGACGCAAGCCCGCTCACGTGAGATGCGCATACTTTCATGATTTTTCGATGGTACGACAAAATCTCAAGTCCGCAAATCTCGAGGACCGTAATCTTGTGTACGCAGTTCTAAAGTCCCATAATCTTGGAGACCAAAATCTTGGAGACCAAAATCTTGGAAACCACAATCTTGGAAAGTAAAAAACAACGCTTTTGCGAATAGATTTTATCAGAAATTGTATTCGGTGATCCAAACAAGAGAATATAAGTAGATAAAATGCAATAAAGAAGACTAAAAAGGAAGATTTCTGCTTTCCAAGATTGTGGTTTCCAAGATTTTGGTCTCCAAGATTTTGGTTTCCAAGATTATGGGACTTTAGATCTGCGTACACAAGATTACGGTCCTCGAGATTTGCGGACTTGAGATTTTGTCGTACCATCGATTTTTCAAAACAGACGCGTAAGTAATATTATTTTTGATTATATAATCAAAAAAAAATCGCTTTTCAATAATCCCAAACTTAGTATATAAATTTTTACTTCGTTCAATTTCTATCATATTCTGAAATTATTGTATTAAAACCTTTAAAAGCGCTAAAAAAAATAGACAAATTCAAAAAAATGCGCATCTGCCGTGATTCATATTTGCTGTGCTTGCGGTCGCAACTAACAAGCCACGTTTAAAATAATGAAACTACGATTATTTCTCGCTTTCACAAGCACGAGCCGAAATTATGCCCCCCAAACTTTAAATTTTGAAAGGAATCGATCAGAACATGTAATTTTTTTTTTCGAAACTCTAGCTGTATGAACTGTTTTGAAAAAGAAAATGATGATCTTTCCCGGAGGAAAACATGTCTTTTCATGGTTCATCATGTCAGAAATATGTGTGACAAATATGACGTTCAAAATAAATTTTAAGAGAAAAAAAACCCCCGACAAAAAATAATCAAAAATGACGAGTCTGATCTGGCCAAAAGTTTTGATCTGACGCCGGGGGTCAAAGAGTCCGAGGTTCGAGAAGGATCACTGGAGTGGCGCGAAAGGATCGGCGTCCAAAAAACAATCGTCATTCTGTTTTTCTCTCCGTTCTGGGCCGGGTGTTGCTGCCGCTCGTCTTAATTTTTGAATTTATTATTGTAATTGTTGTTTTTAGATTGTTTTGCTTGTATTATTTCGAATGTATCGATGGTTTTGCGCAAATCTGTATGTTTCTGAATTTTTTAGGCATTTATTGTTGTTTTATTATTAAAAGGTGTTCCTATTTCAAATTTGATGTGATCGTAGTTTTTCTAGTTATCCTTTTAGGAGTTTTTCAAAGGCGCAGAGGGTTTGAAAAACAATAGAAACGATATTCGTCACGATACTTTAAACGATTTTATCTCTGCGCCTTTAAACTTTCCTTCAAGATTTTTTTTTAGAAAACTGTGCCCACCAGTAATTTTTCACTTCTCTTGAAGTTTGAGTAATTAAAGAGAATTTTTGAATTTACCATCGATTTTTTCTTTATCAAATATCCGAAATTACTCTGAACACGGCTTAATTGGACATTTAAACACCTGCTGAATTTTCTATCGACTTTTCTCGTTTAACATCGTTTTGCGTTTATTTTCACGTCCATTTTGTTCAATTTCTTTTTTTTTAGGCGAGGCGGAAATTTTTTCAGGGCGGCTACGCGACGATCAAGGATTCTCCGTAAAATGAAATATAAGTTTCAATATTATTTAATGATACTAATTTGTTTTTTTCAAGGAGTTTTTCAATGCAAATTGGGCAAACGGACAACTACGCGATGATTTAAAAAGCTTCTTATATTGAAATATGAGTTTCAAATTTTTTTATTGTAGCTGATTTGAGAATTTTTCCAGAAAGGCTTTATTGGACAAATTGAGAACGACTCGATCCGAGAATCCGAGGCTGTCTACAGGATCTGTGGTAGGTTAAGGTTCGTTTGAATTTTTTTGTTCGGTTTCCTTCCTTTTTGGGATCGGAATCGTCCAAAACTGGGGCGGCTGGGCGTTTTCCACTCAGGGAAATTCTCGAAATCAAATAATTTAAGAAAAAAACTTCATTTCCTTCCATTTCTTGCCGCAATTTTTCAATCGAAGTTTTTTTTTCAAATATCCATTTTTTTCAGGTTTCCGTTCCATTTTCGAATTTCTTACAAAGCTTTCAAATAAAAAGAACCCAAGTTCGATTGAAAATGTGTGGCCGAAAATTAAAAAAATCGTTTTCGAATTTTTTTTTTTTGACTTATTTCAAGCAATATGCAGGTCCGAAAAACAACGTTTGGATTTTTTTCAGTGGCTCCTAGTTTTTTTAGACTTAAAAAGAATTTTTATTTTTTTCCCATTCAATTTTTTTCAAAAATAGAAACAACTCTCTATTTCTATTTTCAGATTTCGAATTTACAGAGTAGCCCGAATTTTGAAGACCTTTGAATTTCGAAATAATGTTTCTTTCCAGTCTTATTTGAACGTTGTTTTCAGGCTTTATTTTCCATTTCTCGATAAGAGTCTTAAAAAGTCGATAATTCATTTGATTTCGAGAGTTTTCCTGAGAAAATGACCCAAGGTCGGCTCCTTTTTTCTTGCTGGGGACTTGGGTGAATGGTCGACTAACGGATGCAAACGTTTCGCCGATCGACTTTTTGGATTCTTTCCAATAAAGTGCTTTACTTTTCTTGATTTCGCTTTTAGTAGTATATTTGTGTTGCGGATCCGGATTTTGTTCTCCGATTTCAGGCTTTTGAAGAGTTGAATCGCAAAAAACCAACACTACAAAGTTTTGAACAAAATTTCGGATACTTGTTAATTTTCGGAAAACGTTGAATGATTTTTTTTGAATTACAAGTTTTAATATAGTTTATCACGAACTTCTACGTTTCGAATTTCTGAAAAGTGAAGCTTTGATGCGACTTGACTTCAAGTAAAATATTAGATTATCAAAAAGGTTCTTTTTGTTTGAATAATTATAAACCCCCTTGTATTCGAAAAATTCTCTGGTAATTCGATTTTTTTCAAAAATTCAGTAAAGCCTGTCATATATCCACCTACAAACAAAAAAATAATAAATTTTTTTGAACTTGATTCTTTCTTTTTCTTAATTTCAATGTGGGTTCATAATCATTCATTTTTTTATTTCAACAGTAAAAATTACCGGATAAAAAGTTCTTATCGTTTCAGTTAAAAACTTATGAGTTTCGTCTTCATTTTTTTGTTTCAAAAAAAGTTTAGAATTACAAAAAGTTACAAAAAAAGTTTATCATGGCTTGAAATTGTTATGAAAAAGAGCTATTATCCGTGGGCGCATCGAGAATTTTCTTTACGTTTTTTTTTTTCTTGAAATTACGGTAGTCTAGTATTAAATTGATTTTCTTTCTTTTCTTTGACGTTTGGTCTTAAAGTTTGGATCTGTAACGCAAATTGAAAAATAGAAATTATTTTTATCCAAAGAATTTGTTTGACAAAACACTTGTATCTGTTAGTTTGACTGGGAGCTTTCGAATCAAGGGTCAATTTTTTTTTTGCAAAGTTTCACAGGGATGTCGAAAGAGAAGCTTTATGGAAAATGACGAATCTGTCGAGATCCGCTCGAAAAGTTTAGATTGTCAATTGATTTGATGACCAGTGGACAACGAAGAGTCTTTGGAAAAGTCGTGCAAAAAAAAGTACAAGTCCTATGAAGTCAATGTTAGAGTTGGCTTAGATGGCAAGGTTCTGATGAAATTTCTAGGCCGAAAACGTAATTTGCTTGTAGTTTTTTTTTCAAACGTTAGTGAAGTCAGGCGGAGAAGGTGTCAATTTTTCAAATATTTACGAATTTCCTTCGTAGTTTTTTTATTTCAATTATTTTTCGTTTAAGAATTTTCCTAGGGGGAACTCGCAATTTTTAGAGTTTCATCCAATCAGTATTCACCTTTTGTTTCAAATAACTTTACTTTCGAATCCAAACTTCACTTTTTTCTGACTTCTTTCCAACCTGAAGCCAAGCTTCGCTCTGAATGATTATTTCGATGAACATTTTTTAATTAATTTTTTTTGTGTTAGACTCAGATGACTATTTTTACAAGACTGATTGGGAAGTTGTCAAATTCCGAGCTTACCTTTGAACTCTGAGAAAGTTTTTTTTTTTCCAATAAAACAAGCTCTGAACTCGCGCTTTGCTTTTTTTTTGCTTTAAACTTTTTGAAGCTTCAAGCTCTACAATATAAAACTTATGCCGTGTTCAAAGTGATTCCGCGAAATTCAAAACAGCCGTCAGAGAAATAAAATATAGCTAAATTTTTGGATAGTCAGAGATATTTTTTTCTTCTTGAGGAGTTTACTTTGAACAAGGCAATCTAAATGAATAGCGTGGTCAGCTTGCAAAGTGAAAAAAAAATATAGTAATTCTTCCATTAAGCTTCAAGTGAGAGACGTTCGTAGTAGAGCTTCAATAGTTGAAAACTTCCAGAAATGTTCATTCATCAGAGACTTGCAAATCAAAGCTTCAACATTGATTTTAAAAGAACTTGTACTTTTTTTTGGCTTGACTTGTCTAAAGGCATCTTGGCCATTCACTTGGTCATTGGGTCAGTTGATGAGCTCAACGCTTTGAGAGGCCCTTGATGGACTTGTCAATTTCCAGAAAGCTTCTCTCTTGACTCCTTTGTGAAAATTGCAAAAAAAAAATAAAGACTCTTTATTCGAAGACTTCCAGTCAAAGAGGGCCATTCACTCAGGCCTTGGCAAGAAGACAGGACTCGGCCTTGGGTCATTTGAGGAAAAAGTCCAGGACGCTCTAGATTTGGAGGGTTCCGAGAACAGAAGGGGAGGAAATCAGGGGGCTAATGGGGAGGGTTTCAGGTCGAGTGATGTGACGGGATGGATGCCGGACGACGTCGTACTCCGAGGGCGGCTTTGAACCGGACACTCTGAACCATGATTTTTAATAAAGTATTCTCCTCCCCCGTTTGTACTTGGTTTTGTCCGGCAGGGTCAGAGCCGCTGCCGGACCTGGGGTTCCAGGTGCCGGGTAGACACTCCGATCTCGAGTACCACAGCCCCACCCCTGGGGTCTGAGGCGGAGCCTCCAGCCCGGGTCTTAAGGACCCAAGCCAGAGACCTCAACCTCAGACGCCACAGGCTGGCTGTGGAGTCTGAGCCGGAGACCTTGACCTCTGATTCACCCGCCCTCCTGGAGGACGGTGGAGCCCGAGGCCAAGTCTTCGGTAGATGTCTTGAGGCCTGGTGAGAGTCCTGTCAAGCGAGGCTTCTTTCATCTCCAAGCTCATCATTCGACAAGGTCATTCATGCTCCTCTTGTACCCCCACGAGTTCCAAGCTTCATCCTGAGCCAGCTCAAGCCCCATTTGATGGAAAAATCCTTTGAAAGGACATGTTGTACTTGTGCTATGTTGAAAAGGTGCTCTCAAAGTTTTTTTTTTGAATGGAACAAGTCTTCCAAACTTAAAGTTTTTGCTGAATACGTCTTGCAGTCCACTCAAGTCAGTCACATTAAGCATCTAAGCTTCTAAGGTCGTGAAAAAAAGAAATGAAAGTTTTCGATTCGACCTTTGGAAAATCACAAGTTTACTTAAGAAGGAAAATATTTTTGAAGTTCGTTTGGAAAAGAAACATTTTTTTTTCTTCAAATATAATTCTAGTCTTGATTGACCCTAATGAATCTAGGAAGAACTGCAGCAAGCATTTCAGCAAGATTGAAAATTTCAAAGTTCATCTGCAAGGTTTTTTTTGCGACGATTATCTTCTTTGATTTTTAAGCTACACCAAAATCAATCACTTGATCCTTCTAGGTATCAATGAAAGCATTAAAAAGACGTGAAGAAGCTGTTTTTGGAAAAGAAAAGTTCACAGAAACGCAATGTTTTGGAAAATACCATTTTCAAGAAAAAAAAAAGAATGATTTTTCAATGATTTCCTATGGCTTTACATTTATTCAGTGATTGACAATGGTGAGCTGTTAACTTGAAATCACTACAAGGAAGAAAAAAATTATCTCAAAAAAAGTTTTACCAATTGAAAAAAATTGCGTTTTGAAATCTCCGCCAATTTGAAACAGTCAACACATAAATATTTTTGACTTTCAAAACTGAAAAATTTCTCAAAGGTATGTAGAAAGCGAATACAAAAAATTCAGAAACACAAGGTTTTAAAGCAAAATTTTGTCAAAAGTCCAAGTTTTTGTTCCTCTATTATTTATTGGCTGTGCTGAAATGGAGAAGGCTTCAACGCGCAAAACAAAATTCAAATTTGATATCAAAAGAGAAGCCTTGCAGATAAACTATAAAAAACCTAAAGAGTCTAAATTTCAAGAGCCCTTTTTCAACAGGACACAAGTCCTGCATGTTTATTTCAAATGATCTGAAGATCAAGTGGAAAGAGTTCGAGCTCAAGTTGGCTCAGGATGAAGCTTGGAAGTTGTGATAGAACAAAAAAGCAGGACTGACCTCGCAAGACACTGTCCGGTGGCGCACGAACCCACAAAAATTTGCGCAATTTACTGATTGGTTGAATAAAACCATTTCAACATTTAAAAAAAAATCCTTGACGAATACGAAAAATTTTAAATCTTTTCTTGTAAAACCCTTGACAAAGGTCCGAAGTCTACCTAAATTTGGACAAAAGCCTAAGAAATTTGAAAAAAAAACCGCAATTGACTCATAAACCTTCGTATTTTTCGCTTCATGGATATTTTTCTGGTGCATTCTTTTTCATATTAAATCTTACAACAAAAGAATGATTTTTTTGAAATGACTGGTTGAAATTAGGTATCAGATATAATCGTTTTCGAAATGTGACTTTCTGTGAAGCGGTCCAGTTTGGAGCCGTAAAAATTATTTCGGTTTTCTTGTTAAAAAAACAGTGAGTGCTAAATGAAAAGTCAAAAACACAAACTTCGAAAAAATCAAATGAAATTCCGTGCAATGTACAGTTTCGATGAAAAGACTCAACCCGAAAAAAAACTCTTTCAATTATAAAGTGATAACCAAATCTTCATTAAGGTCCGAACCTTCGTCGTGAGTTTACCAAACCAGTTCCCTAACCTCTAGACCAATCAGCAAATTGAGTTAATTCGCATGAGCTCGAGAATCATATCAGGTTGTGTACAAATAATTCTCGCCTTTTATCGATCAATATTAATTGACGAAAAAAACCTCTGTTAGTATATCTAGGATCTCAGAAAAAACCAACTAAATCTCGAAAAACCTTGAAAAACGGACGACTAACTACTTGAGAAACAAAAAAAAATCTCAAAGCTGCGTGTAAAAAATTGAAAAAACTACATAAAGGCCTAACTTTAAGATCAGTGATGTATTGATTTGAATTGGACCATTTTTTTTTTTGCAAGCTTGGATACAGCTTTTATCTGAAAAAAAACAGCATAACTTGGAAAAAAGCGAAATTTATCTCTACACAACCCAATATACTGGACGCCACCTTCGAATTGACGAGCTTGGAAGGAAAGAGAAGCCTCGCCCCACAGTACCCCCACTCCACAGAGCAAAAGACGCATGTATGCTCGGCTAAAGCCGGCGAGAGAGCATGGCGATTTAGGAGACGCCAGACTACAGCTCTCCTCTTTCGTGATGTTCTCTCTGACCGGTCAAAAGCCGGGGATACAGTCGTCTTTTTCTCTGCGCCACCACCGACCAAAGACGCCGGCACCATTCACCCCACGGACAAAGGACGGACAAAAAATTTTTTCCTTCTGGAAAGTTCATTTCAATTCGACATATAAAAAAAGAAAACAAGAAGGGTAGATGATATCGCATGAAACAGAAGTCAAACCTGAACAATCAAAAAAAAATTTTGAAAATCCTAACACTCATAAACCTACGTGTCAACATGTCGAGTCGAAAATCTTTTAAATAAATTTTGAATACGGAAAAAAAAATGTATTAACAGGGACCTTTTTGATTAAAAAAAAATTTTTTTGAGAACAATAATTCAGCTGACGGCTTGACAATTTCACCCTTTCTTTTGAACGATTTTTAAAACCTAGGGAAAGTTTGAAAGTCGAAACTGAATGGTCAAAAAAGTCGTGCGACGCGGTCGCGTAACGGTTCAAAGCGTTAGTTGAAACTACTTTGTGGCTTTAATAAACTTTATGTCAACGTTTCAAGTCGAAAACTTCTTTTTCTTTTTTGCAAAACTTTTCTTCTGATGAAAAAAAGGGCTTAAAGGGATGGAAAAATGATCGGGGATCGTGAAAATTGACGATGAAAAAGGGGCCCAACGCAATCGCTTAATGGTTGAAATTTTACCAAAAAAAACAAAAAAATCTTCTTTTTGTAACTCTTAGAAAGCTATGGGTCAACGGGGCACGTCGTGATTGGTTTTTGAAAGAAAAAAATAATGATCTCCTGATTTTTTTGAACTGAAAAGCTGCAAAAGTATGAAAAATTGGACGACTTTTCATGCAATTTTTTAATCTCAAAAAGAAATTGTGCAAAACATTTCATAAGAACGAAGTCTTGTAGCTGACGGTTTGACAAGTTGACCCCCAATAGACATAAAAAGTTCAAAACAAGATCACAAAAATTACGGTAACAACTTTAAAAAATCAAGTTTAAAGGAAATCGAAGGGATGTGGAACCGCAGCGCGACCGCGTTACTTCTAGCCGCAACTTTTCAAAAATCTATGCGAGGGCCTCATGCGATATCCCCATGAGGTGAAAATTAAAAAGCCTGGAAATAAAGATTAAAAATTTGAGTTGAACTTTCTAGAAGAGAAAAAACTTTTGAATTGACGAAAAACTTCCTACGTTGAGAACCGTCGTTTTTAAGAAACTGAGAAAAAAAAATGGGAAATATGAAGTTTCAAACGTTCCCCAACGCAAAAAGCAACATTGAAAAATTTGAATTTGATACCGATCCGAGTCGAACGTCGTCGGGGTCAGGATCCATCCTTTGACAGCGCGGGCGGCCCCTCTGAAGAAAATCAATAAAAATTATCAACTGATTCAATTTACCTCGCGGAAATCCTGAACGGCGGTTAAGCGTGCTCGAAAATTTCTGCTCGGGTGTTTGAAGGAACAGAAGCTGATTTGAGATTTCGAGGCACACGGTCGTGTTTTGATGCAAAAAATTTGCTCCTTCAAACGCCCCAGCAAAAATCTTCGATCTTTTCCCCAATTTCCTGGAAAAAATAAGGATTAGTGAATATTGGATGACTATTTGACTCATCTTCCAAAATGAGGCAATTTGAGTCTTTCTTGCAGCAGATTGCTCAAAGGCGCAGCAAAAATTTAAACTGATTTACAAGAAAAAAAAATTTTAAGCGAAATTGAAGCTTGTAACTTTGAGCAACCTGGCGATAGATTGTGAGACCAGCCAGTCGTCCTCTGAAATCAAAAAACGTTGGAAAATACGAAAACAAAAACGATCAAAAAATCATTGAAGAAAGCGATGAAGCAGAGCAAATTTCAGCGATTATCTATAGTTTTGGTCTTCAGAAAAAACGGTACATTTTTTTTCTGAAACATTAAATTCTTTAAGCTTGGAAAAATATTCTACGCTTTTCGAAAACTCTGCAAAGGTAGTTAAAACATGTTTACATGAAATTCGAAAAAAGTAAAATGCTTTTTAAAACTAAGTGAACAATATTAAAACGCGTAAAAAAACTCCAGACAGCTAACCGAAATTGAAATAATACAAGCAAAAACAATCTAAAAAAACATCAATTACAATAATAAATTCAAAAAAATAAGACGAGCGGCAGCAACACCCCGCCCAGTGCGGAGAAAAAAACAGAATGACGATTGATTTTGGGACGGCGAACCTTTCGCGCCACTCCAGTGATCCTTCTCGAACCTCGGACTCTTTGACCCCCGGCGTCAGATCAAAACTTTTGGCCAGATCAGACTCGTCATTTTTGATTATTTTTTGTCGGGGGGTTTTTTTCTCTTAAAATTTATTTTGAACGTCATATTTGTCACACATATTTCTGACATGATGAACCATGAAAAGACATGTTTTCCTCCGGGAAAGATCATCATTTTCTTTTTCAAAACAGTTCATACAGCTAGAGTTTCGAAAAAAAATTACTTGGTCCGAAACAGCTAAAGTTTCAAAACAGTTCTTTAAACGTGGCAATACAGTATCCTTCCGCGAAAAAAATTGCCCACGCTTTAATCTTTTCTAGCGATTCTTGTTCTTTTCGAATTGAATAAAAATAATCACGCTGGCAGGACAAAGTGTGTCTCTCAGACCAGTTATTTCGATCAATTTCACTGCTCAAACTCTTTTGACTATCTCCATTTTTATGTGCCTCGACAAAAATCGCCGAGGGAGCTAGATACAACACAAAAAGTTAACTTTCACAAGAGGGTTTGGGGTTCTACAAACTATTGAATAGAACGAGAAAAGATCATCATTGAACCGCATGGTATAAAAAAACTTTAACAATTGGAAGGAAGGGGGTTGATAAATATTTTGGGTTTTTTTTCGGATAAAAACAAAAATTCAACAACAAAAAGGGTAAAAAAATAATAATAATAAATATCAACAAAGAGGGGGAATCGGTGGGATTTAACAGTAAATTCAGCGACGTTTTTTTCGTCCTTCTCATCCCGCTCGTCTCCGTCGTGCTTGCGCTTGCGATGGCGGCCGGATTCTGGGAATTTTGATAGTTATTTAAGATCCATTAAAAGCTAGTCAGAAATTCCAGTAATACTCCAAATTTTTCCCAATCATAGTATTTCTCAGCTGAAAAATTCTGATCATGGAAGATTTACAAAATTCTTTGACACCTCCCCTTTCCAAGTCGGGTGAAGGGTTAGGGGGTGGGGAAGCAACCCCTATAGGGGTCGAAAAAAAGGCCCCTATAGGGGTTTTTAGGGTCTGACCCCTTAGCTCCTAAAGCTCAAGTGGACCCTATAGGGGTCTCTCAACTTATTTCTTATTTGTTCAGTTTTACTCATGGGTGCTTCTTCACTAGAGTTCAGATCAATTATCGACTAGCATGTCCCCTATAGGGGTCACTAACTGAAACCCATAAAAGAACAACTTTTCAAGCCCCTCTAGGGGCTGGTAAATCGATCCCTTGAGAGGCCCCTAAGGTTGTCCCTATAGGGACTACTTCGGAGTTCCTTAGGAAACCTCTCTTCTCACTTTTTTTCAGAGTCCTAACCCTTTAGGGCCTATTTTCACTCAATAAAGCTTTCAAACAATCTTTGCCCTCTCTCGAATCTGTTTCACTGGGGCGCACTTTCCATAGACCTCGGCAGCTTTTTCTACTTCTTATTCCCCACCACACCACTCACCTTCAACCTTGAAGGCGAGTTCAAACTCCTGATCAGCTCCCAGGTAAGAATCACTTATGAAGTAGAGCTTGTAGGTGTGTTTTCCAGCCGACGGGGCGGCAAAGTCCAACTGCATCGCCGCCTTTTCGTTGATGACCAATCTGGAAAAAATATCAATTTCTTCATTTCTTCAATGTCCGATGAAAAATACCTCTTGATAGAGAACAAGGAGTTCGACGAGGGGTCACCAATGACCAGCCACCATCCTTCTTCCTTGCGTTTCTGCGGGAACAAGGGGGCAATGACCGGGGGCGCCATTCCATCGATGTCGTTTTCGCGCTCCATCGAGACGCTCACCACAACCGTTTCACTTCTGAACCGATTTTCTTGAAATGGAGATTGTGAAATGGAAAACAAAGTCGGGAGAAGCTTCTAGTTGTTTCAAAAAAGGTGATTAGACAGGTCAAAAAAGGATTATAAAGACCTCTATATTTTTTATAGCTCTAATGAGTGAAAAATCGTATGTTTTCATCATAAACCGTTCTCTGTAGGTTTCACTGAAGTGTAGAACCTAGCAAGAGAGTAGAAACCATAGAAACAAAAAAAAATCTGCTCTCTGGAGTTTCGTAATTTCGAGCCTGCAATGCTATAGATTCCGTTTTTTCATCTAGATAATGGATTGAAAAAAAGAAATACACTGGAAACTCTGTTTCTAAGGAGACTTCAAAAAACTAAACTTTTTAGCTTCTGCTTTTCTGACTTATTTCAATACATGATCAGATTATTTATGGTTAAAGAGAGTGACAAACTGAAGAGGCAGCAGAAAAACGACAATAATCTGCTTCTCTGGCGCCTCTGCAAGTTTTATCGCTCTCTAACTTTAATTTCTGAAAAAAATATTTTTCTCGCTTTGGAAAACTGAAAAAACAGCAGACAAACAAGAAAGCTCCGTTCCTCTAGCTTCTCTCCAAACTTCACACACTCTCCTTAAACTCACGTCGACACGACGTCCTTGTCCATCTCGTGTTCCACCTCGATCGAGGGATAGTTGTTGCAGAACTTGGCGACGTCGGCCAAAGTGCCGCCTTCCATTCCGAGGATCTCCATCCGGTCGTCGTTTTCCAGTTCGAGCAAGTCGAACACCGATTCGACCTTCTGGAAAAGTCTACTTTCAGTGTTTCAAAGGTTCAAGTTTTTGGAGATTCTGAATTATAGCGTTTTTTGAAAATTCAATGCCTTGAAAATCCTAAGCTTCAGCTTCTCCAAGATTAACGGTTTCGAAGATTCTCATCCAACAAAGAAATGATTCGGACCTTCTCCTTGGCTCGCTCCAACAAGGCGGCGTTGCTGTGGGGCAACTGCTTGAGGTACGGCTCGTTGCTGTACATGGCCTGGGTGATCATCTGCGAGAGCTCCATGGCGTTGATCGCGGGGGACAGCCATCCGTTGCTGAAATTCAAGGTTTAAAGTCTTCTTACTTAATTTTTTTTTAAGAGCCAAGTTTCCTCGGCGTCAGGTGCAAATTTCTGAGCGACTTTTTATTATCTATCACTTTTCGTTTTCCCAAGGATTCTGAGCCATCGAGTTATAACTTAAGTACCCTTTATAGTGTCCAGTTGCCAGTATATCCGAGCTTTGAAGATCCTGGGCTACTAAAAAAGTATCACTTAAGGGTATCAACGCCTCTTTAGTGTTCCCTTTGATCGATATCAGTGTTCTGACACGGGGAGTGCAAAAGGTGGTGGGTTGAGAATTTGATGAAACTTGGTATATAGGTACTTTAGGACACCCTGATTTCAATTAAGTTGAAAAAAAGTTGTAGTCGAGTTATGGCATCTCGAAGTTTGCACGCCAAAAATGCATTTGATGGGAGGAGGGAATATGTCGCGGCGGCTAACTTCCAGTGCCGGAAGGTGGCGTGGTGTAGTGGCTAGCGGCCTGCGCTGTGGAACCTATGATGCAGGTTCGATCCCTTTTTGGTAAAAATTTTTTTTTCATGAAGTTTTTCGAAAAAATTTGATGAAGTTTTGAAGATGGAACGAAAAATACCGTTCAAAGTGTTGAAATTCACTATTTTATGTCGTTTTGAGAAAAACTTTCGACAAAAAAATTTTTTGTCTCTTTGTCATGCTCTATGCAGGAAATTTTGGCGTCGAGAATATTCTTTCAAGATTTTATAGCTTTTTGTCACAAATAACAACTTATAATAGTTTTATGCTTCTTTTCTCATTTATCAAAAAGTTGTTTCTTCAAAGGTGGCAGTTAGTTAATCCACTTCCTGGTATTTTTCCTCCCCTTTTCCTTTCCTGCTGCAAGCATCGCCATATCATCTCTATTACAAAAATAAAGTGAAGCTGGACTTTGATACACAGTTTTCAACACATAAAATCTCAAAGAAGAAAAAAAGGAGTGAATCTCATAAAATTTTGATTTTTTTTTATCAAAAATTTTTTTTAAAAAGGGGGTCGACCATAAGCCTTATGGTTGGAAAAGGAAACTTTTAGCAAAAAAAAATTTGTCAAAATTCTTTCTCAGAAGGGCATAAAATGGTGAATTTCAACATTTTGAGCTGTTTTTTCACTCCATCTTCAAAACTTACTAATTTTTTTTGAAGAAAAAATTTGGCAAAAATAAATTTCCCCCAAAATAGGACCGAACCTGCATCATAGGTTCCACCGCGCAGGCCGCTAGCCACTACACCACGCCACCTGCTGGCAGTGGAAGTTATCCGCCGCGCCATATTCCCTCCTTTCATTCAATGCATTTTTGGCGTGCAAACTTCGAGATGCCATAACTCGACTACAACCAAAAAGGCGCACTTTATTTCAACTTTATTGGAATCAGGGTGTCCTAAAGTACCTACAGTACCGCTCAAAAGTCTATTAAGTTTTGGTTTTTTGGGGATATCTCAGCGAGTACTTATCCGATTTATATATAACTTTCAGAGATAATGTAAAAATATACTTTGAAACATATACGGTATAAAAAAAGACATGTCCGCAATGACTGTGACGCGTTTTTAGGCATTTTTTTATTGAATTCCATTTTTTGTTTTTTTATGCTTTTTATTTTTTTATTTATTTTTTTATCAAATTTTTTTAAAATTAATAATGTTGCCATATGATTTTTTTCATGTTTTTCAGACATGGGAAGAACCTTTGGAAATAAGAATTTGACTGATAACGACAAAAGAGCCATCGTTGTGGGTCGTCAAAATGGACTGACCATGATGACGTTGGCAGGAATGTTCGGCGTGACAGAGGCGGGCATTTCTCAGTTCCTAAAGCGTCAGAAAGCTCAAGATGGCTCTACTAACAGCCAACGCACTGGAAGACCACGTGTCACTGATCGTAATGACGATAGGAACATTTTGAAGACGTCTAGAACCAATCCAAGACTCACCGCCCCTGCGATCAGACGGGAAGTTTTTCTTGAATTCGCCATCTCCGCCATCCGTCTCGACCGTGAACCGACGTCTGAATGCTGCTGGAATCATGGGAAGACGTCCAGTGAAGAAACCGCTGATTTCTGAAAAAGAATCGAGCCGCCAGGGTGAAGTGGGCGAAGGAGCATCTCAACTGGACCCGTCAAGACTGGAACAAGATTCTGTGGTCCGACGAAAGCAAGTTCCTCCTCTTCGGGAGTGACGGAATTCAGTGGGTTCGTAGACCAATTGGGTCCAGATATCATCCGAAATACCAATTACCCACCGTGAAACATGGTGGAGGTTCTTGCATGGTGTGGGGCGCCTTCTCTGGAAGTGGCATCGGACCGCTTCATCGCGTGAACGGCATCATGGACAAGCACGTCTACAAAGACATTTTTCCAGAACCAGATGTTGCCGCACTTGAGAGCCATGGGCCGTGGGAGTGTTTATCAACAGGATAACGATCCCAAGCACACTTCACTGTTCGTCAAGGTGAGAAAATTGACAAGTAATTCGTATGGTTTTGAAACTCAGGATTGGTTCAAGAGCCGTCGGGTCAATGTCATGGGGTGGCCAAGTCAATCTCCGGACCTGAACCCGATCGAACATCTCTGGGAAGAGTTGGAGCGACGTTGTGCCAACAAAAGAGCCAAGAATTGCAACGAGAAGTTTGCTCAACTGCTGTCTGAATGGAATCAGATCCCCATGTCTACCATCGACACTTTGCTCAATTCTATGCAGAGAAGATGCCAGGCAGTGATTGACGCCAGGGGCTTCGCAACCAAGTACTAGGTCCCGAATATTGTTTTAACAATGTTTTGTGTTGATAAAAATTTTTTTTGTTGAGCTATGATTTTTTAATTGAAAATAGCAAAAATTCGATTTTTTCGAAAATTCGTTTTTTTCTCGAAAAATTATTATTCTTTGAGCTAGCAACTTGAAATTTTGCCAGAACACGTATGTCTCTCTCAGAAAAACTATGAAAAAATTTGAATCGATATCGCACTTCAAAAAAAATTTATCCCCAAAAAACCAAAACTTAATAGACTTTTGAGCGGTACTGTATATACCAAGTTTCATCAAATTCTCAACCCACCACCTTTTGCACTCCCCGTGTGAGGATTCTGAACCAATAAGTGACTGCTCAAGTGATGTTTAACGCATCTTTAGTGTTCCCTTAGAACGATATCCGTGTTTTGAGGGGTTATGAACCAATAAGTGGCTTCTTAACTGATTTTAGCGCCTCTTAAGAGTTCCTTCAAAAAATATCGAAGAGTTCTAAGGATTATGAGCCATTTAGTGGCCTTGGAGCGTCACTTTAGTGATCACTTGAGTAGTATTCACCTAGACAAGACGTCGACACAAGCTTGGACCAGTCGAATGGCCTTCAGAACGATCAGCTCCGTGTCGCGGTTGAGTTCGGCGGTCAGCCTGATTCTCGACAAGTGGGCGTGGACCAGAAGGTTGACCTGAAAAAATCAATGTTCCTTTATTTTTAGTGTAGAAGCATCACAAAAAGACGTTTTCCTCCTAATTCAGCATCGTTTCTCCTATTTTTCTAACTTCTGGAGCTCCCAAAGTCTCATTTTTTTTTTTTCGCATTAACCTTGACATGCGGGTCGGTGAACTTCTGATTCTTGAGCTGTCCAGGCAGACGTTCGGCCAGCTGTTTCAGGATGACGTCTTCACGATGACGCATAGGAACGTTGGCGAATTCAGAAGCGTTGGCGATGATCTCAATGAGAGCCCGTTGCTTTGTCTTGGCCTTCAGGGACATCGAGAAGAGCTCTGGAAAATTGCTCAGATGAAACTATGTCCTCCAAGTTTTCTTCCATTTAAAGTTGAGAAAGTCTGTACTTTGCTTGCCGAGAAAAAATCCTCTATACATTCTTCAGGCCTAATTTTCGAGCTTCAAGTCTTGAGCCTTTCCTATTTCACTTTTTTGTTTAAAACTTGAACCCTGTTCATTTTTCTTGAAAAACTCCAATTGAAAGGCTCGTAAATAGAAAAAATTAAAATCTAGTGGAAGCTCTTAGTTAGCCTTTGTTTCATTTTGGACTTTGTTCAGGTAGAATGAAGAATGAAAGAATTGAAAAAGAATTCCTCAACTTTATAGTCAATCGTTTACATTTCATCATTGAATTTTTCATTTTCTTTCACTTCCAACCGTTTTCTAGAGCTTAAGGCCAGTCTTTCTCAATTTCCATCATCCAGACTATATTTTATATTTTTTCAAGCCTAACTTTCGAAGCTTAAGACCGGTCATTTTCATCTTCCATCATCAAAAAAATATCTTTCTACCTCTTTTTTCAAGCTTAAATCCCGGAGATTAAGGTCAATATTTCTAATTTTTCATCCCAAAAATTCAGCCTTAACTTCTGCAGCTCAATGCAAATTTTTCTCACTTTCCCTCGTTCAAACGTGACTTTTCCCCTTCCACTGCTTACCAATAGTCATGTAGGAAATGTAATAATAAGCAGCGATCATGCCCAAATTCAACGGCAACGTGTCCATGTCGTCCTTGACCGCAATGCACTGAAAATATCCATTTTTTCCTTCCTTTTTCTCCTAGTAAAACCTTGCTATTCTCCAAATCCTTCAACGTGTTCTCAACCAATTCCGACAGGGCATCTGACAAATGACGATGAGAAACGCCTTGCAAATTGTAATAGTTGGGATTTTGGGTCATTCGGCGGTAGAGGAGCGTCCATGTGAGGTACTGGAAAAAATAAAGTTTGATTTTCATGTTTTCTTTTTTAAAGTCATATTTTTCAATTTATAAGAAGGTAAGCCAAACTTCTCCGACGGAATGAATAAAAAAATCATCCTTTCAACGGTATTAAAGTACAAAATTTTGAATTTTTTTAGAATATTTTTCTACATCTTTTTTTGCATTTATTTCGAAATTAATTAATCGAAAAAAATGTCTTCTGAAAGTAAAAAAATATAATTTTTTTGGTGAAGAATGATGGATAGCAAGAAAGAAAAAGAAAAAAATTCAACGTGGAAATTAAAAATCCTTAATTTTCACGTTAAACCCTCACACAGTCTTAATCAACAAAACAGTGATACTAAGAAATCAACGTCAAAAAATTCCGACGCTCGCGTGGCCTAATGGACAAGGCACCGGACTCCGGAACCGGGAATGGGGGTTCGAGTCCCTCCGTGGGCTTTATTTAGTTTTTGCCGATTGTTTGAAATTCATTTTCAGCGAATTTCACCAAAAATTTGCCTAAAAAGCTTTTGAGTGAAAATTTTTAGACTTCGGGGCTTTCAAGAGACAAATTATGGTGCTACGACAAGATCGCGTTTTTTTTTTTCGAAAAGATTTTCTGCTTTCAATTTTTCGACAACTTCAAATGCAAAAATTCTGCTCGCTCTCTAATGGACAAAAACTATTTTTCTGAAACTGTTTTGTCAGCTAAATTTCGTCAAGAATCGAACGAAAATTACTTCAAGGAAAAAATTTGTGAATTTCTGGACTCTAGACGAAAATCCTGGCAATCTTACGAACAGAAAAGGCTTTAAAAATCCCAAAAGGCCTGAAGATTCACATCAATCGCGCTCTGTTTGTTCTCGATCGTCTTATGGACAACCCCTATTTTTTTGAAACTGCAATGTCAACTAAACTTCTTCGAAATTCACACTAAACACTTCGAATTGTAAAACCAAAAGGGAAATCCTGGCTATTTTCCGAACAGAAAAGGCCTCAAAAATACTGAAAGGTCTGGAAATTCACATCACTCGCGTCCTGCTTGTTCTCGATCGTCTTATGGACAATCCCTATTTTTTTGAAACTGCAATGTCAACTAAATTTCTTCGAAATCCACACCTGAAAAATCAAGAGTAAAATCCTTTCAATTTTTCCACAGAAACTACTTCAGAAATCCCAAAAAGGCCTAAAAATTCACATCAATCGCGTCCTGCTTGTTCTCGATCGTCTTGGTGACGATTTCGGCGTTGAAATGATCATGAAGACAGTGATCCAAGTGAGATTCGACGGGAAGCGGATCGTAGAGGAACTTTTTGAAGTAGGCCTTCTTTGACGATTGACACATCACCACGCATTTCGCTAGAAAATAATAATCTTATAGAAAAAAGCAAAAATTCTAGTCCTATTCTTAAAAAATCGAAAAGATTATTTTCTGAATTCTAAAAAGCTACTGAAAACCCTATACTGGGGAAAAAACATCATTCAGTCCCCGAAATTTGAAATTCTCCAAGGAAGCTGCTTTAAGGGTGATTCAACGAAATTTAAACTTGTAATTATCGAATTTTCAATCTGTACTTCCAGGGGGTCATTTTTTAAACTCAAATTTGCCTTTTAGGTTTTTTTACTTATCATTCGAGCTTCGAAATCTTCTCCTATCTGATTTTCTTCTAATTTTTCCAGCCCTTTTTTCTCCCGAAAACTCACCATCAGTGTCCTGGGTCGGCCTGTTGGCCAGTCCAACCATGTGGAGCATATCTCCGATGGGATAATCCTCATAGACGTGGAACTTTCCGTTGTAGAATTGCGTGTCCATGATGATGACCAGGTAGGCGTTCATGTTGATTTGGTAGCACATTCCGCGGGGGACGACGCACACCTGGAGGGGGATTTCTTTTCAAAAATGAAATAGTGAAGAAGGACCTGAGCATTTTTATAGACAATAATCGATTCCACAAATTATTCTTTGGCCTTCATCTAACCAAGAAAGCTAATTTTTTCTACCTTTTTTTCAATTTCTTGGTCTTTCCCCGTTAACTAACCATTTATAAACCTTTTTCCGGGTTTTTGTAAACCCTCTTTTTCATTCATTCTCTTCTCAAACCAAGTTTTTTTCCTATGGAATTTTTTGCGACCGCCTTATTCAGAGTTCAAAAAAGGCTAAGGATTCAGTTTTTTTAAAACTAAAAAAACCCTTTAATTCAATTTTATTCAGTACTCTATTCAAAAAAAATTGAAAAGAACTACAAGATTAAAGAAAGAAGGATTGAAAATGGGTCCTGCATGGTTCTTAATCCTCAAGTTCTCTTAAGATGACAAATTTTTGATATTCTCTAGCTCAAATTACAGACTTTTACCCCTATTTCCTAATTCTGCTCAATATTTTTATAAAATCCCTCTACTTGCAGACCTGAATAGCGCCGCTGGCGAACAACTGCTCGACGATCTCCACGTCCTTGGCGCTGGTTCCCTCGTGCAAGAACCCGACTCCACAGGAAACCGTCTCCCTCAGGGTCTCGTCCTCGATCGCCTCCAGGAGCTTGGCAAAGGTCGGGTCGTTCTCCGAAATGTGCAGGAATCGCTTGGGAGTCCCGTCAGCCAGGGCCATGGTCAGGATTCCGACAGCGGTAGGGCGAGCCTGACGTCGCACCGGAACGAAGACCTGAAGTTTTTAATTATTTTTCCACATCAGGTATAGGTGAAATACCAAAGCTGGCTTGGGTCGGAGCTTTCCAGCATGTCTCGAAATCGACTGATAGACCGGTCGTTCCATGGCGGCGAAGCGAGAAGCGTTGTGGGAAAGGTTGAAGCCCTAGAATATCCAAAGTTGAGCTTATTGGCGTAGGAAAAGCGCAAAATTATACCCAAAACTTCTGAACTTCCTGAAAAATCTATCAAAACTTTTTCAACTTGTCGAATACAAGAAATCTCCTGAAAACTGGCCATGAAGATTCTGGAAGTCTCAACCTTCACAACTTCCTAATTTTTGAGTAAAAAACTCTTAAAGTGAAAGTAAACCCTCCAAGTCCGTTAAAGTAGGCCATTTTGAGGATTTGAGACCTCATTCTTCGAAAACTAGAAATTTGGGCAGGTTCAAACTTTCCATGAACTTTTTCTGGTACATAATTGAGTGTCCTGGCCTATTTTCAAGACATTTTCAGCCACAAAGTAGAATGCCCTCGCTTTTCAGTTCGGATATATTTTTCTTATTAGCCCTACTAAATACAGCCATACTGAGGCTCACTTCAGCCTACGTCATGTTCCAAGTTATAAGCTACGATCATAGTTCAAACATACTAGTTCTTATGAGCATTAGCCGTACTAAAATCTTCCTAGTCGGAATTCCTAATAATTCCATTCACTTTGATAGATCCGATAGAATCCTCCCAAGTACCTTGATTTCCAACTCCAGGGGAACCGGTCGAGTGACGGGTAAGAAGTTGAAGGTTGCCGAAGCCGAACAGCCCAACCAGGTGCCGAGATCTCTGGCGTTGGTCAACGAGGACGACAAGGCGACGATTCTCAAGCTGCTCTCCAATTGAGACGACATGTAACGCATTCTGGAGCAGACGACCTCGAGGACCGGCTGGAAGATGGGAAAATGATTTTTTTCATGGAAAATGGGAAAATATGCTTCATATTGGGCTTGTCAAGCTTTAAAAGTTGTTCAGTGGTTTTTCAAAAATCGAAAAAGGCAGTCATAATCCAGCAAAGGCGTGATTAAATGATAAAAACTTTCGAAAACGGAAAAAGTAAGTAAACTTTAAAGTTTATGAACATAATGGCTCTGAGATGATCATTAAGCCTTGAAACTAAAAAAAAAAGACGTTTCCAGCCAATCACAGGCATGGTTAAAAGGACCACTCTTCGAAAAATCGGTAATAAAAAATTTTTTGTGAGAAAAATGGCTCTTCAAGCCCTAAAACTCCAGAAAGGGGCGTGTTCAGCCATCCATAGACGTTTTTCATAGGTCATACTTTAGGGAGAAGAAAAATCCCGTCAAACTTGAAAAAAAAAATCAAAAGAGGGCAAGGCCCTAAACTTCAAAAAAAAAAAAAGAAGCTTCCAGCTCAGAAACTTCTGAAGGCAAGCTGTGCCCAAAAAACTATCAAGTACCCCGTTATTGGCTCCGATCATGTGAAGGTCATCGACGACGAACAATTTCACCGCCTGGACGTTCTTCCTCTGCTTCCAACGACGCGAAACGTTGTCCCAGCTGAAAATTATCCTTTTTCAATCGATTTCTTGTCCCTTTCTACCGTTCAGGCGTGGCGACAATAAGTTTTCCCCTTTGGAGGAGCTTCAGGTCGGTGGACGGTTCTCCGGTGAGCATGACTACAGTCTGTTCGATGACTGGCTGCAGGCGTTTAACCCAGTCGGAATGAACCTTTAAAATAATTATGAACAATTGCAAATAATCCTTTCGATATTTATCGATTTTTTCAGTTCGAGCAGTCCTTATGCAACAATAATTCAAGCCAAAAATAAAAAAAAGAGTTTCGTTAATGAATTTATTTTCTCCTATATTTTATTCGACCGTTTCTAGGCTCATATAAGTGCATTTCGATTTCAAGTAGAACAATCGAATTTGCAGTAGTAATTCAGCTTTCTTCAGCACTTAGGAATGTTAGAGTTATCCCTATAGGGTTAGGGGTGGAATACAGCCCCTGAGGTCAAAAAAGTGGTCCTTATAGGGGTGAAATCAAAGTGATCCCTATAGGGGTTCAGAGTCTGGAGCCCTTAGCCTCTAAAGCCTAAGTGGTCCCTATAGGGTCTTTCAATTTCATTCAAAAAACGCTTATTCATTTAATTTTTCGCATTAGGTTCATAAAAATTATCGATTAGCATGTTCCCTAAAGGGGCCACTAACTAAAATCCTATCGGGACCACTTTTGCAAGCTATAGTGGCCCCTATAGGGGTTCTTAAAGCAGTCCCTAGAGGTACCACTCTGTAGTTTCTGAGTATCTCAATTTTTCTTTGGATTTTCATTCACCTTGACAGCCATATCCTCCATCGGCGTCACATAGACGACCTTCGACTCGGGTTGATTCTCGAAATGACGCAGAATCGCGAGTTCGGCGATCGCCGTCTTTCCGGAACCATTGGGAGCACAGACCAGCACGTTCTCATTGCTCTCATAGACCGTACGGAACACTGAATTGATACAATAAGCTCCTATCAAATCTATAAAGTCCAGAATCCTGAGATTCGGCTGAAAATTGCCATGGTCGGCGGAGACAAGGTTAAGAGTAGCCTGACTTCTATCAAAAAAAGTTCTTCCTTTCAGTAGGGCTTCAAAGTTTGTATCTACTATTGGTGTGAAAAAACGAGTTCTCGGCATCTTTAAGACTGTTACATCTTCACTAGCAAGCAAGAGGCACAACTTCCCCGAGTGTTTTGAATCAGAAGGTCCAAAGTATCTCTCACAAGGGTACTTTTTCGAACTTTTGATGAAAATTGTTACCTCACGACCTCAAAACTTCGGAGCAATAAATTTTGTTTCCTAATTCTTCAAAATCCGCAAACCACACCTCAAATTAGAAAAAACGTTATTTGAGAGGTTTGAAGCTTCACAAGATCTATAGCGGGAAAAATTGTCCTTTTTTTTAGAGTAAGGAGATGTCAGAGTAAGTTTCAGCCAAGCGGGGGCCAAAAAAGTTTTCTTGACAGTCGAGTTTCACCGATCTCTTAACTGCCAACGTAACCCAATTTCAGAAAGCTCTTTTCCTTGACCACACTGACCTTGAGTCTGGATCGGATTGAAGACGGTAACGCCGAGATCCTTAAAGACCGGCTCGTAGGCCTTGTTGTTCAACGCCGAGATGGGCAGGGGCTGAAGATCGAGGAGCTCGGTTGGTGGCGGGTACTTCTCGGGGAGGATCAGGTGGCGGAAGGAGATCGGCAGAACGGTTTCAGAGCCAAGCCAACGGTCGGAGACGATGCGGACGTAGTACAACGGCGGCATCGGGTCGAACATCGGCACGAACATTTTGACGACGTGTTCGTCGGTGCAGAACTTCTGCTTCAGGAGGAAGTATTCGTGGTGAAGGACTTGTTCGCCGTCGGTGTCTTCGATGAAGATCCAAAAGCCTTCAGCGTTGCCGTGCACTCTGAAAACGAAGTAAATATTTTCTTGAAAGCATTTATTCATTGTCAAACTCATTTCAGTTAGAATTTGAAGGGGAGAACTCAAACTACTCTCTTAAAATTCTGAAAAAATCTCAAAGTTCAGTTCATTCACTGTTTTTCCGAATTTTTCTTACAAGAAAGCTTATAAATCAGTAATATGTCGAAAATTTCGGTTTTAGAAAATGTTTTTGCACTAAAGTTACCTTTAAATAATTATTTCCTCCTCGCGTAAAAAGCGTGATCCCTTAAAAGACTACTTCAAATTTTACTCAATTCACCTTCAAATTTTGGAAAAATTTGATAAATTGCTGGTCTCTTCATGACTTCTCTTCGGATTTCAATAAACACACTGGATTCACCAAAATCCGCCTAGCTATCAGGCGCAAGCCTTAGATACGCCTTAAGCCATTCCCAGGCAATAACTTCTTTTAATTTTTTAAAAATCAATCAACCAATTTCTCACACACGTCATCAATATCCTTCTGATTTTTCTAAGTTTTCTTCGTTCTCTTTAACAACCCAGTACACACTTGTCATCCCACTGGAAGTCGGGCGTGATTGTCAATTCGATCCTGAGCGTAGTCCTGGTAATTGGCTGGATCAAGGTGGTCATCTCGAGCTTCGGAAACTGGCGGATGAACTTGTAGAGCGGCTTGCCCATCTTCGGCATTTTGATGAGGTCGCCGAGTTGGTGCTGATCGAGGTCGTAGAGCCGTTCGAAGGAGTAGTTCTTCTTGTCGATGCTGCGGACGACTTCGGTGGGGATCTTCTTGAACTGATGGAGCGGGTTCAGAGACTGCCATTGACGGGCCGTCACCATCTTGCACAGGCCGAGGACCTTCTGGAAAAAAAGTCATAGCGAAAATTTTAGCTTTTTTCAAGTTTTTTTTGAAGCTCGATATAACTAACATGAGCAAGAGCTGCCCATCCTCGCCAGAGGACAATTTCGAAAATCGCTCGGAAAAGTCGTCCAGCCGACTGCGCCACGTAGACCATGTCAGCTTGCAGAGCGAAGCCATCCAATTTCAATTGGGAGATGTAGGCCTGAAAAAAGGGCAGTTTTTTCAATGTCAGTTGATGATCTGATAAAAGGTAGAAATTCTCACAATTAAAGGCTCTTTTGCCTTTTGTCAAATTTTTGACGAAGCCTGGCTGGGTGGAGCTTGTTTCAGAGCAAGGAAGGATATTTTTTCGAGATATAAATCTTCTAAAGCATCAAAATATCTTCCCATAATCTGACTAATTCAAGAACTTCGAAGTGTCATAGCTCCACTACAAGAAAAATATGGAGAAATTTCACAGTTTTCTTAGATCAAAAGTCCTCAAAGTACACTTCAAGTTTCACCAAAAGTTCAACCCGTGGCTTGGAAAATTTTCTTGCCAGCTTTGAGAAGTGAAATTGAAAAGTTCTAAGGAAAAGAGGTCAGACGGCATTTCTTGAGCTTGACAATTTTAAAACGCTTCTAGCTCTTTATATAACGCTTTATAGCTTTCTAAGAGTCTTATATACAGCTTTTAAAACTTCAGGAAGGGAAACACAATTACGCTCCATGGGAAAAAAAAATAAGCTGGTTTAGCCCACTTTCAAACTGTTTTCATGAGATTTTTGGCGGGTTCGCTCAACTTCTAGCTACTGTAACGACGGAAATGTCATAATGGTTCCTTTTATTTTACATTCTAACATCTCCAGCAAAATTTCATCATACTTTTTGAGCATGTGCCAAGAGATGCTGATTCACGGCTGACTTGAGCCATCAAAAAAGGGTCCTGGCACGATATGAAAAAAGACATTGCCTGGTTGATGGAGAGCGCAGACGGGCCACGCCCCTTTAGCGTCATAAGCTATAGCTGATTATCAGTGATAATCAACTTCAGTAGTAGAACATCGAAAAAAGGGTCCTGACACGATGAGAAAAGAGAAAGTGCATGTTTAGTGGAGAGCGCAGACAGGCCACGCCCCCTTGGCGTCATAAACTAACCGGCTATATAATAAAAACATTCAGACCTGGAGCAGAACATTCGTCTTGGCACTCGGCTCATCCAAGCTCTCCTTGATGGGCATCGGGGCGTGCTCGGCGAGTTTCTGCAGCTCGAGCTTCTCCTCCTCGCGGACGGCCAGGAGCTTGAACTCGCTGCTCATGGAGAAGATGCGGAACAGGTCAATGTCCTGGCACTTGTCGCTGAGCAGCTTGTTGTAGGTTTGCATCGTCTCGAAGGTGCAGTAGAAGTGGGAGGCGATCCGACCGAGTTCGGTGGCCTGAAAAATGAAGATTTCTTGTCTGTTTTTCCACTAGAAAGCTTAAAAAGCACCTGAATGAGGCCACTTTTCTTGTCGTATTTGATCAGGTTGGCCTTGTCCAAGTGCATGCAAGCCGTGTGGATCAAATCGGCTCGTCGTTGCTCCAAAAGAGGGTCGGCGCGCTGGAAAAGGATGAGGTCAACTTCATATGGAAAGGTCCAAAAAGGTCCAAAAAAGCTGAAAACCAACCGCCTGTTCGTGGGAAATCCCGTAGAGGGTCGGATTTTTGAGCATCCTGACGTAGAGATACGTGTAGCCGAGCCAGTTCATCGCCTCGCTGACTGTATTTACAGTGCCCAGGACAATTTCCGCGTTGAGCATGTCGGTCAGTCGCGCGATCATTTGACTCTCGACAGGGAGCTGGAAAATGATTCACTTGGGCCGCTATTTTGAATATTCTGGTCACATGTAGAATGGCTCAACGCGTTGCGGCTCACTTTGCTATTTCAAATTGTTCCCTCAAGTCCCCAAAAGATTCTATCAAAGCCAAGGCGTGCAAGTTGTTTCAGGTATATCCAACTTCTCAAAAAACCGCTTCGCAGCCGCAACGCATCGATCCATTCTTCGTGCAGCCATGCTTCCCCCAAACAAACCTGCTGATTCATCAAAGAGAGGTAATACTGGAGCTCCGAATGGTTGGTGATCAGGATACCTTTACCCTTGGAGTCGTATTGCGGACGACCGGCACGACCAAGCATCTGGAAATTTATAATGATTACTCAAGCTTTTCAAGGATATTTGAGAAAATTTTTAGTGGCCACTATAGGGTTTTGACATTTAAGTGGCCACTTTAGAAGTCTAAGTGCTACTACTAGACAACTAAAAATTTCAGTGGCCACTATAGGGTTTTGAAGTTTTAGTGGCCACTTAAGGGGTTGAAAATTAGTGGCCACTTTAGGGGTCTTTGTGATACTACTAGACCACTAAAAATTTTAGTGGCCACTATAGGGTTTTGACTTTTTAGTGGCCACTGTAGTAGTCGAATTAGTGGCCACTTTAGGGGTCTAAGTGATACTACTAGACCACAAAAAATTTTAGTGGGCACTATAGGGTTTCGACGTTTTAGTGGCCACTGTAGTAGTCGAATTAGTGGCCACTTGAGGGTTTAAAAATTAGTGGCCACTATAGAGGTCTAAGTGCTACTACTAGACCATTAAAAATTAGTGACCACTTTAGGGGTCAATGGATCAACATAACTGGTCCAATTTGTTTGTTTTAAAATTATCAGAGTTTTTGGGAGGAATACTGGATGAAAAACTATAGAGAACCTCTATAGTGGCCACTAAGAATTTTCCCAGGTTTTTGAACCTTTTTTCTCCCTTATCAAGCTTCATCATATGGTTAAATTTCTAGTGGTCTTAGACCAACTTTTTCCAGAGCAGATTTGATTATTATACCTGCATAACATCCAACGCTCCCAATTCCATCCAACGTCCCTTCTCGGGATTGTAAATTTGGGTTCCCTTGATGATGACGGTGTGAGCAGGCAAGTTGACACCCCAGGCAAGGGTCGCCGTGGAGAAAAGGACCTTAACGATGAAAATAATCAATTTTATTGAGACTCTATGGAAAGTTCTCAAAAAAACTGAAAGACTAGCTTCTCGGAGTTTTTCAAGAACGAATATTCACAAAATCTTTGATATTATAAGCCAATTTAGCAATTTATTGACATTTCTTGTGAAATAAGAGCTTTTGATAAATTTTCAGCTTCTCCAACTTTCTCTCCTCTATCCTTCCTCTCCTAATCTTCACCTGAATATGCTTATCAGCAAAGAGATCCTCGACAAGCGTACGGTCGACACGGTTCATTCCAGCGTGGTGAATGGCGAATCCGTAGGGAAGGAGGTCTTTCAGGTCGAGGTTCTTGACCTGTTCCGCCTCGGTCCGCAGGATTTCCGTAGATGCGCTGCCTTCGCGCATGAAAGCCGAAAGAGAGTCTTTTTCGAGGCAAGCGTCGCGGATCGCCTTCGCCGTCTTGGCTGTTTCCTTGCGTGAGTGGACAAAGACGAGGACCTGAAATTGGAATCATGTTTTAGAAAAACTTTCAAGGTATACATCATAGTTTTCTAGAGCTCTAAGTGAGAGCTACTTTCCGTGCTATGTGAGATTCTTGCAGGCCATTTTAACTAACTTCCAAAGGACATAAGCTCAGAGAAGACTTAAAATCGCTATACCTCTAAAAGACCGAGATAGAACAACCTTAATAGGAAAGCCACGGAGAACGAGAAACGTTCACTGGGTGAATGAAGCTCAAGAAGGAAATATTGTCTTTTTTTTACACATTTTTTTTTGCCTTTTTCTTAGTTTTATTGAAGCTATATTTTGAAATGATTTGTTTCTACCACTTTCTGGAGTCTTAACTGAAAATGTAAATCTTTCAGCTCAAGATTTCAAGAAATTTCAAAAGAGGGTGTGTATTTCCTATTATCAATGGAGCGCAAAAGTTGAGGTGTAGGCTATTTTTTTCAGACAGCTAAAACTCATGGCTTAATGTCACGAGTACTTCAAAGATCAATCACTAATTATGAAGAGGGTTCGCAGAATAGCTCGTAATGATCAACCGCAGATAAAATAGCCTTTTTTGAAAAATACTCAAGATTACGGCTGACCAGGCCATTTTGGCTACGGTTCTTTGGTCACTAAATGTCAGTGGTAATTCTTTCCAAGTCCTCATTTTTCTCTAAGTTTTTTTTTGAGTGTACTTGTACTAATATTTGTCATTTTTCCCTTGTCCAAAGACCATTTTTCATAGTCCAATCCATTTTTTCACCCCCAGACCTGGCTCTTTCCAGCGTGTTCCATGATCTTGTCGTAGACGACTTCATTCATCGCCTGGAACCGTTTCAGGGCCTTCTTCTCCGTCACTCCAATGTACTGTTGTTCGAGAGGAACGGGTCGATAGCTGTTGTCGAAATAGTAGAGATGTTCCGGCTTGACGCGGAGGAAAGTGGCGACATCCTAAAAAAAACTTTTTTAGGTAATTTTTAAGATAAAAATACCTGATAATTGGGCAAGGTAGCGGAGAGACCAACGAGACGGCAATCATCGTGGTTTTGCTCCATTTGCCTAATGGTTCTGACGACAATCGACTCCAAAACGGGTCCTCGATCGTCGTGAAGCAAGTGGATTTCGTCGAGGATCAACAACCGGACCATTTGATTGTAGGCCCGTTCACCACCTTGAAAATTTTGAGTTTGGAGACATATAAAGATTATATTCGGGTTCAAAAATTCGTGACTTTTCCGATTTTTTTATGTACAAGAAGTACACTTTCTCGTCTTTTTGGCTCGAGTTTTCAAGATTTTTTCCGATTTTTACCTTTCCTAGTCACGACATCATACTTCTCCGGCGTGCAGACAATGATTTGGGTGGCCATGAACTGTTCCTTGCTCATTTGCGCGTCTCCAGTCATTTCGCCGACCTAAATCCTCCGTATATTTCCAAAAAACAGGAGAAACAAAGGTACCGTAATTCCATAGGGCGCGAGACGTTTCGAGAAACTTCCGACCATTTCCTGGACAAGAGATTTCATCGGAGCAATGTAGATACACTTGAATTCGTCAAGGCGAACAGTTCCATCATCGTTCAGGTGTTTTCCGATCTCCTGGAGGATCGTCAGAAGAGCCACGTTGGTCTTACCAGCTCCCTAAAATGATGAAAGTGAGATTTTTCGGTTTTCAATAATTTCTGCAGGTTTATTTTCTGAATGTAAATGCTCTTCCCAAAAAGTTTCATTTCTAAAATGCCCATGAGATAATTTGGCAGCGCCTTCCAGACCTTTCGAAAATTTGTCAGTTCCCTAAGGAGGGAATGGTCTCCGGTAACAGTCCTGTTTCACTAGGGCCGTAGATCATTTGTAAGCACTAGGCTTGTGCGAGGGCCAGCCCGCAGTCCCTCGGCCGCCCGGCCACTTCTCAAGCCCGGCCTCAAGCGAAAACGGCCATCCCGGCCCAAAAAAACTAAAATTTTCCTCAAGTCGAATTTTTCGCTTTTTTAACGAGAAAAATGGTTTTTTTGCTTACTTTTTTCATAGAGTTATTAGAAACTATGATTCAACAAGTGAAAATAAATTTTTCGTGAAGTTTTTTTAAAATTCCGTGTATTTTCTTCACTCGAAGTGGTAGCTCTCTCAATCGGCCGAGGCTACCCTAGAGTGTGCACGGCGTCCGAGCCCCACCATCACCGCCGTGCCCGTACCCACGAAACTGAGGGATCTGCTTGTGGAAGAACGAGGCGAAGGACCGTAAGACCATGCTTTCAATTCAATCGACTACGCGTTTTGACTTCTCTTTCGCCAAAGGCGGTGTTAGTGCCGCTCAAAAGAGCAATTTTTTCACCGCCTAGTCGATTCCATATGACTAAAACAACCAATAAAAATTGATGATGATGATGAAAATGAAATTTAAGATTTCTTTCGAACCCGGCCTGGCCCGAGCACACGCAGGATTTTTTTTTTATTTTTAGGCCCAAAGCCCGGGCCAGGCCGGCCCGGGTCACGCAGCCTGACGCACACGCCTTGTAAGCACTAAACTTGGCAGCGCCTTGCTTTTTGAACACTTTACAGGCAATTCTCGGTACTTGAAGCATCTCTAGATTCAATATGACCATCGTAAGAAACATAATATTCTTAATATGAAGAAAAACTTCCAGAAAATCCTAGTTTTCTTATTAAATCTATAACCTGAGCCCCTCCAGGCTTTTTTCTTCTCAAAAACTTTTTTTTCCTCTCCTTACCGTAGGAGCGCACAAGAGCAAATGTTCATCGGAATGGAGAGCACTTTTGCAGAGTCTCGATTGGATCCTATTCAAGGATTTGTAGCCGTCGAAGGCTTTCTGAGCGAATGATGGCAAATCCGAGACGCTGACGAGTTTCTGGAAAAAATGAAATTCAATTTACTCATTGATTATATTTTTCACCTCTCCCTCAGCAAACGGTTTCGGTTTCAGGGCAGGAACGTGAATTTCCTCATAACTTTTCTTCTGCTTACGGTAGGATCCTTCGGGAAGTTCGCATCTAGAAAACCGTTGGAAATCAAGAAAAAGTGAGGAAAATTACCTCTTGTTGCTCATCAAATGACTGCCTTGGGCAAAAGCCAAATCACCGAGGTCCAAAACTTTACGGCCAGCAAGCCATTGACCGGCCGCCATGGCTTCTTCTGCCGCCGCAGCGACTCTTTTCGTTCTTTCCTTGTCCCTTTTGGCTTTTTCCGTCTGGAAAACTTTTTTATTGAAGCGACAGAATAATAATCATAAAAAATGTAAGCGATACTGCTAGAAATTTCAAAAAAAACATACCAAAATACCTTTTTAATTTACTAGTACAGTACTATTATACTAAAATACCACAAATTCTGCTCAAAAAATGCCTATTTTTCGAAAATCCAATACTTTCCAAGAAAGACTTATTTTTCACACTGATCATAGGGCAAAAGGTAAACTTCACCTTTATTTCGATTATCAGTGAGTAAATAAAAAAAATTCACAAATAGAGAAAATCTATAGTAAAAGCCAACATTAACGAGCTCCCTACACTTTTTTTCTCTTAGAATTTTCAGTTTTCCACGCTTTCCTGTCAAATTTTCTACAGGGAATCGTGAATCTATCCAAAAAAAAAAAATCCCCTCATTTGACCTCAACAATGTCGGTTGACTCGGTCTCCTGGAGTTGGGCCAGAATATGATGGAGCTCGGGCCTGGTCCTCATTTCATCCTCGATAGCTTGACGATCTTCATCGTTGGCTTGACGGAGCATCGTACAGTACAGGACCATGAGCCGATTTTGCCGGAGGACCTGAAAAATTGGACTTTTTTTCAATTCGAGTTCATATACAATCTCACAAAACGGTTCAAAAAGTTATAGGATCAGATTTTGGGGCGAAAATTGTCGTGAAAAAAAAATTCGGAAGACTTATTTAATCAAAATGAAGCTGAAAATGGCATACCGAAAAAGGAAAAAAATTGGTGAAAGTCTAATTTTTTTTTCTTTCAACCTCAAGCTCCCTCCATACCTTGATGAAGTCGAACTGGTCAAAACCAAGGAGCAAGACGAGCTGATTCTCGGCGTCACGGTCGTCCGAAGCGTTCTAAAAAAAAGTTACAGACGTTTTTTTTATTCATTTTCGCTCCAAGACCTTCAAAATATTGACGACTTCAGTGACTTTCTGCTGAGCCATCAGGGGATCCTTGTAGAATTTGGCCAGAGATCTTTGGATCCAATGGGCGTCGATATCGCGCGGATGGAGTTCTCCACGGGATTTCGTCTCGACTTCATCGTCCATTCCGCCGCGCAGCGTCTCGTTATACTCCGTATCGACGCCTTCTTCTTCTTCGCTCTCCTCGCTTTCATCGCCTTCAATTATTTTGAAAGTATAGTCTTTTTTTCGCGACTTCTCTGCGCCCTCCTTATCTCTCGACGTCCCTCCCATGTTTGCGTGCTATTTTCATGTTTCTCTGACCTCGCCGGTGAGGGAACAGAGGGACGCAGACACGCGAAAACTGTCAAGTCTCGGTGGAAGGACTATAGGTGGTATAAAATTTTTAGAAAAACCCTTTTTTAGGTGGTTTAAAAGCGCAGGCTCCATTCACAGACCAAACAATACTACAAAAAACTGTAAAGTTTTCAAAATTTTGATTTTTCCCTGCATAAGTTCAAGCTGAACCAAAAATGATTGAACTTATAAGTTTTTTTTTACTTTGCAAGTGCCCTTCATTCTCAAAAAACTCCTGCCAAAAATAAGAATCTAAAAATCTTGAGAAATATGAAGAAAAGCTCATTTAATGCGCTAAAACCCTAATCACATTAGATTTCAAGCAATCGACCAACCTTAAACTTTAAAAATTCAACTTTCCTCCTCGTCATATGAAAAACTTCGAAAATTCAAAAAATTCAAATTGAATCTATTCCTAGCCCCCAATAGCTTCAGCCGACGCCAAAATTAGCAATCCATTAACCAAATTGTCTCTCGAGCGCACTTCCCTCACCTTTAATTTCTTCGATAACCATCTTTTTTATCACGAATTCTTTGAGAAATTTGAAAAAAAATTTCATTAACCGCACTAAAACCATAGGCAAACTAGATTTTAAGCAATCGACTAACCTTAAATTTTCAGAATTCAAAAAATTCTCAAATCGAAAACTCAATCCTTCTCGTCATATGAAAAACTTCGTAAATTCAAAAACTTCAAAATAAATCCATTCCCTAGCCCCCAAAAACCTTCAACGGGCGCCAAAATTAGCAATCCATTAACGGCCCCCAAATTGTCTCTCGAGCGCACTTCCCTCACCTTTAATTTCTCCAACGACGGCGTCCTCATCCTCCTCGTCGGAATCTTCAAACTGCACGTTGACGCCTTCATTCTCATCGATTTCATCCTGAAAATCAAGGAATACGCTACAATAAACATTATTTTAAAGTACATTATCAGCTTTTCCCTCTTCTTCGATGGAGAAATCGGTGATTTTCTTGGCCAAATTGATCAAAACGGCGGTTCTCTCGTCGGTCAGGGGGCCCAGGAGCTGTTCAACTTCCTTTTTCTTCTCTTTCTCGCGGATTTTGTCCGATTTCAGGGTAATCAGCACCTCGTCGGCCGCTCCACACATGATATCTCGAGGCTGAAGAGAAAATTAAAATTTATAAAAAATGATTTTACCTGATCTCCGATGGCTTCCTGAATGAAGGCCAGAATAACTTCATAAGTTTGTTTGGTTTCCTGAGTTCTGGGCTTGTAGGCTCCCATCAGCTCAGTACTGTCGCCCAAAACGGCCTTCGAGGCCAATCTGATCGTCTTTTCTTCCGTCTTCTTCTTCCTGAAAAATAGAAAATGAAGAAATCCATGATCTAAAAAAGCAACAGCTGAAAAAATATCTGATGAAATCGCAAAAATTATAATCTGGATTTCATATTTTTCTCTTGGAGTGGTCTAGAAGCCAGAAAATAATATAAGAACCAAAATCGATTTTTTCTCAATTTTTAGTTCAATTCACCTAGGAAGCATTAATGAAAATTGAGAAAATCAGCCTAGAAGCTTGAAAATCGGCGAAGAAAGTTGATTATCAAAATATTATGATTAAAATAAGTTTTGGAAGCTCTCCAACCAACCCATTTTAAAACTTGAAAAACCCCTGAAAACTGGTCGAAATGATTCAAAATCCAGTTTTACCGCTAGGTTTAGTAAATATTTTTGAAAAAGGACCCTATCATAATCAAACTACTATATAAACTTTTCTTTTTTCCTACTTTCCAATTTTCTTCTTGGATTCGTTCTTTTCGAAAAGCCCAAAAAATGACGCAAACACTTTGGAAACAGCAATATCAACTTGGTTTGTACATATAATTTCCGCGAACTTTAAAATTATCCATGACCCTCCAAAACTTAGTTATCTTTATCTTCCTTCAACGTCTATTTTTGATCTCACGGAATCTCTTTTAATAAAATTTTCATTTTGAAGATAAATCCACCCACTTTTTCTTCTTCTGTTCCTGGATCGGTGCCTTGGATCTCATGGCTTTGTCGCCCATTTTCATGGCGCGCATAATCTTGTCATTGAGAGGAAGGACCTGGAAAATTCAAGTCATTCAAGTTTTGAAAAGCTTTGATGAAAACCTCGCCAGTTGGCTCTTCACGGCCACGACGATCCGTCAAGTTGTAATCGACGGAGAGTACCAAGTTGGAGTTCTGGAATAAAAAAAGCATTATCCTCAAAATGCACATAAAGTTATCATTTTATATAAAGAAGAAAAAAATAAAATGTTGAAGCTCACAAGCAAAAAAATAACAATATTATTTTTTTGAAAAAAAGTTCAAAAAAATCCGTTTTTTTATCGATCTGAATCGAAAATTCAACGTTCTTATCAAGTTTTTCTTCAATTATTTATTTAAATTTACATTTTTTTCATAAAAAAATCGCATTTTTTTGATAGAAAGGTTACTAAAATTGGAAAAAAATCTCTTCATAGATATTATTTCTAGTGAAAAACACAGAATGAAAATTCTTATTTTGCCTTCCTAAAGCTAAAAAAATAGAATAAAATCCCTAAAACCAAACAATTTTTCGAGCAAAAAACCAACCTGGCGGTACTCATACTGCTGGATACGTGCAAGTTCGTCGGCCATGTTGAAATTTCTTCTCTTCTCTCACAAAAAAAATCAACAAAACCTGAAAAATCACAAAAACATAAAAACCACAAAAACAGAGTAATAAGTATGAAAAGGGCTTGGAAAACCCTTAAGACATGAAAAAAATAAAATAAAAAAACGACTATTCTTTATTGAAATAAATAAAAATCTATTCATAAACTCTACAAGTTCACAACCACAATCACAACAACAAAACACTGAGATTATTAATACTTGACAAGAAAAAAATCACGATAATTAAAGTAAATATAAGCTCGAATGGATAAAATGAAAATAATTTAAGTATAGGATATTATGAAATCGGAATGATGGGGGGTATAAAGCAAGGGCTTCCAAGTGGCATAACAGAAAATGAATAATAATATTCGCAATTTTGAATTAACTTGAAAAAAACTGGTAGTTTCTTCTCAAAACTTCTAAGTAATGAACAAAATAAGTACAATTTCCTGACCAACTTCAGAATTGAAAAAAAGACTAAAAAAATTCGATTTTTTTCATTGAGATTCAGTCAAAAAAAGTTGCAAAGATACTGAAAAATTTTTGCTTTTTCACAGCTAAAAAAATTATGAAAAAGATTTTTTTGAAAACTACAATTTGGGAATTTTTTTGCTTGCAAAGAAAAAAAGTTCGTTATTTTGTTAGAAAAAAATCCAAATTTAAAGCAAATTATGAAGCCTCGATGTGTCATAAAATCACTATTTTAACCAATTTGAAGTGCTTTTCTCGCCGTGAAACCACAAAAATCGTCAAAACTTCCTTCAACTGAAAACGTTTGCCTTAAGAATTATTCTTTTTTGGGTGGGCTATTGATTCTCAAGGCGATATCATGGCTGACGACCGTCTGGGCGGCGCTGAACAGGTGAACGAGGCTGATGGCCGCCTTGACAAACGCGATTGGGAAAGCGATCGCGGCCAGGTAGGACATCAGGTGCGCTCCGAGGATTGTTGGGCCTGAAAAAAAGAAAAATGAAAATCTACTTGTTAGCATGGACTAATTACCGTTAATCGCTATTCTACTGCATTTTTCTTTTGTCATTATTTAAAAATTTTTTTTTTAAAAACTCATATTTATACTGTAGCCTATCCTTATTTTGTAGCTTTTTTTTATGAACAAAATTTAAATAAATTGAAAGCAAAACCCAAATAGAACATGTTATGAAACAAAGCAAAAATGAAGTTTCAAGCCTTTTTTGATTTTAAATAACTTTTTTCCTGAAACTGACCCGGGAAGAAGGCGCGAATGTACAAGAACAAATAGAAGGCTTCGTTTCCGGCGCACATGAAACCAAGGAAAAGACGATCCGTGTAGTAGAGATGAAGGATCGGGTTGGAGCTTTGCTTGTGCGAAGTTTGTTTCGTGAGATCAGTGGCGTGGAGATGGAGCCAATGGGAGGCGATGTCGATCACGGCAGTCATCTGAAGAAATGAGATTAAAATTGAAGGGAAACGTGACTTTTTCTTCTATTTCCGTGAAGGTTTCTCTAGCTCACTATCGAAGTCGGAAGGGCGGAAAACGGGTTCAAAAAGGGAGTTACTGCAAAATGGCCGCTGGGTGGATAAAGGCCGATGAAAGGACGGAAAAAGGCAGTAAAATGGAAAGCGTAGCCAAATTTATGGAAACCTTTTGATCCATAACGGACGTTCAAAAGGCCCGTAAAGGGTCCTTCCTACTAATCCTATGTTGGATCTTGTAATCTCTGCGGCCGTTTTTAAATTGGTCCCATCAGATTGAAATAAACTGTCAGAGAACGAGAAAGATAACTAGATTACGGAGAGTCAGAGATAAGTTGACTTTCGCGGAAATTAATTTGAACACGGCATGAAAAACGCCCCTGAAGGCACATACTCTGCAAAAGAAACACTAAAACCCGCATGGAATTTTTTTTCAAACCGCAAAAAAACGATTTTTCCTTTTAGCTGGTTGAAAAGTTACACAGAAAAAACGACAATTAAGCTTTGAGAGAAGATAAAAACCTGAAGAGAGAAAAGCCAGTTGGGATAGAACTTGCACAGGGCCATGACCAGAGCCAACAGAGCACAACGATCCGTCAACTGGTCCAACATGGCTCCGAAACGGCTCGATTGGTTGTAAGTTCGGGCCGCCCAACCGTCGAAAGCGTCCAGGGCGGCGCTCAGAGCATAACTGAACATTTTTTCCATTATATTCTTTCTTTGATGCAAAATTACCAAAACATGGCACAGACTGGCGATGTGGACATGTACCAAAAGGAGGCGATCGCCAAGATGATCCTTCCATAACCGATAAGGTTCGGGTAAAAAAGGTAGACGTTATTGTTGTCCATTCCTAGGCTGCAAAATTTTGAGAAAAATCAATCGATTTGCGAAAAATGACGGCGATTAACGATGGAGTTAAAATTATCATTAAGTGGTCAAAAAACTGACATCCCCCTAAATTTTTTTTCATTTTTGGCCCCACTAAGCCCTGTAATACGAAAAAAAGCCTTGAAAAACGCTTTATGATAGTTTACTTGTAAAATATTCAAAGAAAAGAAGCAAAAAAAGAAAAAAGCAGATGAAATTTTAAAAAAATCGATTGCCTAGCAGAATGGCGATATAATTTTATCGACTTCTTAGCAAAACAACGGTGAAATGCACGCAAAGATTTAAAAAAGGTTTCATAGCCAAATTTTCAATGAAAAAATCAAGAAACAAAAAAGACCACACAACAAAAACAGACAAGCTAGAGGCTGTTTCCATCAATTCCCTTAGCAAATATCAATAAACATATAATGCACTCAATATCTTAAAAATAACTTCCCAGACAAGCTTCCAATGAGAGAATCCAGAAACAAAAAAGAAAAACATAAAATTCAGACAAGTTAAAAAAATTAAATCCTATAATCCAAGTAACCACGATGTTTCTAGAAAAAACAGCAATGCAATACACGCTACGGCTCAAAAACCGCTCGGACTTAAAGTTGTTCAAACAAAAGAGAAGAACACAATTTAAAAATACAAGGAAACAATAAAAGACGCACAAAATTTCAAATATGAAACTTTGCGCGTCAATTTGCGAAAAGTCCGCAATTTCGAAAAGGCGCCGCGGTCTTGCACATTTTCACTTCACAGTGGGAAATAATTCAATTTCCAAGCGGAAAATGTATAAGTTCTATTTTTTCTGCCGATTTTAACGGGTATTTAAAGGAATCACACGAATCGATACAGCTTCTTGTACAGTTGACATCACTTCTTCCTTCACTGTTTGCTGCGCCACTAAAAAACCTTTCATCCCTCATTCTAAAATGAATGAAAACCTTTCTTCTTTTTGCAGCATGTCAAATATTTCATGAAAAAGTCCCGATGATGTCTCTGGGTTGTAAAAAGTAAGACAACATTCACAATAGGGTAGATATACAGGCAGAATCCACTGATGTAGCAGAAGAACTTCCGAGGCTTCACAGCACCAGCCCGTAGAAGGAAGGTGTGGAAATAAGGTACTATTATAATGGCATAAGGGATCATAGTCTAAAAATGTTAGCGAAAAAAATTAAGTTGGTCGAAAGGCCTTCAAAAAACCTGTATGGACAGAGCCATGAAAATTTTCAGATGCGATTTCCTCGTCTTTTTAGAAAGTTGACTGATTCCTCCGAATGAGAAAGCTTTCCACATACACCTAGCCGAATAAATGGACAAGGTACCTTGAAATGAAGATCTAAAATTGGAAAAAAGAAAAAGAATTACCAAAAATAGTAATATACAAGAACTGGCTGATCAGAAGCGATTTCCAATAGTAGGCAGAGGTTGACCAGAAATATTCTTTCTAAAAAGTTTGAAATTAATCGAGAAATCGATTCGTTTTGAGTTAAAAAGCCGGGCGCGCATGTGGAATGTCTCGAGTGTAAGACAAGGGTTCCAGATTATAGATTCCATGACCGCCGTTTGAAATGGGCGCCGGTCCGCAATGCGCCGTCGCGTGTATACACCTGTACACTACGCCTCATTCAATGTCTCGAAAAATCCAACGCGCAAGTAGTTTTTGGTCGGGTGCATTAGAAAGCAAGCCATTCCGTATGCCACCACGGAATTTTGAATGAGAAAACCGATTTCAGCACAAAAAAAAGGAAAAAAAAACCCACAATAGAGTAAAAGTGCTTGCAAACTAGATAGTCGATGACACAAAGGACATAAATTGCTAATACTTTGATCGAATATAGCCAAATAGGTTCTTTCATCGATGGATAGGTTACGGTACGAAGCATGGCGTACTGTAGGTGTACGATATACGCCAGAAGTGGGATGGCAGTGGCGGCGCACATTTGCTTAAAAGATGAATAAAACAAGGGGAGAAAAGAAAATTATAAAATCGCAGTTTATCTGCAGATTGACCAAATGGGTTGGCCGCACTGGGAAGGGCTCAAAGCTTTTTTTTTTTGGTGTAGCCGACTCCGAAGCGACTTTCGCACTTGGATATCAGGGGAGGAAATCTACCCTAAACGGCTTTAAAACTGAACTTCATGGCTAAATTTCTTTTCTTCCCTTTTTTCCTATTTAGAAGCGTCTATTTCCTATTTCCAAAATTCATAAAATGCACCAAAACAGCTCCGGCCGTCTCGATATAACCCTCAATCGGCTCATCCCTCGGTATCCTCACATCCTCGAACCAATATTCCCCTCGGTCGGAAATATTGAAAAACATCCAGGCCGCAAAAGCTACATAGTGGTTGAATGGGATTTCAATTATCTGAAAAAAAGAGATTTATATGAAGTTTGGCAGCAATAAAAAAAATTACGTAACCTACCGCCTTAAAAACCAAATTCCATTTGATTTTCACAATTTTCGGCGTATTCACTAATATAAGATAAGCTTCAGCAAGATGAAAAAATACTTGATTTATAGGGTATGACGAAATGAACACTGAAAATAAAGTGATAATAGAGAAAACTCTGTTAAACCATCCTGGTCGCATTTAGAATGGCTCAAAGCGTCGCGGCTACTTTAGGCTCTTAAACAGAAACAAATTGTATGATAAAATCGCACGGCGTTTTTTTTTTTTGACGACGCCCCGCTTATGTATTTTCGTAAAGTGTAGTGTGTCGTGTGCATGCACTGCGACGCTCTCGCACATGCCGTGTTCGTAGAAGAGTCGCTTAAAGTCAACGCTTCGAGCCATTCCAATGCCTTTGAAGCAGTTAGTAAGAGAAAAAACCAACTATATATAAAATATCTGGGAGCCAGAATAAATATTTCGAGAATGCCCAAAACCGAGTCAAGTATCGGCTTGTAGATGACCATCACATCGTTTAAAAACGACCTGATGGCTTCTAAGCTGCTTTCTTCGCCTGGAAAAATAAATGATGAACCATTCTGAAACTGAAATAAAACCTGAACTCATTGCGACGGCAGTTTGTCCAAAATAAAGGAAAAATTCCTTGAAAAAAAGCTTGGAAACGTGAGTGGGAAATAAATTGCACCTGGTGGCATTTTTGTTCGGAACTCACAGATCCCGTTTTCTCCACCAATTTTTGCACTTTCGGGGTCACTAAAGCTTGGAAAAGGGATTCCTATAGGGGTTTTAGTTAGTGGCCCCTCTAGGGACATGTTAGTCGGTAATTGAACTATAAGCGAAGAAGTATTTCGATGGGTAAAACCTGAATGAATACAAATTTTTTGAATGAAATTGAAAGACCCTAGAGGGTCCCCTTGAGGTTCAGTGGCTAAGAGCTCAGACCTTATACCCCTATAGGAACCACCTTAGTTTTATCCCTATAGGGAGCACTTTTTATGCCATATATGGGGTCGTTTCCCGCTACTCTGGAATTCCTGAGTAGGGTTTCTCTCAAATTTTATCGTCAGAGCGCACTTGGACATGAAGTTTCTTTCCGTTAAAATTAATTCAAATTATTTTATTCACACAGAAAAGTCATTGACTTGCGTGTTAAAAAATAAAATAGCACCTTCGAAGCTTTCAAAATATATTTTTGGTTCATTCGTAACTTCCAAGAAAGTGCTAGACCACAGAAACCGGTTGAGCAGGTACAACGGTCGTCATACCATTATTATTTGCTGACATTGTTTCAACTGGAAAAAATATTTTAGGAAAAGATGGAAACCTAACTTTACCTCTTTTTTTCTTGAAACACTTTGAGAGGACTTTTAAAAGTAGCTCCCGATGATGTTTCTGCATTGCGAATAACAATACAAGGTTGATGATTGGATAAAAGACGAGGCAAGTTCCACTGAGATAACAGAAGAAACGCTGCGGACTTACAACCCCAGCTCGTAAAAGTAGAGTATGACAAAAAGGAATGACCAGAATGGCAAACGGGACTATCGTCTGAAGAAAAATCATGAATAACCTTGATTTTTAACTGTTTTTCAGTCGCATGGAAAGGATTAAAGAAACGGCTTTTTGACGACGCCGTGCCAATTTTTTCCGTAAAGTGTCGCGTGTCGTGTGCATGCACTGTGACGCTCTCGCAATTTCCCGTGATCGAAGCTTTTTCAAGTTTTTTTTTCAAATTTTAATTGTATATTGTGTTCTTTACTTATAATTCAATATTTTTATTTTTATTTTACTTTCTATAGGCTATCCCGAGCTAGGTCGTGGTGCGTTTTTTTAGATCATATTTTTAAATAAGTTCTTCTTTGGTTTCCACAGAAGGCATCACAAAGGCAGCAAAAAGGCAGCAAAAAAGCAGAAAAAAGGCAGCAAAAAGGTCCCTTTATCGAGCCTCCTTTCATTTCTGCGATTTCAAAGGCTCAATAAATGGCGGAAAAAGGGAGAGGCCGCAAAAAAGGTACAGAAAGGCTGATAAAATGGCCCAAAAAGGGAACATCTCTGTGGAGCCTTTTCCACCCTTTCCGACTTTACTATCAAAGCCCCAAAAAGAAAAAAAAATGACACCTGAGCGGATAAAGCGATGAAAATTTTCCTCTGATTTTTTCTCGTCGTTTCCGAAAGCTGGTGCGTGCCACCAATATTGAACGCATCCCACATGGAATTCGCAAAATAAACGAATAAGGAGCCTAAAAATCATAAAAAAGCTTGATTATTTTCTTGAAACCAACCATAAATTGAAACATACGCAAACTGTGTAATAAGGAGCCAATCCCAATATAGGGCGACAGCAGGTTTTCCTTTTTCTGTCTTAAAAAAGATTTTTTTTTAATTCAGAGGAGTTAGAAAGCCAGGGACCTAAAACGAATTACTGAGAAAATTTTTTAGTGGCCACTATAGAGCTCTGAGTGCTATTACTAGACCACTAAAAAAATTTTTAGTGGCCACTTTAGGGATCAATGGATCAACATAACTGGTCCAATCTGTATGTATAAAATTATCAAAGTTACTGGAAGGAATACTGGATGAAAAACTACTGAAGTGGCCACTAAAACGGAAAATAGTGACCACTATAAAGATGGGTTTAGTGGCCACTTTAGCGTCCTCTCCAAGTAGTCCTTGGCGAGCCCCTAAAGAGGCCACTAAACATTTTCGAAGCTATTTTAAGCCAAACAAACATACATACCAACATGTAAAAGTACTTGCAGGTTTGAAAATCGACGACGCAAATGATATAAATCCCGAGAACTTTGATCAAGTATAACCAAATGGGCTCTTGCAGCGGTTGGTAGGTTACGGTACGGAGCATGGCAAATTGCAGATGAAGAATATACGCCAGCAGCGGAATCGCAAATGCTAAGCTCACTTGCTTAAAAATTTATATGTGAACTTTTGAGTTTTAAGACAAGTTACTCTAGATCTTCAAACGAGATCTTCATACCTATAATCATACTCACAGTGTTCCAAAAGAGACGGCGGCAAGCCAAAAAAAAGGTCGTCGCAATGGGGCGAAAACGCGAGTTTTTTCTAACGCAACGCGGTGCGGCGCGTGTCACCCCCACAAAATTTCATTCACTTTTAATACGGTTTTTTCTCTTTTTCTTGCGTATTTTACCATTCTTTCGTATTTTTTTACGTTGTATGTGTTCTTAAAACGTGTTTATCGCGTTTTCCAGTGATTTGAAGTGATTTTTCGATTGTTCTCGTCACAGAAATTTGCATTAAAATGACATTTTTTTGATGACAACTTATTTCGCATAAGATATTTCGTTTGTTTTTTTGTTTTAGAATTTTTCAAATGGACTTTCTTAAGAGAAACGCTGTAAGATTTTTTTCTCAAAAATTTTTTTCGAGGCAGTATTCGACGAATTTATTCTTGAAAAATGTCATTTTTGGGTGACAACTTTATTCGTACAAGCTATTATGTATCTGTTTTTTTGTTTTAAAACGTTCAAAGTGGTATTTCTTAAGAGAAGTGCTGTGAGCTTTTTTTCTCAATTTTTCCCTTTGGAAGTTCGATTTGACGAGTTTTTTTCCTAAAAAAACGATATTTTTGGGAGATATTTTTGTTTTTGCAAAAAAACTTTTTTTCGTCTCTTTTTTTCATTTAAATTTGTTCGTTATAATTATATACACATTAAAAAAATCTTCGAAAAACTCGCGAGAACCTAGGAAAAAAACATCATTTAATGGTCTTTTTTTCCAACCACTAAATCCACAAAACTAGACTCTCATTCCCGCGCCCCTATTGCAATAAACCATGCCGCTGTTGCAGTCAGCCACGCCTACTGACCACAGCTGCCGCTCGTTTGGGAACACTGTGATACTGGAAAAGTTCTAGTGGTCACTTAAGAACTACTTGGAGAGGACTCTAAAGTGGCCACCTCTATAGAAGCTTCAATTCTGCGTTTAGGGGCTACTAAAGCCGTTTGAGTAGCCTAGTAGTACCACTTAAACTTCTAAAGAGGCCACTTAAGGGGCCACTAATAAGTCCACTATAGTGGTCACTAAAACGTCAAAACCGTAAAGTGGTTACTAAAAATTTTACCGGTATGTGTATAATCAGATTTATTACTGTACGCGGAGCTTCAAAAATCAAAACTCAAAAAGGAAAGTAGATTGCTTTTTTTTTAATTTAAAGGCTTGAAAATTGGAAAAAAAAGTATTTGAAAAATCGATATATTAAAATAGCCAACAAATCCCACACAAGTTGTCCGTGGAGCATATTTGTGTTAAAGTCGGAGGCCGAAATTTGGCTTCGGGTCAATTTACTGGGAAAGTGGCCACTATAGGGTTTTGACGTTTTAGTGGCCACTGTAGTAGTCGAATTAGTGGCCACTTAAGGGTTTAAAAATTAGTGGCCACTTTAGAGGTCTCTGTGCAACTACTAGACCACTAAAAGTTTGAGTGGCCACTTTAGGGGTCAAAGGATCAACATAACTGGTCCAATCTGTTCGTTTTGCAATTATCAGAGTTACTGGAAGGAATACTGGATGAAAAACTACTGAAGTGGCCACTATAGAGGTGGGTTTAGTGGCCACTTTAGTGTCCTCTCCAAGTCCTTGGTGAGCCTCTATAGGAACCACTAAAAATTTTCCCAGTAATAGTTCTGTTTGACTGTTTTTTTCAGGTTCTACTTTCAAAAATGTTTATTTTCTGAAGGCTCAATTTTAAACTCACCAAAATAGCCCCGGCCGTTTCTGTATAATCATCGATTTTTTCCGATCGAGGAAGAACCACATCAGAATACCAATTCTCCCCACCATCGGGTATGGCAAAGAACATATGCGCAGCGAAAGCCAACACATAATTGAATGGAATATCTATCAACTGAAAAAAAGTATCCATTGGTCGCCCGGGGAATGACTCGAGCCATTCCAAATGCAACTATCTTAGGAACTCCAGAATGGCCCTTATAGGGGTTAGGGGGAGAAAAAGTGGTCCCTATAGGGGTAAAATTAGAGTGTTTGCTAGAGGGTTTAGCCATTAGCGCCTAAAGCTCAAGTGGACCCTACAGGGGTCTTTAGCCCTCACCTCTAAAGCTTAAGTGGACCCTACAGGGGTCTTACATATTCATTCAAAAACGCTTATTTATTCATTTTTTTCTAATGGGAATGCTTCTTCGCGATCCTAACTATATAGCATGTCCCCTATAAGGACAACTTTGCAAGCTTTAGGGTTTGATAAAGTAGTCCCTTTAGGGATCACTCTGGAGCTCCTAAGATTAGCCGAAATAAAACTTGCCGTTTTTCCAAACAGATTCCATTTGATCTTGACAATTTTCGGCGTATTGATAATAATTAATAAACCTTCAGCGAGGTGAAGAACTGTCTGAGTCCAAGGGAGAATGGAGACAAAAGCTGTTAACTTTCAAATTCATTATCATTTTTCAAATTTGTTCAACCAACCCAATACAATATATTTGGGAAGATAGAAGAATGTGGATAGAGCTAACACTAGAATCTCGATAACTCCCTTGATGGTCGGAAATAGAAATTCTTTGAAAAGAAGAACACCTCCCTGTAGAATACCAGAATCATTATCTGAAATTTTTATATTTCTAAAAAATGGAATAAAATGAGAAAAAAAACCTATGGAATCCGTAGAGTTCGACATCAAAAAGATGATAAAATATTTGAAAGTGAGACATGGGAAAAATCACCTGCTCTATTTAACACAAGGAATTTTCTGTTCTACGTATGGAAAATTTCCGAATTAAGGATCAGAAATCAGGAGAAACCTTTGAGGGAAAAATCTTGAAAAAGGGGAAATCAAAAATTTTTACAATTCTGCAGGAGTGAGTAGAATTACAGAGTGGATCCTGCATTTTTTCAATTTGTTATAATTTTTATAATGATCGCTAAAAGGAAGCAAAAAGGCAGCAAAAAAGCAGCAAAAAGGCCGCAAAAAGGTTGCAAAAAGGCAGCAAAAAGGCCGCAAAAAGGCTGCAAAAAGGCAGCAAAAAGGCCGCAAAAAGACTGCAAAAAGGGTCCCTTTATCGAGCCTTTTTTCTGGGATTTCAAAGGCTCGAGAAATGGAGGGAAAGGGAGAGGCAGCAAAAATGGTGCAAAAGGGCCAATAAAAGGGCAGCAAAAAGGAAAATTTCTATGTAGCCTTTTTCACCCTTTCCGTTGCCTAATTTTCATGAAGAAGTTTTTTTTTCGAAATTTCAGCTCATCGAAAAAAGGGCGTCTTTTCAACCCAACGGAACGTCTTCTATTGTCCTTTTTTCGCCGTCAACAAATCGCTGTTTGTTGACTTTTCGGCCTTCAATTTGCCTTGTTCAAAGTTTTTTCTTCTTGGGAAATGTATCGAAAAAACGTCAGGTTACTCTTTTTTGGGTCTACTCGGAACTTGGTACGTGTCGGGGCATTTCTAGTGACCATTTTAGTGGTTTTAGTTCTCTTAAGTGGTCACTAGAAATGCCAAGGTCCGAGAGTTCTGAGGTTATTTTTTAATTGTCCATGGAGCGCACTTTAACTAAACCACTGCGGCTATTTTAAGGAGGTCCCTTTTTTCAGTAATATATTGTTCCTGCAGTTTCACTGCTTATTATAACTGTATTTTGTTTCAATTTTGAATTATTCTTCAATTATCCATCGAGCGCACTTTAACTAAAGCCACTGCGGCTATTTTTAGGAGGTCCCCTTTTTTCAGTAATATATTGTTGCTAAAGCTTCACTGCTTATGATAACAGCATTTTATTCTAATTTTCAAATATTCTTTAATTATCCATGGAGCGCACTTTAACTGGACGACTGCGGCTATTTTTTTGGAGTCACTTTTTTCGGTTTTTTTTTCGAGCAACTTCCTTCAGCCATGGTCCGAGTACAATAAGGTTATTTTTTGATTATCCATGGAGCGCACTTGAACTGACCCATCGCGGCTGTTTTCTCCTCTACTAAAATAATCATCCCTGACGTCATACGACTAAAAATAACTGTATTTATGTTGACCCAAGAGTACAGGAGAACACCCAGCTGGCGTCAGTTTTCAATAGAACGAAAAAAAAACAGGTCGTGCAGGTCTTCTGGATCGCAACAAAACACCGTGGGCCGCTGAAAAACGGCGATTCCGGTTCTTGGTAGTCACAATCGATCCGCTCTTATCACTTACTTCTTTTTTTTCTTTTCACGACTATTTCTCTCAACTAGTTCAGGGCTGCTTCCGTTTGTTGCAATTCGAGAATTTTTATTTTTTTCTCCAATTTTTCTGAGTATTCTTAACAACGCTTTTTGGATTTTTTGAAGGCGCAGAGGTCAAGTCAGATACTGAAAAAGTCCATTCTCCACGAGACCTATTTAAATATTGCCTATGCGCCTTTAAAAACACAAGGAGACTCGTAATGATCGTCTGAGCCTTTTCTGAAATGCTTGGAATTTGAAAAATAGGAAAAATAATTGGTTCATCTATAATTTTGTAGGTACCTATTTTCAGTGGATTTTATCTTTTTTTCAAAAAACCCTGAAGTTCGAATCAAAAAAGGACTTTTTTGAATAAAAGTTTTGAACTACTGGTAAAATTTTTAGTGGCCACTATAGGGTTTTTGACGTTTTTAGAGGCTACTATAGTAGTCAAGTTAGTGGCCACTTAAGGTTGATAAGTAGGGGCCACTATAGAGGTCGAAGTGCTACTACTAGACCTTTAAAAATTTTAGTGGCCACTTTAGGGGTCAATGGATCAACATAACTGGTCCAATTTGTATTTTTAAAATTATCATAATTACTGGATGGAATACTGGATGAAAAACTACTGAAGTGGCCACTAAAACGGAAAATAGCGGCCACTATAGAGGTGGGTTTAGTGGCCACTTTAGTGTCCTCTCCAAGAAGTCCTTGGCGAGCCTCTATAGTGGCCATTAAAAATTTTGCCAGTACGATATCCTGAAATTAGTTCATAGGAGAATTTACGTCATCAAAATGAACAAGTTGGTTATTTATAGCCTTCCAACTACAACTTTTCACAAACCCCAAAAAAAACCAACGAGCGAAATGTTCTCCAGCCGATCTTGACGTAAAGTATTGTAAAGTAATGACATCAAGGACGACTTTATTTTTCTCGCCGATCTTTCCCACGAGGCAAAACGAATGCTACTCAGAAGTTTGCATGGTTTCAAGTAGCTATTGAATTCCATTGGTGTGTGTTTACCGTGATTTTTGATGGTTTGCGGTGAGAAAATGGACAAAACAGTCCTGTTGATCGGTTCGTAACGGTTACTTGGAATAAAATCTTTGAATTTAGTTTTTTCAGCATTAAGTTGTTGTAATTTCTAGTTTATTGATTTGAAAAAAAAAGGTGGAAATAGGCTCCGTAGAAAATTTTCTTTTTTGCTTCCTTTTTGCTTCCTTTTTGCTGCCTTTTTGCTGCCTTTTTGCTGCCTTTTTGCTTCCTTTTTGCTGCGTTTTTGCTTCCTTTTTGCTTCCTTTTTGCTTCCTTTTTTCTGCCTTTTTGCTTCCTTTTTGCTTCCTTTTTGCTTCCTTTTTGCTGCCTTTTTCGAGCCTCTTCCATTTAGCGGCCATTATCCACCCTTTGCCCGAGTTGCAACCGTTATTTTTATAATTTTAAAAATTCCAATCCCTATTCTAAACATATTCCTGTTCATCTGCACTTTCGTACTCAAAAACTCAAGATTCTATTTTTCTTTCCATTTTTTTTCCTTTTTCAAAAAAATGACTTTTTCAGACATGGCAAGTAATACGTGGTGCACATTACGACTATACCTTATGTCGATCCCTTTAGCAATTCTATCAATCCTTTTTCTCGCCCTTGTTTGTTACTCAATGTACAGGTGAACATTGCATTGTAAATATTATTTTAAAAAAAGATTAATAATAGAAAACCTAAATCAAGGCGTTTTTTTGTTAGTGGAAGAAAATGCAAATCCAAAAAAATGAAGATAGACGTGAGACGAATGTAGTTCCTCTTTCAAAAAAAAAAACGCGATTTTTCCGTTTCATTTTTTTTAAAAAACAAATGTTTAAAGTGATTCCGCGAAATTCAAAATAGCCACCAGAGAGTGAAAAATATAACTGAATTTCCGAATTTCAGATATAATTTTGATATTCGCGAAATTTACTTAAACGTGGCATGTGCGAGAGCGCCGCGCCGCGCCGCGGTGCATGCATACGACACACTAAACTTTACGCACAAAAAAATGACCGGAGTCGCCAAAAAAAAAAAACCCGTGAATTTTCAATCAAAACTCTATTGCAGTTTGCACCAATTCGTCCCCCTACCTCCAAAAAACGATATCGATTGCGATTTATACTCAAATGCTTCTTCACCGGAACTGGATAACTATTTGAGAAATCGAAGTGTTTTTGGAGCCAACAGCTCCCGACGGAGTGTGAGTTTTTTTCTTTAATTATTGAAAAAAATCAAGTTTGCAGTTGTTTCTCAATTCGAAAACGACGCTATTTCCCGACGGATTTACCGAAAAGTCTGGTCGGCTATCATATGATTTTTTTCGTCCGAGTTGTTTCTGCGGTAAGATTAAAAAGTGTTTTCTTTGATCAAGTAGAAAATGATTGGTTTCCATTTAATATATGATTATAGACGTTTTGAAAAGTTCTTTTAGAATTTCTCTACATAGGCAAAGTAGGAAAGGGTGAAAAAAGGCTCCAGAAATGTTCCTTTTTTGCTGCCTTTTTGCGTCAGTTTATTGACCCTTATGCACCATTTTTGCTGCCTCTACCTTTTTCCACCATTTCTTGAGCCTTTAAAGTCCCAGAAAAAAAAAATAAAAGGCTTGATAAAGGGACCTTTTTTGCCGCCTTTCTGCTGCATTTAATCTTACAAAATACCAGAAACCTCCCTGAAAAAATCATTGAAGTTTTTTCGAACACTAGAGCGCGATGAAAGGTCACAAAAAAAGGCAAATTAACGGAAAAATCGACTAAAACAAAAAATTCAAGCTGAAACGGCTATCTTGGTCCTAAAAGAAATTGACGCTTTATTTCACAGAACCACCAGGGGCAAAGTCCAAAATCACCTAAAAAGAACCTGTGGGCAAAAGGCCCTAAGAATGACCTTTAAAGGCCAAAAAAAGGAGGCAAAAAGAAATGTGAAAAAAGGTAGAGCCCGAGAATCTTCTGACCCCTTTTAAGGAGCTCAAAAATAAGCTTCTTAAGCTCTTGAGGTGTTTGGACTTTTCCCGTGAAACGCCTTCGACTGAAATGAGCTTGATATTTTTTATTGCTCAGAAACTACATTTTTATCAATCTGCAGGACTACGATTTCGTAGAAGAAGTACTGACAATGATGTACTCCCCGACGCACTTTTTCTGCTTCGCTGTCGACTCCACGGCTGATGATATATTCCGTCAAAGGGTGACTTTTTTTTTCTTCTTTGAAGAAAGCAACCTTTGTGATCTTTGTAATATTCGTTTCGTTCCGTATTCCTTGTCATGAACCTGTTTCGTGTCATGAGAAAGAAATCTTTGAACATTTTCTTGTAGAGATGTAGTTTCTGCAAGGTTTATCGATTCGAAAATTTTTCCAGATGAGAAAACTTGGCGACTGTCTCGTGAACATCTTGGTGCCTAAAGTCGAGTTTGATACTTCCACAAGTCACGGACTTATAAAAGCCCATCAGAGCTGCTTCGAAGAGTTGAAAGACTACGAGTGGAAGCACGCCTTGGTCAATGCGGTTTGTTTTTTCATTTCGGCAGTATGTAAATTTTCGTCGGCGGTGCATGCACAAGCAACATCATATTTGACGACTTTTTTGAGTTGGACGTAGCTCTGGGATCGCCGTGATAAATAATCGGGAAAATCATCAAAAACTGTTCAGGAAAACGATATGCCCCTCTTTTCGACCAAATTTTTCGCAAGAAGAGCTCGCCGGCTGAGAGATTTGACGGATATTAATGGGTTTGTGAAGATTTTTAAAAATCTCAAGACTATGATAAAAAAAAAATTTTACAGAGTGATTTTGAAGCCTGATACGATACTCTCTGCAAATCCAAACGATACAAAAAGCGAATGTGAGCAATTTTTTCTTCTTTGAATTTTTCATCCGTTGCTATTCGAGAAATCGCTGCTTCCTGTTGAGCCTTTTATATTGACGGCTTTTTTTCTACTTCTTCACTTATAAGTCCCTAGAAAAGTTCAGAAATCTTGAGATTTTTGAGGAATTATTTGTCTTCATTGCAGTTCTAGATGTGATTTTTTTCATAATATTAATATTCCAGAATTTTATTTTAGTAATCCTTTATAAATAACAGCTACAAAATAACTTTTATTCATAATAAACAAGCAATTACGGTTTTTGCGCGTCGCTTTTTGTGTATCATGTGCATTGCGTACAAAACATTTTATACTCCGCCGCTGCGGTGGGCGTGTCGTCGATTTGGTGTCGCCGTGTTGAGTGAATGTACGATTTTTCAAACTCTTCATTTTTGACTCAAAATAATGAAATTTAAACAATTATCTAGCTCAATCTTTAATTTTCATCCTTATTAGTTCAACAAGCTTCATCTTTCCTGCGTCTTTTTCGATATCCCTTTTTCAACTATTCCTAACCATAATTTTCAGTGTATAAAACGGCTAAAACCTTCCTGAAACGTCTCGGTTCCACGGCCACTCTCAACAAGCAGACCCAAGCTGCATTATACCAATATTTGAGCAACTTACCCGATTTTCAATTAGTAAGGGCACTGAACTATGATATGTTTTCAACAAAAATTCAGAAAAACTCAACAAAGATGAGGATAGAAGCGGACTGCAAGTCGAAAAATTACGACGCCGACGGCAGTTGCATATACGGAATGGAAGATTTCGCTACGATGAGGTAAAAAATATTTAACCGACTTTTCTAAAACTTCATGGTTTTTCAGGAATTCCCCAAAGCTTTTCGTGCGCGGCGACCCCCATTTCGACTTTGGATTCGTCCAATGTCTTCACGAAGTCGTTTTTCAACGAACTTTTTATGAGCCTAATGTTAATGACGTTTTCAAACTTGTCGGTGAACATTATTCCGAAGATGCTCATTAAAATGTACATATTTATTCTTTTTTCAGCCCCTGATCTCGCCATTGACCTCTTTTATGTCTTTTTCCTTGACAATCTTGGTGCTTTCCTTAAACCATGAACGTTTTATCTGACTTTTACTTTGATATTTGTATAGCTGGTAGTTGGAAACGCGTTTTTCTGCACAATTCGAACGGGTAATAACGTTATTTCATGTGGTTTTTGTGTGTCCAATAAAGATTTTTAATGATCATAGTTATTTCAGAGAGAATTTCTTTTTATAAAAAAAAAATTTAATTCATTGGTGCAATAGCCTTCAATGCTTATGGACAAAATATGGACATGAAACTTTCAATCCGTTCATAGCAAAAAATTTTTTTGTTTACGGTGTTAGAAAAAAAGTTCAAAAAAACGATTGCAGTGTATGCGTACACACGGGGGAGAATTAACCGACGCGCAGAACGTCTAAAGTTTAGTGTTTTATAAAAGATTTACCGTTTTCAGCCCAGTTTATTATTTTTTTTTTCAAGACTTCGATGTTTCAGAATGGATACTGAACCTCTCGAGGAAGAGATCATTACTGAACATGATTTTGATTCTCAAGGTTTGCCCGTCTTTTTTTTCAAATTGAATCAATTTTTCGAAACTAAGTCGCAAGTACTTCGAACGTCGTTGCTGAACAAGAAAAGCCGCAAATAAGCATGGAATTGAGCGGTTCAAAATGTTTCAAGTGAGGAAATGGGTTATATACCTTGTTAATAGACTAAATGTCAAAGAACGCCGAGCGGGATTCAAAAAATGACGACTGTAACGCGATGTCGCGGTTCTGAACAGAGTTCTTCGAGTAGTTTTGAAGTGAGGTTCACCAAAAACTTGGAAATGAACATTTTTCAGGAACCGGGGCCATCAACTTCTGGAACCGGGAATAACGATAGATTATCACAAGATTGGGTTCCTCAACCTTTAACTAGAATGACTTTTCAAATAGGGAAAAAAATTTTGAAGTTTAAAGTGATCAATGCCTATGAGGCGCCAGAAGCGCCGGAAAAAGGTGAAGATAAAAAAATGGACGTTTTTAATTAATCATCTTTTTTCAGAAGTACCTCTCGTGAAGCCACTGGCGCAACCAAAAGCTCTTGCTGGATTGTATCGCTGTACAGTTTGCAAGACCTATTTTGGTAATAAAAGCGTTTGGGAATCCCATATGAAGGTTTAAAATTTGCAAATTCGATGAAAAATTGAGGTTTTCCAGCAATTTCATCCGGATCCACGGCCTTTTCGCTGTATCCACTGCGGCATGAAGTTCTTGCACAAGGGAACTTTGAGTATACACTTGAGGGATCATGGTAAATTGATATTAGTTCTAGCAAAGATTTTTTGCTTTTAGGTTGTGTTTGCTATTCGAAAGTTGAATAAGGATATATTTAGTTACTTTTAGGATCGTTAAAGTTTTGAATAAGTATAATATTCAGAGAAAATAGGATTCTTCGAAAAAAAAATTTTTTTTTCTAAAAGTCGATTTTTCATAGTCTTTTCGAACTTCTACAGTTAATGGCTTAGAAAAAAATTCTCTTTATGAAAAAAAGTTCATTTTTACTTAAAAAAATAATGATAGAGATAGGAAATATTCATTTTTTTGTCATTAATTCTTTATTTTTTTCTCAAAATGTACAAATTTTTAAAAGGGTATTCCAGTTTCTCTATTAGTTTAAAAATCGACAGCAACGAAATAAGATCGCTTTTTTGCTTTTGTCGCGTTCAGAGTATTCCAATAGCCGTCAGAATGTGAAAAAAAGATAATTCTGAGAAAATTTGGAGGGGTTTCATTCATTCATTTATTCAGATATCAGAGAAATGAAAGAGTTTCATCGGTCCTCTAAAATTTTGACTCCTATAGGAGTCCCTAAAAAAACAACGAGCCCCTATAGGGACCCCTCAGAAATTCCTCGTAGATAATCCAATACTTTCTTCTAAAAACTCTTAAATAACACGTTTTCCAGTCGCCACAACCCAGTACTCTTGTAAAGTATGCCATAAAGTGTTCACGAGGCTCGACGCTCGGGACAATCACATGAGAATCCACGAAATTCGCCACACTTGCCCCCATTGTGGACGCTTTTTCCGGATGGAATCCGTTTTGGAGCAACATCAGGTTCATTCAGGAGCGTATATTCAAGCTTTTTTTTGTTCCAGGAAACTTGCCTGGCGAGAAAAACTCCCAGCAGAGCGGCCCGATTCAATTGCTCCTATTGTAGTCGAACGTTTCATATGAATCGGGATAAGGTGAGAATCCGGAGAAAGATTTTTTCTTCGGGACGCAGGGCCTGTCTCTAGGCATGCGCCTTTAATTTAGCCAAAAAACGTTCCTTATTTTCGAGGCGTTTCGAAGAAAATAAATCTGTACTAAGGAACTCCAGAGCGGTCGCTACAGGGGCGACCTTAGGGGGCTCTTAGAGGGTCCGGAAAATTTTCCTAACCCCTGTAGAGGCCTCTAAAGCTTGCAAAAGTGGTCTTTATAGGGGTTTTAGTAAGTGGCCCCTCTAGGGGACATTCTATACTATTAGGAACTACGAAGAAGCGTTTCCATGGGAAAAACTGAATAAATAAGCGTTTTTGAATGAATTTGAAAAACCCCTATAGGGTCAACTTGAGGTTTAGGGGCTAAGGGATCAGACCCTAAACTCTTATAAGGACCACCTCAATTTTACCTCTATAGGGACCACTTTTTCGGCCACTATAGGGTTCGTTTTACCTCTTAACCCCTAGAGGGACCACTCTGGAATTCCTCGGAGAAAAAAGTCATGAAAACCTGGCGCAAAATGGGCTCTACGTTTAAAAGAGAAAATTAAGAAAGTTCAAAAATACCCGATTTTTGAGGTTATCCATGAACGAGTTCATACCGGCGAACGCCCGTATTCTTGTGGCTATTGTGGGAAGAAATTTGCTCAATCTCAGGTTAATTAAAGGTTTTAGGTATTTTTTTAATTAAATAATTTTCCAGTCACTGACAATCCACATTCGGATCCACACTGGCGAAACCCCCTACCCCTGCAATTCCTGTGAACGAAATTTTCGTGATAAGTTGGTTTTTCAACTCTTCTTTTTCGCAAAGTCGGAATGGGGGAAATAGTCGCTAAAAGAGAAAAGCTCATTAGTCAGAAAAGGCCTCAAAAAGGCAGAAAAGGCAGTCCCTTTCTCGAACCTTTCTTTTTTTTTGGCATTTCAAAGGGTTAAGAAATGGTGAAAAAGGGAGAGGCAGCAAAAATGGTGCATAACAGCCGATGAAGTGTCTCACAATGGCACCCAAAAAGGAACTATGGAGCCTTTTTTCACCCTTTCCGACTTTGCCTATGTTGATGAAAATTGAACTGAAAATCCAAAAGAAGCCACGATTTATCATTATTCTTAAAAAAAAGGGTTTTTTTATTTTTCTTTTTTTGGAAGCTTTTTTTCTAAAAAAAATTTATGAGGTTCAAAAAGAAAAATTGAAAATACTTTTGAAATTCAGCTTGAAAAGAAAGTTCACTTTGGACCCAGGAAATTTTTTCGTTTCAATTGCGCAATTTTTTCAAACCGTTCTTGTGCGAAAATCATAACCATTTTTTATACCCCAATCGCTGAAAAATCAAGTTTTTTCCTCATACTAGTTCTCATTCATTTTCATCTTTTTTTTCAACCTTCAGTATGTCTCATGGATTTGCTATTGGTCTTCAATTTTTTTTTTAATTTTCAGCTCATCTCTGAGAAAACACGAATTGGCGCACATGAGGCCGCCTTTGCGTCAAGAAGTATTTTTCGACGGTCCAGAACTTCCCGGAAATCAACGGCAAATCAATGAAGAAGTCGTGGATCAAGATCAGGATGTTAAGCCTCAACCAAAGCCCATGATCGCTTTAATGACCCCTATTCAGAATGGTTCATGACAATTGTGGTTTTTCTTCGGTTTTGTACATTATATCCTACCTTGTTTCCCTTTTACTTCTCTAGAATTCTACTTTTTCCAGTTGAGCTTATCATTTTGTCATTTTGCGCGGGTATTTTTTTGTGAATATTCGAATAAAAAGAGTGAAATTCAGGAAAAAAAAAGTTTATTATTTCTTCGATTTGACCTTTGAATATAAAGCAGGAAGCGGGTGTGCAATCATAAATTATTTTACTGGGAAATTTTTTAGTAGCCACTATAGAGGCCTGCCACTTGGAGAGGACACTTAAGTGGCCACTAAACCCACCTCTATAGTGGCCACTATTTTCCGTTTTAGTAACCACTATAGAGGTTCTCAGTTTAGTGGCCGCTTCAGTAGTTTTTCATCCAGTATTCTATTCAGTAACTCTGATAATTTTTAAAACAAACAGATTGGACCAGTTATGTTGATCTGTGGACCCCTAAAGTGGCCACTAAAATTTTTAGTGGTCTAGTAGTAGCACAGAGACCTCTATAGTGGCCACTAGTTTGACTACTCAAGGGAAACAAGCGTAAACAAAAGGAATTATTAAAGGCGCATGTTGAATGGATCATGAAACGAATCTATTTCTCATTTTGTTTTAAAAACGTAAATTTTTCTGTTGCCGTGTTCAAAGTGATCCCGCAAAAAGATCGGTCACTGCTTTTTTTGTATCTATTCCACAATTTTTTATTGCGAAAATAAAAAAAAAATCAAAAAAGAAACGAGAAGAGCGATAAAAGAGCTCTCCAAATAGTCGCTGGCGAATGATTTGAACTCGTGCCAAGAACCGCGTATGCACACGCTACGCGTCACGCCCCTTGCCCCGCCTCCTTCATTTTGGCGCGAAATTTGAGATCTCAAGTACGCAGCCAAATGTATTCTTAATGCCGTTGAATACTCAGTTTAATTTGCAACGATAGGTAGCTGTGACGTCACAGTCCTTTTATCCGAAGCGCGCACTTACTTTTTTTTGTAAATTCAGAAACTTTGACGCATCGCTCACCTTCCCTCACCCCATTAGGAATGCCGTGGAGAGAAGTCGCGAAAAATTGACTATACCAAAATGTTCCTTATCACGTGTCTTTCAAGTCGGGATGGATTGGCTATATCAAGGTTTCGGCAGCTCACTGTTTGACCAAAGTTTTCAGAACTGTCTGAAAAGCTTCCAGATTTCAAAACCAATCTGTTCCGTTCAGCCGAAATTTTAAAGCGTTTCGAAACCGTTTCTAAATTCATTTCACGTTTGTTATCAATGAATAAAAGGATAATGTGTTGAGTTTTTCTTCCGCGGTCCTTGCAAACAATGAGGAAGGACCTAGGCATAGTTTTGTTATCAGTTAGGAAATGCCACGGGCAAAAGATTCCTGATTAAAAAATCCTTATAAAGGTCTTCCGCACGTTTTTTTTATCAGATTTTCCACCTCCAGTGTTTTTTTCCTGAGACTTTCGAGTTATTTTACAGTTCGGAACTATAAAGAAGTTCTCAATTTATGGCTCAAAAAAATCTTTCTGTTTGATTGTTTCATCTCACTTTTTTGTGGTTGGATCCAGTTTTTTCTATCCTTATTTTTAGCCATGACGAGCGAATCGAACTCTTCTACTGTTGAACTCCGTCGACTGCAGCAAATTCTGAAGGCTCCTCTGTTGGATGGGAATGGGCAACCCTGCAAAACGCCTGTCTCATCTACAACTTTGACGTTTCTCGATAATAAATTTGGCTGGCCAACGTGAGTTTTTCACGTCTTTCTGTTTCTGAACTATCTAAAGTTTTCTCTTTTGCATTAATTCAAGTTTTTCAAATGTTTTCCAAGTCTAAAGGATCGATAACTTTCCTTTTTCAGGCTTGCAAAAAAAAAATTCATACCCTTTCAAATAGCTTCCCACAGTGTTCCCAAACGAGCGGCAGCTGTGGTCAGTAGGCGTGGCTGACTGCAACAGCGGCACGGTTTATTGCAATAGGGGCGCGGGAATGAGAGTCAAGTTTTGTGGATTTAGTGGTTGGAAAAAGACCATTAAATGATGTTTTTCCTAGGTTCTCGCGAGTTTTCGAAGATTTTTAATGTGTATATAACTATAACGAACAAATTTAAATGGAAAAAGAGACGAAAAAGTTTTTGCAAAACAAAATATCTCCCAAAATATCGTTTTTTAGAAAAACTCGTCAAATCGAACTTCCAAAGGGAAAATTGAGAAAAAGCTCACAGCACTTCTCTTAAGAAATACCACTTGAACGTTTTAAAACAAAAACAGATACATAATAGCTTGTACGAATAAAGTTGTCACCCAAAATGACATTTTCAAGAATAAATTCGTCGAATACTGCCTCGAAAAAAAAATTTTGAGAAAAATCTCACAGCGTTTCTCTTAAGAAAGTCCATTTGAAAATTCTAAAACAAAAAAACAAACGAAATATCTTATGCGAAATAAGTTGTCATCAAAAATGTCATTTTAATGCAAATTTCTGTGACGAGAACCATCGAAAATCACTTCAAATCTCTGGAAAACGCGATAAACACGTTTTAAGAACACATACAGCGTGAAAAAATACGAAAGAATGGTAAAATACGCAAGAAAAAGAGAAAAAACCGTATTAAAAGTGATTGAAATTTTGTGGGGGTGACACGCGCCGCACCGCGTTGCGTTAGAAAAAACTCGCGTTTTCGCCCCATTGCGACGACCTTTTTTTTTGGCTTGCCGCCGTCTCTTTTGGAACACTGTGTTCCGTGTTGGTTAAACCAACTGTTTTGAGGTTCTGAATATTATTTCGTCAATCTTCGAGCTATGAGTCCAAAATTTCAATCTTTCATTTTCTAATTTGAAAATTTCTTAAGCCTCTTAAAACCATAGGGGCAATAAAAATCGGTGTTCAAAGCAGTGCTTTGTAGAGCTTTTTCATTGCGAATCGAACGGTGAACTTGAAAACGTACAGAAGTTTCTATTTATAAAGAAAAGATAATTCAAAGTCGGAGAGAAGAAAGTTTGTGTTCCCGCGAAAAGGGCACTTTGCAGTAAAGTTGCTCCATGAACAACAGTCTTCACCATTTTTCGGATTTTCCCTTTTTTGTCCGTTTCTTTCAATTTTCAATTTTTTTTTTGTTATCACCAAAGTTCTTTTCGTCCTTAAAAGTTTCTATTTATGAGAAATTTGCGAACATTAATTGCAAAATGCTTTTCTGGTGAAAAATGATGATTTTACACAGGTCTCGATTAGGATAGCGATATTTTGTGTTTTCTTTATTATTGGTGTGTGTTTTTTGTTCGACTAAATTTTTTTTTTCAAAGAAGGAATCCTTAATTTGAAGCAGATATCGGATTATTTCTCACAAAATGCGAGTCTACTGAGACGTCCGCAACATCGCGTGCACCGCTACTGTAAACAGTTGTCCGCATGCCGATCCAAAGCTTTTTTCAAAATTTAAGGCGGGAAAGTAAAATCGCGTTTTTCTTCTAAAGTTGTCACATCTTTAATTTTTTTGAGTATACCATTCGATTCGCGAAGAAAAACTATATAAGATACTGCTTTCACCTGAAACTCCGTTTTTTACTGCCTCTATACCTTTAATTTCCACTTGAACACCTTTTTTTAATTTTTTCTTTTCTTTTTTAGAGCTCGCGAATATTTAAGCGAAGCGATCATAGCGTACAGCCGCGTGACGGGTGAACGAGTTCCAACGGACGCCTTGGAGGATTTGGGAAGAGCCGACTCTGTCCTTGTCAGCCCCGGCGTGACAATCAAGCAATATTATGAGGAAACCTACAAATTTTATCTGAGTGAAGGGGAGAAAACTGTTGGTTTCCCTGATGGGTCTCATGTTCCTCTCAACCATATCGTCATTTGTACTCTGTGAATATATCTCATTCCTTGAGGCTTGAAACTGTCTGGCCTGTCTGCGCCCTCTTTCCTCTCACCCACTAGAGTGGGAGCAGTGAAGGCCGACAGCTTCAAGTTGTATTTTTTATTCGCCATGATTTCTGATTCGAAAGGCGATGGAAGTGTTTGGGGAGAAAAATTTAAAAAATAAAAAGCACGTTCGAATTTTCATTTTCCGCCATAAGCCGCGTCGCGACCGCAACGTGTCCGTCGCCTTCCAAATCAAAAAAAAGTTGAAAATAATAAATGATGAATCTTCGACTTTTTTTTCTTCCAGGAAGGTTTCCCGACCTATTTTATCTCCCTGATGGTTTAAAAAAACGTTCAGATTCGAACTTTGATATTTTTTTCCAGCGATGGAAAACGGTTCAGAACGACGCTCTTTCGAGTTCAGTCGTCTTCGCCAAATTCTGGAGATGCCGCCTATGATTCGAGGAAAACCTTTTGGATGCCCCATCTCGTCGACGTCCCTGACTTTCCTTTATAACCAGTTTGGCTGGAAAAAGTTAGTTTTTTTTTTGAATATTATTTTATATATAGGGAAGTTATTTCGCTTTCGAATGGTACCTAAAAGCAGATTTGATTGTCTTTGTTAAAAGTTTTGAAGGCATAGGGACAGTAAAAAACGGCGTTTCAGTTCAAAACAGTATTTTGTAGAGCTTTTCATTGCGAATCAAACGGTGAACTTGGAAACGTAACGAACTTCCTAGTTTTGTAGAAAAAATAATTCAAAGTCGGAGAGAGGAAAGTTTGAGTTCCCGCGAAAAGGGCGCTTTGCAGTAAAGTTGCTCCATGGACAACAGGCTTCGCCATTTTTCGGATTTTCGCTTTTTTCTTCGTTTCTTTCAATTTTCAATTTTTTCTGTCGTCACCAAAGTTCTTTCCTTCACAAAAGCTTTCTATTCATGTATAGTTTGCAAACTTTAATCGCAAAAACCGTTTTTCTTCAAAAGTAGTCACACATGTAATTTTTTGGTAGCACAGTTCGATTCGCAAGTAAAAACTATATAAAATACTGCTTTCACCGGAAACCCCGTTTTTGACTGCCCCTATGACTTTCAAGTCTTGAAACTTGAAGGGCTTGGAAAAGAAGAAACATAATTTTTGTTTGCCTGTTGAGACTTTTTTCGAAGTTATCAACGACTCAATCGATTGAAATATCTCTAACAAAAGTTGCGGTGCACCCTCCCATTTTTTTTGATTTCGATGAAACTTCATCCAGTGTGATAGCCAGTCATCAGGAAGGCGGACCCAACTTTTTGAGCCATTCCCTCTTACTGTAGCCGGGTTACGGTAGGTGGGTGGCCGCCTGCGTATCTAAGGATTGATGAAATTTTTATGGGCAAGTTGTATATCAATCGATAGGTATTGCAATTTTTGAAATTTTCCTAGTACTTACCAGCTTGGGTTACTGTAGAAAAATTTCGAGATACGGTACTTTATGTGTTTGCGGATTTGGTTTTTGGCCCCCCTGACCTCGAGCATTCGTAGCTTTTTAAAAGATACCTTTTGAAAAGGTCTACAAGCTGATACCAGTTAGAATTCTAGAATGGCCATCAATTTGCAAAATTGGTTTTGCGGCGGCCAGCGCAAAGCTTTCACGAAATTTTATGTACGATTTTTTCTTTTCCAGAGCCCACAAATACATGGGAAAAGCTCACCTTTTGTACAGCCGCGCCACCGGGGAACTTCTCCCGAAATTCGCCCTGGAGACCCTCGGAACCGCAACTTCCATTCTCGTTACACCCAACGAGACATTCAAAGAGTTTTTCGCCCGCAACCACGACATTGAGTTGGACGATAATGCCGAAATCGTCTGTTTCCCTGATGATATTTATATCCCGCTTGATCATATTGTCCTTGTTATCCTTTAAGTTGTGAAGTAGTCCTTATATTTTCATAGCTTATTCACCAACACGGTGTTCCCAAACGGGGTGGGGAGACGTCAAAAAAAAATTTGGCGCGAAATTGGAAATCTACAGTACACAGCCCAAGGCGATCGAACAAACAAGTTATTAACGTTTGATACTCAGTGCATTTTATCCGTAGCGCGCACTAAATTTTTTTGTAAATTCAGAAAGTTTGACGCCTCGCTCACCTTCCCTCACCCCATTAGGAATGCCGTGCCAAGACTCGAGACAGTCTGTTTCTCTGCGCTCTCTCGCATTTACATGCTTTCTTCTTGTTTCTCTAGCCTCGCCAGTGAGAGAAAAGACGGCGCAGACAGGTCAGACTGTGTCGAATGAAGTATATAAAATTATCTGAACTTTTGTAGAAACTTGCTCTTTGGACTTGCATGATGTTAACTCGAAAAAGTTATTTTTTAGGAAAAAATTGAAAGCTAACCAATAAATGAATTTTTTTAAATGTCCTGGCATGAAAATGAAAGAAAGGACGTATCGATACGATCATATGGAAACAAGTGAATGAAGAGAAAGTTTTCCAATGCTGATAAGTCTCGCCAAAGATCAGGTACAAGGCAAAAAAGGCATCAGAAATCACGGTTGGAAGCTCAGTTTGAAGACTTTATAGGGATATTTAATGACTAGTTGGAAAGCTCATAATTTTCTGCTTCTCATTAGTTTTTAGTTATTCAAGTTTGGCCGACTTTGAACAAAGCAAAAAACTTTTGAAAGCATGGTAATACATTTTTTAAATTTGAAGCGCATTTTTATGAGATTTTAGTACCTTTTCATGTATATAAAAAACTGGGAACTTTGTAAAGTTATTGCTACGAAAATTCTTCAAAATTATGTATGGGTTTCCACTCAAAAACCCATAAAACTGATCATTTTTTTGAGACTAGAAGTGTCTATTGAAAAAAATGAAAAAAATCTTTATTTTTTTGCCTTTTTTTCCAAATTCGCAAAGCAGTTTCTTGTTCAGAATTTTCTGATGAATTCAAAAAAATATAATTTTTCATCGTGAAATTCGCAATGCGAAACAAGTTATGTCGCTTTTAAGCCCAAAAAAATGACTGGGGAAAAAAAGGCTATTTTTCAAAAAAATGGAAAACTTTCATTTTTTTCAAGTTTTTTTCAGGATTCAAAGTTTTTCTCTATGTTCGTAGGATATTTAGCGAGAACAGTGAATATTTAAATTTGAAAAAAAAGCGAAGAAAAAAACGGCGAAAGACCAAAAAAATGGCGATTTTGTCCATAGAGCAACTTTACTGCAAAACGCGCTTTTGGCGGGATTTCAAACTATTTTTCTTCTCGATTTTTCAATAATTTCTATTAGAAACCATACATGGGCAGACCGAATTTCAGGACCGCCGACCCTAGGAATTTTCTTGATGTCAACCTGTTTTTCTGACTGACCATGTTCGAACCTTGCATATGGATTTTTGGCGAAAATTGGTTTTTTTTTTTCGCTCTTCGAGCCGCAACGCAACCGCAACGCGACTTTTTTGAATGCTGCCAAACTTAGGAGCCCCAGGTGATCCCTATAGGGGCATTGGAGGGTCCTCTCTAGGGACGACTGTAAGAACCCTTATAGGGGCCAAAAAGGCTTGCAAAAGTATTCCCTATAGGGCCTTCGAAGCCAATGGAGGGTCCCCTCTAGGGACTACTTTAACAACCCCTATAGGGGCCACTAAGGCTTTTAAAAGTGGTCTCTATAGGGGTTTTGGTTAGTGGCCCCTTTCGGGGACTGCTCTTTGCGAAGAAGCATTTCTGCGAAAAACTGAATAAAAATTTTGAATGATGAAGAAAAACCCCTATTGGGACTTCTTGAGCTTTAGGGGCGGGGGGTCAGGCTCTAAACTCTTTTAGGGACCGCTTTATCGGCCCTTATAGGGGTTGTTTGCTCCCCTAACTCCTATAGGCTTAGGGACCGCAGACGAATTTTCAAAAAATTTTTTTCAGCATTGAGCTTTGTATGGTTTGATAGCTGTTTCGATTCAAAACTCAGAACCGTTTAGTTTTTCGAAAAAGATTAAGGATGAAAAAAAGTTATGACGAAAAAAATGTGGCGCGCCGCGCACCATTTTTTTAGTACTGAAAATTTTTGGTATTATCCATTTTTTTGACATTTTTTTCTCGATTTTTTTCTTCCAGAACAAGTTTTTGATACTGGTCTATTATGATGTGACAAATCATAATAGAGTGCTAAAATAATGCAAATTTGCTAGTTTGCCGAAAAAAAGTCGGTATTTTTTCCAGAAAACAAAAAAACTGGCGCTTGCGGGCATCGAACTCGCGACCTCAAAAGAAAAATTCGCAGCGCACGCGCTGCGCCAAGCTGTTAGGTCTAGTGAGGGGAGCTTCCATCCGCCATATCCTTGAGCCGTTTGAATTGCACAGATTGCCATTTCAAAAAGAAAAAAACTTGAAGTAATTAAGCTGTTTTTTTATCAGAATATGATCGCAAATCTTTACTCAAACTTTCCGTAGAAATTCACTTTGAAAAAAACTGTTTTTTTAGTGCTTTTTTTGCCTCGTTTAACGATCGCTGCATTAAAACGGCCCCGTAAATTTTTTTGGCAAAGACGAATTTTTTTATTTTATTATTTTTAATTGAAAGATTTCTTACTAATAAATTTATATAATCGTTTTAAAAAAACCTGCGTTCGACCGCTTTCGGTGTGATAAACGCCGCTAATTTTATCCTCTAGTTTCAAGAACATTTTTTTGCGTATTAAACAACTTTTTTTCAAGCACAGATGCTGTAGAGAAATATTTAAGTAAGCCCATGATCTAAACTTTAAAAAAACAAAAAAACTCGATTATATTCGCTTATTAACGATATTTTGAATTATGACTTTCGGCACTCCCTAAAATTTTTGGCAAAGACGAATTTTTTATTTTATTGTTTTAAAATTACCGTTACTTGAATCAAAATCATTATTTAAAAAAAGAAAGAGTGCGTTCGACCTGAAAACACATGAAAAAGCAAAAATTGACAAAATTTTTTAGTTCCATTCACGTTTTTGTACGACATTCCGCGCGAACGCATCAAAAAAGCGTGAAATATTTTTTAAACGAAAGAGGAAGCTTTTCTGTACATGGGTGTCAAAATTTATTATCCAGTTCCACATATTTTGCAACTACAGCAAAATTAAAGTTGAAAACCAAAAAAGAGCCACTTTTTCTATCGCGAAAAGGGGCGTGGCTTTGCGGTCCCTACCTATAGGGACCACTCTGGAATCCTTGAACTTGAATCAGTCGATGACTACTCCCTTCACGCCTCCAAATCTGGCCTTGTGTGACAAAAAGATAATGAGAAAGGTCTCTTATTCCGCCATCGCTAAGTTGTGAGTCAACAATGACGTGTGTCGTCGGCGCCGTATACGGCAATTTCGAAGCAGTGTTTGTTATCAAATAGAAAATGCCACGACGGAAACCGACGATAAGACACTCTTTTTTAAAGGCTTCGAAGTGTCCCAACGACGCTTCCTCGCCATGCACTCTTATCACAATCCCGTGAGTTCTACTCCTTTTTTCGGACTTTTCGTTGTTTGAAGTCGGTCCCCGGCGCCGTCGCCGTCTACGAGCCTCTTCAAGACGGTTGCACCATCTCCGTCCACGGACACGTCCGACATGGCCACCACAAGTTCGTACTCTCTTATTTCGATAGTTTAGCGATCCTACGAGTTTTTGATATAGTTTGTTCAGATTTTGAATGTCAAGTGCAATGACGTCATTGAAAAACACTCTGTGGATGGCTCGCTCTCTGATTGGTTTATCGCACCATTAGGGGCGGAGCTTGAGCGAAATCTGAACAGACTATAATCCCCAATACCTTTTTCAATGTTCCAATGGTGAAAAAATGAGCTTCTAATAACATTTATCATGTTTTCCATCAAAAAAGCATCCAAGCTTTTCTAATAAGTGCATTCATAATTTTTTTAAAGATAAACTACTTATCAGTTTGAGCAGAATTCTAGGTCTTTGGGCTCAAAGCGCTGTGTCAAAATTTCGTCCCACTCAAACAAAAAAAAAACAAATTTGAGACATTAAAAAAAAATAAAACTTCTTTTTATTGTTAACTCCCTGGGCAAAGTCGGAAAAGGGGGAAAAGGCTCCATAGAAATGTTCCTTTTTTGCTGCCTTTTTCCTTTTTGCTACCTTTTTGCTACCTTTTTGCTGCCTTTTTGCTGCCTTTTTGCTGCCTTTTTGGGACCTTTTTGCTGCCTTTCTGCGCCCTTTTTCGAGCCTCTCCCTTTTAGGGGCCAATATCCACCATTCCCACTTTGCCCGAGGTACACGGCTTCTGACAAAATACCATTATTTTTCCTAATAACAGATATTTCTCACCCCCTCTTTCTCTAATCAATGCTCAAAAATTTTCTCTTTTCTTTTTTAGATTGAATTTTTCTTTCTGTCCGAATACGGTAACCACTACGAAAACGTCTGAACCTCTCTTTTTTGCACACTGTTTCGCTAATTTTCCAAAGACCTTGTCAGCTAAATATTAGACGCCATTATAGATAGCACTCCCAAAAGTCTCCTCTTGGCGCATTCCGCGTGCGTGCGCGCGCCAATTCAAATTTCGTCTCTTGGACTAGATTTACAGGCTTCCAGTATATGGTTCTTTTTGTATAATTTTTCTTACTTATTCATTTCCAGTTTTCTTTTATTTAATATTGACTCATTTAGCGAATCTAACTTTATTTAAGAAAGTTTTTTCTTGTTTTAGCGCAAATTCGAATTTTCGCCTTCACTCACTTGCACAGGCAAATGGGGAAGGTACCATAATGTGCCCACAAATATACCTCTTAAAATGAATCTTGAATATTCCATAACGTGTCCATCATGAGACGTCGAGCATAAATTTTAGCTCTAGCTGCCCAGGGAATGGTGTCTGGTCGCAGTTGGATTTCAGAATGAAACCCAGTTCACTAAATGAAGTTTTTTTCATGCTGTTTCCAAATCTGTTCTCAAAAAAATGCCGCGCAGGTCCGTGAAAAAAAAATTTTTTTGGAAAAAGTTTTTTTGAGCGGAGATACGATTTTTTTCAAAGCTCCTCGCATGATAAGGAAATGTGCTGCTGAAAAATTCATTTTTTTCGTTTCTCATGAGCGAATGGAGAACAACGTGTACAGCTTATACAAATTTCAAAGGAAGTCTGAAAACAAAATGAATAAAAAAATTAGAAAACCGAAGTGACTAAAAAAATAATAATAATAAAAAAACCTAGGAAGCATTTCCAGGCTACTCGGTAGCAATCAAAAAAATTTCAGATACTCTGCCCGTATATCCAGTTATCATAGATATGATACCCGGGTAAAAATTAATTGGATGTTTTTTTAATGCAAGAAAAAAATTATACAAAAAGAACCATATACTGGAAGCCTGTAAATCTAGTTCAAGAGACAAAATTTGAATTGGCGCGCACGCACGCGGAATGCGCCAAGAGGAGACTTTTTGGGAGTGCTATCTATAATGGCGTCTCTAAATATTATCTCAAGCCAGTTGTGAATAAACTATAGATGCTATAACCTTTAATTTTATGCCTCTATACGGTTTCTCAATTCTCAATTTTTCCAGAAACTTTGCGGTCGAACTCCTCTCGGGACCTCATATCGTCCTCCACGTCAACTTCCGATTCCACCATGAGCACATCGTCGCAATGAACTCTTTCAGCCATGGAGCCTGGGGACCGGAGGTCGGGAAATTTTTTTCCTATTCACAGATTTGTCGAAATTCCCCCAGACCGCAAAACCACGCCCCTTTTTGCGAATTTTCAGTTTTTCAGTTTTTGAGTTTGATGTTCCCGTAAAAGCGCACAACCAAAAACGGAGAAAATTGGTAGAAACATAGACAAAACCTTCCTCTTCAACCTCATATACTTTTTACCGGGGTTTTTGAAGCGTTTTAGCGGAGTGTCGTACAAAAAAAGCGCTCCCTACCCACCAGATTCTGTAGTTTAGAGCAAGGTTGGAGCCTGGGGACCCGAGATTGGAAATTTTCGATGCTGGGAGTCTTTTTTTTAACATTTCGGTATAGCTGAATCACGGCTAGCTTGAGACGCTAAGGGGGCGTGTCCTGTCTGCGCTCTCCACCAGCCAGGCGCATTTTCGTGCATTATCGTGTCAGGACCCGTTTTTCGATGGCTCAAGCCAACCGTGAATCAGATATACACAATATATAAAAATTTCAACAAGCTTCTGTAGTTTAGAGCAAGGTTAGAGCAAAAAATCCCAAAAAGAAAAGTTTAACAGTCGGTATTATAGTCTCTCTTATCTTATCGGGCTTGTTCTAGATGATGCTTTGATTTTTTCAAGTTAACACGTACTTATAGGAACAAAACGAACCCATAAAAGGATAATAAAATTTTACAGATCCGCCACAAGAACCCGCTTCACCATAGTGACCACTTCGACCTTCGCATCACCGTCCGTCATTTTGGCTATCATGTAAGTTATTTTGAAGTCAATTTTTCTTTCTAACCAAAATTATCGAATCCAGGGAATTATGAGGAGCGTTTCGGTACCAAAATTTCCCCAATTTTTCTTATTTTAAGATTTTTCACAACCAATAAGTCTTCGGAAAGAGTATAAAATCGCAAATATAGGGTTTTTTTTTCATTTGAGTACACTATATTATATTTATAGGGTACTCAAATGAGTAAAATGTTTCGAAAACAGGTTTTTTTTAACCAGACTGTTTAAAATTCTAGTAAAAAAATAGCCTAGGAAATTCCTGAAGCGTTATGGAGATACCTAAAAGCTCGCTAATGATTTATAGCCCCACGGTCGTAAGCCGTTTTGAGTCGGGCGAATCCATTGAGTCACTTTTCATAAGCCTTGACGTTGTATAGCTGATTCATAGCCAGCTGGAGACGCTAAAGGGGGCGTGTCCTGTCTGCGCTCTCCACGAGCCAGGCGCTATCTCGTGCATTTTCGTGTCAGGACCCTTTTTTCGATGGCTCAAGCCAGTCGTGAATCAGCTGTAGAAAAAAATCGTAAAAACTCATTTTCAACTTTCTTGGCCCATATTATCTGATTTTTGAAAATTCGTGGTCGCCTTTGGAATGGCTAAGAACACGTGATGGTTGCATTAATCGAAACGTGTTTCAAAAGCATCGAGCCATTCCAAGTGCGGCTATTTCCTTATCAATAAATTAAAAATATTGAAAATTTCAGATCACTGTGAACGGCTACCACTTGGCGGACTTCCCTCACCGATTCCCCTATCAGTCGGTCCAGGCCGTCGGCCTCAAGGGCGACGTTCACGTCGACAAGATTCACTTTGAAGGCTTCCACTTCAGAACCAGTTCGTTTCTTTCTCTGACTCGTCTGCGCTCTCTTTTCTCTCTCTCCCGTCTTTACTCATACCTCTGACATTGTCTTAGAGAGGACAGAGAGGTCAGGCAGTTATTTTTCTGTCTCTCTGGCACTCTCTTGTCTTGAAGTGCTTTTTAGGCCTTTGTTGGTCAGAGAAAAGAGAGCGCAGACAAGCTAGAAAGTGACGAAAGAGTATGAATGAAACCTTGCAGACTGGAACAGCCAGCACGACTTCGGCCACGGTGGCTACAACGCCTACGGCACCGACCGCTACGTCGCCCCTGTTGTAAGTTACAGTATCCCTACAGTAATCTACAATAGCCAGTTTTCAGTTCACCAACACCCATCAATACAACGCCTACTGGCAGTAGAGCAATCGCTTCTTTGAATTTTGACAATAAATTTTTTTTAACTTCTGTGAAATCGATGAGATTTCTAATGAAAACTACTTGTTGGCCGCATAATTTTCCTAAAAAAAGAAAAAGAAGAGCGAATCGAGGGAGAGAAGGTCCCAAAGAGACGGGTAATTTTTGAATTTTTATTATGGAAAGGATAAAAAATCATATCAGATCCGAAAAAACTTCAAAAAAGGTGTGGATTGTGTTCCATTCGAGCCGACTTGCGCGGTTTCAAGAAGTATGGCTCGATTCTTTCCAACTGCTGCGCGAAAGTCGGTTTTGGTCGGGCGAATCTCAAGGCGGCTTTTCAGAGTTATAGTCTATCCATAGTTGCCGCGAATAGTGTATTTTTTTCGAGGCGATGGTGTATTTTTTTCGAGGCGAAAGTCAGTTCAGTAGGGCAAAATATGAATCTCCATTGGCACAATAAAAAAAAGAAGAGAGGTTTGCCAAGACATGAAGCTTGATATTTGCATCCGACTCGAAACAGCTTGCGCGTAAAGGCGTTGAAGATCACTGAGACACGTTTAAAGATATTTGTCTTGCCGCTAAGGGGTTTCGGATCGGTGTTCTTTTTCTTCCGAGTCATGCAAAAATCTGTTTTCTTGGCATCACATCAACTTTTGAAGTATAAAAAGTCTTTCCATTTTTTTCCGCTAAACTAAAGACGGGATATTGTTAAATTTTGAAAGGGACTTTCATGCTGGAAGGTCTGATCCTGCAGAAGGAACCTTCTTTTGTGTTAGATCAGTCCGAAGTTTTGTAAACTTTAAAAAATAAAAATGATCCACCAGTCCAGGTGTAATTTTCACTTACATTGCTCGTCTAGCTTCACAATACTGTTTCTAACTCTGCTTCCTTTTGGGATAAAATCAAGGAATTTCATAACTTTACCGTGCCGTCGACCAGACGCTCCAAATATTCTTGTTCATCTGACGCTTTTTTGGGTACTTGATTTCAAAATCAATCTTGGGAGATAAGGTTAAAATCTGATCATCTATATACAACTGCGGAAGAAACGGAACGGTTGAGGAGCAAGTGAAACGGACGAAAAGGCAGAAAAACCTTTTGGAAAAGTTTTTTTGTTGCATTTTGGAGCTGTTATGTACTATTTTTGAGCTCCTTCTTAGTTTTGAGCATCTGCTAGCTTCTTACAAGGGATGTCATTCCCATTTGCGGTTGGGAATGTCTTGCAAACACTCTTTGATGTACCATAAAACTATACAAAAAGTTTCAACTCCTGGGTTTTTGAAAAATGAGGGCTCAAAACTCCAAATTGGCCTATTTTAACGGATTTCGAGGATTTTCTGCGATTTCGAGGCGTTCTTTCTCAAAAACTAGGAATTTGTGCAGACTTTGAGATTTTCAGGGTATTCTTTTGGTACTTCAAGAAGTAACCTGGCCGATTTTCTAGAAAATCCCAACCACAAAGTTGAATGAGCTTTCTTGTTAGTTAGTAAAGGTTTCGGTGACCTTTGGAACTTTGTTAGCTTACTGATTCTGAGAGAATGAGCACAATCTTTATTTTTTCAAACAGCAACCGACCCGAAACGACTTCCGCGCGCTGTCCTTTCTTACATTCCAGCACAACGCGACGCTTTTAACCATTCCAAATGCGACCAAGTCGAGACAAATGAAGTAAAGTAGTGGATTTTATCTTTTTTAATGGAAATCTAGTGTTTTTTAAGTTTTTTGTAGATTTTCTGCCATAGCTTATCCATTTTTTTTGAATCTTTTGTTGATATTCTCTCTTAGCTCAACCAGTTTTACCTTAGTCAACTTTCAAAGACTCTTAAGGCTTCAAAGAACCGTCTTGACCGGTGAGAAAAAACTGCTCAAAAAGACAGAAACTTCCTATTGCTCTCTAAACTTCCAAACCTCTCCAAAAGGTCACACCAAGTGTCCATCTCCTCATACTTTCACTTCCCTTGTGATCCATTTTCCGTAAGGAAAACATCCTTGTTTATGAGAGCTTACTGTAGCTTCACCTCGGCTGTGTCTCCGGCCAGATGAGGCGATTTTTGGCCGGCGCAAGGCCATCTGTCCGTTGTTTACCAAAAATGTTCGGATCCAAGGACGAAATTCAGTTTAGTTTGAATTCAGCGTGCGTCAAGGGTCGTCTGCTCAGTTTTAGACTCTATTTTTTGTTTTTAAGTCATTAACCGCTCACTGATAAAGTCCTGCAAATGCGCTCTTTTGCAATTTTCCCTGAAAAGTTCGGCTGAAGTATTTTGAAAAAATCGCTCTCTACTGGGAACATAGAGGCTCGCCAAAGACTATTTGGAGAGGACACTGAAGTGGCCACTAAACCCACCTCTACAGTGGCCACTTCAGTAGTTTTTCATCAAGTATTCCTTCCAGTAACTCTGATATCTTTACAACAATCAAATTGGACCAGTTATGTTGATCCATTGACTCCTAAAGTGGCCACTAAAATTTTTATTGGTCTATTAGTAGCGCTTAGACCTCTATAGCGGTCACTAATTTTCAACCCCTTAAGTATCCACTAATTTGACTACTATAGTGGCCACTAAAATTTTTCCAGTAGAAAGGAGTTGGCTCAGGACTTGGTAACTGAAAAGTTGCGACCGACCCCAAAACGGTTTACGCGCTCTTGCATAAGTTTGGCGAAGCCGCAGCGCGACCGCAACGCGTTGAACCGCTCCAAGTGCGACGAGGGGTTCAATAAGAAACTTTCTATAGAAAAATAGTTCAATTTAACTTCTCAGAAAACTGTTCCAATGGAAAAAAAAGCCCTAGAGTTATCACTTTTCTTTACCCTTGAGGGATCATTTTTAAAGTACTTCACTCCCAATTTATTCGGGTAGGAAAAGGAACCTGTTACTTGACATTTTATGAACCTTATTTTCAACTCGAGCATAAAAAAAAGAAAACTAACTCTGAAGAACTAGTCCATCGAAACAACCATTTATATTTTGACTTTTAACCGCGTTCTGTTGGGACCAGGCCAAAAAAGGCCCATTGAATGACAGTCTATGAGATGTTATCACAGGGAAAAGCTTATCTCTAAACATATTTCCTTATTCCTCGATATACATACAGACTAGGAGTCTCTCCGTTGAAAGTTTACTCAAGGTTGACGGCGATGGCGCCACTCCAACACGGCATTCCGTTCGTTTCTCGACTTTTCTTATTTATTCCAGCGAGCTCGGGGCGGATTTTAAGGCTTTCGAACAGTTTTGAAGCCTTTTTGGAGCTTATTTGAGTCATTTTGTTCAAATTTTGAATAGAAATCGCTTTCAATCATTCTTTTCCTTCTCATTAAAAGCTTGGTAACGCTTTTCCAGGTTTTCTGTCCGAATTTGACTACAAGTTAGAGTTTAACCTTTTGAAAATAAAATTAGTTCAATTTCCATATGATTGGAGCACTTCATTGCGCTTTTTCTTTAAAAAAAAAGGGTTGATTTTTCCCAATTTTTCATGCCGGAATTGAGAAAATTGAAACGGGTGAGGCTATTCTACTTTTTTTCAGGTCTTTAGCCAGAGTTTTGACCAAATATCAAACCTAAAATCAAGCATATTGCTTTCTTTTCTAACTTTTTCAGGAACTTGAAACAATTTTTGAAGTTTTGAAGCTTTTTACCTATATTTTAAAAGTCACTATTGCCCTTACTCCAATTTTTCCATATTTTCAAACATTCAAATGATTTTTTCAGTCCCCAGAATCTTGGAAACCTCTCACTCACATTTGTTCTTCAGAAAAACGTACAGCGATGCGTCACTCTTTCCCGGAACTTATCATTTATCAATCTACTTTAAACTTTAGGAACACCCGCTCTTTGTGATATATCGAGAAAAAAAGCTTCATTTTACAGCAAAACAAGCATTATTTTCCCGAATCGTAGCTTGGCGAATGGCCACGTACGAATCGTTTCGTTGCTGCCAAGACCAAGGTCACGCCAATCGGCGCCATTTTTTCTTTTTCGTCAAGCTCTGGCTAGACGTGGAAGTCATGCGGTGTGATCAAGCGGTTCACGTTGCACTCGTTATTTGTACTTTAGTCTCTCTTCTCTAGATTTGTTTGAGAAACGTGACAAAGAAACGGTTTCAACGTGGAAAGTTCAAATTTTGTCGTCAGGTGCTGCTTTGGCCGCAACCACCGATTGCACAGAATGCATTAAGAGTCCCGCGCAAAACATGTTTTTATTTTGATTTCTAAAATTTTATTATATTTGTATTTTATTTCGATAAAATCACAGTCAAATATACTTAGTATAGGTAAGGGAAGGCTAAACTGTCCTGAGAAATTTCATTTTGCTAGAAATCTGTTCAAATTTGAATGACTCCCAAGGATTTTTATTTTTTGTTTTGACACTTCCTCACTGGTCCTAATGGAACCGCTTATCAAAATAAAGGGCAAAAAGTATTTTTTATTCTTCCCTCCCTGGTTATCTAAAAAATTTAGAGACCTTTATTGCATCATGTTTTTTTGCGCGTCTTGTTTTTGGTAGCCGTTCACACCTTTTTTGGCTTGTGACCATATTTTCGTTTTCCTGGGGCCATAAACATTCTGTCGTACCATTTTACGCATTCAAAACACGAATGGCGGTGCGAATTGCGTGCATTTTTTGTGAAATTTCTATATTTAGTTTATTATACCTGGAAAAAAGTCTGGAATAGTGTGAATTTTTGATAAATAAAATAGAAAATTCCGAAAGGAATTAATACTTCCAGATTCTCAAGGCGGTAAGTACTAAATTTGAGCTTTTATCACGGATTATGTTCGGTTCATAAATTTTAGCAAGGTAGTCAAAGCCGTGAAAACTACCACTGAAGTCTCAAGACTTTCTGAATTTTTGAACAGAATACAATCTATTTTTAACGAGAAATTTTTTTACAAAGCTCAAGATAAAAATGAAAATGAAAAAACGATAAAATTTTCCAAGTTTCTAACGGTTTACCGACTCTGGGACGCCATAACTCGTTTTACGTGTTCATTTCGAACTCACTCAAATTTTCCAATAAACTTTCAAATCCTTCTAATCAAAATGTGTGTGACGAAGCATCATTTAACACTTCATCTCACTTATTGGACTACCGCTCCCAGCCTTGGAAGCCTTTCACTAATGTTTTATCGAGGTTGGTGATACGTATAACGAAAAATCTGGTTCTTCAGAGCAGAAAAGACAAAATGTATTCCTCCCACTGTATTATGGGAGAGAGCGAAATGTTGCGATTTGACAATTCCTATCGATCTTTTGTCAACTGATAAAATGCAACAGTACCTCTCTGTGCCGCTCTTTTTGCGGTTTTTAATGGCTTTTAATTTTTTTATCACAGTTGTCCGATGGTTTTGAGTAGTCTGATAGTTGATAAAAAAAAGCGACTGTTAGCTACAAAGTTGCGTTTTTCATCAATGTTGAGTTCAAAACCGCTCTATTTCCTTAAAATAAGAAGCTCAAGTTTCTAAAAAAAAAAGTATCCTTTCCATCAAGAAAAAAATGCTTATTTTTAAACTAAAAATATCTTGCCTTAATAATCACAGAAAAAAATTTTTAGGTTGATGATATTTTCATATGCCCCCCAAACAAAGGGGAAAGTTTATTAAAGTTGGAAATTTAGTTCGAAAAATCCCCTTATCTTTAAATAAGTAGCTCAATGATGATTTCCTTGTAAAATCTTCGAATTTTAAGCTTTCGTTTGAGAAAAATTTAGAATGTCAATTCATATAATAAATTTAGAATCTGAAGCTCATGAGGGTCTCTGAAACTAAAAAAAAAAAAAAAAATGAAAATCAAGCGAAACATTCAGCATCAAAATCAACCTTCATTCTAAAAATCTTTATCGAATCCAGCCTATGATACTGGATTGGTTCAATTAGTCCGTCTTTTTCACGGCTAAAATAAACAACTATACGTCATGATACCAAAAGCCAAAGTCTGGAGGGATCAACGGCATTTGTCAGTTGCTTCCTCTGCTTCTTCTTCTTGGCACCCGTCTCTTTTCACCTTTCCGTGGCCTGCCAGCCAGTGACTGCACTCGACCGAACTTTTTTTTCCTTCTTCTTCGCCCCTCCTCACTTATTGATTTTCGATTCCGACGCTAGATTACTCCGATCTTCTCTCAAATTTTCCTCCTCTGTCTTTAATTTTGAACAGTTTCAGTAGGCTCAGGGCATTTTTTAATCATATTTTTAAGTCCTGGAAAAGGCTGGAAAAACTAAAATTTAGCTGACAAGTCTTTTTAAGAAAGAAAAATTTTCATAATGAAAGGTACATGAATACTCTTTCAAACTGGATTTTCAACTTTGATAGATTTTTGAAGTTTCGACTGGAAACTAAGGAAGCGAAATTAAGCCTGAAACTTCACTAAAATCAGATTTTTTTGGGCTTCTAGGAAATTCGTAATGTTTTTAGCAAAATCCTTCGAATTAATCATTTTTTTCATAGACTTTATTGGCCTCCCAGGGTCTTGAGCTTCTGATTTCAAAGATAGAAGTTACTGGAAAAACTTGAATTCCAGTTATTTCTAAGCTTTTTCCTATTTTTCCTCTACTTACCGACCAAAACTACCTTTGAAACATTGATCGAAAGGTCCAGGACCTTAGATAACATTGCCCCCACAATTTTGATCAGATTTTAGCTTCGAAACTTGAAAATCTCCTTTTAATCCCCATAATGATTCTATGAATGGGCGATAGGTCCAACGGATCCAGCTGAAATCGATCACGGAAAGTGTCAATTTCGTCGCCAAATTGTCGGTTCCAATAAAAAGTGCGACGTTGATTTGACCGATTGCCACGTGAAATAAACTGTTCCCGTCGAAGATTTTTGCATTTCAGACGTGAGAAATTGATGAAAATAGTGTGTTTTGCATCAAAAAGTAGGCTAACACTTTCTCATCCCAAGAATTGATTAGAAAATGTTTTCCTTGAATTTTTTTTGAAAAAGAATCGTGCAATTGTTGTATAAATATTGTGAAGAAAAGGAGGTTTTTTTGAACCTTATCTGTATTTTTTTCAAAGTTTAAAACGTTTTTTTTTAGAATCTCAGTTTGAAACTGGAATATTTAAAGACGCAGATCTTTCGAAATGAATAGGAAATTCGCCTCTATGCGCCTTTAAACTTGTTTTTTGAGTAAACAGACGCAGTTTTGAAGCTTTTTTTCTGTCATTTATTCGTATATTTTAGCATTTTTCCATAATTCAAATTTTTAAAATTCACTGAAAGCCGAAAATTTTGAGAGTCTCATTATCATGGATCTCCATACTCTATTGAAACCTACTAAATTCGCCTCTATGCGCCTTTAAACTTGTTTTTTTGAGTAAGAAGATGCAGTTTTGAAGCTTTTTTCTGTCATATATTCGTATAATTTTGCATTTTTTCATAATTTGAATTTTTTTAAACTTCTTTTTCAAAGCCTAAAATTTTGATAGGCTTATTATCATGGATCTCCATACTCTATTGAAACCTACTACCAATGATTTTTAGCTGGTTTTTCGGCTTTTACATGTCATTTTTTTGTTCCTGTTTTGAATTCTCATAAAATTTCAGTTTTCCTTCAAAATACACCTTTTCATAACAAAAATGTTTTCACAGGATTTCCGTTCGCCTACACTGAACAACTAAGATCGTTCGCCTTTCACGCACTTGCTTCTTCGCATCCACTGGATAGCTTCTACGGGGATTCGAGACAGAAGCAGAAGGAAATTAACAGCTGCGCGGCCAGAAAACAGAAGTCAAAGTCTTCAACCACCGAAAAGAAGTGGCAAGACTCAGGTTGAGGCATTTTTTATTTTTGTGTATTTATTTTTTGTTGTGGATTTTTTTGTCAAGTTTTGAGGTAGAAAAATGAGTTTTTTTGAGCTAAAATGTTAATTTTCACCTTCCGACAGTTTTGTAGGAGTCTGTAGTCAATTTCAAAAATGCCGTTATCTTCAATTTTTTTCGTTTTGAAGAATTTCTGTACTTTATGTATCATTTTTTCGAATTTCACTGTTATGTTTGTAAAAGGAAAAAAAGTGAGTTTTTTTCCAAGCTAAAATATTAATTTTTTTGTCTTCCACCATTTTTTTAAAAGAGTCTTTGGTTAATTCTACAAAAAAATACCAATAATTCTAATTTTATTTCGTTTTGAAGGGTTTTTTTGGTATTGAACACAGGTTATATGGAAAAAAACTTATAAATTTGAAAAAAATATTCACGATTTTGACTATTTCTGGGTTTTATGCCTCTGTGAACGGTGGAAATTTTTTTGATTAGAAGATGAAATCAAAACGGTCGTCTTTCTTGTTGAATTAACAGCTCTTAAAATTTTATTTGAAGGGGTTTTTGTTCGAAAAGCTTGGTAAAATGGAAAAATGAGCTGTTTTCTTCCTATGGCTTCATTTTTTGGAATTCTTGTTGCAACTATTCGATTATGAACCTTTTTTGAACTCTTAGAGTCAAAATATTAGGAGAATTTAGTGAATTTTTCGGCTCTGTCACCACTTTTATGTGTAGTTTTTCAATAAATCTGATCCATTTTCAAATTTTCAAAATCAGCTCCTAATTTCGATATTATTTCAGGCTTGTTGCTACTTAAACCCGAAATCGAACTTGATCATCAACAGCAACGTGTTGATACTCGCCTTAACAACAACAACGAATTAACCAGAACATCAACCGAAAAAAAGGGAAAAATGTTCCATTTTGATGAGGAAGAAATGCGCCCACGTCACAAGAACGGCGTCTACCGTTAGTTTATTTTTTTTTGATGCTATTGGATTTTTTGAAACTTTCAGTAGTGGAGAAAAGGTTGGGGAATGGAAAAATTTGTCTTAGAAGAGCCAAATAATTTTAATAAGCCTTTATATTTTTCCATAAATTGGCTGAATTTTGTGACAGGGTTTTTTTATATTTTAAGAGATCTTTTTAAAATGAATAGAAGTTTATAATAATCTATATAGTTATACGAACGTTAGGCGAGAGTTCAAGTTATAAAATTCATCTAGACGTTGAAAAATGGACTCATTTTCGAGCTATTTTTAGCCGACTACTGGGAAAATTTTTAGTGGCCGTTTTAGGGTTTTGACGTTTTAGTGACCACTATGGTAGCCAAATTAGTGGACACTTAAGGGGTTAAAAGTTAGTGGCCACTATAGAGGTCTAAGTGCTACTACCAGACCACTAAAAACTTGAGTGGCCACTTTAGGGGTCAAAAAGGTCAACATAACTGGTCCAATCTGTTTGTTTTAAAGTTATCAGTGTTACTGGAAGGAATACTGGATGAAAAACTACTGAAGTGGCCACTAAAACGAAAAATAGTGGCCACTATAGAGGTGGGTTTAGTGGCCACTTTAGTGTCCTTTCCAAGTAGTCTTCAGCGAGCCTCTATAGTGGCCACTAAAATTTGTAATTTTATCCGTAAAATCGGATTTTTAGCAGTTTTTTAAAGTTTTGACAGCTTCATAATAGCATACCCGCCTGGAAATTTGAGTAACGGCTATTTCAAGTGGGAAATATCAATCTAAAAAAAAAACCCGACCCTCATCTGGTTTTCGCCAAGCGGTATCCTAGCTTTTTTACTTTTTGAATTTGCTCCGTTTTATTGATATTTTGGCTCAATTTTGATTGGCAAGAGGAAGTCTCCCGAGTTGTCACGTTTATTTATTTTCTGTCTGGCCTGACTGAGTGTACTATGATGATTATAGAACTGCCACGCGGCGTATTTTGGTGTAAGACACTGGGAAAAAGTGTGCCGTGATGTCACTTTTTCTCACGTTTCCGAGTCTTTGGCAGGAAATTATCGGATGATTTGGAAATTTTTTTGATTTTTTTCAAAAAAATATGTTATTCCCTCGGAGTGGGATATTTTTCACAAAGAAAGATTTATTTATGAACTTTATTACTGCGGAAATGTCGGCTAGATTTGTTTTTTTCTTAGATTTTTGAACTTTTCAGAATGCTTGAGATACTTTTTAAATCTATGGAATTCCATAAAAAAATCTATTTTCGGAATCTTTTTTTATTCTCAAAAGGCTTTGAAAAAAAGCTAATTTTTTTCTTCCAATCATGAAAATGACGTTTATTGGGTCTGAAATTCATTTTTTTATTTTTTTATATTTGAAATTATAATTTTTGAAGCTTATTATTAAGGCTATAGTTCAAAAAAAGATAAATTTCCTATTTTTTTGAAGCGAGATACACATGAATCTCTTAACTGTCAAAAACAATTTTTTTTTCGCAGACTTTTTCAATTGAAAATATTCATTTTTCCCTTCCCCAGGGAGAAATTTAAGCTTTCCTTCGTTTTGAAACCAAACCAATAATACCTTGACGATCTTTGGCTTTAAACTATTTACCCTAGACTGGAAAATATGTCAAATAGGTGGCTGTTTGCCTCGGAGCACATTTTTATCGCTTGACGGCGAAATTGGACGATTTTTCAAAGGTTTTCTGTACGTCCTTATCATTTCTGGCGATAAGATTCGGGATGGAGACGTGCTGGCCTGATATTTTTGGATTCCATCAAGGAAATGAATTTTTGAGATTGGTTTGGGGAGTTTTGGGGCTTGAAAATGGCTTTGAAATCAGCTTAGGCGTCGAAATTTGATGGGGTTTGGGATTGAAAAATTTTTTTGAAAAGATTGGCCAAAATTTATACAATTTAAGCACTGTTACAGTTCTTTCGATGCTTTTTATAGAAGAAAATTTGAAGTTAAAGCTTACAAAAAAATCTTTTTTCAAATAGTACTCAAAAACTGCATTATTTTTTGATACAAGCTTCGAAAAACCTCCTTTTTAGGTGGAAAATTATAACTATCAAGGAATTTTGTGGCTTAAATGACAAAATTAAGTTTTTTCTGAAGGTTCAGAGTTCAATTCTAGCCCACTAAACGTTAAAAAGCCCTTAAAATCCACAATTTCTTGATTTGACACATGTTAACTCTCCGTTTAGTTCCTCATGCCCATCACCAAAATCCAATAAAAAGTGTATTTAAAGTGCGGACGGTTGGTTGGCACGAACAGAAGCTGGGAAATTTGTTTAAAGGGAGCGAGTCGGCTCACGAGTTATCGCAACACATGTTCCACGTGATTTGGAACTGGTGGAAGCCTCGTGATTTTGGTTTTTCAGGAGATATTTCGGGGATTTTGTAGTTGGAAGTGTTGGAATGGGATTTTGTAGTCGTTTTGAACGAAAGATTGGAGTTTTGGGTCTTTTTTAAATTCAAGCTGGAGCTTCTAGGCTTTTTGGGGGATCAATTTGATCTGAAATTAGATTTTTTAAAACATTATTAGTTCAAAATTGGGCTAGTAAGTATGTAATTCATGAAAAATGTGTCTTGATAGTTTTTTTGATAGATTCAGACCAGGAAAAAAATTCATTTTTTTAGTTAAAGATAGAAAAAAATTGAGTCTGTATGTAATTCATTTTTTTCTTTAGAGTGTTTTTATGAGAAATATAGATTTTTTCTTTTTGTAAGCTAAAAAAAAGGTGTTTTTCATGAATATGAAGTCTTTTCAGTGTATGCGTAGATTTGTAGGATGAGAAATTGGATTTCAGTGGAAAAAAAAATTTTCACGAAATACTGAAATTTAAGCAATTTTTTTGATTTTCTTCGGATAGAAGTTGGATTGGATCATTTTATAAGTCGAAAAGTGTGGAGAGAAAGCTTCAAAATGGCATTTTCAGCTTTTCTTTGTGCTGAGGTAGATGGAAACCCCTTCTTACCAACTTTTTTGCATTATCATGCCAGAAAAATGAACAGAAATCCCTTCCATTTCCTCAAATCCATTCCAACTCAAAACTTTCTTTTATTATCAGAAGCCAGTTGAAAGACATCGAAAATTGATGGTTCAATGATCGCCTCTCCCTTTTTTTTTCTGTCCTTTCTGCAAAAAGTGCTACCCGGTGCGGGTCAGCGGTTTTCGTGATCGCAGCAATTACAATGTGAAGTTTGGAGCAGGAAATATACAGTACCGCTCAAAAGTCTATTAAGTTTTGGTTTTTTGGGGATATCTCAGCGAGTACTTATCCGATTTATATATAACTTTCAGGGATAATGTAAAATATACTTTGAAACATATACGGTATACAAAGACATGTCCGCAATGACTGTAACGCGTTTTAGGCATTTTTTTATTGAATTCCATTTTTTGTTTTTTTATGCTTTTTATTTTTTTATTTATTTTTTTATCAAATTTTTTTTAAAATTAATAATGTTGCCATATGATTTTTTTCATGTTTTTCAGACATGGGAAGAACCTTTGGAAATAAGAATTTGACTGATAACGACAAAAGAGCCATCGTTGTGGGTCGTCAAAATGGACTGACCATGATGACGTTGGCAGGAATGTTCGGCGTGACAGAGGCGGGCATTTCTCAGTTCCTAAAGCGTCAGAAAGCTCAAGATGGCTCTACTAACAGCCAACGCACTGGAAGACCACGTGTCACTGATCGTAATGACGATAGGAACATTTTTGAAGACGTCTAGAACCAATCCAAGACTCACCGCCCCTGCGATCAGACGGGAAGTTTTCTTGAATTCGCCATCTCCGCCATCCGTCTCGACCGTGAAACGACGTCTGAATGCTGCTGGAATCATGGGAAGACGTCCAGTGAAGAAACCGCTGATTTCTGAAAAGAATCGAGCCGCCAGGGTGAAGTGGGCGAAGGAGCATCTCAACTGGACCCGTCAAGACTGGAACAAGATTCTGTGGTCCGACGAAAGCAAGTTCCTCCTCTTCGGGAGTGACGGAATTCAGTGGGTTCGTAGACCAATTGGGTCCAGATATCATCCGAAATACCAATTACCCACCGTGAAACATGGTGGAGGTTCTTGCATGGTGTGGGGCGCCTTCTCTGGAAGTGGCATCGGACCGCTTCATCGCGTGAACGGCATCATGGACAAGCACGTCTACAAAGACATTCTCCTGAACCAGATGTTGCCGCACTTGAGAGCCATGGGCCGTGGGAGTGTTTATCAACAGGATAACGACCCCAAGCACACTCACTGTTCGTCAAGGTGAGAAAATTGACAAGTAATTCGTATGGTTTTGAAACTCAGGACTGGTTCAAGAGCCGTCGGGTCAATGTCATGGGGTGGCCAAGTCAATCTCCGGACCTGAACCCGATCGAACATCTCTGGGAAGAGTTGGAGCGACGTTGTGCCAACAAAAGAGCCAAGAATTGCAACGAGAAGTTTGCTCAACTGCTGTCTGAATGGAATCAGATCCCCATGTCTACCATCGACACTTTGCTCAATTCTATGCAGAGAAGATGCCAGGCAGTGATTGACGCCAGGGGCTTCGCAACCAAGTACTAGGTCCCGAATATTGTTTTAACAATGTTTTGTGTTGATAAAAAAATTTTTTTGTTGAGCTATGATTTTTTTAATTGAAAATAGCAAAAAAATTCGATTTTTTTCGAAAAATTCGTTTTTTTCTCGAAAAAAATTATTATTCTTTGAGCTAGCAACTTGAAATTTTTGCCAGAACACGTATGTCTCTCTCAGAAAACTATGAAAAAAAATTTGAATCGATATCGCACTTCAAAAAAAATTTATCCCCAAAAAACCAAAACTTAATAGACTTTTGAGCGGTACTGTATATAAGTTTGAAGTTTGAATCGGAACGAAAAGAGAAAAAAAATTTAGGAAACCTATACGTTTTGCTGGATTTTTTTGAGCGCAAATAGTTTGGAAACTTTATAATTTTTTTCAAGAATTTTTGATAAAAAAATAGTCTTTTCAATGTTTTCTGTTTTTTTATTTTTGTTTGATAAGTAGTTATTTAAAGAAATATCATGACGCCAACTGTTTTGTTTCGGAAAAGACATTATTTTTCGGGCTTCAATGGCCTAATCCTACTAGATAAATGCTTGATTACGTCTTTGAAATTAATCTGGCGGATGTATTTTTGAAGTTTTATTCTCATTTGAAATATAAGAAAAATGATGGATTCTAACATAAGCTGCTCAACGGAAGGATTAACGTTGATGAATGTGGTTTTTCGCCTTCTAACTTGGATATTTTTGGGTTTTTTGAGATCTGAACGAAGGAAAAGCTCAAAACAATGCTTATCGATAAGTTTATTGAAATTCTGAGGCTCGAGCGGAAAAATGAGCTTTTTACCATCAAAAAATGGTTATTTTTCTCTTTTTTTTCAGATTTAAATATACTCATTTCTATAGTGAATTGATGGAAATCGTGCAAAATTTGCTTTTTCTTTTTTGATTGATAATTTTCAGTGGTTCTGGGTGTTAATTAGGCCACAAAACTTCTTTTAAAAATCAAAATATAAAGTTTGGTCGAATGCGCCCCACTGTACTTTGACCAGAAGTTCAGTGAAATTTTTTTCCCTGTTGTATACTTTGTACCCATCAAAAGCTGTACAATTTGATGGGATTCCCTTTTTTGAAAGCCTATTTTAAACTTTCCAAAAAAAAATTTAGACAGATGATGCAATTGAGAGCAAACTTTAGTCATACAAGCTGTTGAAAAATTATTTTTTTCCAAAGCTTTCACAAAAGATTTCTGGTCTTCTCGGTTACGATGGGAATTTCATACTGTCAAAATTTGGACTTTGTATTCAAGAGCCATTTTTTTGGACCGTTGAAAAATATAAAAAAATCAATAAAAACGGCTGATGCAACAGTGAGCAAACTTCAGTCATAATTGAGGAATAGTTTCGGGATAAAAAAGGATTTGGAAGGCCTTCAAATTTATTTTTTTGGAATTTTTTTCATATTTCAAGCCCTAGAATTCGTTTTTTTAAAGATCGGAATTTTTAATTAAAATTTTTTTCAGATGAAGCTCTTATTTTTTTCTGATGAGAAATCTCTGGAGAAATCAGCCTATTTTTAGTATGGCAATATTCAGCAGATTAAGCTGAAAAAGTGTTTTTGGAATTAGGAATATGGGATTCAGAGACTATGAAAATTAGAGAAACGCAGAGAAGTTGCTGTCTCTGTGCCTCTTCATTCTGTGTGGTCTCTAAAAGTATTTTTATTTTTTCAAGAATTTTTTTGAGATCAGAAAGTGTATGAGAAGTCGAAAAGTGAGACCAAAAAGGCGAGATTTTTTTCCAAAAGTTCAAAAAATGTCTGCAATCTTTACTCTTCGTTGTTTATGGTTCCTTTTCCTTCTTCACACTTCGTACCCCCCGTGAGTTTCCGAGTTGAAAAGTTGAGTGTTTGGCTGGAAAATTGGATGGGAAGTTTACCAATTGCCTCACCGAGGCCATTGTTGTCCGTTGTGGTGAACAAAAAAAAATGCGACTTCTGAACTTTGCGCAACTTTTTGAGATACGTCATTGAGAATCGCTTTCGGGTTTCAAAGGCTTGAAAGTCTCAGGAAAAAGTGCTCTATTGATAAATCCCTTTTTCACAAGGTTTATTTTTCAAATAGCTTACAGGAGAAAGTTTTTCGCATAAATATGGATATAAGTGTATTTGAGCTTGAATTTGGCCTCATGGCTTTTTCTTCTGTTGTATGTACGCTCCATTGATAACAAGAGTCAAAAATGGGCATTTTTCAGAGAATTTTTGATTTTTCGAGGAAATTTTTTCTTCTCATTTGAAGCGATTTCTTTGCAATATTAATAGGATAATAGTCATTCTAGATAGATTATTTGAAAAAAAATTATTTTTACATCAGCTGTAGTGTGCTCTATGGATAATCCTATGGAAAAAGTCGATTTTCCGCTCAAAAAGACCTTTTTTTTGTTAAAAAAGTTTGAAAATATCCAGCTTTTTTTTTCCTGCGGAGTACGGGTCATTCCCTAATAATTGTAACTCAGTTTTGCCCTCAAAGTTTTGCTCCTAAGATACGGTAGAAATTTGACCAAGACGAAAATATTTATGTTCCAGCGACACTTGGTCTCTGATAAAAAAGACATTTTCTCGTAGTTTTCCGTTTCGAAGCAAAGTTTTATTGGAAAATACCATAGAAAGTGTCAATCTGGCCCGTGTTTTGACAGGAATGAAATAATCATTTTGCGTCAAAAAGACGGAAAATGATAATAAGTGCACACGCCAGGCCGTCTGCGCAAACTTGTTTGCCCCAATTTTTATCTTTTTTTTTTGCCAGTGATGATGAAGCTTTTCGTCCCTTTGACTTTTGGCCTTTTTCCCTTTCACTTCCTAGTTTTTTTTTGTTTTTTCCTAAGCTGCAGGGTTTGTTGATGTGAATGGAAGGGAAGGATGGAGTTGGTCAAAGAACTTTGGAGAGAAGTTTTGAGGTCGATTTTGGTGGGAGTATAGAGGATTTTGAAGGTTTTGAAAGGTTAGGAGGAAGTTTGGGCGTCCTTGAAAATTGGCAACTTGAAGAAAAATCAAAAAATGACTTGAAAATTCAAAAAAAATGTATAGGGTTTGAGTAATGTACGCGAATTAGAAAGCTCTAGACGCATTTAGAATGGCTTGAAGCGTCGCGGTCGCGTTGCGGTTCAAGTTTAAATTTTGAGTTTACGCTTAGAATGTCTGACCGCTTCGCAGCCGCAACGCGTCGAGTCATTTTTCTAATGCGGCCAATTAATTTTGAGAAAGAAATAGTTTATTTCTCATTCTTGAGGGCTGTTCTGAAATTATTGGACGTTACCATGATTTTTGAGACATCCAACGGTTTTTTATGTAATTCCTTTCAAATTCTTCCAATTCTCCGAAAAAACAACATTTTAAGATATCCAAAACTTTTCGAAATGGTGTGATTCGCGTCCCTGACCACTTTTTTTTCGTGTCGCAAAGATCAAAGTTTTTTTTTTCGCCAAGAACCTTGTGTTTATGTGAGCTTTTTTGTGATGGTGGTGCCCTGTCTGAAGTGTTTTTGTGAGTCTTGTTGCTTTTATGAGATATCGGGCTCGGAAACTTTAGCCTTGCAGCGAATTTGAGGAGTTTCAGATCAGAATGAACTATAAAAAGTTTGATCTTCTTTTGAAAATTTGTAGGGATAGAGATTTTTCAAGACTTGTAATTTATTCTGAAGCCTTTCCACACGGTTGAACCTGAAAAACTAAGAGAGGAAAGTTAAAAATCGTTTTATCAATATCCAAGCTTTCAGTATTTTTTTCCTTCAAAAAAGAAGAAATAGAAGATGCGCTGTGACGAAACGAAATTGAACCTTTGAAACATCTTTTTTTTCCTTTTGATTCTCCGTCCCTCATGGCGTCTTTTCGAACAATCAGATTTTGTGTATGTGCAGAGGCCGTTCTCACGTGATCAGTGAGCTGAGACTCAGAGAAAGAGAGATAAACAGAGGGAGAGAGAGGATGAGAGACACGAAACAGAGAGTCAGAGAAGCAGAGAAGGGAACTTTGGCTAGTTTCAAGGGTACTTTTTTTTTTTTTTTGGAATTTTTTTGAAAATTAGTTTAGGCTTCAGAAGGATAAAAACAGAGAGAGAGAGAGGCAGAAAGAATAGAAATAATGGAAAAAAAAAATGAAAAAGAAAAAATGAGGAAAGTGCGCTCTATTGATAAAGACACGTTTTTCTGGTGACAGGCAGAAAAAAAAAATTCAAAATAGAAGTCAATAACAGAAATAGTATCATTATAGCGCTCTTTATACACATGAAATCCCGATTTTGAGAGAATATAGTGTTTTTCCGGCTTTTAGTGGACCCTTGAGTGATCTTTCCCTCTCGGTAGTTCTCTAAATTTTCCTCCTACCTGTTTGTTCAGAAAGAGTGGACTGTTTTGCGCACTTTTGTTATGCTTCTTTCTTTCTTTTTTTCCGAAATCGGAGGTGTTTTGACGGTGGATGACATCAGACGTAGGTCAGACAACAAGCTCAAACTTCCGCCAGTCCCGATTCCGATGGTCGGATTGTGACCTCCTTTGTTGTTTGTTGCGACCGACGCGACCCGGTTATGCGCCAAGATCGGAGCACTTCTCGAAGTCATCCACGCGAAAGCTCTTCTTCCCACTTGAAGCAGGACTTTCCACACGTTTTGGTGATAAGATGAGATGTTGATGAGTCATTGATGTTTGGGACAGTTTTTGCTAATGATCAAAAGTCAAACTGGACTCCTGAGAGAGTTTTCGAAAAATCCCTAACACTTTCCGGACTCATTGACTACTTTTTGTCCCCCCGTTGATCTCCGTCCGAAGGCTGCAAAAGCAGCAGAAGCTTTTGTTCGGCCGTTCTTACACTCTCGAGGTATATTATATCACTTGACGAGACGAGGCTCTTGAGGAGGGACGACAAGTTGATCAGAGCCGTTTGAAAGCTTGACGACGATTGTTTTGCAGGTTTTGAGATCAGCTGTTGGATGATCATTTGAGCCTCATGGGTGTCCAGTTTTTCTGTCGGTGCATTGGTCTTTATTCTTAAAGGATGGGCGAGGAAAAATAGTTATGGAAAAATAGTGGAGGTAGAGAGTAACATCGGTGAAGAAAGAGCCGCCAGAATTGGTTGGAAAGTCTATCGCGCCCCATTGCCAATTCGAAAAACTGGGTAGTTTCTCAAGCCTTCTCGACGTTGGTAACGCAAAACGAACGTTCTAGGCGACTCTAGGGACCACTTAGGAATGCTGACGCTACTATAGTGGTCACTAGAAATGCCAATCCGAGATGGTTACGCGAATCGGACGTTTTGAAGCGTCTCTAGTGACCACTTTAGCAGCTTCAGTCTTCTTAAGTGGTCACTAGAGTTGGCCTGACACGTTCAATTCGCGTTCGAGTTTATTGACAATGCTCTTCTGTCGTTCATGAGAAAATACGCTCTAACGACAAGTCTCGAGATTAATTTTCTGACTTCTTTGAATTAACTCGGACCTTGGTAACACGAATGAGACGTGTCGGGGCATTTCTAGTGACCACTTTAGTAGCCTCAGCACTCTTAAGTGGTCACTAGAATCGTCCGGAGCACGTCCGTTTCGCCTTATCAATGTCCGAGAAAACATTGGAACCATAATTTTTCATCCGTGGAGCAACGATATGTCATCGTCTTATTTCCAAGTTCTGTCATTTTGAGCCCTTTACTGGAAAAAACAAAAAAAAGTTCCTCTAATCCAAGCTTTGCGTCAAATATCCTTTTTGATGCCATTGTATAACATCATAATCAAGTGCAAAATGTTGTCTTTTTTCCTCTGTGAAAACTACAAGGCTGATCCAGTCGGCTTAACCAAGCGGCCGTGTATAACACTCGCTACTATACAACGAATAAGTACACTGAAAGCCATTCCCCGTATCATAAAAAAGATTTTTTCTCCAAAAGTTCTACAGAAAATTCAACTGGGCCTGTTTGAATAACGATGGAACGTGTTTTTTGACCTCTTGCCGGGATTTTAGAAAAATTTCATGGCAAACGATTTTATAGCAAAAAGCGCTTTTTGATCGTTTCTGTTGGGACTATTTTCAGTTGGAGAGATTGTTGAAAAGTATCAAGGTTGGAAAAGTTTGAAATATTGGGAGAGAAAAGAAGAAAAAGAGCAAATTGGGTTTATTTTTGATTTTTTAATTTTCTTTAGGTCAAGAGCTCACTTTTTTTTTCATGTTTTCTGGTTTTTTAGTCTGTTTTTAAGAAAGAAAAATCAAATTTATATGAGAAATTGGAAAAAAGAGAAATTTTTCACACAGCTGTAGACGAATACTGTGGGAATGTCTGCTGAGAAATTTTTTGTTGTTGCAATTTTTGAGGATAATTAGATTTTTAATTGGTGGGAACACTTTATTGATTTGCCTGGAAAATATTTTTTCGGAAGTGGATTTGAAAAAAAAAACATTTTTTGCACGGGACAAAGATTGAGGGAATGTTGATGTTTTTCCTGCAAGGTCGGCCCCGATATTTCTAGAATCGCGGCGGTAGAAATGGAATGGAATGGGAAATGGGCTTGTTGTTTGGGTCCAGAGTTGTTGCCCAATTTGTCCCATTTTCATGGTAGTTTGTGAGATTGATGAGTTGGTAGTTATGAATGGTCGTGAAGCCTTACCAGGGAACGTTTTTAACTCGTTTCCTAACTCGAAAACGAGATATATTGCAAGAAATTTTTTTTTCTTGATCTGCAATCAGGGACTCCTAAAGTACACTCCAGCAAAGTTTCAGCAAAAGTTCAACCGGGGGGTAAAAAACGTTCCCTAGCTAGAAGAGCCTAAAAAAATCGGGTTAGAAATTCGAAAAATCGTTTTTTTTTTTTGCGCTCAAAAAATGCTTGAAAATGCACTTCTTTTCGATTGAACTGTACAGTCAAGACATAATTGAACGATTTTTTCTCATAAATTTGAGCTTTTCTCAATGTTTTTCATGGGATATCAAGGTTCAGAAGCTAAAAAGAGGTAATTTTTAGCCTTGAAACGCGTTTAGTATAGTTTGTGGCTGTTGAAACGGCCTTGGTTTATTGACGTAGAACGGGAATCGAGGTTTTGTTGGAGAGCCATTTCCGACTGTTTAAGAAGGAAATTTGAGTTTTTTTTCGATCTCAAATCGCTTGGAATGACCTATTTAAATTCTAGTTAGCCCTTTTTAAAAGACATTTCAAGCTTCTGGAGAATAAAGTTCATTTGAGCGTTCATTCTTTTTTTCTAAGTAACTTTTGAGCAGTTTTAGTGTGGAATTTGGATGAAAAATGTTTTTTTCGAGCTTTGAAGTGGCTTGACACCGAACTTCAACTTTGAGAGGCTCATTTGTAGCCGCATACTCCTGGACGTTTATAATTGCTTCTTCCGCTTCTTCCCATCCAAGTTGCCTAACCCATTCCATATTTGGAAAGTAGGAGGGAGGTGCGAACAGAGAACACCCTCTCTCTAAACACAGCTGAACATGGTTGGTTCATCATCACCAGAGAGCCATAAAACAGAGAAATAGCAGGGGAAGGAGTAGAGGCCGAGATGGTAGGCACGCAGGGAGACTGCGGCGCGGTTTTGTAGGCGGAGCCCGGCGACGAGGAGGACCCGCCAGAGAAGGCCACAGAAGCCACAGCCGAAAAGCGCCGTCGTCGCCTCTCTTTTCCCGAAAAAATTATTCGATCAACCGACGGAAATCAGAGCTGACGGGTCAGAACGAACTTTGTGCGTGTGTGTGCCACAGCTGCCCCCAGCTGTTGTCTCCCCCGAAAAAGTCGTCGTCGGCGTTCAACACCAACACCAACAAGACCTTCTGAAAGTTGAATCGCTTCTGATTTGCTTCCGACTGAATTCTCTCAAGGCTTACCGAACCGGCAAGCCTTAAAACCCCCAACGACTGCAATCATTCTGCCCTTCCTGCAAACCTCCGCCATGACCCTTCTCCATTCGGGATACCAGCCGACCTACCATCCGGCCAAGGCTTCCAACCGTGATCTGAGTTGGTTTTCTTGATTTTTTTTTTTTGGCTATTTCAGTTAGATCAAGGGTGCTCCATTGATAATTTTTCATTATTTGAAGTAGTTTTGAGTTTCGAGGTCATTTTCAAGTTTTTTTTTTTTGAGTTCTACGATCATTGACTGTCGTAGTTAGATGGCTAAGCTCTGTTGGGATATTTCAATTTTTGAGACTATTTTGAGCTTCGAAGTTGTTTTCAAACCTTTTCTGAGTTCTACGGCTTTTTTAATTGGATTTACTGTGCCCCATTGAGAATCTAGATTTTTTGAGGTGTTTTAGAGCTTTTCAAGTCGTTTTCAAGTTCTTTTCGATCTCTTGATTAAATTATCTCTTTTTTATCATTTAATAGGAGTTTCCAGTAGTAAAACTCATCTTCTAGCTTTCTCTGACCTCTAATTTGGCGATTTATTTAGAGATAGTTTGCTCCAACGAGAATGTTTCAGATTTCTTGGATTTCAAAATGATTTTCTATCCTTTTTTGTGCAAATTGATCTTGTTATATCGACAATTCTCTGTTTGAGCAGCCTTCCCAGCTATTTTCGAGATTGGTCTGTTTCCAGTCGGCTTTCACGAGAATTATGAGCCGGAGTCCGTTTAACATATTAAAATTTTCCATTTCCTCATTCTCAAGTACCCCCCGAGATCATCTGATAGCTGTTTGTGAGCCGTCGTTATCTGTTTACTCAGCCTTTTTAACAACTCGAGCGTTTTATCAAGAGATCTATGGTTTACGGTGCGAGTTCCTCAAATAATTTTGTACTTTTTGTTATTGTTTTTGGACATTTTGCAAATTTTTGGTTACCAGGGGAATCTAGAAGCTATTTTTGATCTTTCAACATCCTCCGCTGAGAATCTCATAATTTAGGAGGTCTTTTTTTTTTGCGCTCCGCAGAGAATTGTCATTTGCACACTCCTCAACCGGAAGTTATCGAAAATTCCTCCTCCAAAAAATTGGTTTTTGATACTTTTTTCTGCAAAAAACTTGCTGTAAAACCCAATGAAATGACGATATTTTCCAGTTAGTTTCCGTCAATCACCCCACTTCCACATTAGCGTTCGTTTTTAGTCGTTTTGTGTTCGTCTGAGAATGGTTTTTGGGGCAAATTGTTCGGAAGAAGCCATGGAAAATTAGCCAGTTTTCACTGGTAATTGGCTTTTGGAGAAGTTGTTCAAGTTCTTTTGTTTCTGTAGAATGGATTGGGTGAGAATTGAGAAGAAAATTGGCTTTACGCAGTTTTGGGGGCTAATTTGAATGCCCAAGTGCGCTCAGATGAGAAATTCACCAATTTTGAGATTCAGAAAAGATTTCGAGAAGTGTATATTTTTTTGTGAAGTTGAAATTTGCTCCATTGAGAGTTTAGGATAAGTTTAGTGATTTTTTTTTCAAGGGTTTTCAAGGTAGTCTCCCAGTTCCTTCCAATCAAAGAAACGAAGTTTAACATTTTCTGCCCCAGTTTTCAATCAACTAAGTCTAAAGATTGTTTTCTTCCTGAAAAAAAAAGAAACGAAATGGAAGCTCTTCTCACATGATGGTGGTAATACAACACCAGGCGTCTCCCCAAAAAACGAAAAAAAAAATCAGCCATCTGTTGGGAATGAATATAAATAATGCGACTTGTGACTTACGGTTGAAAAAAGAAAAGAAAAGAAAAAAGGCAATTTCAGTTTTTTTTGTTGAGATGTGTTGACGAACTTTTCGAGACATGTGATGATTTTCGGCGGGTTTATAAGTGGTTTTGGCTGGACATTGATAGTTTTATTCGTGTTTTCTTGAGGTTTTTGAGGTCTATTCACACTTTTTTTCAGCGAAAATTGAAGCTAATTTCAATATTTTGAGCTTTTTCCAAAGTCAAGCTGCTCTCGTGAAATAATTTGAAGCTCGAGAAGGCTTTTTGTGCTTGTTTTAAGCATTGAGGTCATTGGACGATTTTTTTTTTCCGAATTTTTCCAGTGAAAAGTGGATTTTTCTTGAAAAATTCGTCAAGAAACGTTCAAATATGCGCCAGTGCGAGTTTTAGAGAAATTTGAGTATTTTTTTTTCAAGCTCAAATGAGCTCCATTAAGAGTTTTGAGATTGGCCAATTTTTTGGGTGAATTTTTACTTTTTTGAGTTGAAAATTTGCCTTTTTCGTGTGCAAAATTTGTCGAATTAAAAATTTTTGTTGAAAAATGGCGTGTTGATCTGCTTATTTGTACATATGTACAATATTTTCAAACGCTATCGCTTGACTTGTTAATCGAAAGGAGGCGGGCAGAAACGGGTCACATGGCCACAGACGCCGAGGCGCAGTTGTACAATAGGTTCGGCCGGCCCCTCAAAAATGCACGTGATGGGGGGATAGGAGAGCTCTTCTCAACATTATAAATCGTATAAACAAGCAACAAAACGGTCCTCTTCGCTTCATTCGTTCTAAAATGTTCCAATTTTTCAGCTTTTATTATAGTAGATATAACTACCTTTTCATGAAAATCGAAAGTTTCTTCTTATTCTTAATTTCAAAGCTAATTTTCAAGACCATCCATGTATTATTACAATCATTTAGCACTTTATTAAAAATATTCCACGACTATGTTTTTTTTGTTTCAAATTTTTTGTTGTTTACAGTATGGTTATTTGTGTGTTGGTGTATGCACCAAACATTTAAAATTACGCGCAAAGTTTGGCGCGCCTCAAAAATTGTCAAATTTTTCAGTTTTCTCTTTCTTGTTTTTGAATCTGTTCTTTTTTTGTATCTCTAATCATTCTAACGATTCACTGCTGTTAGTTTTGCGTATAAAGGGGATGCAATTTATAAAAAGTTGCGTGAAAAGTTAACATTTCTTACTGTTCATTTTTCTTGTTACGATTTGTCAGCGTTTTTCTAATCGATAAGGTATGATGATTACTTTATAAACAATATAGTTTTTCTTTATAAATCTAGATTCATTAACAACTTTTTTTCTCCACTTGAAAAATTCCTTATGAGTTTTTTATATATTTCTTTTTTTTTCATTCAAGTTTTTAATCTGGATGTATTTTCAGAGCCCCCGACTCTCAGCTCGGACGACGAGAGCGACTTAAGAATGGGTATGATGAGGCGTGGAAGTGATTTTTCCGAGAATTCATACGAACATCGCTCGAGGTTCGAATTTTTTTTTAAATTTATTGTTTTTATTTGTTCAGAAATGTCGATTGCCCTCACTTTAAATTTTGTATATCATTATAAATTTTGACATCTATCTAGGTTGATTAGATTTTTCACAGTTCTTTCAAGCTTCTTTTGATAGTTTTCCGACAAATTTCCCGTCATGTTTCATATCATTTAATTTTTCCCCAGTTTTAGCGTGAAAATAAATCAATTTTTGCGATTCAGAAACGCGTATGCGGGCCGCGACACGGACCGATTCTTCGGCGACTTTGAGGACGACGAGGCTTGCAGCGAGATCGACGAGGAGCCCGCCGAGTTGGTGCCGATGGGCGGCGGTCGTGGAGGACGCGGCCGAACCCCGCGCACCCCCAAGAAGTCCTACTCGTCCACCGGCTTTTACGGTATCATTTTTTCTCGAGTTAAGATGGATAAGAGGGTTTCAGTTGCAGAATTTAGCCTTTTGTGCGATATTTTTGACCAATTTTTTTTATTTTAATGGTTCATGAAGCATTACGGGAGTTTTGGTTGAGAAATTGTTTGAAAATCTGATGAGAGAATGGGAGATTTTGGCACCTAATATTGTTATTTTAAGGCTTCCTTGAAGGAGAAAGTAATAGAAAGGTTTCAGTAGAAAATTTTGAATTTGCCTCTTCTAGTTTTTTTTTGATCTTCTTACTGTAATTGACTAATTTTTGTTTTAATCACTTTGGAATTTTTTTCATTTTGTTCATATTTTCAGCTAACCCGAACTGGCTTCATAATTATTGTAAAAAAAATTCGAAAGTACTGTTATAGTCTTTATTGATTGATTGAGCTTAAAGGAAATGGAGTGAGAAGAAAATTTAGGCTGTACTGTGATAGGAATATTGATTTTTTCCGATGTTTCCTTCATTAAGCTTGAAGAAAATTCAAATATTATCAAAAACGGTTTCTAAGGGGTTCCGTTTCTGTTGACCTATACTGTCTTTCAGAACAAATAGTTGATGATTTACTCGTTATTCAAACTTGATCTTGACCTACCTACAGTAACCTTAAGACCCCCCTCGCCCCGCCGATAACGATCAATATTTTGACACTTTTATTCCTGTTTTCCAACCGGATACTCATCTCTTTTTTTCCTCCTTTTCTTCTTTTTTTTTCGGCCCCGCCGAAGTCAACAGACACGAAGTTTGTCGTGATCTCTGGCAAATCGAAAGGAAAAGACGAAGAAATGGGTCATTTTCTTGAATTTTGGGAGGAAAAATCACATGTTTTCTCGTGACTTTGAAGTATTGGTATCCATGTTTTTTTTTTCTCTTTCAAGAGGAAAAAAACAGGTAAAGGAGAAGATTAAAGCACAGTTGTTACACACACACGCACGCTCAACTGTTCTTCTCGTTTCCATGATCTGATCACTTGGATCAGTGCCAATGAGCACCGAGGTGTTTGTGGATTGATCAGGTCATGAGCGATTGAAAATGACAGAGATAAGAAGGTTTCTTGGCATTTTTGAGTGGAATTTCAAGATGCCAGAGGCAAATTTGAGATGTGGATGATGATTTTTGAAGTTTCTTTGTAAAAAATTTGACGGGAAAAAGTTTTTGACAGTGTCGAATTGAGTAATCGTAATGCAAGTTTTTTTTTCGAAGTTGATTTGGAGAATTTAATCACGAGAGACTTGAAAACGATCTTTTTCCGAAAAAAAATTCATTAAAATTACTTCGAAAATCGCTCTGCTCTCAAAATAAACCATCAAAAATCATTCCTTCAGACATTCATGAACGCAGCTTTTATTATTCTCAAGAAAAGCGATTCAGCTGTCTTTTTCGTTCACAGTCCCTTAGTCGTTTGAGAAAAAAGAAATTTTTGTTGAAACCTGTTGTTTTTGAGGAATTTTTCCCATTGATTCTAAGACGAATCCACTCGAAGAATCAACTCCAACCACTTCTTTTATCAGGACGAATTTGCTGCTCTCGATTTGCCCCGGCAAACAGTTTCCGCCAGAGCAAACGATGGTCGTTGATCATCATCAGTTCAACGGGGCACACGAAAATTTTCTTCTTTCCCAAACACCATATTGACTCAGAGATATGAAACAAAAAAGAAAACGAAATTGATTTTCCCAGGGATAAAAGAAAAAAAGAAACGGCGGCCATAAACGGTACGTGTCTGGAGGAATGGTTTTTGAGAGTTTATTTTGAGAGAAACATGATTTTTGGAAAATCTTTTGGAGCAGAAAAGATATGGGGGAATTTCTTGAATAGGTTTTTGTGCGTAACATTTATTTTAAGGCTTCTTTCTGGTAATTTTCGGTCGAATTTCGAAAAAAAGACGGGTTTTTTCATGATCAAAAAAAGTCTGCGGACGTTTTTTTCATTCTAAAATTCCCTGAAAAATTGAATATTTCTTTTTTTAATTAGCCATAGATTTTTTTCTTCTCAAAAGAAGCCTTATTTTTTTAGAAATAATCTAACTAGAAAAATGTTTTTTTCTAAAAAAATAGTTCTCCGAGAGTTGCCAAATATAGTGTCCATGTGTGTGTGTGTGGGCGAGCGGTGTTTTCTTTCGAGCCAGCTGGCTTGGAAAAGGAAGAGACGAAAATAAATAATATGTAGTCTATTCACTGAGATGCTGCTCGTTTTTAGAAATATTCCTTGAGATTTTTCAGGGACCTTTTTGGTTTTCGAAATCGCTCAGTGAGAGACTGATAAATTATTGAACAATCGGAATATTTCCAATTTCGCATTCGTCTTGGCTTGGCTGATTACGTATGCATTCGATGTTGTGTAGGAGGGCTGGACAATGAGTAATGGATATAAATGGTCTCTTTTGTGGACCCCAAGGTCTTTGTGAACATTTTATGGGGGGAAATTGGAGAGCTTTGCTGGGGTCTTTGAGTTTTATGGCTTTTAGAAGATTTTTTAGAGCTTTTGGGGTTGTGAAGTTGAGAAAAGGCGTCATTTTTAAGTTTTATACACTGATTATGTCATGATCGTTGTTTGGAATTGGTTAGTGCTTAACCTTTATTCACTAAGACCGGTTTAGAGCTGAATTTTGAAGTCCTAGAGGTAGTTCTTGTTAAATTGAGCACGATAGCCTTCATTTTAAGGCTACCGGTCTACTTTGGAGGTTTTGAAGAGGAATGTCTTCTCAATAAAGAGTTCCCAGATCATTTTCTCTCTTCTTCAAGGCTTGGATCGTTTTGGGAGCATCCTTGGGTTCATTTTCGGTTCGTACAACCTCAAAGACCCGGCTAGGTCACACAATAGAAACACCGCCACAAAATGACCTTGATCATTTCTCACGCCGACTCGAAAGATGTCGAATGGCGGCTGGATCGAATCCGATATATAACCGTCACGCGATACATAGTATCGCATCTGGACCACAGCGATCGGTTCTATTTTTTTGAGCCGCGCGCTTTTGCGAGCAAATCCGCCCCAACAATAAACACCACGTCATTTGACCTCCTCTTTCCCACGTCACAACGCCGAATGAGAAGAAACAATGACGTGATGTATGGAATGGTAGGGGTCAGCGGCGACGGCGGTCATTGTCTCCTCTCACCCTTATTTTTTTTTTGGTGTTTCTGGAAGTTTCTAGTGTTGAAGAACTAACAAGGAAGACCAGCCGAGAAGTTCAGAATTTTCTAGAATTTGATCGAAAGGTTGTGTTGGTCACGAATTAGACGATCGTTATCTAGTACATCAAAGAGTGTTTTGGCTAGATCGTTCTAAAGTCATAGGTGAAATTATCGTCGACATAGAACCAGAAGGGGGAAAGATTGAGCTGATATATGAATATCGAGGAATTCTAAAGATCTTTGCTCAAGATTAATTCGATTAGATTAAAGCTATCCTCAGAATTTATAGCTTTAGTTCAAAAATATCCACTCAACTTGTCAAGCCGGAAATCTAAAAAGCCAAATAAAAGGAAAATGAGAACTTGTTTTCGATAGGAAATTTGAAATTTTCGAAGCTTTATGGACAGCACAATAGCCTGCAGATGTTTTGAAACGAGCCAATCCTCTACGGCTCCTCCTCGTCTTTCGGGCCCATAAACTCGCAAAGAAGAGGTCAACGGTGTATACGCCTCACAGAGAGGGATGATTGACCGCCTCCAAGGATCTACCGAATTAGCGCCTCTCCGAGCGTGGACAATTTCCAAGGGACATTCGGCTGGATTTGGGTGTAACAAGTAGAACATTTTCTTCTTCCTGACATTGAAAGCAAAAAATTTCTCTAGAGCGGCTAGAATATATTAAATCGAGTTTTGTTGGTTTTATAAGGTTTTCAGTTGAATCGGCATAATTTAATTGTGAATGAGGGCTTCAATTATTATTTCTGTAAGTAGCTTAAGAGAAGATTCTTCAAACTTATCGAATGATACCCAAAAAAATTCAAAATTTTCGCTTGGCCTATTAACCTTTGATGCACTCTCCAGATTGCCGTGTTTGTTTGCTGGTTTATTCCTTCTCTCCAAGACCATATGCGGAAGCGGCAGGTGCGCACATTCGGCCTTTAAGTGGTGTGAGAAGAGCTTTTGGGACTTTTTCGGTGCAAGCTTTTGGTCAGGAAAAGCTTGAAAAGCAATAGAGTAACTGGCTTTTTGAATTTCTGTTTGGAGGAATCAGATAGGAATGGGTTTTACCCTACAGAAGCTCTAATTTTTTTGAGTTGTCCTTTCATTTGGAAAGCTGTGGAATGAAGCTTGAGAAAACTGGGGAAACTGGGATTTTTCGCAGTTTCTCTGATTCAGTTTCGAATCCGGGAGCTTGAAAGAACTGCATTTGATTATGAAGTGGAGTCCAACAAGCTTCATAAATGTTAGCTTCAAAAAAAAAACCTTTCTGGAGTTATCATCTCAAAGATCAGAAGCTCAAAGATCAGAAGATCAAACGAACAACGTGACCAATTCATTGTGAAGACTTGGCAAAGCCGTTTTTTTTTCTCTCTCTGGCGTCGTGCCCAGGGTAGTGCCCCAAAAATGGTCACAAGACAGAGTAGGCAGAAGAAGGAAAAAAAACGCGTGACTCTCCGTTACTCCCTTGCGCGTGAGTCTGCGGCGAGCCTCGCCATTCTTCACTATTTGAGGCGCGTGAGCTGATGCAAACGCGTGTTTTTTTCCAGGGTTCTTAGGGACCTTGAAGAAAAGAAAAATTCGGAGAATGTCTTGGAAGATGAGAAAATGGTATTTTCTATTCAGTTTTGCCGATTTTTCGAGGGGAAATGATGAATTTGATGAAGCTTTTGGGATTTTCCTGTTGGTAAGGCTGATTTTACTGGGATTAGATGCTTCGAGCTTCTGAGAGCTGGTGATTCCACGTTGAAAGAGATAAAATGGTATTTTTTAGCCTTTGAAGCTTTTCCTCTCAATTAAAAAAGTTTTTGAGCATTCATCCGAGTTTCAAGGCTTTTTTTAAGTTCTGAAGAGCTTTCGGAGCAAAAATACGAAGATTCTCCGGAAACTGAACTTTCGAACAAATATTTAGTTCAAAACCTTAAGCTTCATTGATAATAAGGTATGTATATATTTGAATCTCTGACCTTTTTCTCATCCAAATAAGTTCTATGATTCGCTATTCAAATTTATTTCCTTGTTGTTGTCCCGTAGCGGACATGTTTTTCGGAAAACTTTTTCTTCCTTCTTCTTTATTTCTCCTTTTTTCTAGAAAATGGCTGGTCAACATTGGCCACAGATTCGAAAGCATGGAGAGAACAATGAGAGATTAGTTAAAGGAAAATTGTTTTCCTATAAATCCAACTGTTTGTCGTTTCCCCTCCCCCCTTTTTTTGAGTCATCTTTTGTGATTCCATATGATTTAGCAACAAAAAGGGGCAAATAAAGCAGAAAAACGATAAAAAAAGGTGCTTATTGGGAAAATTGCGAAATGCTTGTTCAGCGTAATGTGTGTACGGATTGTGAAATTGTGCAGCTCAGTTTTGATCTGATGCAAAGTTAGAGGGGCTTTGCCGGTTGTGAGACTGTTCTCCCGTCTTATTAGCTGTACTTTTTGAATTTTCCTGGAAAATGCGGCCTCTTTCCGGTGATTTTTTCAAGTTTGTTGATGATTTTTAGGGAGGGTTGTAATTTTAAGGAAGGCTGCAATAAATTTTGTAAGGAGAGGCTTTGAAAAGACGTGATGTTCATTAGATGGCAAGGAATGGGTTCTTAAAGTTGGTACTATAACTTGATATACATTGGGGACGGTTTTTTGAACCTTAAAACTGTTAAGAAGTCGTTTAATGCTCCTTTGGGCTTTTAGGGGTCTTTGGAAGTTTTATAACCTTTGTAGGGAACCAAAAAAGTTTCTAAGGAAGATTAAAACGTTATTACTTCACCTTGACTTTAAACTCGAAGGTTCCTAACGGTCTAATTACTAGTATTGAACAATGAAAAATCACTTTTCTTCTGAAACCCTCATTCCTTCTCATACTAGACTTGATATGATCAATTTTCAGCCTTGAGTTCACAATTTTTGCAGACTTCTACAAGCTGACGGACGAGCACTTGGGTGCTGGGGCCTACGCGAGCGTCAAGACCTGCACCTCGCTCACCACCGGCAAAGAATACGCTGTCAAGGTACCCGCAAAAGAAGAATCCCCTCGAAAAAAAACCCGTGAACCAGGTGGTTGACAAGAACGAGGAATCGCACACGCGATCCCGAATCATGCGCGAGGTCAACACCTTCAACCTCTGCAAGAACCATCCCAACATCGTTCAACTCATCGAGGTGAGGGAAGATCGGAAATGAGAACTTTTGTTTGGCTCTTTGAGGCGTCTAAAAAATCTTGAAGTGTTTCGAATTTTTTCATTCAAAAGAGAGGAGCTAGGCAAAACGGATTCAATGGTAAATCCAAGTAAATTTGGCCAGAGTTTGAAATAACACGACCTTTCGAAGTTTAGGAAACAGTTTAGAGTTTCCAACAAAAGTTAGAAGGATGACAAAAATCTGTAGCAATGAAGAAGGCTTCAAAAGCTTCAACGGTCACTCCAGGAGCTCTAGAAAATTAGGAAGATCTAATATTTGCTCTTTGGAAGCTTCAGAAGCTCCAAACGTTAGATCTGATGAAATTTTTAAAAAAGGATTTTTAGCTCTACTTAAAAGAACAAGTTTTGAGCTGTGAGATTTGTAATTTTCATGGTCGGTTGGCCGAAAGAAGCTGTAAATCACCAGGAAGCGTCTCAAAAACTAAATTTCCAGACCAACCATGACTTTTTTTTTCCAGTGGTTCGAAGACGAGAACAACTTCTACATGGTGTTCGAGAAGATGCGCGGCGGGCCGCTCCTGCAGCACATCCTGACGCGCGGCTATTTCACCGAAGAAGAGGCCCGACGCGTGACGAAAGACATCGCGTCGGCGTTGAAGTTTCTCCACGACCGCGGTGTCGCCCATCGCGACGTCAAGCCCGAGAACGTGCTCTGCACGGAGCCGGACCGCGTCTCGCCCGTCAAACTGTGCGATTTGGACCTCGCCAGTCGCGCTGTCAAGACCAACAGCGCTCGTCAGCATTTGCCGCAGGTCCTTTTTGCAGACTCTGAAAAGTATTTCTAGGTCTTTTTGATACTTTTCAGCTTTCAGAACCAAGTTTTAGTGATTGGAAACTTGTAGGAGCATTTTTTGAGCTTGAACAAGTTTTTTGAGTGTGAGGAGAATTTCTGAGCTTCATCTTATCATTCGAAAGCTCTAGTGCCTTTTAAAGGTTCGTGGGGTCGTTTTTAATTTTAAAAGCTCCTTTTCACCGTCAAATAGAACCATTTTGAGGACAGAGGGGCAGTTTTTAGGGGAGCTTGGAACTGATTTTGAGAATAAATGACAATTTTGAAGTTGTAGATTAGTTTGAAGGTTTTTTTGAACCGATTATGACTTAGAAACGTTTTTACCCCCCTAGGATTGTTTTGAAGACGGTATGAAGGAGTAGTAGGAAAAAAACCAGAAAAAAGCTCACCTAATGGCTTTTTTCCAGGTGGCGTCGGAGCCGGATCTCGCATCGCCGGTCGGCAGTGCCGAATTCATGGCACCGGAGGTGGTGGACGCGTTTGTCGGCGAAGCGCTGAAATACGACAAACGGTGCGATATGTGGTCGTTGGGCGTGATCCTCTACATCATGCTCTGCGGCTACGTTCCCTTCCAGGGACGCTGCGCCGACGAGGATTGCGGGTGAATATTTTTGAGAAGTGTGAAAGTGCTTTGAAGCTCTATATAGGTGCATCATAGGTTACTTTGGCAGCTTCTATAGGTTTTCGCAAGCTTCCAGGGCTTTTTAGAAGGCTAGGAAGCTATTAGAACTCTTCAGAAGTCGCTGAACTCATTTTAAAAGTTTTAGAATCTTTAAAATCTCTGATTTTTTGTTGAAAGCTTGATATACCATTCAAAAGCTTCTTCATAGGTTTATCAGAAGTCCATAGGTTACTTTGGCAAGTTCTATAGCTTTTCGCAAGCTTCCAGGACTTCTTAAAAGGCTAGAAAGCCTATTTTGAAGCTGTTAGAACACTTCATAAAGCGATGAATTTTTAGTTTTTTAGAATATTGAGAAGCTCTGATTTCTCGTTGAAAGCTTAGAAAGTCCTTTAAAAGGTTCTAGACCTTTTGAGCTCGTTTTGGACCTTTTATAGTTTAACTAGATGCTCAAAATGATTTTTAATCGACTGGTTAACTTTTAAGGCTTTTAAAGCCTTCCAGACCTTTTCTGAAGCTTTAAAGCATATTTTAAGCTTTTGAGGATTTTTTTGAAACTAGAGAGAGATAGGAGATAAGACGAAATTCACAAAGAAAACATATCATGAACGTTAAGATGAATTGCTCACTCCCCAAAGAGTTACAGCTGGATGGACGGCAAGGAGTGCGAAGACTGCCAACAGGACCTGTTCGCCCGGATCCAACGCGGCCAATACGATTTTCCCGAAGACGAATGGGCGGAAATCTCCCTGGAGGCTCGCGACCTCGTCTCCCATCTTCTGATGAAGAACGTCGCCGAGAGGTTCACCGCTGATCAGGTCCTCTCCCATCCGTGGATCCAGCAGAGCGCTCCGCCAACCGTCTTGCAGACCCCGGGCAATTTGTATCGGTGAGTTGAGGAGTGAAGATCTTTCTGAAGGCTTGAGCAGACTTGTAGGCAGATAGGAGCTCTAATGTGCCTTTGTGACTTTTTCCAAACTTAGGGACTCTTTTGGAAGGTCTTAGCATGTCTAAATGAGAGTCGGAACTACATGAAGCTTTGAGAATTTTTTTTGAGCCAGCCGAAAAATTGAGCGAAGTCAGAGGATAACAGAAAGTCTAGAGAATTTGGAAAGTTCTTCATTGATATCTGCGAACTCTTTTACAGTCTTTAGATTGTCGAAACATGAAAAACTGAGTTTAAAAAGCTTTTTGAGTTTTTTGAGACCTACTTCAGTTGATCCTTTATGAAGATTTCTCGAACCAAAATCAAAAAATGGGTTTTTTTAGCAAAGACTCGGCTCGCGACGTGCAGCAAATGACGGAGAACTTCACGGCGATGAGCCGCTTCACCGGGCATCTCTCCAGCCGAATGGAGCGTCTTTCGCTGGAGGAAGACGGCGCCGAGCCCGTCGGCGGCATGGTCAGCGCCAACAGCGGCGGACCTTTTCTTCTTCTGGGCAACGAGCCGTTCCAGCCGCCAGCTTACAACAAAGGCCGGGCCGATCCATTTGCCACCGCAAGCCGTGCCAGTCCGACAACTCCGCCGCCCTCGATGGAGACGGCTGATGTGCCCACCGGCGACAGCGTACGTCTTCTTTTTCCGTTGCTCCTCTGAATGAACTTGTTCTTGTTCTTGTTCTTGTCTTTGTTTTTATGCATTTCCTTGTTGAAGTTTGGCCTTTGAGAAGCTTCCACTAGTCCTTCTCGCTTTCGGTGTAGTTAACGGCCTGTCGGTCTTGGTTTGAACAGGTCTTGAGCCATTCCAAATGCGACCATTGATTTTTTCGGCGGGCACGACTGTTCGTGTCTTTTTGTATCATAGCTACTAAAAAGGGGAAAACTTGACCGTTTTACTGTAAATTTTGTTAAGCCAAACAAAGTTTTTCAGATATTTTTTTGCTAAATTTGGAGTGGTTATAAGCTTGGAGGCTATTTTTAATAGAAAACGAATATTTCTTTCCAGTTTAAGGCTCTTTTGGACTACTTTTTCTGTAACCTATCATTTCGAGGCGCATCATAGTTGCTCAGAAAAAAAACTCTCTTATGACCTTTTGAAACCTGTCAGAGCCTGTTCGAACGCATTTCTGTGTCCCTCATTATTCTCAGAAAAATATCATCAATTTCCCCGATTTCAGTACAGCGACTCGGCTTCGTTCGCCATGTTCACACCATCGACTCTTCGCTCGGCTTCTTACTTCACCGGCTCCTATGACGACGACTTCATCGTGCCCAACCGCGACGACATCTCCATGCTGTCCCTCGAGTCGGCCAACAGCGCCAATCGGAACATCGTCGGCGTCGTCGCTGCAGCGGCTGCTGACGTTGCCGAGACCTGCCAGGGCGCCATGGTAGCTCATGTCAGTCTTCAGCTTGCTTTTGAATATTTTTCAGAACAGTAAGAGCCTAGGGAAGTCTTCTGGATCGTAAGCAATAGGGTAATCATCGTTAGGGCCTTTTAAAGCAATCAGATAGATTCTGAAGCTTGTAGAACCTTTTGAAACTTGCTAAATATTTTGAGACGCTCTTGAGGGAATATTGAACTAAGCTCCATAATTTTGCAGGACTCCAAGTCGGACCTGCACCAGCAAACTCGCGAAACTGAAGTCCAAGTGTAGAGACCATCAGCACCGTCGTAGCAGCACACAAATCCACCAACTTCTCATATAGTTTCTATCCTTCGTTTTCCTCTTCTCACTGTCAATATCGTTGTCTGTTTTCCCCCCACCCAAAAATCGATAACTCTTGAAGAGTTTCCGATTGTATATAGAATTGTTTCACTTCTTCTCTTTTCTGTAAAAAACAATGTAGCTTTTTTTCTTCTCTTCCTAGCTAGTAGGTAATGATAGGATCTAAGTTCCTAACTTGACGGGAAAACCAACTCGAATCGAGAAGAACTGTTCGATATTTGACTGTAAATACTCGAGAAAATCGGACAAGTTTTCCCTCTTTTTGAGGTTGTTGCCTCACAAATTGTGCATTAGCGTGAATCGCCTCGTTTTTGGCTTCTGATACTTGGAGCGGTCCCTCTAGGGAACACTCCATCTTAGAAAGTCCAAGTTTGTTTTCTTCTCCTTTTTTTTTGCCTTCTCATCGAATTATTGTTCTCGAAATGCGTGTACAAATCGTTCAACTGCTGGTCTTCTTTTTCATTTTTTAATTTTTTTTTAGTTAGAACTTCGTCGCCGATTTTCTAGCTTAATTTTTGAAGAAAAATGGATCGATTTTCCAAAAACTTTGGAATTATTTTTCAGGAAATCTGATCCAATTTTCTTCTCACACACACACTACACATACACACACCTTATTTATAAGTAAGCTTGTTTTTTTTTTTCTCGCCTTATGTATTCATTTTTTTTTCTGTTGTTGGTGTTCACTTTCCGTGCGTGTAGGGCTTCTGGTTTTTTTTTCTTTGAAAATTCGGCCAGTTGTCTTCCGAAAAGTTGCCCCCCTGCAGCAAGAGGAGATTGAAAAAATCCACCTTTTTCTCTTGCTGTGCCTTGTTTTGTTGCTTGTTCGAACAACCCGGGTCGGAATCCGTTTCAACTTGTATTTTTTTGATTTTTTCTTGAATCTTCGAGTTGAAATGGAAATAACAGTGCAAAACACGCGTGTAGCTATGCAAATGTTTCTTTTTTTCGGATTGAAGGTGGAAATTGGTGCTTTTTAAGTTTTACAAAGACTTGGCACGGCTTTTGAGGATCATTCTGAGCCCAAAAGAGGAGTTTTCGATTCTTTAAAAGCTTGGAAGTGTTCCTGGAAAAGAAAGCTTGAGTTGTGCTAAATTTTGGGTTTTATTGATCGCATTTGGAATGGTTAGAAGCGTTGCGGTCGCGCTGCGGTTTGCTTAAGAAATGATACCGAAGAATCAATACGAACCGCAACGCTACCGCGGCTGATCAACTCATTCCCAATGCGACCAACCTTCTTCACAGCGCCAATTTTCGGCCTTCTCTCACCGTCCCTCCCATCCAACAACGGTGTATATATATTCAATAAGTTTTTTTTCCCTCTCTTTAAAGTACGAACGGTTCTCTTTTTGTTATTCTTTTTCCTCCTCTCTGTAAATCTTTTCTCTTTTCCAACTGGTGTGTATGTATAGCTTGTAACTCGGTTCTGTGCTCTTTTTCTATGAAGATTGGGTAGAAAATTCCATTTTTTATGAGAAACTTCTTTTAAATTGTTCTACCCAATATTCGAAACTTGTTCATTTGGTTGTAAATACCCACAACTTTTTTTTCTCTTCCCAATTTTATTTATATTCTTTTGGTTCTCTATATTTTTTCTAGCCTAACTTCTTTTTTTATCTAATTTTTTTCTAGTGTCTTAGGCTAGACCCCACGATCATGGCTTTTTATTTAATTTCTAGGGCTCTTTAGGTTTAGTATCGTGTTGATAAGTCAAGGCCATGATCGTGAATTTTTTTGTATTTTTTACAAAAATGAGGAAAACGACAAAAAAAGGTCTTTTTTTCGAAAATCCTTCTTCACTTAACAATCGACGTGTTGAGGTGCTACACACATACACTCACGATGAATAACACCAACTCGTGCATTTTTTTCCCCTCGCCAACTCAATTTTTCATCATTGGAGCGAACTTTGCAATGCAAAAATGGCCTCTCCATTTGATTGTTTCATCGAGTCTCCCCCCGAAGTTATTTGGATGTTTTTCAATTCTCCCAACATTTTCGACTTCTTCACTTTTTTCTTATCTGTACCATAATATGACAGAAAAAGTTTTCCAAAAAGTATCTATTTATCTAAAGTATTGTATTTTATTTATTTTTCCCCCGAAGTTTGTTTTCGTTTTGTTTTTGTTAAAAACTCGAGAAAATATGGAAAAAAAGAAATGTTGGAGAATAAAACTGTGAATAACCAAGTGATTGTTTGACGTGAAATTTCGAAAGAAGGGAGTTCCGTGGAGCAGACTTGTGCCGTTCCATGGAGCACATTTTGGTGTTGCCAATTCATACTTTTAATATTTATTTATTTATTTACAAGAAAAAAATGTCATTCGGTGAGAGAGATTCCCGGTTAAAGAAGAAGGAGAAGATATTTTCAGCACGGCTGATTACAAAGCTCATATGATTTTTGTGGTTTGAAGAAACATGTACAGTATGACCAGGGATTACGGTAGTTTAGAAGGCGATGATGATCGCCCCGATGACGTAGACGATCATCGTGACCGTCGAGGTGATGTTGTTCAGGGCCGAGTGAATTTGAACCCAATCGGCGGTCGCGTCCTGAGACATCTTTAAAATGCGGACGGTTTGGTTTTTATTTCGTTTTTGATGGGTTTTTCTTCTCTTTCAATATAGACAGGTTTTCAGTGGATTCAGAAGAAAGAAAAGCCAATTTAAGTGGTCACTATAGGGGTTGTTCTGAGACGTCTTTAAAATGCGGACGGTTTGATATTTATTTCATTTTCGATGGGATTTCTTCTCTTTCGATATAGACAGGTTTTCAGTGGATTCAGAAGACGGAAAAGCCAATTTAAGTGGTCACTATAGGGGTTGTTCTGAGACGTCTTTAAAATGCGGACGGTTTGATATTTATTTCATTTTCGATGGGATTTCTTCTCTTTCAATATAGACAGGTTTTCAGTGGATTCAGAAGACGGAAAAGCCAATTTAAGTGGTCACTATAGGGGTTGTTCTGAGACGTCTTTAAAATGCGGACGGTTTGATATTTATTTCATTTTTGATGGGTTTTTCTTCTCTTTCAATATAGACAGGTTTTCAGTGGATTCAGAAGAAAGAAAAGCCAATTTAAGTGGTCACTATAGGGGTTGTTCTGAGACGTCTTTAAAATGCGGACGGTTTGATATTTATTTCATTTTTGATGGGTTTTTCTTCTCTTTCAATATAGACAGGTTTTCAGTGGATTCAGAAAAAAGAAAAGCCAATTTAAGTGGTCACTATAGGGGTTGTTCTAAGACATCTTTAAAATGCGGACGGTTTGGTTTTTATTTCATTTTTGATAAGCTTTAAAAAAAAAGGTTTTCTGTAGTTTTAGAAGACAGAAAAACTAATATAAGTGGCCACTATAGGAGTTATTCTGAGACATCTTTAAAATGCGGACGTTTGGAGATTTTTTGCGAACTTGCATAGTGAATATGTTCCTTGAAAACTTGTATATGTTCTGAATTTAGAATATTTTTGATAAAATTTTTGAATGACTACTGTATCTCGGTAATGCCCCGGACGATCCTGAAAATTTCTAGTGACCACTTTAGCGGTGTCAGCACCCTTAAGTGATTAATTGGCTCCCCGAAACGTCCGGGTTACCGAGTACTGACAAATTTCCTTCAAGAAAATAAAAAGATAACTGGTAAAAAAATATTTTTTTCTTGTGCCAATTTTATTGATAAAAAAATTATTGTTTCTTTTTAAAAAAACAGAGCCTTTTCTATAGTCAATGTTTCCCGACTTGAAAGGCGAGGTGGGCGGGAGCAGGGGCGGGACGCGTAGCGTGTGCGTACGCGGTCCTTGGCACCAGTTCAATTCAATTGCCGCCGACTATTTGAAAAGATCGGCAACCGCTCTTTCTCTTTATTTTCTACTAATTTTTGATTCACAAATTAACATAATCAATAAATAATTAAAAAATAAGTTAAAAGAGCGATAAATGAGCTCTCTGAATGCTTTCTGGCGGTTGAATTGAACTCGTGCCAAGAACCGCGTACGCACACGCTACGCGTCCCGCCCCCTGCCCCGCCTCCCTCGCCTTTCAAGTCGGGAAACATTGACTATATATTAGAGGGCTCTCAATAGTAAATTATCATTTTGAAAGAGTTTAGGCAAGAAAAAAAAAGACGTTTTCAGCTGTGAAACAGTTGCATTACACAGCTCCAAAAAGGATCACGAACTTTTCGAGGTTTCATATTTTTGATTTTTTGAATTTTGAGTTGAAAATGAAGTGAACACTGTAGCTGATTTACGGCTGACTTGAGCTATCTAAAAATGGGTCCTGGCACGATAAGAAAAGAGACAGTTTCTGGTTTGTGGAGACAGGCCACGCCCCTTAGCGTCCCAAGCTAGCCATGAATCGGCTATACAAACCTTCGTCGAAGTTCCATCAGTAACCGGCTCGTCTTCAGATCCACAGCACAAGTTTGCATTAAGAACCGAGGCCAGGAGGGTGTAACGATGGGCTGAAAAATCATTTTTTTTTTTTCGTTTTTCCAAATCAAGAAAATCTTCCGAATGAGTCAAAAATGAAGAATCTGGCTTTGAAAGACCTTTTTAGCTTTATAGAAAAATGAGAAAAAAATTCATGAAATTGAAAAACTACTCCCTTTAACGACCTTCTAGCGTTATGAAAAATGTTAGAGAATTTTTTCAAGCTAGAAATTGATAAACTTCAGCTTTCCACGACTTTCTAGCGTTATGAAAAAGTGTTAAAGATTTTTTCAGGCTTGCAATTGATAAGCTACTCCCTTTAACGACCTTCTAGCGTTATGAAAAATGTTAGAGAATTTTTTCAAGCTAGAAATTGATAAACTTCAGCTTTCCACGACTTTCTAGCGTTATGAAAAAGTGTTAAAGATTTTTTCAGGCTTGCAATTGATAAGCTACTCCCTTTAACGACCTTCTAGCGTTATGAAAAATGTTAGAGAATTTTTTCAAGCTAGAAATTGATAAACTTCAGCTTTCCACGACTTTCTAGCGTTATGAAAAAGTGTTAAAGATTTTTTCAGGCTTGCAATTGATAAGCTACTGCCTTTAGCGACTTCCTAGCATTGTAGAAAAATGCGAAAAAAAATTTTCGAGCCTTAATTTGATGGAATATTGCATGGAAAGGCCTACTAGCGTTATAGAAAAATGTTAGAAATTTTTTCCAAGGCCGAAAATTTAAGAACTGTTGCCTTATAAGACCTTCCAGCGTTATGGAGAAGCTCGAGAGATTTTTTCAAGTCTGTAATTGATAAACTACTGCCTTTAACGACTAAGACCTTCTAGCGTTATAGAAAAGTTCGAGGGATTTTTTTCAAGCCAAAAATTGATAAACTATTGCCTTATAAGGCCTCCTAGCGTTATAAAAATTGTTAGAGATTTTTTTTTCAAGACAGAAATTATGAACTGTTTCTTTATAAGGCCTTCTAGCCTTATAGAAAAATTCGAGAAGATTTTTTCAAGCCAGAAATTGATAAAATTCAGCCTTCAACTAATTTCTAGCATTATAAAAAAAATGTTAGAGAATTTTTTTCAAGCCAGAAATTGATAAACTTCAGCTTCAAAGGACCTTCTAGCGTTATATAAAAACGTTTTTGATTATTTTTAAAAAAAGGACGAAATTGATTTCGTTTTTTTAGGCTAGAAATTGATAAAATTCAGCCTTCAACTACTTTCTAGCATTATAAAAAAATGTTAGAGAATTTTTTTCGAGCCAGAAATTGATAAACTATTGCCTCAAAGGACCTTCTAGCTTTATAAAAATTTTTTTATTTTTTTCAAAAAGTGTAAAATTGATAAAATCCTGTCTTTATCGACTTTCCAGCATTATAGAAAAAGTAGAAAAAAATGGTTAAATTGCAAGTTTTAAAATAAAAATGGTTGGATCGAGCTCTCTTTCCCTATCTTAACATTCTCACTTCATAAAAATCCCACCTGGAGGAACCTTCCTCTTAATTCGGCTCATGGCAGCGATAATGACTGTTGCGATCAAGCTGATCACCGTCATTCCAATAGTGAAAGCGTAGAAAATATCTGAAATCAAATTTTTTTTTTCGTGAAGTTGAAAAAATAACTAACAAATTTTAGGAATCGTATCGCCGAAGCCGAGTTGAGGGGTCTTCTCGGCCATGAATTGGAAGCTCATGAACTGCAGCAAAAGGGCGAACATCTTGACTTGGATCTGGAATTTTCTGGTAATTTTTAAGTTCTGGAAAAAAATGTATGATAACATCTTCATTAAAGGAAACAGCGAAATTCTTATATTTTTATCTTCTTTCTTTAAAAAAAGCTGGGAAAAAAACTCTAGTGGCCACTTAAGAAGTTCCTGAAAGACTATTTGGACAGGGCACTAAAGTGGCCACTAAAACCACCTCCATAGAAGCCACTATTTTGCGTCTTAGTGGCCACTATAGTAGTCTTCAGGGGACTTTTAATACCACTTAGACCTCTAAAGAGGCCACTAGATTTCAACCACTTAAGTGACCACTAAAACCATCTCTGTAGAAGCCACTATTTTCTTCTTAGTGGCCACTATAGTAGTTTTCAGTGGTGGACTCATAGTACCACTAAGACCTCTAAAGAGGTCCCTAGATTTCAACCACTCAAGTGCCCACTAAAACCACCTCTATATAAGCCACTATTTTGCGTCTTAGTGGCCACTATAGTAGTTTTCAGGGGACTCATAGTACCACTAAGACCTCTAAAGAGGTCCCTAGATTTCAACCACTTAAGTGGCCACTAAAAGCATCTCTGTAGAAGCCACTATTTTCTTCTTAGTGGCCACTATAGTAGTTTTCAGTGGTGGACTCATAGTACCACTAAGACCTCTAAAGAGGTCCCTAGATTTCAACCAAAGTGGCCACTAAAATCATCTCTATATAAGCCACTATTTTGCGTTTTAGTGGCCACTATAGTAGTTTTCAGGGGACTCATAGTACCACTTAGACCCCTTAAGAGCCCACTAAACTTTAAACACTTGAGTGGCCACTGATTTGACTACTATAGTGGCCTCTTAAACGTCAAATCCCTGAAGTGGCCACTAATAAACTTTCCTAGGAACTTGGAAGGAAGTGTTAATTTTTTTGAAAACGCGGCTCATTATCTGGTTTTTGGTGAACTCTGTAGATTTTTCGGATTGGCTTTCACACTTCCCCCATGAGAAAAGCTCCTTTGACTCTCCAAAAAAAGCCATTTTTTCGAAATTTCAGTAAAGAAGTCCAACCTGTTGCTTGAATTTGCCGAAGAATGGAGCAATCAGGAGAATTAGGGCTGAAATCAGAACAGGAAGGGTCAGCTCAACGGCCAAAGTCGTCGATTTTCGCATAACCGTCAGGCAAACTTCCAGCTTCTCGGCCCTGGAAAATTGGATTTGATGCCATTTTTTAGTGGAAAATTAGGTTTTTTTGATAAATTAAAAGGGAAAGTTAGTTGGGATGAGTCTTCTAATGAGAAACTTGACAAAAAGAGCTTATTGGGAAAATTTTTAGTGGCCACTATAGAGGCTCGCCAAGGACTACTTGGAGAGGACACTAAAGTGGCCACTAAACCCACCTCTATAGTGGCCACTTCAGTAGTTTTTCATCCAGTATCCCTTCCAGTAACACTGATAATTTCATACATACAGATTGGACCAGTTATGTTTATCCATTGATCCCTAAAGTGGCCACTAAAATTTTTAGTGGTCTAGTAGTAGCACTTCGACCTCTATAGTGGCCACTTATTTTTAACCCCTTAAGTGGTCACTAATTTGACTAATTTGACTATAGTGGCCACTAAAACGTCAAATCCCTATAGTGGCCACTAAAAAGTTTTCCAGTATGTTCTTTTTGCGGATTTTTTGCTTTTTCTTCAACTTTTTGGGCTCATATTCCAAAATGAGAAGCCCTTTTTGTGATTTTTAATTTAATCAACCCATTGAGAAGCATTTTTGGAACGATTCCTTACTTATTATCTCCATCCTGAGTCGTTTTCTTGATCCAGGAATTCTCAATGTGCCAGTTCGTCCGGATGTCCGAGACGTCCATGGAATCTGTTATCAAAAATAGCTTTATAAGAATAATCTACAGTAACCCTACCGTTTTCGTTCTCCAAAAAGTACTTGATGTAGCGTTTGTAAAGGGACGATTGCAGGTTGAAGCAGCAGTGCTTCTTGTCCTGAAAATTTGAAAATTCAATCATTTTGACCCGAATTTTCTTTGAAATTCCCGTTTTTGAAAGTGTTTCTGGCACCTTTGGAGACAAATCTTTGCCGAAAATAACTTTTCAAGGTCACTTTTTTGCTCGATTTCTAATGCGATTAGTTGCCGGATTCAAGGGCTTTGAAATTTACTCTGAAAAGTGATTTTTGATTTTTTGGACCTGAGAATTGGAAAAGAGATGGTAAATAGGTTACGTATAAGAGGAACCTATGACTTAAGTTCTGAATTTTTTACCGATGGATTATTTTGGGCGCATTTGAAAGGTGATCATAAGTGTAAGTTTCAAGGTTTTTTTGAAAACCAATGAACTTGAAATAAAACATATTTTTTTAAATTAAATCATTCCATTTTTTTCAACGAAAAAAATGTTCAAAATTCTTGAAAAAAATTTGTTAAAAAAATTGAGAATCAGAGAAATATGCCACTCGAAAAGGTTACTGATACTTCATTATTTTTAAGATCAACTGGAAAGTTTTTTTATTTAAAAAAATTGAAGATTCCAGTTAATCTACGTAATACAGTACCGCTCAAAAAGTCTATTAAGTTTTTGGTTTTTTTGGGGATATCTCAGCGAGTACTTATCCGATTTATATATAACTCTCAGGGATAATGTAAAATATACTTTGAAACATATACGGTATAAAAAGACATGTCCGCAATGACTGTAACGCGTTTTTAGGCATTTTTTTATTGAATTCCATTTTTTTGTTTTTTTATGCTTTTTTATTTTTTTATTTATTTTTTTATTAAATTTTTTTAAAATTAATAATGTTGCCATATGATTTTTTTCACGTTTTTCAGACATGGGAAGAACCTTTGGAAATAAGAATTTGACTGATAACGACAAAAAGAGCCATCGTTGTGGGTCGTCAAAATGGACTGACCATGATGACGTTGGCAGGAATGTTCGGCGTGACAGAGGCGGGCATTTCTCAGTTCCTAAAGCGTCAGAAAGCTCAAGATGGCTCTACTAACAGCCAACGCACTGGAAGACCACGTGTCACTGATCGTAATGACGATAGGAACATTTTTGAAGACGTCTAGAACCAATCCAAGACTCACCGCCCCTGCGATCAGACGGGAAGTTTTTCTTGAATTCGCCATCTCCGCCATCCGTCTCGACCGTGAAACGACGTCTGAATGCTGCTGGAATCATGGGAAGACGTCCAGTGAAGAAACCGCTGATTTCTGAAAAGAATCGAGCCGCCAGGGTGAAGTGGGCGAAGGAGCATCTCAACTGGACCCGTCAAGACTGGAACAAGATTCTGTGGTCCGACGAAAGCAAGTTCCTCCTCTTCGGGAGTGACGGAATTCAGTGGGTTCGTAGACCAATTGGGTCCAGATATCATCCGAAATACCAATTACCCACCGTGAAACATGGTGGAGGTTCTTGCATGGTGTGGGGCGCCTTCTCTGGAAGTGGCATCGGACCGCTTCATCGCGTGAACGGCATCATGGACAAGCACGTCTACAAAGACATTTTCCAGAACCAGATGTTGCCGCACTTGAGAGCCATGGGCCGTGGGAGTGTTTATCAACAGGATAACGATCCCAAGCACACTTCACTGTTCGTCAAGGTGAGAAAATTGACAAGTAATTCGTATGGTTTTGAAACTCAGGATTGGTTCAAGAGCCGTCGGGTCAATGTCATGGGGTGGCCAAGTCAATCTCCGGACCTGAACCCGATCGAACATCTCTGGGAAGAGTTGGAGCGACGTTGTGCCAACAAAAGAGCCAAGAATTGCAACGAGAAGTTTGCTCAACTGCTGTCTGAATGGAATCAGATCCCCATGTCTACCATCGACACTTTGCTCAATTCTATGCAGAGAAGATGCCAGGCAGTGATTGACGCCAGGGGCTTCGCAACCAAGTACTAGGTCCCGAATATTGTTTTAACAATGTTTTGTGTTGATAAAAATTTTTTTTGTTGAGCTATGATTTTTTAATTGAAAATAGCAAAAATTCGATTTTTTCGAAAATTCGTTTTTTTCTCGAAAAATTATTATTCTTTGAGCTAGCAACTTGAAATTTTGCCAGAACACGTATGTCTCTCTCAGAAAACTATGAAAAAAAATTTGAATCGATATCGCACTTCAAAAAAAATTTATCCCCAAAAAACCAAAACTTAATAGACTTTTGAGCGGTACTGTATATAGTTTATTCACTGCCATTATTTAACAGAAAAAAAAAAATTGAAGAATAGATGATCAAGTGACGTAGAGCTTTCTTCATTTCTACATTCTTGAGCGTTAAAAGTCGGTTCGTATCTTTTTTTTCAGACAAATTTTCGAGTTTTTCCTGTCTGATACGTTCTTCAGAACACCCTGATTTTATCAAAAAAAGAATATTAGGCTTTTTGTCTTTAACACAAGTTTTATTGACTTGGAAACGTCCAAATACCTCATTTTTGAACGGGAACTAACTTTGGGGCGTTATGATTGGACTAAACGACAAAAATCTTGAAAAATACCCGGATTGGAATATTTAGACGTTCTAGAATAAGTTCCAGCCGAGTTTCAGTGAAAAACGAAACTGTAGATAATCTAGTAATCTTATTAAAAATTGGAAAGAGGAGTCCTTGAAAAGTTATTTTTGGCAAAAATCTATCAAGTTGCCTAGGCTGGAGAAGATTTGGAGTCTTTGAGTTTTTAACCGACAAAAAGCTTCGATGACATCAAAAAAGTTCGAAATCGTAGAAATTTATATGGTATTGCTTCCGTATTTCTTATCTTACTAGGGAACTGAACTCTTTCACCCCCTTGAGGTTGAACTTTTTGATGAAACTTTGCTAAAGTGTACTTTAGGACCTCCTGATTGCAGAACAAAATAAAATTTCCCGCCATTGATCTCGTTTTCGAGTTAGGATTTTTTTCTTGTTCTGTAATCAGGAGGTCCTAAAGTACAATTCATCTAAGTTTCAGCAAAAATTTCAATGGGGGGCGGGGGTAAAAAAACGTTCCCTGGTTAAGTTAGCCGAGAAAACTTCATAAACCAACGTTAGGATATTCGGTATAGTCGATATCGCACTGGGCGTGCATCCGGAACTCCAATCTTGCCGTCACATTTCCATTATTGTTCGATTTGAGATCGTGGAAAGTCACGTAATCCACCGATTGAGAGACCGTTTGGTACCTGAGATGGGATGAAATTGGAAAGGATCGAATATTTTAGGTTTTTTGAGATTTTCTAAAGCCTTATGATACATCAGATAGCGTTTCAAAAATATGTTTATTTTCATTTTTCAAAGTCTAGAAATGAAACGAAAGCTTTCAGAAATCTCTTTCCTCATTGGAGCAATTTTGCAGTTTGCTTTTCAGCCATTCTTTTGAAAGAAAAGAAAAACCAACTTGTCAGAGTTGATATCCGGAACCCAAAGGCGGCCAAGGGACTTGATTTTCAAACTGTCCGTTTTCCATTCTGATGGATCCCATCGAAGTCGTCGGTCCTTCCAGGCCTAAAAAATCATATTATTTCAAAACCCTTGGCTGTTTTTTTAGTGGTAAGTGTGCTCTATCGATAAAAAAATGGAACAGTAAGATAAATTTTTTTAAGAAAAAAAAGTGTCAATTTTTTTGTATAATATTGACGAAAAAAAGGCGATTTTTTCGCTTCAATCGTGCTCTTGGTAATAAAAATGACGATTTTTAAATTTTCTGAGAACTGGGAAAATTTTTAGTGGCCACTTTAGGGTCAATGGATCAACATAACTGGTCCAATCTGTTTTTTTTAATAATTATCAGAGATACTGGAAGGAATACTGGATGAAAAGCTACTGAAGTGGCCACTAAAACGGAAATTTGTGGCCACTAGAGAGGTGGGTTTAGTGACCACTTAAGTGTCCTCTCCAAATAGTCCTTGGCGAGCCTCTATAGTGGCCACTAAAACTTTTCGCAGAAGTTAAAATTTTTTTGACGGGTTTTATAGGAGATTGAGAATTTCATAATGACACGAATAAGATTTCCTGGCCATTTAGAACTTTTTTCAACCATTTTTGTCCAGCAACGGGTTTTTTTTTGGACCAGTTCCACTCAATGACTGTAGATTTTTTCTAGAAATGCGTTTTTACGTATCAAAATAAAAAAGAAATTTCTCAAAACTTCGCCTCCCAGCAATTTTCGAACTATTTTCCACGTTTTTTGGACTGGAACGGCTCTAATTTCACACCAATCTTGCCCCAACGAGAAAATTTGCCTTTCTAGTCGTTTCTGATCAATAAAAGCTTTCCCACGACCCCTCCGGATTTTTTTTCCTCCCCTGCCGGTCAACCGTTTTTGAGCGGGCCCCGACCGGTCATCCTTATTTGCTTGTTTGTGCTCTTCTCCGAGCAGAGGAAATGCTCTTTTTTTCTTCTCAATGGTTTCAAGGGCTCTCGTCTGAGAGCCGAGAACTCTCGATGCAATTTCAACGGCCGAAAAAAAAAGATAATGATAAGGAAGTGATATGGAAGCTTGAAAAATGTCCTTAAAAAGGAGTTATTTGACTTTTGAGCCGCATTTTCTGGCCGGAACAGCCAAAACGAACCGAAAAACAGAATGATAAATTTTTCAAATTTGCAACAGTGCATGAAAAGCGATTTCTAGGAATGGAATGTTGTAATTTTTAAGCAAAAGAGCGATTATAAATCAAAAATTGGACTCTTTTTCTGCAAAATAAGCATCAGAATACTCAAGAAAATGGGAGATTTCCAAAATTAATAATGGAAGTGAGATGGATTTTGAGAAAAATGGGAAAATAAAAACTCACCACATTGATAAAACCGTTGATGTTCATCTCTTTGAAGACCTCGTTCTGAAAAATGAATCGTAATGAAAATTCAAGGTTTTGTTATCCTTGAAAATGTGCCATAAAATCCCACTGGAAACAAAAAAAAAAAACGAAGGAATATTATGAGGAATTCATACGGTTTTTTCTGCGTCCGCAAACACGGCGACGCATTTTATCGGAATATCGTTTTTAAACTTTTTTAATTTTTTTTTTTGATTTTTGATGTTAAAATCGGCTATATTTGAACATTTTTACTATTTTTGTGAACAAATTTGAATTAAATTTTTGCGATTCTTGAGTATTTTTTTCAAGATAATTAGATTTTTCTTTAGGCCTAGGGTTTTTTCGAATAATTCCGTTCTCACGGTGTTTTTTGGAGTTGAAAAAGGGTATTCAAAGTTTCTTGTTTGAAGAAAAAGTTTCAAGTAATCCCAGGACCTATTTTCTGTGGGAAACTTGCGCCTTTAAACAACACAGGAAGGAATTTTCAAAAGACTGGTTTTTTAAATAAAACTTGAGTGGTCAAGAATAGTTTTAATTGAAAGAATGTGGAATTTTCCAGGAAGAAGGAAGCCTACCATCCACATTTCGCGAACAGTCGCGTGAAGAACTTGAACATCGAGCGTTTCGCCGGCGGCGACCGTTGGAGGCATCAACATCAGTGCGTTGCTTTTGCCTTGAAAAGTTTTGATAATCAAGAGAAAAGGTCATTTGGAATTAGTGAATAGGAGAACGTGTCAATTTCAAAAAAAAATTGACTCGGGCAAAGTCGGTGGATGATCGAGAGGCTCAAAAAAGGCAGCAAAAAGGCCGCAAAAAGGCAGCCAAGAGGCAGCAAAAAGGCAGCAAAAAGGCAGCAAAAAGGGCCGCAAAAAGGCCGCGAAAAGGCCGCAAAAAGGCCGCGAAAAGGCAGCAAAAAGGCCGCAGAAAGGCAGCAAAAAGACTGCAAAAAGGCAGCAAAAAGGCAGCAAAAAGGCAGCAAAAATGCCGCAAAAAGGCTACAAAAATACCGCAAAAAGGCAGCAAAAAGGCCGCAAAAAACAGCGAAAAGGCCGCGAAAAGGGCCGCAAAAAGGCTGCAAAAAGGCAGCAAAAAGACAGCGAAAAGGCAGCAAAAAAAGTCCATTTATCGAGCTTTCATTTTCTGGAATTTTAAAGGATCAAGAGAAAGGGAGAGGCAGCAAAATTGGTGCAAAAAGGAAGCTGAAAAGGAATTTCTCTGAAGCATTTTTCAACCTTTTCCGACTTTGCCTATGAAATAGGTTCTCTTAAAAAACTTGTAAGCTCTATATTTCTGAAACCGCTGCGCTATCCATTTAAATATGATAATAATACCTTGCATTTTGTCGGCGTCGTTGGTGAGTTTGTAGAAAAGGCATTCCTCCAGAACCTGGTACTTGTGGTGGGCGATGTCTTCGATGTCTGAAATTGGAGAAGTGTAAAAATTTTATGTTTTGCTATTTTTGACACTTGGACATTGGTAACGCGAGACGGACGTGCTCCGGACGTCTCTGGGCAATTCTAGGGACCACTTAAGAGTGTTAGGCTATTAAAGTGGTCACTAGAAATGCCCCGACAAGTCCGATTCGCTTCGCGTTACCAAGGCCCGAGCAGGAAGTTCAGAAGAAAATAGAGGAACTAGAAATTGATTTTTGAAGATTTCGGAATTTTTCGATTTGTTCATCAAAAAATATTTTTAAACCAGATCATATTTGCCTCAAAACTGTTTTCGAAAATTGGGAAATCAAACTTTTTTGAAAGCAGGATGGTATAGGTTTCAAAGTAGTGTCAAAAAGATGAATTTCTTCCTTTTGCTGTTCGCTTATGTCTACGAGCTCTCTATGTATTCGACGAAGAGAACAAAGTCAAAATATAGCAAGCTTGTATAGAATATACGGTTCAGAAGTTTGGACCCTCAAGAAAACAGAGACGATGAGAAGGATGCTTGGTTTTATAGCTAGAAGAAAAGACCTCCTTACTGGGGCAGGTTATTTTACTTTGCGGTTGGGAATTACCAGAACACTTCTTGATGTCCTTGATGAAGATTCTGAAAGTCTCAACCTGCACAACTTTCTAGTTTTCGAGATGTAAAGCCACAAAATAGTCTATTTTTATGGGTTTTGAGGGTTTCCTTTGACTTTGAGGCGACTTTTTTTGAAAAATGAGCAAGTTGTGCTAAGAATAACACTAAGATACCACTCAGGCTGTATGAATAACGCTAAAGTGACCACTCAGGCTGTAGGAAGGACCCTAAAGTAACCACTCAGGGTGTAGGAATGACGCTGAAGGGACCACTCAGGCCGTAGGAATGACGCTGAAGAGACCACTCAGGCTGTAAGAATAACCCTAAAGTGACCACTCAGGCTGTAAGAATAAGCCTAAAGTGACCACTCAGGGTGTAGGAATGACGCTGAAGGGACCACTCAGGGTGTAGGAATGACGCTAAAGTGACCACTCAGGCTGTAAGAACAACCCTAAAGAGACCACTCAGGCGGTAGAAATGACACTGAAGGGACCTCCAACTTTTTTATGACCTCCCTTGTTAGCGGATTTTGATGACTTTCTCGGAATTCGAGACTTGTTTCCTTGAAAACTAAAAGTTGTGCAGATTGAGATTCTCAGAATCTTCTTTTGGTACAACAAGGAGATTCTCAATAAATCCCAAACCAAACAGTAAAATGACCTCCTTATGAGTTCCATGGGTTATTTCTAGCTCTAGCTCCCTCCAAACGATCGATGAAAGCTTCTCGATTTCCAAGTAGAGCACCTGCTCCTGCTCTTGGCGGCGACGGTGTGACTCAGCTCCTAAGTACGCGACGTGATCCGACGTGAGAGTGGGAACACACTTGCACCAGCACCAGGGAGAAGAACAATGGACGGAGGTCTCAACACCAAACACAGTGTTGACTCAGAGACCCTTCCCAAGCGTTCGCCACCACAACATCCGGCTGCTGGCTTCTTCATTTTGATATTGTTTAAGAGTTAGAGGTTTGAGAAGGACAAGGGAAAGCTTATCGTGATCCAGAGGTATATCGAAGGGTCTGAAGCACGACGAGTATACCTCTGAGGGCTTAGAAAAAAGTGTGGACTCTCAAGGACCTCCGGTTTGGTTCAGATAGGGCTTCAAAGTATACTGGAGATCTCACGATGGACATATTATCGTATACCTCGATCTATTTTGAAAGACAACATTAAGGTATCCCTCTTGTGAGTGCTTGGTGACAGTGAGAAGGTTAAGAAAAGGGGGATTTTTTAAAAATACAGTAGAATTTCTATAGTTGGATAGGAGCAGTTTGAGCTTGCAGGAACGGTTTCCAAGACTGTCAGGTTTTTGGAGGAAGAGCTAGCCAATTTAAAACTAGAGAGTTTTTAAGCGTGAGTGGTCACTGAAGAGGTCTAGAATCTTCGATTCAGCATAAGAAGTAATTCTGATGAAGTTTCAAATTTGAAGTCTTAGGAAGATCAGAAACATTATTTTTGGTATAGCCAGAGGCTTGAGATAACCGAAGATGGAAAGTGGGAGCTAGAGGTCTCTTGAGTGTCATTCCTACAACCTGAGTGGTCCCTTTAGTGTTATTCTTACAGCCTGAGTGGTCACTTTAGTGTTATTCCTACAGCCTGAGTGGTCACTTTAGGGTTATTCATAATGCCTGAGAGCTCACTTTAGTGTTATTTCTAAAGTCGGAGTTGTCACTTTAGGGCTATTATTACAGCCTGAATGGTCACTTGAAACGCGTGTTTCGCGGTTAACTCAAAAATGACGGAACAAAATAAAATGCAAGCGCAAAAAAAAAGCTCTACAACAAACAGAGAAAGGCAGGAGCTTGAAAATTATTTTTTTTTAATTTGATAGGATTTTATTCACTTCAATAAAGCCTTGGTCAGAAGGGAATTTTTCGAAAACAATAAATTTTTTTTCAAAATGAAGATTATCTAAATTTTCTCAGTATGTTGAGAAATCACTCAAAAGCCTGATTTGACACTTCGAAAATGTTTAGCTTCGCCTGGAAATTTCCTCCCACAACTAATAATTAGTTCCAATTGTGCCCTTTTTTTTATCCGAAAAGAGAACCTGACACCTGTTGACCTCATGTGACAGGTACACATATTTACCTATCTACCTCGGCTGTCTATCCATTTTTGGAGAGGTTGGCTGCCGCGGTGCTCAATTAAACAGAACACAACTCGATTACATAAATTTTCGCGGATTTTATAAAGTTTTAATCGATTGAGTTGGATTTAGAAAAAAACCGTCTTTTTTTGGTTTTTTTGGTAGTTTTTTTAAAAGCTCTAAAATAAAAAAATATATTACAATTTTTTTGAATTTTTGAAGGTTTCTATCAGTCATATTGCTGACAGAAATCATAGAAAACCTGAGAATTTCACAAAAATCGAACCCAATAAAACCTGTTACCCGTCCAAAAGTTTGATAAGAAGTCAAAAAGCATCTGTTTTTCTATGTCACGTCAAGGAAAACTTTACACTTTTACTCGTGTTATCTTCCCGACACTTTCTTTGACAGCATAGGTCATCTTTTTATTTTTACTTTACTAAGAAAGTTTTTGAGAAAAAAAGCAATCAAGGATAAATAAATAAAATGATAAGATTGAAAAAAAGGCTTTGTTTGATAAAAAAATAGGAATTCTGTGCTGTAGAATTTTCTAGCAGTTTTTTTAAGGTTTCAAAATATGATTGAGAACAAATTTATTTTTTTAATTATACAGTTTCAAATCAGAATACTGCTCCTAGGGACAGCCTTACCGTTTCAAAAAGTTTTTGACTCTCCAAAAAAGAAGTGAAAATTGATCTTAAGGCATTTCAGCGTATATGAAAACCTGAAATGAGTCTAAAAATGACGATTTCATGAGTAAAAAAGAAACGATGCTCCAAATGACGACCTCATATCAGTTTCAGTCAACAATTTTTGCTGGAAACTTTTTTTGGGATATTTTTGAAAACAGGCGATTTCCAACCTTTCAAAAAATCTATTGATTTTTGAGATTTTCTGATTTTTTGATTTTGGACTAAAGCTCCTAGTGACAGCTTCACCATTCTCAAAATTTTTAACTCTTCAAAAAAGAAGTGAAAATCGATTTTTAGGCATTTTACCTTATAGAAACGCTTGGAATGATGCTTAAAATGACGGATAAAAATAGTTCAGAGTTGAAAAAGGAGCGATGCTCCAAATGACGGCTCAATATCAGTTTCAGCCAAAAAGTCCTCCAAACAACTTTTTGAAAAAGGAAAAATGAGGCTATAAAGAATAGTTAAATTTTTTTTCAAGACAACTAATTTTCTAAAGTATTTTTTTCAAAACTTAAAAGCCGAATTTTTAAAAATCCTCCAAACGATGCTCCAAATGACAGCTCCCAAACGTCCAATGTCATCACATTTTTTTTTACGAATCGAATATCTTCTTCAACGTATTTTTCAATTTATTCAAACGATGCTCCAAATGACGGCCCAAACTAATCAAATGATCATTCCGGCTTGTCCCACAAAAAGAGCGCCACATAAATCCGAAATCGTTTGCCGACAACGGCGCCGAGGCAAAGGAGGAGGATCCTTACAACTTTGCGCCGTCTGTGGGGGCGATTATTTTTCGGATCGTTGAGGATCGGGTCATAACCAGTCGGCGGCGTTAAAACTTTTTCGGTTTTTCGTTCCGGCAGGTCGTTCCAAATATTCGCCCCTCAACGCGAAAAACCAAGGCGATTTGGATCGGCCTGACCGCACGAAAAACACACACACATACATTCATACAAACAAGCCCAAAACCACCGCAAACACCGCTTTTTTCACCCGTTGTTTTTTGGTTTTTCTTGAAGCTGACGGAAGGTTAAGAAAAGTACATGGTTCTGAGCCGTCATTTGGAGCGTCGTTCAAAATTTTGAAGGCTGGGAGAGGGTGAGATATCAGGAATTTGAGCCGTCATTTGGAGCGTCGTTCGGGATTTTAAAGGCTGCGAGAGGGTGAGATATAAGGAATTTGAGCCGTCATTTGGAGCGTCGTTCGGGATTTTTGAAATTTTTGAAGACTGAGAGAGAGAGTGAAATGTTGAGAATTTGAACCGTCATTTGGAGCGTTGTTCGGAATATCAAAAAATTTCGAAGACGGAAAGGTCTAAATATCGAGAATTCAAGCCGTGATTTGGAGCCTCGTTCGGGTTTTTGAAAATTTTGAAGACTGGGAAAGGGAAAAAATCGAGAATTAGAACCGTCATTTGGAGCGTCGTTTGGAGTATAAATTGAAATTAAAAAGAAATTATACAAACTTTGAAACGACACCGTGATAGTAAGAGAAAAAAGACAAGTTTTTTTCGTAAAAGTTTATTTCTAGCCGTCATTTGGAGCATCGTTTGAATTTTTTGAAGATAGCCGATTCTCAAAAAAACCTTTTTTTCAAAAAACAAGTAAATGGAAAGTGTAAATTTACTAAAAACCAAAAAAACTGAATGATGAGAAAAAAACGACTTTCATCGTTATTTGAAGATTCGCTCTGGAAAAAAATGTCATTTGGAGCATCGTACAAATTTATTGAAAATAAAACTTTGAACAAAAAAATTACTTTTTTTATATTGGTCTCTTTGAGAGAGCGTCATCTGGAGCATCGTGCAAATGTAATCAAAAACTATTCCATCTGGTTATTTTCAATTTATTCATTCAGCTTTACCCTCTTTAAACAACTGTCATTTGGAGCATCGTATAGTATAAGGACATAGCAGGCATGTTATAACTTCTCAACGGGAAAAGCCACTTTCTTCTAGCTATTCGTTTGAAAAAAGCAGTACAAAAGGCTCGATTGCGCAGGTCTTCCCCATTATAACGCTGTCCATTGTCAGGCAAATCGTCGACCCTTTCTTTCTTTTTTCCTACCTTCACCTCCTCCTCCTCAGCCAAGTTCAAGTGGTTCGAGGAGGAAGAGAGCCTTAGCCCCTGTAACGAGGAAATGTGGTCGGCCTTGAATATCTCAACGAGAAATCTCAGATTGACTCACTGGAACAGTTTGTTTTTTACGACGATAAAATTAGGAAGATGTCTTTTTTTTTTCGGGGTCATATGCCGATGGACAAGATTAGCCCAGGGACAATATTTTTCCGAGAACGATGTTCCAAATGACGTCTTGGGAGTTGGTAACAAGTGTTGGAGAGTCAAAAAAAATTTTTTCAAAAATGATAAATTTGTTCCAACGACGCTCCAAGTGACATTTTTCCAAATATGAGTGCCGATTGATTTATTTTTTTATCTATCCAGAAAAAAAGACATTTTTCTGAAAAATTTTGTCAGGAACGATTTTAAAAGACGCAGGAATGTCTATCAATGTTTGAAAAATGAGCGATTTCCCAAAAAAAAAAAATGGCAGTTTTCAGCGGTTTTTCAAATAGAATTTGTAAAAACTGAACATTTTTCAGAGAAACCCGCTTGAAATTAAACTCCTGAGCATGTCACTCGTCACAAAATTCTAAAAATTGGGATCTGAAACAAATCTTTTTTCTAGACGAAACTCCTCGTTTCGCCTTTTAAATTCCAAATAATAAAAACCAGAAAAAATTCAAAACGTCAGGTCTATGTTGCTCCAATGCTAAAGGTTCAAAAAAAGCGAAAATTGAAGAAAAGATCAGAATGATAATGATGAAGAAGACGAAAAATCACAAAAAAAGACAAAAACTAACCAGTGACATTGCTCTTCCACTTGCAGTCGCTGTCGAAGGCGACGGCAGCGCCGACGACAAGGAGAAGCACCGAAATGGCCATATTTGGCTCTTTAGAATTAAGAATTGTTGAGATTGTTCCCTGACAAAGCTAGCAGTGGACTGTGACCTCCCGCACAGGCGGCTGGACACTGCTGCTTGTGGAGTGGGCGGTCCAACACACACACACACACACAAACCGAGAGAGGAACAGACAGGAGGTGGAGCCGCCTCGGACGTTTCTTTTGTGTTTTTCGACCTCTTAAGTGGTTGCTTGAGGAAGGAGCGTTTGGAAGTAGCTACTTAAAGGATCAAAGAATGTTATTTTATGGCAGATTCAAGATAGTAGTGTCTTTGAGGCAGCCTCGGACGTTTCTTTAGTGTTTTTTGAACCTCTTTAGGGGTTGCTTGAGGCTTTTAGTTACTTCAGAGCCACCTAAGACCTTACTTTTGTACTTTTCAACCCTTTAAGTGGTTGCTTGAGAAAGGAGAGTTTGGAAGTTTCAAGGATCAAAAAATGTTACTTCATGACAGAATCAGAATAGTAGTGTCTTTGAGGCAGCCTCGGACGTTTTTTTGTGTTTTTTGGACCTCTTTAGGGGTTGCTTGAGGCTTTTAGTTACGGGGGCGGCATAGCTCAGCTGGCATAACCCCTATCTAACGTCCGCAAGGTCGTAGATTCGAGTTCCCCCGAGGTCGACCAAGCCTTTCATCCCTCCGGGGTAGATAAAATTGGGAGCTGCATGCAGCGAAAAGGCTCAATATCTGCCATCGGCCTTTGGAAAGCCGGCACCGTACTTCTTCCTACGAGCGAAATTCACAACTTCTCTGCCTAAGCCACAGCTCCTGCCGCCGTTTAAACACCGTTAAACCAATGAAAGTCGATTGCACATGTATTCTTACATTGAAGATGCAATAAACAGTTTTTAAACAGTTTTTTACCTAAGACGTTACTTTTGTGTTTTTCGACCCTTTAAGTGGTTGCTTGAGGAATGAGCGTTTGGAAGTAACCACTTGGAGAACCGGAAAGTGTTAATTTATGACAGATTCAAGATAGTAGTGTCTTTGGAGCCGCCTCGGACGTTTCTTTTTGTGTTTTTTGGACACTTAAACTACTTGAAGGACCAAGAAAGTTATTTCATTACAACTATAGAAAAGTGGTTAAAAAAAAAATATTTTATTGCAGTTCTAATGAATTGATGTTTTTTGAGTTATCTTGGGCTTTTATTCGATAATTTCAGACCTTAATAAACAGTTTTCTGGGGCACGGTTTTTTGGAAATAGTTTTTAAAAGCTTTTTTTTTTCGAACTTAATAGTCTTTCAGTGGTTATGTCATCATTTAGCCCAATAAAATTCATCAAGATTTTATTTTTTATAGGTTTTGAATCGAATCAGCGGCTATATAATCTTCACGGGTGCATAAAAGGCTCTTTTATAACCCTGAAGAAGGTCACAATGAAGTTCTTTTTTTTCGTTTTGACGAGATGATATTAATTTCAAGGAATGGGTTGTTTATGGTTTACAGTTTTCGAATTTTTTTGGATTTTGAAAACCTGAAGCTTATCTCAACTTTTACTGAATGTATCACTGATAACATTAATGGGGAATCAAAGATTTCTGAAAAAAAACAGCTGGCTCAAGCTTTTTTTAAATATGATTCCTAGAAAATCAAGCCGGAGTTTATAGAATTGAATTTTTGCGTTTTGTAAAGTTCAATCCCTGAATTTTGATGGAATAACCTGCGAAATTTGTTTTTTTTTTGTTTTTGTCAAACTTGTTGATTTTCCCTGCAGAAAACGAACATCTGTTGAGGTAGAAAAAACAATTTGAGGAGCCGTCGACATGGAAATGGCTGTCCAGGGCGCCTGTACTAATCGGGCCAGGTGTCGACTTGTTTTCGGTCAACGGCTTCGAACTCTGCTCCAGCTCGCATAATTGATCGAGAGCTTGAGGTGAGGATATAGTGAATGGCTATTGGTTTCAAAATTGACCGAAAAGCATCTTTCGAAACGGAAAAGTGAATTTTTGAGATGTAATTTCAGTTTTTGCGCCTAAATCGTCTACTTGAATTTTACAAAAAGCTAAATTAGCTCTTTAGAACTCAATTTTGAACACTGCTACAAGTTATAACAGACCTCAAATCATTCTAGCGATGCGCCCAAGATAGAATGCATTTTTCCAACAATTTTTATGCAAGAGGGGCACATTTTTTTCACGCTGCTTTGAAAAAAATTGGCCATTAGATTTTTTTCTTAAGTTCTATATAAACATAGTGAGCCCTTCTCTTTAACTAAAACAATTAAAAAAATTCCAGAAGAATTGAGTTTGAAATCTTTAATCTTGCTCAACAAAAAGAACATCCCCCGAATAAAAAAATGAAAATTTATGATATTTTTGGAAAGAATATTTTGATCATTTTTTTACCAGTCGATAGATTCCTCCTAGGAGAGTTTTGGCAAAAACGAATTTCTTCGAAAAGTTTCGAACCCGGGTCATAGACACCAAGGGCAAGAACTCTAGCCACTACACCACTCTGCCAAGTGGACTACAGGGCTCGTTTGCGCGCTATATTCCCTCTTGCCTTGCAGCACTTATTCAGCATGTAATCTTTAAAGCTTCATAACTCGAAAACAAGACCTGTTGGGAAAATTTTTATTGGTGTTCTGGATAGAGGAAGTCTTATAGTACCTTCCAGCAAATTTTCATCAAAAGTTCAATTGGCCACCAAAAACACTTTGCAAAAAAAAAGGCCAAGTGGGCTTTTTAGAAACATTTTCCTTTACTCAAAACTACAAAGAAGAATGGTTTGTTTTTGATGTTGGTGGCGAAACTAGCCGCGATTAATAGTGCGGAACCTGAATGAGCGGCGGTGGGCCTCGTTTATTTTTTTCCTCGTCTTCTTTTTTCCCCCTGTGAACACCTGTTCGTTCTTGTACAATTTAACAGAAGGGGGGGGGGGGACCTTATTTTGAGCTTTTCGAGAACGTTGAAAGGTGAGCTCCGGCGAAAGGGATCCGGCCGGCCGGAAAGGTCCAGTCGGCGCGAGGACAGAATTGACTGGAGTCCAAAAAAGCCGTCTTTTTGGGTGAATTTAAAAAAAAAGGTCTGTCAATTATCCAGAAAGGGCATTTGACAAGAAATTTGCGAGGAAAGTCTTGATTAATTTTTTTAAAATGATTTTTCCACTTTCCTTAACGTCGAATAATCTAATAGGATGGTGCAATGAAGAAATAGACCACAAGATTTCAGTTCAAACTTTTTTGATTTACAGTAAAAACAAGCAAAGAAGACAATATACAGTGGGGGTCAAAAAAAAACGGGGAACTTGGGTCAGGAAATGATACAAAAACGTCTAAATCTCCTGTTTTTTGCACATTTTTGGTCGATTTTTGTGAAAGAAATGTGTTTCGAAATGGTCAATTTAAAGTTTTCAATGGATATTTGGACTGCAGAAACATAGAAAATTTGAATTTGATGTCTCAAAGTGGTTCAGAAGGGAATTTGGTCAGTGGCGTGCTTTGCTCGGAATTTTTAGGCATTGGCAAAGTTTTGGAGACTCTCCACGTTCAGAAAAACAAATGCAAAAAACTCTGTAAAGTTGAAAATTCTCGAAATCAAAAAATTAGCTTTTTAAAAATAATTTTGGGAAGATTTATGGCTTAATGAATCATGAAAAATCGGGTTAGAAGGTCCAGTGTAGCTTCAGAAAGGATAAAAGTCTAGTACATTTTAAAAATCTTGTTCGAAATTCCAACTAAACTCTTCTCTTTTTTTTGTTCTCTCTCGCAAATAACCAGATTTTTATGTGAATTGAAATGATAAGAACCCTGCGATTTTATTGTCCTTTTTCTTCCCTTCGTTCAAATTGCAATGAACCAAAAACTATGGCGATTCTTACAGTTCCTCATTTTTGTCTATATTTCTTTCGCTGCGAATTTTAATTATGGATTTTCGACGACCTATTTGAATACGCCTGTTCAGCAGTTTAAAGTAATTTTGAATTTATTTGAAGTTCAAGGCGTTTTTTTTCAGATTTATATCAATGAATCGCTGGCCCGACGTGATACGGTTATGAACGATTCCACGTATAATTTGATTTGGAATATTCTTTTGAATATTTGGTTCGTCGGATTTTTTGTCGGCATTGGCTTGAGTCCGGTGCTCAACGATCGATATGGAAGGAAAGGTTTGAGAAATTCCTTCCGCGACGTTTTAGCCATTCTGAGTGCGACCAAGATCTTTTAAATTGAAGTAAAAGGAAGGTTTTAAAAAAGTAGTAGTTTCTTTAGAGACGCTTTTGGAATGGTTAAACATGAGGTGTGTGAAAACAGGCCAAAAAAAATGCTGTAAAATGTGACGTGATTCTCAGTGAAGCGTAAGTCGTTTTATAGTCGGGTGCAAGTTTATTTTCTTTCAGCTTTATATATAATGTGTACCACGACTTGGAATTTCACCAAACGACATTCCGATGTGCCGCTGCGCGCCTTTGCGAACCTTGGTCGCGCTTTAAATTTTTTTTTTTCTTATTCTTCTTTCCTGGGCTCCCACAGCAATAATAATCAATGAAAAAAACATGACCTAGATTCGAAAGACGCCTCGCGAACGCACGCAGCGGAACAGCGGAATGTCGTTCCGTGAAATTTCAAGTCGTGGCACACATTTCCATCTCATTAACCTTATTTCAGTAGGATTCCTGGCCGGTAACTTTTTGGCTTTCCTCGCTTCAGTCCTGCGATGCGCGGCTATTTATTGGTGAGTGGGAAACCGCAACCAATATTTAATTCATAAAAATAGGTACATTCCAGAACTTCTCATCACGGCCAGACTGATCACTTCCGTCTGTGTCGCTGTTACCTACCAATCTTGTATTTTATACCTTCAGGTCCGTATTTCGAAGCGATTTGTCTTTTTGAATGGAATAACTCTAGGAATGCTCCCCGACGGAACTCCGAGGCTTCATGTCGTTTTGGAGCGAGATTTCCTTTGCTATAATGACCTTGATAGCGAGTTTACTGGGAACGGATGGAGTTTTAGGCGGCCATTTGTTCTGGCTTCTCGCCTTTGCTGTACCTTTTTGTTCGTTTTTATTTTTCTTCCTGTCTTTGGTCGCATTGGGAATGGCTGTTAGGAAGATTTGCGATTTTTGAGTACTGGTATCAGAAAAAGTTGGCTATAAAGGGGGTTACAAAATGCGACCGCTTTTTTTTGCTCCACTGCAAATTAATAAAATACGAGCGTTTCTCAATCTTTTTCTCAAATTTTGTAGTTCTCCCTATTTTTCCTTTTGAAGAAAACTATTCATAATAGTCAATTCAATTCAATTTATTCAGTCTTCAGAGTAAGATGAAGAAAATCTCTGCTGAATCATGGTATAATCGAAGAGTTAGTCGTCGGCGCGAGTGTTGTCCAATAAGTCCCGGCGTGACAACTAGCGGGAAATAATGTTGGCCCGTTGGTAGTACCAGCTAATAAACTGCTTCACCATGTTGGAACAGTACGGCGCCCAGCTTGTCTCCAGGGCTGACGGGCGTCGGAATGTTATCCCATGAGAGAGCGGCAATGAGACCGACCAGTCGACGTGATGAAATGAGATAATAGTACTAAGATGAAATTAATGAACTCATTATGAAAAATTTTTTTCTTTAATTGTTCAAAAAAATTCAGGCTTCTCATTAGGAGCTTTTTAAAAACGGCTTCATGAATCTGTAACGAACCGGAAATGAAGTGAAGAAAAATTGACTAATTGACAAATAAATCTTGAAAAAAATTTTTTTAATAAAAAAAATACTATCAAACAAACAAAAAAGACACCACTATAAGGATCAAAAAGCATCGAAAAAATTAGAATCTCGTTTAATTTTAAAAATAATGAAAATCAAAAAACGCCCGTATTTTATTAATTTGCAGTGGAGTAAAAAGAAGCGGTCGTATTTTATAGCATGCCGAAAAAGTCGGTCACTTTGAAGAAGCCATTCTACATGCGGCCGTCTTATTCATGGAAAATAAATTTTAACATTTTCTAGGCTTCATTTTCTTCATAACCCTCTTCTTCATCCTCGAAACCCCGAAATTCCTTCTCATCACTGCGAAAAATGAAGAAGCCGCCGAAAATTCTGTCCATTTTTACCTTGGCAGCCACGTTGATGCCAAGGAAGTCTTGAGGAATATCCAGATGGTTTTTTTCTCTTGAGGAATATAAGTAAACTTCAAAACTTAGGAAGAAGACGCGGAGGAAAGCGATATTTCGACGATCCAAGCCCTCAAGGACCTGTTTTTTGAGCCGCATCTCAGGAGAGCGCACTTGCTCAGTTGCGCCACACTGCAGGTTCTTTAGAATGGAGAACAAAGTTTATTAGGAAGATTGCAAAATCCATTCCAATCTGGTCTGAGAAATGTCGTTAAGAGCGCTGTTCTAGAAAAAAAAATAATAAGGAGGAAGTTTAGATCTAATCCAGGCATGTTCCTATTGAACCTGGAAAACTAGGCGATGAAGGAGGTTCTAGTGAGGGTTTCAGTAGCCATCTTTAAGTTAGTTTCCTAAAAAGTTGAACTGGACTAGGCTAGATTTTTTGTCAAAAGCTTTAAGAATACTGGGATCAAGTGTGATAGTTCAAGTCTCAAAGGGAAATTGATGAGATAAATATCAAAATATTATTAAAAAAAAATATTTTTTGAAGTTCCAGCTGTCAATCTTACTCGCTTAGGAAGATTGATTACTCAGAAAATTTATGAAACATTTTCTTATCGATCTTATTTTTTGAATGGATCACTAAAACTTGTAAAAGCGGCCTCTGAAGGAATTTCCCCATAGGGGCCACTTGAACTCTTGGAATTCAGGGATCAGACTCCAAGCCCCTGTAGGGACCACCTGAGTTTTATCCTTATGTGAGGCGTTATTTGTTCCCCCTAGGGGCTGTTTTTCCCGAACCCCTGTAGTGGCTACTCTCCTAGCCCCTATGGTGGTTACTCTCCTAGCCCCTATGGTGGTTACTCTCCCTAACCCCTATGGTGGTTACTCTCCCTAGCCCCTATGGTGGTTACTCTCCTAGCCCCCTATGGTGGTTACTCTCCTAACCCCTATGGTGGTTACTCTCCCTAACCCCTATGGTGGTTACTCTCCTAGCCCCTATGGTGGTTACTCTCCTAACCCCTATGGTGGTTACTCTCCTAGCCCCTATGGTGGTTACTCTCCTAGCCCCTATGGTGGTTACTCTCCTAACCCCTATGGTGGTTACTCTCCTAACCCCTATGGTGGTTACTCTCCTAGCCCCTATGGTGGTTACTCTCCTAACCCCTATGGTGGTTACTCTCCTAGCCCCTATGGTGGTTACTCTCCTAACCCCTATGGTGGTTACTCTCCTAGCCCCTATGGTGGTTACTCTCCTAGCCCCTATGGTGGTTACTCTCCTAACCCCTATGGTGGTTACTCTCCTAGCCCCTATGGTGGTTACTCTCCTAACCCCTATGGTGGTTACTCTCCTAGCCCCTATGGTGGTTACTCTCCTAGCCCCCTATGGTGGTTACTCTCCCTAACCCCTATGGTGGTTACTCTCCCTAGCCCCCTATGGTGGTTACTCTCCCTAACCCCTATGGTGGTTACTCTCCCTAGCCCCTATGGTGGTTACTCTCCCTAGCCCCTATGGTGGTTACTCTCCTAACCCCTATGGTGGTTACTCTCCTAACCCCTATGGTGGTTACTCTCCTAACCCCTAGGGTGGTTACTCTCCTAGCCCCTAGGGTGGTTACTCTCCTAACCCCTAGGGTGGTTACTCTCCTAACCCCTAGGGTGGTTACTCTCCTAACCCCTAGGGTGGTTACTCTCCTAACCCCTATGGTGGTTACTCTCCTAACCCCTAGGGTGGTTACTCTCCTAGCCCCTAGGGTGGTTACTCTCCTAGCCCCTAGGGTGGTTACTCTCCGAGCTCCTATGGTGGTTACTCTCCTAGCCCCTATAGTGGATACTCTCCTAGCCCCTATAGTGGCTACTCTGGCGTTCCTAAGAGAATGAGAAACTGCCTCCAGTGAATCTAGTTTGGTCCAGAACTTTTTGTTCGTCACTAAAAATGGGCATTCAAGTCATTTTTTTTTTCCTGAAAAGGCTTGGAAAAAGTTTCTTTTCAAGACCCTACCTTTCTCAAAAAATTTTTCAGAACACGGTGCCCCTCTGGTCAATACTCCTCTCCTCGACCTACTTCCTAGAACAAGCCAATCTTCAATCGTCGATCGCCCAGTGGAGCAGCACCGCCATGACTTTGGCCTACGTCCTCGGAACTCTCTCCGGCTCCACGGTCATCGAAAAATGGGGACGTCGGCCGCTGCTTCTGATCTTCACCTTGCTCAACATCCTGGCCGTGGCGACGTTCGTCCTGTTCTCCCAGTTGCAGCCGGTTCTCGACCAGATGAAGTACGGCTGCCTCGGCGCCTTGGTCGTTTATGGCTTCACTTACGGGTGAGCTATTCGGAAGAGGTTGATAGAAGTTTTCAGAAAACAGGATAGGGAAGTGCCAATGAAATATGTTCAGAACCGCCGTCGGACCCATCTCCTGGTTCATTTCATCGGAACTCGTCCCTCAAAAATACCGAAGCATCACCCAATCCACCTCCTACGCAATCAACACAATCATGGTCGTTGTCAGCACCTTCACGATCCTCCCTCTGTACTCGGTTCTTGGAAGTTTCGCTTTCCTGCCGCTCTATACGGTCCCATCGGCGTTCGCCCTGTTCTACCTGTACCGGTTCTTGCCCGAGACCAAAGGGAGAGAAATTTATGAAATCGTGCGGGAACTTCGAGGAGACTAATTATTGTAGACTTTATTCTTTTGTACAAACAATGAAGAGAGCGGTTTTAAAGCTAGGGATTGAACAAGGAAATGGAAATGGATGGAAAAAAGGTACAAGGTTTTTCAAAAATAAGTTTGCAATATAACAAGGATTTCCTGTAGTTCAAAGGTGATAGGCAAAAGAAAAACGAAGAAAAAAGTCAGTTTTTTGGAAATTCAGGAGCGTTAGCACCTGAAAACACGGCGTTCCCAAACGGGGTGCGGAGACGTCAAAAAAATTTTGGCGCGAAATTTGAAACCTCAAGTACGCAGCCAAATGTATTCTTAATGCCGTTGAATACTCAGTTTAATTTGCAACGATAGGTAGCTGTGGCGTCACAGTCATTTTTATCAGAAGCGCTATCTTTTGTAAATTCAGAAGCTTTGACGCCTCGCTCACCTTCCTCTCATCCCATTAGGAATGCCGTGAAAAAAAGAGAATTTGATTCGAGATTTCGAATTTCCTTAATGAAAATATTCGCTTGAAAAATTGGTTTTTGAAAAAATCCTATAGAAGGCTAGTTTCTTGGAAAGGTCCAAAAAGCGATTTAGAGGGTGCTTTCTTCAAAATCGAGGAGTTTGGCAAGTCGCAGCTTTTAGAATCTTTGAAAATTTCTTGAGGATCGGAAAAGATTCAAGTGGAAGTACCTTCCTTATAGGTATTCAAGAGAGATTTCAAAAATAGTGATTTCAGAGAATGAGATCCTAGAAACGTAGTGAAGAAATATTTCTACTTCTTCCCAGCATTCAGAAAGGTATCCAAAGATGGGAAGCTGACCGCCTGGCCGGTGTTGACTCCGACGCCAGCAAAAGGAACGCCGACGCCAAAATTGTGAACGACGTCGCCGCGACGCCAGTCAACGCCGACGTGGTCGTTGTGGCCGTAGTAGCCGCCGACGCCGTAGCCGTTGTCGACGTTGAGGACGCCGGCGTTGGGACCGTGAAGCGGGAATCCGACCGTGTTGTGCTGACCACCTTCCACGCCTAATGATTGGACCAACGGGATGCTCCAGTGGTTCTGAAGTTGGAACTGAGAAGACCTTCAGGGACATGAAGCAACCTTGTAGCCGTACTTGCCGTCGTACCAGTTGGCGCCGGCTTCCTGGTCGCCTTGGAAGTAGTCCCTGAAGGTATCAGAAGGTATGGTGTTGAGGCAAAGTTCAAGTGCAAAGAATTTCCGTAAAACCTTGAAAAACTTACCGAACTCCGACAGAAGTCGAAGCACCACCGCCCCAAGCGCCAAATGGAATCCCAAGCCCCACACCGACACCAACGCCGCCTTCCTCATTGATCGGATAATATGGGATTCCATTGACTCCGACTGTTGCCAGGTTGATGTTCACCTATAACTAATCAGTTACAACATACTCTGAAATAAGGGAAGTACCCCAGAACTCCAAGAATTCGCGATCGCTCCAAGCGGATCACTCCTCGGAATGAACCTTCCGCAGTCGCGGAAATAAGCCGCACATCTGCCCGCATTTTGGGCCGTCACTTTGCCTTTCGCACAGTGCTGAAAATATTCTTCGTACTAATAAGAATACATTTCAAATGTTAATAAACTACGAAAAAAAACGAGAAGTTCTAAATTTTTATTTTCTTAAGACGTATGGGTCGAAAAAAAATAAATTTAATCGATTTTCGAGAACTTATTTCAATGACGCTCCGAACAGTTGTTTATGTATTGTTTTAAACGTAGGTTTTTTTCTTCAATGTTTATTATCTATAGAAAAAAAACAATTATGAGCGGAAAAAAAGAAAATTCGAACCAAAACAAGCCCATTGTGAAAAAATTTATACAGTTCTACTTAAACTTGTTTTTTTAAATATCTCAAATATGTGATTAAATATAAAAAAATATATTGGATCAAAGTCGAAAAAGAAAAAAAGAAAAAAAGAAAAAAATGAAAGTCGTCAAAAATTTGCGTAAAAAGACGCTGGAATGCAAAAGCGCCGCATTGTTCTCAGGCCACGCCCATAAAGTTGCGTTTTTGCAATAATTTTCACGAGAAAAAGATTCTTTTTCGTTTTTATTCATCATTTTTCAAGTTGTAATCTGTTATAAAAGGCTTTGATCAGGCGTCTTGAGGCCTGGAGGACCTTTAATAGATTTTAAAACAGATTTGCACGATTCTTGGAAGAAATCAGTGGGTTCTTCATTGCAGGAAGAATTTTCGAGCAGTTTGAATAATTTATTTTCTACTACGTATAGCGTGTTAGTGTATGAAATCAACGAAAAATGAATTTTTTTTTTTTAAATTTTTGATCATGACTAATTTTTTTTTTTCGATTTTTTACGAGTTTTATTTCAGAATTCATCAAACCTCCTGAACAAGGGGAGCGACTTTGGCACATTTTGCCTGCAAAACTCGCGCCTCTTCATCGGTCAGTTGAGGAAGAGTTGCAACCTGAATTTTTCTTTCAAATTTTTTCAATTTTAGGATAGTGAGAAGGAATTTTGAGTCCACGAATATTCGTGAGCGTTAGTTGTGCCTACACCAATCTTGGGGGCTCGAATCTTTGCAAATTTGAATCTTCGCAAACGATTCTTGGGAATATTCACTTCTTTTCTGATTTTTTATAGTTTTTCCAACTTTTTTGTAAACAGAAGTTGATAGAAAATGTATACAGAGTGAATGAAAAATGTGGTAGCCGTTATGCAGTGTATCTTTGACTACGTGTATGCGAGAAAAAATGCATTATTTGATGAGAAGTTAGTTGAAAAAAATCATACAATGTTAATTTGTGGTCGAAACACGACATCATCTCAATAGAACAACAAAGAAAAAAAAATTGAAGGAAAGAAAAGATGGAAATTCAAAAACGAGGTGAATATTCCCAAGAATCGTTTGCAAAGATTCGAGCCCCCAAGATTGGTGTATGCACAATTAACGCTCACGAGTATTCGAGGACCCAAAATTCCTTCCTATTAATAGGAAGGAATAATATATTATCAATTTTAGATCAAAAACCTCTTTCTTGGCGCCAACAGCCTTATCGATACTCTTGGCAACGTCTTTTTTCCGGTCTCCGAATGGCATCGGCGGAGGCATTATCACTGAATTCGCAAGGATTTATTCAAAAAATCACTTGGTTTCTTTACTTTCTTCCTTCTCAACGACTTCATCGCGCTCTTCAGTTTTGACACTTTTCGTCTCCCGATTCCGTTTACAAATGGAGAGTTTTGGATTCTGTTCGCAGGCCAAGTTCGTCAAAACTTCGAGATTTGCGCCGGCTTGGACTGAAAATTTTCTAGGTATTTGAATTTTCATCTCTTCATTACTTGTGATTTTTCAATTTTTTTGCTTTAAAAGTATTTACTGATTTCTTTTGAAGTCTAGCAGTATACTTAACACTGAGAAGGACTCTTTTCCGCTAGACCGGCCTATAAAATTTGCCGATGATTATTTTATCAAGCCAGTAAGAATCTGTGAATAGAAAAATCGCTCTAGAATCACTCTCCAATTTTCTAAAGATTTTGTTCTTTCAAAAATAACGAACCCGTCGAAAAGAAAGGCAAAATGACCGTTGGGACCAATAACCAAAGTCGCATGGCTGTAAACAGACTGATTTTGGTTATTTTTAACTTTTTCGGTGTTTTAGTTACGGGAGGTGGGAAGTTTTGAAATAAGTGGAGAAACAAGCTTTCAAAAATCATGAAAAGGGAATCGAGAAGCTTTTGTGAACCCTTTGATTTGGCAGATTCCAGTTTCAAGCTACTTTATGAGCAAATTCGAGTGGAACAGAAAGATATTCAAAGAAAAATCATTTTTGAAAATGAGAAAATATGAATACTGAGCACTGAAAATATTTCAAATTGAAAAAGAAGAGAAGGAACGAAAAAAAAAATGAAGACGCCTTGTCACCCGACGGGTTTCCCTATTTTACGGCGAGAATATTTTTTGTTACAACTCCTCCATTCACATTCAACAATCCTTTGTGATATCATATCATAAAGGAACATGATTTTCATTGTCAGCAATGTAGCAAAACAAAAAAGAAGAAGTTTGATTTGGAAAAAATAGACATTCGGAGGTTTTCCATTGAAAAATGAGGTGTTGAAAGCGAGTTTTGGAGTATTTTCAGAGACTTGGGTAGTAATCATTTCCACTTCAAGCTCCTCAGATGACTAAAGCATTTTTTAACTCAAATCAGTATATAGAACTTTGAAAAAATGAAAGGGAAGGGAACTAATCAATGGAAACTCTTTAAAGGTTGAGATAAGGAGAGAACTTCTGAAAAGTAACTTTCGATTGGACGGTTGTTCTGTTTTTGGACGACCTTGTCTTTTTTCCCCGTTGTTCGCCAATCTGATGATCATTTTCATTGTTTTCGCAAGATTTATCGCAATTTGTAGGTTCGGTGTAGTTTAAAGTTCGGGTGAACTTCTTCAAAAGTATGGAAAATTGTTTGAAATGGAGAAAAATGTCTCGAAATTAAAAGTGTTAAGAAAAAAAAAAGAATGTAGCTTGATGGAGTAGTGAAGAACTTTAATGGACTCGAAAAACAGTTCATGGCGTTCAGCCAAGTCTGAACCAGAACACTTGCGTTGAAATGAGTCCAAAAAAGTTGTCTTCGCTTCGATTCGATCATTTTTTACGCGCAATCATGTCTTTTTCACGTCATAATCGTGTCAAGAGAAAGCCGTCTTTTTTTTTCTTGCGTAAAACTGACATTCTTGCCGACAAAACAACAACATTCGGCCAAAAACCGAACTTTTCTGGTTTAAAAAAAGTTCCTCACGAAGAAAGGAAGTGCTGATCTGTGTAGGAATTAGAGTTCTCAAAAGTAATTGTTTGAACGAACGTTAAACCAAACATTTTCCAAACATTTGATGAATTCGACCAGTTAGTTAAATTTCACGTGAACCGTTTGTTAAAAAGTTCATTTTGGTTGAATTTCATAACTGAGCGTTTGGGAAAAATGAACAATTACTTATTTTTTTCGAAAAAAAATTTTTGTTCAAAAAAAGTAAACATTCACTTTTCACTTTGAAAATGTTGGTTCATTAAGGCGAACATTTATTTATAGTCAGAATATGATTGTTTATAAAAGGATCATTCACTTTTTCAGTCATTACTTGAAAATTCACAAAATGAAAAAGAATGAAAATGATCAATTTTGGTTGATCTTTCAAAAAAACGACATTCGTTTGAAATGTCAAAAAGAAAAATTTTTTTCGTTTTTTTGAAAAAAATGTCATTATTTTCAATTGGTCATTTTGAGAACTCTAGTAGGAATCCAAAAAAATATGTGAAAATGTCTTCAATCCCTATTTTTTTATCAAATTCTTCTTCTGAAGTTGTATTTCAAAGAACACTTTTTTTCAGTGAAGTGTAATTTTTTTGTGATGTAAAAAAATTCTTCGGAAGGAAGAAGCCTGATGATCAGGGTCGAAAAAGATGCAAGGGGCTTGAAAATTGGAAGCTTTTAAGGTTTTCATACAGGAAAAAGATCTTTCTTATCCAATAATGTTACTGAAATTTTTCTCTTCTAAAAAAATATGATAATTCTCAAATTTCAAAGTTCTAATCGGCTTTTTAAAACTCTTATCATTCGGGCAAACAAGGAAACATGGCATTTCGTCATTTTTCTTTTTGTTTGATTAACTAGAGTTTAGCGTAGACGTTGATTACAAAGTATGATGAATCCGGAAGAGGCTGAAAATGATTGATCAAAATGATTCGTTGATAAAAAAAAACCCACCTAGGAAAAAATCAACTTTTTTTCAAAGTCGGAAAGGAAAATTTTTCAGCTCTATTGCATTGTTTCTGTATTTACTAGCTCATATGAGACTACATTTTCTATATGACTCAGGATTTCTCACTTCAGAGTGGAATTTTTCCGGAAAATACAGCTCCTAGCAATTTTTGAAATGATCTTTGAACTCAAAAATGAATATTCAAACGACCCTTGATCCGAACATTCTGAAGTGATATATCCATTTTGTCGCCACCGAAATCGGGGACAAATCGTCGGTTGTCCTTGGCCATCTTCCACCCGCCTGGAAATCTTCTTTCGTCTGTTTTCCTTCACGATTATTCGCCGCCGATTGTGTTAATTTCGAACTTGTCACTTTCAACCGGTTTTTCTTGACCTTTTTTCTAGTTTTCGCTTTTTTTTGTAATTTGTAGATTCAAGGGAAAATGAAAAGAGCGATACCGATTCATGGAACTGTTGATGAACTCTTTAGCGACGTCAAGGAGTCGTTCAGGTTTTCACTTTTTTGAAAAATTGGTACCTCGAGTTTTGCATAGACCTCAGTTTCAGTTGAAAAAATTTCTATTTTTTAAAAAATTTGTTTTAGTGAAGTAATGTTCAAAGAACATGATAAAATTCTCGAATATCGGAAAGATAGTAAAGGCGATTGCTTTTCAAGCCTTTACTATTGTATTTTTCATTTTTAGAGACTAAATAAATTAAAGTGACAGCGCTGAATCTGACAGAAAAACCAAAAATGACTTTTAAATGAAAAGGAGATTTTTAATAACCCCAGGAATATCTCACCTATGCTTTGAAATTGATAACCTTCAGCAAAAACTTCAAAGAAGGATGGGAAAAAGCGGGCGCCGCGTTTTGTGTGATCCATCGCGGACATGTTGTCGTTGACCTCTGGGGAGGCTATGCGGATGTTGAGTGCAAGTAATTTTCAGATTTAGATCATTTTCCGGGAAATTTTTTCAGCAAAGAATGGAAGGAGGACACGATCTCGACCGTTTTCAGCTGTACAAAAGTGAGAACTTTTCAATTTTTTTTCACTGATTTTCATAATTTGAGAGCGCCACGGCAATCTGCTTCGCCATGTTGGTGGACCGTGGGTTGTGTGATTATTCCGATAAGGTGAAAATTTTTTTTCCTGTTAGGTATGAATAAGGAAAGATTAAGAGAAAATAGACTTACGAACAAAGCGGGGTTTCTCTGCGTCTCTTCATTTCCTGTATACTATCCAGCTTTAGAGGGGAATTCAACATTTTTGCTTTTTCTTTTTGAAATGAAAAAAAGTAGAAGGTCTCTTTTTTTACCTTAAAAAAATAAGGAAAAATAAAGTTATAAGAGTGTCTTCCGTCCTTCTGAAAATCGAGTATTTTAATTTTCTTGTCACTATTTTCAATCGAAAAGTTCAAAAACCTTCAGAATTAAACTTTTATGGTTTATTTGAACTTAAGAAAGCGCTCACTAGGGAACTACTCTCAAGAGATTTGACTCGGTGCCGTCACTGGTGCCGCTAAGATTTGGCACTGCTCGGCGCACCGTGCATGTGATAGTGGAAACCCCAGTCATTTTTGGTGCTTTTTCGGTGTCAAAAGAGTGCAGCTGCACGGTGCATGCCCCAAATCTCTCAAAAATGGCTGGCTGCAATATCCCGATAGAGCGCACTTTCTCACGTTGTATTCAAGAGCTGGCGGACCGCTTACTGCTCTATTCGTTCGCTCGATTGATTTGCGATAACCATTGAACTTACATTATTTACTACAATTTTTATTGATATAAAAAATAATGCATGAAAGAAATTTGTTAAATATACCGCAAGTAGAGGATCGATTAGGGAAACGCTATACAAGAAAATGTTAGAACAGATGTAATGATGCGCGGATATTTTGTAGTGAAAGTAATAATTGAGATGCCATTTTTGAAAAATGGAAGTACATCAAGTATACGACAGAGATATGGCTTAACAATATAATATCTGAGTGAGCGTGACCAAAACCGGTTATTAACCTTATAGATTAGTAAATAGGTCATTATGTAATAGTGAAGATGGGGAAATTATGGGGCAGGTTTGAAATTTTTTTAACGTTTGCTTTGAATTTGTTGAAGGTTGAAAATATTGGACTTATGTTGATCTTTGATTGAACGCTAACTGTGAATTTTAAATGTCCAAAACTAGAAGTTTGCGCAGGTTACCACTGGAAATCAAGGTAATTTTTATTTGCGATTAGGAATCTTCTAAAACTTGGTTAGAACGTTCCTCGTTGTACCAGGTGAAGATTCTGAAATTTCAACCCTGCACAGCCTCTAGCTGCTGAGAAAAAAAAACCCTCACAGGCAACGAAACCCTCAAAATCCGTGAAAATAGGCGATTTGAGGGCTGTGAGGTCTTTTTCTCGAGAACTAGGAAGTTGTGTAGGTTGAGACTTCCAGAATCTTCATCTGGTACATCAAGGAGTTTTTTGACCAAATTTGAGGAAATTCGTAACCGCAAAGTAAAATGACCTTTCTGCTGAGCGGATTAGATTACTAGATTATCACATAACTACTGAGCAAACTAAAAAAAAATTCAAGCACACGCAAAAAAGACTGCCCAAGTAAAAATTAAAATTTCGAAGAAATTTGAAAGTTATACAGTGGGTTAAAAATGACTAGACGAAAACAACGGAGAAGTTCTCAAAACAGGGAAGATAGCCAAAAATGGTATTATTAAACTAATACTTGAGAAAAAAATAAAATAAAATTTTTGAATTAGAAATGTAGACATTTCGTCGGACAGAAGATAAAGATTTGGTGTGCTGCGCAATCCATCGCATTTCCAAGTTGATCTGAAAAATTGAACAATAAAACAAGAAAAATTTGAAATAAAAAAACTCACTTTTTTTATATTATAATTAGTTTGAAACTTAACAAAAAAGTTTTAACTGATTTCGAAACACAAGTTTGACATAAAGTTATTAGTTTTAGAGCCACATTTGCGTTAGGAGGCTCATGAGATTTGTTCATCAGAGTAATAAGACCGATTTAATGAGACCGAACAAGAAATTCTTCTCTTCGTGGTGTTCAAAGAATTTAGTTGAATGGTGGAAAGACAGGGGTGTCACTAAATATGGAACGGATTTTCAAAAAGCTTGAGCTTTTTCATTTGGTTGTTTAATTGTGACTCCTTTTTTTGTTTTTATTTACCAGGATTTCTTCTAACAATGTTCCAAAGATTACTTCCTAATATACGGTTTTTTCCTTGAATTGGCTGAAAAATGCTGAATAGAGCTTATTTTCTTATCGGAAGCTTCCTTCTTACTTACTACCATCACATTTTTTTTGTTTCATGCACATTTGAGAGGACGGTTAATAAGAAAAACAGTCAAAGATTGGTAAGGGGCATCTATTCCAGGTCTTCCTGGCTCGGAACATGAGGACGGTCGAAATAATTATCAGAAACAAGCTAAGGCTCAAGTGCTGTCATTTCAAAACAGCGGTCCTTTTCGTTCAGAGTAAATGAGTAAAGGCAAGACATCTGGACTCATCTTTAATCTTCTCAGCACTCCTTCCAAACTGAATCACGGCTTTAAAACTCACTTACAGGAATTTTGAAATCGAAATTGAAGTTATGTGAGAAACTTTGACTACTAGCAGAAGGTGAATGGAAATAAAGAGTCAAATTTTTGCACATATTTAAATGAAGATGTGTTGGACATCCTGAGAAAATTTCATGCTCCAAAAATAATTTACCTCGATACGAGCTTTGTTCGAAGTTTTTCATCCATATTTATTGGTCACTCTGTAATTCCTAGGAAACTAAGGAGTTGTACACGTGAGACTTCCAAAATCTTCTCCCGTGAATTAAAGAAAGTTCTGACCGATTTTCAGGGATTTCCTAAACGCAAAGTTAAATGAGCTTTCTAGCAAAACAGGACTGTGCCGCAATCGAGTTTGAGTCGCTAATTAAGTATATAGATAATTACAGTACCGTGCAGTAAGATATACAATTTCACTTTTTTCGTCATAACTTTTGCAGAAGTTGTCCGATTTCTGTCAAACTTTCTACAGTTGTTACTTGCAGATCCAGTATTTTAACACAAGAAAATCAGCTGGGTGGCTAATTGTGGTAGTAAGTTACAGCTTGAAACCTGGAATCAAAAGAATCTCAAAAAATTTCAAAAAAAATTTTTTTCGGATTATTTCATTCTAAATTTTATAATTAGAGCTGTAGCGGAAGTTTCAACAGTATCAGAGAGTATTTGGAACAAGTAAAGCCAGAAAAAGCCGCTCAAAAGCCGAAAAGGCTGAACTCATGATCTGATTGGAAGGAGTTTATTTGAATTTTTGTCGGATTTTAGAAATGAGTTACTGAACGAAAACTGCTAAATATCCGAAAGACCTAGACAAGGGCTGTAAACTAATAAGTTTTACAGAAAATTATTGCGGTTTTCATTGTTCAACTTCAAATTACTTCGCTTAGAATTCATCAATCTGATGAAAACAAAAATTATCTTATTAAACCAATTTCTCAGTCGATTATAATCCTGAAATGACTGGAGGCTCTAGAACTTTCAAAATTTTTTTTGAGAAAGGTTCTGCTTTTGAAAAAAAAATTTTTGCGAAAAAAAGATTTTTGAAATTTGGAAAGCCGTTGATCAACAAGACAATAGTGTAAACAAAGAAGTGAATAAAAAAACTCACTATCAATTTTTTTGTTTCATTTTTCAATATGCAATACTGCAAAGCGCCATAAAGGCAGGCGTGACTTTTTTAATTTTAATAATTTCAAAAAGTGTATTTCGAGCTTATTAAATTTTCATAGATCCTTCAGCTCACTAGTCACTAGCTTTTCTCGAGGAAGTAGGCTCGTTTTTATTATTGTACGGACTACCATTTGCTAACAAAAAGACCCAGCTTGAGAATTCAATGACACTAGTAGTACTTTGAGATCTCCATAAAGCAGGGAACTTAATTTTTAATTGCGGAACTAATCTTTCCTTTTTGGAACGAGGAAAGCACTGACGACTCCCTCACTACAAAAAAAGAGCACAATTTTGGATTTCAAAGGTGACGTTCATGTAAACTATTTTCTTTTCAAATGCTATTTTTGTTCGATGGTCAGCGTGGAAAAAAACAAATGACTAGACTGTAAAAATTTTTTTAAAAAAAGCATATTATTACGAATTTATATCGAAAAAAATGCGAAAAATTATGTTTTTTTATTTCGCGGAGCACGGAATTCGGCCCTTCCCTGGTCTTCTGTATCCAAAGCATGTAAAAGAAGTTTCTCGACTTTTGCCTTTGAGGCCAGGCACCCTAGATTTCAAGTACCAAATGACAGAAATGGCCCTTAAAAAAAATACGAAAAACAAAGCACTGCACTTTTAAAATCTTAACTCTTCATACGTCGATAGCAGCTCTAGCTCCATTTTCTTGAACGAAAAGCGTAGACCATTTATGATTCTGAAGTTAACAACGAAAATAGTAAGTTTTAGCGAAAGTAATAATAATGGTGAAGCCTTAACGGTAATTAACGTTAGCTTAGCTATTGCACGGTACAAAAATTTAGTGAAAATAACCGTTTCATTATAATAGCGACTACTCGATTCAGAATGAAAATTATATTAGAAGAGATTTCAGTATAATTATTCGGAAAGCTCACAAAAATAACAGCGAGAAAGATAAATCGTACTTCAAATACGAATAGGTCGTATGTATGATAAACTTTCTTTGAAAAACGTTTTGCGTCCTATAGTTTTTATAGATTTGAAAATTCCAATGGAAAGTTACAAATAATTACTTACTTACTTACTTACTTCACAAAAAACTGTCACAAAAAACTTTCAGGACTAATAAAACGTTATATGAAGAAAAGTCTCCAGCATATGTACATTGAACGATATAAACGTAGTTTAACACAAGAAAATATTGAAATTTCACCGAAAAAACACACTAAAACAATAGAATTTAATGTAAAAAACAGAATAAAGAATTTAAATGGAAAATGGCGCCATTTTGCCTTTGCTGGGTCTTGAACGGAGGCTGCGCCTTTAAAAGCGCAGGCTTGCGCTATGTTTTTGCACCAGATATGCACTGCAGTGCACCGATTTGACACCGCTTTCCAAAATTTTGAGGGCTTCCCTCAAAAAAGCCTAAATTTGACACTGAATTTACACTTTGCTCGGATTAGGCACCGTGACAGCACCGTGCATTTGGAGACCAGGTCTCAAAAAAGTGCCTGCACAGAGCATATGATCTGCTGAGTACTCGGACTCGGGTACGCGTTTCGAGTTGACACTTTGGTGGATTATAGACCCGAGTAAGAGTACTTGGAAACAAGAGAGATTATCTGCTAAACCCCATAGGCTGCTGAGAAAAAGCTTTTTGAAAATGAACAATTTAGGCTTGAAAAATATCAAATTTCTGTTTTCCTCCTTCTTTTGGCTGGAAAAATGTTGCTTAGTGTTTATTATAGCCGGATCATTTAAGGCGATTGGATAAAAACATAAAATAAGGTAAAAAGCAGTATTCTGAAAATTTTCAGGCCTAATTTTCACATTTTCTACTAAATTTTTCTCAGCTCTCTATCGGGTTTAGCAGATATTCTCTCTTGTTTCCAAGTATTCTGACTTGGGTCTATAAACCACTAAAGTTTCAACTCGGTCCGCGATTACGAGTTCGAGTAGTTCCCTAGTCAGATCAGATGATTAAGTAGGCTAAGCCTCACCACTTGATAGTTTTAGGTGACCAAGTACTGGCCAGAATTTGGAGCCAACGGGAAGGAAGACATCACCATCGATATGGTGCTCTCTCATACGGTTGGTAAGCCTTTCCAATTGAAATTCGAAATGAAAATGCAGTTATTGGGTTCTTTTATGATGAAAATTCATTTTGATTAGTTTATTAGAAGTTCTTCATGAAGCAACTTTTCAAGGAAACTTGAACCGAAGGCTTTTTTGAACCAGACTTTCGAACTTCTACATTATTTCCAACCCTTTTCAGACGCTAAATTAACTTTCATAGAATTTTCAAAATGCCTGTGAATTCCCGTGAAAAATTTTTCACTTGAAAATGCCTGTAAATCCCGTAAAAAAAGTTTTTACTTGAACTTAAGGCCGGAATTCCCTACTTCAACAAGAGGATCACCTTTGATGAACTGCTTGATAACGAGAAAATTGCAAAAATCATCGAGACTCAGGCGCCAATTTTCCCACCTGGATCCAAAACGGCCTACCAGCCGTTGACTTTCGGTTGGATGGCTGATCAGGTGAGAAATTTCACTAATTTGGTGATTTTAAAGACGTTTTCATGTTGAATTTTCAACAGGAAAAGGAAAAAAAAAAAGAAAAAAAAAGTTTATTTTGAAAACCTCACATGTAAATCTAGGAAATTCGTAAAGAAAATGCATGTTGATTGTATTTTTCCCTTCCTTATTATCCAGTAGCTTCAAAAAAAGACAGCCCAAAAATTCAAAACAACATAATTTTCAGATCTTCAGAAAAATCGAGCCTCAAAATCGAACAGTTGGCCAGTTTTTCCGTGATGAGTTGGCCATTAAACATCGTGAGTCTCAATATCCTTGATTAAAAAAATTAAAAATTTTTTTCAGACATTGACATGCACATTGGCGACTGTACGGCTGAAGAGAATCGATTAGCGAGATTATTCAAAATGAGCCGATTGTTGGCTGTTCGGTAGTGTATCCTTGACTAGAAGGATACAATTTTGATTTTAGAGAATTTGGCTATGACAAGATGTTGGCCAATATGGCTAGGTATTATTATAATCCGCGAGGTTATTTCCAAAGAGCCATGGACAATATGCGCGACTTTGGATCTGTTAGTTTAAAAAAACCAAAAAAATTATAATTATCAATTCAGGACTTTACAATTTACAATAACAGTGATCTTCGTATTACTGGCCAGCCAGGGGTCAACGGCGTGGCTTCTGCTCGGGCCTTGGCCCAACTCCATCAACTTATCCTCGATGGCTCAATTTTGTCGAGTGAAGCTGTCAAAGTAATCATAAAATTCTATTTGAAAAACCCTTCATTTTGTCAAGAAAATATCAACACCAGTGAATGGACCTTCATTTGATCATACTTTGGGAGAGCCTCAAGTGAAAGAACGAGGATTTACCTACGACAAGAGTCCAAAGGTTTTTGGAGCTTATTTCAAAACAATAACATAGTTTACAGGGATCCTGGCAATTCGGTCATCCTGGCGTTGGAGGACAAATTGGTGAGATTTGCATCGTAAGAAAAAAAAACTTTACTTGATTCAGTTCGCGCTGATCCAGAAAATGAGCTAGTAATCGCCTATTTAACAAATGCTATGAAGGTAAACCTCGAAGTTTTTTTGAGAACTGTCTGAATTTAGGCAGGTGTTGGAGATCATGTCTTCACCTATATGCGTCTGCAGAAGAAAGTCTACGATACGCTGGCGAGAATACCGAAATTTGAAGTGCCGCTTGAATAGATTTTACAATTTTACTATTAATAAAATATTCAACTTGAGTTCCCATGATACAAATTATGGTTTTTTTTTCCAAATGAATTCCTGACCTTCATCTTTTAAACAGGAATTCCATTTTGAAAAAAGCTCTATACCTCAAGTAAAACTCTGAAATTATAAAAAAAGAATATGCCAATGGGAAGAAGAGAATAGGCTAAAAGGCAATTTTTTTCTTGGCATTTTTTCCCAGGAGCATAGTTCACACCACACCATTAGCGGTATTTCTGATTTAAGGTGCACTAATTGCTCCAAGCACATACCTAATACCCTCTTATCACATCGAGACGCGCGTTGACCTCATGAGAATGACGATCTCGCGAGATGAGATCGAGCAATTACAGTAATCTTTTCGCACACTCCGCGTACACTCGCGAAAAGCACGCCCCTTCTGCTTTTGTCATCGTCATTTGAATTGGCGTCCGTCAGTGGTCAAATATCGCCTGTTTTTTCTTTCTCTTTTTTTGTCTGTGCTCGAACTGTTTTCCGTGTATTTTATTAATAAGTATTCTGTGCACATATTTATACTTTCAGAGTGGTCTGAGCCGTTCTCAAAGCAGCTATGGCCCAAGTACCTGTGTGAGTTTTTCAGTTGCCTTTTCTTCTCTCTCCTGATTTTGGATTTGTAATCATTTTCTGAATTTCAGAGCAAAAGACGAGAAGGAAAAGAAGAATGACGCTCTTGCCACAGCTATTCTGAAAGACAAGGTCAAGCCCAACCGACTCATCGTCGACCAGTCGGACAAGGATGACAATTCCGTCATTGCTCTGTCGCAAGCCAAAATGGACGAGCTCAATTTGTTCCGAGGCGATGCTGTCGTTCTGAAGGTTAATCTCACTCTCCATTCAAATTATTTGATTGTGTAGCTCTAAAAAGCATTGGCGTGTTAACTTTCAAGGTTACAGCCAACCGTCGTATAGAGCAATAATAACTTTCTTGTTTTTGGGTGAGGTGCATTCGTTCAAGAATGTGTCTCAATAACGTGAACACAATTATTGACAAAATCATTATTTTTATAGGATCAATTCCAGAAATTTTTTTTTATCATTTTTTTTCAGGGAAAGAAAAGAAAGGAGACTGTTGCCATCGTTTTGGCTGATGATGGGTGTGCCAACGAGAAAGTTCGAATGAACCGTGTCATCAGAAACAATCTGCGAGTTCGGCTTGGCGATGTCGTCAGGTAGTGTATTTCGAAATCTATGATGAAATAAAGTTGCTCTTCAAAAAGCACTGGTGAATGACCGCTTAAAGTTTTTCCCAGCCGTCGAAAAGAGCTAAATAAAATAGAAAGTTTTTGGGTGAGGTGCAACTGGTATATGTAGCGTCTCAATAACTTCATGACATTCATTAAGAATTTCAATTTTCAGTATCACGGCTGCGCCAAACCTCTCATATGGAAAGAGAGTCCATGTTCTTCCAATCGACGACACCATCGAGGGACTCACTGGAAACCTCTTCGATGTTTTCCTCAAGCCGTACTTCTTGGAGGCTTACCGGCCGTTGCACAAGGACGATATATTCACTGTCCAGGCTGCGATGAGAACTGTCGAGTTCAAGGTACGTGAACAACTTTGATCAATCTTTTTTTTTAATTGTCCGAATCCGAGAAATAACTTCAAGTTTACAGGTCGTTGAAACTGATCCATCGCCAGCGTGCATCGTCGCACCGGATACCATGATCCATTATGAAGGAGAAGCCATCAAGCGCGAAGAGGAAGAAGAAAACCTCAACGACGTCGGTTACGACGATATTGGCGGAGTAAGTTTTGAAAGAAAAAATCATATTTGTGACATTTCTGAATAAAATTAGCTCTAAAAAGCATTGGCGTGTTAACTTTCAAGGTTACAGCCAACCGTCGTATAGAGCAATAGAAACTTTCCTGTTTTTGGGTGAGGTTCATTTGAGCTTCAAAAATGAGTCTCAATAACGTGAAGACATGTTTACAGATTTAAATAATACAAAAGAGTTTTATTTTTCTCCAGTTCATGAAACTAACTTCAGGCGCGAAAGCAACTCGCTCAAATCAAGGAGATGGTTGAATTGCCTCTGCGTCATCCTCAGCTCTTCAAGGCTATCGGCATCAAGCCACCACGAGGAATCCTTCTGTACGGACCTCCTGGAACGGGAAAAACTCTTATAGCTCGTGCCGTCGCCAACGAAACTGGAGCATTCTTCTTCCTGCTCAATGGACCCGAGATCATGTCCAAACTTGCCGGAGAATCAGAGTCAAATCTCCGTAAGGCCTTCGAAGAGTGCGAGAAGAACTCCCCATCTATCTTGTTCATCGACGAAATCGACGCTATCGCGCCGAAACGTGAGAAGACCCACGGAGAAGTTGAAAGGAGAATCGTCTCTCAACTCTTGACGCTTATGGATGGTCTCAAGCAACGATCTCACGTCGTCGTCATCGCCGCGACTAACCGACCAAACTCGATCGACGGAGCTCTTCGAAGATTCGGACGTTTCGACAGAGAAATCGACATTGGAATTCCTGACGCGATTGGCCGCCTTGAAGTCTTGCGAATCCACACGAAGAACATGAAGCTTGCTGAAGACGTTGACCTCGAGCAAGTCGCCAACGAATGCCATGGTTACGTCGGTGCTGATCTTGCTTCTCTCTGCTCGGAAGCTGCTCTCCAACAAATCCGTGAAAAGATGGACCTGATTGATTTGGAGGACGACACGATTGATGCTGAAGTGCTCAACTCTCTTGCAGTCTCTATGGAAAACTTCCGAGTAAGTAGCTACTTTTTTCAAAATAGTTTTGCTCTTCAAAAAGCACTGGTGAATGACCGCTTAAAGTTTTTCCCAGCCGTCGTGAATGGAGCTAAATAGAAAAGAAAGTTTTTGGGTGAGGTGCAACTGGCAAATGTAGCGTCTCAATAACTTTATAACATTAATTTCTTTCAGTTTGCGATGGGCAAAATCGGCGCCTTCTGCTCTACGCGAAACAGTCGTCGAAACCCCCAACATCACCTGGAACGACATTGGTGGCTTGGCGAACGTCAAGCGAGAGCTGCAAGAGCTCGTGCAGTACCCCGTGGAGCATCCGGAAAAATACCTCAAATTCGGCATGCAGCCATCGCGTGGTGTGCTCTTCTATGGACCACCTGGATGCGGTAAAACCTTGCTGGCCAAGGCTATCGCTCACGAATGCCAGGCCAACTTCATCTCTATCAAGGTAATCTATTCATAAATTTATTTTTTTATTAGCGAATGAAATCACTGAAGTTTCAAATAATCCCTGTTTTTTTAAATTTCAATCTTTTACTCGACTTTAGACAATCTCATAGTAAAAAGAGCTTCAAAGTCGATGGACTTTTAGTCAAAAATTTTCAAACTTCAAAATTTCGTTTTTTAGGGTCCTGAGCTTTTGACCATGTGGTTCGGAGAATCTGAAGCCAACGTGAGAGACGTCTTCGACAAGGCTCGTGCTGCTGCCCCTTGTGTGCTCTTCTTCGACGAGTTGGACTCAATTGCTAAGGCTCGTGGTGGAAGCGCTGGTGACGGCGGCGGCGCTGCTGATCGTGTCATCAACCAGGTTCTTACTGAAATGGACGGCATGAACTCTAAGAAGAACGTCTTCATCATTGGTGCCACCAACAGGTTTTCGCTCCATTTAAATAAAATATAATACGATTTTTCTTTAGACCTGACATCATCGATTCTGCTGTTCTTCGTCCTGGACGTTTGGATCAGCTTATCTACATTCCGCTGCCAGACGAACCGTCTCGCCTCCAGATCTTCAAGGCCAACTTAAGAAAGACCCCGATCGCCAAGGAAGTTGACCTCAACTTCCTGGCCAAGAACACTGTCGGATTCTCTGGAGCCGATTTGACGGAAATTTGCCAGCGGTTTGTTTTTCTTCCTTTCAAAGTCGTTTAGAAGCTTCTGCACAATTTAAGAACTTGCAATTCTTCGCACTTTCAGAGGATTGAGAGTCAACGTTTTGTTTTCTCTTTTTCTTTTTTAAGAGCGCATGGTTTTGTGAGTGTCATAGTTGTGCGAGAGAAAAAGTTTCAAGCATTTCAGCGCTTTAAAAGCTGTAAATCTCGCTTTGATTGCGCTTTTGAAGCTATATGATTTGAAGATACATTTTACATTTTTATAATTTTCAGTGCTTGCAAATTGGCTATCCGTGAGTCGATTGAGAGAGAAATCCGCCTGGAGAAGGAGCGTCAAGAGAGAAACGCAAAGGGAGAGGAGCTTATGGAGGACGATTTGGTCGATCCAGTCCCAGAAATCACTCGCGCTCACTTCGAAGAGGCTATGAAGTTCGCTCGTCGTTCAGTATCTGACTCAGATATCAGAAAGTGCGTTTCAGTTCATTTTTCTTTTCAAAAATTGTGTTTTCAGATACGAGATGTTCGCGCAGACTCTTCAGCAACAGCGTGGATTCGGAACCAACTTCCGATTCCCAGGAGAGGCTCAGAATCCTTCGGAAATTCCTGTTGGTGGTGGCGGCGGGGGTCACCGTGGAGAAGACGAAGACCTTTACGGATAAATACGCTTTTTTTTTCTTCTCGAACATCAACAAATGCCTTTTTAGATTTGTTGCTTGTTGTAACTTTGTATGATTTTGCAAATATTAACTGTATCTATTCATAATTTATGATCACTTTTTTCTTTTTCTCTCAATGCATTATTTATTTGGGAGCGCCACTTAATCAAAAATCGTGTTCCTTTTGCCGTCAATCCCCTTGGTTACTGGTTTAAGTTGGCTAACTCAACTGGTCTTGAAATTGTGTATTTTGTACCCATTACCTTTTTCTCTTTTGCTATTTATGATTGAATGGGGCACGTGCTTTAGTGTTGCTTCAATCTTATTGCATGTGTAACCCTTTGGCTGTGAATACTATTAAAATCTCGTATCCGCTGTTGTTTTACCAAATGCTTTGCAATCACGGACGTGTATTTGATAATAAAGGGACATTGTTTTTTTCACCTTCGCTGATGCAAGAAAAATGGCGCTCTGACATCAAATCTTATACTTCTGTGAAAAGCTCTTTAAATATTTTTTTATCAGGTCTTGGCAGGAAATGCTGAATGCCGTCGTTGAACAAGGCGGCGAGAAGATCAAGCTCTAAGCGTGGGATTGTATGTCTTTTTCAATTTATCATTTACATCTAAAATTTTAATGGTAATCAAAATTATTTAATGCGAGCTCCCGCTTGAATAATTGAAACTTTGAAAGCTTTAAAAAAAGTTACTCGTTTTAAAAATAAAATAAGAGTTGGAAATAAAGTAAAGCCACGTCCAACGATTAGAAGTCAGCAGATGAACGTTTCCGGATTTTTGAAACCTTGATGCTTTCAAATGTTTCTAACGCACTTTGTCAAGCTGTAAGCTGCCCTCATGCTCAAATGGACCGTTGGCTAACGGAATAATTGTTTCGAGCATATCCTCGGGCTTTATCCAAACTTCATGGTGGCAAAAACTTGAACTTTTCGCTGGTTTATCAAAGATAAGCCTTTGAATCCTCCTAAGATCTTGAATGTAATTCTGAAGATTTTTCAAAGAAGACTTGGAACATTTTTGCAGAGCTTATGCAGATAATTTATCAGCTTTTTGGATGGATGATAAATCACAAGAATTCTTCAAGCCTCAAATTTTTTTAAACATGTTTTTCGGCAGGAACTTACAAGTTTGAAAAATTTTTCTTGACTTTAAAAACTCTATTTAAACCATTGTTTCAATAAAAAAATCTTGAGAGAAACTTTTTGTTGCAAAACCCCTGAGATTTTTGGTTCTGACTGAGTTTTGGTTTGGTTTTTGTCGGCTCGGCCCGCATTGATTTGCCTCCTCTAAAGCTGTGTGTATGTGCATTTTTGCTCTCCCCCTCCCCTGGACTTGCCTCCGACGACTACGACGACTACACTCTTTATCTCGCCTCCTCATGGGTTCTTTTCAATCTTCTCCTTTTCCTCCTCCTCCTCCTCTTGTGTGAGTGAAGTGAGTGTGAGTGAGTGAGGGTCGAGCTTTTTTGGTTTCCTCCCTCTTCTTTTTTTTTCCTTCCCGACGACGACGACGACGGCGAGCTCACACGGTGATTAGCTTCAGAACAAACTGCTTCTTTCCTTCCACATACCTTTTTTGAACCTTTTTCGCTGTCAGTTTTGATTGAACGTCGTGTTTTGAGAAGATGTGGAGCGGTTTGAAGCGATTTTCTGAGATGAGACAACTTATAATTTATTAGTTCGATCGTGTATATCTATAACCATACCTGGGATGACTTCCAAGCCGACCTGAGTCTTCTTTTTTTTTTTTAAGAACCTCATTTTATTTTTCCCAACACGGCTACGTATGTATGACGCTTCGAACCCAACGCTTTTTATTTAAAAATTGAAGCATGTTTTATTTTTTTGAGAAAGTTATTTTATGAACGATGAGCGGAGCTATCCTCTTTGAACACCAAAAGTTGTAGAGGTTTAACTATTTTCTTTATATTTTTTTTTTGTTTCTAAATAAATTATAGTAAAATTTTTATGTGTAGTATGAAAAAAAGCCAGCGAGTTTTCGAACGGCGACTTTTCCGATTTTTTTTTATGAACGAAGCATTTTTCGTTATGAAGAATAAGCTAGGCTGGCTACGAATATATAATCCAACCTTCATCAATTTGCAAAATTCTCCCTCTCCCACTATTATTAACGATCCAAAGATTTCGTCTGAATAATTTATATATCTATCCCTCTTCTCTTCCCATTTTTTCATGAGATTCCCAAAATATGAGCTTCTGGAACGCTCTTATTATAAAAATTTATGTTTTTTTTTCCGGCCGCCTCATATGTTTCAGCTATTTCAGTCGATGGCTTTCCATTACTCGCAACAAATTCGATTTCGGGCCTTTTCCCGTCGTTTTTCCTGCAGTTATTCGCACCATTTCGTCCCGTTTTGAGCATGATTTATGAAGAAAAACTTGTCTTTCTTCTAACTGCGCCGCAAATGAAATATTTGTGCGTTCTTCACTTCTCTTTTGTTTTCTCCGAGCGCCGGATTTCCCCAAACTTCCTTTTTTTTTTTGACAAAACCGATTGGATTCTTGTTTTTACGATTTCTATTGGCTTTGCAGTGGATTTAGGAGATTATGCGAGTCTGAATAAATTTAGTTCTTTTCAGAGGAAAAGTTCTCGAGTTAGAGACCCAAAATACAAGGATTTTCGAAGTTCAGTGGTTTTGCAGGCATTTTATCAACTTTGAAGCTTGGAGAAAGCTTCTAAATAATTTGTAAAGCTCAAAATCCGTTCATTTTTCTAGAAATGACCGAAATAGGTTATTATTTGAAAGAGAATGACTTTAAATGTATTAATGACCGTGAAAAGAAATTTCAACTGTGTTTATTGTACTCTCAATAATCCAGGAGAGGTTTTAATAAAGGACTGTATAGTCTGTGTACCACGACTTGCAATTTCACGGAACGACATTCCGCTGTTCCGCTGCGTGCGTTCGCGAAGCGTCTTTTGAACCTGGATGACGCTTTCAACTGATTGTTATTGTCGTGGAAGCACACGGACGTAGAGTACCTTGATAAAAAAAAAAAATTTAAAAGCACGACCAAGGTTCGCAAAGGCGCGGAGAGGCACATCAGAATGTCGTTTGGTGAAATTCCAAGTCGTGGTACATAGGCTATACCTCTAAATGGAACTTGAAAAAAAAAATGTTCAAAGACATATGAAGCCTCTGCCAAAGGAATGATACCCGAAAGTGCTTATTTCCAAGCTCTCCTAAGGCTTCATGAATAGAAAAAGGAAAAAAAGCCGAGCGCGCACACACAAATATTCACCCCGAAACCAATTTATTATTGCATTCTTCCTTCTGAAAGACTGGAAAAAAAGAAGAAAAATTTCCTTCCCACAAACCATTGCTCTTAACGTCCATAAAAGCCTAATGATGTGCACTTTTTGTGCATTCCTTTCAAATAGACATTTTTTTCTTCTTTTGCTTGGTTCCTGTCATTTCCTATTACATGTTTTCAGGGCCCGGGAACGGAAGGAAGTATTTTTTTTTTCTGTAGAGTGTTGGACTTTTCCGGGTTTCAGATGGAAGGGTCTGGAAATTTGATGATTTTGTGTCTTTTTTTCACGTTTTAATAACATTTTTATGGGGGTTTTGTAAACTTTTTTGAAATTAGCATTGAAAATAAAAATTTAAAAACCAATTTCTAAAAGAGTGCGTGTCAAAAATATATGGGTCCCGTAAAAAGTCAGTAGTTCCATAGCCTGTGCACCACGACTTGGAATTTCACAGAACGACATTTCGCTGTGCCGCTGCGCGCCTTTGCGAGTCTCGGCCGCGCTTTTAATTTTTTTTTCTTTCGTCAAGGTACGCTACTTTTCTGTGCTCCCACCGCAATTGAAAGGGTGACCTAGATTCGGAAGACGCTTCGCGAAAGCACGCAGCGGAACTGCGGAATGTCGTTCCGTGAAATTTCAAGTCGTGGCACACAGACTATATCAAGAACCTTTTTGCACTAAATTATTGGCAATCGCTCTTTTTTCTCAGATTTTAACTGATAATGATCTCAAATAATTAATTTTGATTTTTTTTTTCCCACGAAGTCGGTAGATTTATCAACGCTCCCAGAAGTAAAAAGAGCATAAGACTAAAAGGAAAAAGAAGAAGACGTTGACTTACGGCCTCGCTAGCAAATTGTCGTGTACGCCTTCAACTTCGCGACGTCTAATGAATTTTCTCTTCCGGCTGCTCCAAAAACTTCCATTTTCTTCCCCTTTTTGCTGTTTTTTGAGCTTTTTTTTTATGTATTTTCAAGCTTTTCCCTATTGAATTTTCAAATTTTTGATCTTGTATTTTTTTTTCGGTTCATTTTTGAGCTTTTTCTATTCATTTTATGATGGAATGTCTAATATTTTACTTTAAATCTTTAACGTAATCCGTTTCGGATCTCCAACCAAAAGCCGACGAAAATCCCACGATTCGAGGGAATTTTTCTTTTTTTTTTCTGATATCGAAGCTCGGCGAAGCTTGTTGAAATTTGATCGTTCGGCCGCCCTTTTTTGGCCACATCTGGCACGGCTCTCCGGGGGATTTGCAACTTCTCTTTTCCGTCTCGCTTCGATTTTCGGGCCTTGTTTCAGACTTTATCTGTTTATTTACTTGATTTCTCAAATCAAAAACGTTTTTTAGACTTTACAGCAATACCTGGACTATATGAGAACTTCCTAAAAAAAGTTTTTCTTGTTCAATTTTTTTCAATTGTTCATAGAAACTTTATGTAAACCTTATTTTTTGTGGCTTTTCAAGCTTGCCTGTTGTTTTTTTTTGAGCCATGAACATCGATTTTTGTAAAAACATTTTAGAAAAATTTTTCTTTTTTACGCTTTTGAAGTCGTTGTAAATCAATATAATCTTCCCCATTTCGCAGGAATTCAACAGGGAAACGGCATTTTTTTGCATTTTTCAATCAAAAAAATTTTTATAGATAGTTTTTTTAATTTCTCATTTCTTTGTATAAACACCACCTCATCAGTAAATTTCCAATAGATTTTTTTATGACATGATTCTTCTCAATTTTTTGTACTTTACCATATCCAGACGTTCACACGTTACAGATTTCTTATTGATTAAAAAAATTTAATTAATCTTTTTGTAACTTTCTTATTCGAAAAAAATCTTCGTTTTTTTCAATGTTTTGCCGTGTTTCTTGACCTAAAACTTCCAAATATCCGCATTTTTTTCAGGGGCCTAAAGTGAGGAACCGTGTCACCAGGCGCGCTGTTCCAGTCGCAGGACCGGCCTCGATCGCCGCCGTTCGAGGGCGGTCTCGGGGCTGCGACCGGGCCGCCCGTCTGCCACTACGTCCCGCCGCCGTCCATCGAGGTCAACATCGACTTCACTCGGCCTGATGGACAAGTAATCATGATCAATATACTTAATGAAATTTTATTCCGTTTAAAATCCTTGCTGTGTTGTTTAAAGGTGCAGAAAATGCTGCCAGATTTTTTAATATCATTTTATGCGTTTAAAAACACCTCAACAAGGACTTTTGAGCAATATGTGCTTTATAAAATTGATGAGATTTTTTTCAAAGAACTTTCCGGAACATTTCAGAGGACAAGACCTCTACTGGTCGAAAATAAACGCCTATACGTTGATGAGCACTACATCTCTGTCTGGTCGCCGGTTTTAAGGTAACTTTCAGGTCGAATTTTGGAAATAAGAGGGTATCACGGTCACTTTTTGGATAAGCAGAAAAAAATATCGTACAAACAGATTTCTTTTCACGCTTGCTCTATAAAACTGCAAAAGGACAGCAAAAATAAAGGTCTTGAAGAGAAATTTCCATTTGGGATACGGTCTCCTTGGCAGAAAAAAAAACTTTAGAACTTGGCTCGGAACGGTATATTTCAGTTTGGTGTGAATATTATGTGACTATCGCTTCGTGCATTTTTACTTTTTCTAGAGGCTTTTTCGAATTTTCGATTACATGCTTTCATCTGGGATTTTAAAAAAAAGGGCGTCGACGAATTGATGAAAATCTCGAGGCAAACAGAAATTACAAATAGTCATTTTTATAGCTGTAAGACTTTCGCGAATTTAAGAAATCATGAAAGATTTTTGAATGAAGTTAAGCTAGTAGCTGGACAGTTTTTATCATTTTCTATAATATCTACCTGAAGAACCTTATATGAACTTGATAGTCCTTGTTTCTGAAGCTTTTGCCTTTCTCAAGCCATGCTCATCGCCTTACAGTTAACAAATTTCAGAGCCTGGTGCGTGGAATGCCCGGATCGGGAGCTGATCCTGGCCAATGTTCAGTACGAACACGTGCTGGAGATGCTCGAATGCATCCATCCGACCTACAAAGCCGTCGATGATCAATCTGTACATATTCTTCTGCCTCTAGCTTATGATTATCAGGTCAATAGTTTTTTTTGCTTTTAGAGGGTTTGAAAAGCTGCGAAATGCTTTCCAGGAACAAAAATATTACTTTTTTGATTTCATTCTCAATACCTAAATTCAAAAAGAGAAAGGTTAATATCAAAATAATAGATCTTCAGGACCATGTTTTTAAGAAAAATTCATTGATTTTTGAAAAAATCCAGCTGTTTTTCCAGGACTTCTTTGCTCACATTTTGGTAGGTTTCTCATTTTTGATTGATTTTCGGAGAGTTTTTCCGAGCTTCTTTCAGCAAAAATAGTTTTCTGTGTTTAAAGCTGAAAATTTTCCAGATGGAAGGTCTTCTACATCGATGCGAATGCTTCCTGATCAACCACAATTTGCCGTTTTTGGAGAAAGTTTGGATCGCTGATAGGTTTTTTTAAACTTTTTATTACCTAAAAAAAATCAAAGTATTTTTCAGGTACAAGCTGAACCGATTATTGATCCTTTGTCTACGGGAAATGAGGCCCAACAGTAAAGTTGACCTGAATGGATCGAGGTACTACGCCTTGTCGGATCGAGTCAAAGTCCTACTCTTGGAACGGCTTCACGGGGCCCCGGCGCCTGAGGTACTTCTTTTCCATAGAGCAACTTTACTCCGAAACGCCCTTCTGGCGGGCCGGGTGACCCGGGCTTTGGGCTTACAATTTAAAAAAAAGCCCGCATGGGCTCGCGCCAGGCTTCGAAAGAAATCTTGAATTTCATTTTTGAGAAAAATTTTTTTCTATGAGAAAAAAAATAAGCGAAAATAGAGAATTTGAGTTTTTTGGCCCCGACCGGCGATTTTTGCTTAAGGCCTCCCTAGGGCCGGCCCTCGCACAAGCCTGGCGGGAACTCAAACCTTTTCTCCCCGATTTCGGATAATTTTTTCTCCTAAAATAGGATCTTCCGTTCATTTTTCAAGTGTATAAAAAAACGAAATTTTTTTTACGGAAATTATGTCTTGAAAACTAATAAAAGCTTACATTAAAAAAATCACTGGAACTGAGCGAAAAAGATTACTAAAAAAATTAGTATGAAAAAAATGCGCTGTAAATGGAATTTTTCCACTATCTGTGTTTTGGTTTTTCATGGCTCTTAATGGGAATTTCTTACAACTTATAGCACTTCCATAAAAAGAAAAAAAAACGCCAAATCGGGAACTTTTCAGGAAATCCCCGAACCTCCTCTCGACTTGGAGACGTTCCAACGGGCTTCTGACGTCAATTTCGCAGCAGTTCGGGCGAAAACTGGCCGAGTTTACTACGTAAATCCGTACTATATGGCGGCCTGGTCGAATGTTTTTGAGGTATGGGAAGACTGCAAATAGAAAATTCAAAAATTTTTCTGTAAAAATACTGTAGAACCTTTGAGAAGCCTGTTAAGTGGATGAAGGAAAATCGTCATTTTACTTAGCGGTTGGGAATTTCCTAAAGATTTGAAATACCAAAAAAGGATTCTGAATGTCTCAACCTGCACAACTCCTTCGTTTTGGAAAGAGGAGACCTGAAAGTCAAAAAAAAAAACCATTTTTGGAGCTTTGAGTCCTTATTTCTTGAAAATTAGGCATTTTTGCATGTTGAGACTTTAGAACTTCAATTTGGTATAGTCTGTTCAGATTTTTAATGTCAAGTGCAATGACGTCATTCAAAAACACTCTGTGGATGGCTTGCTCTCTGATTGGTTTATCGCACCATTAGGGGCGGAGCTTGAGCGACGACTTGACATTCAAAATCTGAACAGACTATACTTCACGGGATGTTCTGACGAGTTTTCAGGAAATTCCCAACCGCAAAGTAAAATGACCTACCTTGTGAGATTCAAAAAAAACGAAAATGATTTTCATGTTGAATAGGAATTTTCGGACTTCAATTTATCGGATCAATGATTATTCTTCAACTGTTCAAGGATAAAAATATTCAGGAGAAGTTGTGCACGACGTCGTCTGGAGTCGAAGAAATGTTCTGCCCATGTAACCAAGAAGAACTCAAGGCGTTTCTCATGGCCATTCATCCCCCTCAACTTCGAATCAATGGTGTTCATTGACTAAGAAGAATGAACAATATTTTCTTTACAGAACAAAACATAGGTCCGATTCTGATGTCGGCCTGTAAAATGGAGTCCCCCGCGTTGCTCAGAAAATGTGCCAATTTGCTGTTGGCTCCCCATACTCAGGTATATTTTGGGGTTTTTGAAGCTGGTTTTGGGAGAATTTGGGTCTTAAGTTGGTTGGTATAGTGTTTAAGACTAAGGTAATCCACCTGAAAAGATTCAAATTTAGCCTTAGAATCTTTTTGGGATTTTCAAAAAGCAAGTTTTTGAATGTTTTGTGTTTCCTTAAGCGGCTGTGGATTGTGGAAGACCTGGAGAACTTACTTAAGGAAAATAAATTTGTAATTTAAGTTGGTTATTATAGTCTTTAAAACTAAGGTAACCTACTACAGTAAGTTTAGAGCCTTTTTGGAATTTTCATAATGTAAGTTTTAAATTTTTTAAGTCCAGTATTTGTTGGATTGTTTCCTTACCAGAGAGAGGTCTGAGAGACTCCCTTGAATAGTAATTTATCGAGTAATTTCTGATTTTCTCAATTCATAGAGATCACAGTAGTCTCCATATGTTGCTAGCTCTAGCTATTCGTTCAGAACTCAATTGTTTCTCCATAATTTACACTTCTTGAAATATTGACTGGAAAATTCCACACACTAATCATGGGAAAATTGCCGTGGGAAATGATAAATTGGTCCCACGAGAAGTCTCGTTTCGATTTTGGCTCCTCGGAAATCATGAATATAAAACATCTAGCCGGGTTTAAGATCTTACGCGAAAAAGGTTGGAAAAAGGGGCTTTATTGGTCTCCAAACTGGATTTTTCTGATATTTTTTTCTTCGATTTTTGTTTCAACTGAATGAATTTTGAGCTCAGGAAAAAACCTTTATATGGTTATGTTTTAAATTAATTTTTTCAATGGGTGGGGGGTCTCGGCTAAGGCAGGGAAACGGAACTTCTTATAATTTTTTTCCACCAGATTATTAAAATTTCTGTACTTAAAAAAATCAGAATGAGGATAGAGTCATAAATTTCACATTTACGAGGTGTTTTGTAGATTTTTTACATATCTTAAAAGGTGTTGGGAAGGTAACCACAGAAGGTTAGGAGAAGAATGAAAGCTAAACAGGTCTTGGGAAGGTGTCTAGAAGGTAGTTGGAACGTTTTTGGAAAGGGAATAAATTGAAAATCCTGTCAGAAGCCTGCTAAAAAGGTTATGGAAGGTTTTAAGAAGCTGGGTAGAATGCACTTTCTGTAAAGCTTCGAAATTCCTTCTGAGGAATCGAAGCTTCTCAATTTTTACCGGATTAATCAATTTGGTTCGCTGAAAAGCTTTTTACTTGTCAACAGATGAGAGTTTTATTAGCGCTTGAGAATGATAGGATATGAATAAATGATTACAGCTGTCGGTGTTTGTTCGGTTATCACTATTGGACCGATGTTTCCTGCACGAAATGCTGCCAGCTTGTCTCCAAATGGTCCAAAGGCCCGAACATCTCATCCAAATGACTCAGCAAACGACTTGTGCGTCCAAAGAACCTTGAAGATATAACTTCTCAATTTCTAGATGATTGCCTATCAACTCGCGCCAAGGCTTGTATGATGGACCGACTTGGAATCTTGTTGGACGGGCCTGGCCTTCAACCTCATCACTGTGCTAGGTAAAAGTTTAACACTGCCAAAGTCGGAAGTGCGGAAAACGGGTGCAAAATGGCCGCTAAAAGGGTCCCTTTTTACGGCCTTTATTGAGCTTTTCATTCTTGGTGGGTTAAAAAGAGTCATAAAAGGGCGAAAAAATTGAGAGGCCGCAAAAAGGGTGAAGAAAGAGTGAGGGTGCAAAAAGGTTCTGAAAGTCTCTGTTATTGATGATTTCCGATTTTATTACTGTAGCTTGTTTTGGTTCATACACAGTCACTTGTAGAGATTATTTTCAATTTATTTTCAAAAATTGTATTTCTTAAAAGGGTCCAAAGGGTGGACGAAGGCCGATAAAAGGAAGCAAAAAGGCAGTAAAAATGAAACCTTTGCCATACGTTTAGGAACAATTAATGATAACAGACGGATCCCTAACGGACGCTCAAAGGACCCGCGAAGGGTCTTTCCGACTTTGCCTATGAAATTAAATTACTTTCATTCCGTCCCAGTCCTCCTAGAGGTGAAGGAATTTTTTATGAAAGGAGCGTTTACTTTGCGATTCCAAAAAGACAAAAAGGAGCGGTCGAGTTAGTTCTGTTCGTAGTGAACAGATCCGGACCGCTCCTACAACGATCTTATTGTTGTGGTCTTTCATTCGAAGTGGAATTTTTTTTGCCCGGCATTTTTTGCCGCCTTTTAGATGGAACGGGGGCGGCGTCCCGTGGGAGTAGCCTTGCGACTACTCCTGCTGACCGACCGGTGACCCTTCGCTTATATACCCCCCTATCCTGGTGCATCCGACCCGGCACGGTTTTGCCATCTGCTCCGCCTCTTGTGCTCCAAGGAGACAGGTGGCCTTGGCGTCTCACAGGAGAGGTCATCTAGGCATAGGCGTTAAATGCTCTCATTTAGTCTTCCAAACTAGATTGGCTGATAATTTCCTGAACATTTGGGATCCAAAAAAAAAGTCACTCATTTTTCTTAGGTGTCGGGTTTAAATCGTAAAAAAATTGATGGATTCTGAAGGAGCCTGAGAAGACTAGTCGATTCGCAATAAAATTGTCCATTTTTCAGGGTTTTAATAATCTAAGAAGGGCTTCTTTCAATTATCAGAACACCGAAATGGACTCTGGCCCTTTTTGTAAATTTTCCGCACTTGACGAAAAATTCCTCGACTCCCTGGACCCTCTGGTCCCTTCGATTTCTGAATTACCCGATTTTAAACCATTTATGTCAATCGATAATTATGAATTAATCTTTCAGATGCAAGGCGACGAGCGGCTGTAACAGCGTCACCTGGATGTGTCCGCAATGTAAAACTTATTCTTCGGACGCCAATTTGTTGCGCTCCAATGCGAATCCATCAATTACGACCACCACAAACACCACCCAACCCTACAATCAAATTTCCCATCGATGATTTTTATCTGAATTTGTTCGATTTGTTGATTTCCGCCTACTGACAAGCTCTTCGAAAAATTTTCTCCCTTTAATAAGAAATAATACGGCAAAATTGGCAAAGTCAAACGTCCCTGAAAAGCCATTTTATTTTCATCAGGTTACGGTAGTCGCGCTGACCGCAGTGTGACGTGTCATTTGTCACTATTGATATTCTCACCGTCAGTTCACTGATTTTTTTTTCATTTCATTTCTTCTTCTTTTAATTTTTATATTCCATTTCTCTCTCGTGGCTTGTTCAACTGAAAAGCAAAACATGTTTCAAAGCGCATAAAAGTGATCATTACCCCTCAAATTTTCGCCGAAAACTACTAATTTTGTTTTGAAGAATTTGCTTTTTGTTGCCTATTGAAGCCATTTTTTCTTTTCCGATGTAAACGCCGTTGTAATAATGATTTTGAAATCAAGCTGTTGATAGGTGGAATCAATAACTCGAATGCAATTTTGGAATTTTGTAGTTTTTCTATTTTATTTTGAATATTTTGCATGAAAAGCTCAATTTGTTCCGCTAGTCATTCTATTTTTCGCATCCTTTTTTTCATTTTTTTAGCATAGAATTTTGATGAAATTTCAAACCATTTCCCAAAAAGCTTGTTAAGTTTCGCTAATCATCTTACTTCTGAAATTTTATTAGAAAGTATTATTATTTTTTAAGTTGAACTTTTCGATGCGTGCTTTTTCTTTTTTCATTATTGATCTCTTATCTTTGAAAGTATTAATAAATGAAGCTGCCCGACTTTATCATCACTATATTCATTGTTGCGTTCAAAAAAATAAATTATTTTTTTATTTTTTTCGCTTATTCAATTTTTTTACCCAATTATCTCATTCATTAGATAAAATTATTGTTTTTTGAATTTTTCAGAAAAAAACAAAGTCGCAACGAGTTATTACAGAGAAATGGCAATGAAACCGGATTTTTCAAACTTGCCGCTGCGACTTTAGGCGTTTGCGCCCCACGGCACTTTCTATTTTAATACTTCCGAGCACTTTTTCTAGCTTTTCCGCTTCTTTTTAATTTTTTCAGCAAGTTGATGTGACTTTAACAGAAAAAATACAAGGAATTGAAGTTGTAGCTTTTGTTTCGATCAATTTTGAGCCTGGTTTTGACAATTTGGAGGAGTAGTCAGTGAAAAGTAAGAGGTTTTTTGGTTTTTCTTATGTTAAAATGTATCTTTCGCACTGTTAATTGGTAACTAATCCTTGGTTGTTAGAAATATTCATAATTAAAAACAGTTTAAAAGAAGTTTCCCTTTTTTTTGAAGCGTGTTTCTTGTGGAATTTGAGAATTAAAATTGCTCACACTAACACGACGTTTCATGGCAACCTATTCTCTCTCTATTTCATCTTGCGAAAGTCATTTTTCTCGTTGCGTTTCTTATTACATATGTTTATATTTCATACGCTCAGAGTTCAATTCGCATTCTTCTTTTTTTGTTGGTTTCAATCTTCTTTTTTTTTCTAGTTCTCAGTTAACCATTGGCAGGTCGATTTCCAGTTTTCTTTTTCTCTCATGAAGATCATGAAAAAAAAGTTTGTTTGACCGTTCAGACACCATGAAAAAGGCTCTATTCTCTAAGGCTAATTAAAAAAACGTCAGTGGACCTGTCGGGGGACTATTTTACGTCTTTTAAATAGTACCTTCTGAAATAGAGAGCGGAAAGCTTTCGTGAATCTTTTGGAGTCTGGCTGTCCAAGTTTGAGTTCAAACACATTTTTATAACGAGTTTCCATCTGTTTATCATCTTTCATTCTTGTTGAACAGTTTTTGAAACTTACCTTGTAATTTTTCAGCACTGATCATCTTTATAGGCCTGAAAATCGTATTTAGTAGAAGACCTTCATTATGAATTAAGTCGAAGCTTTATAATCAATTTTCTGATTTCTGTGTTTTTTTTTTCGTTTATTGTAAATCGTGTACAGAAGTCTCAGCCTCGATTTTTTTGGCATTAATTAAATTACGAAATGGAAATGATGCGATTTATTTCTGCTCCTTAAAAATCTTCGCAAGGATTTTTGAACATTGTGTCAAAAACTGACGACGTTGAGCAAGTTTTCAGAAATCCTATGCCAGATATAGGAGGTCGAATAATTGCGACCCAAGGTCGGGAGTTCGACCTCGATCTCTACAGAGGGCAACGCCGTCGGCCCTGGATTGAAATCAGATTTATTTCCCAGGAGCGATATTCTACCTTTACGTTTGTTTTTTACATGTTTGTTGAGAAAAATTGAGCCAAAATGCTTAAAAGGGACGAAAGATGTATATTAAAGATATTCCTTATGAAGAAAGTGTTATTTTGAGGTTTAAAAAAATGTTTGATAAGTATGGATATCACGGAATAACGATACGAAATTTTCTGAATACAGGAAACTGGTCATTATTTTTTGAGCAGCTTCATAAGAAAATTAGACTTTTAGACATTTATTTGCCGCAAAGATAAGGTCTTTTTTAAACAATAAACTTCGAAAATTCATGTTATTCGTCACAAATGCTTTGAGTACTTTTCAGGATCATGTTGGTTATAAAAGGGCTGGTTGATTTTACTCAATTTCTAGGAGATTCAGTTTACCATCTTTTCAGAAATTTTACACTTAAAGTGATTGAGTTCCTGAGAGAATCCGGGATTCTACTCGATACAACTTCATTGGCTCATATTTACAATGAGCATGAGGTTTGAAAATTATCTTGAATGTTACTGGAAATTTTTTCAAGGCGACTAAGGAAATCGACGAAGCTTTCGTCAAATGCGGCAAACTTTACGAAAAAGGACCGATGTCGACGCCAGTTTGTATTTTCATTGGAGGATCTGGTGTGTTTTCCTGGCTTACTGATGAAAATTGCCTATCGGACAAGTCTGAGCCCTCAAGGGATCACTTTAGCGACCACTTGAAGATAGAATTGTCCGTCGGTGATAAAACACTTTTAAACAGCACTGGGAAAATTTTTAGTGGCCACTATAGGGGCTCGCCAAGGACTACTTGGAAAAGGCACTAAAGGGGCCACTAAACCCGCCTCTATAGTGGCCAATATTTTCCGTATTAGTGGCCACTGTAGAGGTTCTTTATTTAGTGGCTACTTCATTAGTTTTTCATCCAGTATTCCTTCCAGTAACTCTGATAATTTAAAAAAAAACCGATTGGACCAGTTATGTTGATCCATTGACCCCTAAAGGGGCCCCTAAAGTGTTTAGTGGTCTAGTAGTAGCACTTAGACCTCTATAGTGGCCACTAATTTTAACCCCTTAAGTTGCCAATAATTTGATTTCACTATAGTGCCCACTAACATTTTCCTAGCATTTTCAATTTCCGATTTTTCAGTTCTCGGATCGCATATGGATATCGAAGAGACGTTTGAAGATTTCACATCGAGTTTCCGTGGAAAACTGTATATTTTCACTGTGAGATTTTTATTTCCTCCTTAACTCTCTATATTTTTTCAGATTTTCGAAGAGGAAGCCCATTCGATGCTCAGGGACAAGTGTTTCGACGAGTTGAAGTCCATAAAATAATGATAAAATTCAATGAGAGTTCCATTTTCAGAGACTGGTGCGTGGAGTTCGCCCAGATTATTCACAGTTTTTGAAAAAGTTGCCCCAAGGCGTCGCCACTCCGGTTCCTCTCGAGCCAAAGTTTTTTTCTTTTTTTACTTTTTTTCAGGCTTAAGTTAAGAGGATATAAAAAAAATAGAAGCTAAACGAAAATTCGATGATTATAATCATTTTTTTAAGCCAAAAAAAGTAGTTTCTCATTATCAAAGTTTTGAAAATATTTTTTTCTATTATTTTTTTCATATTTTCAATTCTTGAAATTGCATTTGTAGAGATTCTGAAGTGTTTTTGTAGTGTAGAAAAAATGTTTTTTCATATTTCAAAATAGTTCAGCTAGATTTTTTGGCCTTTTTTATTTTTCTGCAACGTTCGAACCATTCCAAATGCGACCAAGGCTTTTTGAAAGTCGCGGCCGACTTCTTAGGAATTCCAGAGTGGTCCCTATAGGGGCAACCTTCAGGGTCCTCGGAGAGTCCGCTGGGATCACTTTACCAATTCCTATAGGGGTCACTAAAGCTTGAAAAAGTGGTCCCTATATGGGACATGCTAGTCGATAATTTTTATATACTCTAGGCTAAGAAGCATTTCCATGGGAAAAACAATAAGCGTTTTCTGAAGAAAGTTGAAAGACCCCTATAGGGAGCACTTGAGCTACAGGGGCTGAAGAACATGAACCCCTATAGGGACCATTTTTTCGGCACCTATGGGAACGCTTTGGAATTTCCAAGTAGCTTTAAAAACTCGGAAACTGAAACTTCCAGAAATTTGAGAAATGATTGGAAATTTTTTTTTTCCGGTTAAGAGCTTTTTAAATAGAATTTTAGATAAGAAAAGTTGAAAATACACAGAAAAGCAATGACCTTTGGCAACGTGACAAGGGATTCTTGGGCTGAACAGTCTCAACGAAGTCAACCTCGTCGACATTTTCGGCCCCGATCAACGAGAGGGAACCCTGGACCCTCACCGTCGCCTTCCTTTAGCCAATCAAAAGTTTTCATACTGGGTAAATATGACATCACTAAAATGAAAGAAAAAAAAAATGGTAAAATCACAAAAGTTGTAACCCCCGGGAAGTCATGGTTATTCGCAATTGAGAAAAAAAAAATTCAAGTCCAAAATGTCTCAAAAAGGACTTTTGGAAAAAAAAAGGCTCCTCTTTTTTTAGACCTTTTTCTGAAAAGAACCTTTTAGGGAGGTTTAAAAAAATAAGGCGGAAAGAAGATTGGAAAAAAGGAGATTACGAGAAACTTTTGACACCTTTTTGGGAACTTAAAAAGAGATCTTCTTTTTAAGACCTTTTTGAGGTCATTTGAACTTTGTCTGTGTTGGAAATTGAACGTCGAAATTACTTTCACATTGGAAAAACTTATAAGTAGCTGTTTTTTTGACTTGAGTTTCTTTTTTTGTCGATCAATTTTGAATTTTTTCGATTAAATTTAGTACCCAAAAGATCATCTACTTTTTCTCTTATTGAACAACCCGCTCATAAATTTCAGAGTATTGTTGGATGAGATTAATCTCATTATTTCTCGAGATTTTGATTTTTTATCTTCACGTTTTTCTCCATCAAATGATTGATAAGTTTAGTTCTGAAGAAAAAAGAAAAGTTTGTTTTCATAAGGTAAATTTAAAAAAAAAGCGCAATTCATCAATCAATATTTATTGGTTCTTTTAGTCAGATAATTCTTTTTTTTTTCCCCTGATTTCCAAAGATTTTCCTAGTTTCTTTTCAAACATAGAATATTCAAAAAAATTGGCTTCAGTTCAAGTTTTTTTGTTGGTAGATTTATCATTTGGCCTACTGTGTTTTTGACTCACATCCCGTTTTGACCCCATTTTTCTTCCCCACGTTCACTTTGACCTCTCCTTTTTTTGTTAATTTCCTTTTTCGAGCCTTTGTTTCCATTCTTTGGCTCTGTTTTTAATATCCTGTTTTGCTCAAATTTGAATTTATTTATCCTGAAAAAAAGGGCTTTATTTCAAACTAGTTATTCATTTTTTTCTTTCCGTTTATAGCCATCTTCAATTTGGATCTAAAAAAAGTTCTTTATCCTTTTTACTAATATCTTCATATACACTTCACGTTTACGTTCTTCTTCCCTTTTTCTTTCATTTTTCAAATTCTGTTCTCACAAAAGTATACATTTCCATCACACATAGGCCATTCCGCGCTAGCTTGTCACGTTTTTCTTTCCGCCAAAAGGCCAGATCAAATTCAACCAACTTTCGCTTAAAAACCTTTGTTTCTTGCCGTTATAAAAGCAGAAATTTGATCTAATTCGGTATACGGTCTTTTTGGCCTAAAGAAAAACGTGACAAGCTGGCGCGGAATGGCCTATAATCCATTTTTTCTCTGCGTTTAATCTTTCACAGTGACGTATTTTTTTCCAATTATTCCGCTCAATTGGATACTTTCAGAGCCTCCAGAGCCAAGAAGTCAGGATCGATCTTCGGAGCATCCGACCATTTCCACCGGGAACGCGACTTTTGTCGACGAACCCATGGAGGAGGGAATGGGTTCGCACATGGTGAACATCGACGACGTCAATGAAGCTTTGAAGTCCCGTACCAATCGGCCCGATGATGATTTGGTGCTTGTTAATTTTTTTTCTTTCGGCTTTCATGTTTTCATAGAAGTCTGATTTCTCGAATACCCTAGAAGTTTGAAGTTAAAATTGTGAATTTCGGAATTTTTTCTAACTGATCCTCTTGAAATTGGCAGCCCTCGAAGGAGAAGCTTTCAATGACTTTTAATATTGCACAGTTATCAAAATCTATTCGCAAAGAGGCTTCTGGATGAGACTAGATGCAGTTTTTCACGGTGATTCCAAATCTGGTCTCAAAAACTGCCCTTGGAAAAAGTTAGAGGCTCTCAAAGTTGAAAATCTCGATTTCTTCAATTGGGCTCCTTTTTGGAGGATATATAGTCTTTGTTCCCCCGGTCACGGAAAACCATTTGATTCTTTTTTCGAAAAAGTTCTGGAGCCCATATATGATTTTTCGAACCTAGTGTACATCTAGTGAAGAAGGTCCGATGGTAGGAAGGAATTTTGGGTCCACGAACATTCGTGAACGTTAATTGTGCATACACCAATCCTGGGGGCTCGAATCTTTGCAAACGATTTTTGGGAATATTCACCTCTTTTCTGATTTTTTTAGTGTTTCCAATTTTTTTGTGAACGGAAGTTGATGGAGAATGTATACAGATTGAATGAAAATGTGGTAGCCGTTCTGAAGTGAATCTTTGACTACGTGTATTCGAGAAAGACGCATTATTTGATAAGAAGTTAGTTGAAAAAAATCACACAGTGTTCATTTGTGGTCGTCACAATAGAACGACGAAGGAAAAAAAATTGGGAAGAAAAGATGGAAATTCAAAAAAGAGGGGAATATTCCCAAGAATCGTTTGCGAAGATTCAAATTTGCAAAGATTCGAGCCCCCAAGATTGGTGTATGCACAATTAACTCTAACAAATATTCGGGGACTCAAAATTCCTTCCTATCATCGGACTTTCTTCAATAGATGTACACTAGCTATGAAAAAATCATATATGGGCTCCAGAACCTTTTCGAAAAAAAAAAATTGGCGGCGCCGAAATCGAGGCTTCAAAAAATTTTTTGTAGTCCCACTCCCATCTTTTTCGAATCCATGAATTTTGATTCTCCCAGGTGATTGAAATCGCTGGAAATTACCTATTCGAAAGGTTCGAACATCCGTTCCAACGGGGAAAAGACAACGTCAAAGTGTTGGAGCTCGTCGACTACTGTTGTGCATTGGATCATCCCAACGCCAGGAAGCCAAAACGGCTCCTCATTGATCAATTCTTTCAGCGAAGGTTTTTTCGAATGCCAGTTTGGACAGTATCTGGTAAATTGAAGGTTTCCTCTGCGGCTGATCTACAAACATTTTATCGATGAGGTTACGGAGGCGTCGGTTCAGACGGATATTTGCCGCAATTTGGCCAACATTTTCTGGTCTTCGAGTCAGCTGCCAGGCGAGATGAGCCGCGAAATTGTGATTGGACTTTTTTCGATCATATTAAAATTGGATTTTTTCATTTTTTGACTCAAAATGGAACGAATATAAGCTTCAAAAAAGTAATTATATACCATTGAATGTTTTTTTTTAGGAAATCACGATTTGCGTTTTTCTTCCCTACATCAACACACTATCAGAGCAAGACCAGCTCTCGTTTGCGAGAACTTTTCTGACAATCCGAGTTTTTTTGAAATATGGTCAAATATGACTTTTGTCGATTTTTCCAGAGATGGTTCGACAGTGAGGGAGCTCTCCATCGTGATATCGGGGCTGCTGAATGTTGTAATCCCCATTTTTTGACCCGATCTTTTGGCCAGTTGACGCGGGGAAATGTTAAGGTTGAGGTGAGAAAAGTGGAGAGTTTTGACAAATTTGGAATAAAATGAAGTTTATGAAGTTTTATTTTTTCTTCCCATTTTGAGAATTTTTTTTAAGACTGGCATGGAAACAGTTATATATATCCGTACATTGGACCAACAAAACAAAAAGAAAATGATGAGAAAATCTTCAGAATTTAGTTTTTGGTTGAAAAGGGGATTAATTTGCACGAGTTCAGGACTTTTTCGAAAAAATATGAAAATAAGTCTCGAAAAAATTAAAAAATTAAACGTGTCAATTTTCAAAGCTTGCATCAATTTTCAGATTGGTTCGTTGGTGGACAAATTTGAATACCTGCGCCGGGGCCTGAACGTAATATTTTTTTTCCTCCAAAAATATTTTTTCAATCAATTTCAGAGCGTCTCCTGGGGTTTCGACGATGTTGGATCCCCGCCAGAAGAAGATTTTCATTCTGGACTCATTGATTTGGTTTTTTTTTCGATTCGATAATTCAAATAATATACGTTTCATTTCAGAACTACGTGACCAGCGTTATTTCAAGATGCATCGGCCTTTTCCTCCAGTTTTTCGAGGGGAAAACGGCGGCAGTTGGGGTAAGCAAAGAAAAAAGAGATTTCAAGTAGATCCGATTAATTTAGTTTGCTGATTGGCAATATTTCGATGAACTGGTGTTGGAATTGCCCCAAAATGTTATCCATCGACTCGAAAGGACCAACCCGAGGCTCAAGGACGCGTTGGGCCGCGATTTGGACGATATTCGGGTTTGAAATGAATGAAAAGTGCGCAAGAAAAAACCAATGAGGGAAAAATTTAATAGATCTTTGTCGTTTTTTAAAGTTTCATTCGATTTGGACGACGGAGAAAAAAGTTACATTTTTTTTTTGGTTTTTCTCCTACCGCAACTTTAAAATGGGGCGGAGCTTTACAAATTCCTATGTAAAGTTCTCAGGACCTTGTGTAGTCATTGTGACCACAACATGAGCTCAGAAATCTCAGTCTGAAATTTTGGTATCAACGGTTTATCGCGTTTATGAGAGAACGTGTTTTAAGTTTATTTTCATTTTCGGTTTCTTGTGATTTAATTGGGAATTTTTTTATTGATGCTATACATGGACAGGTTGTTTTTTAAGATCATCGATCCCTACTCCCAAGTTTTCCTGAGTCAAAAAGTCGAAAAAAAAAAACGTAAATTTCAAAGTTTATAGATCTTCTCGTCTCACGGAACACCCTATAGAAGCGAAAACCGAGATATTTTCGAAAAATCTGTTTGTAACTGCCGAAATCGGGGATCTCTTATGTTTTGAAAAAAAAAAAAACTTCAACAGTTTTTATAGATTTCTTCCCGGGAAAATAGCAAAAATAATTTTCGTTAAAAGGGTTCGAACCCTGATAATAGTGCTAGCACGCTAGCCACTGTACACTAACCGGCTAACGGTAAGTGAGGGCGCGTGCGCGAGACACATTCCTTCTTGCTGCGTTCCACTCATTTCACGTGCAAACTTTAAGCCGTCATAACTCGACTACGAGGCAAAAGTCGAAAAATTTCATTCTTGAATTGGAATCAGCATGCCTTAAAGTTCATCCCTGCGAAGTTTCGTCAAAAGTTCAAGCGGGGGATTTTGAAGCAGTTTATTCGCTGGTACTACTAACGGGCCCACATTATCTCCCAACACTAGCTGTCACGCCGGGACTTATTGCACAACTGTTGTGGATCGTAACCCGCGCCGACGACTAACTCTTCGATTAAGCCATGATTCAGCAGAGATTTCTTCTACATCTTACTCTGATGACTGAATAAATTGTAATAAATTGTAAAATGTAATTGTAAAAACATTTCCCTTGTAAGTTTATACTGCCTCCTTAAACTTTAAAATTGTATTATTGTGGCCAAAACTACCTCCCTGAGGTTGAAATTCGATTTGTTTCCTTATCTTTCAATATTTTTCAATCCGAAACCTCCTCTCGGGAAGAATGAGTTCTGTACTTTCCCATTTGAGATTGATACTCAAAAATGCCTTATAATTCTGAAAAAAAAACTAGGCAGTTTTCCAGGAAATGGCTCAACGAAGGGATCAACGCGACAACGGAAATGATACCCCCGATGTTCACCATGTATACAATCTTATGAATTCCAATTGAAAAAAGTTTCTTTTCCAGGATTTTGACGATCAAATACCGAGTTACAGTGGGGAATATCGGGATCAACGGTCTCGGAGGGACGAAGAGGAAGATTTTCGTCGAAATGTGGGTAAAATGATGATGAAATTAATTATATTTAATTTTCAATTACATTTTAAAGTGTTAGAGCATGAGTATCCGGTTTTGGAGTTTCTACAGTTTTTTTTTTCACTTGTAGCGTAATTTTCAAAGTTAAGTGTGATTTTTTTTTTCTCAGTAAATTTCTCCCAAAGTTTTTTGGAGTTGTCGAAAAGTCTGAAAAATGTTTTTAAAGGCGAGTCGGACTTCAAACCATTCGCAGCCGAATTATGAAGAGCCTATTCGCGAAGAATATCGGGATAATCGTGGACGACGGCCAGATTTTAAAGATTTTGCAAATGTTTGTTTTTTTAAGATTGAAGCTTTCAAAAAAGTAAATAAAGAAATAAATTATTATTTCAAGGGTCCATCGACTTCGAGATCGAACTATGACCGCGAAACGAACGACTACCGGCCGAGTTCTTCCTCGTCGCGAATTGTCAGAAATTCGTGCATTCAAAATTGATAATGATCAGAAAGATATATTTATATAGCTTTTTTTAGAGAAAAATGAACAAAAGAAATTTAAAAAAAGTAAATGATTTTTGGAAATTGCTCAAGCTTAGTTGTTGCTTCAGAGCACTTGGATCTGAAAAGATCAAAATATTTTTGAGCTTTTTGTCTTCTGTCTGTGTTATAACTCCTCCATACGCGTTGGAAAATAGAAATTTTGACGTTATAAAGCGACTAAGAAGCAAAAAAAAAATTTTTTTTGTGTAATCAAGGTTCTCTGACAAAGTTGGAAAGGGTCGGAAAAGGCTCCTTTTTGCTGCCTTTTTGCACCATTTTATCGGCTGTTATGCACCATTACTGCTGCCTCTCCCTTTTTCCACCATTTCTTGAGCCTTTAAAATCTCAGAAAAAATGAAAGGCTCGATAAAGGGACCCTTTTTGCTGCCTTTTTGCAGCCTTTCTGCTGCCTTTTCTGAGCCTCTCTCTTTTCGCGGCCTTCAAAGAAACATCAAATTATTTTTGCTCCTTATTGTTCAAAGCAAATATGTGGAACAATATTATGAGTGCTGAAATCCAAAAAATCGTCGTCAATTTACAGGAAGAACCGAGGCGTACTAACGGAGTGTCGTTGAACCAAATTCGTCAAGATTCCCATTCGACGATTGACGTGGAAGAAGAGCCGCCGCGGCCTTGGATCCGGTTCGAAAGGACCGATCCACCTGAAGACTTCCGTACTTTGAGTGTGATTCCGAGGCTTGCTGACGTCATGAGTTCAGGTTCGTCGGCTCCTTGGCGCAGGGTCTAATCGGAGAGAAGCTTCTCTAGAATCAAAAATAAGGGATTTCCCCACTACGTTTTTTTTATTGTACTCGGTCCTATTTACCATGGTTTTCATAAATGTTTTGGTCCTCATGTCGTTCTAGCAAATTTCCGCAGATCAAGCGCTTTTTCAGAGTTTCCCTACGTTCGCAGGATCCGCGAGGACGGCCACTACAAGGACTCGCAGACCTACTTGGACGTGCAATTTCGACTGATGCGCGAAGACTTGCTCAGTCCCTTGCGTGACCATTTGGCTCTGTACAAGGCGAATGGTTTGGTTTCTCGACGTGGAATGGACTGAAACTCGGAATCAGGAACGTTCCGTGGCAATCGGCTGATGGACGACGTCTCTTCAGACTTGGTCGTGTTGCCGGTGTCGCGGATCGAGGGAAAGGAGGCTGACCGGCCGACCGGAACCCTCTTCCGCTATGCATTCCTGTCGGTCAGTGGGGAGAATGAAGAATAAGCTTGACCGGGATGTAATCCTTGTGTGAAACTTGGAATTATCTGAAAGTTTGAAGGAAATCGGAAGCTAGCTTTAGGAATAGATCTTTCAAAACCGCGAAATATGAGATTTTGCCCTAATTCAATGTCAGAGAGGACTTTGAAGGTTCATATAGTCTGTTCAGATTTCAAATGTCAAGTCCTCGCTGAAGCTCCTCCTCCTAATGGCGCAATAAGCCAATCAGAGAGCCAGCCATCCACAGAGCGTTTTCGAATGACGTCATTCTACTTGACATTCAAAATCTGAACAGACTATGTTTCCGAAATTTTTTTTGACAACGCCTTGCCAAATTTTCCGCAAAATGTAGTGTTTTGTGTGCATGCAATGCGGCGCTCTCGCACATGCCGTTTTCAAAGTAATTTTCGTGTAATTCAAAATCATCAGTTAGATTTTTCACTCTGGCGGCTATTTTGAATTTCGCGGATTCACTTTGAACACGGATGAAAAAAAAAAACGAGCGGGAAATTTACGTTTTTTTTTAAATGAGATCTCATGACCCATTGAACATGCACCTTTAATATACCCTGTTGTTTACGCCTGTTTCTTATGAAGTCATCAGGGAACGGCGGAGCTTTTGACCACGCCCCCTTCATTTTTGGGTTTTGAATTTTCTTCCACTAACAAAAAACGCCGTGAAAATCAAAGTTTATCTAGAATGAATTTTTCAAGATATTCTAGAAATAAAAAAGCGTGATGAAATTATTCATCTCGGTTGGGAAAGTAATTTGACTTTTTCGCGAAAAATTTGTATAACCTGTTTTTTTTTGAACAATAACTTTCGAAAGTGAATTTGGACAGAATAGAGATTCTGAACCTCAAAAAAATAAAGGTCTATTTTTGGGAATAAAGTCGACACAATTCAGCTTAAAGTTATGAACTTCTTGAACTTTTTTTTTGAATACGATTAAAAAAAATGTTTCTAGTCGTTTTCTTGAAGCTTGGGGTAAATTGAACAAAATAAGTGAACAAATTTTCTCCCAAAAATCTTGGGTTTCAGGTGGAAAACTCTCCTGCGCTCATTAACAGCCTCCGGTATGGAAGCTGGGTTTGCCTCTCCTCGGACGGATTCCACAAAGAAGTTCGGATCGCCGTCGTCGTTCAGCGTGACATTGACGACGTCTTGGTACTGCTCTAGCCGTTTTTGCCCTCTGTAGATCGGGGTTTTCCAGATGTGCAACAGGAAAGTTGGCCTCTGGTTCATCGACGAGGAGGATGATGATCCGGTCCGACAGAATACTCGCTACACGATGGTTCTACCGAACAGTTACCTGGAAGCGTATCGACACGTTCTGACGGCTCTTCAGGTACTTGAAGGAGAGGAAAAATTGAGAGAAGATGTCAGAAAAAAAAAAATAATAATAAAGCGGGTGTTTAAAAAAATTCGCTTATCTCTATGAAAGTTTGAAGCCTTTATGTTAATATTGGGAATTAAGAAATGCGGTCGAAACTTTTTGAGCCATTTCCTCTTACTGTAGCCGGGTTACGGTAGCCAGTTGGGAACTTACGTCATAGGATTGAAGAGTTTTACTAGGCAAGTCACATATCAATCGATAGGTAATCCAATTTACCGTAACCCGGCTACAGTAAGAGGAAATGGTTCAAAAATTTGCGACCGCATTTCTGATGATGGGTTATCACACTGGACGAAGTTTCATCAAAATCAAAAAATAATTTTTTTTTGTACCCGTTGCTATTGAAACTTTGAAAATTACAGAGACAGCGTGTTAAATGATTTTATTCTTTTTTAAATATCTCGATTCTCTTTGTCCTCGCCTAGCAACCGATAATCTCAAAAACTCCCCTTTCACGTTAAATTCCGTAATTTGTTTTCATTATATTTTATATACTCAATTCCTGCTTCACAGAGAACCAGTCCCTACTCGGAAATCCCCTTCGAACGGTACCTTATCCGTGGAGCGCGTGATCATCAACTTCCTGCCTACTATCGTGCGCCTCTGAGCGAACGGCTTCAGAAGGAAATTGAGAAAGTCGAGGTCGATTTTCTGGGCTTTTCATTCGATTAAATGAATATTCTTAAGGCCAAGTACAATGACATTCGGTCGGCTGAAGTCGCCAGACGGTTGCAGGCTGATGATGGTTTTCGAATCAAGGGCAAGAAAAAGAAGAAAAATGATGATTTGTGAGTTTTTGAGGGATGGTAGGGCTAGGCCATGAGAAGAAATATTAAATTTTACAATTTACTTGCTTAGAATCGCTGTTGGCGCAGTTGAAATAGCTAGACTTTCTAATTTTTCTTCACAAAAGCCTTTTCGGGTCAGCTGCACCTAGAACAAGATACTTTGCAGCAATTGAAAATATAGCCATTCCAAATGCGACCACGTTAGAGCAGATCATTGTAAGTCCATTTCCAGTGACTCCAACAGCGCAAAGTACTTCTCGGACCTGACCATTTCGATGGAAGATGACGAGTTTGAAGACCAGATGAGCCTACCGATCGGACTCCCACGACATCCGACGGAGAAGTCTCTGCCGATCTGCATCGACGGAAAGGAATATGAGCCGGAGACGCTGCTCAGCGATTATCAGCCGACGTATATGGACGAGAGCCAGAGAGTGGCGTTCTGCAAGGCGATGACCAGCGAGTTGGCCATCATCCAAGGACCTCCCGGCACTGGTTCGTGAGGCTTGTAGCAGTGGCTTTTGGGGCGGAAAGGGATGTAGCTTGCTCGGAGGCAGTTGTTCTATCTTTTCAAGACGATTAATATGTAGAATTCGTTCCGAGACAAAAAATTATGGGTCTCACAGCGAACTCTACAGTAATTAGAACATCTGATCTATGCTGGGACCTTGATAACGCGATCGGGACGCGAATCGAACCTGTCGGGGCATTTTCAGTGACTACTTTAGTAGCATAAAACCTCTTAAGTGGTCTCTAGAATCGCCCAGAAACGTCCGGAGCATGTCCGAGTGTGAAAAATTCGAGTTCATTCTTATCCGTGGAGCGAATGAAAGCTTCCCTACTTTTTTGAAGAGCTGGCTGCTTTCCAAGAACTTACTGGTGCTGTTTTGAAGATTGTATTGTAAAAAAGTTTTCAGTGGCATGAATAGAAAAAAATTTAAACATTGATGACGATTTTAATGGCTTTTGCTTCCAGGAAAAACACACATCGGAGTGGAAATCGCCAAGACGATGCTGATCAACAGAAGACGTTGGTTCTCGGCTGGGCCGATCCTCGTCGTCTGCTACACGAACATCGCCCTCGATCAGTTTTTGGAACGACTCTTGTCCATGGTTTTTGAAAAAATGCTAACACATAAATACGATTATAATCAAGATTGAAACGACTCCTGAAATCGACTTCGATCCCGACGGCCCTCGAATGATCCGTTATGGAACCATGTGCGATTCGGATACCTTAAAGAGGTGATTGAATCTGAAAATTGATGGATTTTAAAAGGCTTCCGAGAATGATTTTAGATATTTTTAGAAACTTGTATAATCATTCTTTTTTTCTTAAATTTTTCGAGAGGTAAAACTCAAAAAAACAAAGTAGTCAGGATACTGTAGAACCGTTGAACCGTAGACGGGATACTGTAGAGAAGGGCACCTGAGTATCTAAGCTGTGATGGTTCCACGCAAAATGCATATAAATCAAGTGAATTTTGAAACTTTTCCCGTCCATACTCTCATCAGAAGTTACCCTTGGAAGATTTTGACACGCTGAGAAAATTTTTAGTGGCTACTCTAGGATTTTGACGTTTTAGTGGCCACTATAGTAGTCAAATTAGTGGCCACTTAAGGGGTTAAAAATTAGTGGCCACTATAGAGGTCTAAGTGCTACTACTAGACCACTAAAAATTTTAGTGGCCACTTTAGGGGTCAACAGATCAACATAACTGGTCCAATCTGTTTGTCTTGAAATTATCAGAGTTACTGGAAGGAATACTGGATGAAAAACTACTGAAGTGGCCACTGTAGAGGTGGGTTTAGTGTCCTCTCCAAGTAGTCTTTGGCAAGCCTCTATATTGGCCACTAAAAATGGCTAATTTCCTTTTCAAGACCAAAAAAAAAGGTTTTTTTCAGTGCAAACGTTTTGCGGTTGGATGCGGCGAAAGCCCATGAAGATCGCTGTCCAATCGATGTTCGTGACGGTATCAATAGGGCTCACAACGATCATCACCAACGGGGCAGGGATATCGCCACCAGCAGCTATATTCTGCACCTGTTGCACAGGTATGAAAAAAAAAAAGAGAAAACATACGTTTTTCCCAAGAAAATAAGCGAAAAAGGGTTTGATAAATGTCCCTGGGAGATGTGCGTTTCGAAAACAATTTATAAAACGAAGTGGGTTTGATTTGGGTTTTTGAGAAGAAAGTTAGTCTTGAAACAGTGAGCGGAACCGAGGGTTACGGACCTTTCGCAACTAGTTTAATCATTTCGGTCGCATTTGGAATGGCTCGATGCGTTGCGGAGCGAATTGGAATCTTAAAACTTGAAAAGACGGCACCCCTTGAGACTTCTATTGGACGAAACGTTCATTTGAAAAAAGAGTTTTTTTTATGGAAATTTTTTCTGAAACTTGACATTTCTCCTATTTTTCGAGGCTTCATGACAGTCAGGAGCTCCAGGGTTTTAACTTTTAATTTTTCTAATTTTTTTCGGCGAAAAAAGTCTTTATAAGATCCAGAATATTTTTTTCCACAATCAAGTTTTTCAATAGTTTCATAATTTTAACTTTTTCCAAGTTTCACTCATATCCATGGGTACCTTATATATATATATATATATATGTTTCTTTCAAAATGGCGACTAAGCTAAGCAGAACAAAAAAGGAATTTATTTTGAACCGTCTAAGCTTTTTTTTTAGAATAGAAGAACATGTAAAGCGAGTGTGTGATGTTCCGAAACTTCAATAAAAATGGAACTTTTCAGAAGAGTCATTTCCTACGAAGTGATGTCTAAAGCGATACCGGTGCACATGAAAGACGAATTTAAGCTGTGGGGTCAGACGCATGTCGATTCGAAAAATCAGCCTCTCAACGTATATTTTTTGCTCAGACTTTTTTTTTGTCAATAATTATTTCCAACAAGAAGTTCATTTTTCAGGACGACGAGATTCTGGCCTGCTGGCTGACGGATCGATCTTTCTCCCTGGCTTCGAAGAACCCCAAAACTTCCAAGTATCTCGACATGGATTCTGATGAAGACGACGTCGATTTCGTCGAAGTCTTGGCTCCGGAAACGACGGCGAATGAGGATGGAGACGAGGAACGTTTCCTCAATCAGCTTTTCGAGAAAATGAATGTAAGGGTGAAGGAAAGAAAATAGGATTTTAGAGAATTCTTTTGCGAAAATGAGATTTTTGACGAAAAAAATAGAAGGAGTTCATTTTCGAATCTCTCGAATCTACCACCAAAAAAATAGCCTCAAAAAAATTAAGAAAAAAATCAAATTTAGATTGCTTAAAAAGTCTTTTTTTAAGACTGGAAAACGTGTAAATCATACTTGGAAGCAGTAAAAAAATAGTGTTTGGAAGAATGAAAATGTAAAAAAAATCTGTTTTTTTGAAAAATTTTACTGATGATCTTGCTTAGAACAGTTTCGAAAAAAATCGTTTTTCAGAAAAACACAAAAAAATAGAAGTCATAGCACTTTTTTTCGGATCTTAAATAGTCTTTGAAGGTGAAGAAAAAGTCAAATTTAGATAGCTGAAAGGCCTTTTTTTGACTTTCAAAATCGTATAAAACATACTTGGAAACATTTTTTTAGATATAACAATTGTAGAATATGTAAATAAGCGTGATAGATCACGTTAAAAAGATAGACCAAGAAAAAAAGTATAAAAGGAAACTTGATTGGAGAATTTTTCTATGTAGAAAGTCACTTTTTTTAAAGTTTTATAGATTTTTTTCCAGTTGATAATAGTACAAAGTTCAAAAATATATTAAAAAAAACTGCAACTAGAGCCATAATTATTTACTTATTAAAGATGGACGCCGACGTCCAAGACAAGGCTTTCGATTTGGATGGCGCTGAACAGAGCAACTACCGAACCAGCTCCCCCTGGGACCTCTGCGATCACGAATCTCTCCGGTCTTGTATAAACAAAGTCCAGCTCTTTGGCACCGGCGAGAAGTTCGCCAAAACCAAATATGTTTGAGCGAAAACGAATTATTTCAAACAAAATGAAAAAATTTGATAGAGCCCGGCGATGCGAGTCGATCCGCTTCTTCGGACGCTTATTGAAGACGAGGCGCCTGGGATTTTCAAGGTAATGACTCTGGTCGCGTGGGGAATGGCTTTTCGGGGTTGATTCGAAACGCACCCGACCAGAAACGACTTGTTCCCGATGGTTATCGGAAAAAAAAAATCAATTAAAAAAAAGCACTTTCAAACATTCTCCCTGCGACCGAGACCTTCTGAATCTTGAAGAATTGGCTATAGAAAAAAAGAAGAAAGTTTTCTTTCTATGGTGTTTGAAACTATAACTTTGTGTTTTGAATTTTTCCTATGAAGAAGATTACCTATATTTTCAGAAAAGGACATCTTTTGACTTTTTTTTTTCTCTACTTTAGCTGCTCACCAGTAGTTTGGAGCGTTTCGAGGCGAAAAAAAAAAGTTATTTCTCAAAATCTTGAATCGAAGTGTGATTGAAGTCTTGGACCTCCTAAAATCCCAGGAAACTACTGAATTTTCCGTCCTAGGTCTCAAAAAATTAATCCCCTCTCCTCATTTTACTAAACCATTCCAATTCGGTTTTGAAGGTCTCTCCTGTGACGAAAGTCGAGGAAGAGATCATGAAGAACATTTTCTCGCTGCCGAGGCCAAGAAGATGGGCCCTTTATCGACTTTGGTGCTTCGAACTTGTAATGGACTTCATATTTTATGAATTCGAATTATTGTTCAGGGGAACAAGATCGAAGAGAACATGCCTCGAATCACGGCATCCTACAAGGATTCCTGTGACAGACTCAAGGTTGCCTACTCGAGACGGGATATCTTCCTCGCCAAAAAGGCTTTGGTGCGTTTGGAAGGGCTGCTATTTTAATAATTTTGTGGAAAATTCGGAATTTGGGTGTCTACACCAGAGAGATATGAGGAAAATAGAAAGCGAAAAGTAGAGGTTGAATTTCTCTGTATCTCTAAGAAGCGCGACAAAATCTCGTTACTGAGGAAGTGCGAAAACCACTTGAGGGACCACTAGTAGACTTAGAATCCCCAAGGGATCACTAGAGGGGCGTTAACGCTACTATGGTGATCACTAACTAATCGATAAAAGCACAGCAGAAAATTCGACCTCTTCAAGGGAATACTGAAGGCTTAAAAGCCCCTTGAGTGATCACTTAACAGCTCAAATAGTCTGGAGCTTTCAGAATTTACAAGCGGACTTCAGATTTTTTCCAAGACACCGGTTTTTCAGGTCGTCGGTGCCACCACGACCGGTGCCGGAAAGTTCCGAAAAGAGTTTGAGAAGGTCGGTTTCCACGCCCTGATCGTCGAAGAAGCGGCAGAGGTTTTCGAGTCGCACGTCTTCACCGCCATGCACACGTCGATGAAGCACGCCGTCTTGATTGGAGATCATCAACAGCTTCGGCCGAATCCGTGTAAAACAGATTTTTAAAGTTCAACAATGTCTTAGGAATTTGAGAGACTTTTAGAAAAACTTCCATAGTTTATCCTTCAAATCAACAATCTAGTCATTCAGTATCCGATTCAGTACTTCTGACTGAATTTTGCAGCGGTCCGCAACCTTGGCGTCGAGTACGGCCTGAGCATCTCCATGTTCGAAAGGCTGATCGAGGCGAACAACTTGCCGTTCTCGCAGCTCCAAGTTCAGCACCGAATGACGCCGATCATTGGCGATGTCATCGTCCGGCCTGTTTTCTATCCCGCGTATGGATTCTTGCTTTTCTTGTCCTGAGGGTTGAATCAAGAGGATCCTGAAAGTAAAACCATGGACATCATTTTGATTCGTCCGTTTTCTTACTCACGTATGATTTATTTCTAACCAAGACATTTTAAAATGAACGGCAGTGATCTTCTTATTGAAACAGGAAGTTGATTTGATTTTAAAAAAAGTTTTGAGCTCAATTTTCATTTTCTAAAGGGTTCGAGACGATGAGAGCGTGAAACTGTACGATCAGGTCCGAGGAATGGCTGAACGTCTGTTTTTCTGGTCTCACAGCGGCCCATCGCAACTCACGTCCACCATGTCTCACATCTGCGAGACTGAGGTGAAAAAAGACGAGTTCTATAGAGCACACTTGCGCCGTTTATTTTAATCTGGATGGCTTTGAGGGTGTGCGAAGTTATCACATGGAGAATGCAGCGTTAAAAGTTGATTCAGATCTTGGAAAATATTATTGAACTGATGAAAAACTTACGAAATAAAACCACAACATGGAGGCTTATTTTTGGATTTTTGATTGATTTTCTGCAAAAAAAAGTTTTTAGGGAAAAAATGGCTGCGAAAATATTATAAAAAGTGGATGTAAACTCTATGGAAAAATAGAAAGAGATCATTTTTTCCAAAAAGATTTACTTACACTTGAAGATTTTTTCAGATCGTCATGATAACCGAGCTTGTCGGTCATTTGCTGAAACAAGGTTATATCAGCTCTGAGGTTAACAAAAAAACCAAGCCGAAAAATTCTTCTTGTTCTTCCAGATAACGGTAATTGCGACTTATGCGGCTCAGAAAAATGCCCTTGTCGATGCTCTTGCTTTCCTGAACGAGGATCTGAGGCCGATTCAGATCGAAACTGTCGACAGTTATCAAGGAAGAGTGGGGAACTTGGCAGGAACACGAGAAAAATGATGAAATTCGGTTCAGGAGAACAAAATTGTCATTGTCAGCATGACGAGATCGATGTCCAGCTCAGGACAATCGCAAGGGATCGGATTCTTGGGGGTTTGGGGCTTTTATCAGTTGGAATAGTTTGAGTGGAAAAAAAGAAGTTCTCGGACTTTTAGGAAGCTTTTCTAAAGGAGTTCTATAGAAATCTTCAAAATTTGGTGAAAAATAGTTTTTTTGAGAACTGATTCAGGATCTCAAACAAGTGGAAAGAGTGTAGTTGAAAAATTACTACAAATTTTTACAAGAAAACTGGAAGAGAATATGCTTTTTAGGTCAAAAGTTGTATTCATAATTGAGCTTTTTTCTTCCCTCAAATTGCCTTTTTCACGGACGATTCGCGGAAAAAATTGCTTCGGTCTAAAGTTTGTAATAGAACCAACAGGAAAAAAAGGAAATTCACGTTTGGGGATAAATAATGAAAAATTAAAGTTTATTGTATCACATCCGTGGGGCTTTTTGAAACTTTTGAAACTTTTATGCAGTCTCCAGAAAAGGTTCTCTGCTGAATCATGGGATAATTAAAGAGTTTTGTGTCGGTTCGCGAAACCGTCGTTGATCCAGAACGCCGTGTAGAGCATCTCGCCTTTCTTGTGATAGAAGTAGAAGATTTTCGAGCATTTCCGACGATCACTGCTTCTCCATGTAGGAACCGTACGGCGCCCAGCTTGTCCAGGGCACGCGGGCGTCGGATTGAATTTCAGAAAAGAAGAATGACCACTCGGGTGGTAGAAATAAGTTGGTAGGATCCGCGGGGCTAGGTGGGAGGTGCTACGACAAGAGCGAGTTTTTCATTTGCGAGCAGTACTGTATGCGAATATGCGCATTGAGTGCATACACTTTGCGTGTTTACACTTTCGTTGCGTGACGTCACCGGGTCGGACATCTCCGGGTTTTTTGTTACCTTTTTTTGTTTTTTCGAACTGTTTTCGACTTTTTTTTCTTGATACTGTTTTTTATCGTGCAAATGTCATTGAGAAAAGTTCAAATCTTGAAAAAAAGCAAAAAAAAAAGTTGAAAAATATCCGAAAAAAAAACTCGGAAACAAAAACCCCGGAAATGTCCTATCCGGTGACGTCACGCAACGAAAGTGTAAACACGCAAAGTGTATTCACTCAATGCGCATTTCCGCATACAGTACTCCCCGCAAATGGTAAACTCGCTCTTGTCGTAGCACCGTAGAAACAACAGAAAAGTGGGAGTTAACGTTTGATAATAAATAATGAAAATCAAAGTTTATTGCCGCACATAAGTGAAGCTTTTTGAAACTTTTATGCAGTCTCCAGAGAAGGTTCTCTGCTGGATCATGGAATAATTAAAGAGAAACCGTCGTTGATCAAGAACGGCGCGTAGAGCATCTCGCCTTCCTTGCCATAGAGTAGTAGACGATTTTCGAGCGTTTCCAACGATCACTGCTTCTCAATGTAGGAACCGTACGGCGCCCAGCTTGTCCAGAGCTGACGAACGCCGGATTAAATTTCAGAAAGGAAGACCGACCACTCGGGTGATAGAAATAAGATAATCGGGGAGTTGGTAGGATTCCTGGGGCTATGTGGAAAATTTCTAGACGATTTCTTAGTTTTTTGATCAGTTTCATAAGAGAAAATCACAATTAAATATGTTTAGAACCAACTGAGCACTTCTAAAAGCCCATTTTAAGGAGAAGAACCGAATTTGTGTGGCATTCACCCGCGCCAAACACGCAATGTACATTGTCGGCAATGGCGAATATCTGTCCGCTAATTCGAGGCTCATGAACGAACTCGTGGGAAATCTCAACGAGAAGGCCCTCATCGACTATGGCATTCCCATCAAGTGCGTCACTCACGGATTTGTTCAGGTTCTTTTCGGAAAAATGAATCCTTAATTTTGACCCTTTTTGAGGTGATCGACAGTCCGTACGATTTCGCGAAGAAATCTCCGGAAGGCGGCTGCGATCAACTCTGTGGCACCAAGCTGAACTGTGGTCACAGCTGCAAGCGACCGTAATTTTTTTCTGGTTTTTACCCCCGTTTTTAGACAACTTGGAAGCTCCAGCTGAGCTGCTTTTTTTCTCATCTATTCATTTTTGACTGGAATAACTTTTTTTCAAATATTTTCCTTTTTTTGTTTCTAGATGCCTTTTTTTGAAAGCACCTTCCCTATAGGAAACCCTAGAAAAGCACCTAGAAGAGATTTTTGAGCTTGATTTTCAAAAAAAAATAAGTTTGTAAGTCTTCTGGGCTTCTTCCTTAGACTTAAATGATTCATTTCCAGTTGCCATCCGATCGATGATCATCTCCAGAAGCCCTGTGAACTTCCTTGCCGGAAAACGTGCGCCGTCGCCAATCATCAATGCCGGAAAAAGTGTTCTGAAGTGGGAGAAATTGATTTTTTTTTTTTTCGATTTTTAAGTCAAACATTTTTGAGTTTCGCGCCGAATAGTATATAGTTATGCGTAGGATATCGGGCTAATTTTAGAAGCGCAAAAATATTTTTAAAAAGCTTTTTTCCTGTTTTAATTAGCTCCAGACTTCTGAAATTCAACCGAAAAAAGGTTTTTTGTCCAAAAGTTTCAGGAAGGATCTGTTAAAAAACCAAATTTTTAGGCTTGAAAAATTTCAAAAAAAAAGTAAAAGTTTTCTCTGTGTGACATCAATATCTTCAGAAATCGAAACAATTTATCAAAAAAAAAAATTCTGGCCCATTCCAAATGCGGCCATCCCAGTGAGTAATTCAGGAATGTGGTCCCTGCCCGGCTTTGATCGTTCTGAGAATGCCGTGCGGTCATGTGAACGAGCTAGTCTGTCATTCGGCTAGCAAATCAGTCTGTTCGAGCCGGTTATCATACTGTTCTGAAACTTGATGCATGAGATTTTCTTCAGATGTGATCAAAAGCTTCCCTGCGGCCATCGGTGTGCGGCAAAGTGTGGCGAGAGATGCACGCAGAAATGTGAAGAGGTGAAAAAAGGGAAAAAGGAAATTTGAGTCTCATTAACTAATTATTAGGTTGTTCGGAAAGTTCTTGCGGTTTTTGATACTCCCCTTAAAAAGAAATTTTTTCGAACTGGATTTTGGACTGCCTGACGAAGTTATACATCATTTTGAAGCGCGTGGAAACTGGAATAAAAAAAATAACTTTCTGAACAACCTAATAGGTTACTACAAGAACTCTGGTATTTGATCCAGGTGGAACTCAGATCTGACCTGGAATGTTTAAAAAAAATGGAAAATGATTTCTACAAAGCCTTGAAAGAAGCTAAGAGAAAGAATTTCAGAGGCTCATGTGTTTTCTTGAGATTTAATGCCATAAGGAAGGTAATATTACTTTGCGGTTGGGAATTTTTCGATTTTACTTTGCGGTTGGGAATTTTCCGAAAAATGGCCAGAAAACTCTTTGATGCACCAAGAAGAACCTGGGAGTCTACCTAGTTTTTGAAAAATAAAGACTCAAATCTTCGAAATTGCCTATTTTATAGTCCGTTTTTCGCGACTGGAAAGAGCGGGACTTCTCTGTGCCCTCCGTATCTTTAGACGTTTCTCTCACGTTTACGTTTTATTTCCATTTTTCTCTTTCCTCGCCGGTGAGGGAACAGAGAGACGCAGACACGCGATAACTGTCAAGGCGGACTATAGCAAATATTGAGGGTTTTCATTGATTTTGAGGTGTATTTTTTCCAAAGAGTTGAATTTTGTGCACATTGAGATTCTTAGAATCTTCTTTTGGTGCATCAAAAAAAAAAATGACCTTCCTTGTTAGAAGATGTCACGAATAACATAAAAAGAAATGGACTAGACAATAACCAAGATTTTCAAGCTTTCTCTGCTCTTTTCTACAAGCTTTTTCTCAGTAGCATCTAGTTGTTTTCCTTTCAAACTGTCCTGTACAGCCTGTCAGTCAAAGTAGTTTCAACTGGATTCGCGACAACGAACTCGTCCAGCTCCATAGTAACACTAACACTTTCAGCCTGTCAATCATGTGTACAAATTGTGCGGACACCGAGCTGAAGTGCCTTGCTGGACGGTTTCCGCCGGAAGACCACCACCTTGTGAAGCAAAATGCGAAGAAGAACTCATGTGCGGACACGACTGCCCTGACAAGTGTGGCGAGCCGTGCCAGGTCATGTGCAAAAAGGTAAAGAAGACATGAATTTTCGAGACTTTTTTCGTGTTTCATGAAAGTTGGCTCGAGTTTTTTAAGGCCTTCTAATTTCAGAACCGTTGTCTCAAATTTGAATCAAAGCGGTTTGAAAATTTTAATGAACGACTGGAAGTTGTGTAGTTTGTATAACTCGACTATAAGACGGAAGTGGAGCATTTCCAAATTTTAGCTGACAATTTTAAAAATCTTCCTCCCGTGCCTTCCTAATATAAAGCCACTACTACCTCCGGATGTAAAAACTTATTCTTATTTTTGGAATAAAAATGATTTTTTAAATCTACTTTCAAAGTTTTTTTTAAGCCAACCCATCACTCATTGAAATCTTCACCTGAAATCAGAAAATCTTAAAGTTTACTTCAGCCAAGTTTTGTCAAAAGCTGGCTGAAAAGTTTACCTGTGAAGGTTTATTAACAAACATTTTTGTTAATTTTACGTTCCCGAATCTTTTATTTTAGCTCATCGAAAGGACTCTTCATTGTGGACACATCATCACCATCGAATGCCACCAGGAGAATAAATTCGTCAAGTGCGAGGTCTTGCTCCGAAAAGATTTTGATCGAATCAAAAACGATTCAGGTGACATTCAAACAAAAGATGAACCCTTGCGGACACTTGTGTTTGGTCGAATGTGGAACCAGCGATTCGTCCGAGTTTTGTACCGAAGCGTGCTCGGAAAAGCTTTCTTGTGGTCATATTTGTGGCGCACGCTGTGGCGATTGCAGGAGGAGTGAGTTTTGGATGGGTTCTAGAGAGAAGATCTAGTGCTTTTCACGTGAAAACAAGGTATCTTGGCAAAGTCAAAGTAGGAGTCAAAAGTGATAGTTATATTTGTTTCTGTGGAGCAAGCTATCCGGAAAAGAAAGAGCCGTAGTTAAACAGATGAAAAAATAAGTTTGACGACCTGAGCACGGCATTCCTAATGGGGTGAGGGAAAGTGAGTGAGGCGTCACAGTTTCTAATTTACAAAAAAAAATAAGTAAGTGCGCACTTCGGATAAAATGACGTCATTTTACGTCACAAATTACACTGAGTATTCAACGTTAATAACTTGTTTGTTCGATTGGCTGCGTACTTGAGATTTCAATTTTCGCGCCAAATTTTTTCTGACTTCTCCCCACCCCGTTTGGGAACGCCATGCTGAGCAGGCCCCACAGCAGCACATTAGGTAGATCTAAGAGGGGTCTTGAACTAAAAAGGCAAAAGAGCAGTACCAAAATATATCTTGACTTAAATAACCTTGGGACATCGTCTGCATCAAAATCCAAAAAGTATTCACTTTGAAACCAAGTAAATTTGATAAAAATCAACCAGCATGTTTTTCTACAGACGGAAAGCACATTTGCCACGCGAAATGCCAGAAGAAGCTGCCGTGTGCGCATCCTTGCGTCAAACAGTTATTGTACATATTCATTAATCAAGAAACTTTATTTGCTTTAGCTGCGGGGAAAAATGTGGAGACTGCGAATCGTACTGCTCGACGAGCTGTCTGCACATCAAGTGTGGCGCCGGGCAAATGGTAAGTAGTTATAGCTGATTCACGGCCAGCTTGGGACGCTAAAGGGGCGTGTCCTGTCTGGGCTCTCCACGAGCCAGGCGCTATCTCGTGCATTATCGTGCCAGGACCATTTCTTCGATGGCGCAAGCCAGTCGTGAATCAGCTATATGTATAGTCTGGTAAAATGTCATGCAGGTAACTCCGGGGCTACAGTACCTTTTCGCGTTGATTTTTTGTAGCTATGAAAATGATCCTTTAATCATGCTTTTTTTTGATCTGACAGCTCGACAAAAATCAAAAATGCAACGCTATTAAAGGAGCATCGTCATGAGCTATAAAAAATAGTACTGTAGGCGGAATTGGGTGTTTGGATTTCAAAAACTGAACAGACTATAAGAACTTTTTCCAAGGGATTCGGAAGAAAATGCAAGGAACTCTGCGTGCTGTGCTGCAAACCCTGCGACAACAAATGCGCTCATCGGAGTTGCACGAAAAAGTGAGGATTTTCGTGGTAGTTCAATGGTTTTCAATTACAGCAAGGAAGCAAGGTTTAAAAGAGAATGGCAAAAAAAAGATACACGGACCATTCTTAAAGGCCGCCAACCCTTCCTCCCAAGTGTTACAAAATTTAAGCCATTACTCCCTCCCTGAGGTTGAAACTTTATAGTTGCCAACACTGCCTCTATGAGCTTAGAGATCAGTCAACTACAAAAGTTCTTTGAGAAACCGAAAATCGGAATAAAACCGGTTTTTGAACTTTTTCCATGAATTTTGGCGGGTTATTTCGCGGTACCCCATGCCGTTCAGCAGATATTTCTTTTTATTATCAGAGCCACAGCCTATATTATGTAATGTGAGAGTAATGGAGATATAAAACAATTTTTAAAGATGCTACGAAGTCTGCGACGTGAAAGCTTGCGAGGAAGTTTGCCAGGAGCGTCTGACTCGTTGCCAACATCCTTGCCTTGGAATGTGCGGCGAGCAGTGTCCACGTGGGAATTTTGATAAAAATGAGAACTATTTGTATTTTTTCTCAGCGATTTGCGGCACTTGCGACGTGAAAGAATACCTGAAATGCGTCTCCATGTTGGGAAAAGACGCGACGACTTCGATTCGACGCCTCATTCAGCTGCCCAACTGTGGACACATCTTCCCGGTTGAGGTCGGGTTTGAAAATGAAGCAATGTGTAGAAAAAAATTTTTAAGATATTTTTTTCAGAATCTAGAAAGCTTTGAAGACTCGTAATTTTTTTCAAACTCGGTTTTTTGAGAAGATTGGGGTACCATTGAGAAAAGCAACTTTTAATCTTACAATTTATTACGATTTAAGCTTTGTAGGAGCTGAATGCGATTAGTGGTATACTAGATTAATGAAAATGGATAAATAGACTGAGAAAATGTTTAGTGGCCACTATAAAGGCTCGTCAAGGACTGATTAGAGAGGACACTAAAGTGTCCACTAAACCCGCCCCTATAGTGGCCACTATAGAGGTTCTCTATCTAGTGGCCACTTCAGTAGTTTCTCATCCAGTATCCCTTTCATCCGATATTTCTTCCAGTAACTCCGATAATTTTAAAACAAACAGATTAGATCAGTTATGATGATCCATTGACCCCTTAAGTGGCCACTAAAATTTTTAGTAGTCTAGTAGTAGCACTTAGGCCTCTATAGTGGCCACTAATTTGACGACTATAGAGGCCACTACACTAGAACGTCAAAACCCTATAGTGGCCGCTAAAAATTTACACAGGAAATTTTCTCTTCCAAATGGTACCTGAGCCTTTGAAATGCGTTTAGTTTCAAATTTTAAAACGCAAAAATGACGTTTTTCGGGTCCTACAGTTTATTCACTACAGTACCTTGACGAGCACGTCCGAAAGATCAAGGAAAGCAACGGACCATTGATTTGCCCGAGAGAACTTTGCGGCGAGTACATGGACAAAGTGATCCGATACGCGAAAGTCAAGAAACGCCACGTCCTACAGTTGAACATGGTCCTGATTTTCTCAGCACTGCAAAAAATCAATAAATTTTCCCGTACAATCAAGGAGAGTTTCAGGACAAAATGTTGAGAATGAAGTTCCAACCGAAAGATCTGCAAGCCGCCATTCAGAACCTCGAGAAACAGAACAGTTTGTTGAAATCTGCGCAAGTGACCAAAAAGTGCCCCAGTGTTAGTTTTACCAAACCAAGTTTGAATAAGGAACAGGAAGGTTTCAGGCGGTTTCGAAAGGCTTGCAAGAGTTCCATTCTCTGTTCCTCTTGGTTATCCTGAGGGCTCACCGAGAAGCCGTCAATGCGATCAACAACATTGGCAAGATGGACGGCGGCCGCGTAAAGTTCTTTGTCGACCTCGGATTGTGGGTTTCCTTGGGCTCTCTGAAGCGAAAATAGTGCTATCATTAATTTATGGACTTTTGCCTTTTCTTTCTTTCCAAGTTTTGGTAGGTAACTTGAAGCAAAAAAAAATTAATTTTTGAAAAGTATGTACTAGAAACATCACAATTTTTTTATCTCATTAATTAATAAAGTTACCTTTTTTGGTTCGATAAAGAGAAAACATTATCTTGTTGAGTTCAAAAATTCAAGCTCCATGGATAAAGCTCCAGAAATTTTGAAAATGTGGGTATTTTTTGGTAATTTTAATACGGTGAAGGCTATAAGAAACTAAGCTTAGCCTTTCTATGGGGAAAACTCGATAGATTAGCGTTTTTTGAATGGAAAATATTAACAAAGAATAAATTAATCAAGTTCTACTTTTTGATTTCAAAATGAGAAAGAAGAATTTGAAGACCCTATAGGGGCCACTTGAGCTTGAAGGGCTTATGAAAAGACTCTAAACCCTATAGGGACCACTGAAGCTTGACGGGCTTATGGGAAGACTCTGAACCCCTATAGGGACCACCTAAATTTTACACGTGTATAAGGTTTTTCTGGCTGTTTTTCCTTGTAACCACTATAAAGATTACTTTGGCGTTCCTGAAAATTTTTTTTCATGACGGGGAATTCCTAAATGCTCTGCTTTTCAAGAACCAATGCCTCGAGTTTGTAATTTCTGAACAATTTAAATATCGTGGTCCTTCGGATATTAGAAAGTTTAATACCAAAAACTTTTGATCAAAAAATGAGCCATCGATTGATGAAAGTACTGATTCCAGGTGCTTAGCAACGTTGGTCGACCTCTTCATAAGGGTCTCCAAGACGACTTTTGCCAAAGAACCGCCGCCGAACTTCAGATCTGTCCTCGAAACTGCGGCCGATAGTCAGCGTGGACTATTTGTTAAAGCTTTGGTATTGAAAAAAGCAGAGTCAAAGCGAGAATCCTTCGTTTCTTCTTCAGATCACGGAGCTCTGTTTCACGGTTGAAATGCTACATTCTGTGTACGAAACTGGATTGCCTGGCGCTCTCTTCCCAATTCTTTTGTACCGAGTCCATCAATGCGTCTTTCTTCATGATGTGAGGAAAATTACTGGAAATTGGCATTTCTGATAGGGAAATTGTAGGCCGAAAAGGCTGAATCTAAATTTGAACTGTAGTCGCTTTCAGATAAATGAATAGACTCGAAAATTGATCCAAAAGGGATAAGAGATTTTATTTGATAGATATTTAAAAATCTGCAAACTTGCAGCTCTACGCGGCTCAAATGCTCTTGTTGAACGTGGGCGGCGATGTGACCAAAAAAGGCGAAAAAAGTCTCCGATCCGCGGTCATCGAGTTCAAGAACATGGGCCCACAGAGCGATTATTCGTCTTGTCTTGGTAACTTTTTCTAAAAATGAACGGGAGACTTCATAATTTTACCCTGAACAAAATTCAAGATTCATTAATATTTTTGGAATCAGGAACTTTGGAGAAACTCCTCAAAAAGTACTCAAGTTTCAAAACTACACTGAAATGTAGCTCCTTAGAAGCTTCAGCCATTCCAAATGCGACCAAAAAAGCATTTTTGTGGCAGCTTTTCATAGAACATGGGCCCACAGAGCGATTATTTGTCTTGTTTTGGTAACTTTCCCTAAAAATTAACGATAGAGCTTTTCCAAAGCTTCATAGTTTTACCCTGAACAAAATGCCGAACTCATCAATATTTCTTAGAATCAGGAATTTTGGAGAAAGCCCTCAAAAAGGCGTTCAAAACTACACTGAAATATTGCTCCTTAGAAGCTTCAGCCATTCCAAATGCGACCAAAAAAGCATTTTTGTGGCAGCTTTTCATAGAACATGGGCCCACAGAGCGATTATTTGTCTTGTTTTGGTAACTTTCCCTAAAAATTAACGATAGAGCTTTTCCAAAGCTTCATAGTTTTACCCTGAACAAAATGCCGAACTCATCAATATTTCTTAGAATCAGGAATTTTGGAGAAAGCCCTCAAAAAGGCGTTCAAAACTACACTGAAATATTGCTCCTTAGAAGCTTCAGCCATTCCAAATGCGAACAAAAGGGCGTTTTTGTGGCAGCTTTTCATAGAACATGGGCCCACAGAGCGATTATTTGTCTTGTCTTGGTAACTTTTCCTAAAAATGAATGGGATAGCTTTTTCAGAGCTTCATAATTTTAGCGTGGAAAAAATGCTGAACTCATCAATATTTCTTGAAATCAGGAAGCTTGAAGAAAGTCTCCAATGATTCGTAACTCAAATTTCAAAAGTGCGGTGAAAAGTAGCTGCTCAGAAGCCTTAGCCATTCCAAATGCGACCAAAAGAGGTGGTTTTGTTGCAGCTTTTCGAAATCAAAATTTTATTTTTTGCCTAACGTTGTGGAAACGAGGATATAAAAGGCGTTAAGTGAACACTTAAGGGATGAAATGTTCGAATTTTGATAATTTTTTCTCAAAGAGCGAGACGCTTAACGAAACCTTCAGAATCAGACAACTTCCCAGCGGTTTTCCATGTTCGTTTTGTGGTTTCAGAACGATTCGAAACACTGATTTTGGAAGCTTTGGAGCCGTCGACGGCGGCGACTGGACTCTCAGGCTCGAACGCCCTTTTGCGTTCCGATCACTGGAAACCATTGAAATCCTACGGTTTGCCTAAGTTTTAGGCGTTTTTTTTTCCTTTCTGTTTGTTTTATATATGTTTGAATTCCTCCCAATTACCCTGTAGATGTTTGTTACAACTTTTGCGGGTTTTATCTACATTTCTCCACTTTAATAATAATAATAATAATGATAATATGTTCTCGGGTTCCTTTCCGTGAAGCAGATGCTACGTATGATAAAGTTTTATTTTTATTTCCTTTTTATTTTCTTGAACATTGGTCGTAACAAAATGAGAATATCGCGTGAATAAGTGAATTTTATGGTGTTTATTGGTCGGTACCGTATGCCCTACAGTGCTGACTGAACATTTTTCTGTAGCCAGCACTGTAGTGTGAAAATCCCGCATTTGGGAAGGCGGTTATCTACAGTAATCTTCAAATGAGGTTACGGTAGATTATTGTTATTGTTGTTGTTCTTCAGCGCCAACGACTTCAGGTCTTTCGAGCTCGAGTGGGAGATCGAGGCCAGACGAGAGGAAATCGACCGTCGGAGCCGCTCGTACAGTGGAGCGCACATTCGGAGGGCCACCTGGATGATTTTTGAAGTTGGTTTTGATTTTTTTTTTTTTGTCAAGGGTATCTCCAGTGGACCCTAGAGGGGTCTTTCAATTTCAGTCAAAAAAGTTGTTCCCCTGGAAATGCTTCTTCGCTTGGAGTTCATAACAATTGTCGTGCCCCTCAAGGGCCACTAATTAAAACCCCTATAGGGACCACTTTTGCAACCCTCAGTGGCTCCTATAGGGGCTGGTAAACCTCTAAGGGCCCCTAAGGCTGCTCCTAAAGGGTCCACTCTGAATTTCTTAAGTTTATCCAAGTCACACATTATTTTCAAAAAGTTGCTAATTGATTTTTTGTGTGATCAGCTATCATGAGCACTAGAGTTCCTGTCGAATTGAGCGACCATAATTTTTCTCACAGACTTTCGTGGGAGTTTCCAAGTAGAGATTCAGAATCGGAAGGAAAAACTGTATCTACTGAATGAAGTTTCATTCAAAAGACCGACTACAAATAGCTTAACTTCCTCTGAAGTCTTAAAAATTGGCCGAGAAGTATAGAAATCCATCAGAAATTCGATAAAGCCAACCTCATAAGGGGGTGGTGGTTCATCGGGCTCGATGAGCTGCTGAGAATCATCTCCGATTGGACTATACCCATTGGACCAGGCCGACATGCCGCTTATCGATAAAGACCGCGACGGACCGCCGCCGGTTCCGCGCAGAGACGCGATCGGCCTCCGTGGCAGGATTGCTCTTGAAGCGTCTCTGAAAAGGACTATTCACTAGTTCAAGTGGACGCTAGATCACCTGCTAGGCCTGGAGAAGCTCATACTCCGACTGGTCCTCATCAATCTTTGAGAGAACGACGTCGTCGGCCTCGGCGTCGACGGTGGAAGGCCTTCCTCGACGGCGCCGTAATTCCGCAAGACGATATGCTCGTTGTTGTTGGAGATGAGCGGACGCGGAAAGATGAGAGCTTCTGGAGGTCGACCAGGTCCAGTTCGCGCCATCGTACTCTGCAGCAGCATCGCCTCGCTGTAGGACGGCACGACGAACTGTTGCTCGCGTCGCATTAGAGCTTCCAGTTCTGCCGTGTCCATGGTTGATGTTCGTGTCAGGGGACCCGTGTAGTTGCCGGATGATGGACTGAAAAGTTTGCTGATCAAGCGTCGGTCTTGAAGTTAAACAGATTAGGCTAGTCCCACTCCCCCCAGTCATATCAGTTTCGGCTTCTGTGCCTGTTTCTTCTGGGCCGGTTCTAAAGTTCTATGGTCCTTACTACTTGCGAATTTTCCCTAACAAGGCAAATAAATGAAACTTGATTATGAGAATGATAAAACCAAAATTAGAGTTTGTTGAGTTTTATTGAAGCTTACAACTTTTGACGAACTTCCATACCAATTTGCTCCAAGTTTTGTTTTTTGAGATATTTTTTTCGTGTCACGAAAGCCCCTATGTAGAATAACCATCGGTCAGAAACTTGGCCAAACTTTGCAAATGGAACGAAGAATTTTTTTTTTGGACAACATGCATTTTAAACGAACGTAGTTCAAGCTACAAATTTTCCTCTTTTTGGAAAACGAAAAACTATAAAACGAACATTTTGAAAATTGCAAGCAACTCAAGCCTTTAATCTCCATTCCTTTTCCCCTGATCCATTTTGATTGATGACTTCCTTATTTTTCGGCGTAGGCCTTTTGAGTCTCAAAAACTAGGTAGTAAAATAATTTTTTGAATTCGAATTTTTGGATGTAGTTAAAATGAATGAAGAATTTTGAATAAGCAAAGCTTTTTCTCATTTTGAAGATCCAAAAAAAGAAGTTCGTTTTATAAAGGTCCAATAATAAATGCTTTTCAAAAAAAGAAATGACCTCAAATAATTGGTCCCGAACAATTTGACGACGTGAAATGATAGAATCGCAGTTCGCCATTCTGTGTAAATGCGCAACGGCCAGGACAAAATGCACAGCGAGAATATCCAAAAGACGATCGGATGCAGGAACCTGTACGTATTTCCATATTTTTATAACTTCAAGAAAAGTGATTAACTTACCATGGAGGGTTGGGACGGTTGAAACAGAGCAGTTCGTCGATGAAAACGACGTCCGCCAAGTCCATTCCCTCTTTTACCTGAAAATATTCCCTTCATTGGTTCCGAAGTCAGTAATCATAGTTTCTTCTCTCACTCTGAAATGGGGCGCATAAAGACCGCCACAACCCTTTCTCTGACACACACTATTTCGTCGTTGTCTAGCTGCGAGAAAACGACGAAATAGCTTCGGTCAGAGAAAGAGGTGTGGCGGCCTTTATGCGCCCCATGTCAGAGAAATTATCAAGTCCGAACCTCCATGTAGTCGTCCTTGGCCTCATTATCGTTGAAAAACCGTGTCCTCTGCTCCTCGAACTCGTTAGCCGCTTGCATGTTGGCGAAGACGAAGCTCCGCGACAGCCGCACCCGCGTCACACCGAATTTCTCCACCCCCGTGATTGACTTTGAAATATCCTGGAACAGAAACAATTTTTACAAGATTGCTGGTTTGCTATGAGGAGGTTTAGGAAAATACTTCTTCCCTGGCAAAGTTTTTTTTTCGAAAATAAGGGGATCGTTTGAGAGTTTAGAAAAGTGAGAGAGAAAAGCTGAGAAGAGTTGAAATAAGCGAAATCAAGGTTGACAGGCCCAGCAGCAGCACCAAATTTGAGAATGGCAAGAAATGGAGTAGGCCCTTGAGCAACATAAGTATAGCTCATTCACGGCTTGCTTGAGCCATTGAAAAAAGGGTCCCGACACGATAATGCAGAGACAGTGCCTGGCTCGTGGAGAACGCAGACACAACACGCCCTCTTAGCGTCCTAAGCTAGCCGTGAATCAGCTATACATGGAGATCAAGAGAAGTATTGTAAAGTAGACTATATATAGTCCATAGACCGCCTTGACAGTTTTCGCGTACCCTCACCGGCGAGGTCAGAGAAACATGGAAATAGCACGTAAGCATGAGAGAGACGTCGAGAGATAAGGAGGGCGCAGAGAAGTCCCGCCCTTTCAAGTCGCAGAAGACGGATTTTTTTTGTTTTAGTCATAGATGTTATGGACTAGGCTATCAACAAGAAATTTTAAAGCCGTATCGAACAACCCAACTAGAAGTTCAAACGTGTAGCTGGTCAAGTTGGTGATCTTACTGGTCCTCCCCTTGTTTTTCTGCGCGTTTTACTTCCAATTACACCTTGAAGAACTCTTAATGAACCCCAAGACCGTGCTCTTGGTTGGAGCTTCGGAATGGGAGCGACCACTTAGAGTGAGTTACACGGAAAGATTAGCGAACACGCTATGGATCATGTCTCACCTTTACGCCACAGTACTCGTAGATGAACATGTTCCCAGCGTTGTGGGAGTTGATCCGCTCGTAGAATACTTGCGTCGCCGGCAGCGCGTCTCCATTCCGATACCTGTCCTTGAACTTCTTCAAAAGAAGAAGATTTCCCGAAAAAACCTGGTGATCTGCCGCGTTTTCCGAGTATAGTGATAGCAGACGCTCTTCCACCATACGATTGGCGGCGAGTTTTTCAACGCGTTGATGTAGTCCAATGCGTCTTCCACTCGGACCTGGAAACGATGATTTATAAGGAGTAGAGAGGATATTGGGAACCTTCTTCATGTTGATGAGTTTGGTCCGACTGTGCCAGCATTCCATGACGTAGACGATGTACAACATCAAGCCGAAGACGATCGGCACGAAATTGTACCCCTGGGCGCATGGTCCGTGTTGGTATCTGCAGAGAGAAACTTGTTTTCGGAATTAGATCGGGCCAAACATGGGCACGCCCTCATCTCAAGCGGTTCTAAATTAAAGTCTACTATCTGAGGTTAGAGTGTGAAAGAAGATTCTGAAAGTTCCAACTTGCACGTCCTCCTAGTTTACGAGAAGTAAGGCTCACAGGCCTAAAAAAGCATACTCTGACGGATTTTGAGGCGCCATCTCTCAAAAACTAGGAATACGTGTAGGTTGACACTTTCAAGACCTTCTGGTACACCGATGAGGGTTCAGGCCAAATTTTGAAAGATTCCTTGAAAATTGGCCAGGACACTTCTTAACGGACCAAAAGAAGATTCTGAAAGTTTCAACTTGCAGGGCCTCCTAGTTTTCGAGAAATAAGGGCTACAGACCTAAAAAGCCTGCTCTAACGGATTTTGAGGTGCCATTTATCAAAAACTAGAAACACGTGTAAGCTGAGGTTGGTAAATCGAGAAGTGTTCAGGCCAAATTTCAAGAAATTCCCAATCCAAAGTTGAATGACCTTCCTTGTCAGAAAGTGTCACGAATAACGTGAATAAAGTTGAATTATGTTGTTGCCTACTTATTATTTGAACCAATAAAAAATATCCTTGAAAACTACAGACATGAGAAGCGGCTGCTTTCCCGAGTAGGCCTCATGACGGACGTGACAAAACGAGGCGTAGACGAAGCAAAGGACCAGCAAAAGTGAGCACATCAGACATTTACCGTAACCCGTTCGCCGCAGGACCAGAAGCAACGTCGGCCGGCGAGGCTTCTGAAGGTAGTTCTTTTTTGAGGCTTTTATGAAGGAGAAAAATTAAGTTACAACAAAAAATGGAAGGAATCTGAGTTAAGTAAGCTTCGGAAAAAAAGATACCACGTTCCTGCCTTTTTTAAGTCTTGAAAACCTACCGCAACATGTTCAAGATCGACGGTTCTGGCCATTGGCAGAAAATTTTCACCACAATCCCATTGACCATCGCCTTTTCGGCCACTTTTCCTCTTGCATTTTGGCTGAATCTGAAAACTTTTGCTTAAATTTTAGGTTTATTAAGGCATTTTTTGATGATAAGAAACGAGTAAGAAAGCTGGAATCGAGAAATAGTTGAAGCTTGTCCAGAAATTTAAAAAAATTGATCAATTTCTCTCCTACTGAGAAAGTTTTTAGTGGCCACTATAGAGGCTCGCCAAGGACACTAAAGTGGCCACTAAAACCACCACTATATTGGTCACTATGTTCCGTTCAAGTGGCCACTATATAGGTTCTCAGTTTAGTGGCCACTTCAGTAGTTTTTAATCCAGTATTCCATCCAGTAACTCTGATAACTTCAAAACAAACAGATTGGACCATTTATTTTGATCCATTGACCCCTAAAATGGCCACTAAAATTTTTAGTGGTCTAGTAGTAGCTCTTAGACCTCTATAGTGGTCACTAATTTGACGACTATAGTGGTCACTAAAACGTCAAAACCCTATAATGGCCACTAAAAATTTTCCTAGTAGTTTTGAATTTTTTGATGCGACCAGTTTGAGATAAATATTTAAAAAAGAGTGACTGATTTTGATTTTGGGAACATCGAAAAGCTTTTTTTTTCCAAACAAGGAGCCGTCTGAAATATTCTATATTGAATCTCAATTTAATCTCAAAGGGGTGTTAATGTTTAAGGCGAACCGAAATCGTAAAAAGAAGCGCTTCTAATAGAAATAGAAAAACAAGAAATTAGGACCCGAGGGGAAAGCAAACGGCGATTGTTGCCATTTCTGGAGGGCCAGTAGGGGGGGACGCGCTGTTGTCTCAAAGCTTTTGGGGGAGGCAAATTGGTGGAGGGAAAAAAAAAGTTTCTCCCTCTCCTCTCTTTCACTCTTGCAGTAGAACAAGAAGAAGAAGAAGAAGAAGCTGGAGGAGATGCTAGAAAAAAGAAGTTGAATAATCGAAAGGCTACCCCCTCCATACGCACACACACAGACATAACATTTGAAGAAGAAGACAATCGTCCTCCGGATTTTCTCCTTTTTCATCCCTTTTAGTCCTTTTGTCAAGTTCAAACGCTGCTTGGTGACTTGAATAGACCTCTCCCCATTGTGTTTTCAGGGCGAAGTTCAATTCACTTTTGGATTTTTTGTTGTTTTCAGTACAAGGCGAGGCTTTTTCACGTTCTAATCTAGGCAAATTAGGCTTGTCGTTTTTCAAATTTTTCGATAAAATTCAGATTTTTTTCTGAATTTAGCACTTCAAAAACTTCATAAACTGTGGATAAATTGAGATTTTGAGACAATTTTGATATTTAACAGGGCCTTGTATTTTCAAAAAAGCTTTCAGAACGATGTTTAAGTGATTTTTTAAATGAGGTCCATTCGCCTTGACTCTGATAATTTTGGTCGCACGGAGAATGGCTCAACGCGAAGCGGCTTTCAAAATCATATTTTTTCATCATAAAATATTGCGACATGTATACTAGAAAATTGGGATGCTGGAATTGAAAACCGCAACGCTTTTGAGCCATTCCGAATGCGACCAGAGGTTTAATTTTAACTCTATGACATCACTTTTTGAAATCGAATCTTACCGCATACCGACCGCAACGCTTTTGAGCCATTCCAAATGCGACCAGAGGTTGAATTTTTACTCCATTTCATCAGTTTTTGAAATTGAATTTAACCGCATACCGACCGCAACGTTTTTGAGCCATTCCAAATGCGACCAGAGGTTGAATTTTAACTCTATTTCATCAGTTTTTGAAATTGAATCTACCGCAACGCTTTTGAGCCATTCCAAATGCGACCAAAAGTTTGAATTAATCGGTATTCTACCAGTGGGACTGTGTAGAATCGAGAAAACCGATTTTCGTTCACTTTTAAAATTTGTTAAACAATCAAGAAGGTTCAGTAAAGACCAGAAGCGCAAGCAGAGCGAATGAAATAAAATCTGGCAGAGTTTAGAAGAGGGCTTTTCGAGACGGGCCTCCGAAAAAGAAAGTCCCGCGAGGCCTTCTGCCTCGATGCCAGGATAATATGTCAACCGCCCCCCAACCCCGCCAAGCGATGCTCCTCCAAACTTGGAATGAACTAATTTTTGCGCAAAGTTTTCGAGATTTTTGACTTTTCCAAAAAATTATAGGGTGTAGGAGTATTTGAAACATCGAAATCTAATGAACTTTTTCGGAAATTTACTTCAGAAAATTCAAAAAACTCATCAATCAATACCTTTCTAAGACCCTAGCAAAAAAAAATTTCAAAAAAATTACAGTTCTTTTCCAAGTTCTCTGTATATTATCTACACGCGAAACATGATGGACCCCAAAAAAAAGTCCCATAAAAACAGTTCAAATAGATTTCTACAGGGTTTCAGAATACGAACCCCCCCTCCCCCGCATCAAATGAAAAACTAGGAATTAAGTTAAGCGCAAAAATCACAAACCCAAAAAAAGTCCCATAAAACGGTTCAAATAGATTTCTACAGGGTTTCGGAAAAAAATTCGCCCCCCAAATCAAATGAAAAAAATGAAAGCTAGGAATTAAGGTAAGCCCAAACTGAAACTCGAATAAACTGATAAACAAGAAGAGGTTTTAAGATTACCAGAGTAATTTAACGAAAAAAACTTCATTTCATTTTTGGAAATGAGGACTTGTTGTAACGTATTTTTCAACAGGGTTGTGACCTATTCCTAAAATTCCATCTTATAATTTTTTTAGAAAAATTTTTCTGAAATAGAAGAAACTACATTTTTGAAAAAAAAACGGCTCGGTTGAAAATTTTGGCCGCACTTGGAATGGCTCGGTAGCGAATTTCGTCGGAGCATTAATGATTTGAGCTTTTTTCTAGAGGCTTAGTGAGACTTGAAAAGCGAGTTTTGGTTTATATGCGATAAGAATGGTTTGGAACAGTCTGACCTGTCTGCACTCTCTTTTCTCTCAGCGACGAGGTCAGAAAAATAAGAAAGCAGCATGTAAACATGAGAGGCACATCGAGAGAAGAGGGCGCAGAGAAGCGAGAGGGTTTCAAGTCGTGCAAAATTTCGTCGGATCATAACGATTCGAGCTTTTTTCTAGAGGCTTGGTGAGACTTGAAAAGCGAATTTTGAAGTTTACATGCGGTAAGAATGATTTGGAATAGTCTGACCTGTCTGCACTCTCTTTTCTCTCAGCGACGAGGTCATACAACTAAAAAAAAACAACACGTGAACATGAGATGTTCAGCGAGAGAAAAGAGGGCGCAGAGAAGCGAGAGTGTTGAGCGAGAGGGAGAGAAAAGGCAGATAAATCACCGGAGTACCCTTTTTTCTTGAGTAAAAAAAAAATGAACTTTCCGAAAAACTGCAGAAAAAAAAGACGGAAGGAAGATGTATCATCGGATTCTGATGAGCCTGGCCTCCAATTCCCCAACTGGGAGCCGCCTCCTGCTGCAACGGGAATCCTTCTCTCTTGCTCCAACGAGACAAATTTGATTTCTCGCCATAAATTCGCGCCTCTCTCACGCGCGCTCGCCTCAATTCATCGCCCAATTTCACGCCAATTTCTCATCGGGTTTTGATTTGATTGAAAGCGTTTTTTTATGTGAGAGAATGATCTATGGGGATGAGCGATTTATGGAGTTTGAAGAGAAAAAGTTGCTTTTTAAATAATAAAAATAAATGAAGGCTTGTAGCATTTTTCAGGAGCAGGGGTTGGATTGAGCTTATTTGGAGCTTGGAAAAAGATTCAGAAAAAGAAATAATCTGAGAGATCCGTCAAAACGTGACGCGTTTGGAAACGAGTAGACGAAAGATACTGGGAAAAGTTTTAGTGGCCACTATAGAGGACTACTGGGAGAGGACACTGAAGTGGCCACTAAACCCACCTCTATAGTGGCCATTATTTTCCGTTTTAGTGGCCACTTCAGTAGTTTTTCATCCAGTAACTCTGATAATTTCAAAACAAACAGATTGGACCAATTATGTTGATCCATTGATCCCTAAAGTGGCCACTAAAGTTTTCAGTGGTCTAGTAGTAGGACTTAGACCTCTATAGCGGCCACTAATTTTTAACCCTTTAAGTGGCCACTAATTTGACTACTATAGTAGCCACTAAAACGTCAAAACCCTATAGTGGCCACTAAAAACTTTACCAGTAGTTCAAAACTTCTATAAAAAAATTTCTTTTTTGATTCGAACTTTAGGGTTTTTTGAAAAAAGATAAGATCAAATGAAATTAGGTACCTACAAAATTATAGATGAACCAATTATTTTTTCTATTTTTCAAATTCCAAGCATTTCAGAAAAGGCTCAGACGATCATTACGAGTCTCCTTGTGTTTTTAAAGGCGCATAGGCGAATTTTAATGGGTCTCGTGGCGAAGTGACTTTTCAATATATCACTTGACCTCTGCGCCTTCAAAAACTTCAGAAAGCGTTAATAAGGAACTTCAGAAAATTTCGAGACAAAAAAGAAAAAATTCTCGAATTGCAACAAACGGAAGCAGCCCTGAACTAGTTGAGAGAATTAGTCGTGGAGAGGAAAAAAAAAAAGAGTAAGTGATAAGAGCGGATCGATTTTGATGTGACTACCAAGAACCGGAATCGCCGAAAAACCGGAATTACCATTTCTCCCTTTTTTTCAGATTATAATAGGAGCAAGTTGGATTTCAAGTTTTTGCCGATTTTGATAGAGTTTTTTCTGAGAAATCTTGGAGTTATCTGGTGTTTCAATGAGTCTTTTTTTGCTACTCCTCACTGTTTTGTCCAATTTTACTCGACGATAATTCCAATTTCAGTTCTTCACCCGCTCATCGACATATCCCTTGACGAACTGGAAGTGGACACTTAAGTTGACGGGCTATTCGAACGTCTACTCGAGTGCCTCGAATGTGGATGTTCTTCGAGTTTTCCTGGTCGCCGAGGATATCGATCAATCGAGGTACGGATAGGATGAAAATGGCTCGACGCGTTGCGGTTGCTGAGCGGCTCTGATGCGCCCGACTCAAAGTGAAAATGTTTGAACAACTGAGAAAGTTTTAGTGGCCACTGTAAGGGCTCGCCTAGGACTACTCGGAGAGGAAACTTAAGTGGCCACTAAACACACCTCTATAGTGGTCACTATTTTCCGTTTTAGTGGCCACTTCAGTATTTTTACATCCAGTATTCCTTCCAGTAACTCTGATAATTTCAATACAAACAGATTGGACCAGTTATGTTGATCCATTGACCCCTAAAGCGGCCACTAAAGTTTTTAGTGGTCTAGTAGTAGCACTTAGACCTCTATAGTGGCCACTAATTTTCAACCCCTTAAGTGACCACTAATTTGACTACTATAGTAACCACTAAAACGTCAAAACCCTATAGTGGCCACTAAAAACTTTCCCAGTATATTGAAGGATTTAGTTGATAAGATTTTTTTAAATTTTCTTTTTTTTTTTCAAAATTTCAGTCTGACCTGTCTGCGCTCTCTTTTCTCTCGCCAGTGAAGTCAGAAAAACATGAAAAAAGCGAGTAAACAAGAGAGAGAGAGCAGATGTATCAGACGCTTTTCAAGTTTTCATGAGGATTTTGTAGTTTTTTTTGAATGCAGGGGAGAGAAAAGAAGGGGCAGACAGGTCAGACTGTTCCAGGCCACAAGGATACAATATAATCATACAGAACCAATAATGAGCCAAGAAAAGAAGGAAAAAAAAAAAAGAATCGGCCCTAAAACTAGAAGAAAAGATTCCCCCGCTGACCAAAAAAAGAAAAAGAAGGCGTCACTCGACGTGACACGTCGCTCCTCATTCTTCATGGCCAAGAAAAGAGCCTCGAATGGCCTCGCCAGGAAAAACATTGGAGCCATTCAAAGATTCATGGCTATTTTTCTCCCCCTAGTATCACTGCAGCCAGTGGTGACCTCCCCGAAGAAATTCTTTCTTTTTTTTCCGCCCCGAAAGAAGCTAATTTTGGAGCTCGTCTTCAGTGAAAAATATACTATAGCGCTGAAGGTGGAGAAAAATATCTTTTTTTGACAATGGAAAGGAATCAAATTTTCATGGGGATACAAAATTTTGCGCAAAATATACAGTGGAGCAGAGAAATGTTTTTCTTTCAACTACGAATTTCTCTCGATTTTGTGGATGCTACAAAATTTTTTGGAGGATTCCTGAATTTATTCTGATTTAGGGAGAATTTCAACATTTTCAGCTTTCCTATTAGGGAAAAATGAAAAAAAGAGTCTCATCAAAGTCGAGTTCAAAATTTTCACGAAGGAGACATTTTTTGCCGTTTTTAATCCTAAAAACTACTATTTTTCGAGAAGATTTCTATATTTTGGTTTATTCTCAGTAAAACTGTGTAAAGCAACTGCTATTCAGCAAAAAAATATTTGTTAAAAAAACATTTTTTTATCAATTTTTGAATAGACCTTCCATACTATTTTTCCGCTCAAAATGAAATTTGAACGATTTCTTCCCAGAAAAGGAAACTCATTTTTCAAATCTCATGAAAAATTCACCCCATAAAAAGCCTCGAAAAACTGCTTTCTTTGTTCTTTTTCTGCTGTTTCGTGCTCAAAAAGGGGACGAGGGGGACGAAAAGGCTTAGAATTAATTCTTCACTCGTCGTTTCTTCACAACTTTTCTTTTTTCCAGCCAACAGGATAAATTCAAACTTCATTCAACTGAAATAAATTCCTACTAGGTTGGATTAAATATCAATAAATTATTCTTGGTACAGAGATCATTGACAAGCATTTCACCGGGTAGACAAAGAAATATTTACAATCGAAATGTAGAAAAAAATATTTTTGACAAGAAATAAGGCACATAGATTAAAAAAAGTGAAATTTTTCATGAAAATGATATGTAGATCAGCACAAAAATTGATGACTAAAAATAGGGGAATTGAAAATGATCAATTTATAACAAGACATGTTGAAAAAAAGTACACGTGAAGGACCAATACAGGAAAAATTTCTATAAACTTTGAACTTTTTTTCGAAATTCTTTAAACGACCCAATTTTTTTGGGGTGTAGAGAAGGATTTTACAACAAGAACCCAGGCCATTTTTTGACCTAATGTGTAGAAAACTAGACTTTTCCGTGCTTTTTTAAGATATTTGGATTCAAAACTTCAACTTTATCACAATTTTTTTTTTACAATAAATGAGAAAACCGTAAAAAGGACCCTAGAAAATTGCAATTTTGAGTTTTTACATCTTACTGGATAGTCATGAAAAAGAAGCTTTTACAGTCTTTAGATGAATTTTTGAACAAAATTATTTAAAATACGACTTTTCGGAAATCTTGTGGCCGAAAAATTTGGTTTTAGATTTTCAAACTCATTCAAAGACAGTGAAAGCTAAGATTCAAGATTCTTCCTAAAAGGCGATTTTAAATGTGAAAAAAAAGAAGATCGAGAACCCTTGATAGAAAATCGTTTCACCACTAATAAGTTATATAAAAAATTCCTATTTCACTGAAATGATCCCCTACAAAAAGCCAAGCCTAACGAAAAACGGAGTAACAAGTGAGCAGAATGGGGATTCAACAAAGACGTAGAAAACTGCAGCGGCGGAAAAGGACAAGGTCGCCACGGCGGGTAGCAGAATCAGAAGATGCAGGGCCGACGTCGCCGTCTGCAGAAACGGAAGCCAGTTGAAGATGTACACGATCGGCATGTGAAGCAAGTAGGCGTTGTAGGTGAGTTTGGCCAAAATTCCGAAGAATCCCGGGATGGTTGTGCTGAAAAATTGTGTTCTTCAACATCTTCAACGTCTGAAAAACTTCTTCTGACTGAACTGATGGGAGAAGATCATCCCAGCGATAGCCAAGGCGAATACGGTACGGAACAACGACGTGTACAAGACGTTGTACGCCGTCGTCCCCGCGTCTGGATTCCAATACTCGGGCAAGATGCCGTAGATAGTCGCCACGGCGAGGACGGCGCAACTCCAGAAGAGACGCTTCGACGTCGCTTCGGAGACCGTGTAGCCCTTCCAGACCATCGTCAGGTAGCCCAGAAGAAGGCCGACAAGGTAGGGACCGCACTTGGTCCAAGGCCGAGAGTACATGTTCCAGAGACCGGCGTAGATCGAGCTGAGCGAGGCTTGGTCCTGGCCCGGGTAGGAGATGAACTGCAATCATAGAAGTTGAATTGAGGAATTTGTTTTTCTAAATCGTTCCACCCTTAAAGAACTAACCGGAATATCAACGTCGCTCTTGTTGCAAGTTTCATAGGAGATACAGTAACCGGACCGTAGTACCGCAGAAACGAGGACGGTGACAAAAATCGTGGCGAATCCGCGACGAGGCACTTTGTGCAGCAAATGGAGGAAGAACGGCGCGGCTATGAATAACTGAAAACGTTTTTTTCTAGAAGCCATTCCCAAAAAATCTTCCAACCTGCATATCTAAGCCAAGGTACCACAGATAACCCATGCAGGTGGGTGTCGCCTGGAAGTTGCTCGTGAACGTCAAATGTGACAGGATTCCGCTGGTTCCACAAGCGGATATCATCGAAGAAGTGTACCTGAATAAAGTGTTCGCTTTTTAAAGACATTTGGGGTAAAACCTAGGCAAAAGGTACTGCATAATGGGTCCTGTGGCGATGAAGACGAAGGCGAACATGGAAGGAGCCAGGCGGAGTAAACGGCGGAAGATGAATCGAGAAAAGTGAGGCCAGAAAGGCTGATCCGCCAGTCGGAGCCAGGATCTAGCGGCTAGGAGGCCAGAAAGGACCAGGAATATCTCGACGCCCAGGGCTGAGTTTCCAAGAAGAGCGCCGAAAATCGGGTGGTCGTGGACGGCTTTCTGAAGACGGGAATTTTGATGATCCTCTTAGAAGATAGAAGTGAGGTCAGAATGGTGGAGTTTATGGAGGTACTTTTATAAGTTCTATTTAACCAGAAGGTACAACCGTAAAACCGTAATTGATCAGATGGGTTTCTTAAAAAGGTTACTGAGTTTCTTAGAAGGTGCTGGAGAATCTTCAAGCTTCATTTTTGAAGAGCAAACCTTGAAGGCGTCAGCCGAAGGCAGACGATCCAGAATATCAACACGTCCCTCACTGCCGGTGTGATTGAGCATGACCCAAAGGATGGCGACGAATCGGAAGACGTCAACGACGTCGAGCTTCGAATGACGCTCCGCCGTCAGCTCCTTCAAGGATTTCCGGATGCTCAAAGGCGCGAACACCGACTTCGGGAAGAGAGTTCCAGCCAGAACCTGCAAAACGCCATTAAATCTCAATCGAAGATCGTAAGACCCTACGGCAGTGACACAGCCAAGAACCGCACTGACAGCCATTGGAAGGGAGCTGGTGCTGAACATCGAGGCCGAGCAGGACGACGTCGTCACCAGTTTGTCGACGATTTGGCTCATCGGCCGGATCTCGTGCACTTGGTCTAACACGCTCCACGTGTTCATTAGCTCTGTAGGAATTACGGGTTTTACGTAAATTTATTGGAAAAGTACAAAGGTAGTGGTGAAGAAGTGATCGAATATTTGAATAGAAGATGACTATAAGAGAGAAAATGAGGCTTGGATGTCGAATTCTTCAGAAGGTATTGGGAAGCGAGTATTATTGATATAAATTGATGGAATTTTAAGAACTTTAGAGCTTCCAATCCGATCCTTATGATTGCTGAGAAGATTTCCAGCGGAAAAAATATTCAAGAATTTAGAAGTTACATAGATCATATTCAGAAGTAGCCGATCTTTTATACCCGAAAAAAATAATGATGAAATAGTGATAGACCGGAAGGATGATAAGGTCTTCTACACGTGAATACCAACAAAAGTGGAAAAGAAATTGTTTTTTTCGCGGTTTCTTTTTTTTTAATCGGAAGGAAGTCAGACGCGGGGAACCCCGTGTTCTTATTTAGATCAAAAGGAAGGAAGGAACATGATCGATTAGTCAACAACCTTTTGTAGGAAGGAAGGTACAAAAAAGCCGATTAGGCCAATCGAAAAAGGGTATTTAAAGGCGTGGAGGTTGGGTTGAATGGAGATTTTTTTCCCAGCTTTGAAAATTTTCACTGCATTCACTTTTAAGCTCTCACTTGATTCTAGTTCAAGAAAAAAAAAGATAGTTAGTAGAGAAATTTTGGAGAGGTTTTCCCACCTCAAATCCGAAAGTTAATGGTAACCTTAACATTGAAAATTGTAAAAAAATGGATTGATTTAATCTCAAAAATCATAACGACTGATTTTAAGAAGCACCCGACCTTAAACGACTTTCGCGCAAGACTAGAGGGAAGAAAGGGATTCGCGACATTTTGAGCCATTCCAAGTGCGGCTAAAAAGAAGTCAAACTCGAAAAATTGCAAAAAAAAAAATCAAGATTCTCATAAGGAAATGGGTTATTAGGCGGACTCTAACTGTGAAAAAAAAACCTCAAATTTATGAAAAATGTGCAGAAAATACCTTTGAACTTTGGGGGACTTGTTCGTTAGATTTCAAACTGATTTCCTTAAAATCTTTGTTATTAGAAAATAAGACCAAAATCACCAGTCTAACATGAAACGAACCCATTTTATATATAATCGGAAGATTGGTATCAGCCGAGAAAAAAAAATCAAAAGAAGAAAAATGGGCAGTCCTCTAATAATTTTCTGATAAAAGTCACGTAGGCCGATACCAATGCCTACGTGATTATCGCCAAATTCGGGCAATGGGGTGAACCGAGAGATCGCCCCGTACCGTAGGCAATACGGTGGAGAGGGCAGACAGCGTAGAACGTGATGTTTGGAAAATGAGACGAGGCGCGAGAAAACCGTCAGAACACACACCCCACGAACCAATTTTGCAGCTTTGATAATGCGGACAGTCTTTCTTGATATCATCTTGGACTGGGATGACGCAGTTATTTATGACCCCATGTGTAGTCTAGCCATTAATTTATAGTCTGTTTGGAAAGTACTTCCTGTGGGGTTCGGAAAAGCAGTGTCACATTTTCATCATCATCAATGGCGCTTGGGTCAGCGAGGCCATATAGCCAATCCACAGCCGGCTCGAGCCATCGAAAAATGGTCCCGACACGAAAAGGAAAGAAATAGTTCCTGGTTAGTGGAGAGCGATTGGGTCAGCGAGGCCATATAGCCAATCCACAGCCGGCTCAAGCTACCGAAAAATAGTCCTGACACGAAAAGGAAAGAAATAGCTCCTGGTTAGTGGAGAGCGGAGACATTACTAGCCGTGGATCAGGTTTTTAAATCCCCAGGAAGAAGTTATTAACGTAAAAATTGATTATTTGATGATAATTTTTGATAATAGTCGAGGTTAGACACTGGAAAAGAGATTTGATAACCCACAGGAGTATGCGGATTTTCAAAATAAAAGCCGTTTCCAGAAAATTTTTTTCCAAACCTCATTGCAATTCAAAAAAGTCCATCGTCAGATTGGAGTGTAACTTTTTAAGGATATATATATATATTCGGGAAAAGTAAATCGATGAAAATTTTAAGCCGTACCCGTTTTACTGTTAGAAAAAAACAAATATGAATTTTTTTCACTTTTGTGTTAGTTTTTTTCCCAGACGTATTCCAATATCTTTTTGAAATTGAATGAAAAAAATCGTTCCCAGGCGGCAGCGATGATCTCAGAATAAAAAAAGATCTTTTGAAAGTTTTTCTAAAAAAAATTCGAATATCCAAAATTTAATGTCATATGTCAATTTCGATTCAGCCAAGTTTTATTAATATGTTTTTAACGAAGCAACAACTTATTTTTCAAAAGACTTATCGAATTTAGAGCCATTTTTCGGTGGTATTTTCATGCGAAAGTTTTGCGCCTTTGAATAGCCTAGGAAGAAATTTGAACAAACTACAAATTTTCAAATTATATGGAAAATATTTGAAAAAAGGTCTAAACTCAAATTTTCCGTTCATCATGGAAAAAAAAATTAGCAGGGTCAAATTATTCATTGAACAACCGATACAATATCAAAAGTTCATAATAAAAACCAAAGTTTATTTTTTTATGAAAATCAAATGAATGAACTTTCAGGACAATATATCACAATATTGGAATGTCAGACGAAAATTTGTGGCCTCATAAACTTTCTTATCAAAAAAAGAGAGAAAGTTAACGAGACCTTCGTTTTCACGTGAAGATAATAGTTATTGAGAAAAATTCCTGCAAAAAATTTTTTTATACGCTAAGTTCTTTTTGTTAATGCTGAAATATGAAAAAAATATGCGGAAAGATCAAAAATATTTAGAATTCGGAAGGTTGATTTCATCTTCGATCTTAATATAAAAACGAAAATTATCCGGAATACCTCATGAAATTTGATATGAGCTTCATTGGAACATAGGAAGCTTTAAATTAGCGCGGAAACTACATAGAAATCGAAAAATCGGCAAAAACTTTTTCATGCAATCAATTAATACAAAAGATTAAAGGCGTAAAGGGCAGTAAAAAAAATTTCATGAGATCTTTTTTGCCGGTCGAATAGTGATCTCCGAAACGTACAGAAATTCCTAGTTTTAAAGAGAAAATAATTCAAAGTCGTCGTGAGAAGTTTGAGTTCCCGCCAAAAGGGCGCTTTGCAGTAAAGTTGCTCTACGGACAACGCGCTTCGTCATTTTTCGGATGTTCGCTTTTTCTTCGTTTCTTTCAAATTCAAGTTTTTGCTGTTGTTACCAAAGTTTTTTTCGTCATGAAAACTTTCTATCTATATAAAATTTGCAATTTTTGATCTTAATATCTGGTGAAAAATAATGATTTTTTACAGATTTCGGTTGGGAAATCGATATTTTGTGTTTCCTTTATTACCAGTGTGTGTTTTTTGTTTGACTTAATTTTTAATTCGAGTCGAAAATCTCCTTACTCAGCTTTAAGGCAGTCATTATTTCCGCAAAACTACTCTTGAAAACCTGAAAATTTTAATTTAATACCAAGAAAAGAAAAAAAAATTAGCTGATTTACGGATTTCATGCGGAAAATTTTTGTCAGTTTTTTTTGCAATTTTTTTTCCAGTAACATTCTTCAAAGTTCACACTTCCCAAAGATTCTTCGGTTTCTTGGCCCTTTCTCATTTATTGAGACAAACAGTAGTCTTTTTTCGCACGCGTTTCCAAAAACTGCACGTAATTCCCATTTCGAAACGACACGAAAAGTAAAGACCATAGCAAATTTATCATACTATGAACAAGAATTTTGAATCAACCTTTTGCAAGTTTGAAGAAAAAAGACAAGGAAAGAAGTCTGAATCTTCTACGGAATAGCTCCCTTTTTCTTTATCCTTATTTTTGAAAGTCTGTAAAATCTTAACCAAATAGTACATTTATCATAATTTTTCTTCTATATCCTTTTTAGAGCGTTGGATGAAGCTTTTCAGCGTTGTGGCGAAGAAAATGCAAAAAGGTTTTTTTTAAACATTGATTCCAAGTTTTACACGGATAGATTCGAATCCTAAGTTCAGGGCTCGAAATTTAAAAAACTTGAAAAATAATAAGAATTAATATTATAAATTCACCGAACAGATTGAAATGAAATAATTAAGAAAAAAATTTTTTCCAAAGAATGAAATGATAGAAAAATGCGAAGAATTTCTCGATGAAATATAGTCAGTGGAAAAATTCGGAGCATCAAAATTGAGAAGAACTTTATATACCAATTGAGTATACTTTCAAACTATAATCAGAAATAAAGAAAATTATTGACGAAATGAAAGTTTTCATTTTTAATTACTGTATTTGCGTTTTCCGTTCAAGACGTGTTGGCACTAGAAACATTTTAAATGACGACTGTTCATGATTTGAAAATCTGTAACTTGTTTAAGGCGGCCGGTCGTATTACGATAGTTTGGATAGTTTTTTTCGGGACGTAACTCATCTTATAACCTACAGAAATAGGTCTTTAACAAATTTTATATTTTTGCGAAAAACTTTTTTACAATTTTTTAAAATTCCATTTGACTATTTTAATGTTTAATATTTCTCTGAATGCATTTTAATGGATTTTTTAATATTATACACCAAATTTAGAGTCCCGAACAACAACCAAGGCTCCGCGATTACGTCTTCTGCGAATGAAAAGCCGTCCCTCCGCTTCTTGTCGCGTTCGTCGTTTGATGATCCATTCACAGTCTTGAAAATGAATTCACCACTGGAGTGGGACAAAAAAACGCGTCAGGAGATTTTTCTAACAATGGTTTATGCTCCTTCGCACTTGAACGAATTATTTTTTTTTGTGAACTTTATTTAACCTATTTTTGCGTCTAGTAATGGTTGATGATGTATACGAATATCTTCTTAGGGTGTAATTTTAGTGAATATCCCCACAGAAGCTTCTCAATTTTCGAAAATTATTGAAGTCCTCGTTTTGTTGATTTTATCCCGGACCCGACAATTCTATTATTTTTTACATTTTGTTCATTAGTCACTGTGTGTACGTTTTTCTTTCGACAGTTTTTTATTTTATCCAAACGCAGCCAAGCCTCATTTTTCGAGTTTTGACTTACAGAAAATAGAGAAGTTGCTCATCTATATGTTTCACTTTGTCAAATCGTTGTCAGTCAACTTTTGAAACCGAACTGGAGTTTCCAAAAAAAGTGCGTTTTGACTGTCACTTTCATTCCTTTTTTTCTCTAACTCTCACGAGTTTCGATAGAATTCTTTTTTTCTTATTCTATTTGGATAAACTTCAATTAATTTTTTTAATATATTATATATTCGTTATACGAGCAACTGGAGCACTGCCAACCGTTCAAACATATTTGACAGCATAGATTTTTTTCAATATCAACATTTTTTTGTTTCTATTCAAAACTTCAATATGCAATGTTTGCAACAAATTTGAGAAAAATCATATGGTTGTCACTGGAAAGGTTGCTTTTTTTATAAAAATATTTTTTTCTTCAACGCATTTTTCCCCGCGTTTTTCAATATGAAATTCAGTATCTACGTGTAAAATAAGGTATTGCCCAACCCTATTCTATCCGATTAGGATTATAGCTGATTTACGGCTGGTTTGAGCCATCGAGAAAAGGGTCCTGCCACGAAAAGAGACGAGACAGTTCCCTGGTTGGTGGAGAGTGCAGACAGGCCACGCCTTTTTGCGTCCTAAGCTAGCCGTGAATCGTCTATACTATGCGCGCGCAATTGGAATAGCAAAAACGTGAATCGGTTAAATGACAAGAGCAGAGAACTAATAAAAACGTACTGAACTACAATATAATTATTGCTGCTATTTTTTTAACAGTCATTTCGTCCCATTCTATTATGTTTTTCTTGAGCTTCATTTGAAAAATGTTTCTATTAAATTTTTTTCAACGGATGAGGTTCCATTGATGCTAGCTTGTAGACGAGAAGAATAATGAGCCCGAACACGTCAGCTTCTGGGTCAAGCTCCGCGTTTTCCATACTTCCCAGCTTCATAATTTTATTCAATGATTAAGAGTTACTAAAACCTAAGAATTAATGATGATAAAGCGTCAAAGCGATAAAAACTAAAACTCTTTGGATTTTGCTCGCTGATAACTGAATCCCTAAGATCTTAGAAATCGAGTTTATTTTTCAAAAAAGTCAATCATCTTTGAAAAATCATATCTTTTTTTCTAGGCGCCTAAGGACATTTTGACCTGGATTTCCGGGCTTCTGATGTCATTTCCTATCGATTGATGTAAAAATCTCGAAAAGTTTGGATTTCAGGAAAATGGAAAAAAGTACAGTCTAACCCCTTCAGTTTTTTCCGAGCTTCTGAAGTCATGGAAGCCGATCCGGACGAGACCTATATCAATCGATAGATCTCGACGAAAGAATAACCTGAGGCCAGGTTTGACCTCCGTAGGTCAACTAGGAACTAAGTTATGAGCGATCAAACTCAGAGATCAAAAATTTCGAATTCCGTCAAAATTGGTATCAATCGGTAGATTAGGTCAGGATTATCAAGAAAAACTGGGTCTCTAAGTTCCTAACCTCCTAGAAATCGAGTTGTGATATTTTGAAAACTTTGAAAAATCATATCTCCCTTCCTGAACGTCTAAGAGCCCTATGACCTGGACTTCCGCACTTCTGACGTCATTCCCTATCAATTGATATAAAAATCTCGGAAACTTTGGATTTTGGGAAAATCGAAAAAAGTACAGTCTAACCCCTGACGTTTTTTTCGAGCTTCTGAAGTCATGGAAGCCGATCCGGACGAAACCTATATCAATCGATAGATCTCGACGAAAGAATAAACTGAGGCCTGGTTTGACCTCCGTAGGTCAACTAGGAACTAAGTTATAGGCGATCAAACTTAGGAATCTAAAATCTCAAATTTCGTCAAATCATGTATCAATCGATAGAGGAGATCACAAGGATCAGAAAAAACTAGATCTCTAAGTTCCTAACCTTCTAGAAATCGAGTTGTGATATTTTGAAAACTTTGAAAAATCATATCTCCCTTCCTGAACGTCTAAGAGCCCTATGACCTGGACTTCCGCACTTCTGACGTCATTCCCTATCAATTGATATAAAAATCTCGGAAACTTTGGATTTTGGGAAAATCGAAAAAAGTACAGTCTAACCCCTTCAGTTTTTTCCGAGCTTCTGAGGTCATGGAAGCCGATCCGGACGAAACCTATATCAATCGATAGATCTCGACGAAAGAATAAACTGAGGCCTGGTTTGACCTCCGTAGGTCAACTAGGAACTAAGTTATAGGCGATCAAACTTAGGAATCTAAAATCGCAAATTTCGTCAAATCATGTATCAATCGATAGAGGAGATCACAAGGATCAGAAAAAACTAGATCTCTAAGTTCCTAACCTTCTAGGAATCGAGTTATGATTTTTCAAATACTTCAAAAAATCATATCTTTCTTTCTAGGCACCCTAGAAACTTTTGAACTGGATTTCCGGGCTTCAGTCGTCATTTCCTATCGATTGATGTGAAAATCTCGGAAACTTTGGATTTTGGGAAAATCGAAAAAAGTACAGTCTAACCCCTGACGTTTTTTTCGAGCTTCTGAAGTCATGGAAGCCGATCCGGACGAAACCTATATCAATCGATAGATCTCGACGAAAGAATAAACCTGAGGCCTGGGTTTGACCTCCGTAGGTCAACTAGGAACTTAGTTATAGGCGATCAAACTTAGGAATCTAAAATCTCAAATTTCGTCGAAACATGTATCAATCGATAGAGGAGATCACAAGGATCAAGAAAAACTAGAACTCCAAGCTCCTAACCTCCTAGAAATCGAGTTGTGATTTTTTGAAAACTTTGAAAATTCATAACTCCATCACTAAACGTCTAAGAGCCCTCTGACCTGAATATTCGGACTTCTGACGTCATTTCCTATCGATTGATGTAAAAATCTCGGAAACTTTGGATTTTGGGAAAATCGAAAAAAGTACAGTCTAACCCCTTCAGTTATTTTCGAGCTTCTGAAGTCATGGAAGCCGATCCGGACGAAACCTATATCAATCGATAGATCTCGACGAAAAAATAACCTGAGGCCGGGTTTGACCTCCGTAGGTCAACGAGGAACTGAGTTAGAGGCGATCAAACTTGGAGATCGAAAAATGGAAAGGAGGTCAAAACTGGTATCAATCGATAGAGGAGATCACAAGGATCAAGAAAAACTAGGTCTCTAAGTTCCTAACCTCCTAGAAATCGAGTTGTAATTTTTTGAATTTTCAAAAATGACCAACTTTGAAAAATCATAACTTTTCTTGTAAGCGCCTATAAGACAGTTTATACCTTTATTTGAACTGAGGACGCCATTTCTTATCGATTGATGTATCTTGGTGATGTCAAAGCAATGAAAGTTAGAAGCTTATGGATGAAGCTCAGTTGATTGAAAAGTTTAATCAATCGAAAGCTGACGTTGAGACAAATCGTTTGATATGATTAAATAAGCTGTAGCTGCTCTGGGAGCCGAGATATGAGCCGTCAAAGTTGATCTTAAAAATTAAATCTGCGCGTCAGGTCAAATATGTTGTGTGAGGTCGCGCGTTGGGTCAAGTGTCAGTCTGAGGCTCTCATCGGTGTGGTTTCCTCGCGAAAAAGGAAAAGCTCAAAAAAAAGTTGCTCTTTTTCAAGTTTTTACTAGTGCAATCAATAGAGCAGCTTCTACATAGTACTGTTATCATATCAGTTTCGAGGGAAAAGCTCAAAAACAGAGTCAAAAAGAGGTACGCAAAAATGGCATTTTTTGGACTTTCAAGCTTCATAACTCGGTTCATTTTGAAGGTACCGAGGAACTGATGATATCAATCGATTCGTCTCGTCATCAGCTTTCCAATGATATAGGTTATCATTCGGTTAAGCTTCATCCAGAAGCTTCAGACTTGCCTCGGCTTGCAACTCGACTTTCTGATAAGTTGTCAAAGATTGAGGTATATCAGTGGATCTGTTTCGGGACTCTCTATCGATTGATAATGATATCATTCGGCTCGAGGGAAAAGCTGAGATGTAAGCTGGAGAACTCGATGACGTCATCCTAGTTGATCCAAACTTTTGAAGGCTCATACCACTGGAAAGCTTATCATAAGACGAATCGATCGATATAATCTGTTTCGTTGTACTTCAAAATGAACGGAGTTATGAGGCTTGAAACCCCAAAAAGTACCAAAGTTTCGGACCATTCTTTGGTCCTATTTTCGAGCTTTTCCCTCGAAAATGATATGATAATATTACTATATAGAAGCTGCTCTATCGATTATGCAGAAAAAAACTTTAAAAAGAGCAACTTTTTTTTGAGCTTCTCCTTTTTCGCGATGAAACCACACCGATGAGAGCCTCAGACGGACACTTGACCCGACGCGCCGGTTCAGACAACATATTTGATCTGACGCGCAAATTTATTTTTTAAGACAAACTTTGAAGGCTTATATCTCGGCTCTCAGAGCAGCTACAGCTGGGCTAATCATATCAATCGATTCGTCTCAACGTCAGCTTTCGAATGATTGAGATTATCACTAGATCAAGCTCCATCAAAAAGCTTCAGACCTGCTTCAGCTCGCGAATTGACTTTTTGTTCGAAAAACACAGATCTGTTCGTCTTTCAACGTAGTATCAATTGCTTGTCACTCTTTTCAATTCTCGCTATGCCGTTTTTCTTGTTCAAAAATGTCGAGCGATCGGATTTAATTTATTTATGCACTTTCGTTCTTTTCTATTTGAGTGAAGCATTTGCCATGCAATTTTGTAAAAAAAAAATCGAAAGATTGAGAGAGGTTTGTGAAGTAAAAAGGAATTTATTATGTCTAATACACGGGAAAAATTGTCACTGACACATACATTTGACTGGGAAATGAGCAAAGTTTTCAAGATAATTACAGCTTTTTACAAGAACTTCTGATGGTTGCTTCGTAAATTCATCAAAAGCTATGGTTTTAGATGATAATGCATAAATAGTTTTCATGATGGAAGGATAATTTAGACGTCTCATGATAAATCTAATCAATTGGTTTCAAAAGAAGCTGCATGGTGAGTTCATCATTCCTCACCAAGGGCGAGTCGCCACTGAGAAGTTCGCCGAATTCGATTTTCTCGTCCATTTCCAGCTCACAGGAGTATCTAGAAATCGATAACGATTCAATTTGGGAAAATTATCGACACCTCGTTTTCGTGAAAGTTTTGCGGCCGCAAATCGATCGCAGAACCTTTTTATCGTCCACAAATTGCACCATGTACTCGACGGCTCTGGAAAAATTGGATTAATAGATTTTGGTCGCAATGGGAATGGCTCAAAGCCGCGTTGTGTGTGAGAGGAGCTTGTGGGAAAAATTTGAGTGGTCACTATAGGGTTTCGAAGTTTTAGTGGCCACTATAGTAGTCAAATTAGTGGCCACTTGAGGTGTTAAGAATTAGTGGGCACTATAGAGGTCTAAGTGCTACTACTAGACCACTTTAGGGTCAATAGATCAACATAATCGATCCAATCTGTTTGTTTTGAAATTATCAGTGTTACTGGAAGGAATACTGGATGTAAAAATACTGAAGTGGCCACTAAAACGGAAAATAGTGACCACTATAGAGGTGTGTTTAGTGGCCACTTAAATGTCCTCTCCGAGTTTTTCTTGGCGAGCCTTTATAGGGGCCACTAAAATTTTCTCAGTTGTTCAAATATTTTCACTTTGAGTCGGGCGGATCAGAGCCGCTCCGCAACCGCAACGCGTCGAGCCATTTTCAGCCTATCCATACCTCGATTGGTCGATATCCTCGGCGACCAGGAAAACTCGAAGAACATCCACATTCGAGGCACTCGAGTAGACGTTCGAATAGCCCGTCAACTTAAGTGTCCATTTCCAATTCGTCAGCGGATATGTCGATGAGCGGGTGAAGAACTGAAATCGGAATTATTGTCGAGTATAATGGAGCCAGAGGAAAATTAGGAACGAAACAATGAGGAGAAAAGACTCATTGGAACAGCAAAAAATCCCAAGATTTCTCAAGAAAACCCTGTCAAAACAGGCAAAAACTTGAAATCCAACTTGCTCCTATTATAATCTGAAAAAAAGGGAGAAATGGTAATGAACTTGATTTGAAATATATAAAATCGAAGTACCAAAAAAGTTCAGACTTTGAAGCCAAGAAATTACGGAAAAGCAACCGAATCAATTCTCGAAAAAGCAACCTGGAAAGTGTGGTCAACGTTGACGACGGACAAAAGTTGACGCGAGAGGCAGAAACGCTTGTCCCAGCGCGTTTCGAGGTAGTTCCGGAGGAAGAACTGGCGACTCGTAAATTCTCTAAACATTGTCCTTCATACTTTGAGAAAAGAAGAAAATAATCACTTGCAGTTGACACGACTGGAAATGGACAGAGCTTGGAACTTATAAGCCAACAAAATTTGAGGATGGAAAAGTTTCGCGTGGGCTTCGGAGAGAGAAGTTCGTTCTATTTGGGATAGTTCATCGGCCGTCATATATGGGAACCTGAAAGAAATGTTTGAAAAAAAGTTAGTATTAGAAAAAATGCAAAAAGTTCCCTTCAATTGAATGCATTGATGGCAAAATCATTATAATTTCCAATCTGAAAAATTTCCAAAATAAATTTTAGAAAAACATAAGAAACTTGCAAGCCTAGACAGTAAATCGAAGAAAAAAGGTATTTTTTGTTTTTTCAGTTTTGCGCGTGGTTTATGATAGTTTGTTCATACACCACCAAGTCAAATTACACCAAGTTACACCAAACTCACGCGCAACTCAAAAATTATTTTACACATTTTTTTCAGTTTTTTTCATGATTATTCTTCTTCCTTAAAAGACAAAGCATGTCCGAAAATCATTTTTTTGTTATTTGAAGGCACATTATACACTTTTAAATGAATACTCAAGGTGAGAAGCCATGTTTTGTGTCATGTTTCAACGCTTCAAAGTCATAAAAAGTGATTGCGCCTTTTAACATTTCAATATTGTTTCTTAACAGACTAACGCTGAAAAAAATTCTACACATACCTAATCAAAGGCAAAATGAGGGCAAGAAGCGGGCTGGCGGTACTCCCGCGCCTTTCCGGATGATTGGGCGCCTGTAGCCATCGAACCAGAGCTTCCCACAGTTGGAATTCGCCTGAAAACTTTCATTTTCAATCAGGAAAAGATGAAATTCCAGCAAACTTTTCACTACGAGCTGGTTGCTCCGTAGGATTTCGACCATTTGGTCTCGATCCAACTCGAGCCATCGCTTTTCCCAGTCCTCAGCCAACAAAGACTCGAATTCGACGGAAATCGACTTGATACATGAACGAATGAGGTACTGCAAAAGAGTTGAATTGAAAAAAACACATAAACTTTCAAATTTAACGTCAAAAACTTGAGAGAGAGGTTTTTTTTTCAGATTATTAGAAAAAAAGGACAATTACAATATTTTGCAATAGAACTGAAGTTTGAAGCAAAATTCATTATTCAAGTTGATCATTGAATATTTTCACGAGCTTTTCAGAGAACCAATTCACGAAAGTACGAGAAAAACGCAAAATTACGAACAAAACGGAAAAAAAATCTCATCGCGTCAATTTTTTGGACGAATATCTTTACAAAAATATTTGACCTTCTGAGAAAAAAGTTATGAAAATATGACATGATAATCAAATTGGATGCTAGTCAAATTTCATTCAAGCCTTTTTGAAAATCCTTCTGGGAGTTTTAAAATTCACGGGTTGATTTCATGAAGTTATCAAGTCTAGAGAAAGTTTTTCCGCGAGTTGTTTCTGTTTTTGCAAGATTTCCCACCCAGAAAACATTTTTTTAGAGGCCAAAGCAGCAAGAATACTGAAGCAAAAATAAATAAAAATAACACAAAAATATTTTTCTCGAGGATTCGTAATGATGTGTTTTGGCCGCAATCTTTGAACGACGTGTTCACAGAGAACATTACAAACCACGCGCAAAACTTCTAAATTTTCTTTTTGACACGAAAACATTGGCAATTTGTTTTGAAAAAACGAATCTTGGAAAAAAAAATCATTACGCAACTTCAAATTTGAACGTGGACATCTTTTTCAACCTCATCCACCTCAATTTTGATTGCCATTAAAAAAAAACCTTTCCCCTAAATCTCAATTTCATTTCGTTCATTATTTTCACGTTGAACAGAATATTACCGGATGGTAAGCTTTGGTGGCGTAGGAGAACCAAACGGAGAAAAGTTCGCTGAGGGGGAGGCTCGGGAGGATTTCCGTCGTCGCATATTCCACGCAGACCTTCAAATGTCCTGTTTCGCAAGGGAGCAAACTCGTTGATACCTTTTTCAGAGTCGTTACATTGTATTTATCGGCCAGGACCAGGATCGGCAAGCAATTGTCGTGATGCAGAACGACGTGGTTACAATATAGAAATCGGAGAAAAGCCGGAAAAACTTTGAGACACAGAGAATCTTCTACGATTTCGAGGTCCTGGAAAAACAATTTTTTTTCGAAAATCTCCTCAAAAAAGTACAAAAGGCTTGTTTAAAGACTTTTTTGACCACCAGTTTTTGAAACCTCTTTCAAAACGCCCTTTTAATCTTCAAATAAGACCTTTTTCGGGTAACCAGTTGCAAGAGCTTTTCAGCAAAAAATGCACTAGTTTGCAGCTCAATTGCAGGCTTGCAAATCATCTGTAAAACCATTTTTAAACACGGCGTTTTTGTTATAGTCTGTTCAGATTTAGAATATCAAGTCGTCGCTCAAGCTCCGCCCCTAATGGTGCGATAAACCAATCAGAGAGCGAGCCATCCACAGAGCACTTTTTTTTAATGATGTCATTCTACTTGACATTCAAAATCTGAGCAGACTATAGTGGAAGAAAATGTGAAACCAAAAATGAAGGAGGCGGAGCCAAAATATCCGCCGTTACCACGTGACGTCATGGGAACGGCAGAGATTTCGGCTCTTAAAGCGTAAAAGACAGGGCATATTAAAGGCGCAGGCCGCAGTATTGCCAGAGGTCTCTAAAAAGAATCAAAATTTCTCTGGAAAACGCAATTTTCCGCGCGAGAGCGACGCAGTGCATGCAGACGACACACCAGACTTTACGGAGAAAAAGTGGGCGTCGTCGAAAAAACGCCGTGTCAGCCAAAAATAGCAACCAAGCTGCAAATGACCCTCTTTCGGGATTCTAATCAGCCTTTTTCTGGTTTCAAACTGCAAAGTAGTCTGTACTGAGTTGCAAAGCTCTTGTAACTGGTTAGCCAAGTTGGAAAGGCTAAGCAATTATTTAGAAGCACTTTTTTTGAAGAACATTTAGGAAATCATACATTCCTTTTCCCTCTTAAAATCACCTTCTTATCCCCGTTCCACCTCTGACTGAGCATCCGGTCGAAAACCTCGCTACTTTTCGCCAAAATCAGTCGATGTGCCGGGTACCTGAAAAACAAATATTTTTTTCGGAGAAAGAAATGAATTCGCACGTCTCTTCTCCGACAATGAGATTGACATCCGATAAATGAGAATTATTGTAGTATTTGGCGAAATCGTTGAGCGCCTCCCGGTCATCTCCAAACAGATCCGTACCTGGAAAAAATAGCAACTGACTGAAGAATCCTATAATTTTCCAATTTTTCCTTTTGAAAATGATATTTTTCGCACATAGGAAGGACCAACGCGTAGGTTGTCATGAAGGAGCACCCGACCAAAAACGATTTGCGCGAAGTTGAGCCATTCCAAGTGCTCAACGTTGAAATAAACATAGCCCCTTTGGTCAACTACATTCAAAAAATATCAGAAACAACTAATTTTATCAAAATGGGTCTTTAAAAAAACAGCAATTCCATTGAAAAAGTCCAGATAAAAAACCGGAAGGTTCATTTTCAGCAATGGGAAGACGATTTGGCACGTCCCGGTACTTGGCCACCATCCTACAAATCCAGAAACACTTCAAAAAACAGAATTAAAGAGAAGAAAGAAACAAAAAAGACACAGAAAACTAAAAAAAAAAGCCTATAAAAAGTCGAAATGTCATAAATACGCGTAGGCGTTCTCATGGGAACAAAAAGAATTTCATTTTTCTGTTTTTTTTTCTTTTTTTTCATTCGTCAATGTTTTTTTGTAGGTCGCAACCCACAGATGGCTCTTAAACAATCGAAGAAAAAGATTTCAGAAAAAATATTGGCTGTAGAGCGAAATTAAAATGGAAAGAATAGCCGCAACTAATTTCACTTAGGAAATAAAATCGGAAAAAAAGCAACTTTTCAACATTTCCTGTCCTCTTCTCTCCAGGAAAGATCATTTCCTACAGCCGACCAGAAGAAAAGATGAGACAACTGTGGGAAAAGAGAAAATAAAAGAAAAAAGAAGGAAATTGGCGTGTGACCCAATTTTTTCTAACCAGCTGATATAGGCAGGTAATTGAAACGAAAATTCCTCAGATAGCTGAGAATTGAGAAAAAATGAGAAGGCAGCTTCAAATATCATCCCAAATGCGCTCCAAGGATAAAATTATAATGACGACCTAGAAAAATATTTTTTCTCGATTTTCAAGGCGACTATGAAAAAGCTTCAGATTCGAAAATGCGACTTAAAGCTAAAATTCTCATGAAAAAATAAATCAAGCTGTCCCTCTAGGGCTTGAAAATCCTTGAACTATTCGAAAGTATACAGCGACCAGAAGAAAAAATCTCCTGAAAATCGAAAATCCTTTTTCTTTTTTCCAGGAAAAAGGGTCAACTTGGCGGGAAAAAGCGATTTTGCGGTAGAGAAAAACAAAGTTAAGACTTCCAGACAACACAGTGGAAGAAGCTCATCTCACAGGACCCAAGGAAAAATGAAAGAAGAAGGGGAAAACCGGTAGTTAAGCGCATTGTGTTCGTTGTTGTTTCGTGTTGTTAGTAGTTCAGTCATGGCTATCCGATCCAATAAATCAGGAAAAATATGGGGGTGAATCTACGGGGAAAAAACCGGTATCGACGTGTTAATGAGTGACATTTGTGATCGGTACCAGTCGGTCCGATTTTTTTCCATATTTGAACTGAAAAGTGTTGAGAAACTTTTTGTGCAATTTTACGAAAGAACTCTACGAAAAAGTGGTCCCTATAGGGGTAAACTTCAACTGTTTAGGGTCTGACCCTTTATCCCTAGAGCTCAAGTGGTCCCTATAGCAATTAGAGGAGAAAAAAGTATCTTAAACCCCTATAGAAATCGCTTTCATAAGCTTTAGAAACCCCTAGAGGGGACCCTCCAAGGGCGCCCAAGGTTTCCTTTTTAGGGACCACTCTGGAGTTCATATTTCCCGGATAGCATTGTAGATTATAAATGGAGCACGCCTACCAAATAATTTACAGCTGTGCGAGAACAACTTTTCCACTATTCACGAAAATTGAAAAAACAAAATTACAAAATCACGGCGATTTTTCTATGTCAAACATGCTCCAATGCTAAAAATCGTTAAAGTCCAAGGCATATGTTCATTTTTGCGTTTCTTTAAAACTCGTGTGGAGGAAAAACTCGAATATGAAGAAAAATAGAGAACAAATTCGAAAAAATTGTGTTCTTCAAAATGCGCTCCAATGCTAGAATTGTGTGCAACAAGCGGTTACAAGAAAAAAAAATTTGAAAAAAGAGGAAAAAAAAGAAATTGTCTACCACTGTGAGACAGTCCAGGTAAAACGAACAGAAGTCAAGGCAAATGTTTGTTTTTTTCCCTTCCCCTTCTTTTTTTTCAATTCACCTTTCCTTCGACTACTACTTTGTATGCGTTGTCCTCCGCCGTTTTGCTACTCGTTTTCTTCGTTTATTTTTCTCTGTCCTCCGTTGCCACATAACTTATTTAACGACTTTGAAATTGAGGCTATTTTACTTGACGTGTACAAGTATTTTTTTGAGTCCTTTGGGGGAAAGGCGAGGAAATCAAAGGTAATGACTGCAAAGGTCGTGAAATTCATTCGACGTTGACTGGAATTCGAAACATACACATAAAGACGCTCTGACGCACAACTGTCATTTTTTATTGCATGGTTAAAAATCGAAATTACGAATTTAATGAATAGAAAAGATCATTCGATGCCGACTGAAGTCTTGAAACACGTCATGAAAAGACGCTCTGACGCACAACTTTTTTTTACAGTATGTGGTTAAAATCGGTTCGACAAATTTATCAAATAGAAAAGTTAAAGTTACACTGCTGACTTAAATCTTGAAACACGCAATAAAAGACGCTCTAACGCACAACTTTTATTTTTTATTGCATGGTTAAAAATCAAAACTACAAATTTATCAAATAGAAAAGATCATTCGCAGCTGACTGAAGTCTTGAAACACGTCATAAAAAGTCGCTCTGACGCACAACTCTCCCAATTAATTATGATCTTGGTTGGAACTTGATCCGATAAATTTATCAGACAAAACGTCTAAAATTAGTAGTTGTTCATATACTGCTGACGGAAATCTTGAAACACGCCCTGAAAAGACGCTCCAACGCACTAAAACCTCAATTTAGCTTTACTTGAACACCGAACGTTTCTGAGCAGCCTAGAGATCACTTAAGGTTGCTTACCTCCCCCTTCTGAGCAGTTCTAGTGACCGCTAAAGTGGTCCCTAAAAATTCTCAGAAACGTCTTGGGCGCCGTTTGCGTTCTCAGGACTTCAAACCAGAAACGTTACTTCTATTTTTCAAATAGAAATCAAATGTCCAAAAAAAGGGTTCAAAACCCACCAATCGTGCAAAATTCTTCATTGGCGGCGACCCGTTGATAATAATCAGCTGACATAACTTGACGGCGTCGAAATTGAACACAGAGCGATCAAAAAAGGGGGAATTGGAACAGGAGACACACCCGAAAATGACCAGACGGCCGTGTGTTTTTCGGCGCCAAAATACGAAAACTTGGACTGAAAAGCGGCTCCGTTTGAGTTGAGTAAATATTTAAAGACCGTTATTTTTTGATTCGCCGAGTAGAACGGGGAAAATAGAAGATTTAAATAGTATTTTTTTCGAAAAAAAATCATCAAAAAAATTCCTGCAATGTACTTTTAGAACGCTAAAAATTACAATTCTTATATTTTCGAAATGGAAAAAAAAAATCTTTTCACCAAGACATTTTAGAAGTCAAAAATTTCCAATTTACTCTCATGAAAGCGAGGAAAAACATGAAGGAGAAAGGTCGAGAATTCAAAAAATGGCCAAAAAACCAGAAATTTCCCTTTTTCTATGGACTTCAAAGTACAACAGAACCTAGCTGAAGGGGATAATCCTTGAAAATAGTCGTATGAACGTGAAAAATGACTGAAAATAAACAGAAAACTTTTCTTCCTAGGTCTTTTTGGTCAGGAAAAAATTTTTTTATAGAAGCAATTTCGAAAAAAATTCAAATTTTCCTATAGCAACTCTAAAAATCGATGAAAAAGGGAAAAAACCAGCCAAAAAATTATAAATGAAAAACGGGCCATTCTCAAAAAAAGAAAAACGGCGTATTCCTCCCTAATAAAACAGGCAAACTTGGCAAACACTTGAAAAATAACACGATGGTTTTTTTTTTTCAATGGGAGTCCTCATAAAAGATCCAACGGAATGAGAAAAAAACATTTTTTTCGAGTTTTATGAAAAGTTCTGAAATGGATTTAGTAGTACATGTCTAGAAAAAAGGGTTCAAAAATGTTGAAAAAACCGGTTTTTTGGTGTCGAAAGGCCGCACCTCTTGAGATTTTCAACACCGAAAAAGGTCAAAAATCTAAAGAGTGGAGAAATTTTCAAAAAAAAGTCTTGTCAAGTGGTAAAAATCGATTGGATGATTCTAAAGGTCCCAAGATCTTCACGGTGTTGCGAAGACTTCAATAAAATGAGAGCATAGTCGAGTGGTTAAGAAATGCTTCCTCCAATATTAGGGTCACAGGATCGATTTCTGGTCATCTATTTTTTTTTAATTTGCTTCTGCCAATCAATTGAACTTCTAAAAAAAGAATTTTTTTGATTTTTATAAGATCGGACTAGCGCCGTCCGAGGCGCACCCTGAAAATTTTGTTACGGTTTTTGCCAACCCTCTTTTTTTTTATCATGATTTTCCATTCTTTCTAATGCTTCCATGGCGATGAAAATTCACTTTCTCCAACTTTTACCTTCTTCAGAATCCTCGCTTCTATAAAAGTCGGCGTTGGGGTTGGTCAGGTAGATGTCCCGGAGACGTCGGACAACCATTCCTGAAAAATGACCGCGAGAAAATTTGCCCTATAGAGAAAATGAATGCAGAGTGATTTGAGTTCAAAGAAATTCTGAAAAATGAAATTCAGAACACCGGAAAACTACTGGAGAGTATGAGATGAAAAAAGGCGGTTTCAACTCGAGAATGACTATGAAATGAAGAAGAACGAACTGTAGTGTCTGGAGGCCAGGGAAGCCACCTGCTCGACGTCGTCCAGCTCCTCCGCCTCGCGCACTATTTCGTCCATCTGATGATGAGGCACGTCATCAACGGGAAACGACATCTTCTACCGATTTCCCACCACCTGCTCCTTCTTTTTTTTTCGAACAATTTCTTTGTCTTTCTCACCTTGATCTATTGGAAAGAAAGGTAACCGGGAAGGAAGAATGATGAGGACTGAAAAATTCATTGCGAAAAGTTTCGGATTGTCATACTTCTTTTTTTGAAGGTGTAAAAATCGATTTTTCAATCTTATAGTCATTCCTGTCTATTAGATTTTTTTATAAAAATCTGACAAAATATTTTTTTCAATATTCAGGCACATTTTAGAATTCCGAGTGGCTTTTTGAGCAATCATTTTGGTTGGTTCTTCAAAAAATGAGTACCGATTCGAATTATGAGTCTTGAAAAAAACAAATATACTGCTAAAGTATTTTTTTAAAAAAACAATTAACACTTCTGAAACGAAAAAATTAGCCGTCAAGGATCGATATAAAAGAAGACGTCAAGGCACAATACCAGTATTATTCAAAATCAACTTGAAAAATGGATTAATAAGCGGATTTTCTGTTCAGATTCAAAAAAATATTCAAAATTAAAAATATCCTTTCAACTGAAATCAAACCCAGTGTAACCGATAAGAAAAAAAATGAAAACTGTACAGCCGTCCGTAAGTGTGAAAACTGAAAACAAGGCTCTGTTTTCGAATCAGTCAATCTCTACCCAAAAGAAAGCAGGTAAACACCTGAAAAAGACGGTGAAAATCAGTGTTGTTTATACAGAGAGGGCAAACATGAACGAACACAATTTTTAAATTGACCCCATCAAATGATAAAGAGAGTAAATAACGCTTTTAAAAAATTCTCCATCATAGTTAGCCTCTCTTTATAATTTCAAAAGAAAAAGAAAACTCCAACCTTTTTCCGGAAAAAAAAGGAAAAAAAGTCGACTGAGCTTTTGCAGGACAGGGCGTCATCATCTCCAATAATTTATCAAAAATTAAACTTTTTTTATCCATTCAAAGATACGAAATTCAATGAAATATGAATGAAAGAATCAATTACCAAGAATTCAAAAAGAAAATTTTATTCAAAAAAAAAAAGCAAGAAATGGTACACGAAAAAATACATGAAAGTACCAAGTTCTAGTAGAATTCTCGTTCAAGAGGGGAATTTCTCTCATTTGGTCTCTGCTGCCGAAAGGCTCGAAGTTTTGTGGCCATCAGAAGTCTGAAAACGGGCAAATTATGCAGTTAAACTGAAAATCTGGAAACTACTACGGTAAAGACTGTGAGACTTCTCCATTCAACAACAAAGGCGTTTTTCAAAGTTTAATTAAATAGCCACTCAAAAATCCCCAATAGCGCACGGCGTTTTTGCTAGTGGAAGTGCCAAAATATCGAGGTCTTCAAGACGAATAAAAATTTCTCTACATAAACGCCATTTTCTGCGAGAAAGCGGCGCAGTGCATGCGCACGACACACGACACTTTATGGATAAAAAGTGGGCGTGGCGTCGTCGAAAAAACGCCATGAGCTGAGAGCCTTGAAGTCCCGTTTTGGTTGGGACCAAGTTTAGAAGAGTCGTTTCGGATCAGGTGCCCCACTTTCATCCATTCCAAATACGACCATTTCATCCCGAGAATATTTTTTTTGGGAAATTTACCTGTTTCTTAGATGTAAGCGGTCCAGTCACAACGCTCGAGGGTTTGCTTTTTTGGTGCTCAGCCTCCTGAAAATCGGAAATTTTGAAAAAAACACAGTTCGGCTTTTTCTCTTCGTTCTAGTCTGGCTTAACTGTCATAACAGCCCTTGTAGGTGACAGATAGGGAATAATGGTTTCCCACCATCAAAATTTCTTGGGTTCCTTATTGGGGTGGGGAATCGAACTTGAAACCCATGAACAGCAGATAGGCAAACAACCCGTTGCGCTACGGTGCGCCGCTTAAACTCAAAGTCTAAAATCCCAAATAGCGCAGCCTCGCAACGTTACGGTTTTAAGCAATGTAAAAAAAAATCCTGATCGAATCGTTCCGTTTCTTCACCTCACGTTTATTAATTTACCTGTTTCTTAGACAGGAGAGGTCCAGGAACAAAGCTCTTTTTCTTGCTTTTTTGGTTCTCAGTTTCCTAAAAACAACAAATTTCGAGGTTTATCAGCGGTAGAATGAACCTTGGATTTCGAAGCGACCTCAGGTTTATTTTTATCGTCTTTGGAAAGCTGAAAAAGTGTCTTTAAAAAGCTGATGTTTCTAAAAACTACGCCCAAACAAGCTCAAAGTAGTTTCTCAGTTGGAGATGAAGCCATAAGTTCACTTTCATAGATCTTTTTATCGTGATACCGAAAAAGTCACCTTGCCCGCAATCCCCCTCGTAAACACCAAGTCCACTGGCTCCGGAGTTGTCGTTTCGAATTTAGATTTATCCGGCACGATGCTTGTCGGGATTTTTTTCGGCTTCAAGTTCAACTTCTTTCGCGCTGCGTATTCTTTGACCAGCTTCTGGACCTTCTCATAAAACTCTTGTTGTCCTGAATACAATCTTTTCTTTCCCGGAAAGTTGACGAAAAGCTCGAAATTCAAAAAAAAAACCCCGTGAAATCGTTAATTTTTTTTCTCTCCCAACATTTAATGATCCCACGGCGATTTGTTAGTGGAAGAAAATTTAAAACCAAAAATGAAGGGGGCGTGGTCAAAATCTCAGCCATTCCCATTTGAGGTCATGGGAAAAACGCGTAAACAACAAAAAAATAAAGGTGCATCAATGGGTCATGAGACGAATATATTTCTCATTTAAAAAAACGCGATTTTTCTGTTTTTTTTTAACACATGCCGTGATGAAAGTAATTCTGCAAAACTTGAAATAGCCACTAGAGAGCAAAAAATATAATTGAATTTCAAAATTTCAGATAAGATTTTGGACTTCGAGAAAACGATGAACACGGCGTGTGCCAATGCGCCGCAGTGTATGCACACGACACACTACACTTTACGAAAAAAAAACTATGGGCGGGGCGTCGCCAAAAAAACGCTGTGGATCCATTTTTACTCACTTTCAACACGTTTGCAAGCGGCGCTTATGAGTTCCCCATGTCTCGGTGCAGGCTTTGTGTACACGAACTCTGGAAATGGAAACGAAAATCAGAAATAAAAATTTGCTACAACTTCGTAATGGCACTCACATCACTCGAAAAAAAACTCAAGAGTATATTTTTTCAGGTCCAATTTTCGCCTATTTTAAAACGGCTCCACTAACTTCCTTTCAGCGTTGCGTAGCTCAAGCCCATGTAGTGAAGTTCGAGGGATCGGATGTATTCGTATTCATTCACGAATTTCAGCACCTCCTCATTTTCCTTTTCTTCTGTTTCATTGGAGTTGAGATGGTCCAAAATGTGAGCAAATGCTGGAATTTTGCAGTTTTCAGTTCAAAAGTTCGGCAAAATGAGTACATACAAAAATTGGCTATTCCTCTCCGAAACAATTTTTAATAGCTTATTAACAGCAAAAACTACCTTAAACACAAACAAAATAGGATTGAAGCTTCAAAATATAACTGATTTCCCAAGTCACTTCAAAAAAGAAGTGGGACTGAACTTAGAATTGGCAACGCTGTATAAAAAATTTTCAAGCTTCATCCAAATTTGGCAGCTCCTCAAGAGCACGTCTCACTCAAAATCACCTAATGTAAGCCTGATAAATTTGACAGCGCCTGTATAAGAAAGATTTAAACTTCATCTTGATTTGACAGTTCCTCGAGGGAACACCCGACTAAAAAGCATCTGATTCAGGCTCTATGGATTTGACAGCCCATTTTCGAGCTTATTAAAATTTGTCAGTTCTTCAAGGTGGACAGAACTAACTCGAAATAACGCAATCCAACATTTCTAAAGTCCCAAACAGAAAATTTCCCCACAGTGCATGTCGAAGACTTGGCCCTTCTGATATTTTTTCTGATTGGCATAGGCATCTCGATTGTTGACCAAGCAGCGCTCCTTGATTTCTGACATGGCCACTCGGCACAACTGCAGCTTCGTTTCGTCGTAATCTGGAATCACACGACTACCCTTTCCAAAATGATTCAATCTCTCATCTTACTTGCTTTCATCATATTCTTGGCGTTTTCCATTTCCGTCAAAAGACGTACAATGGCTCCCAACGACATCCCTGAAATAGAAAAAAAAATCCTACAGAAAAGTTGACATCTACATTTAAAAAAATTAGCTAGTCGCTGTTGTACAGTAGATGCTTTGTCTGATAAATTGATCGGATCGAGTTCCAACCAAAGATCATAATTAATTGGGAAAGTTGTGCGTTAGAGCGTCTTTTTTCCGTTCAAGTTGTGCGTCAGAGCGTCTTTTTATGGCATGTTTCAAGGCTTCAGTTAACAACAAATGAACTAGTCTATTCAATAAGTTTTACAAACTCATTCCATTTCGTCAAAACCAAAAACTCACAAGCGTGTCCAATCTCATCACATTCACTGCTGGAATTGGTTTTGTCCCGGTAATTGGCGACCATGTTATCTAAGATCTGCACCATGTCCGGTCTTCTCTTCTTTTTCAGGTTTTGCTGCTCTTTTTTCTCGGCGAGCGTCAACTCCTCCGAGGCTTTTGAATTTTTGCCAGCACATTCGCGAGCTTCTTCGTCAATAGTCAGCACCTCTTCTCCAGCCGTCTTTCTCGGCAGTTCAGTTTTCGTCATCACAGGAAGCTTCCGTCGTTCTTCAATCACTATGCCGTCGAAAGCTTCATCTATGTATGAGCGCTGCAGTTTAACTTCTTCCATCTTGTTGTCCATCTCCAGAATATCGACATCGCTGCTTTTGTTGGACGCTTTCTTCTCGACGAACCTCGTCCGTAGAACTTCTTCCTCGGGTTCAATAATTTCGTCGTACCTGGAACACATTATTAATTCTCAACTTTTCAGTAATCCTTCGATTAGTTCTGCGCTTACTCAAAGCCTACGCATTCGGAGTTCAAAAAAAAAATTAGAAAATCGGAACTATGAGCTTCGTGTGGCACGTTAAGCATCCTCGGACCTCGGTAACGCAAACTGTACGAGCCCCGGACGTTTCTGAGCGCCAAGTAACAGATTAAGAGTTTGCACGCCGTCGAAGAGATCCGTAGAAATGCTCAGAAACGTCCAAGACGCATTGGGTTTACGTTACCGAAGTCCGAGTTTTCGAAGATTAGTTTAGGAATTTCGTTGGGAAACTAATCGCTTTCTTTTTTTCATGTAAATTATTCTAATCCATAACCAATTTTTTGAAAAATTTTACTTCTCTATGATGACGTTTTTCTTCTCGATACTGTACTTGTTTCATAACATCTGTCTCGTACAAGGCTTCACCCGACGCCAGTCTTCCTTGCCTTGCAACGACAGATTCGCCAAACGATTGAAAAGATCCTACTGCAACAGTTTGTTCTTGAGCATCAGCTTGAGGGAGATAAGAACACAAACTTCCATAGTATAAAAAGACTTATTATTCAAAAAAAAAAACACTCTGATTCCAATAGAGTTGAAAAAAGTGAGCCTTTTGCGTTCCAGTCGAGTTTTAAACTTAATTTCTTCAACTAACTTTTGGTATTTCGCACCGCACTGATGTAAGCGGTTCTCAACTCGATAATCTCGAACAAGTTGGACATGTCTTCAGCTGGAAAAAAAATAAATGAAGTGTTAACGAGAAGTTTTTTTTCTCATCAAGCCGAAATTACTTACTGAAAAACTAAAGAATTACCCGACTAGATAAAAAATCTGAAAATAAGAAAGAACAGATACCGAAAACCGTGTGAGCCGCCACCAAACTCGCGTAGCAAGTGTGCACCAGAAAAGATACGAATTCAACTGAAAAATTGAGGAAAATAATTTCGGAGAAACAGATTTTCACTCGACCACATTGGAAGAGCTTTGAAATTTCGCTGGAAGATGGAGGGTGACAAATCTCCTTTTCTGGTGGCGGTTGTGAGGCGCGAGTCGAACGGAAGACCAAAACCATGATCACAAAAAGGAGAAACCATACGAGCGAAGTCATCAGAACAGTCAAGATAATAGTTCCTGTCAATATTTTTTCTTATTTTTTTGCGAGAAAAAATGCCACTATTAATAGGAGCTCTTCGAGATTCAAAAAAGGAAAATTATTATTTATTAGCGCGTTGCTCGGTTAGTTACGCAAGATAATTTATCTATGTTATCCATGTAAAAAAATAAATTCAATTTAGTTGGTATATAAAAAGGCAAGGTTGAATACAAATAGGAAGAAATCTACTTTAACGAAGTAAGTATGGTGTTTTTCAACTACAACGCTCAACAGTGATGATTTTTGCTCTTGATTGTATTTTTTTCCAATATAAATGCGAATAAATATAAAATGAGTAAAAAAATTTTTCCAAGCAAGCTATGATTATTTATCATCGTTCTAGAAATAAAACATAATTTTTTTAAAAAAAGAATTTAAGATTTGGATTTTTTTATAGAAAACATCTAAACGTTCCCAAAAAAATCATTCCACCTGTCTGATAATCACCCTGGCAAGAGCATTCTCCGGCGTCTTTCTTCCCTTCGCCGGCGTCGTTCTTTTGTTGTGAGTTGGCCACTGCGACTGGTGGTGGGCTACGCGATGTCGCTTGCGTCGTTTGGTTGCAGATGCAGGGTTTCTGCGGCGGACACGTAGCGGCTACCGGCGTTGACGTTGTCGGAAACAACTTGTCGCAGGGCTTCAGGACCTCCTAAAAACGAGTATTTCAGGAATAATAAAAAAAAAAGCAGAACATTCTGAACATGCGATGACGTCGAATCAATAAACTTAAAACGTGATATTGCTTCGTTTAAATAAAGAGAATAGTAACTGTTGGCACTAATATATGTACTTTTATCCAAATATGAGGAGATCTTTTAATGTTACAAAAAATGGCCAACCTTTTCAAGGTTCTTCAAAATGTTCAGTGACGTCGGATCCATGTAATCAATGTCAAAAATAGTTCCCATCTCGCAATAGGGCTTCAGCGGGCTGACCTTGATGCTTTTCAGTAGTGAAAATGATTTTTTAGTGACATTCGCTCTTCTGACTCGGACGATAGGCTCTGAAACAATACTTGATCACTTCAGTTTAAGGCATTACGACTGTTTTTCATCCCTTCTAAAAAAGGAAACAAAAACGATTGAATGAATCTGAGTGAAAAAAAGTCTGTTTTAATAGTTTTACTAATTAATTTGAAGCGTACCTAAGAACTTTTGGGAGTCGGAACCATTATAAGATATTGTTTTTAATGCTAAGAAATCAGCAGGTTGAGAATTGTCTTCCAAGACGATCCTCGAGGCGGATTGCAAACTTCGGGTGGTAGTTAGAGCTGCTCCCGTTGCGTAATTTTGCGATTTAACAATATATTCGGCGGTTGTGCACGAAGAACATCCTATCATCCCACAGGATTCTTCTGCAATCCCAAATACAGGGGTGTCACAACACTCTGAAAACCAAAAGAAAATTATAAAAACAGATAAAAGCCAAACGTGTCTGGATCGGCAAAGGAGAATGGATGAGAAGTGTGGTGATGAAGATGAAGGAAGAAACTGAAAAACAGAAGCAGGTAACCCGGAAAGAAATCTATTGACCTCTTTTTCGAACTCAATTACTAGGAATCACAAGACATTAAGAGTTTAATCATTATAATCAGAAAAGTATCAAAACAGTCCGAGCCAATGGGAATCTTCAAGATGACGACTAAAAATTTATTGAATCACCCTCATCACATTGGCTTCACTTGACAATTTTCTGAAACGCCGAAGACACGGCTCCAAAAAAGATAACTGGAGACCCAAAGGTATACATGAAGTAATCGTTCCCATTTCGTCGATCCTCGGAACCAACGAAGTCGTGAAATGCCGTCAGAGCTCCACGATTTCACGGTTTGACCTTCACGTTGTTTTTTTTTCCTGAAAATCAGATAAGGACTTTTTTTAAATTTTGTCGGAAGCCTTATTTTGAATATTTTAATTTTGATAAATCGACGTGTAGATTCTAATCATAAACATGATGTAGATAAGTCTGCATTCTGTGTGCCACGACTTGAAATTTCACGGAACCACATTCCGCTGTTCCGCTGCGTGCGTTCGCGAAGCGTCTTTCGAATCTTGGTCACGCTTCTAATTGATTGTTATTGCTGTGGGAGTACACAAAAGAAGAGTATCTTAATAATAGAAAAAAATAAAATAAAAGCGCGACCAAGGTTCGCAAAGGCGTGCAGCGGCACAGCGGAATGTCGTCAAGTGAATTTTTTTTTTTCGAAACGGTTCTGAGCTTTTAGTGATCCTTGAAGTGGTGTTCAAGCCTCTTTAGTGATCAACGAACTATTTGAGTTTTAAAAAAAAATTTAAAACACGTTCTGCGAGACTCTAATTGGCTGGCCGCGTCTCTTACCGTTAGTGAGTTCGAAATGGAAGTTCTTCTTATTATAGTCACTATACTTCTTCATATATGCTTATTACTCACAATAAAAAAAATTCTCAAATAAAAATACAAAGAAGTCGCCCGAAAAACCGAAAAAAGATCAAAAAATTGAATCAAATTGGGAACCAAAATTCCTAGGACGAAAAATGACTCAAATCAAAACTGAAAAAGCGTCAGAACAATTAAAAAAAAAGGAGAAGCCGGGTTTCAAAACAAAAGGTCAAATTTTCATCACATTCGCGATAAATTTGTATGAAGAATGAGAAGGGAAACGCTGAATAAAGTGTTCTTAGTAACCAATTAAAACTACGACTGAAATCAAACTCGGTGAAACAGGTGTAAAAATATTCAAAACTGTTCATACAGGAAAATACTGGGTCAACACCTGGAAAAGACCGTTTTCCCACCATGTTCACTTTTATTTTTGTGTTTTCAGAAGAAAAAGAAACATGCCAAAATTTTCTGGAAAACATTAAAATGTCGTGGGAGCTTTGCAGGGCAGAGCATCATCGGCCTCAATAATTTTTTTCAAAATCATGTTCTCTTAAACATTTCTTTAACGAGATTTAGGAGGTACGGTAATCAAAAAATACGAATATGAAAAAAACCAATAAACAAGAAGTTCGCAAAAAATTTCATTCAAAAAGCCATGAAAGGCAAATGGAAAACTACATGAAAGTACTGAATACAATTAAGTATCAAAATTCATTCAAGCGGCGAATTTCTCTCTTTGGCCTCCTCTGCTGCCGAGCGACTCGAAGTTTTCTGTCCTTCAGGAGTCTGAAAACGGGCAAATTTTGCGTTAAAACAAAGAAAATTTCAAGTTCTCATCTTTTCTGGACCATTTAATTAAAGATATAAGGGAAAAGTGCAACGCTCCGCCGCAAAAAAAAAAATCGTTTTCCAAGTTTCAGGGCCAATACTTTTCCGAACCGTGCTTTATCCGAACCAAATTCCGAACCAATGATTTATCCGAACCTACTTTTATCCGAACCACCCTATGCTTTATGCGAACCACTTTTTTTGAATGCATGCTTTATCCGAACCACTTTTTTGTAAAAAAAGTTTATTACTTTTTTTACTATTTAAATGCCGTTTTTCTTAGCTTTTTTTGCGATGACTAGTTGCCCCATAAGACTCAATGACCTGGAACTAGAATTTTTCTGTCAATTTCTTTTTTTCGAATTTCTTGTTATATGAGTTTGATTTTTTTCGCTCATATTTTTCTAAAACATCCAAAAAAACTGATCTTCCAAACTCCATCTTATTATTCAAGACTCTGAAGGTATAGAAAAAAATTGAACTCGAGCTGAAAAAGAATATGGACATGCCCCGGTTAAACCTTGTTTCCCAACAAAGATCGCTTCTGGACGTTTTTCCTTGAACATTTCGATGCCTGTTGGTTCATCGTAGGAGAATCTGCGAACGGCTCATTAGAAGAAGTTCTCTCGAGTTCAGTTATTCGAATGAGATTTTTCTTTATGAAAGTTTCTAGACAGCTTTATGTATGGTTTTTTGACAGATATTATTTCTTAATATCGCCGCCTTTTGTGATCTTTCACTTCTTCCATGCATGTTGGTTCTTCGTAGGGGAATCTGCGAACAGCTCATTAGGACGAATCCCCTCGAATTTAGATATTCAAATAAGATATTTTTCTTTAGAAAAATTCTAGGAAAGGTTGAAGAAAGGCTTTTTCAAAGCTGAATTAATATTAATCAGCGTTCTAAAAAGTGAATGATAAATAATAAAAAGATCGAAATGAGTTCGAACTTTTGCTGGCTCCAGCCCAACCCATTCCATTCAATGTTTTACCCGTTCCGACCGTTCCCTTTTTGAAAGCTGATCGTTTGTTCAGGAACATTCAATGATTTTTTTTGTCATCGAACATTTTTTTTTCTGTTGTTTTTTTCAACAATAAATTAGTCCAAATCTAGCAAAAATTTTGTTTCAGCAGGTTTTCAGGATGTTTGAAGGAGGCTCGGAAGGTTGACGAGAGGGGCCTCGGAGATTCGCTGCCACGGAAATCAAAAATTCAGAACTTTCAAACAGGCGCCGTTATTTCTAGACCAGGGGCGTGGCTTGCCTCACCGTAATCTTGTGCGGTGGCGCGCACATGCCTACTTTTCCTCAGTCATTTCCTTTATATTTCCTCATCGTTTTCTTTTTTTCATATTTCTTCTAAGTATTAACCTTCGATTTCAAAATAACTCGTTCTATTAATAAATTCTTAATTTTCGAAGATATGGTTCTTCTCAAGTCTATGCTTCGAGGAGATAATAAAAGCATATAAACTATAAAACTTTTAATTCGACAAAAGAAGTAGTTGTCGACGATGTAGATTTCATCAAATAGTTGGAGTCCTCTTCCTGTGAACTTTGGACACATTCGCAAAGTGTTCAAAAGAAACTAGAAAAAAGGCCTGAACTTGTCAAAATAGGACATTTTTCACGGAAATTCACTTTTTTGACTTGAAAAAATCTTTATGGGAAGGCAGGAGAACCCCGAAAATAAAATTAATCGCAATGGCGTACACTCATTTAAACTAAAAACCATTTTCGGCCTCAAGAAATTCGTCGACGATACTAAAGACAGAAGAACCATGTATTCGAAAATTGAAAGTTTAATTAGATAATAGAAGGAGTTATATTGAAATCAAAGGGGAGTACTTAAAAGAAATATGAAAAAGAAAATGAAAAAAAAAATGAGGAAATATTAAGAAAATGACTGAGGAAAAGTAGGCATGTGCGCGCCACTGCACAAGGTTACGGTGAGGCAAGCCACGCCCCTGGTCTAGAAATAACGGCGCCTCTTTCAAACGGCTGAAAGTAATTTGAATCTGAGCTTCGGATATTCAGAATTGCAAATTTTTCTGACAACATACACTCAAATCATTTCGGTCTTTAAAAAATATTTCGTTCCAGATAGTTCAGGAAAAAAAGATTAATGAAAAATTAAAAATGAGATGGAAATTAAATTAGACTTTGAAAGAAATTATTTTTGATATCCTAAAAACTTTTTCCTTCATAACTTTAGAAAAAGGCACTCGAAATACAAATTGACTTCTATGACTTAAAAAAAGAAGGGAATTAAACTTATAAGAGAAAAAAAGCTCGGAACATTGGCAGAAAAACCGTAAAAAGGAACGATTATTTCGAAAAAAACGATAATTTACGAAGGCGCAAAGGTTTCGCGCGCTTTCTCATCGTTTCGATACCTGCACTTTCTTCCCTTGGAGATTTGCCAGCGCAAATAATTTTTTTCCTCTTTTTAGCAATTCCTTCTGTTTATTTCATTGTATTTTTTTATATATACGTCATGATTTTTTTCAAATTTAATTATTTTCATGATTACAATATTTTATTTACCACTGAAATTTCTATTTTTTTCCTGCAAATATTGCCCTTTTTTTGTATGTTAAGACAAGTTTGGCCTAAAAAGTTTTTTTCCTTAAACTTTTTTTAATTTATTTACCATTTATATTTTTCTATCCAAAACAATTGAATGCGAGCAGATCTTTGACCTGCATTTTCAGCCAGGTTCTAGAACCTGTGGGAATCAAGAAAACTGCTCAATGGAAATAATTTCTGACAAAAATTCTTTCTGCCGTTCCGAATACATCTAAAAAGGTTTCAGTGTAGATGACAATGATAAAATCCGATTCAAGCATGCCAAAATTCACGTTCGATTGGTTTCAGCTGTCTCCACGTTCAGTTTTAAAAAAAAACGTCTTTGAAAGTGATTCCTGTCGGCATCTTCTTGTTTTTTGACTGAACGCCCCTGTCGTTAACCTTCCCAGCATCCTACAAACCTCCTGAAAACCTGCTGTATCCGGAACGAAATATTTTTTAAAGACCGAAATGATTTGAGTGTATGTTGTCAGAAAAATTTGCAATTCTGAATATCCGAAGCTCAGATTCAAATTACTTTCAGCCGTTTGAAAGTTCTGAATTTTTGATTTCCGTGGCAGCGAATCTCCGAGGCCCCTCTCGTCAACCTTCCGAGCCTCCTTCAAACATCCTGAAAACCTGCTGAAACAAAATTTTTGCTAGATTTGGACTAATTTATTGTTGAAAAAAACAACAGAAAAATGTTCGATGACAAAAAAATCATTGAATGTTCCTGAACAAACGATCAGCTTTCAAAAAGGGAACGGTCGGAACGGGTAAAACATTGAATGGAATGGGTTGGGCTGGAGCCAGCAAAAGTTCGAACTCATTTCGATCTTTTATTATTTATCATTCACTTTTTAGAACGCTGATTAATATTAATTCAGCTTTGAAAAAGCCTTTCTTCAACCTTCCTAGAATTTTTCTAAAAGAAAATATCTTATTTGAATATCTAAATTCGAGGGGATTCGTCCTAATGAGCTGTTCGCAGATTCCCCTACGAAGAACCAACATGCATGGAAGAAGTGAAAAGATCACAAAAGGCGGCGATATTAAGAAATAATATCTGTCAAAAAACCATACATAAAGCTGTCTAGAAACTTTCATAAAGAAAAATCTCATTCGAATAACTGAACTCGAGAGAACTTCTTCTAATGAGCCGTTCGCAGATTCTCCTACGATGAACCAACAGGCATCAGAAATGTTCAAGGAAAAAAACGTCCAGAAGCGATCTTTGTTGGGAAACAAGGTTTAACCGGGGCATGTCCATATTCTTTTTCAGCTCGAGTTCAATTTTTTTCTATACCTTCAGAGTCTTGAATAATAAGATGGAGTTTGGAAGATCAGTTTTTTGGATGTTTTTAGAAAAATATGAGCGAAAAAAATCAAACTCATATAACAAGAAATTCGAAAAAAAGAAATTGACAGAAAATTCTAGTTCCAGGTCATTGAGTCTTATGGGGCAACTAGTCATCGCAAAAAAAGCTAAGAAAACGGCATTTAAATAGTAAAAAAAGTAATAAACTTTTTTTACAAAAAAAGTGGTTCGGATAAAGCATGCATTCAAAAAAAAGTGGTTCGCATAAAGCATAGGGTGGTTCGGATAAAGTAGGTTCGGATAAATCATTGGTTCGGAATTTGGTTCGGATAAAGCACGGTTCGGAAAAGTATTGGCCAGTTTCAGCTTGTTCTTTGCCAAAAAACTCTGATCGCTTTTGAAATGACTGAGAGGTGATATAGCTGACTCACGGCTGGCTTGAGCCATTGAGAAACGGGTCCTGACACGATAATGCACGAGACAGCGCAGAAAGGACACGCCCCCTTAGCGTCCCAAGCTGGCCGCGAATCAGCTATATCGCGTTGCGATTTGGAGCAAGTTCAGCAGCTTGTTTCTATTAATCAACGATGTTCAACAGCGCAAGTCGTTTCAGGTTTGAAAAATCACCTCTCGTGAATACATTCCAAATTTGACCATTTCACCTCTTGATAATTTTTGCATATACCTCTTTTTTAGGCGTAAGCGGTTTCGTCACAACGCTCGTGTGCTTGCTTTCTTGATTCTCAGGCTCCTGGAAACCAAAAAATTTCAAAATAATTTAGTTCAGCGGAGCACACTTTTGGGGCCTTACTAGTTTTTTTTCCTCTGGAAAATACATTAAATAGTTTTTTTTTTGATTTATTTCAAATTATGCTCTAATCGTTCTAAAGTAGGAGATTACCTGTTTTTCAGGCGTGAGCGGTATCGTCACAACGCTCGTGTGATTGCTTTCTTGGTTTTCGGACTCCTGGAACCCGAGAAAGTTTTGAAAACAATTAAGTTCGGTGGAGCAAGGTTTCAGAACCTTTTAAGTCATTTTTCTCCTGAGAATAGTTAAAGAAACCCCCAAAACATATCGAATAACGCTAAATTCTTTTTTGGTTGGCGTTTAATACATACTAGTAGAAGATAATTGGCGTACGTGGGAATTCACCTGTTTTTTAGGCGTAGAAGGTCCAGTCACAACGCTTCCGTGCTTGCTTTTTGGGTTCTCAGCATCCTGAATCAAAATATGTTGAACAGGTTGAAACTTTAGACGAACTTTGTGGTAGAACAATGAAAAACTCAACAACTACCAATTTTCTGGAATACTTTATCACAATTACAAAAAAAGAAGAAATGGCTGGCAGCCTTGAAGCCCTATTGTGCGGTTAGAAAAATAAATTATAAGTTTGCTCAATCTGCGATTTACAAGAGCGCAAGTCGTTTCAGGTCAGGCGCCCCTCGTTCACCCATTCCAAATGCGTCCTTTTCAACCCCAGATTTTCGTTGAAACATTTACCTGTTTTTTAGTCGTGAGCGGTCCAGTCACAACGCTTGTCGGCTTGATCTTTTGGTTCTCAGGCTCCTGGAATACGAAAAATTTGAAAATTATGTAGTTTGGTGGAGCGGAAAGATAACGTTTCATTTTTATTTTATTTTTTTTTATTTCTTGTTGGTACGACAAAATCTCGAGTCAGCATATCTTGAGGACCGTATGCCTGTGTTCGAACATCTGCAAACCCAAAATCTTTGAAACATAAATATTGGAAAGCATAAAGCTCTCATTCTCGTCTTATTTGTTGCACATTTATGCCACATTCTCTTGTTTAAATCACTGAACATAATTTACGATAGGATCTATTCGCCAAGCGATAATTTTCGTTTTCCAAGATTATGGGTTTTGAGATGCGCGTACACAGACTTACGGTCCTCAGGGCTTGCGAACTCGAGATTTTGCCGTACCATCGATTTTTTTAAAATTAGGCTATACTACTTCTGAAGTAGAAGATTATTGGCATACGTGGGAATTTACCTGTTTTTCAGACGTAGAAGGTCCAGTCACAACGTTTCCGTGCTTACTTTTTGGGTTCTCAGCATCCTGAATGAAAAAATGTTGAGCAGTTTTGAAACTGTCAGGATCTTTTTCTGGTACATCCAAAAACGATATGGCCAATTTTCAAGAAACTCCCAACCGTTATGAAAAATGACATCGCTTTGCTTGCTTGATTCATTTTCACCTTGTCGTATCGTACTTTCAGAGAGCTAAGATTCAATTTTTGAGATTTTTGAATCTTTAATTCTTGAAAAATATGCCTCAATTAAAATTTTTTTTTTGCAAGTATGAGCTGTGTTTCAAAACATCCAATAGTCAGTGTCATGTGGAATAAGGAACGTGGAAAAACCATAAAAATTTTCTCAAAAAAATTTTGTATGCGATCTTGTACTATCTCTATGCTACCTGGGTCGGAGGTCGATGCAAGTAGCTACCTGACATTCGCGTTTGCCACCTGGAAGTCTGGGATTGCTTCCCGGTTCGTTATTTTTTGTTTCAGCTTTATCCAATAAGACACTGGAAGACCTGGAAAGATGAAAAAAAAAACACTGGTGCTAAATAAACGCCGATGTGCCAGCCAGAGGCAACCGCGAATTTCAAGTACCTACCCGGTAGCATCCAGATACCGATCAGGTACTATCCAGGTACCATAGAGATAGTACCCGGTCGCATACAAATGACCACCGATTACCATTCGCCGATTGACTTGAGTTGCTACCCGGTACCTACTTGTATCTACCTCCCGATTCACCGGTGTATAGTCTGTTCAGATTCTGAATGTCAACCAGCTAACTCCGCCCCTGTTGAGACGGTACCTTTTCGCGGCGATGTTTTATCGCGCGGGACTAATTTTGATCTTTTTTGATCTAATAGATAAAAAAAGAAGTCAAAAATGCAGCCTTATTAAAGGGCCATCGTCATCTGGATATAAAACATTGACTCGAAAGATATTGTAGTCTTGGGGGTGGAGTTAGCTGCTTGACATTAAAAATCTGAACAGAATATATCATGACCTCGAAACTGATGAGAACGAAACCGCTTGAAAAAATTGTTACGCTTAGAATTCGAATTTTGTAATAATTTCACTGAACGAATTAAAGATCCAAAAATCTCGAAAATTAAATCTTAGCTCTATGAAAGTACGATACGACAACGGGAAAATGAAAAACAATATATTGCAAACTTGCATCCTCCTACCGTAATCCGCTGTTAGAACTTTTTCATCAGAGCACTTTTATCGCATGCCAGTTTTTCTCTTAACGTCCACCCTTTTCAAAAAGCCGTGCAATAGAAAGAGTAGAAAAAACTACAACAGAAACATATTTGCAATGAAGAAACGAAAAAGAAAAAAATGGGATGGAAGAAAACGCGCCCCGTTGAGAAATCTGGGGTCGATTTACCGTGAGGCAATCTGTATACAGATTGCCTCACGGCATGCAAATACCGGTGGCTCTGAGCTTTGCAGAACAGGACGTCATCATCTTCAAAGATTTTTCAAAATTAAACTGTTTTCATCCATTCAAAGATATAGAATTCAATAAAATATGAATAAGAATCAATTAACAAGTAATCGAAAAGAAAAATTTCTTTAAAAAAACAAGAAATGGTACACGAAAAAGTACATGAAAGTACCAAGTACTAGTAGAATTCTCGTTCAAGCGGCAAATTTCTCTCATTTGGTCTCTGCTGCCGAAAGGCTCGAAGTTTTGTGGCCATCAGAAGTCTGAAAACGGGCAAATTTTGCAGTAGAAGTAAAAAAAATGTTCAGTTTTTCTGGAACTTTCTACGTAAAACTTTTCCAATAAACAGCAAAAGCGTTTTTCAAATTTTAATCAAATCCTCACTCAAAAATCCTCCATAGCTTACGGCGTTTTTGTTAGCGGAAGAACATGCAAAACCACAAACACGGTGGGTGGAGCCAGAATATCCGCCGTTCTCACGTGACGTCATGGGAACGGCAGAGATTTCGGCTCTAAAAGCGTAAATTTCTCTACATAAACGCGATTTTCTGCGAGAAAGCGGCGCAGTGCATGCGCACGACACACGACACTTTATGGATAAAAAGTGGGCGTGGCGTCGTCGACAAAACGCCATGAGCTGAGAGCCTTGAAGTCCCGTTTTGGTTGAGACCAAGTTTAGAAGAGTCGATCAGGTGCCATTACATCCCGAGAATATTTTTTTGGAAAATTTACCTGTTTCTTAGATGTAAGCGGTCCAGTCACAACGCTCGAGGGTTTGCTTTTTTGGTGCTCAGCCTCCTGAAAATCGGAAATTTTGAAAAAAACACAGTTCGGCTTTTTCTCTTCGTTCTAGTCTGGCTTAACTGTCATAACAGCCCTTGTAGGTGACAGATAGGGAATAATGGTTTCCCACCATCAAAATTTCTTGGGTTCCTTATTGGGGTGGGGAATCGAACTTGAAACCCATGAACAGCAGATAGGCAAACAACCCGTTGCGCTACGGTGCGCCGCTTAAACTCAAAGTCTAAAATCCCAAATAGCGCAGCCTCGCAACGTTACGGTTTTAAGCAATGTAAAAAAAAATCCTGATCGAATCGTTCCGTTTCTTCACCTCACGTTTATTAATTTACCTGTTTCTTAGACAGGAGAGGTCCAGGAACAAAGCTCTTTTTCTTGCTTTTTTGGTTCTCAGTTTCCTAAAAACAACAAATTTCGAGGTTTATCAGCGGTAGAATGAACCTTGGATTTCGAAGCGACCTCAGGTTTATTTTTATCGTCTTTGGAAAGCTGAAAAAGTGTCTTTAAAAAGCTGATGTTTCTAAAAACTACGCCCAAACAAGCTCAAAGTAGTTTCTCAGTTGGAGATGAAGCCATAAGTTCACTTTCATAGATTTTTTTTTTCTTTTTTTTTATCGTGATACCGAAAAAAGTCACCTTGCCCGCAATCCCCCTCGTAAACACCAAGTCCACTGGCTCCGGAGTTGTCGTTTCGAATTTAGATTTATCCGGCACGATGCTTGTCGGGATTTTTTTCGGCTTCAAGTTCAACTTCTTTCGCGCTGCGTATTCTTTGACCAGCTTCTGGACCTTCTCATAAAACTCTTGTTGTCCTGAATACAATCTTTTCTTTCCCGGAAAGTTGACGAAAAGCTCGAAAATCAGAAAAATCGCGTGAAATCGTTAATTTTTTCTCTCCCAACATTTAATGATCCCACGGCGTTTTTGTTAGTGAAAGAAAATGTAAAACCAAGAATGAAGGGGGCGTGGTCAAAACCTCAGCCATTCCCATGTGCGGTCATGGGAAAAACGCGTTAACAACAAAAAAAAATAAAGGTGCATCAATAGGTCATGAGACGAATATATTTCTCATTTTAAAAAAACGCGATTTTTCTGTTTTTTTTAAACACATGCCGTGATGAAAGTAATTCTGCAAAACTTGAAATAGCCACTAGAGAGCAAAAAATATAATTGAATTTCAGAATTTCAGATATGATTTTGGACTTCGCAAAAACGATGAACGCGGCGTGTGCCAATGCGCCGCAGTGTATGCACACGACACACTACACTTTACGAAAAAAAAAACTATGGGCGGGGCGTCGCCAAAAAAACGCTGTGGATCCGTTTTTTTTACTCACTTTCAACACGTTTGCAAGCGGCGCTTATGAGTTCCCCATGTCTCGGTGCAGGCTTTGTGTACACGAACTCTGGAAATAGAAACGAAAATCATAAATAAAAATTTGCTACAACTTCGTAATGGCACTCACATCACTCGAAAAAAAAACATGAGTATATTTTTTTAGGTCCAATTTTCGCCTATTTTAAAAAGGCTCCACTAACTTCCTTTCAGCGTTGCGTAGCTCAAGCCCATGTAGTGAAGTTCGAGCGACCGGATGTATTCGTATTCATTCACGAATTTCAGCACCTCCTCATTTTCCTTTTCTTCTGTTTCATTGGAGTTGAGATGGTCCAAAATGTGAGCAAATGCTGGAATTTTGCAGTTTTCAGTTCAAAAGTTCGGCAAAATGAGTACATACAAAAATTGGCTATTCCTCTCCGAAACAATTTTTAATAGCTTATTAACAGCAAAAACTACCTTAAACACAAACAAAATAGGATTGAAGCTTCAAAATATAACTGATTTCCCAAGTCACTTCAAAAAAAAAAGTGGGACTGAACTTAGAATTGGCAACGCCTGTATGAAAAATTTTCAAGCTTCATCCAAATTTGGCAGCTCCTCAAGACCACGTCTCACTCAAAATCACCGAATGTAAGCCTACTAATTTTGACAGCGCCAGTATAAAAAAGATATAGATTTGTCAGTTCCTCAGGGAACACCCGACTTAAAAACATCTGAATCAGGCCCTATGGACTTGACATCACATTTTCAAGCTCATTAAAATTTGGCAGGTCTTCAAGGTGGACAGAACTGACTCGAACTAACGCAATGCAACATTCACGGCGTTTCCACGCAGTGCTCGGACATTGGTAACGCGAAACGGACGTGCTCCGGACGTTTCTGGGCGATTCTAGGGATCACTTAAGAGTGCTATGAGTAAATTTTTTGAAGCTAGGTTTGGAGCGTGCTTGCTGCAACTTCTCGCAAAATTCAAAATTCCTCACCATTTTTGGTCAATTTCGTCCATCTTTTCGATGTTTTTTCGTTTTTGAAATGGAGTATGAGTTTTTACTGATTGGGACCGACTTTCCCATGAACTAGAGCATAGTACGCGTGTTTTCAAAGTAATTTCATCTGTTTAGAAGTTGTAGCACTCCAAAATTATTGAAAAATTTGAATTGCCATTTTTTGGCATTTTGCGAGTTTTTTTCTGTGAATTTTTTTTTTGAAATTGTTTGACTAAAAGCAATATTCCGATGTTTTGATATTTCTCCTATAAAGTAAAATGCTACGAAAATTGTTTTAAACTTTTTTCTTAAAAAATAAATTTCGTCAAAATTATTTTTAATTGCACTTTTTTTCGTTCAAAAACTGTTCGAGTGTCATATTCCAACAAATTTCCAACCTTCGTCATTGCTTTTTAGCAGAAATAATAAACTTTTTCAAGACATTTGAAGTTTATTTCCATAAAAAAAGTCTTGATTATTTCTAGTTTTTTTGTATTGGAGATAGATGAGCAATCAACTCTTTTTTTAACCTTTTTAGCTTCTTTAAACTTATTTTACGGTCATCAAAAATGTTAAAAATTTCAAAAGTATTTGAAACTGCGCGTGGAGTGCATGCACAATGAACGTCATATCTGACGGGCTGACGTAGCTCAGGAAACGCCGTGATTTCTAAAGTGGAGGCGCCCAAACAGAAAACTTCCCCACAATGCATGTCGAAGACTTGGCCCTTCTGATATTTTCTCTGATTGGCGTAGGCATCTCGATTGTTGACCAAGCAGCGCTCCTTGATTTCTGACATGGCCACTCGGCACAACTGCAGTTTCGTTTCGTCGTAATCTGGAATCACACGACTACCCTTTCCAAATTGATTCAATCTCTCATCTTACTTGCTTTCATCATGTTCTTGGCGTTTTCCATTTCCGTCAAAAGGCGTACAATGGCTCCCAACGACATCCCTGAAACAGAAAAAAAAAAATCCTACAGAAAAGTTGAAATCTCCATTTAAAAAGATTAGCTAGTCGCTGTTGTACAGTAGATGCTTTGTCTGATTAATTGATCGGATCGAGTTCCAAGGTGGTGATGTCCGTCCCTCCTCGCTGGTGCCACTGGATATTCCCACTTGTGGGTAAACCAATCGCGGACACCTCTAATAGCCCTAGCAAGGCGTTTAGAGTTACTTCATATGCTACTACACGACCACTAATGCCCCAGTCCTCCGCCCGGCGGTTAAGCTCCTCTACGACATCGGGGGAAGCCTCTACCGACGAGGGGCGATCCAATCTCGGAGTAACAGGATGTCAAAAGAACGGACCAAGGACGCGTCACGGAGATTGTCTGCGTTTCGGAACACTCAATTGCCGTACACTAGCAACTGAAGCTGCGCTCGAACAACTTCTTGCGGCAAACCGCAAGGCGAACATCGACGTGATCTGCATCCAAGAAACGAAAGCCCAAACAGAAACTTGCTCAAAGACGCTCAACGGAGAACTTCTGATCCTCGGAAAAAAGGTCGACGGCAAGAACATCGGTAACGTAGGGTTTTTGGTGAACCGCTCGATCCAACCCTACGTTGTCTCCCATGTCATCATGAGTCCACGGCTCGGAATCCTTCGCCTCGACTTAGGAGCTCGAGGGAAAGTACGATCATCAACGTCTACGCTCCAACACCAGAAGCAGAAGAAACCGTACTGGACGACTTCTACAAGACTTTAGAGGAGACGATCAAGCGCGAAAAAACCTTCTACGTTTACGTGATGGGTGATTTCAACGCGATTCTTGGGGAATGCGACCAAGTTTCAACGTAGGATCGGACCATCGAATTGTCCGAGCAAAGATTCGTCTAAACCGAAAAGTCATGAAACGGAACCTCCACCAACCACCACGTCCGAAGAGACCCACCTACGATGCCACCACACTGGAAAGAAACATCTATGACTACCCATGGAGAAGCCACGAAGACCCCACAGAAGACTACAAACTCCTTTGCGAAGGTCTCCTCAAGTGCGCCGAACCTGCGACCAGGCCATCCTCAACACTACCACCTCGACTTGATCAAAGAGCAAAAGACCTGCTGAAAAAACGTGGAGAAATCAAACGCGATCCGTCATCCACACACCTGGACCAGCTCCTTATCGACAAAGCGTGCAGGATGGCGGTAGAAGAATCGCTCCGCAACCGACGCAAACAAGCTCTACTTCAAGCAGCCGAGAAGCGCCAGAGTATCAGGAAGAAGAAGTTCGAACTCACGAACCTACACTCAGTGATGACAGGGCTAAAAGACGCAAACGGTCAATTGAAGACATCGCGCAGAGACATGGAGAACATAACGGTCGACTTCTACACGGAACTCTTCAAAAGCAACACCACAGTTGCAAGAACACTGTCTCCGACGCCCGAAGACGAACCTGCGATCCTCGCCGAAGAAGTTGTATACGCCATCCGGAAGCTGAAGATCGGTACATCTGCTGGACCCGACAACATCACGACGGAACTGCTGAAGTCAGGAGGAGACGCCCTGAACAATCTTCTCGCCAAGCACTTCTCCACATACTTGAAGGAAGCTTCAATCCCGGTACAATGGAAGATATCGAAAACCATCCTAATCCCGAAGAAAGGCGACGTCTCCGACCTGAACAATTTCCGACCGATTTCCCTTTTATCTGTCGTATACAAGTTGTTTACGAAGGTCATACTAAACCGACTGGAGAAAAAGCTCGACGACTTCCAACCGGCCTCGCAAGCCCGATTCCGCCGGAACTTCTGTTGCATGGACCACATCCACACCTTGACGCAAGTGGTGGAAAGACACCGGGAATACAAACTCCCCCTTGCAATAGCCTTCGTCGACTACAAGAAGGCGTTCGACAGCGTCGAGGTTAATGCAATCCGCAACTCACTCGTCTCCGCAGGAATCGCCACCAAGTACGTCGACCTCATCTCTGACTGCAACGAGGGCACGTCAACAACCATTCGACAAGAAGCTCACAATTCCCATTGGAAAAGGAGTACGGCAAGGAGACACCATCTCTCCGAAACTATTCTCCACAGCCTTGGAAGACGTGATGCGTCAACTCGACTAGGACACCGAACTCGACTGGGAAAGCGACAACAAAGTCAGAGGCATCAACATCAACGGCAAGGTCCTCACCAACCTTCGCTTCGCTGACGACATCGTCATCTTCGCAAACAACACCGCCGACCTGTCGACCATGCTGAACGACCTGAACGACGTTGGCAAAAAGATCGGACTGACGATGAACCAGAAGAAGACGCAATGGATGTGCAACAGCTTCTGCGATAATGGCCCCGTGACACTCGAAGGCGATAACTTACAAAAAGTCGACTCCTACGTCTACCTTGGAAGAGAAGTCAACATGCTTAACGAGCGCTGACTAGGGGAAGACCATTCCCCTAGCGAGAAGGAAGATCATCAGCGAAGACGAACCATCAAAGTATCAAAGTAAAGTAAGTAAGTAAGAGTTCCAACCAAAGATCATAATTAATTGGGAAAGTTGTGCGTTAGAGCGTCTTTTTTTCCGTTCAAGTTGTGCGTCAGGGCGTCTTTTTATGGCATGTTTCAAGACTTCAGTTAACAGCAAATGAACTATTCTATTCAATAAGTTTTACAAACTCATTCCATTTCGTCAAAACCAAAAACTCACAAGCGTGTCCAATCTCATCACATTCACTGCTGGAATTCGTTTTGTTCCGGTAATTGGCGACCATGTTATCTAAGATCTGCACCATGTCCGGTCTTCTCTTCTTTTTCAGGTTTTGCTGCTCTTTTTTTTCGGCGAGCGTCAACTCCCCCGAGGCTTTTGAATTTTTGCCAGCACATTCGCGAGCTTCTTCGTCAATAGTCAGCACCTCTTCTCCAGCCGTCTTTCTCGGCAGTTCAGTTTTCGTCATCACAGGAAGCTTCCGTCGTTCTTCAATCACTATGCCGTCGAAAGCTTCATCTATGTATGAGCGCTGCAGTTTAACTTCTTCCATCTTGTTGTCCATCTCCAGAATATCGACATCGCTGCTTTTGTTAGACGCTTTCTTCTCGACGAACCTCGTCCGTAGAACTTCTTCCATCTTGTTGTCCATCTCCAGAATATCGACATCGCCGCTTTTGTTGGACGCTTTCTTCTCGACGAACCTCGTCCGTAGAACTTCTTCCATCTTGTTGTCCATCTCCAGAATATCGACATCGCTGCTTTTGTTGGACGCTTTCTTCTCGACGAACCTCGTCCGTAGAACTTCTTCCTCGGGTTCAATAATTTCGTCGTACCTGGAACACATTATTAAATCTCAACTTTTCAGTAATCCTTCGATTAGTTCTGCGCTTACTCAAAGCCTACGCATTCGGAGTTCAAAAAAAAAATTAGAAAATCGGAACTATGAGCTTCGTGTGGCACGTTAAGCATCCTCGGACCTCGGTAACGCAAACTGTACGAGCCCCGGACGTTTCTGAGCGCCAAGTAACCGATTAAGAGTTTGCACGCCGTCGAAGAGATCCGTAGAAATGCTCAGAAACGTCCAAGACGCATTGGGTTTACGTTACCGAAGTCCGAGTTTCGAAGATTAGTTTAGGAATTTCGTTGGGAAACTAATCGCTTTCTTTCTTCATGTAAATTATTCTAATCCATAACCAATTTTTTTTTGAAAATTTTACTTCTCTATGATGACGTTCCCTTCTCGATATTGTACTTGTTTCATAACATCTGTCTCGTACAAGGCTTCACCCGACGCCAGTCTTCCTTGCCTTGCAACGACAGATTCGCCGAACGATTGAAAAGATCCTACTGCAACACTTTGTTCTTGAGCATCAGCTTGAGGGAGATAAGAACACAAACTTCCACAGTATAAAAAGACTTATTATTCAAAAAAAAAAAAACACTCTGATTCCAATAGAGTTGAAAAAAGTGAGCCTTTTGCGTTCCAGTCGAGTTTTAAACTTGATTTCTTCAACTAACTTTTGGTATTTCGCACCGCACTGATGTAAGCGGTTCTCAACTCGATAATCTCGAACAAGTTGGACGTGTCTTCAGCTGGAAAAAAATATATGAAGTATTAACGAGAAGTTTTTTTTTTCATCAAGCCGAAATTACTTACTGAAAAACTAAAGAATTACCCGACTAGAGAAAAAATCTGAAAATAAGAAAGAACAGATACCGAAAACCGTGTGAGCCGCCACCAAACTCGCGTAGCAAGTGTGCACCAGAAAAGATACGAATTCAACTGAAAAATTGAGGAAAATAATTTCGAAGAGACAGATTTTCATCCGACCACATTGGAAGAGTTTTGAAATTTCGCTGGAAGATGGAGGGTGACAAATTTCCTTTTCTGGTGGCGGTTGAGAGGCGCGAGTCGAACGGAAGACCAAAACCATGATCACAAAAAGGAGAAACCATACGAGCGAAGTTATCAGAACCGTCAAGATAATAGTTCCTGTCAATACTTTTTCTTATTTTTTTGCGAGAAAAAATGCCACTTTTAATAGGAGCTCTTCGATATTCAAAAAAGGAAAAAATATTATTTATTAGCGCGTTGCTCGGTTAGTTACGCAAGATAATTTATCCATGTTATCCATGTTAAAAAAATAAATTCAATTTAGTTGGTATATAGAAGGCAAGATTGAATACAAATAGGAAGAAATCTACTTCAACGAAGTAAGTTTGGTGTTTTCGCCTACAAATCTGCACAGTAGTGAATCCAATCTGCTTTTGGTTTTTTTTTTTCAAATATAAACATGAACGAATGTAAAAAGTGATATTTTTTTTCAAGCGAGCAATATTTTATCCTTTTAGAAATAAACCATATTTTTAAAAAGAATTTAAGATTTGGATTTTTATAGAAAACATCTAAACGTTCCCAAAAATCATTCCTCCTGTCTGATAATCACCCTGGCAAGAGCATTCTCCGGCGTCTTTCTTCCCTTCGCCGGCGTCGTTCTTTTGTTGTGAGTTGGCCACTGCGACTGGTGGTGGGCTACGCGATGTCGCTTGCGTCGTTTGGTTGCAGATGCAGGGTTTCTGCGGCGGACACGTAGCGGCTACCGGCGTTGACGTTGTCGGGAATAACTTCACACAGGGCTTCAGCACATTCTAAATATCGAACGTTTATACATCGAGCGTTTATGTTCAAAGTGTTCCGCAAAATCCAGGAAACTCCAAATCGAACTTTTAGTTCAAATCAAAAATGAAAAACAGCTAAAGTAGAAATGAATTTCCGTGCTTTTTTTTAAATTACTTTCAATTAACGCGCTCTAAAACTACTGAAAACTTAGTGATTTTAAATTTGATCCCGCAAAATGCAAAATACCCGTTAGGAAAAGGAAAAGATCACTAAATTTTGGAGAGTCAGAGATTATTTTGCATTTCGCATAATCAAATTGAACACGGCATAAGAAAAACATAGATATCCACTTATATGTTCACCGTCGTTGTTGAATACATATTACCTTAGACATAACATTTACGAGAATTTATTCGTGTTAATCGTATAATTACCGATAACTAAGGTCCAACCTTCTCGAGGTCCTTCAGAATATACAGCGGCGCCGGGTCCATGTAGTCTATATCGTAAATCGTACCCTTCTGACAATACGGTTCCAGCGGACTAATTTTTATGTTCTTCAATTTAGCGAAAGAAGCTGCACTGACGTTACTTCGACGGATGCGAATGAGGGGCTCTGAAAACTTCAATCAAGAGAAACCAAGCGAGAGAACTTCAGATTTTAGACTGGTGATTCTAATCATTCATGGCAATGAATGAAATTTGTATATTTAGTTGCGAACTGTTCAAAAATGAAGCAATAAAGAGGTTGGATAACTTATCAGAGTTTTCGAAACCGTTCATATTCTAATGTTAGAGTGTATAGGGCTTCCTTAAGTAATGCGTTCCCTTCACAGTTCGCGATTCTTTCAAATAGAAAAGGTCGAAATTTGTTTTTTCGATAGTCACAAAATTTTCAAATTACGTAAGCCAACTTCTTGATAGCTTCACTCGCCTCTGGTTGGCTAGCCACAACTTTTGACGCAGTCGATCAGAACGATTATTTTCTTAGCGCAACTGCGAGAAATTTTGTTTGAACTGTGCTTCACTCAAGCTTCGAAATGAAATTTGAAAAGAACCTGGGAACTTTTGGTGGTCGGAGCCGTTATAAGAAAGTGTCGTTAATTTTAAAAAATCCGCAGGTTGAGAATTGTCTTCCAAGATGATCCTGGATGCAGATTGCAAGACTCGTGAAAATCCCAGTGCAACTCCTTTGTTATATTCCTGTTTTATAACTATATAATCTCCTTTTGTGCATGTTGTACAATCCGCAGTTCCACAGCTTTCATCGTTGTAACCAAAAACAGGATTGTCACAACACTCTGAAAACCAAGAGAAAATTATGAAAACAGATAAAAGTCAAACGTGTCTGAATCGGCATAGGAAAATGGATGAGAAGTGTGGTGATGAAGATGAAGGAAGAAACTGAAAAACAGAAGCAGGTAACCCGGGAAGAAATCTATTGACCTTTTTTTTCGAACTCAATTACTAGAAATTACAAGACACTAAGATGTAAATCATTATAATCAGAAAAAATATCGAAACAATCAAAGCAAACAAGGATCTTAAAAATGACGACTAAAAATTTATTGAATCTCGCACTCTTCAAATTTCTAACTCCCCAGCTAACAAAATTCTGAAAAAAGCTTGTGACATGCTGTTCACTTGAAAATCCTCTGAAGTGCCAAAGACACGGCTCCGAAAATGAAAACTGGATATGCAAGTTACCTGAAGTAATAGTTCCCATTTCGTTGATCCTCGGAACCACGAAGTCGTGAAATGCCGTCAGAGCTCCACGATTTCACGGTTTGACCTTCACGTTGTTTTTTTTTCTGAAAATCAGATAAGGACTTTTTTAAAATTTTGTCGAAAGCCTTATTTTGAACATTTTAATTTTGATGAATCGACGTGTAGATTCTAATCATAACCATGATGTAGATAAGTCTGTATTCTGTGTGCCACGACTTGAAATTTCACGGAACGACATTCCGCGGTTACGCTGCGTGCGTTCGCGAAGCGTCTTTCGAATCTTGGTCACGCTTCTAATTGATTGTTATTGCTGTGGGAGTACACAAAAGAAGAATATCTTAATAATAGAAAAAAAAATAAAAGCGCGACTAAGGTTCGCAAAGGCGTGCAGCGGCACAGCGGAATGTCGTCAAGTGAAATGTTTTTTTTCGAAACGGTTCTGAGCTTTTAGTGATCCTTGAAGTGGTGTTCAAGCCTCTTTAGTGATCAACGAACTATTTGAGTTTTAAAAAAAAAATCTAAAACACGTTCTGCGGGACTCTAATTGGCTGGCCACGTCTCTTACCGTTAGTGAGTTCGAAATGGAAGTTCTTCTTATTATAGTCACTATACTTCTTCATATATGCTTATTACTAACAATAAAAAAATTCTCAAATAAAAATACAAGAGAAGTCGCCCGAAAAACCGAAAAAAGATCAAAAAATTGAATCAAATTGGGAACCAAAATTCCTAGGACGAAAAATGACTCAAATCAAAACTGAAAAAAGCGTCAGAACAATTAAAAAAAGGAGAAGCCGAGTTTCAAAACAAAAGGTCCAATTTTCATCACATTCGCAATAAATTTGTATAAGGAATGAGAAGGGAAAAGCCGAATAAAGTGTTCTTAGTAACCAATTAAAACTACGACTGAAATCAAACTCGGTGAAACAGGTGTAAAAATAATCAAAACTGTTCATACACAAAAATACTGGGTTAACACTTGAAAAAGACCGTTTTCCCACCATGTTCACCTTTATTTTTGTATTTTCAGAAGAAAAAGAAACATGCCAACATTTTCTGGAAAACATTAAAATGTCGTGGGAGCTTTGCAGGGCAGAGCATCATCGGCCTCAATAATTTTTTTTCAAAATTAATCCATGTTCTTTTAAACACTTCCTTAACGAGATTTAAGAGGTACGGTAATCAGAAAATACGAGTATAAAAAACCAATAAACAAGAAGTTCGCAAAAAATTTCATTCAAAAAACCATGAAAGGCAAATGGAAAACTACATGAAAAGTACTGAATACAATTAAGTATCAAAGTTCATTCGAGCGGCGAATTTCTCTCTTTGGCCTCCTCTGCTGCCGAGCGACTCGAAGTTTTCTGGCCTTCAGGAGTCTGAAAACGGGCAAATTTTGCGTTAAAACAAAGAGCGCAAGTCATTTCGGGTCAGGTGCACCTTTGAACAACCACCTCTCATGAATACATTCCAAATTTGACCATTTCATCTCTTGATAATTTTTGAATATACCTCTTTTTCAGGCGTGAGCGGTATCGTCACAACGCTCGTGTGATTGCTTTCTTGGTTCTCGGACTCCTGGAACCCGAGAAAGTTTTGAAAACAATTAAGTTCGGTGGAGCAAGCTTTCAGAACCTTTTAAGTCATTTTTCTCCTGAGAATAGTTAAAGAAAACCCCCAAAACATTTCGAATAACGCTAAATTCTTTTTTGGTTGGCGTTTAATACATACTAGTAGAAGATAATTGGCGTACGTGGGAATTCACCTGTTTTTTAGGCGTAGAAGGTCCAGTCACAACGCTTCCATGCTTGCTTTTTGGGTTCTCAGCATCCTGAATCAAAATATGTTGAACAGGTTGAAACTTTAGACGAACTTTGTGGTAGAACAATGAAAAACTCAACAACTACCAATTTTCTGGAATACTTTATCACAATTACAAAAAAAGAAGAAATGGCTGGCAGCCTTGAAGCCCTATCGTGCGGTTAGAAAAAAAGTTTATAAGTTTGCTCAATCTGCGATTTACAAGAGCGCAAGTCGTTTCAGGTCAGGCGCCCCTCGTTCACCCATTCCAAATGCGTCCTTTTCAACCCCAGATTTTCGGTGAAACATTTACCTGTTTTTTAGTCGTGAGCGGTCCAGTCACAACGCTTGTCGGCTTGATCTTTTGGTTCTCAGGCTCCTGGAATACGAAAAATTTGAAAATTATGTAGTTTGGTGGAGCGGAAAGATAACGTTTCATTTTTATTTTATTTTTTTCATTTCTTGTTGGTACGACAAAATCTCGAGTCAGCTTATCTTGAGGACCGTATGCCTGTGTTCGAACATCTGCAAACCCAAAATCTTTGAAACATAAATATTGGAAAGCTTAAAGCTCTCCTTCTCGTCTTATCTGTTGCACATTTATGCCACATTCTCTTGTTTAAATCACTGAACATAATTTACGATAGGATCTATTCGCCAAGCGATAATTTTCGTTTTCCAAGATTATGGGTTTTGAGATGCGCGTACACAGACTTACGGTCCTCAGGGCTTGCGAACTCGAGATTTTGCCGTACCATCGATTTTTTAAAAATTAGGCTATACTACTTCTGAAGTTGAAGATTATTGGCATACGTGGGAATTTACCTGTTTTTCAGGCGTAGAAGGTCCAGTCACAACGTTTCCGTGCTTACTTTTTGGGTTCTCAGCATCCTGAATGAAAAAATGTTGAGCAGTTTTGAAACTGTCACGATCTTTTTCTGGTACATCCAAAAACGATATGGCCAATTTTCAAGAAACTCCCAACCGTTATGAAAAATGACATCGCTTTGCTTGAACCATCATGGTCGCGAGCGTGTCTGCTCGATACGTCCAGACGCTCATAAATTGCGAAAATTTACCTGTTTCTTAGGCAGGAGAGGTCCAGGAACAACGCACTTTTTCTTGCTTTTTTTGTTCTCAGTTTCCTAAAAAAAAACGAATGTTGAAGTTTTCAGTGGAAGAATGAACCTTGGATTTCGAAGCGACGTCAGGAAATCTACTCATCGAAAAAGTTGTTATTTTTTTTGGAATTTTGAAGCCCTGAAAATATCGTTCGACAACATGAAATGAAGCAGAAGTCTTTGAAAAGCTTGACATGTCTAAAAGTTATGCTAATAATCACATTCTCAGAAACTCCCAAAAGTTGACTTTTCTTTTTTTTACCCTGAAACCCAAAAAAGTCACCTTGCCCGCAATCCCCCTCGTGAACACCAAGTTCACTGGCTCCGGAGTTGTCGTTTCGAATTTAAATTTATCTGGCACAATGCTTGGCGGAATAATTTTCGTCTTTAAGTTCAACTTCTTGCGTGCTGCGTATTCTTTGACCAGCTTCTGGACCTTCTCGTAAAACTCTTGTTGTCCTGAATACAATCTTTTCTATCACGGGAACCTCAAATTTCAGAAAAATCGCTTGGAATCGTAAATTTTTTTTCTCGCAACATTTAATGGTCCGTTTTCTTTTGACTTACTTTCAACACGTTTGCAAGCGGCGCTTATGAGTTCTCCAGGTCTGGGCACAGGTTTTGTGTACACGAATTCTGGAAATAGAAACGAAAATCGATTTTTTTTTCTTCTCTACCAACTTCCTTTCAGCTTTGTATAGCTCAACCCCATGTAGTGAAGTTCGAGGTACCGGATGTATTCGTATTCATTCACAAATTTCAGCACTTCCTGATCTTCCTTTTCGTATGTTGCATCGAAGTTGAGATGATCCAAAACGTGAGCAAAAGCTGGAATATTGCAGTCTTCAGTTCAAAAGTTCAGAAAAAAGAATGCATACAAAAGTTGGCTAACCTTCTTTCAAATTCAAATTTTAAAAGCTTACTAATTTTGACAGCGCCTGTATAAAAAGATTCAAACTTCATCTAGTCTTGTCAGTTCCTCGAGGGAACACCCGACTCAAAAGCATCTGATTCAGGTCCTATGGATTTGACATCACGTTTTTGAGCTCATTAAAATTTGGCAGGTCTTTAAGGTGGACAGAACTGACTCAAAATAACGCAATCCAACATTTCTAAAGTCCCAAACAGAAAACTTCCCCACAGTGCATGTCGAAGACTTGGCCCTTCTGACCCCCTTTTCTCTGATTGCCGTAGGCCTCTCGATTGTTGACCAAGCAGCGCTCCTTGATTTCTGACATGGCCACTCGGCACAACTGCAGCTTCGTTTCGTCGTAATCTGGAATCACACGACTACCCTTTCCAAAATGATTCAGTCTCTCATCTTACTTGCTTTCATCATGTTCTTGGCGGTTTCCATTTCCGTCAAAAGGCGTACAATGGCTCCCAACGACAACCCTGAAACAGAAAAAAAAAATCTTCATCTCATTTTGTGCCTTCTGAGAAAAATAATCAATTTATGTTGAATTAAAAGTGGAAAAAAATTAATTCTGTCAGCAGACTTTGAGACAAAATAACTGAACACCTGCTGAAGCATCTGAAAAAAAAATGCTGATTCCTATTGTATCTATTATAGAACTAAAAAAATTGAAGCTGGTAGCTTCAGTCCATAGGCCATTCCGCGCCAGCTTGTCACGTTTTTCTTTCCGCCAAAAGGCCAGGTCAAATTTGACCAACTTCGCTTCAAGACCTTTGTCTCTTGCCGTAGGCTATACAAAATTTCCAAACTCTTGAGAGAGAAGATTCTAAAGCCGGAAAGTGGTCAATTTCACCGGTTTCTGACAAACTGCTGAGATTTTTTGAAACCTTTTTTTGTTTGAAAAATGAGATATGTACAGTTTCAGTTTTTTTTTTCGAACTTATCTCGTAAATCAAGAAAAGTATTCAGGCAACTTTTTGGAAAGAAAATTTCCCTACTTTTGAGAAACCCGGATTAAAAATTCGGAAAAAAAAACGTTCATTTTTTCAAGGCTAACTAGCTCATTCCATTTTGTCAAAACTGAAAACTCACAAGTGTTTTTGATGATCGTCTTATCACAATCACTTCTGCGGTATTTGTTGACACGGTAAGCATATACCATGTTATTCAAGATATTGACCATTCCCGGTCTTGTCTTCCTTCTCAACATTTGCTCCCTGAATTTCGACTCCCGCGAGGCTTTCGAGTCTCGGCTAGCGGATTCGCGAGCTCCTTCGTCGATGTTCAGCCCCTCTTCCCCGGCTTTCTTTCTCCGCGATGCAGTTTTTTTCTGCACGGCATTCTTTCGTTGTTCTTTCATCACAGCTTTTTTGACGTGGACAACATTCTCTACGTCTGACCGTTGCAGTTCAACATCGTCCATTCTTTTGTTCATTTCCAGAATATCGACGTATGTGTTTTTGTTGGACGTTTTCTCGCCGACGAAAATCTCCTCCATGCGGTATTCTATGGGTACATTTATTTGGTCGTACCTGAAACATGATATAAAATCCGAAAAAAATTTATCAATCCCTTAAGTAGCCCTAGAGCTTTTTAGAGGGTTATCTTGTTGAAAAAAAGCAGCCTTCAAAGTTCGATTAAACTGGAGAACTGAATCTTGCGCTTCAATTGAAGACCTCTTCGGACTTCGGTGACGCAAACCAGACGCGCCCCGGACGTTTTCGAGCACTTCAAGTAATCACAAAGAGATCGTAAGAAATGCTCAGAAACGTCCAGGTTTCTTCCGGTTTGCATGACCAAAGACCAATTTGCACAGATTAATTTGAATTTTTGTAAATTTTTCAAAAAACTCAACGTTTTTTTTTCCTTTTTTCCATATGAAAATCATGATTCTTATCCAAAAAAAAAGCTCAAAATGAACGAAAATTTTTTCATATTTACCCAACATAATTGCCTATATCGCAGCGGGCCGCAGACGATATAGTCAAGGCTTCTCGCGGCTATATAGCTCTATCTCGAAATATTGAAATTCAAAACACTTTTTTTTGCCGTGTTCAATTTGATTCCGCGAAATGCAAAATGATCTTTGACTCCCCAAAATCTAGTGATCTTTTCCTTTCTCTAACGGGTATTTTGCATTTCGCGGAATCAAATTGAACACGGCATTTTATTTCTGTGATGAAATGAATCAAATTAAAGAAGAAAAAAACATCTTTGAAGGAACATTTTTCAGAGAGCGATATGGCGTAAGACTTTTTCGAAGTCACAGCGAGAGACAAACGATATTGCTTGCGGCTCTCCCGCGGTATAGCATTAATTTCACTGCAATATATTTGAATAGTGGGCGAGCAAATTCATTCGAAAAATTAACCTAGGAGCGCATTTTTCTTTTTTCTTACCGTCAAAAAAAATTACTTCTCTATGGCGACGTTTTCCGCTCGATATTCTAATAGATTCATAATATCTGTCTCGTACAAGGTTTCTCCCATCGCCGTGAGCCTTTTTTGCCTCGCAACCACAGATTCGCCGAATTCTCGGAAAGATCCCACTGCAACAGATGAGGCTGCACATTAACTACACTAAGAATGACTGCTGAAAGAAATGCGATATCGCTGGCGGCAAATTGACGAAATCGCGAACATCTCGCTCTGTCCTCAAGCGGGTCTCGCATTTTTCCAGGCGCCACCTTGCATTTCTCTCGCCCTTTTCACGCAATTTGAAAACTTTAGAAATGCGAGACCTGCGCGAGATGTTTGCGAGCAATGTACTGCCACCGATCTCGCATCAGACTCTGCAGTTATCATTAGTGTAGTGCAGGGATGCACGAGACAAGTTTTTTTCATCTCGAGACAAGATCGAGACACGAAATTCTTGACTGAGACGATCGTGTCTCGTGCATCCCTGTTGAAGTGCGAGAAAATGGAAACAATTTTCTACAGTGTCCTAGTAGTCAAAAAATCAAAGCTGTGCCTGGACCGGGGTTGATGGCCGAACCGGCCTTCATCAGTCGCATTCGCAAATTTTTTGATCTAATTTAGAAATTAAAATCACATAAATAGTTTAATGCAGAAATACTGTCTAAAACTACACTTAGTGAAACCATTCAGAACGAGAAAAATCACACTGACAGTTCAAACATTGAAAAGTTAGATATCAAGATTTTCTTCCCCATCTTCGAAGGTTTGGCGGTTTTTTAAGCAGATTTCGACTGATTAGAAGCGCTGCCAATCTATCAGATCATTTTTTTTGAGTAGTAAAACTTTTACACTGTCAAAACTTTTGTTCTCTAACTAACTTCTGGTATTTCGCGTCGAGCTGATGTGAGCGGTTCTCGACTCGATAATCTCGAACAGGAGGGACGTGTCTTCAGCTGGAAAAATGAATATGAAATGTTAACGAGAAATGTTTTTCTTATCAAGCCGATTGAAACCATTGAAAAGAATAACAAATGAAAAAAAAAATTCCGAAAAAAAGAAAGAACAGATACCGAAAACCGTGTGAGCCGCCGCCAGGCTCGCGTGGCAATCGTGCACCAGATACGATACGTATTCCACTGAACGATTAAGAAAAACAGTTTCGGGGTGACAGATTTTCATCCAACCACACTCGGCAAGTATTGAAAGTTCGTTGGGAGGCGTGGGTATAAAAATTCTTTCCTCTTCTGGCGGCGGTTGTGCGGCGCGAAGTGAACGGAGGATGAAAACCATGACCAAAAAAAAGAGGAACCAAACGAGCGAAGTTCCCAGGATCGTCAAGATAATTGTTCCTGTCAATATTCATTCTTATTTTTTTTTTTTTGGGAAAAAAGAGCCCACTATTTATTGGTGTTCATCAAATTTCATGTTTTTTTCATTTTATCGAAGTATTTTTTTATCAACTCCGTAGTAGTTACGAAACATAAATTATCAATTTAAGCATGCGTGAGTACTTGAAAATGATCTAGTACATAAAATTGGTATATAAAAGACAAGTCTGAAAAAAAAAAATAGAATGATTTCTTTAACTTTTCGTTTTTTATATAGAACTCTGCATAGTAAAGAATTTATTCTGCTTCTCATTTCCTTTCAAAAAGAAGCTATGAATAAGAAATATAAGGCCAGTAAGATATTTCTCACGCGAGCTAAAATATAAAATTTTTTCACGTCATTGGCCAATATAGGAAAAGCTTTTTTCTTCCCAATCATGCTCATTCGGGATTGAGAAACTCCGATAATAAATAGTCTGTTCAGATTTTCAATGTCAAGCGCAATGACGTCATTCAAAAACACTCCGTGGATGGCTCGCTCTTTGATTGGTTCATCGCACCATTAGGGGGCGGAGCTTGAGCGACGACTCGACATTCAAAATCTGAACAGACTATAGTTCGTTCAGAATATCAAGTAGAATGACGTCATTCGCAAACGCTCTGTGGATGGCTCGCTCTCTGATTGCTTTATCGCGGCATTAGGGGGCGGAGCTTGAGCGACGACTTGACATTTGAAAACTGCGATAGAGAAAAAATATAACTTCAAACATGGAATAAGATCTCCTGTGAAAGCTTCATGAATTGATTTTTATTGCAAAACCTGAAAGATCCTAGCACTAAATCCTCCTGTCTGAAAATAATAATCACCATTGTAAGAGCATTTCTCCACATCTTTAGTCCCTTCGCCGGCGTCTTTGTTTTGTTGTGAGCCAGCAGCTGCGGCTTGTGGTGGGCTACGCGATGTCGCTTGCGTCGTTTCGTTGCATACGCAGGGTTTCGGCAACAGCGTCGTCGGAATCAATGTCGCGCAAGGCTTCAGGACCTCCTAAAAAACAGGAGTATCATATTTACTCCTGGAAACATGCGATGAAGTCAAGTGAAATAATTTAAAAGTTGACGTTATCTGCACTTTTTTTGAAAAATAAATAGGGGAATGATTTTAAAAATTATTATTTTGTCAGGCATTGAGAGGACATGGAGAGAAACATATTTCCATTAACAAAAAATCTTGTAGCAACCTTCTCAAGATTCTTCAGTCTCTCTAGCGGCACCGGATCCATGCCGTCTATGTCGTAAATCGTTCCCTTCTGACAATATGGTTCTAAGGGGCTGATTTCAATTTTATGCAGTTTGCTGAATGAATCTGTGGTCACAGCCGATCTTCGGATACGAATGAGAGGCTCTGAAAAAATACTTTGACTAATATATCAAGTGCTTCTCTCACGCACACATAATTGCTTTTATTTATTTACATGGTACGCGAAAAATGTTTTCAATTTTTTTTTAAATTGTTTTTTTTTAAACTGTGACTCATTTTCCAATAAAATCGTATAGTCTGTTCAGATTTTGAATGTCAAGTCGTCGCTCAAGCTCCGCCCATAATGGTGCGATGAACCAATCAGAGAGCGAGCCATCCACAGAGCCTTTTCGAATGACGTCATTCTACTTGACACTCAAAATCTGAACAGACTATACTTCGGAAAAAAAAGAAATGAAGAAAGAAAAAATTCCACGTGTCTCCTGATTAGAGACAAATATTCAAAATGAAATGAGAAATAAAATCACGTCACTAGGTAGCGGTATGAGATTCAGTGAAATGTTAAATTGAGACCGCTTTCCACAGCAAAATCAAAAATAGGTACCGGGGGAGATGAAGAAGTCGGAGGCGTTAAAACTTAGAGTTTCAAGATTTTCGAAAAAGGTGGGAGCGGTGTCTTCTAAGACGATTCTAGAGGCTGCTTTCAAAGTTCTTGCTATTGAAATGCCTTTTCCTGAGCTTTCTTGTTTCTTCAGGACAAATTCCCCTTTTATGCATGAAGCACACATCGAGGTTCCACTGGCCTCTGTCCCGACACCCAGAATAGGGGAATCACAACATTCTGAAAAACTGAATACAGTGATAAAATAAGAAATAGTTAAACGTGTTAGTATCGGCGCAGGAAAGTAGACAAGGAGTGTGGCGATGAAGATGAAGGGAAACACTGAAAAATAGAATGAAAAGCTTCGAGAAGCGGCTGAAGCACTTGATAGCTATTTTGGAGCATCATAGTTCCAAAAGTCTTTAAAATAATTTATATCATTGTTTCGAAGACGAGAATGAATATCACACCCCAAAAATGGTAACGGACTACTTTTTGACGTCAAATCTAATTTCCTTCCTTCCTTCACTCTGTAAACTTTTTTTCTTTCATCCCAGTCCCAGTCGAATAGCCGAACGTTAATAAATATGAGTTCATAGCAATTAAAACTCGGAAATTTTCTAATTTTAGCGCCTTTCGAAGAGTGTAAGTCATGATCTATCGTTAAATATTCATTTTTACTGTAACTTTCACGCGCCAATGCAAAACTTTGGAGTTATTTGGGAATTTTCTACGCAAATTTCGAATTCGCGCGTAAAAAATGCGTATCTAGCGATATATTGTCATTTTTTTCTACCCCTTCCCGGAATACCAATTCTGCCTATTTCTCGAAATCATTTTAAACGAATAAGGCGTCAATTTTGAAATCGCCGAAGCTACTTTGAACACGGCTCAAAAATGCTAGAACTAATTATGGAAATTGGTTTTTCCAATGTGTCTATAGTTCAAACCGCTGAATGGGAAAAATAGCTGATCCGAAGAAGAAAAAAATGCTGAAATATGAACCTGAGGACAGCATTCCCATTCAGTTACTTTTCCGACGTAACAACGTTGTGAAATGCCGTCCGAGCTCCATGATCTCACGGTTTCACCTTCACGTCGTTTTATTCCTGAAAATCAGATTAGGACTTGTTTAAAATTTTGTCGTAGGTCTCATTTCGAACATCTCTATTTTGATAATTCGACGTGTGATTTCTAATCATAAACTACTCGCATGCTGAGCAGGTGTCTCAACGGGTGTACCCGTATTAAACCCGTGTTTCTGAGGTTATTTTAATCTCAGTTGGGCTAAAAACTGCCAAAAATTCTATCAGCTGGGCTTATACGGGTTTAATACGGGGGCACCCGCGGAGACCCCGTGTTAGCCCGGCTGGGTTACCCTGCTCAGAATTCGAGTAGTTTAAAAACAAGTCTACAACCCTTCAATTAGTTTCTCAAGGCAGCCGTGTCCTTATAAACCTAGCAACAAGCTCCAAATGTCTTCCAAGCTCAAAGTGATCCCTAAAGCGGTGTCAAAGCATCTAAAGTGGTCAAGAACTATGTCAGTTTTTAAAAATCTGGAAAACATCTTTTTCCAGTTGGCTAACCTGCACAACATTCTAGTTTTTAAGAGAGGAAAGTCGAATAAAAGTCAAAGAAAACCGTCAAAAAACGTTAAAATTTCTGGGGCTTTGAGCCTTGATTTCCCAAAAACTAGGAAATTATGCAGCTTGAGACTTTCAGAATCTTCATCTGGTACATCAAGGAGTGTTCTGGCCCGTTTTCAGGAAACTCCCAACCGCAAAGTGAAATTAATATATGACATAAATGACTCAAGTGAAAACTGAACAATTGAAAATAAGAAGGAGAAGCCGAGTTTCCAAACGAAACGTCCGATTTTTCATCAAATTTGCAATAAATTGAGTATAAGGAATGAAAAGGGGAAGAAAAAAATTATTAAAAATATAACATTTTTCTTTTTACAAATTTTTTGATCATGGTGTCGAGTCGAATTTTCGCTCCAATTTTGGGCTTCTGAAAAAAAGAGTTGAGTTGGAAACTCTGATCAACGTCCTTTCATGACTCATTGATACAAGAACTGAACTTATCTGTACTTTTTCAAGAGGGACTTCTTCCCTATTTCTCCTTTACAGAGGAATCCACTTCGACTTCGCTCTTCCGGTCAGTTCTCTAACGACTTTGTTTTCCAAAACTATTCCATTATGGAATAAACTTACTTCTAGAATAAATTTTAACGTCTCTACGGATGCGCTACGGGTTAAACTTAATGATCTCCCTAACTCTGCCTTTTTCGAATCCATTCCTTCCCGTTTGCTCTGACTTCCTTTCTATCCCTGGGTCATAGTCTACTCGTTAGGGTGGACTAATTCCCGTTTTGGTTATTTTGCTGCTTTCGTATTCTGAACTATTTTATTTATTATTTTCTAACAGTATGCAGTGAACAAACCTATGATTAAGAGTGAAAGTTAAATATTTCGCTATTTTCAGCACGTATTACCTCATCAAAAATGGAAGTTTAGAAGTTTATAAAGAAAGGCTATTATAGGTTTTTTGTTAAGTTTCCTTTTTCCAAATAGAGCTAAAGAAATCATTCCATTTATTTAACTTTAGGTTCGACAGTGTTGTAAAAAGGCATCATCAAATTAATTGAATTAATAAAGGTCTCAAGGCCAAACAAGATTTTTCGAAAAAAATACTTTTAATCTCGGGTTTAACTTTGAATAAAGTTTTGTTTTAAAGAAGGTCTTTAGACTTTTCCGAAAAGGATTGAAAAAAAAATAGAATTGATTCTCGAAGCTTCCAAATAACCAAAAATCAACGCCAACCAGTGATGAAAGCTCAAGAGGCTTTTCAAAAAACAGTTTTTTCTTCTTCTTCTTTTTCCTCAAGTATTGGTTCTTGCCACCTCAAACAAGCCATTGCTGCATAACAGTTCTCTATCCTATCGCTTTTTTTTTTCCTTCTTCTTCCTTTATATCATTGTCATTTTTTTCAATAGAAGTTCCATGCTCAGTTTCAATAAAAAAGTATCCAAATTCACACATTTTTCAATGAAAAACGCAAATTTTTTTAGATTTTTCTCATTTCATAAATAATTTATAGTATTTTTGAGCCCACTTTGATGTAGGCTATAAAAGAAGAGTTTATTGCATTTTTTTTCATTTTTTATGTCGTTCATCTTTCTTTTTCGAAATATTCGAGTTGTTCTTGTAGTTTTGTGGTTTTGCATTATATAATATTATTGTGTAATTTTTTTATGATTATTTTCTTTCAAACTTCAGTTGATTCTTGTTAAATTAATTACTTTCAAACTAGAGTTAATTCTAATTACTGTATTTTTAACAGTTCTGTTCTTCAATAACTCCGTTTTCATTGCTGATGATTTTCGTGATAGAAAGAAATTAAATGAATAGTCAAGACCACGGTACTTCCAAGCTACAAGGGAAAATCTCTTATGCGATCGAATTTTTGAAATGATCAAAAATTCAAATTTTCGAAACTTTTCTCAACTACAGAAACCTTGAATAGCCGCCCGTCATTCTAATGAAACCGATACGCGTACAATAAAAAAAAACCCCTCTCAGAACAAAAAATGAGAAAAAGAAACGAGCAAAGAAACGATGATTCAACGAAATGGGTCAGCCCAATCAATTGAAGGAAAAATGTTGCTCTTCCAAACTATTCTCAAATCGAATAGAATCGAAACTCTGTATTCACAACTACAACTCGGAAAATGTTCGCATCGACGTCAATTTCAGCGGCGGCGAACGTCTCGCTGCTGCTGTCGGTGATGATCTCCTTGTTGATCTATCATTCCGTTTTCGTCGGCGTCGCCTTCACTCAATTCCAACTTTTCTCGCCGCATATTGACCGACAACCATCAACAACGCTCAAACTTTCTTCGGCCCCTAATGATGAACTTACAGGTATGAAAAAACATTTTTTTTTCTCGGTTCTAGTTTTTTTCCGCGTTTTTTGAAAGTTCGTTTTCAGCGCAGTTTCAGATGCTAACTTCAGGATTTTCGGCCCAAGCGCTACATTAAAATTTTGATGATTCGAAAATTGAAAAAATCCACTTTCAGAGTCTATTGTTTTTTAACAAACCAGCTTCGGGTGTAAATTATTTTTCAAATGCCCTCTATTGCTCATTTTTAGTCTATTCACAGTTTGAAAAAAATACAGATTATCTTCTTTCGAATTTTAGAGAGCAAATCATGGCGTCGTCATGCTTTGGAGCAGCTTTGGGAAGAACGAGCCAAAATGGGGCGGACCCCAGTATTTCCATTCAAGGTTATTTTTTTAAATATCATTCTGTTCGCTTTGAATTAGTCTAGCTTATCTGAGCTCTCTCAATCAATCCTTGTTGAGTCTCTGAGCAGAAAAAGGAAAAATGAGTTTATAAACTCTGACTTCCTTTCTATCCCCGGGTCATAGTCTACTCGTTAGGGTGGACTAATTCCCGTTTTGTTTATTCTGCTGCTTTCGTATTCTGAACTATTTTATTTATTATTTTCTAACAGTATGCAGTGAATAAACCTATGATTAACTGTATTTTGAATAATTATTGATTTTTCAGTACACAGGCAACCCACGAGTCACTCTTCTCTTCAAAAACGAAACAGCGACATCAACGGGATCTTTGAAACACCGTTACGCATGGGCTTTGATGACTTGGGCTTTATTGGAGGGACATGTAAAGCAAGGTAAGTATTATCAAAAACTTGAAGGTCTATGGCTCGGAGTGATTTAAAATTGCGACCGACCTCGAATGATTTTCGCACGGATGCATCATTAACTATTGGAGCGAGCTAACAAATTCCCAATTTTAATACTTGAACCATTCCCCTGCGAGTCTAACTTTTTAAGTTCAGGCATAGGAAAATTTTGATAGAATCTATATAAATAAATAAAATAAAAATAAATCTTCTACTAATATAGTCAAGATGTGAAATTTCGCCCATTGAATTTCGATATGACGTGATATTTCTGTTTTTGCTTTTTAGCAATCTTTTTCCTTTTCTACTACACTGCTGCCTTATTTTCAACCTTAACTATCCCAATTTTGAGCACTTACAGTTGAAAATTATTCACTCTACTTAAATTTAAGGAACCCACGTCTACGAAGCTTCATCGGGCAACACAGCCGCATCACTAGCCTTCATGTGTAGGCTTATCGGCGTACCTTTCACAGCAATAGTTAGTTTATGTCCTCTTGAAAATAACGGAAAATGATCAAATTACAGGTTCCGGACACTTTAGAAGACGTGAAAAAGGAGCACATCGAGCACTACGGCGGTCAGATCGTCAAAGTTCCTATCGCAGAGCGGTTTTTGTCAAAGTGTTAACAAAATAGAAATGAAATCTTCAGACTAGTCAAAGCGCGAGAACTAGCCGACAAGAGCAACGGTTTCTTCATGAATCAGTTTGGAAACGCTTTTTTGGCCGAAGAATTCCATGAAAGTGAGTGAGAAATAATAGCCGCGAAAAAAGCTCCCGCCTCTCATCAGAAATTTCTTAGTGATCAAGCAGCCACTTGAGTGACTTTGACGCCTCGTTAGTTTTTTTTTTTGAAAGTGGTATAATCGATGTTTCCCGACTTGAAAGGCGAGGGAGGCGGGGCAAGGAGCGGGACGCGTGGCGTGTGCGTACGCGGTTCTGGGCGCCAGTTCAATTTAATCGCTGCCGACTATTTAAAAAGCTCGGCAACTACTCTTTTTCTGTATTTTCTACTGTTTTTTGATACACACATGAACAACCAATAAAAAAAAAATCAAAAAAGAGCGAAAAATAATCTCTCTGAATGCTCGCTGGCGGTTGAATTGAACTCGTGCCAAGGACCGCGTACGCACACGCTACGCGTCACGCCCCTTGGCCCGCCTTTCAAGTCGGGAAACATTGACTATAGATGATTCCCGAACGCATCGATTTTTTTTTCCAAACTAAAACTCTAAAACGCATATAGAACCTCAAATCATCGCTTTTTTCAAGTGAAAACTAGAAAGACTTAGAATTCCCTTGAATGACCGTTATAGACGATTCACGGCTAGCTTGGGACGCAAAAAGGCGTGGCCTGTCTGCACTCTCCACTAACCAGGGCACTGTCTCGTCTCTTTTCGTGGCAGGACCCTTTTCTCGACGGCTCAAGCCAGCCGTGAATCAGCTATATACTTTCCGATACAGCGCTTTCATCCTCGGTGTCAAAAAGTCATTTAAACCTCCTTTTTCAAAAAAAAAAAAACGGCCATGGAGCACACAAGATAGCGGATGTTTTTTCTCAAACGTTCTTGAACCCATAAAAAGTTAAATCCAGGCGGAAACTACGAAAAGCAGTCAGCCAACATGTTCCACGAGATAGTGACCCAGCTGAATGAGAGCAGATTGGCCATTCCAGATTATTTTGTTCACGCCGCAGGGACGGGTAAGATAGTTCCTTTTCCAAGTAAGAAATTTCCTTTCTAAAGGTGGTACAATCACATCAATCGGAAGGTACATCAAAAAGTACAATCTGGACACCCAAGTTGTCTTTGCCGACACACAGTTCTCAGTCTACTACGATTACGTTCTTCACAATCGGTAATTCGAAAAATTCCACAAAAAGACTGTATGTTTCGTTCACCACAACTAAAGGCGTTCTAGCATCTTTGCTACCTTTTTTCTTTCAACGGTGGGTCAAAAAAAGAATAATTAAAACCTCAAGTAGAAGATCGTCGAGAAAAAAGAGGTGTATTTTTACAATTCGTGGTAAACAGATTAAATAAGATAAATAAGTTGAGAATCCTAAAAAATGAAAAGTTCACAAGCCTGTAGTGTTATGTTCCCAACATTTCCTGCGATTAGATTAAAAACTATTTTTTACAACCTTCTGATTCTCGCTTGAATAACTCAAACTGTTAAAACTTGATGAGAAACCCTGAAAATCTCAGATTCGCGAATCAGAGCGGATCCCATCTCTGGGTGGAGCCAGGGATGGCGGGAATCGGCTTCGGACCGATGGGTCCAGCGAAGAAAGGTCAAACGACAAGGTAAAGAGAAAGTCTTTCAAGTTTAAACTCGTATTTAATTTGAAGCCTGGACCCGGCGGTCATCGACCGAGTACTGAAAATCCCCGACTGCGCCTCAACAGCAGCGATGAAAGTCTTATTGGAAAACGGAGTCTCCGGCGGAACCAGTAGCGGTGTCAATTTGGTAGCCGCACTTCACATTGGCGCTAATTTAAGGTGGTAGACTCAAAGGAAATATAGAAAACCCTAATCGCAGAAAAAAGGAGTGACTTGTGTGCTCCACTGAGAATGAGAATTAGAGACACCTTCATACAAACACCGAGAAGCAGAAGCTCTTTCGAAAAACAAACTTCATGAAAAACTTTTTCAAAACACTATCAAAAAAAAAGCCCCGAGGCGCACCAAGCTCATTTTTCCGTGGTAAAAATCAAAAAATTGATATTATTCTAAAATTACAGCTCTCCACGACCTGTCACCATCGCCACGATTCTCGGAGACCCATCTTCCTACTATCAAACGAGTTATCTGAACCGCGACTGGATCGCTCAACGATTCGCTCGACACGGCGGTCTTGAGGTCGGAAAATATATTATCTTCGTTAAATTCTTAAGTACAGCTTTCCTTCTTGGAGAAGTATGAAGACTCGAAACTTCCCAACTAAGCTTTCTACCCTAAAATCCTGTCTGGAAATTTAGCCACAAGTTAGCCGAGTTTGCCTTCTACCAAATTTAGAGTCTGATTATGTTATTGCGTCGATCTTTTATTAAAAATGTGGCTTGAAAATTCGAAAAACTTGTAATGATCACGTTATCAAGCAGACATTCTGGTTTTCTGATAAATTCAGAGGCTTTCTGTTTCTGTTTGAGCATTTTCCTTCATGAAACTGCGCAAAAAAGTCATTTCAGACTTGTCCGAAGAAAATAAGTCACTTTCAAAAGAATGTGCGCTCTACTGACAATTTTTCGATTTTTTTTTCTTACAAGGTCCTCAAAATAACCTATTCCAGGCGTACTACTGCTGGATCAGCGTCCTTCGCGAGGCCCTAGATAACGGGAAAGATCCACTACAACTTGGACGGCGGTGTCCAACCGGCAACGTTTGATTTTTCGTGTCGAGACCCATCTGGAACTTTTTTGATCACTTCCTCTGTTTTCATCGAGCCCCTCTCAAGATTACTAGCTCTTTTTCTGTCAAGTATTTTAAAAGTACCTCTAATACTCTCATCAAATGAGCTTTATCACATTAAATGACTTTTCTTCAAATTAATTGTGTCCTGTAATTTTAGGAGTCCAAGTTCAATTTTTTCTTTTTGATTAGTCTAGTTTCTCATTAAACTGTCAATGGAATATTATTTTTTTGAAGATTATAAGTTGAAAGTAATTTCTTTTGAATTAGCAATTTTATGGTCCTTGATTGGAAAATATCTTTTTCCCTTCAAAAATTAGAGGTCTTCTGATATGTTCATGATTAACCTGAATTAGTTCATTATTGTTTTCAAATTAGACTCCAAAACAAAATACCGGTTCCATAGTATAACTTAGTTCTTCCACTCAGATACTGTCGAAGGGAATACTTTTCTGAGACTAATTGAATTTGTGAAAACGTGTTCAAAATGCCTTTATTCATTGAAAATAGCTGTAAAGGTAAATGAAACTCCTCATAGATACCCCTGTATTTTCCCAAACTCCTGCTTGTTTCACGTTGAACTTTATTTTTTTATAAATACATGTTGAACCAATAAATATTTGAAATCCTACAAACATGAAAAAAAAAAAGTTAGAGCTTCACAAGGAAAGAAGGGAGCAGGTGCGAGGCAGCTGGGGGATCATCTTTTTCTTTCTGAATTTGTAGAGTTCGTTGCTTTCGATGGTTAAAGTTACGGAACGGAGCGCTATTATTGATTTTTCAACAGTTCCTTCGTTTAATGTTACACCCTTTCGCTGAGACAGGCAGAATTAGACAATTTATCAAGAATCATAATCTATTTTCCGCATTTGGTTCCCTTTTCTTCCATTCCTTTTCTTCCCAAATCCTAAGTTTAACATGTTCTTTTTTCAACATAAAACTTCTCCCCTTGCAATTTTTAAATGAAATCTTCGATTTATCATGACTTTCCAGTTTTCTTGTTTCCTTTCTTATTTCTCTCCAATTTTTACGCTCCTCCTAAACCAAAGCCAATTGAATTATAGCTATTTCTTTCATTTCGTCCTTGGTAACGAACAGAGAAAAAAGAAATCTTCTTCCGCCATTTTCCAAGCATGATTCAGTTTCTCATCGATGCATAAAACATTTGAACTTCTGAGTGACATTCTGAGACCAAATTTTGTTTTGAAGCTTGCGATTTTAATTAAGAGAGGTGGAGTGGGCGCGTTTCTTTCCATTATCACGGTAGGAAAACCCTGCCACCGACTTTGATTAAAATGAGAGACTTTATACAGCGAAATTCTCCAAAAAATATTCAAAATATTTGATTTTTCATAGAAAAAAATTAAAAATTTTGTCGGCATGCTCTTTTGGTGTGGGCGGCCTCCCATAGTGATGCGTTTTTTCTTCCGCAAATGGGCTCGTCAAAAAAAAAAGAAGGAAAAAAGAAATGTACCCTCGCCCGTCTTTTTCTCGACCTTGTTTCAAAATTTGTACTTTCACAAGTTTTCCGATTTCCTTCTAGCTCATTTCAAACGTGCCTTTATATTGTTCTTATCAATTATTAGTTAGTTTTTGAGAGCTTTCTGCAAATACGGTGCCTCTTCTTTGAAGAAAAAAAATGAAGATTATTCAAAAACATATTTCGTCTTGATTATTCCTTACATAAAAAACTTGAGCTTCTCTCTTGTTTTTTATAATATGCCAATTTAAAAAAAACAGGCTGCTTCAAAACCAAATATCAGGTGGAAACCTCTACCTTTTCAATACATAGAAAAATTTTAAAGAACCATGAACTCTCAAGGTATAACCCGAATGCAGTTTTCGGAAATTGTGTATTTCCTCCTCCAGATGATCTCTATCATCTTTTCAGCACCTGAAATCCTTAGGACAGCTTCAAAAAGAAAAGCCCAAACCCCCTTCTACGCTGAATTAAGCGCTTCTTTCCAAATTTTTTAGTTACAGAACACAGAAACCGACCAGTTCTACGCCACAGAAATCGCAGTCTCAAAAACTGATACCTAAATCCAAATTTTCTCGCTGAAAACCAGTACCGTTCCGCATTTTTTTTTTTTGTCAGCTTCACAACACAAAAACTGTACAGTTTGCACGACATAGCGACAGAGCGCCAAATTTAACGACTTTGTGCTCCGCCTTTCAGGCAATTAAAATATTATCAACGGAGCGAAGAAGAGCGGCTCCTCCGTATCATCATCCTAGGGAGATTATATGGTCGGAGCTCGCGCCTTATCATCGCGACGGTTCGTTTGATGTTGCCGATTTGGGGAAAAAAATAGCGTGAACCAGTGTCACAGTGCTATCAATAAGGCGCCGGAACATGCCGGCGACTTGAAAGCGACCCAAAGCCGTGGTCCTGAGCCAAACGGCGCCTCCTTGCTGAGGTGGAGCTTGTCATCTTCTGCTCAATCAACTCTTCAACATTCCCATTAAACACGCCCCATTTGAGGGTTTATCACTCGTTTCAGATTGATTTGAGCGCTACCGTACACCTCTCCAGAGTTTTTCGGCATCTCCGATTGGCTTAAATCTGATCACAGCCTCGGATGAAGGAGCTGTTGATTCATCTTATTTTTAAACACTTCTCAACGATCCTCCCGATTCTCCGTTATTTTGCTCGATACTTGTGAAACTTAGGTTTCTGAGCGGATTTTCGCTATTCCTTTTAAAAACTCCCGTCAAAAACTCTTCCCTTCAGTGTTTATCACTCACTTCAGATTGTTTTGAGTGCTACCGTGAACCTCAAAAACAGCTTCTCCAATTATTGCAATTCCAATTGAACTTTCTGATCACAGAGCCTTTGCTGTTGATTTGCCGTACTTTCTAACACTTCTCAACCAAGCAGGGTTTTTGAGGCTGTCTTTCTATTAAGAAGCTCGTCTTTTTTTTTTGCTCGTTCGTTCTCTTTGTATCCCTATCAAGATATATCCATTCTGGTTGAGTAGTTGTCATTTTTCATGGAATGATTTGGAAGTAACCGTTCTAACTTGAACATTTTCAGCCTGACATTGGTCAAAGTCTTCCTCTGATAGTTTATTCCTCACTGTGTAGCTTTTCTTATTCTCAATCAACGTTCAGTACTCACATCAAAATTTCGTTATTGAGAAATTTCGACTCCTTCTAGATTGGTTTGGCCGCTACAGTACACCTCCACTTTTTCGTTGCTTCGTATCGTTTCACAAAATAGGTCATTTCTTTCGGAAAAGTGGCCAAGCCTCCGTTTATGTAGAGGAAAATCTTGATGGTCTCAACCTTCACAACTTTCCATTTTTCTAGGGAAAAAAGACTTTTCAAAGCTTCTGGCACAATTTCAGGGGTTCCTTCAAAGATAGGAAATCGGAAAGGTTGAGATATTAGGAATCTTTGTCTAGTACGGCTACTACTGTAACCTCTACTTTCATCATTATTCAAATTTGCCAGGAAAGTTCTCAGGTCGCTTCTCAATCAATCTTCCATTTCAAAATTATCAGCCTTCCTCCATTAAGAGTTATTTGATTGAACGTTTATTACTGTTTCGCAACCGTACTTCTCAACTATTTCTTTCCCATTTTCAACCAGTCAAGCCTCTAAAATTCATCCTCTTGCTTCGATTTTTCGCCTCAATTTCTGACCAATATGTCTTAGTTTCTCCCGATTTTTTGAGCAGTACATTTCTTGCAGAACCGATAAAGCTTACGTTTTTCAAATTTTGCGCACAATCATGTCGTCTTCCTTCCCTCCTTTAAACGATCGATTCCATATTTCCTATACCTACTACAGCTCCCAAATTACAGGTGAAATGGACTCACCGCCAGGTAGTAGTACTGAAAAGCCGTTCAAGCTGTTCCGACCCTGGGAGGACGATCCAGTGGTTCAGCCAATGTTCCTAGCGATCCCTGTCTTCTGGGACTTTACCAATATTCTTCCTTCGATCAGTCCACCTAACTCTATCTACTCCAATTATGCAACACCTATTTTCTCCTCTGGATCCAGTGCTTCAAGCCCGCTGTCCTCAGCTACTGAAGAGAATAAACCGAGACGGAAATGTCAGAGGTGTACGTGTCCAAACTGCAAAGGACGGTGAGTCTAGTTCAATCAAGAACAGCTTTGATTACGCAAAGGCAAGAATTGGTTTCTGGAGTCGCTTTGAAGTTGTGAAATATTCTTGAATGATAATCATGATTTCTGGTTTTTGAAGAGCACGCTTTTTCAGAAAGCAAGGCAGCCGATCAGTTGATTACGTTCACATCTGCGACTTCGAAGGCTGTACCAAAACCTACAAGAAAACGAGCCATCTGATGGCTCATAAAAGGTTCATTTCTGTCTTTGAAAATCAAGTATCACTGTTTTCAAATCTGACAAAATGCTATCGTTGAACTATTTTTCGATTGATTTGCTGTTTATAATTTTTTTTTTTCTAGAAGCCACATCGGCTGCCGTCCCTACGCATGTGATCATCCTTCATGCGAACGCGCATTTTCTCGTAGCGATCAGCTTCTTCGTCATAAGCGCTCCCATACTGGCTTGAAAAAGTCAGTTTTTTTCATTTAATTAGGACTAAAACTTCAAAGCAAAATCTTCTGAAAATTCGACTATTTTTGACGGAAAAGATTAATAAAAAAAAGGGATTTTTTGTATTTTTCAAGTTTGATAGTTGACATAACTTCTCCAAGAAATATTCAACGAATTATTCAGACTTTTTTTCTTTCTTGGACTCCCAGAATACAGAAAAAAATATGGAGTTCTGTTGAAATTATAAAATTTTTTTCATAATTTTTTTAAACGAAAAAAAGCGGGCGCGAGAGACATGTGCGGTCTGAAGAGACGCTAGAGAAAAAAATGTATATATTGTTCTCTGCCGTCTCTTCGAGATTGTGTTGATCTCTCGTCATAAATTACTTATTTTCAATGGAACTTTTTTGGCTGATTTTTTGGATTGCAATGTTTGTGTCATTTCCTAATTTTAAAAATTCATTTGTATGCATTTGTATAGTCTGTTTCTCGCGAATTGAAAGGGTGGTACTTCTCTGCGCCCTCTTTATCTTTCGACGTCTCTCTCATGTTTACGTGCTATTTCCATGCTTCTCTGGCCTCGTCGGTGAGGGAACAGAGAGACGCAGACATGCGAAAACTGACATGTCACGGCGAAACGACTTTTCTTTTTCATTTTCAATATTATAAGTCATTGAGTTCCAGCCATCGATGTGCTGAATGCGGACAGACATTCGGCCGGTCCGACCATATGAAGCAGCATCTTCAGACTCAACATTCGAAAAATGTTTTCAAATGACCAAATTGTTTGTAAATTCTGTGTTTTCCCCATAATTTATGTGATGTCTCAGGTTTTCAGACCGTTTTTCTCTCTCTTTGCATAATACTCCCATCAACGAGATTATAAATTTTCTAGTATTCTTGTCAAAGACGATTCTCGGTTATAAATCTTTCACACGATCTTTTTCACTTCGAGATCGTCCAAATACATTCAAACAAAAGATCGTTCTCCTGATCAGACTCAAAAAGACGAGAAATAGAAAACAATTTATTAAAAAAAACTAAAAGCAGGGACGTTTCAATTTACCGCTCTCTCCTCAGCTTCAAAGGCCACTCGTATCAATATTCTTTTCTAAAATTTCCATCAATATTGCAATCAAAGATCCCTCTTCCCAATCAGCCTCAAATAATACAGGGAGAAAAAAAAACGGCACAAAGAAAGAGAGAAGCTAAAATAGGCAAACAAAGTGCGCGCCCTCCTGAAGGTGGCGGCTGCTGCCCATAAACTCTCTCTCTCCGCCGTCGGAGAAGGCTCTTCTGCGTGCAAACACGTCTCAACCGGACCGGTCGGCTTCCGGTGTGACATGCCATCTCGCATGACCAACAAGAAGCAAAAAAAAAAGATTGGAAAAAGGAAATTCGAACACAAAAAAAAATCTGGCGGTCATACATGGAATAGCCTTATAGCTCAACTTTTTTCTTCTAACTTTTTTTAAAATTTTTTTTCACCTCGAGTGAGTTCACTCATGAAGACCAACAAAAAAAAACGAGAAAAGTCATTTTTCAGGTCTAAAGGCCTTCTTTTTTATTTTAAAAGTTAGTCATATGCATAACTACAACAACAAATCTAGTCGAATCTAAAAACATCAATTAAAAATTCCCAGGAGTTCAAACTGAGCTACGCAAACTTCCAGAGCTCTCTGATTCTATTTCACACATCTACATTGATAATTAAATAGTGATCAGTGTCAATAGAGCACAAATGCTTCAAAACATATCGCCACATTTTTAAATTTATTTTCTCGGTCCAATCAGTCACTTTTTGCAGTTCATTCTTTTCCAATCTAGTCCATTCCGATGAGAACATCAGAATTTCAAACAAAACAAAGGAGAGGCGCATCGCGTCTAGTCGCCTCAAAACTCCGATCACTTCAGGTGTGATCCGTTTGTTAGAAACAAAAAAAGCAAGAAAAAAAATGTTGCCGTCGTGTTTGACCAAACACATTCTTTCGGCCGACGAGACATGGATAGGCAAACAAAATTGAGTCTTTTTTTTTTGAATTAAAACGTTGCGCTTTCTAACAATAAAAAGATAATTTCAAGTAAAGTGTGGAAAGGCTTGAGTTGTCTGTCATTATAGTCATCAGCGGATCTGCCTTTTTCAAGAAGAAAATTTGAAAATAAAAAAAGCGTTAGAAAGTAGAGTTTTGAACACATTTTCCCATTATTTTTTTCTAAAATAAATAGATTTCAATAAATTCAGTTAAACTGAAAACTGAGATTCTTCAAAAAGCTTGCTCCAACCTGAAATAATTGAGAAAAAAAACAGCTTAAAAGGTTGGAAAAATTTTTGAAACGAAGCTTTTAAAAAAATTTAGAATTCTAAAAAAACAATTTTTTTCAACTCTTGATCCCTACACAGATTCCATCTCTCGTCGAACATGTTTGGAAACAGTACATAAGGGGTCCGAATCGCGCACGAAAAGACGGTTAACAGTCGCCTTGCGCGGGACCCTCGAATGCCTTCCAAAAAACTTCAAAAAGCTTGGAAAAAAAAGAAGATAGAGTGCAAATTCGGGACAAAGAAGGAGATGCTCCAAGTATGGCGGCCACTCGAGGCGAATCTAACAACGACAAGAAAAGGACCGTTCCAAACATGCTGTTCGATGTTCTTCTGATGAGCATCTTAGGGTGGGTTTTTTTTCCTTCTATTTTTATCCTGAATCTTAAAAGAGTCCCAAGGGATCAAAACTATTGGATACAATGCAATAGAGGTCAAAGTTAAGAATTTACATAAATTATGGCGGGATATTGTTTTGAAAAGCTAATGTTTTTTGTCGTGTAATTATTTATTGAGGAAAACTTGGCAGTTCCCTGGGCAACGACTGGCTGAACAGTGCCTAATGTAAGCTTTACTATAAAAATAGCTGTTCCTAAACAAGCGGCTTTCAAGAAAATTTCGCAGTTCCTTGAGCAACGACTAACTGAAGGGAACCTAATGCAAACTTTACTAAAAATGGCAGCGCCTAAATAGGCAGCCTTTAAGAAAAATTGACAGTTTCTTCTTCAGCACCTGGTAAGCGTGAAGTTTCAGCTGGATGGTTCTTCTTTCATGGAAAAAGTTATCATAAATGCACAAAAATTCCAAAAAGTAGGTCCCGGATAAGTTTCTTTTCTACGATCCTGATAGTAGGAAAGGCAATATTTTTAAATTCTCAGTCATTAAAACCAATGCCTTCGATTCGTCCCATTCTATTAAAAGCCAAGGGTTCCATTGATAGAAAGTAAAAAAAGAGCTCCGCCAAAGCTTATCAATCCTTTTTTATTGTGTTTTCTTTGGCGTAGTGGGGAATCTTCGCAAATGAGCTCGAAAAATGTCGAGGTGTTTGCACAACCCGGAGAAGAGCCACCGGCCGATTTCCACCCGGTTTCAGCGCATCTCCATCGCCGATTTGCCGCCGGCAACGCCGTGTTACGTCATTTTGTGGTTACAAGGCACCAGAAAAAAACACAGAAAAAAAAAATCTAGAAAGACGTGGACCTTCGCTGTTTTTGTGACTTGTGCTTGTAATTTATGGTTTTCGTTAGAAAAAAATGATGAATTCTATTTTTTTTTGTAAATTCAACGTCTCGCCTCAACTATACAGTGTGGCAGTAGCATTTCAAGTACTACTAAAGTTTTTAAAAATTCAAGTTATTTAAACTTTCCGACTAGAAAAATTAATAAAGAAAAAGTCGCAGTTTAATAGAGTACATTCATGGAAAAAGTTAACAACGATTAAATTTCAATATTCAAAAATTCAAAAAACCTAAAACTTTCTTCTGAAATAACAAAACTAGACCCTTAACTTTCAAAACTCAAACGCCTTAAAAATTATCTCACTTATAGAAGCTTCAATATTTCATAAATCCTAACGTAAAATCTTCGTTTCTTTCTATTTGCTTCTTCTCAATTTTGCAAAAAAAAGACTTCCCGACGAATAAACGCTTCCAACAAAACAAGAAACAACGGCGAGAGCGTTTGAGGAAAAGATTGAACATGGAAATCGAACCCAGAGCCGAAACGCGACACCTACACAGGCAAATACCAAAACACAAAAAGGTGCCGCCGACCGTTCAGGATGGAAATCACTACCGTATTTGTGCTAATGCAAAATTCTCGATTTCTTCATTTAATGTCAATTCAATCGAGCATGTCTCGACCCAAAATCCATAAGAAGACTCTCAAGAAAATCAAATTTATTCCATTGAAGGGAGAAATTACTAGGATCATCTTCTACTCCTAGTAATTCAAAGAATGGAGCTAAGCATCATTTTCGGAAAAATTGAAATGAGCTCAAATTGAGAATTTAAAAAAACAATAGAAAAAAGTGCCTGGAGCAACACGGCCAATAAGTGTCGCCGTCTTGAGATGGCCGGTTTTTTCTTCTTCCTTTTTGCCGACCACAAACTCCACAGGCAAAAGAAGAAAAAAGGTGTTGGCGTGAAACATCAACACCAAATAGTGTGTTTGGATGGCTTGGATTACGGCAAAGCAGATCTTAAGAAAAACTACGATTCTAGAGAATATTCTGGTCAGGAAAAGCTTGATTTTCAGAGTCAATTCCAACAAAAAACTCTAAGAACATAGAAAAAAGGACCGGAAAAAGCGTGAGTCATAAATTGACGTCAGGAACAAGTACGTGGAAAACCGGGCAGAGCTTCAAAGTCCAATAAAAAAATATTTGGTCTCGCTAATCACTGAATTAAAATGAGAGAGTAAAGTGAATTTCAAGTTTTTCGAAGTAAAATTGGTAATAAAACTTCCCAGTATGAGTTTGGCTAGTTAGCTTGAGGAGAAAACCTCGTTTCGGCTAGTATATAAAGTAGTAAGGTTGAAATGCATTTTTCCTACTGTCCAATCTTTTAATCTCTAAATTTTTTTTTCAAGAGAGGAAGATATACTGCATGCCTGAGATGCGCTTTAGACAGTGGAGTCCCTTTCGATTAAAAACTTTCTTAGCCGTACTTCTGTTAGAAGAACCATTTCAGAAGTCCTTCACCCTTCTTACGACAGAAGGATCTTTAAGAAACCTCGGTCCAAGCATTCAGATTTGAAAATTGCTGTTTAGCCATACTGAAATTCTCCAGCAGCACCTTCCTAAGTTGTTCACGTCTTTACTGAAACTGGGAGTACACCAGCTTGAGGTTTTCGCTTTGAAAATGCTGGTTTAGTCGGACAGGTTTTCACTCCAGAAGACATCTACCTTTTTTGAATTTATAAGGTCTAGAAGAAGCGTCAGAACTTTCAGATTCTCATCACTGTCTAGCCAAACTGACATCAAACTTTCAGTGATACCTTTTTAAGTCAAAAGGCACCTGACGAAGAAACCATATGCCTTACAAGACTAAAGTGCAAATACAAAAGCTCAAATTCCCACGGCGTGTTTGGATTGCCATCCAACACTTATCACAAACGCACATAGGAGAAAGATCGGAATGTCGATTCTGTGTTTTGCAGAAGAGACGGAGAAGCCGAAGAAGAAGATGAGGAAGACGGAGAAGAAACGTCAGAGTCGGGTGCAATGATATCCGGAAAGATGAGTCAGGCCAGACCAGTCCGGTGGCCATCGCCGGAGGCCGCGACGCGGCCCAACCGCGATGGGCGGCCGCTTCGGCCTCCATCGTATAAAAGCCTCGCCGACGACGGGTTTCAACGCAGAGCAGCAGCACCTTCTCAACTGAGTCAACTGATTATCAGCTCCTCCTTCTTATCATCCCCAAAAATAGCCGCATTTGAAATGGCTCGCCGCGCTTACCTTCTTTTCGTCGCCTGCGCCCTTGCGACCACGGCATTCGCCACTGAGGCTACCACCGCCGAACCAGCTGAAATCACCGAGGTACCTTTTCCTCTCTCTTTTTTACTTGTATTATTTTTCAAACTTTATTTTGTTTTGAAACATCTCTTTTATTGAACTTGAGCCTGCTGGCAATGCCACCGAGTATTTTTGAATTTTCTGTGTTTTGAAATTAGCTGGAAAGAGCCTTTTTTGAGCTCGGCTATTTCGTGATAACCTTCATGAACAAACATTGGAGCAAAAAATGTTTCTTGTCTTTTTCTGTAGAAAGCTTTTTTTCCACCTGAGTATGCTTATCAATTTTTTTAAAAATAGTTCTTCTCGAACTGGAATTTTTGAAAAGCTCATTTTCAAGCCTGAGACCATTCTTGGTCGATTGAGAATCTTTTAATGTATATAGTCTGATAATATATTCCAAAATCTTTTTTTTAGCCTACTTCTACAGCAAATAAAAATGCTTGGAGCAATTTTTTGCGTTAAAAATTTTATATCCAAATTTTCTTCTTCATCTCCCTATTTTTTCAATATGCCTCAACTTGGAGCTCGTTTTGAAAAATGTAAAATTTTCATATTTGCAAGCTTCAACTAAATTTGAGCCCAGTCTTAAAAAGGGAATTTCCAATTATTTGTTGTTTTTTGGAGCCAATCTACCAGAGAGACCTTGTAGAACCAAAATTGAATCATAATTCTTCCTGTAGACAGACGAAATTTCGTCCCGAAAAGGCCAAAAAATCAGGTCCAGGAAAAGAATACAGAAGCTATTTGGACCTCGAGTATACACCACCCGAAATAGCTAGCCGAAAAAGCTCGGCGGTCACAAGAGAGCGAAACACACAAAGCGAGGGAGAGATTCCTGACGCTTCAAGAGAATGAGAGGCTCAACAGTGGTCACTGAACGGTCCATTGTTTTAACACTGAGTGAGCATCTCTCTCACTATCTCTTCTCTCAGACGGCCGTGTTGGACAAATATTGTTTTGAGAGGTCACATGCCAGTCAAAACGAGAAGCTCCAACTTGAAATGTGCAGGCTTAGGAACATAATTAGGAGCCAATCCCAAGTTCAGAAAATCAAAAAACTGACTTTGACCTTTTTTTTCGATACACAATTTAGTTTCAGAAACACATTTTATTTCTAGCTTCAATTATAATTCGAAATCTCTTCTAATGTCTCTTTCTAGAGAGCAGACATTAAGAAACTTGGGCATCCCTTATAACCTTACTCAGACATTAGCTCTCGAGCTTTCAAGCTTCAATTCACAATCGGAGACATACTCAAGCCGAACTTCTGATTTCAAACTTTTTTTTTCAGTCGAACAGCACCCTTGTGTTGTCTCGTGCCAAGAGACAGTGCTGCTCGTCCTCCTCCAACTCGTGCTGCAACCAACAGCAGACGCAGACCCTCCAGTGCGTGCCCGTCTGTATCCAGCAGTGTCAAAGCGCCTGCCAGACTCAGCAGTGCTCCAACCAGTGCGGTAACTCCTGCCAGCAGCAGTGCGGCGGTAACAACAACCAGGTTTGTCAAACCCGTTTTATCCTATCTAAATATGATTCCTGATTCAGCAGGTCATCGTCCTCCAGCAGCAGCAGCAGCAGAACTCTTGCAACCAATGCCAGTCTTCCTGCCAGAGCTCTTGCGCTACCCCCGTCTGCCAGCAGACCTGCCAAGCTAGCTGCGCTCCTCAGTGCGGACAGCAGCCTCCTCAGGTAAATCAGTTCATCAGACTTTAGCTTCTCTCAAAAATGGTTAGCAAAGAGTTTGAAACTTCAAAAAATCCAGAATGTTCAGCCATAGTCAAGGAAACACTAGAAAGACAATCAACGAGCCGAAACCTTCAGGTGATCGTCCTCCCAGCCCAGCAGAACCAGTGCAACTCGTGCCAGCAGACCTGCCAACAGTCGTGCCCATCCTGCAACTGCCAGTCCGCTTGCCAGCCCGCCTGCGGAAACAACAACAACAACAACCAGCAGATCATCATCGTCCAGCAAGATAACAGCTGCCAGAGCTCCTGCAACAACCAATGCCAGTCGGCCTGCAGTACTCCAGTCTGCCAGTCCTCGTGCCAGGCTTCGTGCAACCAGGCTTGCGCCCCGACCTGCCAGCCTCAGTGCATGCCATCGTGCCAGTCGTCCTGCACGCAGAACCAGCCACCAATCGTCATCGTCGCTCAGCAGGGTGACTCGTGCTCCAGCTCGTGCTCCAACCAGTGCCAGTCGGCCTGCCCAACTCCGTCGTGCACTTCAAGCTGCACCAACCAGTGCCAGTCTCAGTGCGGCTGCCAGGGCAACAGCTGCAACCAGCAGCAGCCTCAGCAGGTCATCGTTGTTCAGCAACAACAGGACAGCTGTCAGAACTCCTGCCAGTCGAGCTGCATGAACACGTGCCAGCAGTCGAGCACCGTCCTCTCCTGCCAGCCAATCTGCCAGCAGACCTGCGCCTCGACCTGCCAGCAGGCCTCTCAGATCGTCGTGAGTTCCCACAGCCCCGATTTCTCCCACGAATTGTCTCAACTTCAGGTTCCATGCCAGACCTCGTCCAGCGGCTGCGGATGCTCTTCCGGCTACACCCAGTGCGGAGGATCGTGCTGCCGTCGGCGCTAAATTATTTCTCCAATCCCTTGATCGATCGCGCATCTCTCCACCATGTCTGTACATTTCTTGATAGACACAAATGCAGTTAATAATATTTCTTGTTTAAAATAAGGCTCAACTGAAGTTATTAATTAAAATTTTTATCTTCTTGACTAACAAGTAATGTTGTCAGAGAGAAAATTATTGAATAATTTCTAATAAAGTCATTTATTTAACACTTGTTTTTGTCTGAATATGAACCGATACAAGAAATTGGAAGATGACTGGGAAACACGGTTTTGGGCTGAGTTCAAATAAGTTCGTCGTTTAATTTTATAATCGATCATTCCAAACATCTAAAGTCTTGAAAATAAGCTCAACAAAAATCAGAAATTTATGAAAAAAACCCATGATTTCTGAACTCGGTAAAATTTAGTTTTCGACCTGTAGTGAGAAAAAATGAATAAAAGACATATCAATAAAATCGAATACTGTAACGAGCAAACATATCTGATTCTTGGAACAAAAAAAATCCCGAGTTCTGAAGACCGGAGTCAGTTGGAAATTATCAGACTTGAAGATTTGTAAGACATTTCTGGCTTTAAAAAAAACCAAGCAGCTGTGAAAGTCCAGAAATGCTTGAAAGCTCACTCAACCAGAACGACGCCTTTTGTGAAAACGAAGCAATCCAATAATAAAATAGCACTTCCAGAAATATCTAGAAATGCATTAAAACTAATAAAACGTCAAGTAGTCCTCATTACAAGTTAAAAGAAGTCGTCGTGGCGATGGCAACGGATGTGGTGCAAGAAGAACGGGCCGTCGAGGAGCTGGCCAACAAACTGGAGTCCACCAACCTCTACCAGGTCCATTCCTTCTCAAAATTTAGTTCAAGCTGAACTTTTTTCTCATTCTAGGACTACAAAATTATTCCGGAGTTGAGCGAAGAAGAGCAAAAGCTACTGGACGAGGAAATCGCCAAGAGGCCGAAGACCAATATGCCCCAAGCCGTCGACTTTCCACTTCACGATATTGTCAAGGAGCTCAAACTTGACCGTGCGTGCCAAATTTTAAATTTTATATAAATTCGTCGTAATTATCACTAACAGTTAAAAAAAAACCAGGAAAATATATGAAAACCAAAAATCGACCTAAAATCCTTATCCCTTTTCCAGAACCTCAAGAATCGGACCCAGAATTTTACGAAGATCTCAAGACTCAACCAGCGACAATTTACCTTGAAATGAAAGATGTTCCTGATGCGATCGGCAAGAAATACGTTCCGGTTTGTTACTTTGTGAAAAAAGTACAAGGTATCCCTAGGACTTGGCACGGAGATTTGTCGAAACGGAGAGACGTATCAAGACGATGGAGCGAATGTTGCAAGCTCTGCCCCGACCAGATCGGAGCTTGGAGGATGATAGGTATCAGTAATCTTGAAAAACGGAAAAAAAATAGTATAGAATAAATAACTAGCTAGGACGGCAGAATTTTTCCAAAGGTGGGTTGTCAATTTTTTTGACGGTCTTGTAGTGGATCCTCATTATCTTTCTGTTTTTAATTATACTTTTTTTCTAATTCTCAAAAAAATATTTTAGGAAGCTTTAATAATCTTAAAGTTGAAAGTTCTCTCAAGTAGCTGTCATTAGGAATCTCCATCAAGACTTACAAAATTGTTTCAAAAAAATGACGGCGCCTAATCTGAGGTTGCTTAAAATATGAGCGCTTAAATATGAACCTTTCAAGTTTAAAGAAAAAAATTAGTTTTCATAGACCAATATGTATATAGCGGAATACTAATGTCAACTTTAATTTTACAAACATTTCCGAACCATCAAGTGGAATCTCCTTTTTGGTATAGCGAAAAATTAGATGAAAATGTCTTTAAACACAAAAATTCCTGCTAAAGCTAATTTTAAGCTATCACTTCCTTTCTCAACTCCACATTATAGATTCGAAATCCTGACGGAAGTGCTCGACAAAGCCTGCCAGGGGTTGGAGATTTGGGAGACCCACTGCGTGAGTTTCTCTTCAAATTTCACACAAAAACCAACTTTTTCAGGAGCGCAACATTCCCATTGGCAAACGGCTCTACCTCGAAGGCCAACTGGTCCATTTGATCAACTCCAAGTTTGACATAATCGAGAAGATTTGCAAAGAGTTTCATAAGCTCAAGGACAAGAGGGACGAGGTCAACAATGAGCGAGAGGTTCGGAAAAGATTTTCTTTCGTCGATACGGTTCAAAATAATTCTCTAATGAATGGAAATTTGAATCGGAATAACACAGAGAAGGTCAAAAAATTGATTTTTCCATTCTTTTTTGGCGTCCTACAAGTTTTACGCTCTTTATAAAGCTTTTAAAAAGTATATATCGAACTTTTACGCTCAAATTACTTTTCAGTGGCTTCGCTACGAGATCCGCCACTGCGACATGATGTTCACTGAAATTCACGAACGTCTGCTCAAGTCGTACATCGGGATGGAGTGGTGATCAACTTATTCTCATCGAAAAACAACAACTTGTGGTTGCCTTCCTCCAAAAAAGCCTTTCTTCAGTTTTTTTTTTCCTCTCAAATAAAATGTTGGAACTGAAAAAGCAATGAAAATCTCCATGATGATTGCCGGGGGCAACGGCCGGAAAATCGTCTTTTAGAGGGCTTCAAAAATTCATTTGGAAAATAAATCGGAATGGATTTTCCAAGACACTTGCTTATATTCTACTTGGCTGTGATTATCATGTTTTTATTGTGTTTTGTACTGAGTCCGCGGTGAGGATTTTTTCGATTCTTTAGGAATTGTTTTTTCGATTGACTAGCCGTAGAGCATCTGTCGAATGAAAAAAGCGAAAAAGACTTTTTTTTTTGAGACTTTTAATTATTCGAAACAAATAGAATGAAGAATAGGAAAGAAAAACTTTATCATGAATGTAGTAAAGAATTTTATGAAACAGATTGATGCTGAAGAATGAGAGATACGACGAGGAAGACAGGCTCAATGAGGAGATCGATTTCGCCGTTGACGTGAGGCTTGAAAAAGAGGATTTTCAAAAATTCGAAAGTAGCGAGAAAAAAGTTTTCATTAGTTCAAAAACAAGTTTCTTTCACTAAAACCACTCCTCGCTGAAAACTTTATTCATCGCAACTTGTGATTCCGTGGAGTGCTGTACCGCAGAAGCGGTCCTAGAGTGATTTTTTCACTTCGAGCCGTTCTTGAGCGTCAAATTTGGAGCAAAGTTAATTTATCAATAACTTTCTTTGTCTATTAGTTTACGGATGAAGATCAAAAAATGTTGGCAAAAGTCGACTCCATCAAAATGAAGTTATTCCCTCGGAACTGTTTTAACAATAAGAACTGTAAAAACTCAGAAACGTTTAGAGCCCTGTGAGATATACTACCGTATCAGGTGAAGCTCTGAGGTGGTTTGCAAACGGTTCAAACATCACGCAAGCAGAGGGTTCGGTTTTTTGTGGCTTTATCTTGAAAATATAATTTTTTTTCAATCTGTTATGCAATTATTGCCCAAGAAAATGCTTGTAGATGAACTCAGCATGATAAATATAACCTCTATTCTAAATTGTATTCCGAAGTTAATTTTCAAAAATTAGAATGTCAGAATCAATTAGAAAGCTGTTCACTTCCAAAACTGACCTATTGACAAAAAAAAGCTTCCTCCTCACTTAAAAATCCTCAATCACTTAAAATCTTCAATCACATGCACTTAAAATTCATTTAAATCACTTAAAAATTTCAAAAAAACTTCAATTATCTAACTAAGCTTCAGAACACCTCGCCTCCTACTACTACAACTTCTCAACAACGATTCTCGAGTTACAGTGGTCCAGGGACTTCAGACGCCGTTGGACTTTGTTGAACAGGTTGAAAATTCTAGTTTTCTTTAGAACTTCCATTTTCAACTGTGAAATAACCCATTTCTGCCTCGAAAACCTTCAAGATCCTCATTTTATTTTTTTTCAAAGAAGGCATTTTCAGCATTTGGTTCTCGTTCAACAACGTCATGTCCTTGTCCTACACAAGTGCTTTGATTGCCCGAGAAAACAGAACAAAATCCATTGCGGAAGGGCAAAGATTCGTCGGATTGTTTCTGGGCACGGCTTCCATAGGTGAAAAATTCAAAAAGTCTGTTCATTCAATAACAACCTTCCACAGCATTGTATTTACTTGAAAAATTGAGCTTCAAAAAGACTTTGAAGAAATTGAAAAGCCAATAAAGCAAATCTTCAGGAGCAACCGTTGCCAGCATCTACGTGGTCTTCGAATTCCTGACGCATTATTTGATCGTTCGCAGGAAAAGCAAAACGAATACGAATAAGAAAAGTGACTACGAGAAACTGATAAGAAACAAGTAAATTTTTGATTCGATCAAGATAGGAAAAAATGTATAACTCAGGGATCTCATCATTTTTCTACTTGCTACAATCTACTGTGTGCTGATATTGGGAACCTGTGAGCGATATTTTGAAACATTAAAAAAATTAAACTTCAAAGAAAACTTGATTAACAAAGCTTTGACGCTAATTTTGATAATTTGATATCCAACAGCTTCAAAAAACTTAAAATTGTCATAAATTATATTTATTAATCGAATAGAACATGGTTTTTCGTGACTAGGGGAATAGGGCTAACCTCCGAAATGAGCTCAGTCGGAGACACTGCAATTTTCGAATTTGAGTGCCTCTAACTTTTTTCATAAACGGTTTTTGATTCTAGAGTTGGAAGCAGCGTGAAAAACTAAATCTAGTGAAGCCAGTCTTATTCAGAACTACCACTGTAAGCTCAATCTCTATAAGAGATGATGCCTAAACTGACAAAAAAGGAGCAAAATCACACACTTTAAAGATTTCAGTAACGCTCTTGGCTCGGAAAAAGGACAATTGGTCTTGGGATCAAGCGATTCGTTATATCATTTGCATCTGGATTGGCGGTTACCCGCAGGAAATGTACACGCCGAGATCAATTTACGCCGCCGAAGTGAGTCTTTAGAGAATCAAAGTCTCGATTTTCAACTTCCTATTTTGAAACAGAGAGAAAACCGACCAGCACTCTATTTTCAATGGCTTAACGTCTCTCAAAACTAAAGTTACATCTAAAAATACATTGAGAAGGGATCTTGAAGTTCATCTGTAAAAAATATCGATAGTGGTAAATCGGATTATATTCTGACCAGTTTCTTGTGGCTCAAAAGTCATAGCTACGGTTTGTTAAATTTGCAATTTTTTTTTTGCTCAAAGGCACAAGCGCAGTGGAAAAACAGGGTCTCTCTGACCTTGGTAACACGAATCGGACGTTTTTGAGCATTTCTATTGACCACCTTGGTGGCGTTCGCTCTCTTAAGTGGTCCCTAGAACTGCTCAGAAACGTCCGGGGCGGGTCCGGTCTCCATTACCGAGATATGAGTTATTTAAAATAGAAAATAGAGCAAATTTACCGCAAAACGCGCTTTTGGCGGGAGCTCAAATTTCTCTTTTTCTTAATAATCAGGAAAAAAAAAATATATTTTATTCGATACACAATAAAATGCAACGGCGTATTTATCTCAAACCGAATTTTTTTTTGCTCATATGCCTTTGATAAATGCTACTTTAACTTCAAATCAAATCGGGCTCAAATTTCAAAATCGAAAAACCAAATGAAAGCCTGATGCTATCCTTTCTAGAAAAAATTTTTGGACACCAAAACTTCATTTGAAATTTTCTAAGGAGCATTTTCATGCTTCAAAGTTATCAGTAACAACTTCAATAATAGAAATGAAAAATATCACAATATCGTAATTTCCGCCGCAATTTTATAACTGTCACGCCTTTCTACTCAATCTCTACAAAATCTATCAACCCTAACCATTTTCTCAACTCCAGATGACCTTCCGAAGTCTGTCCCTTCAAATCGCCCTCCATTTCCACGTCTTCACTTGCCAATCCCTTTTCCTTTTCACCAGCGTCCGAGCGATCAACTCCATCATAACAGTTCGTTATTTATTAGTTTTTTTTAGAGCTAAACTACCAAGATACATGATTTTACAGGCTCGCGAGAACAACTACCTGGATTGACCATAAAAATGCTCCTTTTTTTTGTGAATTGAACTGCAAAAAAGACGAAAATAAATACACACCATGTTGATCGTTCAGCTCTGCCGAAGTGGCTTGCATTCACATTCTTGCTTTTCATTGCAGTAGAGACGATTCGATTTGCAGGCCTGGAGTGATATTTTTATAAAAAAAAAAGTTGGAGAAAGGTCAAAAGTTTTTGAAAAACATGACATTCATTCTTTATTATGGTTTTATGAGAAAAAAACAATTTTTTTCAAATTGATACGGGAACAATTTGAAGATAAGAAGTTTTTTAAAAAAATTATTTTCTCGAAATTCATTTACAGCAAACCTCGAGTTCAAAAAAACTTCCTTAATCAAAAATACTTCCCGCCCGAAAAAAATATTTGGAAGCTCTCGAAGCCAAATTTTCGTTGGCTTCAGTTCATTAAGAAAAAAACCAACAAAATATAAAATGGAAGAAATTAAAATCTAAAAATGATTTTTACAAAAAGAACTTTACAAGTCTGGTTATGAAAATAATTCGATTTTAGTCGTGAAGAAAAAAAAATCTAAACTTCTAAAAAAAAGAATCTGAAAAGGTTATTCCGAAACTCACATAATACAGTAAAACGGTGCAGAGCCAATCGGCACAAAATCCAAAAGCCGTCGTGCTGGCTATTAAATTGAGGAAAAATACAATTCTCAAAGCCCAGAACATGACCACCACAGGGAGCTCTCTACAAGTTTTAAATTGGAAAGCGGTCTTCAAAAAAAATTCAAAAAATTACGCGAATTTTCTGAAAAAAAAAACTGTTCAACATTTTCTCCAGACTTTTCAAACACATGAAAAAATGCCCAAGCTACAAGAAAATACCCTTCCAGCATTTTTCAAAATAATAAATGAGATCAATCTTAAAAAAATACTGGCGCTTCCGACGTATTACTCTCAAAAAAAAAAATGAAACAAGGTTAAAGGTAAACTTTATAAAACAATTCACAAAAATACCCAAATTTTTTTACAGTAAATAGCATGCTTTCAAGGAAAAAAATGTACAAATCTTTTTAAATTTTGCAATAAATTGGACAATTTTTCACTTATTAGATTCAAATTTTATCAAGAGTGAGGTAGTTGAGGAGTAGAGAAACGAGAAAACGGGCAATTTCGCCCACGAGAAGATCCGCACGTGATGAAATGCCCGTTAGAAGGAGGGAAACGGGTGGTAGGACAAAGATGCAAATCTGAAAGACTTTAACTTAATGAGAAAGTTGGGGAAAATTCTAAAAACTTTCCGGAAATTCAATTGAACTTTCGAAATTGCAGAAAGGTGAACTTCTTCGAAGGTTTTTTTTTAATGAAAAAAAATTTTTTAAAAAATCTTCAAATTATGTAATTTTGAAAATTTCTTATAAACTTTTAATCAAACTAACATTTAATTGATGATTTCCGTTATTCAACGATTATGCATCCTCAAAATAATTTTTTTTAATTCCAAATTTTAAGTCGAACTTTCTGTAAGTCATCCATTAAATTCTTAAAGGGATGAGTGAAAAAACAATAAAGAAACGATAACTGAAACACCGATATTTTGAGAACAAAAAAAATTGAACGAACATAAACGAGCAACTGGATAAAGTGGCCCAAGTAGGGACGTCGATCGAAATATTCCTCGATATCCCAACAACCTTCCCAATTTATCGGCTAAATATCGAGATTAAAAATTCACTTCAAAAATGAGGAGCAACTTTTTCACAAAAGGACGATCCACATGAGAAGATATTCCGTTTCAGCACTTCTTCCTCTTGGATAACTTCTTTTTTCATCGGCGAATCCGGTCTGAAAACATTTTCACACCGAAAAAAATTTTTTTATTTTCAAAAAACTTTAACAAGGGGAGAAAATTTAAAACTTGCTAAAACTTGACTGGAAAGAACTCTATCATAAATTTATTACCGAGAAAAAATTCTATTCATTTTATTTCAGCTATTTTACCACTTTCCATTCAAATAGGGAAAGCGAGTAGATATCTGCCAAAAAAACATCAACTAACCAGTACAAATCTAGTAGGAAATTCAAATGATCAAGAAATTTGACGCAAGTTTTTTTCACGTGAAATCCGTGAAATAACGGTTTTTTTAGAATAATCAAATTTGCCTTTGTTATTTAAAAAAATCTAGCGCTATTTTTTTCAAGAATTGAAATTTGACAGCAATGTTAACCCAATAAAATAAAAATTTTTTTCAATTCACCTTGATAATCTAGTTCTGATCCACGAATTCTCTTCGCCATCCTCCGAGTTTCTCCGGAATACCTTCAAAGACAAAATTTTTCCACATTTCTATCTTCAAACTCACACTAAAATCTGTCATAGTATCTTCATCCTCAAACTCGTAAAATGCTTTGTTCATGATATCTGTCTGGAAGGAAACTTTCTGAGTAATCAAGATGAAAATTTATTTTACCCCCGTTGAAGAAACAGAAGAGCAAGAAATTTGTGGTTTCGGCGCTGGGACAGTGTTAAACTTACGAGGGCTCTGAACTTAAGAAACTAATAAGGAAGTGAATATTTTCAGAAGAATTCTTGCTGTTCGAAAAAGCAAAGGTCCAAAAAAATGAATCTCCGCCATGAGACCTTGAAATTCGTCTATCTCCTCTCAACAACGCACAAAGAATTTTTCTAACAATTTGAAAATAAGAAACCAAGTTCGAATGGATTCCTTTGGCGTCCGAGCAACACGACGCGTGCTTTTTGCAAGCACTTCGCAGCAACGGCGTCATGCTTCGAGAAAATTCACACCTAAAAATTTTGCAAAAAAAGCCGCTTTCATCACGAGGAAAAAATAAAGACAAAAAGAATTTTTAAAAAAGCTGTGAAGAGCTCTTAAAGTTGGTAAAGTCTGAAAAATTGTTCGAAGACCTCAAAAATAAAAGCTTTTCTAGAAGTGTACGAAAAGGTACTTCCAAAACTCTTTCTCTCACTTTTTTAAGAGATAAACGACGTCTTTTTCTGGAACAATGGAAAAGTGGTTATGAAAACGAGGAAATCAAGTTTTGAAACCTATAACATATTACCAAGATGGCATGACTGAAAGGAAGACAATCTTGAATTTTCAAACCTCAAAACAGTTTGTCAAAAAACGCTTGCTTTGATGATAGACTATATAAAAGAACGAAAAGAAAAGTAGTTCAGGTTTTGAATCTCAAGTCATAACTAAAACTCCGCCCCTTATGCGCGGATCAAACCAATCACTGAGAGAACCGTCCAAAGAGTGTTCTTGGGAGCAGAATATGCTACTTGAATTTTCAAAATCTGAACAGACTATGATATTCAAAGAAGAATAAGTGAAACTCCCAGTAGGCGCCGTTATTTCTAGACCAGGGGCGTGGCTTGCCTCACCGTAACCTTGTGCAGTGGCGCGCACATGCCTACTTTTCCTCAGTCATTTCCTTTATATTTCCTCATTTTTTTTTTCATTTTCTTTTTCATATTTCTTTTAATTATTACCCTTTGATTTCAATATAACTCCTTCTATTATCTAATTAAACTTTCAATTTTCGAATACATGGTTCTTCTGTCTTTAGTATCGTAGACGAATTTCTTGAGGCCGAAAATCGTTTTTTTAGTTTAAATGAGTGTACGCCATTGCGATTAATTTTATTTTTCGGGGTTCTCCTGCCTTCCCATAAAGATTTTTTTCAAGTCAAAAAAAGTGAATTTCCGTGAAAAAAATGTCCTATTTTTGACAAGTTCAGGCCTTTTTTTCTAGTTTCTTTTTGAACACTTTGCGAATGTGTCCAAAGTTCACAGGAAGAGGACTCCAACTATTTGATGAAATCTACATCGTCGACAACTACTTCTTTTTGTCGAATTAAAAGTTTTATAGTTTATATGCTTTTTATTATCTCCTCGAAGCATAGACTTGAGAAGAACCATATCTTCGAAAATTAAGAATTTATTAATAGAACGAGTTATTTTGAAATCGAAGGTTAATACTTAGAAGAAATATGAAAAAAGAAAACGAAAAAAAAAAAATGAGGAAATATAAAGGAAATGACTGAGGAAAAGTAGGCATGTGCGCGCCACCGCACAAGATTACGGTGAGGCAAGCCACGCCCCTGGTCTAGAAATAACGGCGCCTACTCCCAGTTTTCGCGGAGAAAAGGTTATCTCATTGAAAACTGAGCCAATTTCAAATTTCTCGCCTTCCAACAACACAGCAAGCTGTTCTAAATCTACTATAACTTGAATACCACAAGAAACCGTGAATAAAAAAACACAATAGATCACAAAATAAAAAAATTTGTGAAAATTGCCAGAAAATCAGTTTGGCGAATTACTAAAACGACGAGGAAGACGTCAGTGCGTGTCGATGGCGCAATTCTGGTGCTTTCGAAGCATCTTTGATGCCGTGTTCCATTTGATTCCGCGAAATGCAAAATGATCTCTGACTCTCCAAAATCTAGTGATCTTTTCCTTTCTCTAACGGGTACTTTGCATTTCGCGGAATCAAATTGAACACGGCATGAATTTTCAACAGTTTTGATTTCTTTTTTGAGGATATATAAAAGACTATTTATCTACCGCGTACATGTCAACCTTGTGTGCATATTGATCACCATAAAACATGATTAAATGAACGAATTTCAAAAAATACATAGTAATCAGAGCATAGGAGTGGTTTCTTTGGGGTCATCAACAGGAGATCGTCGGGAGGGCGACAGAAGATGTGGGGGAATTTTGGGAAGCTGTCGCCGTGGAACCGTCGGCGTCAGAATCGGGAACGACATGCCCGGAACGTCCGCAATCTAAAGATCCGTAATTTATTTGAATGTGAATGCAAATTTGATGTTTACCAAGTTGATCGTATGGTACATTGGCCTTGGCGGTCGAGCTTTGGTCAATCTTTTCGTGATAAACTCGTCAATAGGCACGATTTCTGGGTTCAGCCTGCAAATTCGAGCATTACGCGAACTTCAAAGTAAGGGAAAGATTCAATGATATCAAAAACTCACCAAATATAAAACAAAGGATTGAGCAGAGTACTGAAACGGCTGAGGATTGCCGGCACGACAACGTAGGATAAATTGTGAAAGTCGGATTTCATCGGGTTGAGACAGACGACCGAGTAGGCAAAAAATGGCACCACCGACACCAAAAGTCCGCCGAGGCCGATCTGAAGACAAAAAAGTATACTTTTGAAGTGAAAGGAGAATTTGAACCTTGGCAACGTGATTTCTAGGCGCCCAGGGGCAAGCAGTTTGCTGAGTTATCGCCGGATCTTCACGGACTTCGGCCGAGTTTAGTCTGAAAATAATGATTTTTTTTGAATTCTATTAAATATAATTTGAAAGCTTCTGATACAGGAAGATAGGCCCAATGTTCAAAAAACGGCTTCAAAAGCTACTTTTTGAGACACTTCAAAATGGTTTTTGGTCGCAGTAACTTGAAAAAGCCGACAAGCTTTGAGCCATTCCAAATGCGGCCTCGATTTATCAAAAAATCATCGAACGATCGAGAAAAGGTTCAAAAGTTTCATGGATATAATCTGAAAGCTTCGAATGTCAGGAAAAATGGCTAAACCCGTTTCGTTTCAAAAAACGACGTTCTCAAATGCCGGTACGCGCAAGTCGCTATTTGGTCGGGAGCAGTTTCAAAAATCCGGCAAGCTTTGAGCCATTCCAAATGCGCGCATAATTTTCGAAAAAGCATCGAAATAATGTTGAAAGCTAGAAGTATTTTTTATCTTCTTCCTCTTAATTAACTTTTTAACTTCCCCCTCAAGGAATTACTGAAACCGAAAATGTTCAAAGTCCATGAAAAAGGCACTTTTTCACTATTCACTATCCTTTTTCTTCCGAAAACTGACCTCTCAACATGATCAATGATACTGTAATAGAAGGAGCTGGCGACACAGACGGGGATCAAAAAGAAGACCAAACAAGTGGCCGTCAGGAAGGCGATATATCGATGAGCCGTTTGTCTCGTTTCGGGCATCTCGGGTATTATATTGCCCTAAAATCTCTTTTTTTTTTCGAAGGAAAGGGTCTGATGGAAGAATTTCAGTTGACAAGATCAGAAAAGGCCGTTTTTAGGGCTCTAGGCATTAAGAGTAATGTTTTGAAATAGTGTCCGGGAAAAAGCCCGTTGTGCGTCAGAGCGTCTTTTCCTAGACCTTGTCCTACAGTAGTTCAGGATGAAATAGATTCAGTTGCAAAATGAAATCAAAAAATGAAAGCGTTGTGCGTCAGAGCGTCTTTTTCTAGACCTTGTCCTACAGTAGTTCAGGATGAAATAGATTCAGTTGCAAAATAAGATCAAAAAAAAAAAATCTTAGTGCGTCAGAGCGTCGTTTTTTGGACCTTGTCCGTTTGTAGCTCAGGATGACAAAGATTCAGTTGCAAAATAGAATCGAAAAAAATGCGTTGTGCGTCAGAGCGTCTTTTCTGGACCTTGTCCTACAATAGTTCAGGATGAAAAAGATTCAGTTGCAAAATAAGATCAAAAAAAAGATCTTAGTGCGTCAGAGCGTCTTGTTCAAGGCGTATTTAAATAATCTAATAGTTGATTTTATTTTGTTACTTCTTGTAACCAGAATTCCAAGCTTTTCGTTCTTTTTTTTTGGTTTAAACCTGCCGCCAATCCAGCGAGCAGATGACGTCATCATGGAAGGTACTGTAGCGACCGTAACCCAAAATCGGTACGAGACTCCAGGCCGAGATGACGATCAAAACGCCGACAATGCATTTCAGATAATTTCCATGACATCGCCATTTTCCTAAAAACCTCTTTTTCAAAAATGTGAATTCCAATAAATTCAAATTTTCTTGTGAAATTTAAGTATGAATATTTTTCTCTTCCACAAAATCTTGTTTCCCTCAGAATTGAGGTCGAAAATTCGGAAAATGCGACATATTTCCTTCTTTTTCACACTATAAACGCCTTCTTGTCTTTCATTCTTGCAGTAAGTTCCATAATGATTTGAAATTTCTTTAATTTTTCTACAAACCCTACCCCATTTAGGAGCTATCGTAACAATGTATCGATCGAAAGCGATGATACAAGCCAGAAAAACTTCCATCAGTGATAAAATCATGTCCAGGGAGCCGTAGATAATGCAGTTGGTCGACGTGAAATGACCTCTGGAAAATTCGAAATTTGAACTTTTCAACTTTCAGGATGAAAAAGATTAATCAAAAAACGTGTAACCAACTTTATTCTTATCATTTTTCATCCAATATCATCCAGGAGCATTCTTATCAACTGTAAGGCGAGGGTTTTTCGTATTTTTGAATTTTTGGGGGATTTTTTGACTATTTTGTCACAATTTTCAGCAAATATTTTTTTGAACTCACCCAGTTTTTCTTTCTAATAACACTCCCACATAATTTCTAGTTATTTTATGATCTCTTCTCTTTTTTCGAACTCTAATTACACCGCTCGAAAACTTAAAAAACAGCCGAATATATTTTTTTCTCACCAAAATTTTGATCTCTACTGGATGAGTAACTGAGAATTTAGCACTGTGTTTTGAAAAAGTTATTCATATAAAAGTAAATTTTCACCCTTTTCAAATCAAGCTTTCGGAAACAATATTCGAATGAATCAAGGTTTTAGAAATGTGTTTATTGAAGGTCGCATTTGGAATGGCTAGGCTGTTGCTTTGAGATGCAGCCGACTTGAATCGCCTTTCACAGCTGGATATCATAAAGCACTGGAAAATATTTAGCTTGAACCGCGACGCTCTGAACCATTCCAAGTGCGACCACAATGTAAAATCTAATTTTTCCTATAGAACGGCTATTCCCCTCAAATAATACTTTTTTCGAATTTCTTCAGAATTCAGCCTCGAACTATACACATTCACATACAACTCTGACTTATTTTCTCTTCCGAAAAAAAAAAATTCTGTCTAGACCAGAGGGCCATCCGGATGTCAGTCTTTCTGTTGGCCCCGGAAACTTTGAGCCAAGACACATTTTTTTTTTCTCTGTTTCTGGTCCTCGGTCAGATCGCAACAACCGCAATTACACATATATTCGGGCCAAAAATAAATGTTCCGCTTTTCGGCGAACATTTTTCGGAGAACTTTGACCAGCTCTTTTGAATATATTATCGAAAAATATTAGTATGTTAAAACGTGAGCTACAAAAAGCGTCATCTTGCATGTTTTAGATGAAAGATTGAAGTTTGAAGGTCAGGAAAGTCCACATCATGAAAAATAGGTTCAATCCGGTTACCTTTAATTTATTAGATCAAAAATGATGTATGTGACAAACTTAAAGGCTGATTTATTGTAAAGTCTAATAAAATTCCTTCGCGCAAATTTAATAATCAAACGGGAACTTGATTGAAGAAAATCAAACATTCAAACCTTAGGAAAAGAAATCAAGGAAAGCACAGTTTTTGATCTTCAAACCTATTTTTATTCTCAAAAAGGCATCTTCAGCGAAATTCGCCGTTGTGATACGTCTATTGAGAATAGCTTTTTTAAAAATTAACATATTTTACAGTTCAAAAAGATGTGGATTCAAAAAAAGTTATCTCTAAAAAAAACCTTTAAAACCGCATTTCCCGACCTTCAAACCTTCAAAACCCATTTTTGATTTCCCGGAAAAGCCCTAAAAGGCCTAAGACCTTTGACAAACGTTCTTGGAAACCTCTCTCTGAAGTAACCCGACTCCCATAATCTCCGAGATTACCCCGCAAGAGAAGTGATTGAAACGTTTCCGCGGCGCGCATTTGCCTGACCCAAAAATGATTGACGGCCCCTTTTTTCCGGCCATTTATTCAACACAGGACGATGGAATCGCCGTTTTCTTTTATGAAAGTCTGAGTATATCTCGACGTAAAAAAGGAGAAAACGAACAAAAAACTCTCAAAATTCCGTTTTTCTCTCGATTTGAGCTCATTTTCATAGTTTTTATTTCAAACCCGTTCAAAATCCCAACAAAAAAACCAACTTCTCGGTCACGAAATTGTAAATCGGGGCGACAAAGAGCAAAGATAACAAAATGTCGACGACTAGGAGCCATAGCAACGGTTGTATACTCGGGTTTGAACTGAAAAATCGAAATAAAATTGATTTTTGTTCAGAAAGCTGGGAATGAATAATTGATTGTTTCCTTTGAGTTTCAAATTTTTAATTCACACCTTTTCAAAAATTTCTTTGATTTTTTTTTGACACTTTTTAACTTCCTTAAAGAGGAATTTCTTACACGGGCAAAGTCCAAAAGGTCTCAAAGGCGCCTTTATTTCTAGATTTTTCGAAAGGACCTTATAAGAAGGTTTTAAAAAAGGCGGAAAAAAAGGAGATTCCGAGTGACTTTTTGACACCTTTTTTTAGTTACTTAAAAAAAGCTTTAGGCTCTTCTTTTTTTAAGGGCTTTTTGGGGTCGTTTGGACTTTGTCTGTGGCGAGAAAAACGGGTTTGAAAGAATAAAAAAAGTTTTTTTCAGAAAAATTGAGAATATTAATCGAAATCAACTATTTACCGTAAAGAAGCAGCTTCTCTTTTGCGCAAAACCAACGGTAGCGATATCAAATTGAAAAGGACCGGGACCGCGCCTGAAAAATGGATCATTTTTCATAGTTTTTAAGTTCATTTCAAACCTTTTTTTTCTTTTGGGAACTGTCTCAATTTAAAAATTTCATGATGAGACTTGAAAAATTCAATAATTCTTGAAAACTCAGAAGTTCGCAACTTCAAGGAATAAAAAAACTGAGCTTTCAAGTCCAAATTTCAGACTCCTTGATGAGATTAATAGTAATTTATAGTCAAATTCTTACATTTTGAAGACTTTTTAAAAGTTAAAAAAACGTTTTTCCATTGTAATTGGCTCTCAAAAAGGCCTTTAAATCTTTTTATTGAAATATACTTGCTTTTAATTTTTTTAAAAAAAGTAAAAAGAAACAGTCATAAAAAAATATTACAAATTCTTTATTTCCTCGCCTCAAAAACTCTTTTTTTCAAGTACTGAACAGAAAAAAATAATAGCCCCTATTCAAAAACGTTCAAAAATACTTCCTTCTCTTGGAAACATCTATTCTGGTTCCTGAACTAAATATTACTTTTTCGCTAAAAAGTACTTTGCCATTATCCCATCAGTGTTAAAAATGCAAGCAAACACCATTTTCACCTGGCTTCCTACGAACTTTATGTATTTTTGATCACTAAGTTTGACAGGTGCAAAAAAAGAAAATTTGCAAGGTACTTCCTTGTATTTTAAATAAATTTCTTTATTCGAGGAGACAAAAATTACACAGGTTTGTGAAAAAAATTGAAGCTTCAAAAAAAGTTTTGTATTTTTTTCCTTCTCAAGAGCTGGGGGAAAAATAGGACAAGTTTATTTGATTTTTAATCGAAAAGAATAAATGAATAATTATCCCTTTTCATTAGAAAAATGACTTTTTTCGGATTTTAAAAAACGTTCAGCAAATTTCTGACTTAAAAATAACTATAAAAAGTCCTTAAAAATGTTTTTTTGCTCTCATCGTAAGACTTAGGAATTTCAGAGTGATCCCTATTGAGTTTAAGGGGAAAAGAGCCTCGACAGGTGTCAAAAAAGTGGTTTCTATAGGGGTTTACGGTCTGACCCGTTAGCCCCTGAAGTGGACCCTGAATGAATTTTCCAATTTTATTCAAAAATCAAAATTATCGACTATCATGTCTTCTTTAGGGCCCAATAACTGAAACCCCTATAGGGACCACCTTTACAAGCTTTATTGACCCCTGTAGTGACCACTAACTAGAAACCCCATAGGTGCCACTTTTACAAGCTTTATTGACCCCTATAGGGGTTGGTAAAATGGTCACTAGAGAGGACCCTCCAATAGGAACCACCCAGGAGTTTTTGAGTATGTTCTCCCTAAACTTCAAAAAACGGAGGAATCTCAACCGCCCCTATTAAAAAGGAAAAGGGAACCAAAACAAGATAATGCGAATTTATTCATAATTTCTCTCTCTCCTCCACCCCCACGATGGAAAAAAAGGAAAGGCTCGTTTCCTCGATATGTTGCATCTATATATTTATATTCGTATTGCTTTCAAGGGATCCAATTCCAGCTGACATAAAACATTCATGCAATTGGGTTAAGCAGCTCCGGCCGCTGGTTACAACCTCCAAAAAAGGAATTTCCGACCTTTTGACAACATGAAAGAGGAGGAGAGAAAAAAAACTGCAAACGGAACGGCGAAATGACTTCCGCCATGTTTTGCCCAATTGTTAGCACTAAAATTGGATACTGTAGTTTGTGAAGGAGTACGCCAGCCTGACTAGAGTATAGTAAAAATTGTTCAGAAAGGAACGTTGTTGAAAATATTAACTTGATTTTTTTGAACGCCTCTAATCCTAAGGAAGCTGCAAATATCACGAAATGATTTTTTTTTTCTAGTTCTCTTCGATTCGACCAAAATATTTTTAGATTAAAGTGGAACTTTATCGAAGTGTAGGAAAACATAATTTTCTTAGTTTTCTTCTTCCACGCCACATATGTGTCTGTGAGCGAATTAAAAAAATTTTTCTTGATTTTTTTATTTAAGAAATGGAAGAGGCTATTTTTTTCCCACTAGAAAACGCTCTATTGCTAAAGTTCATTGAAATTTTGAAAAAAATTGCTTTTTTTAAATCCTATAAACTTCAACCTCTACTTTTTTCCCTGAAACATATTCTATCGATTAAAAAACGCCCATGATTCTCATGATTTTCATTCAAGAAGGTTAAAATCAAAAACGGCTATTTTTTTCCATTCAACAACGCTCTATTGATAAAATTGGTCGAAATTTTTGAAAAAAATTGCTTTTTTTGAACATCTGTTTTCACTGACACATACTCCCTTGATAAAAAGTTAATTTTTTTGAAATTTTTCGAGTTTTTTTATTTTATATTTTTGAACTTAACTTAACTTTTTTTCATTATTTTTCAAAGCGTGCTGGCTTGTCAGAACCCATAAAAAGTTTCAAAATCTAACAAATAAAGTGACGAATTTTTTTTTCAAAGAAAACGTTCTCCATTAGAGAGCACTTTGAAGTAAACGCATTTTTTCTTCTCATATCTAATAATCTATTCAAGAATTATTAAAACTTTTATGCTAATTTTTTTTTCTCCCTAAAGGTTGAACGAACACGGAACAAGGGCTAAGAGGTATTTAGTCGGTTTCAAAATTGCTTTGACGAGAAAAAAAAAGCCGGCGGTTCTTTTTTTTTTCCTTCTTTTTTTGGGGAAATCTCGCGTCAAGATTGCATGTCGAGAGTCGATGACAATTGGGGGCAACTCGTTGCTGAATGAAAAGCCGACAACGAGAAAGGAGGAAAGGCAAAAGTGACGAGGGCCTCGGCAACTCGATTGTTTCTCTCAAAAAGTCAAATCTTGCCCCTCCGATGTTCTTGAGCCGCCAAAATCCTTCTTTTTTTTCTAGTTGGATTTTGAACTTGTCTCGAGAAGTTGAGTGGAGACAAAAAAGCCGCTTTCAAGCAGATCTTGTGCGCTCTATAGCTAAGTATTCCAGTTATGCACATTTCAATTTTTTTTTGTTTCAAAGTTGAGAAAGAAGGAATTAACTTTCACATGAACTTCACGGCAGAATATTAAATTCTACCTACAATCTTTTATTTTCTCTCGAGCCTATTCTTGCTACAATCTCATTAATTTACTTGTGAGCCGTCGAAATATTTTTTTCTTTCGTCGGAGTTGAAAAAAAGGAAAAATTATTGGTGGAAATAGCCGCATGAGCTTAAAACTCATGCGCTCCATGGATAAACAATACATTTTTTTCGAACCTCGGTAACGAGCTCTGGACGTTTCTGAGCAATTCTAGGGATCACTTAAGAGTTTTGCCGAAAAAAAGATTTTTCATATGAAAGAGCTGCCGTTCCTTTTTAAAAAAATGAACTTTTTCGACCAGGATATCTTTTTTTGACTTCATTTAATATTAATCCTCGCCTTTTTAGGACTTCCAAGTTCGCTCTAATAATTAATACCCATTAGGCTTGATTAAAGCGGAAATAAATTATAATTTTTTGATTTTTCTTCCAGTCTTTTTTCTCGTGAAATACTCATTTTTCATGAATTCCTGGACATTTGAAGCTTCAACTATCCATTTTCGAAAGCTAAGATGATGAGGATGTGCGCAGGGGAGTATATCAAATTCACTGTTTCATTTGAGACCCCGGATATATTATTGAAGAAAAATAATATCCTTATGATTCAATGGCAATTCGAAACCATCATAGATCGAAAAACAAGTTTTTTTCAAAAATAAAGACGATTAACGCTGCTTAAATATTGATGTTCAGTTGAGAGGGGAAAAAATAAATGGAAGTTCCATTTCGAATTTTCGGAATTATTCATGGTTTTGAGCTTTGATGAGAAAGAAGACGACGCTGTTTTTTGGGGAAATGATACGCTTTTTTTGGGTCCTCGTAATTTTTTTGAAATTTCTTTATTTTTTTCTTATAGAAAATACACGTTTTTTTCTATCAATCAAGTGGAGAAAATAGCCTGAAAAATCGCAAAAAGCACACTAGATTCGCCCTTTTTTTCGCAATAATTCTTGTTGACCAAAAGAAAATTGAGGGCTTCCTTGACGGGGAAAAAAACGGCAGACATTATATTTTAAATGAAAAAAAAAAACGCCTTATGATGGGATAATCCCATAGATGTATAATATGTTATGAGCAATCTACATGAAAAATTGGGTCTTTTTTTGAAAAAGATGACTGGCATTGAACTTTTTGGATTTTAATAACTGACTAATTCAAGGAAATGAGCTAATATTTCTCATATATTGAAAAGTTACTTACTAAATATGATCAGGTGCAACGTCAATGAAGAATGTAACATCGGAGATCCGAAATCGGGATTTTATCGATCTGAAAAAAATGATAATTTATTTTTTTAATCATTATTTCTAGTTTGATAGATTAGGTAAGAAAACAAATGAAAAAAATTGCATTCAAAGCCTGAAAATCAAAAAGCCTCTAATAACAAAAAAATAAGGAAAACTACAATTTAAAAACACGAAACTTGGAATTTCACAACTGAAAAAAACTCGAGAAAATTCAGAAGCATTTCGGGCTAGAAGAGACCTTTTAAGTGTCGGAAATAGACTTTAAGGTACTTTTTGAACAATAATAAGGTTAGGAAAAATCTGAAAAGGTGTTTCGAAATTTACAAGTCAAAGAAGTTTCGAAGTCAATTTTCAGTTCAAAAAAAGGCTCGAAAGTTCTACTCCGGGAAAAAAAAAACGTCCCGAGGTTGAAGCACGTCTCAAGAGTTTCAGACAAGTTTGATAGCAGAAATTGAAGCTTTCACATATATTCCATAGATCTATGAAAGCTTGGAACCTTCTTAGTACTTCGATTTGTGATTTAGAGTTTCTGAAGGCTAGAGGAATACCTAAAAGCCTCAAATATACTTAAGAGGGCCCTTGAAGCTCGAATTTCTCTCGAGTTGGATCTCTTGAGCAATGGGTAGGTTCAAATTGAAACTTGAGAATTATTGAGCTTTCCTAGAGCTTGATGAGACCCTAAAAGCCTCAATACTTTTTTCAGAAAATTTATCAGGCTAAAAAAATATTACTGAATCTTAACTGGGTAAGATATAAAAAAATCGTTAAATTGACTAAAATGTTCAAAAAAACTCTTCAAAACCTTCAGATAATATTTTTTTGAACTTGATCAGCTTCGAAAATGAGTTATTTCTAACTTAATTAGAAAAATTTCAAGCTCACGAAAGATCCCTAGAACTCTCGAAAGCACTCAGATTTTTTTGAGACGCAAATTACCTTTTACTTGAATAAATTACCTCAAGTAATAAATTCCATATAATTAGGACTAGAGAATTAATAGGCATTCCAATAACTTGAAGGAGGTCTCAACGTTTCATGACCTTTATTGGAGATCTTGAAACTATGGAAAACTCCTTAAGCTGTCCCTAATTCAAGAAAAAAATACACTCTAATGATTTTATTTTTTTATTCGAAAAACCCAAAAAAATCTAAAACTTTTTCCTTTTTTTCATTTCAAAACTGTTCAAGACTCGCTGCAGCTTTCAAAATCAAAACAGGGACTTTTTTTATACCGATCCGAATATTATTTTTTTAAAAATAAATAATCTTCAACAATTTTTTTCGAACTTCGAAAAAAAGTGAAAAAAATAATCATATGCTAAAGGTCGCCTAGAGTTGGGTTGTTATGGCCAGCGGAGCCATTGGAAAAAAAAAATGAGAAAGTGGGAAAATGGGGGCGGAGCGCATTTTCGTGTGGGATCAAGGCTAAGGAGGCGTGGCGAACGGCTTTTCTCAAGAAGAAGGAAAAAAAAAACTCGAGTGTTCCGTTTTTCCGACTACTAGGAAAGGATATAGGCTTGCGAAATTGCAGCATACTGTTTCTAAATTGCAAAATGATGCAGGAAAAAAAAATCGAATTTATTCAAAGAAGAAATTAGAGAAGAAAAATAGACGAAAACGAACGAAACAAATGCGCTCTACGGATAATTTTTTCAACTGACTATACACTTTTGAAGTTATTTTTTTAAAGTACTAATTGGTCAACTAACAAAAAAACTCTAGGAAAAATTCCAAAAAGGAAATTATCAAAAAAACGTAAAAAGCTACCTCTATTTTTAAATTTTTTTGCAGGCTTAACTCTCAGTGAAATCTTCGGAATTGATTATATTCATCATTATTCACGAATTTAGTGATAAAATATTCAGAATTATCAAGTAGAAATTCTAGAGAACCTTTACCAGCTCAAAAATAAATTTATTTGAAGCCTTACCTATAATCCCTCTTTATGCACTGTTTCATTGAAAAATCGAATAAGAAAAAATCCACATCATTTTGTGAAGGAATATTAAGAAAAATTGGTGTTCAGGATTAAATTTGCTTCGCAAAAAATTTGGTAAGCCGCAAAAAGTGAAGATTTTCTGCTTCAGAACAAATTTAAAGTAAGTCAAGGCTATTCGATCCCTTTCACTCGAAAGTTTTACAAAAAAAAGAAATACTTGTTCTAAAAAAGTTGGAATTCTCCTTTTTTTTTCTGCCACTTCCCATAAAATTTCTCCTTTCCTTCGTTGACGAAAAATTATTCGCTTCCTCTTTTTTTGACAGAGCCATTTCTTTAGGAGTGTGAGTGTGTACAAATGGAAACGAAATGGAATGAAAGGAACCTTTTTTGAAGGTTTTTTCAAGAAAGTTAGAAAGTGAGTCAGAAAAGGCCGTGAAGAAATAGCCTTCAAAAACTGAAAAACTTTGCTCTATGGCTAATTTAGTTTTAATAGTCTATTGAGTCATTCTGAACAGAAAAATTGTATGTTTATGTTTGATTGCATGGTTTTAAGGTTTAAAAAAAGGCTGTGAAAAAATAGCCGTCGAGAAGTGAATCTTTCGCGCTCCAGGGCTAAATCGCCAAAAAACTGGGTTATTTGAGCGATCTTGAAGGAATAACCGGAATTTTTCTTTCAATTACAAGATTCCACGATGCAAAAATAGCTACCATGAACTAAAGAACGTTCGCTCCAAGGCTAATTTCCTTCAATTTTAATAATTTTTCATTACTTCCTTAAGGAAAAGCTTTTCAAAATAACGAATGACGAGTGAGAATTCAGGGAAAATATCGTAAGATAGCGTGTTTGAAACCGCTTATCAAGAAAATAAAGAACACGGAAAAAATACGCTCGAAATTCTAGGCTTTTTTCGAAAATAATCTTTTCCGCCAACTGAAAATGAACATTTTTCAGGGAAGAGAAATTTTCGAGAATTTCGAGAAAAAAAAATGTGGTTTCTATCGAAACCAGCTGGATTTTCGTTTCGATTCCAGCTGAATAATGGGAAAGAAAAGCCGAATTCTAATTAAAATTCCGGTTTTTTCGAATTTTCAACGTGAGAAAACATCTGTACATACATGTATTTATATAAAATACTCGTTTAGGAAGTGAATAACTGGATAAAAAAACCGTGGGTCTCTTTTTAAATTATAAAAAAAGAGGTTGATTTCAAAAGTTATAGGTGGAAAATAGCGATAAATTAGGACAGTTTGCTTTCTTTGGACCCTCTCGTTTTCCCAAGCTGTTTCCAACCCCATGACCTGGTTGGTGAGGGAAAAGAGAGCGCAGACAAGTCAGAGTGTTTCCCATTGTGTACTTTCTCTGAGATACAAGTTATAGTCTACGGAAGAATTCTGGTCGCAGGGGGAATGGCTGAACGCGTTGCGACTCAATTTAGAGCTTCAAAGGTTGGCAACGCGCGGAAGTCGTTTCTGGTCGGGCGCATTTTTTCAGACCACCACATGTGATTTTTCACGAAAAAATCAGTGGAAAATGTTTTTTTTTTCGTAATAAAAAATAATGATGGACTTTTTTTATTTTTTTATTTTTTTGTTAATGATTAGTTGGACTCTTACAAAAAAATCTTTTTTTAATAATATACGATCGATCTCATTAATCGGCCTAAAAACTCACGAATATTTTTTTCAGAGCAAAAAATTCATAAATAACGTCATATCTTGAATATTAACCAAAAAATAGGAAAAGCTTATAAACAATAGCCCACTACTGATCTCCGAGCAGATAATCCTCAAAATTAACCTTTATTCAGCTGCTCCTAGAAGAAGCTTTTCTGAACAGAAATCAGGAAAATTCTTATTTTACTTAGGGGGAATTTGACTTCTGTTTGATGAAATTGGGCTCAAAGGCGTGGGAAGTCGAAAAATTGTGAAAAATTGGGAACAGATGTGAATTTCTCAACGAAATCTCAGACAAACGACGAGCTAAATTGTGATCAGAAAGATTTTTTTAATAATGATGGAAAGCAAGATTCATCAAATCAGCTTGTGAGAAAAAATTTTAAACTTTTACAATAACCCGTAGATTTTTCTAAAAAAGCTGAATGTGAATAGAGTATGATTTCGAACGCAGGAAAAGGAAGTTTCTCGTTGTTCTTTTTTTCGGAAAGTATAATTTCGCAACCTTTTGAACTCTATCAGAACATAACTACCTTATATTTAAGTGTTTCAAAACGGAAAAATTATTTCAACGTCTCAATTACAGAGCCGTCATTGCTGCTATTTACAAGAGCGCTTATTAAATATGCTAAATTCCTATTTTTGCGCGAAACTTATGTCTGGACCTGAACTATTACAATGCTTTGCGAAATTCATGCGAAGGTTTCAAATAAAACCGGATTTTGGTTCTATTTTCATTTAAGGCCCTAATTCTAGTATATTCAAAAATTAGTTTTGAAAATAACAACAGTGTTGCTGAAGCCATTTTTCAAAAAGAGCTTTTGAAACAAATTTTTAATACATGGTTCTCGTGTTCTTATAAAGTTTAAAAGGTTGCGAAATTATAAATTTTAAAAAAAAGATCCAAAAACTTGCTTTCCTCACATTTGTAACCATACTCCATTCACCGCTAGCTTATCGCGAAAACTTCAAAGGTTAGGAAACCCTCTCAATTTCGCACGCTATTTCTTTTGTTAAAATCATTCAAACTCGAATATTTTTGAAATTTTTCGGCTTTTTCATGAGCAGATAGTTCATTCACCGTTGCGTTGAGTGAATAAATTCATTTAATATTAACGAAATAGTGCGCAAAGGTCTCCAAGATCATTTCTGTATCAATCTATCAAATTTTAAACTTCTCCCGTTGAATTTTTAAAAAACCTCCCTCAGAAAGATGAAAAGTTCGAATGCCCAAAAATTGATCTTTCGGTCCAGATTCCAGACAAAAAAAAAGAAACCAATTGAAAGCGTGAAGAAAATGAGGAAAATGGACTAGGCTTGTGTGTTGGTTGTTTGCAGAGGCGAAATAAAAAAGCAAAAAAAAAAGAGCCCCAAAATAAGGCTCGGCCACTTAACCAAACGGCCGAGCCGTTTTTCAAAATGAACATGAGGCTTCGTGGATTTCCCCAGTTCTTCTCGAGATCCAATTCACGTCAGAAGGTGTAATTTATACAACGGAAAGGAACGCTTCTTTATTTTGAGAAGCTCAATTTTGATATTATTTTTATTTTTGAGGCAAGAATTCTCAAAAAAAGGGTGAATCATTCCCCAACATCTACCGCAAAAAATAAAAAAATTACAGCAACCTATGATTTTTTTTTTGACAAGCTAACTATGAATGGACTACAATTATGAAACGTAAGAAAAGGAAGTTTCACTTTTTTTCTAAAAGTATAATTTCGCAACCTTTTGAACTCAATCAGAAGACGATTTTTATGCATTTGAAATCGTTTCGAAACAAAAAATGACCTCAGCAGCTTAATCATACCGATATCTCTAATTCACAAGAGTATTTATTAAATATGTTGATATTTTATTTTAACATGAAATGGTGGATACACCCGGGTTATTTTTTCATATTTTAAGGGTATCTGGAGGAAAAAAAAAAATGTATTTTCAAGTCTTCAATACAATGCAAAGATTATTCAATATTTCCCTTTTGTATCCACTTTTCGATTATTTTCAAGCTTAGTTGGAGTTAAACCTACAAAAAAGGCTATTTTTTCACTCACGATTTGCTCCAAGGATAAATTTCGTCAATCAGATTTTCATTCAAGTCTCTGAAGTCTCTTTCTTCTCATTATGCGATCAATAAAAAAAAAATCTAATTTTGCGAAATTAAAAAATCCCAACCAGGCCCTGGTCCATATTTCCGCCTCGATCGCGCTCCACTTAACAGCTACCGTAACCTGGCTGAAAAAGATGCTCTTTTCCTGAAAGTTTTTTTCCCAAATAAGATTGAGCTTTCAACGTGAGAAAATCTTATGGAAACTTGAATTATACATCATTTATTATGCAAACAAATCGATAAATCATCTTTTCAGTCAATAGGCTTAACATCAAATCACATGAAGAACCGAGTAGGAAAAAGGCGACTACAACGGGGAAAAAAACTCTGTTAACAATAATTATCGTTATCACAGTCCTTGAAAGGCAACTTTGGGGTGATATTTATGATCATAATACAGGCATTAATGGTGGAATCTCTTTTTCTAGACTCGAATAAGTGAAAACAAGGAAAATGATTAATAAAGAATACAAGCACCAGGGGAAACTCGAAAGTACAGACATATTAAGGCGCAAAAACGGGTAGGGCTTTGGTGGAAACAATTGAAAGGACAAATTCGACTTCGAATCCGTTGGGTACCACGTCCAACATGTTGTAGAGGATCGGGATGAGCTTAAAATTCAATTCATCTTACTCCGAAGCTTTTATTGATGCTCAATTTTGCTCAAATGATAAACTTCTACTTTCCTGGAAAAAAAAGCTATCTTGGAGCCATTACTAAGACAATAATAATCTGTTGATTAATGTTTTCTAGCTTCTCTAGAAAATTTATTCTTGGAGCGTAACTTCCATGCTTCCAACTGCTTTTGAAAAATTCAACAAAGGGTGAAATTCGCTCCAATGAGAATCAAATTTCTGTGGATGTTTTTTTTAAAATATTTATCTTCTTTTTTGGCCTTTTTCAGTGGAGCGTAACTTCCCACGCCAGGGCGCTACTTTAAAAAAATTAGTCAACCTGGATTCCTGCTCAAATTATCAGCAGAGCGTAACCTCCCACGCTCCTGATTGAGAAAGTTCGCTTCAATGATAATCAAAACTTTGCGGAACCATTTTTTCTCATTTTTCCGGGTGATTCATCATAAAGCGCAGCTTCCCACGCCGTTGATTAAAAATTTTAAAAAAGCTAGAAGCGTGGGAAGTTACGCTCAAATGATTACTTAACCAAAATAAGCGGTATGAAGAAATCCACCGTACTTCGATTATCAGTGAAGCAAATTTGAGAGTTGATTAATTTTTGCAAAACAGCTTCCTTGCGTGGGAAGTTACGCTCCACTGAAGAAGGTATGATGGACTACTATTACCGTATCTTCCCACGCAGATAGCTTTTTCTGAAAATTAATCAGCTTCTCAAGATCGCTCTGATGATAATTAGAGACCTTTTGCCTACTTCTCTAGATGACTAATCAGTACGATGGTAGGAAGGAACTTTGGGTTCCCGAATATTCGTGAGCGTTAATGGTGCATACACCAATCTTGGAGGCTCGAATCTTTGAAAATTTGAATCTTTGCACACGATTCTTGGGAATATTCCCCTCTTTTTTGAATCTCCTTCTTATTTTTTCTACATTTTTTTTTCCTTTGTCGTTTTATTGTGAAGATGCCGTTTTATGACCAAAATTAAAACTGTATGATCTTTTTCAACTAACTTTTCATCAAATAATGCGTCTTTCTCGCATACACGTAGTCAAACTTTCGCTGCAGAACGGCTACCACATTTTCATTCACTCTGTATATATTCTCCATCAACTTGTATTTTCTTCACTCGAAGTGATAGCTCTCTCAATCGGCCGAGGCTTCCATAGAGTGTACAGGGCGTCCATGCCCGAGCCCCACCATCACCGCCGTGCCCGTACCCGCGAAACTGAGGGATCTAATTGTGGAAGAACGAGGCGAAGGACCGCAAGACCATGCTTTCAAATCAATCGACTACACGTTTTGACTTCTTTTTCGCCAAAGGCGGTGTTAGTGCCGCTCAAAAGAGCAATTTTTCACCGCCTAGTCGATTCCATCGGACTAAAACAACTAATAAATATTGATTGATTTTGATTGATTGAACTTCTGTTAACAAAAACCTTGGAAAAATTATAAAAAATCAGAAAAGAGGTGAATATTCCCAAGAATCGTTTGCAAAGATACAAATTTTCAAAGATTCGAGCCTCCAAGATTGGGGTATGCACAATAAACGCTCACCAATATTCGGGAACCCAAAATTCCTTCCTACCATCATCAGTAGAGCATCTTTACAAGCTCCTGATTACTTTTTAATAACCTTAAAAAATAACTGAAAGGTCAATAAGGCTTCGAGCAGTATTGAAACGTCTCGAAGATTTTTATCCACCTATTTTTCTAGCATGAAACTGGTGCGAAAAATTTCCTATTTTTAAAAAATCAAATCACACCTTTATGCTTCAATGAGAATGAATTGGAGCTGTTTTCATTGGTTTCATGGTAAAATTATCGTTAGAGCGCAACTTTCCAAGCGAAAGAGCGTTTTTCATTAATTAATCATAACACAAGTGCGCTCTAATAATAACCAGGACTACACGATTTTAACTTTTTTTTTGAAAATTTTAATCACGCCTCAAATGCGCTCCAGTGACAATCAGGAAAATTTCGAAGCAACTCGGACCTTGGTAACGCGAACGGGATGCGAATCGGACGTGTCGGGGCATTTTTAGTGACCACTTTAGTAGCCTCCGAACTCTTAAGTGATCCCTAGAATAGCCCAGAAACGTCCGGAGCACGTCCGTTTCGCGTTACCAATGTCCGAGAAGTTTTTTTCGAAGCAAGTTTATCATTTTTCTTGGTCGAACTATCCTTGGGGCGCCTCTTGCCACGCTTTTGATTTATTTTGAAAAATTCAATCTACACTCAATATTTTACCTGATCCAAAGATTGACGATAAGCGGCATTATCCTCGGGAAGACCGGGCCATCGCGAGATATCGTACTCGACGTTTTCCGGCGAGAGCAGGAGACGAACCGACAGTTTACTTAAATCGATCGAAATTGAGAGGGAAAATCGCTAAAGGGATCACTTGATATCGCGCTCAATCAACGTCTCCATGAAGGGTCCCAGCATGGCGCTACATTCCCTGGCCACAACTTCGACGATTCTGAAAGTTCAGAACGTTTTTTTTTTTGAAGAAGAATCGAGTAATTTCGGAGCAGAAGCTTCAAAAATTCAGGAATATAAACTACTGAAAAATCAAACCACCGATTTAATTTACCTAGAGACCTTAAAATCATTTAAAAATTGTGCATTTCCCTTAAGTGGTCTCTTTAAAACATCAACTGCCTTTTTCGAACACCAACGAGAAATTAGTGGTCACTTGAGTGATTCTGATTCCTCACTAGTCATCTTTCAAGGAAAAAAACTAGAACCAAAGTTTAAAAAAAATTATATAATCTTTAAAAAAATCCATGTTCAAGCTATTTTTTTCAAGTCTGTGCCCCTCTTACACTCATCTCGATACAAAATGAAGCTCAGCAAGATCAAACTACACACACCCAAAAACTTTCGGCTCCTCTTCAGGTGTCAGTCGGCTGTTGCTCAGACTATACACCTGCGAAAGTCGGATGCCGTGGTCAGCGACGCCTTGGATCTGAAAAAAATCACAATATTAAAAAAATAGAGTTTATAGTCGTACCTGGAACACCTGACTGAGTGCTCGTTCGATCGATAGTCCATATTGATATTTATTCTGAAAAAGAAATGTCAAGTTTATTGGAAAATTGACAATTTTTTGAGAGAAAAATTCCGATGAAATGAACTGCGTGCAATGGTGATGCTTTATAAAGAGCATCAAAGAAAATACCGTAAACCATCGTGAGATCAAAAGAAGCGATCATGCTCTACAAAACTGGAGGAAAACAAAGGTCTCGAAGCGAAATTTGGTCAAATACGGTCTTTTTTGCGGGAAAAAAGCAGCAAATTCGGGCGGAAGGGACTATACAAAGTTTGCAATGTTTTGAGGATCTATCTTTTTTCTACAGTCTGGTCAGGTCATGCACTAACTCCGTTTTTTTTTATCTAACAGTTTGAAAAAAGTCAAAAAATGCGGCGTTATTAAAGGATCATCGTCATGCGCGATAAAAATAATTCGACGCGAAAGATACTGTAGCTATGGGGGCGAAGTTCGCTCCCTGACATTCATCAACAGGATACATACAGAAAATAAAAAACCAGATGGTGCCGAATAGGCGAAAAAAAAACAAAGGTCTCGAAGCGAAACTTGATTGAACTTGGTCAGATACGGTATATCGAGCAGAAAAAAAAAATCAGAAAAGCTCGTGCGGAATGGGCTATGAAAGATTTTGAAAATCTACCTTTTTCTACTGTCTCCGAAAATTCTCAAAAATTTAAGATAGCAAAAATCAAATTACCAATAAACAGTGCTCATCGATCGCCGACTTCGGTCCATGAGGAGCCGCATTGAAATTGGCGCCAACGAATTCGATGCGCAGTTCCATTCCTTCGTCCTTCTCCACAACTTCCTGAACAACATTGAAATAATGTCGTTTTAAAAGAAATCTCGCAAAACTCTGAAAAACCGCCGGAAAGTGAGAATGATAATTAAAATGATTCAAAGATTAGCGAAATCATCTTGAACACAGCAAAAAATCGGAAGAAGTTTGAATTTTTCAGCGAATCGCCGCTTTTTTGCATCATAACCTAATTTTTTTCCTGTAGAGCGAAACACACAAAAAGGTAAAATTTTTTGTCGACAGGTTTGTAAATTTTAAAATGCTTCAAAATAGATTTTTATATCTCAAGTGCAAGAAGTTTTGTATTTTCCCAAATAAATCTAATAATTATTCTACCCCGTGAGGAGACGTCAACCATTTTTGACGACTCGGGCAAAACGGAAAAAGCTCCTTTTTTCCGGAAAAAAAAGAACCTTTCGAGGGTCCCCAGAAGATCTTTTTCCATATCATTTTTGCACCTTTACATATTTCGATGAAAAGGATAGGGTAAAGCAACTAAAAAGATTACGGGAGATGCAAAAAAGATCTTCTGAGGCTATGAAAACGGAGCTAAAAAACGTCTCAGTATAATTTTTGGAGCTTTTTCAGCCCTCTCTGAGGATCCTCAAAGGAACTTTACTGTTCCACTCATGAAAAACTATATTTTCAACTCATAATAATCCAAATTGTGAAAATTTTGAGAGACCTTGAGTGAAATTGATATGATATTTTTAAATTTCGAACAGAGACCTATTAGCCTTTCTAAATGTTCCTAAAAAGAGCATGCTTTTTTTTCAATAGATCTTTGATTCAGGTGTTTGTAAAAACGTTATTCATTGAAAGTTACACAAAATCGCCCTTCAAAGCTTTTTTTTCGAACAAAATCTTGATTTCCTTCAACAAGTGTACAGCAAACTTTCATACGAGAAGATTAATCACTCTTCTTTTTCAATTCCAACGCACCTCTCCCTTGGACAAGGCGTCCAAAATGGTCGACAATCGGTCCGGCTGCACGCGGATCGCAACGCCGTCTTCAACAACCGAGACTTGCAGCGAATTGACTTTCAGCCCGCCGTCAAGAATCACGAATGAGGCGCCAGTCGCTGAAAGCAACCAAGAATAAAGGCTTCAGAAATCACAGTGATTACAGTGTCGTCGGCCTTCGAAGCGGGCAAAGACCTGCGTATTGTAGGATCCGGGTTCGGACTCGTCACAGACGAGGTGGCTGTCGTCGTGGACCGAGATGTCGCAGCTCCAAGCCAACATCATCCGGTTCCATTGCATTATTTCCATCAACTGAGAAAAAAAACTAACTTCCGTTGAGATTTCTATCACGTTTATCATTGAAAGAGCGCTTAAAAAACCAAACTTCCGATTTCTAAGCAAAAAAATTGTTTCAAAAGGTACCTCATTCATTTTTTCTACTTCTTGCTACTTATATTTGTAACAATTTTAGCGCATAAAAATCAAATGAAGCCACGTTTCCCTATAATCGAAAAAAAAGGCTTGAAAACGGTTTGAAAAACGAACGAAGATGCTAAAAAGTAATAGGAAAATGTAATAAAACTCAATTAAAAATAATTTTTTTTATTTAGCGAAAATAAAAGAGTGATTCTTCGGGCTCTCCCCACCAGTGCCCGAGTATCTGTGATTATTCTTTTTTTCCATAATCCAATTTTAAAAATCATCTTTTTCTCAACTCCTTCACTAACATCGCTCATCGAATTCCTCGGCAATTGAACCAGCGTCATTTCGTTGCTCAACGATACGGTACATCCGTAAATGTGCCTCATTCGGAACGTCCAGCTTCGGAAATCCGTAAAGACCTGAACGAAATCACTTTGAAAAATGGTTTTTCTGGTAAAACTAAACCTTGAGAACAGTGCTCGCCGTTTCCGTAGAGTATATAGGTGCTCGATCCACGAAATTCACGATTGGAGTTGGGTACCCTTCAAAGGAAAAAAATAGGAAGAAATAGATCCGATGATAATCAGGGGCGCGCCGTAGCGCAACAGGTTGTGTGCCTGTCTACGGTCCACAGGGTCACAAGTTCGATCCCCGCCCCGACCAAACCAAGGGGTTTAAGAAAAGTTGGTAGTGGGAGACAACGACTTCAAAATCCCCAGCCATCACACACAAGGACGGATATGTCACTCGAGCCAGTCCACTGATTATCAGGATAGGACCTCGGCTAATCGGCTTGGGGCGCCGACACCGCTCAAGCGGTACAAAGGCGTAGGAAGAAGAAGAAGATCGGATGATAATCAACCAAGAACATAATTTAATAACGAATATTGCTGGTATAAAATGAAAATTGATATCTTATAAGTAGAAAAAGAAAATCTGGCAAATCCAGCTTGAAACACGGGAAATGATAGTTGAAAAGTCATTTCAAAAAGTCAGAAATTTAAAATAGCTATCATTTTTCCCAATTGATAATCCCCTTTTTGGAAAGTTTCAAATCCAAGGTAAGATGTAGTTTGAAATTTTATAGAGCCATTCCAAAAACAAAATTTTCATAAAAAAAGTGTGACAAGTAATTTTTATATTTTGGCTTCTCAAAAATATGATTTTAAGCGTCCTACTTGGCCGATTTTTTCGTTTCAATTTTTATTCCATCTTGCTACTTTATAACTTCTGTCAATCAAGCTTCTCTCTCACATCCATATTTCAATCCAAGCCGAAGCAGGAGTCGATTCGGCGACGCCATGGCCCACTGCAACTCGCTGTCGTGCAGGAAACAAGCGACCAGGAAACTATCTTTTGGTACGATGAATGGCGAAAAATCCTGGAAAAGTGATACCTAACAAGGAAAATTCGATATATTCGTTTTCGAGAACTTTTGCAGAGTTGATCAGAGGAGAATCAACCGACTTTAGGAAAATTTCATAAGAAAAGTTTATTTTAGCCCACTGTTTGAAATTTTCTATGAACCTGGGTCTTTCAAGAACCCCTAATTCCAGAAAAAAAATTCCAGCAAAGCAATTTACTGCTTTCAACGTGTCAAAATCTGCAAACTACACAAAAATTTTTAGTGCAAGAGCTTTTTTCATGTTCCATTAGGTCATTCAAAGTTTTTCAGCCTTCAATAATGTCAGAAAGAAATATTTTTTTATGTGAACTATTTCCAATTACGGAACCTGAACAGTTGGCGGGAAGAGAAGGATGTGTCTGGTCAGAGGTTCGACAGCCATGGGGACGGAATGAATTGTCGGGGTTCTGGCGCTGACCCGGCAAACGCCGCCATTGTCCTTCTCCGTCGAGTTGGTGTACATCTTGATTTCAAAATTCATAAATTTCAATATCAAAGCTTTCTATAGATGAAAAAGGTGGTAAATATAAAATTCCTGTAGAGAATCTTTGGAAGCAGCTGTCGAAGATGATAACTTGGAAAATTTGAAGAAATATTCAAAAATCTCAGCTTGTCAGTTGATAATCTCGCTATATGGCGGATTCAATTTTTTTTTAGCTTGTTCAAAAAATGATAATTTCAAGATGAATAACTTTTCCTAGGGCAAAAATTGCCTTTGCTATACAAAAGAATGTTCTAATGATTTAATGCGGTTTTCAAAGTGATTCCGCTAAATTCAAACTAGCCGTCAGAGAGTGAAAAAGATAACTAAATTTTGGAGAGTCTTGGACACTTTTTTACTTTGAACACGGCATTTTATTTCAGACCAAAAAAATTTTTTTTCCGCGTCACGTGAAACAATCCACTATATGTTTCAACTTGCGTATATAAAAATTCCAATCCACTTTAAGAATAATGAGAGAAGGAGTCGCCGAATGAAAAAAGCTTCTTAGAAAAAATTTCTCTACACGATACCATATCCAACGGAATTTTCTTGAAAATTTCTTATAAACATCAAAAATTACATTAGAAATCCGATGGAAAACGGCATAGGGCAGCAAATTGGCGGCAACTTCTGGCGTAAGGCCCGAATCGGGGCCAAAAACCGTCTGCCGTTCTTTTTCCTTCAAAACCCAGGCGAAAAACAGTTCATCCAGGCCAATTTGGGCGAATCCTTGGGTTCCAACCGTCCAGACATCTTTGTCGCCCACTAAAAATATATAATCATCACGTGAATTTTCGAAAGAACTACGAAAAAAGGTACTTTTTTCATATTTGTGTATGATTGGGAAAAAAATTTCTATTTATTTATTGAAAAACTGAAAGAATTTCCTTTTAAAAATCTATAAAAATATCGTTTGAAAATCAGAGAGCAAAAAAAAAATACTGGAAATTTCAAAAATTAAGCCTTTTTAAACCATGTTTCCCAATTTCCACAGAAAAAAATGTTAGGCAAAGTAAGAATGGTGGATAATGGCCGTTAAAAAGGAGAGCCTCAAAAAAGAGTCCCTTGATCGAACCTTCCATTTTTTTTTCCTGAGATTTCAAAGGCTCAAAAAATGGTAGAAAAAGCTAGAGGCAGCAAAAAGGGTGCAAAAGAGCCGATGAAAAGACATAAAAAAAGGAACTTTGAAGATTTAACGCTAAGTTATCTCAGGCGCCTTTTTTGAAAATCCATAAAAATACTGAACAATAAAAAAAAACGTTTTTCTTCTCAATCTATAAGAATATTGCTCATTTTATCAACTCACTATGAACAATCTGAACGATGCAAGACAAGTTCTTCTTCAGCATCACCGTCAACGGAAATCCATCTCTCAGATTTTTCAAGGCTACGTCCGGCTCGCGAAACTCCAGGATTTTATCGTAATTGACGAGCAAAACTGAAAATTGGAAATTTAAAAGTCTTTTTTTTTTAAGTAAAAATAATTACGGCATCGTTGAGAAGCTGTCGGGATGGCGCAGGCCAGCTCATCCTCCATACGGAGTTCGGCGATTCTTCTCACCACCGAATATCGCTTGCGGGATTTCTGTAGATAAGCATAGCTCGTATGATAATGCACGTAAAATTTCGGAACTATCATTTGATAATTATATAGCTGATTCACGAACAGCTTGGGATGCTAAGGGGGCGTGTCCTGTCTGCGCTCTCCATGACCCAGGCGCTATCTCGTGCATTATCGTGTCAGGACCCTTTTTCCGATGACTCAAGCCAGCCGTGAATCAGCTATATTTACTTCTAGTATAATCATGACCTCGAAAATTCCGATAAAATTTCGGAATTTCCGCAGATAAGTATAGCTCGTATGCTAATGCAGGGGAGACTGCGGAATGATTTTTTAACAGTCATTTCTATAGGATTGCCTTACTCTAATCAATCAAAGAAGGTTCAATAGAATAATCCATACATTTCTAAAAAGGTTTTTTGATCGAAAAATGAGAACATATTCTAAACGCCCAAAAACTCGCTACAATTCTGCTTCTTGAAGTTCGCCGTTTTCAGTAGATCATTTTTCCGAAATTTTGACGCCTCCACTTGTTTTTTTTTTCTGTAGCTTTTTCAAGATCTTTGGGGTCTTTCATGACAGCTCAGCTATTTGAGAAGCTATTTTTTCTTTTGAAAAACTGGAGTTTTCTCGAGTTTCATAAGAAGTTTCAACTTTCTATCTGAAGTCTTCATCGAGTTGTTTTCTGTGTTATAGAATTTCCTTTTCCTACCTTTTTAGGCTTCACCACCGTCGTTCTCTCCTCTTCAGAAGCCGTCGAAGTTGATGCCCCGGGGCGAATTCCATCCCTGGAAATATAAAATTTTTCTTAACTTTTTCTCGACAAGAAGTTTTTAGAATATGCATGACCGATGAAGCTTGGCTGAGAGGTATTTTAGGATAACCTGCTCCTAAATCAGTCGAAGAGAAGGGAACCTTCTGCTTTTTCAGAAATTTGTGATGCTTCAAAAAGTTCGGAACTCTTCTTTTCTCTACCTCACTGATTCACGGCTAACTTAAACTATCAAAAAGAGGGTCCTGACACGATAAATAAAAGAGAAAGTGCACGTTTGGGGTAGAGCGCAGACAGCCGTGAATCGGCTATAGAATACAAACTACGGGCCGAAAAAAAAACTCAAAAAAGAGAGGTGTTTTCCTATCCGTGTGTCCTAAAGCACCTATCAACTAATTCCATTCATTTTCCCAACCGGTCATTTTTCAAAATTCAGTAATAACCTGAACATGACGCTCCTTCTCACAGATTCACTTCCACCATTCGAAGACCCAGCTCCGTCAGTTTCTGCCTCACCGGCGGCCATCGAAGCGCTTCTCACTTTCAGGACTCCTTTCGAAGTTTTCGGCGTGATCGTAGGGGCTTCAGAATCACTAGTCGATGGACTGAAAATCAAAATTTTCATTGAAAATTTCAATATCAAAAAGGCTACAAGATACAAAAAATTGATCTTTTGAACTTCAAGAGTTTCTAGACGGTCTATAGCATTGAAATCATAGTTCTAATCATCAAAAATTGAAAAATCAAAAGACGTCACTTTTCCAAATAGTACATTAACATTGAAATCATAGTTCAAATCGATGAAAATCCGCACTTTAGCCGTTGATTCGCCTCCTCCTGTTCAAATTTGGCGATCCTTCCCAACATCTTCGAGCAGGGTGTACAGACGCGGCTGGGTTGGGGCTTAAAAATATTTTTTTAGGAAACAAATTTTTAGATTGATTATTGAATAAATCATCGAGCTAAAACAAAAATTAACAATGATTTTTTTCTCAAAAATATTCCTCTATTCCTCCGCGAGTCCTCTTCCCTCCATCACCACAAGTTCCGACACATATGTTCCCAAATTCTCCCTACATCAATTTCGTGAAATTTAGTACTTGTGTGTGAGAAATAAAACATTTTGATTTGATTGATTGAAAATACGAATCAAACTGAAAGGAAGTGAAGGGTAAAAGTGAAACTAAAAAACGTAGAAGAATGAAAATAAGAGATGAAAAAATTACTTTTTTTCCATATACAAATCCAAAAACGGACCTTCTTCCCCTCGGTGTTCAAATATTCCAGAGTGGCCCGTTCGTTACAACAATTTCCACACAAAAGTCGACCGCATGCACGACAATGATGCCGTCTCGTTAGCAGGGTGAATCTGCAAGTCTAACTTGAAGTAAAAATTTTCAATTTTCTCAAAGTTCATATAAAATGATCTAAAAATGAAAGTATAGTCCTTCCGCCGCGACTTGACAGTTTTTCGCGTGTCTGGGTCTCTCTGTTCCCTCACCGGCGAGGTCAGAGAAATATGGAAAAAGCACGAAAAAGTAAGAGAAACGTCGAGAGAAAAGGAGGGCGCAGAGAAGTTCTATATCTTCAAAAATACAAAAAAAAAACCTCGCCGAGCAGAGCATACACTGGGCGCAATCCGTGTCCGGAATCCAATAGGGCATTGTCTTAAATTTTTTTTATTTAATAAATTCCAGGCAAGTTCCTACCTTTCCGAGTTGAAGCTCGCTCTCCGTGAGCCTTCTTGGCCGTCTCGACGGGGTTCCAGAACTCTCCTCGGAGTCCGACTCGAGAACATGAACCGTTGCTATAGACTGAACAGATGATAACTCGTGATAAAATCAAAAATTGTGGTTTTTACATCGAATCTCGGCCTTCCATCGCTCAATTCCTCAACATCCGTGGCGCTAACTTCATTGATTTCTTGATTTTCGTGGGCAAGCTCTTTTGAAGGCTGGAATAATTGGATTTCGACTTGACCGAATAACTTAAAAACACCAGAGTGGTTACTAAAGGGCCTCCAAGGCTGCCCCTATAGGGTTCACTATGGCGTTCCTAAGGTAAAGCTCAAAGAAGACTAGTTTGCTTCAATTTTTTCGGCTCTTCCTCCACAAACTGGAAAATTAAAAGAACCTCAAACATTCTTGAACTGAAAATTTAATTTATACCTTGAAATCTTCTGAAAAATAAACTATCTACCGGTTCATTTATGAAAATAACTGAACACTGAAGCTAGGCATTTCAAATCTACCACAAACTTTTTGAAGATTTTTATTCTTTTCAAAAAACTGACCAAAACCGGCGAATTGGCCACTTCAATGGCTTCCATCGCTCCATGATCTTCGGAAATCTCCAAATCCAGCACGACTTCTTCGACGATCGGCGTGTCCCTTCCGGCTTCCAGTCTCGTCAGAACTTCTTCCGTGTACTTGGCACCTTCAGCATGTTCCGAAGAAGTTTGTCTGTAGGTTCGCTGCGGCGAGGCTCCAAGAAGCTTGGCTCTTCGGGATATTTTTACGTCCTGGAGGCTTTTGACGGCTTCTGGGTCACGTAGCTTGACGTCTTCTTCTTTGGGAGACGTGACGTCGCCAAGAATTTCTGCGTTTTGAGAAACCTTGACGTTTTCAAGATCTTTGCCGTTGTTGTTAATATTGGCTTTTTGATGGATTTCGACGGAATCAGCTCTGACGTCTTCCATTCCGGAATCTTCGATGTCGCCAGCGAGTCTGACGTCTTCTGGTGCTTTTCGAGGCACTTCAACGTCTTCTGGAATCTTTGCAAGATCATTGACGCCTTCAGGAGCCTTTGGAGGTTTTTCAATAACTTGGATGTCCACTAGGGCTTGTCCGGAGTTGATGACGTCTCCTGGAGCTTTTTCGTTTACTTTGACGTCTTCTGGAGTTTTTTCGACAACTTTGACGTCTCCTGTAGCTCGTTCAAGACGTTGAGCGTCTTTTGAAGACTCTGGAGCTTTTTGATCAACTTTAAGGTTTTCGGAAGACTGTTTAGAAGTAGCCACTTCTTCGGGAGCTTCTCCAAGGTGTTTGACGTCTTCTAGGGTTTGTTTGGAAGTCTTGGCGTCATCCAGCGCTTTCTTGGAATCGTTGATTTCGCCTGGGGCCTTTTCAAGGACTTTCGAGTCGTCTGAAGCTTGTCCATGAGGTGTGACGATTTCTGGAGTTTGCTTAGATGCTGTGACGTCTTCAGGAGCCTTTTCAAGCGCTTTGCCATCTTCTAGTGTATTCTTTCCTAGACCGGCGCTCCCGTTTCCATTTTTATCCGCGTCTTCTGCCGCTTCAACTTCTTTTCCGACGTCTCCCTCGAGCTTCAGGTCTCGCTCGATGACCGTCTCAACCTCGACACTGCTTCCTTCGCTTTCCGAAGAAGTCGACGCAGGAGAGCTGGACCTTGATTCCTCCTCCTCGTCCTCTTCGGAGAACTTGACGAGTTCGAGCTCGTGACAGACGCTGTCAACCAGGTTCCTGGCGACTTCTTCAGCCGCGTCGCTCATGCTCAAGTCGTCAGCGACGTCTATAAAATTTGTCTTTATTAATGAAAAAAACATCAAGTTGGCTTTTTCGGTTTTCAAAATCTTTTACAGTATTTTTCTAAAACTTATTGAACTCCATAATATTTCCACGAACCAGTAAATTAATTATTTAAAAAAACTACTAAACCCTCAATTTCTCTTCAAACATCAATTGTTCTAGTTAAAAATATTGAAGTTTTATTTTTCATCAAAATTTTTCTTGGGAAAGCTCTTTATTGAGTTTTCAATCTTCTTTTTCTTCTCTAAAAAATTTTTTACTCATTCTCGTCTTATTAGGAATTTTTCTACAACCGTAATTCATATTTTCGAGTCAAAAAAAAAAAAACTCACCACTGCGATAAAGATCGTCCAGTTCGCTACACTTCTTCAAGGTGATTTGAACCGTTTCTTTTTCTAAAAACTAATTTTTTTTTTTGCGCAATATTATGAAAATAAACCTTCAGGATATGCTTCAGGGTCTACTGGAGACTTACGACTTTGAATTTCTTCTTTTTTGTTTTTGATAGGTTCAGGGGCTGCGGTTGGAGTAGCTGGAGGTTCAACTGAAAACTACTTTTATAAAAAAAAAATTTCTATATGGATCACAATGGCCGCATTTGGAATGGCTCGATGCATTATTGAAAAAAAATTCAAAGTGGTTGAAAAAGTGCTTGAAATTAAAAAAAGTTATTTTTAAGTAGTCCTTATAGTGCTTTTTCGCAAGGATAGCTTATCATATAAAATAATTACACTATTCTTTTCTTCAATTAAGGTTGAATTATTTCCTTTTTCCTTCAAAGAATTTCTCAGAACGTCCGCACCCGACCAAAAACGGCTTTCGCGCAATGGCAAGCTTCAATACTTGCGAAAACATCACCTTTCTTCGGAGGATCCTCAAACCTGTCCAAGTAGGCGACCAAGTCATTATATTCATCTTCATCAATGGTATTAGGGTCCTAAGAAATGAAATTATAGGATTCATAGGGAAAGTTTGGATAAATCACCACAGAGCGTTCTGAAGAAACGCCACTCACTTCGACAGGTTTATTAATTTTTTTCTTTTATTTCTGGGACTACCTGAAAAAAATGTTCATATATTGATGATTATATGCTTCTCAAAAAGTCGTTTCTGGAAAATTTCTCAAGAAGCAAATTCAATAAAACTCTCAAAAGCAAACAGCACTTTTTTTTAAAATATTATGCTTGATGCAACGCTTCCAAAAAGCATTAGAAAGACTTTTCAATTAATTTTCACAAACCTTTTTAGGTGCTATAGAATCGCTTGGCATTGACTTTTCTGAAAAAAAAAATTGACTTTTTTAACTTTCACTCATTTTTTAAACCTTCAACTCCATTCGATTTGAAAGCTGGAATGGCGCAAAATGGCCGGAAAGATGGGCCAGGCTGGGTCACAGAAATTCTGACCATTTTCTGAACGACAAGAATTTTTTTTCAACTCGAAAAGATCTTCAGATACCTGAGGATCCAGAGGAACTTGCGAGTTGGGGAATACCGGAGTGATTTTGATCGAATTTTGAACTTCCTCGCCGATCGGCGCTTTATTTTCTTTACTTTTGGTCAATTTTCCGCAAACATCGCTCTCAAGTTCGTCTAGCAAGGAGTCCATGTCAGGAACATCCTCCATTTCTGAAAGAAATGCTTAAAAATGAACTTTTCAGTGGAAAAAACGGCATATATACGATCAATGAGGAGAATGAGTCATAGGGAATGCGAAACAGTAGCCTTTATCGAAGTTTTTACTTCGGAAAAAAAAAGAAAAAGCTCAGAAATTGTTGGAAAAACATGGCGACACCGATAGAGAAAGAAAGAAAAAGATTTATTACTTTAACAAATCAATTTTTGTTTTTGATGATTATCGATTAAAAACTCTTCAAAAATTAATTTTGGTAAAAATGGAAATAATCTCACAACAAAAGAGGACAAACCACTTCGAACCGAAAAAAAAAATGAAATATTTCGAGGAAAACTTCACGAGCACGCAACAATTTTTGAACACAATATGGGTGCTGTTTTAAAATTTTCCCACGATGGCGTGAGTCATTCCCGCACAAGTTCAAAGAAGGAATAAAAAGACAAACAACGAGAAAACAGACAAGAAAAATCAAAAAAAAAAAACTTTTGAAATCACGCGAAAGGATGCCGACGTGACTGCACTTTTCTGACGTCAGTTTCACGACGCCAGCATTTATTGTTTTGATTACACTTTTCCAAAGTTCCCTCCCTGTTTCTCTCGCCTTTCAGTTTCTGTATTGTTGAATGAAGATTGGCTGCATGAGCGAATTCTATCAAAAGTCCAAAAATTTTGGATAAACGACGTTTAAAGTGCAATTCTTCTTATCTTTTTGAAATGTACTCGTGACCGGTCAGATCTTTGTTTTTCATGACGCTGATAGTTTATTTTCTCTGTTTCCACTGGAAAAAAGCAAAATATTTTTTTTTAATTTTCAGCTCAGAAAATTGCTTCCTGCAGGCATTCAAACTAACTTAATTGAATATGTCAAGTCTTTTTTTAATTGTGAAAATTTCAGCAACAATGTCCGGCCAGCAGTACAACACCAAATGCGCAGGTTTGTTTATAAATTGGAAATATGAAGTAATTGAATCTTTCAGGGGTGAAAAGGCTCATGAAAGAAGCGATGGAATTGAGGGAACCTACAGAAATGTACTACGCGCAGCCTTTGGAGGTCATTTTTTTGACTTAAAAAAATTTTTTTATATTATTTATATAGCTAAAAAAAGCGGCGTAGAGCTCATAAAGTAAATTTTGGGATAAAAATGATAAATTCAGGACAATCTTTTTGAATGGCATTTCACGATTCGCGGCACTTTGGGCACCGATTTCGACGGTGGAATTTATCATGGCCGGATCATTTTCCCTCCCGAATACCCGATGAAACCTCCAAATATGATTATTCTAACTGTAAGGGATCTTATCTCATGAAAAAAATATTAAAATTAAAATTATTTTTTTCAGCCAAACGGTCGTTTCGAATTGAATCGCAAAATTTGTCTCTCAATTTCCGGCTATCATCCGGAAACTTGGCTTCCGTCTTGGTCTAGTTAGTTTTCGCTTTCAAAAATGGGAATTATATATATCTCAGTTAGAACGGCTTTATTGGCTCTTATCGGATTTTTTTACCGACCGCAGGAGCCGGAGCCTTGGGAAGTTTGGAATATCCGCCGGCAGAACGCAAAAAGATTGGCCAAGATGTTCGTTTTTTTCAAAGTTCATAAAAAAACTTTTTATTTAATATTAATCAATAAATTTATTAATTGGAACCTTTCCAGAAGCGCAAAATGGCGATGTTCCGTTTGTGACTGTACAATGAAGGACGTTCTGTTGCCGTTGACCGACGAGAATAAAACGAAAGATGAGAATGAGGAGGCGACTCGGTTGGCCGCTCAACTCAAGTTTTCTGTGAGTTTTATTAAAAGCAATTTTGAAAAAAATGAGCTTTTTTTAATTGTTTTTTTGAAAGCTTAATTTTTAGAGAAAATGAGTGGAAATCCAAGTTTTCTAATTGTTTTTCGAAGCAAATGTGAGAAAAAACGACCTTTTTTTCTTGTTTTTAAGCTCAGTTTCGAAGTAAATTAAGAAAAATAAGAAGTAAATTACATTTTGACCGCAACTTTAAGACGAAAATGAGAGAAGGGCAACAGTGAACGGATGAGTCACGGAGACGTGTAGGAAAAAAGGGAGAAATAGTATTGTATTTGAGGAGAGCGAAAGGTTCCTTGCCATTTTCTTCATCAGATCGCTTGTATTTCATCGAAATGCCGGACAAAAATAAACCGGTGTTTTTTTTGTAGCTTTATCAAGGGTACCCTCAAGTTCTCGAGAAGAATTTTTTGGCCTCGTCGAACAAAAAAAAAAAGCTTTTTTGGCCCCCGTCGAACAAAAAAAAAGCTGAATTTCGATAATAACTTCTGAAAATTACCTTCTTCTCACATAGTCTTAAGAAATCTTCCGAAACCTCAAATTTAAACTTTAAAGAAATCAAAACTTTAAAAACCCCACGTCAATTGAATAAAAAACCAACAAAAGTTATGAAAAACGAGAACTTTTTTTCCTGTATTTTGAGCAGAGAAAAAAAAATTAATATGTTAGAAACCATTGATTTTCCTGCTCCTTATCGAAAAACCTCATTTCCAGGACGAGGCGACCAAAAAGAAGGAAATCGAGGAAGCGACGGCTTCCGAGGAGACGACGGCGATTGAAGACGTCGCCGTCGAAGAGTCGCCTCCAGTAGTAGCAGAAGCCGCCGCGACGCCTCCAGTCGCAGAGCCCAACTTGTCGCCGCGACTTACTCGCCCAAGGCCCTCGGACACTTGCGACTACTCAATGTTCTTGATCGTCCCGGTTTGCGTTGTCGCGTTGGCGATTTTCATGCTCCTCTTGTCGCGTCGCGTTCTTTCTTCTTAAGTCAGGGATTTTATGCGGTTCGATAGTTGAACTCGGGATAGTTTTTTTTATGTCTTTCTTTTTTTTTCGAGTATTGTGAAAGGCTTTGAGTGGTTGAAAGATCAGAAGTTCGAGTTTTTAGGTACAAAAAATGAGTATTTCTATCAATCTTAAGCCTTTTTATTAAGTTTGTGTAGTTAGACGTGAACAGCAGCTTTAACAGAATTTTTTTTTCACAAGAAAACTTTTTTGTACTAGTTTTTGGTCTGAATTCAAAACTCTTTGCTCAAATTCCACGTTTTTTTTTTGTTTTTAACGAGATTCCTAAGCTAAAAATATTCTTCCTAAAATGAAATTTTTTTGAAAGAATTTTTCCCAACTCGAAGCCTTACCTCCTTTTTTTGCATCAAATACTCAATTTAACACAAATTACTTGTACATTTTTCTATTATCGGGGAGATTTTTTTATAAATATGTCTTTATCATATGTATGATTTTCTACTTAATCAACTTGTAAAAATTCTAAAATTCCGATTCTTTTTTCTGACCCACATTGATTTCTTTTAACCCAAACGAGATATCTTTTCCAAAATCCTACTTTCAAAACTAAACACGGCTCTTCGCTTCAAGAGACTTTCAGAATATTGACCATGCGCCTTTAACCTTTCCAACAAGGATCCACGGACAGATTACATATCCCCAAATCCAATTTTCAATAACTCAAGCAAGAAAAGTACTGTAAATAGCAAGGAACAGACGAATAAATTGATATTTCTTCATTTTCTTGCAACAAAAAATGCACACGTATACTGATTCTGAAGCATTGAACGGTGATTCGTCGTGTATTTGCTGTCGATTTTCCGTTCGTCGGTGATTTGGAACCCGAAAGTTCGGACGATACGCATCACCTCCTCATAGGGGAGCTCGATACTCGACTGCAATTTCGCGAGGAGTTGGCGGAACCCGTGCATTTCAGGTGGCATGGAAAAAACACCAGCGAAATTTCAAACGGCGACTTTTCCGATTTTTTCATACCGCTAGGGAACTTTCCGACGAATCTCTTTCCGACGGATTCCTTTCCGACTTTTTTCCCTTATCTTTTTCGGTTTTTAAAGCATCTATAAACATTTTTTTTTCCTATTTTTGTGTTTTAATCATGAACCAACTACCTACTTTACATAGGAAGATTTAAAGCGAAAATTTTATCGAGAAAAAAAGTCGGAAAAAGATCCGTCGGAAAGGTGGCCGTCGGAAAGTTCCCTAGCGATACGAAAAAATCGGAAAAGTCGCCGTTTGAATTTTCGCTGGTAATTTTTTCATACCACCGCATTTCAGGCGAAGGGAACATGCAAAGTTGCTATTTTGTTTTTTGATGAGCTTTAAAACTGTAATATTCAACGTGTGCCAGAAAAGAGGGCGACAAAAAAAAATGAAGCAAAACTGCATGATGGCCATTTTCAGGTAAAAATATCCAAGAAGCTCAAAAACTTAAGTTTTTTCAACTTCTAAGAGCCATTTTTGAGCGAGCCTATTTTTGACTTCAATTCGAAAGTTCTTCTTCCGTAATTTTCCGTATAACACATTTATTTTTCCGTTAAAATTACAGTATCTTCACTATCTACAGTAACTGTTAAACCTACAGTATCCAAAATTTTCCCTACACTTACTCCGTAAACTTCAGTATTTCTGTGTGAGAAATAAAACATTTTGATATTTTGAGTATCCAGAACTAGATGACTCCTTCTCAGAGCTCAGTTATCAGTTTATCGAGACCTTGGAGTTGATTTTTAAAGAAAGTTGCATGGTTATCAATTATCGGCTCATTCTCTCGATTTAATTACAACCTAGATTTTTCAAGCTTTTCTAATTAGCGCTGCTGTTTTTGTCTCAACTTTTAGACCTTTCTAGTTTGCGACCTTAAAGATACGTTGAAATAGGTTATTCTTGAAATCTTTGTAGAGTTTGAGACTTTTTGAAGTCACTTTTAGTAAATCAAGGAGTTTTGGCCAATTTTCTGCAAACTCCCAACCGCAAAGTGAGATGACCCAGTTCAGATGCTTCTCTTAAAACTTAATTTTAAGCTTCTTCTCTTGGAATTCAGTTATAATAATATTCCCATGAAATCCAATATTCCTTCAGAGCTCAGTTATCAGTTTATCGAGACCCTGGAGCTGATTGAGAAGGCGATTTCCATGGAAATCCATTTTAGGCTCATTCCCTCGAGTTGACCTAGTTTTCTAGATCTCCTAATGAGAACTACCATTTTTCCTAGGGATCCATGACAAGGCCAATTTTAACTCTAAGCTTCCCGGAGTTTTTTCAAAGCATTCATTGACCCTTTTACAGTCGAAACAACGAGATTACCTCCTCCTTCATGTCCTCAAAATGATAAGTCAGTGGTCCGACGTTGATCCAAACTCCACCCGGTTCCAGCCCCTTGTGGATCAATTCTGAACCAATGGTCTTATTTTTTAAATCATTTTTTCGTCTTCGAACCAATATACTCAACAATATTATGGGCGGTGTCGATGAACCAGGCCGTGACGATGACCTGATGAGGAGTCGGAGATTTTCGCATGATTTCGACGAAGTCCCCGGCGCACATCGAGAAGAGGTTCTTCCTCTGAATTTTCCTGGGTTCTCAGAATGTTCTGAGGAAAAAACCGAGGTTTGCGTGCCATCAGGACAACGATCCGGGAATGTGACGGGCCGTAGTTGATCTTCGTAGGACCAGGAGTTGCTCTTGTCGAAGATGAACGGGTAGAGCGTGAACTCGTCTTTCTTGAAAAGGTCTTTAAGAAGGTGTTTAAAACGTTTTTTTTATCGTATTCTATTTGAAAAAACTCAGCTACTCTAGAAAACGCTGAAAACTATTTTCACGGCACTCTAACTAACAACGTCTATATTGATTAGATTTTCAAATTTTCTAAAATGGGAAGAAATCGCTTAGGATCGTTAGAGGAAGATTCTAACAAACTTTCGTCTACTGTAAGATAAAGATAGAACCTTTTTTTAGAAACTTAGATGTCTGAAAGAGCCTAGAAAATTCTGATTAAGATCTCGGGGCAAAAAAAAAGCTTTTGAGTATTATGGAAGGTGATATAAGATTTTTGTGTCATCAAACTGAGAATGATTTTTAATAGAAAAAAAAAATCACGTGGTCATTTTTTATTTTTCTTTTCTCCATTCTAGACTCATACACGTTCTACGTCAGTCCGTTTTTTTTCCCAAAAAATCGACACATTAAGTTTACGGGTCTCAAAGCGAATGCTCTCTTTTTTTACCTCGTGAAAAGGCGGCGCAAGTCATTTTTCAATAAAACATATCAATTTGTAGATGAACCTTTTTACAGCCATTGAGGAGGAAGCAGGAAGTGATGAGCATGAACAAGCTGAACTCGTTCCCCTCCACCGAGAATCCGTCGGACATCAGGTCGAAGGCCAATCGTCCGAGCCCACTTCCGGGCACGAAAATCCGGATATCATGTCTTTTAGACTGGTCAGGGAATAACCGTCGGAGCTCTTCAATTATTGGAGTGTAGGTGGCATCTCTCTCTGGTTCGCCTATAAAAAAATATATATAATTTAGCCTTTTTTTCTCCATAAAATCATGAAAAAAAGTCATCGAAATGGGTGTCAATTTTTTTCGAATTTCTTCTCGAAAAATTCATAAACTGGTGGCGCTTTTTCAACTCACCAGCACTCGACCATTCCCTTGCAATCTGTCGTATCGTGCTGAGAACCTTAGACATGTAGTCTGGAGTTGGACGTCTGGAATCGACATAAATTCAGTTTTATGAGATCTTGTACATCACAGTTTCTACTGGAACCAGGGCCTACAGCAAAAACGGCCAATCTACTTCAAAAAGGGAAGGTCATTTTACTTTGCCGTTGTCAATTTCCTGAAAATTGTCCAGAACACTCCTTGATGTACCAGAAAAAGATTCTGAATGTATCAACCTGCATAACTTCTCAGTTTTCCAGAAACAAGGGTCTAAAGCCCCAAAATAGTGAGTTTTAATAAATTTTGAGCGTTTTCTTTAAATTTATATTCTCGAAAAGTAGAAAGTTGTGCAGATTGAGGCTTTCAGCTTCTTTTTCTGGTACATCAAGGAGTGCTTTGATCAAATTTCAGGAAAATCTCAATCGCAAATTATTTTAAAGATCGTTCTCATGGCCAAATATCAGACCTTTTTAACGATGATTCCACGTTTTTTGTTACTTTTTCTTTTGAAACTAAATAAAAACTATATCTAATGAGTGAAAAGAATATTTTTGAGCTAGAATGAAACATTTTTTCATAGAATTTGAGAATCGGGCCTGGCGCGAGCCCGCTACAAATGAAGCTAGAGGGTCGGGCAAGTCTGACGGGGACATAAGTTTTTTTACCGAGATTATCTTTGGATAGCTATAAAAAAATATGTTAATTATTTTTTTAAACTACTCTTGTTATATAATTTTACAGCAAAAAAAGGATCGAAAATTAATTTGCAACTCAGCTCTCCAGTTTTGCAAAAAAAGAAAAAAACAACATCTTTGATCTTAATTAAAACTGAAATTCCAAAAATACAGTCAATTCATTCAAATGCTCCAGAGAAGAAAGAACGAAAAAAATTGCAATTTTACTGATAATTCCGAATTATTCTTTCATTTTTTTATGAAATTTAGCCACTCGTACAGACCGACTAGAATAAAAAAAATTAATTTCATAAAATTTTATTCTGAAAGTTTTTTTTTCGAACATTTAAGCCTACTTTTCCACCTTTTTTCAAAGAACACCTTCATTTTTTGTTCTCACCTCGGTTGATGTATCCGCAAGGATTGCATGAAGTTCTCGCCGAACATTCCAACGCCATAATTCACAATCATTTTCAGCATTCTGAACATAAACTAAACTTTTTTTCTAGATTTTTCAGCTCACGAATAATTATGATCCAATCGCTGTTTGACCTCTGTTATTTGTTCACGATAAGTCTCTCCTAGTAATTTTTGATGCTCGTTGGGAATTTCTCTAAAAATTTGATTAAAAAGTAAGGAAACCGATTTTTCAAACACACCTCACTTGCTTTAACATGTGCAGGATTTTCTCCTGACCATATTTTTTGTAGAATAAAAAGGCGTTGACAACTTTTTCCGTAGCGATCACGTCGTCGTCCACAGCTGGTTCATCCTTAATTAATTTTTCCTTTTTTTGGATAAATTTTATATTTTTTTCGTACGCTTGAAACATCTTTAAATGTAATTTTTTTGAATATTTTTAAAAATTCTAGAAAATCGTTTCAATCTCACTCACATGCTCATGATCTTCTTGACAACCTTCATGACTTTCTTGAGACATTTTTTTGAACTTTCAGCTTGATCCATAGTGGCAAATTCAGCCTGGAAAAAAATGTAAAATTGTCTCAATTTGAAACAAAAAAATGTTTATTTCAATAAAATGCGCTCCAACGATAAAATCAATGCAAATTGGCTTAAATTTTTGATCCAGCTCTGATAAAAAAACATATAAAAAAATAGACTAGGAGTCCAAAAAAACCAGCCTTTTTTTCCACTGATCTGGTAAGCGTTCCTTCTTTATTAATATGACTTTCAAGTCAAAAAAATCCTCAATAGAGCTTAAGAATTATAAAAAAAAAGCCAATTAAAAAAATACACTCAAAAATCAAAGTATAACTTCATCCAGGCTAAAAAGCCAATATTTCACACTTTCCAAACATAAAAAAACAGGCAAAACATTTATTATATGGGAAAATCGATACATTTCGAGACAACAAAAAACCGGTAAAATTTACATTTGAAAATGCGAAAATCGCTAGAAATCATCATCAAACTCAATGTCCTCCATCGAATCGACAATTTCGCTGAACCGTTTTTTCTTCTTCGGAATATTTCCGTCGGTTTTCGAGACGTTTGGACTGGTCGAAGAGCTGAAAATCGGATTTTTGGTACGTATCAAGCCTGTTTTTGAAGACCTCGACGCTTTAAATCTAAATGGAGAACGGCTTTTCGCCTTGAAACTCTTGAAAAAAAATTTGGTATAGCTGATTCATGGCCAGCTTGGGACGCTAAAGGGGCGTGTCCTGTCTGCGCTCTCCACGAACCAGGCGCTATCTCGTGCATTATCGTGCCAGGACCATTTTTTCGATGGCTCAAGGCAGCCGTGAATCAGCTATATGCTCCTTTAAACAATCAAGGAAGGATTTTTAGACCACAGACTCAAAAATTCCCTTAAGATACCTCTTATCCTTGTCATTTTTTAACGGTTTCTCGTCTCTGGTCCGTTTTGGCGGCTTTCCGCGGGGCGTCGGCGTCGATTTCGGCTTCAATTTGGAAGTTTCCGCTGAAAAACTTCCATTTTTATGCTGGGAAAATCTTTTTCGTAACTTTCTCTGTAGATTTTATATCAGAATATATTTGAACTATTTTTTCTTTTTACCTTTTTGCGAGTCGTTCTTCGAGTTTGGCCTGGGAGTTGTCGATATTATGACTATGTCGTCGTCGAACGAGTCATCCATTTGTGGTTTAACTGACGGTTTCACGACTGAATTATTTTTCTTTTACTTTTTCAAGCTCCTTGTATACTTTTTGATCAAAAATGAGTTCAAAAAAACGTCTAGACCCCTAAAAACATCAAAACTAGGTCTGCATCAGCCAATCAGAGACATTTTTTTAAGAGCAGTTTTTGAGCTATGAAACATGGTTTTGAATCAATTTGAACCACTTTAGAAGGGTTTACAAAATGAAATCTACAAAAAAATTGCCTTATTTTAAAGTAAGGAAATTTTGTGAAGATCAGTTACAACTACGGAAAATCCAATTGCATTCAGAAGTCGGAATTTATATTTTTTGAAAAAAATTAAGTGTAGAGCTCGAATTCACCAGGCTTCTCCTCAGGTTTCAAAACCGTAGAACTTCCAGTTATTCCACTTGATTTGGCAACGGTTGGAGTCGAAACCGTCGATTTTGGGAGTTTTATTGGCGATTTTTTCGTGTTTTCCGAAGGTCCAGGCGTCTCATCTTCATCGAAAGAATCATCAAAAGTGAAGGGCTTCGGAACTGGAAATTTTCCAATGAAATTATTTTCTGCGGTTCACGTTTTTGATATTGAAAAAGATCGATTTTTTCAAAAATAAAAAAAATTTGGTCTTTAAAATTAATTTTTTTACTCAATAACTAATGTATCTAGAATTCATTCATCTTGTTCCAAATTTGAATAGTTCTTCTTTCTTCAAAATGCGCCAATTAAAATCGTACCACTTGGAGTAGCCGTCTTTGAAACGTTCGAAGTCGCAGTTTCCCCTGAAAAAAAAATCCTTTTCAAAACTTCAAAAATCCCAGTTAACCGCACTTTTCTTCATTTCAGGGGGTTTTTCAGGAGACTTCTTATTGATTTCAGACGTCCCAGCCGTAGGCTCATCTTCAAACGAGACATCGAAAGAAAACGGCTTTGACGCTGAAAAAAAATCCCGTTGATATTCAGAAAATCTTTAATTTTTCGCTTCCATTTTTAATTTCTGGGTAATCGAACGTACCATTTGGAGAAACCACTTTCAGAACGTTTGAAATTGGGGTTTCTTCTGGAAAAAAAAAACTCACTTTCAATTTTAAAAAAAAGCCCTTTTAAGCAAACTTTTCGCAATATCCGCCGTCTTTTTGGGCGATTTCTCTTTATTCGCCGGTTTTTTAGCCGTCTCCTCTTCATCAAACTCATCGTCTGTGAAAAACGAGAAGGGCTTCGAACCTCAAAATAATATTTATTTTTTTCCTTCAAAAAATAACATTTCATATTAGTTTTTGTCAAGGGGAAAAATCTTATTTGAATAAAACTGATTCGAATAAAAAAACTTTTTAATACTACTAGTTGCTTCTGAAAAAAATGTTGAAGGCAAGTAATTATGTTATATAGTTATGTTAAGGCGCTGTTAATTTAAAAAAACTTGAAAAAAATTTGATATCTGTTCAGTCTGCTTACATGTTTATTTCCCACCATTCTCCCATGTTTCCATTGTTTCTTCCTCTTAAAGCTTTTCAAAAATTTTGCTTTTCTATCAGAAAGGTACTAAGCGAAACAACGCTACATTATTCAATATAAAAAAATTACATCTTTTAGTTCCTATTAATTTTTTCATTACAAACTTTTCCCAGCTGCCGGCTCCTTGGAAGTCGACTGTACTGGTGCAGCTTTTGATGATTTTTTGGACTCGGAAAACAAGTCGGGACTATTAGACCTTGATGGATCGTCCTCCTTAAAAATATAAATGAAAAATTTTTTTTCTCCACGATGATCTTTTAAAAATCCTCAAATTCTAGAATCTTTAGACTTCAGATATACTACTCGTCTATTTTTACCTTCTTATCAACTTGATCTCCAGCTTCTGGAACTTGTTTCGAAGAGGTAGGAAGTTCATTTTTTGCATCCCGCATCGTCTAAATTTTTCAAAGTTCTCAGTTTTTAAGCATGGTCATTCATCAATAAACCTTCTCTTCCTCAATCAAGGTCCTTTCCAATTTTCCCACAAGTGGGTCTTCATTCGATTCTTGTTTAAAAATGGTAGGAGTTGCAATGACCACTTGGCAATCCTCGTCATCAAAAGAGTCATCGGCGCTCTGAAAAAAAAAAAACAGAAAATCAGGCTCATCACAAAAAAATTCTCTTTTCTGAGTTTCGGAATGTATAGCAGTTTTATTGATAAGCCCTGTTTTACATGAAGAAAAAAATTTATTTTTGAAACTTTGAAAAGATTTTAATGGAGTCTTCCAATACGTTTGAAAAGTCTGTTCAGATTCTGAATGCAAATTCCAATGACGACATTCGAAAACGCTCTGTGGATGGCTCACTCTCTGATTGGTTTATCGTGCAATTAGGGGCGAAGCTTAAAAGACGACGGCGTTAAAAAAAGTTTTAACAGACTCCTCTTACTTTTATCCCTCTAGGGACCACTAGCATGCTTTCCTAAAGAGGACATAAACGAAACTCTACAGTAACCACTAGCATGGCACCTATAAGGACCACTAACTGAAATTTTTCCAAGCTTCAGGGGGTCCTGTAGGGGTTGGTGAACTGGTCCCTAGAGTGGACCCTACGAGATCTCCTAATTTTGCCCCTATAGGGACCACACTGGAGTTACTAAGTGCATACTCTTGGGACTAAAAATTCCATTTATCAAAAAATAAAACCTCCTATCAAACGTTTTAAAACCCTTCTTCCAAAACGAAGTGAAATTTTTGGGACACTTATTATTTTTACTCCAAAAAAATCCTCTTCCCATAATTTCTACCCACAATCTGCTCCACGATTTTCGAAGTATTCGGACGGATCGGCGTGATATTCGAATTGAATAATGGCCCAAGTCGTTCCCGATTCTTGGTAGAAGCTCTCGGAGTTGAAGTAAACGGGACAACTTTCGGCGGAAGGGGAAAATCTTCCTTGTCTTCCTGAATTTCATCGTTTTTTTTTCCGTAGGTTCTTTTTTTTTACCATCAAAACTTCCTCCTTAGCTTCAGCCGCTTGCCTTTTTACTCCAGAAACCGCCTTTTCTATAAAATTTTTGTTTCGAAGGTTCTTCTCAATTTTTTTTTAACCAGCATTCTTCGATTTCCTCTGCCGTTGTCCCTTCTTGTTCTCAAACTCGACGCCAGCCATTTGACAAGCCATTTTGAACTGTAGGAGAACAAAAGTTGGATTTTTGACATTTTTCGATGAAAACCACGTCAGGAATTCGTCGCGTCAACAAGGCGATATCGTCCATATTGACAGTTTGGCGGCCGGCGTGGCTGAATCAAGACCATTTCCAATATTTCTTGCTTATTTTTCTCTAAAAGGACAGAGAGCTTCGTTGAAAAATCGTCAAAGAGACTAGGCTTAAGAAAATCGAAAAAAAAAGTGACCACAAAAATATTGAGAACACCTAAAAATTTTTTGAAGCGTACTTTCAATTTTATTGACATTCAACTACTATTTTTTCGAGTAAATTACACTTTTCAACCAAAAAATTGAAATAAAAAGTAATAGAAAAAGAGAAAAAGGTCAGAAAAACATTGAAAGGCAGAAATTCGTCTTTTGAAAATTAATGACGCTTATTCAGACCGATCCCACAAATTTGAAAAGAAATTGAAAACGATAAATAACTTTTTATCAAGGATAATTTCAATTTCGCGGAAATCCCTAACGGGGAAAATTTTTAGGGGCCACTATGGGGTTTCGACGTTTTAGTGGCCACTTTAGTAGTCAAACTAGTGACCACTTAAGGGGTTAAAATTAGTGGTCACTATAGAGGTCTAAGTGCTAATAAAAGACCACTAAAAAATTTTAGTGGCCACTCTAGGGGTCAATGGATCAAAATAACTGGTCCGATCTGTTTGTTTAAAAATTATCAGAGTTACTGGATGAAAAAGATTACTGGATGAAAAACTACTGAAGTGGCCACTAAAACGGAAACTATTGGCCACTATAGAGGTGATTTTAGTGGCCACTTTAGTGTCCCCTTCAAGTAGTCCTTGTCGAGCCTCTATAGTGACCACTAAATAACTTCCCAATAACACGTGATATTTGTTTTCGAAATGATTAAAATCTCCTCAGTTTTCACTTTATTATTACCCTGAAAAGGCCAGAAGATCCGTCGACCAATCTTCGACCACCTTCTCCCAAACCACCGTCGTCACCCTTTCCAACAAATCGTCGTCAAACGTCTTCCCCTCATTTCCTCAAAAAAGCCAACATCTTCAACGTCCAAATACGATTCATACCATCCATTTCGAGAACATCGTCCGCCGTTTTAATAACCGCATAATGCAACGCTTTGCTCACTTCCTAAACGACAAAAATGAGCGTTTTTCATGGATTCTAGAAAAAAAAGTTTTATTCGAAAAAGATTCTGAACCGCATAACGATTGATTTCATGCGAAAACTAAAGTGTAAAAATTTATTGCTTCGCTACGTTAGTATCCAAATAAAGATTCCTTTCGAGGAATCACGACGAAAAACCATGAAAAATAAGTACATTCAATTAATAATTCAAAAGTTTCTCCAAAAAAACGAGATCCCAAAAAAATTCGAGGAAATGCTGTGGATTCGAGGCACTGGATAAAAATGGAACAACAATTCTCACAAACAGCTATTTTTTTAAGTAGATATAAAAAAATCGAATTAAAGAAATATGCAATCAAAAAACGCTCAAGTTCAAAATTAAAATACATATCGTAAGTGAAAGGTTTGAAGCCAGCAATTCGAAGGAATGAATTAAAAATCGAGATAACTGAGCCAAAAAAGGGAGTTTCCCAAATTGAGGAGTAAATTGAAGGTGCATGAGCGAAAAAAAAATCACAAAGCTTTCCAGATTTTTTTTTCGTCTTGAGAACTGATTCTTAGCAAAATTACCTCACACTTCTCAAAAATTTTTTTCATTATTTTAAGCTAGAGTACATTTTTCGCCGGGAAAAAACCATTATCTTGGCTCAATATTTTAAAAAAAGTTACAATCAAACGCGATGAATCAGGCCAAGGCGGGGCAAGTTCTCATCAAGGTTCTTAGTTTTAACGACAAAGTCCCAGACCAAATCGGTAATCAACTTATTACAAGCGTGGTCAGCCGAATAGACCAGTTCAAACGCTTCGACAAGCTTACTAAATGCCTTGAGGCTACCTTTTCGCTCGGGGCTAGCTATGAGGGCAACTCCGTGAGGCGTGAGGAACTTATGGATGGTCTTGAGGAGATTCTCACGGTGTTGCTCAAAAAATACACAATCGGCGGCGAAAATCAGGTCAAATTGCGGCAAATCCGAGGCTTCCTCGCCCCAGACAAGCTTTCTAACGTAGGGGGTTTTCTGGAAGGAGTTCATGTCGACAATTTGCTGTATATTCTCGACAGAAAGCTCGTTCCCGTCGGTGAGCATGACTTCGGCTCCGAGAAGAGCGGCGGCGAAGCCGGGCAGGGCCATCGAACCGGCTCCCAGCTCCAGAACCCGCTTTCCTTTCAGGTTAATCTGTCCCGTTGCGACGAGGAAGGTCAACATCTCGCTGCCGGGCCAGATCCGCACGTTCCCCGTGTTGTCGAAGCCGGTAAGCGATGAGACCGACGACGTCTTCGGCACGACTACGTCGAGGGTCAACGAAGGCGACATGAGGATCCGGCGACGGCCAGGCGCCCCAGTTGGCACGACGCGGACGAGTCGCAGCAGAGGTCGGAGTTCGATGAAGTCGGTGTCGACGGCGACCTCCTCCTTCTGTCGCAGAATCATTTTGAGTCGCTTGGCGCAGAGTTGCCAGTTCCGTTTGGCGCGACTAGACTGCTGCTGAAGGCATTGAAAAAGGTTCGAGCCGTGGAAATAGTTCATTCACAACAGCTTACGTAGAATTTTATGAATTCCCGCGCAAAAAACTATTTTTCTTTTTTACGCTAACACTTTTCAAGTTTCAAAGCCCTGGCAAGCTGTTGTGAATAAACGGAATGAAAAGGATGGGTAGAATCTTAAAAATAGCTGGAAAGAGTACTGAAACTCTTAAAGAAATTTATAAATTGCAGTATTTTCTTTTCTACTTACGACAACTTAGTAATTGGATTAGTTGGCGAAATAAGATTTACTTAAAATACTTGGCTTTAAAAAAATCGTTTTTCGCATATGTAACAAAAAAAAACATCTCCTAGATTTTCTCAAAAGTATGAAGTTTAAGAATCATTGCTGGGAAGTTGAATTCAAAAATTGAACAGCGGAAACTTTTCCAGAGTTCTTACAATTTATGGAAAACTTCTGCGTCTTTAAACAATCCAGCAAAGATTTTCAAACAGAATAAATGAATAATTCTCATCATGATCACCTTATCATTGACAAAATCCTCGAACTCCTCGGATCCTTTCACTGGTGGGGCCGCCGACGTACTCGGAGCCTCTTCATCCGCAGTTTCCGCCCTTCTGACATCGTCCATCTCTTCGACGGGGTCCATCCTATCGCATAACCTACGAAATGATTTATTAGTTCCGTTTCAACAATAAACAACAATAAAATCAACGACGACGAGCATAAATAAAAACAAAGAGAAAAGGGAAATTTACAAAATAGAAATTGGAGCAATCGCATGAACTCCTGGGAGTTGAAAGTTAATAAAGACAGATCTTCGTGATTCAAAGCTGATTCTTCGACAAAACAAAACAAAAAAAAGGATGATGGATAAATTAATGCTTGAAAGGTGAGTTCAAGGTTGTTCTGTTTAAAAAGTGATAGAAATTGACGCAGATATGGAGCAATTCGATTCAAAATTCGCTTCGAATAAATTTTTTCAAGATCAAGTAAATCAGAAGGATCTTCTCTTGTTAATGAATCGTTTAAAGAGCGAAATAAAATATCGAAATACTTCTCTTAAAAGAAACAAATTTTCGTCATTTTTTCAGAAGAGAAAACGGAACGAAAACTAATCATAAATGCATGAATTTAACCGGAAAAAACCCCTTTTTTTTCAAAGAAAAGTGTGAAACCGAAATATCAAATCTTCTAAACCAAGGCAAAAGACTTCCCGAAAAACTTTCAAAGCTTTTGTAAATATACAAGACGGATGAATAAGCGATCAAAAGCCATATTTCCAAGCCAAAAGTTGAAAACATGTTCAGAAAACTTCTGAATATCCGTAAATCAGAATAAAATACCTAAAGCCTTTTTTTTGGAGCCAATCTTTACATAAAGTTTTACAAGTCCTTAAATAAAGTGAAGCTCGAAATTTGCTAGAAACTCCTATATACGACTTATTAATAAAACACAAAAAAAAAATTAAAAAGAAATAAAGAGCTTCTAGTCGACTTTTCTGAGCGAATCGTGAACTTGGAAAAGCTTAAATTGTCGCCAAACGACTCATAATCAAAAACAAGGATAAATAAAAAATGAGAAAACGGCTCATTGGCAGGACTCCAATCCAAATGAACTCAGCATCTCTTCCGTTTTGTCGCGTCGGAAACCATCGCGAACGATTTTGTAGCTTCCAGGAAGTGTCAAGTCGACAATGGTGCTGGCTTGGCATTTTTCGTTCTGAATGACGCCACCGTCCAGCACGAGGTCGATGTACCGCAACAGGTCCTGGAAGTCGGCGGTGCTGGTCGGGTTGAACAAGGAGCCGCTGACGTTGGCCGACGTCTGGGCGACGGGTTGGTCGACTCTTTCGCAGATCGCCGCGACTAGAGACGTCGGCGCGACTCTGACGCCGATATTCGCGACGCCTGGGTTGAACTGCTGCGGAAGGTCGGCAGTCCTCTCGAAGATCACTGTGACGGGGCCGGGGAAGAGTTTGTTCAATAGTTCCGAAGGGACAGTTTGCCGCGCGACTAGGGGAATATCGCCGGGCGAACGAAGAAAAACGCCGAGAGGCTTCGATAATGGTCGCCTTTTCAGCGAATAGAGTCGGTCGCAGTAGGGAATCAAAGTGCAGAGCCCGTAGAGGGTGTCTGTCGGGAGGGCGACGACTCCACCGCGCAGAAGAACTGTCGACGCCGCCTCCACGGCTTCTTCAAAAGATTCTGCGGTCAGTCGCAGTACCTTGGCGATCACTTCCGTCGGCATTTCTTGAAAAATTATTATTAACCGAGTTTAACGGCTTGAAACGCCAATTATGCGATGAAATAGGAATCATATAAGGTTTCATGGAAAGGGAAGCAATATCAGCATGAAATATGAAAGGAATTCTCTGATTTATCTATTCTGATTCCAGAACTGCACAATTTTTTTCGAGAGCTACGGCCTTAAAAATCAGAGAAAAGCAGGTAAAAAAATCAACTATCCAGGAATTTTTTTAATTTTTAATAATAATTTTTTTCACGACAATCAAGGAGATGTACAGATTAAACTTTCCGGATCTTTATTTGATACCAAGATGTATTCCTACCAAGTTATTCAAAAAACAAAAACTCCGAACCAAGTTTTTCTCGCATGAGGGTGAAAAGAAATGACAGAAAATTTCACAACTTTTTTTCATCAGGTTGGCGTAGTATTTCAACATGACACTTTTACAACTATCGTACTCCATTTCTTTTCAGAGTACTATGAAACTCTTGACATAAAAGCCTACCTCCCCTGTAGAATCCAGCAGACCCCACATTCATTCGGACTGAAAAGAGACCTTTTTATTTTCTCTCATACAAAAAATGAATAATAATGGCGATTACACAAAGTATTTCAAATGAAATCCTAATAAAAAAACAAATAGTGTTGATATTAAATTCAAAAATTCTCACTTTGCGGGAGGAGCAAGAAAAAAATGACAATTTTTGCAATGTTACTCGGAATTTGAGAGATAGAAAAGCGAGAAATACCTACAATTTACAAATGGAGAACAGAAAAACATCTTATCCTTATCTGAAAGAAAAAGAGGAAACCCAAGAAAAAAAGGCAAAGATAAAATTCAAAAAAAGGAAAAAACAAATGCGCGTGAGTTGACGTGCTTTCACGCGATGCATTTTATCTACCGCCTATTTTTCCTACTTTCAAAAATTTATTTTTGTATTTTTTTGTGATTAAAAAAGGCATTAAAACTTAAGATATCCAATGACAGCACAGAAATCGACATCGAAAGAAGCAGTCACATGCAAAAAGAATCCAATCGGACCTTATAACATCGCGTAAGTTCATTTTTATCATTTTTAATTAAAAATTTCTTTTTCAGCCTAGTCTCCGATTTTTTCTGTCCAAATGCCGGTGGCGTAGAAACGCACATATATTTTCTGGCTCAATGTTTGATTAATATCGGCCACAAGGTATTTTTAATGAGGATTTGTGAGGGAACCTATCTAAATATTGTAGAATTTCTAGGTGATCGTCATAACTCACGGTTATGGAGATCGAAAAGGTATTCGATATCTGTCGAATGGCCTCAAGGTTGGAATTATGAATAGTTTAAGCTATTTTAAATGAAAACTTGGAAAACAAGAATTTATTTACAGGTCTATTATATGCCATTCATAGTCATGTACAATGGATGTGCGCTGGCGACGATTGTAGCCAGTTTGCCTTGGCTGAGGAAAATTTTTCTGCGAGAAGATATCCAAATTGTCCATGGACACTCGGTTAGTTGAACATCAATGGAAAATTAAGATCAAAATTTGAAAAAAAAATCGACTCTCAACTCAAATTTTTTAGCTATTTTCTTGTAAAAATCTATATTTTCAGACCTTTTCAGCGATGGCCCACGAAGCCTTGCTAAATGGAGGTCTAATGGGTCTGAGGACAGTTTTTACGGACCATTCCTTATTTGGATTTGCCGACGCCTCAGCCGTTCTAACCAATACTTTAGTTCTTCAATATTCTTTGGCCAATGTCGATCAGGTCATTTGTGTGTCCTATACGAGGTTGGTTGAACGTAAAATCTTGAAAATTAGGAGGCTACAAGATTTTTTTCGTGCTTTTTCTTTCAAAGGGCTTTGAATGTAGAAAAATCAAATTTTTTCGCTAAATTTTTCTCTTCTTGTGCTGAATTCCCTAGTTTTTCTGATGTTGAAATTGCGTGACATAACTGTCGGAAGTCACAAAAAGCGATTCTAATTTAAAAATATGGAAAAACGACTTTTTTATCATCTTTTAAGCAAGGAGAACACAGTGCTACGGGGAAAATTGGAATCGAAAAAAGTCTCAACTATTCCAAATGCGATCCAAACGGACCTATTCACACCGGACCCAGAGCAGTTTTTCAATAACCCAACTACCATAGTGTTTCTCGGCCGGTTGGTTTATCGCAAAGGTTTTGAATTTTGAAGAAAAGTGCGAATTTCGAAAAGTATCTAGGCGCCGACCTACTCCGGGAGATCATCCCCAAGGTGTGTGAGCAGCATCCGACCGTCCGGTTTATCATCGGCGGAGACGGTCCCAAGCGGGTGGAGCTGGAGGAGATGCGCGAGCGGCACAACCTTCACGCTCGCGTCACCATGCTCGGCATGTTGCCCCATAATCAAGTCCGGGAAGTGCTCAACAAGGGTCAGGTCAGAGGAACGAATTCGTATTTGAACTAGAAGATGAGCTTGACGTTTCATTATTCAAAATCGGACTTTGATATATTTTGTCTTGAAAATTTAGGCTTGAAAAAGGCCGCAAAAAGACAGAGAAAAGGTTCAAGAAATGGTGAAAAAAGGGTATAGGCTATTCCGCGCCAGCTTGTCAAATTTTTCTTTCCGCCAAAAGGCCAGGTCAAGTTTAACCAATTTCGCTTCAAGACCTTTCTTTCTTGCCGTTATAAAAACAGATATTTGATTTAATTTGGTATACGGTCTTCTTGACGGAAAGAAAAACGTGACAAGCTGGCGCGGAATAGGCTTCAAGACGGCAAAAATGGTGCATAAGAGCCGATAAAATGGCGCGAAAAAGCAGCAAAAGAAATAATTTTTATGGAGCCTTTTCCACCCTTTGCCTATGTATAAAAAGAAAAAGTTCTTCATTTCTTTCGTACAGAATTTTAATTCCTAACCTTAGTAGTTCTATTTGTTATTTGAAATAAAAAAAAAATAGCAAGATAATTTGATCGAATCAATAATAATCGCTTCTAGAAAAAATGCTCATGATTTCCTCATGAATAAAAAACAATATTTAGATCTTCATCAACACCTCCTTGACTGAAGCATTTTGTATGAGTATCGTGGAAGCGGCCAGCTGTGGGTAAGCTGATTTTCAAGATAAAATTTCATTTTTTCGGCAAAAAGTGTGTAAAACAACGCATTAAAAAAGGATTTTGAGAAAAAAAAAGTTGACTATAACAGAACAAGCTGATTTAATCAACGTTTCCAAAATTGAAAAAAAGTCATTTTTGCTCAAAAATTAGCTCATCAACTCAACTTCAACCTTGAGATCATGATATTTCTAGCCTCCACGTCGTCTCAACAAAAGTCGGTGGTATTCCGGAAGTGTTGCCGCAGGAATTTATCACATTGGAAGAGCCAGTTCCTGACTGTTAGTATAATCTCAACTTCATCAATTTTCCTGATTTTCTAGGCCTAGTTGAAGCTCTACTCGCCGCCATTGAAAGACGGGAGAAGGGACAATTGATCGATCCGGCTGAAAAGCACGACGCAATTTCGAAAATGTATTTTTGGCCGGATATTGCCGAAAGAACCCAACTTGTCTACCGAAGCGCCATGGCAGGACCGCCGCCTTACTGGAAGAATTTCACGAGAAGGTTTTGGATTTCAGAGTTTTTTTAAAATGCTCTCTAGCTTAACTCTGTAGTTGTGAAGCTTATGCCGCGTTCAAAGTGATATCTGACTCTCCAAAATATCCATTATCTTTGTCACTCTCTGACGAACGCCGATATCACTCTGAACGTGAAAATTTTGTTCTCAGTAACACTTCTTAAGAGGAAAATTTAAATTATAGACAAAGAATGATTTTAAAAAAAAGGAAAAACGTAAATTCAGAAAAGATAGGCGGTACACACAGAAATTTTCAAGGAATAATACCAAGGGAAAAGCGCAAAATTATAAATGGAAATGAAAGAATTTATTCAATCGATCCGAAACACAAAAATCATCAAATCTATTCTAATACACCAAATAACCCGTGGTCGCGCTTAGAAAGGCCTTCTTAACTTGCTTCGGCCCTTTTGAGCGCAAGCCGTTTCAAGTCGGACGCTTTTAGAATCAATCCACGACTAAACTCGAAAAATTCCAGGTATTACGATCTCGGCGTTGGCTTCGGCATCCTTTATATAACCGTCGTCCTGATTTTGATGTTCTGGCTGACGATCCTCAACTTTTTCGATCCTCCAGAGGTACAGAAGAACCTCAAAAAAAAAAGAAAATTATCATTTTTAGAAAAATCGCCGCCAAACCGAGGATGAAACACAGAAAAAGAGCCAATGATTCCTCAAGTTTTTGAACTTTTCACGGGTTTTCGGCGAAGAAATTCGCCGGCAACGATATCCCCACTTCAGCACCGTATATTGTGATCCATCTGTGAAATTTGATTTCTCTGTGATAAATTTATTGCTTTTTTGCACCTCGCTATATAATTTCCATCGATCTTGAGCTCTTTCATCACTTTGGCCGTGTTGCAAGGATGAATATTGAAGAAAATGACGCCCAAATTCGGATGCTCATTCTGTGTCAAGTGCGGTATAGACGAATCTTCTTCGAGTTTCAGAGCTTTCCGTATTTCTGACAGTTTCAAGGGTCTTCCATCTGCAAAAATATTAGTTTTTTTAATTATATTTTCCTGGAGAAAATTAGCATGAACACCACTAGCAAGAACTTTTTGAAAAATTTTACGAAGAAAAAAACCTTTTTTTCTTTTTGTTTTTTTAAAGGAAAAACTCTGCCTAAATTTATGTAGATCTAAGAAGACGTCTCACAACGACGGATCATTCAATCTCAAAAGTCAAGAAAAATATCAAAGAATCTAGTTATCCAAAGCTTCATAGTTCAAAATATTACATTTTCAGCACATTTTTCGATAATCGATGAATATATTTCATTCTTTTTTAACCCCACAAGTGAGTTATTAAAGGTACAGCCCGCTAAAGACCCTTTTTTTGAAGTATGGTTTTTCCGGATTATTTACGAAATTCTTTGAATTTTATTCAAACTTCTCAAAAACAAACTACACCTTTCAATCAAATGCTTTTCCATTCCACCGTACAAACCTCTTCTATAAAAGTTGAACCACAGAGTTGGAACAGAATAAACTTCGTTGAAAGTGATATGAACTTCTCGACTCAATGTTTCATCGTCCATAACAACAGAACTCGTGTTTTTCGCGTATAATTCACCGATTGCACTCTAAAAAAGTTCAATGACTGAATTAATTCCGAAAATTAGATTATTTAAAAGAATCTTGTGTTTTCTTCAGACCGAAAAAGATTATATCAAAAATTAAATTAAAAAAACAACAGTTTAAATTCAATATTTTCAGTGAAACTATCGAAAAATTTATAAAGTTTTGAATATTTTATAAAGTAAAATTGTATAAAATGATGAAGTCGAAAATGGTGAAAAAAAAACCTTCTGCAAAGACCAAAAAGGACCATTTAAATTTCGGCACAACTCCACGAATTCCAAAAGTTGTCGATTGAAGTCTTCCCGTGAAGTTGTAGCCATCGGAAAACCTGAGAAATGCATATAATTTATTGAGAAGTAAATTCAATCCCACGGCGTTTTTTATGACACCCCGCCCACAAATTTCGTAATATATGACGTCTTTGGTGTACACACAGAGCGGCGCTAAATTGCATACTCCTTTGATTCGAAAGAACATTTTTGTACAAAAAAGTGATGAAATAGAAATATTCTGAGAATTACAGACTGGGAAAAAGATGACTCTACCTGCCTAAACTCGGCAGACACCACCAGAATGCCATGCCACGATAAAAATTTATAAAAAAATTTATAAATGGGGCCGCAAAATAGTTTTTGAATTTCATCGAATCGCTTCGGCTTTGGAATCATCTTAATGCTAATGCTTCCCATTAGCAAACCCCGAAAAATCTCGACAAAAAGTTGGAGAAACGAGCAGAGTTTTGAAACATCAAGAAAAATCATTTATGTCGTGTTCATTGGAGAAACGGAACATGCTTCAAAACGAAAAATCGTGTTCATCGGCGCGCCAAAGTTGTTCCAAAACAGTACCAATTTTTGTTTTGAAGCAATTTTTTTGCGTTTTAGAACAATTTTCGTTTTGTCCGATGAACACGCCATTAGAAATCATCAAGAAAAATTACGCGCGCGCCATGAAAAAGTGGGAGGAGCCCATTCTTCCCTCTTTTGCAAGATGGGCGCGCTTCCAATTTTCATTAAATTTTTTTTCATTGAAACGCCCGTTTTCCAAAAACTCGATAATACTTTGAAAAACGACTCAATAATTGTAAATGAATATCAAAAGGGTATAATCCGACGTTACCAACATGTTTGATTTTCAGCATAAAAGTATAACCATTCGATCCGTCTCGTCGAGATACGTACGAATATCATAAAATTATTCGGCGCTGACCAATTAGAAAAATTTAAGATGAACTTTATTAGTTTTCAATCAAGTAATTATTCAGAGGAATATAAGTGTTTGCTTTTTCTTTTCATGCATTACTTAAGAAAATAGGCTTAGTTTTAAGGCTTCACACGGAGGGGCCCCTATAGGGGCCCTAATTTACCCCCTATAGGGCC